AACATAGTCATTGATACCAATATTAACAGGAAGAATTTTTATAAGGGTCTGAAAACTCCATTCAGCAAATTAATGCTGTTGAGGGCACATTATATCACTTGGAGAATGATGGAGCTCAATTTTTGGCCACATCAAGGACCGGGAAAGGGGTTTAAAAGATCACGACTGCCACTTTATGACTCCTAGCTCCTAGCTCCGAAGACGAACAACACAAGGAGTCGGTAGTTGAAAATACCCAGAACGTTGTACTGATGGAGGTACCAGGACTGGGCTGTCGCAGTTGTACAGCCAGTATAGCTTTCCCTACATTGGGCTATGTCAATTCATTCGGGTTTGTGTTGGCATGCCTACCTTCTATACGTGTTTAACAAATAGGGAATGGCATGAAATCAACCAACTCCATAATTACCCCCCTTTGCAGGTATCATAGATTAGATCAATTCAAGCTTTCGTTGTTTTTGGCACGGGTATCCCTATTTGATCTTTATGGCGCCAAGGTATATATGCCAATGGGAACTCACCCGATCATGTAGGATATAGTCCCGATAGACATTGCTGGCTCCTCTCTAGGTGGCATAATCTGGCCGATTGCCCTAAGCAAAATGCTCACCAACACGAGCCTAGAACTTGGCTGGAGTGTTCGACACAGGATTGGCTGCCTTGGCATATTGTTTCATCTGCCTTTGCCGTTAAAGTCCAGCTTCCGCCCCGCAGGAGGCGATTCTTCCTATGGGAGGCTTTCAGGGAACGCTCATTCATATGCCTTGTTGTTGCAGGATTCCTAGGATTACTTGGCCTATTCACTCCACGTATGCCATTCAACAAGGCATGAGCCCTTACCTGGCCGTCTATCTCGCTTCCATTTTCAACGGGGCCCGAATATAGAGCTAAAAACGATGGCAACTATAAACCCTCGGCCAGCAAGATGTAAGGATACCACTGCTCACCGTTGTTGCAATGAACACGTTGAATCGTCCAAGTCTGTTGGCAAGAATAACGGGAATAACTCAACCCAGGAAGGGCTCTGCCATGGAGCGATCACTTGCGGAATGGCTGTGAGTCTTACTTCAATCCCTAAGGATCCCAGGAATATAGGTACGTATATGGGTATGGGATGGGTTTCTCACCCATTGCAGCGCTCGTTGGCCTCCTATCAACGGGGAATTGATAGAAAACTATGGATTTTCCGCCATGGCGAATATTAGCGGAGCTATGTGTATGGCCGCGGCTGTTCTGGTCATCTTGGCTAGACACTTCACAGGCAGGGGATTGTTTTCCAACAATTAAACATCCGTTGTAACTGGTTTCCATTGTGATGTACTGGCATTCTAGCCCTTTCACCTGCTTGAGGCGTAAATCCGTAATTCACCGTCTCTCCTCCGTCGCGTTTCCTTTTTCTAACATGATAAAAAGGGTGTACTGTTAGGATAAAATGATGGTGGTAATAGAGTAAAGTTGATCTGAGGATTTATGATATCCCTAAAGTCATCGCTGATTTGCGCGAGGAAGAAACACTGAAACGGGGTGTCTCGGGACTGCGTACTGGTCTGCTGTATAGAATGACCTCCATGGCCAGGATGGAGAGGAACTTCGCTCACATGGCAGCCATCCAAGGCGACATCTCGGCAAATGAGACCATTTCGATACTACTTCGCAAAGCTGAGCATAGTACGTACATCGATGAGGATAGACTTGGTGTATGGAACATCGACCTCCAACTCTAAGCAGTAGAGCTAGCCTCTTCCCTGTCGCTCAAAACTTGCTGTTCGTACCTACAAACAAGGCACGGCTAGGAGCAGTTTACTTCATAAACATCCCTGAACCGTTTAAGACTTACCCCAAAGAAGCCGGCCGTTCGTTCACGGCGAGTGGTCAAGGCCATCCCATCCCCTCCACGAAGATAGACATGGAGCAAGCCAACCCTGCCCTGCATCGCATTAGACCAACCTCCACGGCCAATCAGTTCCTGCATCATGCACGAACGAGCGTAATAATGAGACGATAGCACCAAAGCAGGCGCATATACCCATCGACTAGCTACGCATGCGTGCAGGACCAGGCGAGAACCATCAGCCAACCGCATGGCAGAGAGACCATCCATCTCGCTGTCGTGGACACAACCACCAGAAACACCCACCGACCTGCTCGCCCTATAACATCGCAGCGTCAGAAAGCAAAGATGGAAACGCAAAAAAAAAAAGAGAGAGAATCAAGGCTTGGCCGTGTTTGTATGGCCGGCCAGGTGGAGGTTAAGGTGTTGGGTCGCGATATTCCCATCACCGCCCATTCAGCGAGCAGCGAGATGCTTCCGATCTCGTTGACTCGTTTCTCGACCTTGACTTGTCGCCTTATCACATCGTGCTGGGCTGTTGCTTCACTGTGACACCGCTTGCTGAGTGGATGCAGATGACTTGCGCCCTTGGAAGGAGATCCAAACGGGCCCATACCAAACCGAGGATGGCGTTACAATATACAATTCAACTCAAAAAATAGATGATGGAGTCTGATGGACCGTCCAGCCGTTGGAGGCGAGCGTGTCATGGCTTCGACTAGTTATCGATAAGTGAATTCTACGCTTTTCTTCTGTTTCTCTCCTCTCTCACCTTGCTTTTTCTTATCCCTAGGTTTCGCCGGCTCTATACGACGAGGAGGGGTATCATCCACATTTCCCCCCCTGCACGAGCATATGCACTCTGACCCTTTCTCCCCTTCCGGAGGGGGGAAGAAGACGTCTGGAATGCAAGGGGCAGCAGTGCCTTGCTGCAGCGCTGGCGTGGGCCTTAGTAGGGGTGCTATTAACTGCTAAATTAAAAAGAGGAGTTACACGCCGCTCCAAGGAGATGCACACCACGCAGGCGGGGGTCCGGGAATTACTTACTCTGGCCATGGAAGAGGAGAAGAAAGAGGAAGAAGCAAAAGAAGGAGAGCGGAAGGTTTCTGTCATGCTTTGCATAACTCTCCATCCCTGCTCGTTAACTCGCTGCCTTCGATGCCGGACGGAGCATCCGTTACACTATCCCATACTCAAAGCAGACAAGACCATGCTTAGGTGATCCATGATCGTGATAATTCTGTGATCGTGATCGCGGAAGAACGAGGGAACAAGCAGAAACGAGGCCCGTCCCATACCCGGCAGCGAGCAGGGAACGGAGGCGTGGGATCGCTGCGCTGTTACGTCAGTACGATCGTCTTCTCGTCAGCCACAACATGGCTTGCGCAGGGTTATACCCGTCTGCTCCGGATAGCTGAAGAGCAGGATGTAGTAAAATGGAATAATCCGCCGTCAGCCCCCCTACGCTGTCGTACCGTCGTAGAAGGCCAGGGAAGGCCGAGAGATGATGGAGGATGACGCTGGATGATGGTCCCTGGATCAAAGGATTTCCCTCGTCCGTGTAACAGCCCTTCCTCGGTGCGAGAAAGAAGGAAAAAGCAACGAGTAGAAGTTTCTCGGGTCTAGTCCGATCTTTCCATCTTTTGCTCTCTGATATCTGTCAGCTGGATGGCAAAACGAAGCGCTCTTCGCGAGCCACCGGGTTTCCGAGTTTGACGGTCTCCATTGATCAGTTGGCCACCAGCCGGCCATCTGATATATTACTCCGTCCATGATGAATAATTAGATAGCGTTTGGCAATTTTGACGGTTTAGGCGGTCCGGTTCCCGAGGCAAAAATTAACTACTTGAGACAGGAACGGTTACGGAGTATATGTCGTAGCTGTATACTCCGTTTCGAACGCACTCAGGTAAGCGCTTGACCATTGGACAGCAGGACAAAGGAGCCGGCGATGACGAGAATAATCAATGCCTCTATCCTGAAGCCTGACGCCCTGACGAGTGGCCAGCAGGGCTCTGAGGTACCCTGTATATCGACTTGCAAGGCTTCAGGTCAGCTTCAGTCAGGCGGCAATCAGCCCCTATCCGTAGTCCCTACGTAGTCCCTCGTTGGCCAACGCCCGCCCTCTCGTAGGTCGCTAAGCCAGAGTGACGTCCACTCGCAACTGGCCGATCAGCATCGTGTGTATTCTGTATTGTCGAGTACATCGCTGAGCTGGTTACCGCCCGCCCCCCCTACTCGAAGCCCAAGCCTGAAGCCCAAGCCCAAGCAGAGGCCAGTCGAATCACATCTCGAAGCGCCGACTTCACACCCTCCATCACAGCAATCACATACACCTCGAGTGCCGGCGCTTGTCGCTGTCAGGGCGGTAATAAGAGCTCGCCTGCGCTCTTCATGCGACACTCGCCGTCTCAAGGAGCCATAAACGAACTCAAGGGGAGCTTGTCGACCTGCCTCAGAAGCGTCAGTCCGGGGCGCGTTGCTTGGTTAACCATTCGCCCTGCTGCATGAATTAGTATATACTTGTATACGTATGTATTTTAGTATCCAACTCTCCACACCGCTGCTTCGGCCGGACGACATACAGACATACAGAGGATACAGATATCAGACAGGATATCACATCACAATATCACATCAACACAACAGGATATCAAGAGAACCTCATCAACAGAACCTGAAGAAGGAGAAGAGAATATCGAGAGGTGGCTAAGAAGCGTGGCGCAAGCCTGAACCTACTTCACATCTCCATCGTCCATCTCCATCTCTTCTCTTCTCAACACCAACTACTCGCCCTGTCCTCCCGCTCCACCGTCTCTCGCCTTCTCGGCCTGTGTATGGTGGCGAACGTACTCCTGACGCTGTCATCAACCGTGGCTTTTCCACTCTCTTCCACCGTATCTCCGTCCTTCGCTCTAGTGTCGCCTGTACCGCCCGCCTTGAACGTTCTTTGACACTCCTTTTAACCACCAGGCCCGTAGATGACACTCGCCCCGTCATCTCTGTCACTCACTCACTCTCGCTCTCTCACTGATCCCAATTATATCAACAGTCCCATCCCCTGGGAGTTATAGGGTTATACTTCCCGTCGTCCTCAACCCGATCTCTGGAACTCTGGGACCCGACCTATCAACCCGACCCGTCAACCGAGCAGAGATACACCGCCAGGATGTTGGAGATGCCCGCTCACGACCCGTATGAGGTCCTTGGGATACCAAAGACAGCTCAGACGGCCCAGATCCGGACAGCATACAAGAAACTCGCCCTCAAGTTCCATCCTGACAAGATCCAAGATGAGTCTCTCCGGGAACAAGGCACGGTCGAGTTCCAGAAGATACAGGAGGCATACGAGTTCATCTCAGACGACAGCAAACGCATACAGTACGACCAGCGGATACGGGCTGCCGCTGTTGCAAAGGAAAGGATGGCGTCAAGAGGGACGTCAGGATCGTCAGGTCGACGGTCAGGAAACTGCGTGTTTGAAGACATAACCCCCAAGGAATATGCTACAGGCCCAACATACGAATCGAGACCTCCCCCACCATCGTCAAAATCTCACAGAGCGCCCCGGGACCCTTCTCCAGTCTCGGCAGATCGAAACCAGAGACCGTCTCGCTACTCTGACGACGACTCTGCATACGAAGAACGCCGCGCGAGCTCAAGAAAACACGCCAACTACGAGAGAAGACGCCATCACTCCAGAGAACCCTACGAGAAGAAGAGCAGCAGCAGCAGCAGCAGCAAAGACTACGTCAGACGCGAACGCGAATCGACTCGCCACACCAAGGAACGGGCCAGAGAAACCCGCGAATCGACTCGGAGCAGTCGTGCCAGCAACGCCAAAGTCCGTGATAGAGAACGTCGTCGGGATACTTCTGAAAAGCTTAGGGGTACTACATATGCTGCTACTGTCGAAGACCTTACAGACTACTCGTCTGACTCTAACTCGGATTCTGATGGCTTCAGCGATCGTGATCGTGAATATGCCCCCAAGATAAGAGAACACAGAAGGCCAAGGCCAAAGCTCAGACACCGAGAAGCAAACTACTCATCTAGCTGGGAAACTTCCAAGATGACGGCTGACATCGAAGGTGCTTGTGAGTACATGAGATCAAAGGGTGGGATGCAGAAACGATCGATTACTCCAGAGAGCAAACCGAGTGTCGTATACGTTAGTCCAGGAGGGATGCATCGAGAAAAGGACAGCGCTCGCCGCTCATCCGCCCGACCTCGCATGCCAGAACGAGAAAGGGAGCGAGAACGAGTCGACCTGGTTGATAACTCTTCCTCTTCCTCGTCTTCTCGCTTCCACTCCTCGTACAACGTTCCAACGCGAGGCTCAAGCTCTTCAAAGCCGTCTTCTTCATCTCGCCCAATCCCCACCCTCCGTCGTGCAGGAACAGTTCCTGTCGCCTCTTTCGATACCAGCCATGTTGAGCCCATTGTTCCTCGATCCGTCAAGAAGAAGGGTACCTTGTTCGACTCTGGGTACAGCAGTCCAGCAAGTAGCCCGCCTATCGTTTCTTCTGGCGACTTTCTACGTCCTAGCTCTCGCCAGCCAAAGATCATCACCCCGACTGGTCCCACCATCAACACTAGTAGCAGCCACCGTCGTGCACAAAGCACGTCCCCGCTACATCGCGACCCAGTCACCATTCAACCAAATACAAACACAAGAGGCATACCGTCTGATATGTTCCAAGAACTAAAACCGAGCCACTACCAAGTCTTCCCACCGGGTCAAGTGCGGTATTCGCCTCGCATTGGAACAGACGACATTGCATTTGGCGGGTCAGCAAAGAGACCTTCCGTTTTCAGGAAGGCTTCTGTCGTTTCTTGATATTTATCAAACACCATCTCTCTCCTCTCTCATTTCCTCTCTCCTCATTTCTACCTATTTGATAATACCTCTTTTTTCTGTCCTGAAGTTTCTTGGTTTGGTGTCTTGTTGCTGCTTCTGCGTTGCCGACATGACCCTCTCTTACTCATATATCTTGCACCCTGTTGCTGGAGACAACAACAACGGTAGCAACCAATATCCAGATACCGTGTCATGTCTTCCTCGAAGTCATAACATCTGCTATACACGACTTTTAACTATTCATGACTAATGACTTTTTATCATCTCTTCACCTTTTTTTTTTTGCACTATTTCTGATGTTTACGATTTCATCTCCCCCTATATTATACATATATCAGTACACTACCAATTTTTGCAACGCCCTTTCGTCACTTTTCACCCCTGTTTGTCTCTGTTCATTCTTGGTTTGGGTTGCGGGATTCATCATATCATTTATCATGTTCATTGGATGTGAACGGTCGGTGGGGAGGGGCGAATATTTACTGGATTCCGAGTCACTGTCCTTGTTTTGTCTGTCGAGTGGAGCTCGTACCGGAATGGAAGGGAAGGAGTCAATACATATCATATCAATATTATAGCTAGCTATTTTCTCTCTAGTTCTAGCTATCTATCAAGTTGTTTCTAGGGATTGAACGTTTTGTCTTTTATCTTTTTGTCGTTTATCTTACAATCTAGATCGGCTATTTAGTTGTTTATCGACTTCTTAGAGTGAATTGATCTCCTATGATGTAGTTACCCCGTTTTCCTCCATATAGAATGACCAAAGATTCATACATATACATTAGGAATATAAATTCATATGCTATCGAACTAGCTGCTGCTTACCACTTTGCTTCACCGAGGTACCGACAGAAGATAGGGCTGGCTTCATATGCAGCTGCTTATGATTCAGTATATGATCAAATGCAAGGTCATGCGCGAGTCAGGAGTGACCAACGATACTTACTCGCTCGGTCTTTGCTCGCACATTCGGAATAATAAGTCGTATACATCCATACAATAATCCCGTTATTCACCGATATACACGGCGTCCTCCGCTATATATTATAACTTAATTAAATGAAGGCTATACCGCCCCCTCACATCCCTGTGTTGCGTAATCCACGGCACAAAATGAGGGTTGCACGAGATGATGTCTGACATGACTTGCAGCATAGCACGAGGCGGAGTGCCCTTGGGGGCTGGGTTGGTACTTTTGGAGCGGTTCAATCTCAACTTCGTGAGAGGGGAACGCATGCAGGATGGAAGGAAGCTGGATCAGTCCTGATGGTGTTTGGATTTCCAAGGTCTGGTGGCACAACTGTACAACTCGTAGCTACTGAGGTTTAAAGATGAAAGTGGGCTGGGAAATCTCATTCCAACTATTGAGGGCTTTGTTGTCGCCGGGATCGAGATATGGGATGTAAGGCAGAAGTAGAGGTATGTTAATTTGCGTCTATTAAAGGTAGGTTTTATTCACTGCCCTAGCATATATTTTTCAGTCTTCCTCGCATTCGTGAAAGGTATATCTTTTGTTCTCAATTCATTAATGTCATGATTGATGCGAGTATAAACATGTTTTTGCTGTATGCAAAATTGAGGTGGAGTAAGGGGATAGAGAAATTATGAGCCAGTGTCAGGTACAAGAAAGGTGTATATCTATGGCTCAGTCCAGTCCACCTGCTCCACGGCGGGATTTCCCCCATTTTTAGAATAGCTAACCCTTAGACGTAGTCGAAGTTTTGGAGGAAGGGACTAATAGAAGATTATGTTAGTGAGCTTGCACAAGTTACGGTAGATAATAAAGTTGTTATTAACTTACGCCAGATGCAGCCGCGATCCTCATTGCTTGTGTACCCTCTTCACCACCATCAAGGTCGGCTTTGTTAATGGCATTCAGCTGAAGTTTCTGAGTTTTAGGCACGGCGGCTTGCAGGCCAACTCCCGAGAAGCTATCTAGAGCAGATATGTTGCGGAACTTGGCGAGTATCTGACACATACCAGCGCTACTTCTTTGGATTTGAAGAGTCACTTGGAGATCATTCTTGTTAAATACCTCATGAGCGGTGGGTGACGGAGAGGTGGCAGGCGCCGGTTGGGTTGTATTTCCTATGAGGCCTGCAGAAGTCTGCGGCTGAGAAGATCCATTGGAACCAAAAAGGTCCATAATGACATCGACATTTGAGGATTTGGCAGACGTGGGCTGCGGTGATCGCGTGGCTGGGGCAGGCTCTGAGCTACCACCGCCGCCAAGAATATCTGCAAGGAGGTCTGCAGTATTTTGGCTACCATTAGATTTGCCAGGTGTGCTTGCGGCAGGTGCATCAGAGCCGCCGCCCATGAGATCGAGGAGCATATCTTGTTCGGTAGGTTTGGATGGTTTCTTTGACTTGTCTTTCAACAATCTGCTCTGTCGTTTATTCGTGACTTCACCAAGAACTCGTTGCTCCTCTCGTATTTCTGGCGGAGGCATCCTCTCGAGTACTCCTTGGCGTATTTGGTCATATCCAAACAAGTTGCTATACTCCACAGCGCGCTGCTGAATTTCTTCGCTCAGGTCGGCAGTTTTAGTCTTCAGGAACTTGCGGATTCGTTCAATCTGGGCTGGGTCTGATATTCTTGTGGAAAGTTTCATGGAGGCCGTGGTAATGTACTCGGTCACAATTGGGGTCGCGTAGGTGCTGTTTAGAATGTTCATGAAAAGATCGATGATGTCGCTGTCCCTCACCTCTTTCACCAGTTCTTCTTCCTCATACTGGCCTCCACGGAGCAGCGCATCTCCGAATTCACCAATAACCCAGGATGCAGCCACGGTAAGGCCTTCTTGAGAGATATCTTCTTTCAGTGCCGCATAGAGTTTTTGTACAGAGTAAGTCTGTAGATCGGGGGTTGTAGCAATGAGACGAACAAATGAAGATATGATTTGTTCTTTCACGTAGTTTCCGGCCAGCTTCAATACACGGAGCATGGTATCCACATGCCATCTTGGATTCGGAGCAAATTTGCGTGCAGCAATTCCAATTTGGGTCGTCATAGCAGGCTTGAACTCGTTGTCAGCGACTTCCAGGAATGCCAGGAGTTCACGAACAAGCACCCTGACGTTCCCTTCGTTGACTAATGTGAAACTAAGGTCTAGAGCTCTCCGACGTATGCTGATATCGGGGTCCCTCAAACATTCAAGAATCGTATTTCTGTGTCTCTGAACAGCATTCGGCTCTACAGCAACCACCTTAACGAGGGTGTTAAGAGCGACGTATCGGATGTTGTTATCTTTGTTTGACAAAAACTTTCCTAGGATGTTAACGCCGAGCACGCGGAGGCCTGAATCCGCTTCAATATCTAAAATAGTCAGGACAGCCTCATATAGAATGGAGTTGCCGACGTTTTTGCTAGACTCGGTGTTTGTAGCGACTTGTGCGAGGATATCGTTTATTAATTCGCTGGTGGCAGCATCTCCCCTACCGAGTACCCTCAAGAACCGAAGAATCTTCACTTGTAAGAATGGATCCGTTATACCGGACACGTCGTGCTCGGGAGCATAGCCAGAGGAAGTTAAGCCCTTCAGAGTCCGCACCAATCCGGCTGCCATTGGGCGGAACTTTTCCACGACTTCTCCAGTCCCCTCATTCTCGTCGTATTCACAAAACTCGATCGCAAGTGTTAACCCGCTTAGCAAAACGCCGTGGTTGCGGTCCACCAAAAGATTCTTGGCCTTGTCGACGAAATGTTCCTGTAAATCTGGTACTTTTCGACAGATTCGCATGGCGCATAGCGCCGCCTTTCGACGAATATACGGATTTGCCGTAGACACGAGCGATTCGATTTCAGGGAAGAGATCTCGGGACATTTCGACAGAGGCAATATTTCCAAGCGTACAAAGGGCAAGGCCAACGACATATTGGTTCGAGTGGTTAAGGTCACTGCAAACGGATTAGTTAACGGGGTGGTTCAACTCAATGTCATATAAGTATATCACTTACTTCTTTAAGGAATTGGTAACTAATGTTAGAACTTCTTGGTTTTCATCCAGTAGCAACATAGTCCCTAGATATCCCAACCGTTTGTCGGCGAACCGTGGCGAGGCAAGCAATTTCAGACATTCTATCTGTCCGAAGTGTGTCCTCTCGCCCAATGTGAATAGATATAATAATTTGGCAACGTTGTTTCTCCTGTCCGTGTTGTCAGAACCCCTTCAATAGATGGTGTATCCGAAAAAAAACGTAGCTGCCTCATACCGGATGTGACAATCTGTGCTGTCTTCTCGAAAGCTTGCCCGGATAGCAGCACTCTCTTTCTGAATCACCGCGCGCTCATCAGCAATGGTCTTTGACGCGCGCACATTGCGGATGAATTGCTTGACTGTGAGCTTGATATCAGCGATTGCAAATAGAGGCAAGGGGGTTTGCGGGGCGATGTACGGGAGGTCATGGTGACGGCGAGGACCCCTAACGGGGGGCAAGCTGGGTCAGGGCGGGTCAAGGAAGATTAGGGGTTATTCAACATGGAACTGGACTCGCAACTGAGGCCGTCCGCTGCTCCTAATTGATGCTAGATGCTCTGTCCACGGCCTTCCTGTATGCTCGTTATCATCGTCTATGTGTCTCGAGTAGGCGTTGTGCTTACTCATCATATTCCGTCGGGCTTATGTTATTCCGTTTTGGTATACAGTCAGCATTAGTCATCATATACAGTCAGCAAGCGCCTAGCGTCAACGAGGCGCGGCAAGAAAGTTTCACGTTTCCTATACTGACATTTGTTTACAATCGAAGAAGAGAAGATGATGCAGTAGAGTGCCTGGATCTTGAGGTGTTGGTACTTGGATCTTGCGCCTCGTCACCTGTTCAATCAGACCTATTAATACCAATCAGCCAGACTAATCGCTTCTTCGCGAGCTATTTAAGCAAAGAAACACCTAAGTCTCAATTGTAAAGCAATTCTCTGTTAAATTTGATCCAATGCCACCACTTGGCAACCTTCCTTCTCTCGGCCTTCACTCTTGCAGAAATCGGATATATTCAAACCTTGTGGCGCAGAAACTTCCGGGATGCAAATTGACTTTATTGAAGTCAACCCTTTGTCGCAATACAAGCACAATGTCAACATCTGAGGAGTACGTTGGCCAGTCTGGTCGTAATTATAGGATTGAGCGGGTGCTTCAAGAAGAAACCTTCCCTCCACGCTGGGTTGGCCTTGCTATGTTGGTTGTGGCTGTTTTCCCCATTTTAGGTTAACTTACTCACTGCTTCCTTAGTACGGGTGACCAGAAGTACATATTGAAGTATATTCACCCAGTCAATTTTGAAGACCTCGAAGATGTAAACAATAAGCTCCGCGGTAGAGCCAACCACGTCCGTCTTTCCCAAGACACGATCCCCAAGAAATCGATGTTCGTTTTCGATTACCTAGCGGACCACCTCCTACATCTTGTCCAGAAGGACTTGCCTCTTGAGACCACGAAAACGATCCTCAAAAAGGCTCTTCTTGGAATTGCAGAACTCCATGATCAGGATATTGTCCACACCGGTAGGTAACAACTTTCTTTATGATGAATTGATGGCTTATTCCTAGCAGATATAAAGGCCGACAATTTTTTTATCGACTGGAACGCTCAAGAAAATGGTATCCATGTTGAGAGAGTGCAGCTTGGTGATTTGGAAGCCGCAGCATACATGCCTCCTGGATCAGCTATGGTTGGAAAACAGGCAGGCAACCCAATGTGGAGAAGCCCCGAAGCCCATGCCAAAGGGCCTGTGACAAAGACATCTGATATTTTCTCCTTTGCTCTCGTGGTAAGTCCCTACAGCCACTAGTTTCTAGGTTCAAAGTGCTAATCCACTTATTATGTAGTGCATCTACGCGGTGCATAAACGCGTTATCTTTGCCGTGGGGGAAGAGGAGCTGGATGAAGGCGTGGACCCTTTGTCTATTGTGATTGAGCGCCAAATCTCGTACTTTGCTGATGAAGAGGGGATAACTGCGTTTTTGAAATATCTTGGTGACGATAATCCCTGGGTGCAGGTTTTCGAGATTATTCGAGATGGCTTTGACAAGGAACACCCTCGCAAACCATTTTCCATTTGGAAGGGCGTTGACGAAGATTTCAAGAGCCTTATTTGCTCCATGACGAATTTCGATCCGGCGAAGAGGATTACAGCTCGCGAGGCTTTGGCGCACAAGTGGTTCGAGGGCGTTGAATAGTCAGCATTTAGTCAGCACATACAGTCATCATTTAGTCAGCAAGCGTCTGACGTCAGCGGAACAAGGAAAGTTTAAAGAAGTTGCTACTTGTTATCACATCTAATCACGGAGTTTGGTATAAATCCTCCGTGTTGGATCTATATTATTAGACCCCCTTTGCGTCACAGATCCTGGCAATGGCTGTGCCTTGTTATGTTGCGTCCAGGAATTGATATATAATCTTTTAATTCATTGCCAGAATTGTTCCCGTACACTTGATGTGGTTGCGATAACTACTTTCATCCTCAGCAATGGCGCCGACTCCGTATGATCCAGAGGAGTCCGGCGTGCTTCGGCCCAGAGCGCTGCGCGCACTTGACCATCATGTCGACCGTCCGCACCTGGCCATGGATAGGACACCGTCCAGCATCTCAAGGTAAATCATCCGCCGTCCTCAATAGTCGCATCGCCACCATTCGAGGCCACCAGTTCTGACCTGATGTCCCCCAAAGCGGTCGTTCAACGCCTGTACCGGAAGACGCTCCTCCATCTGTCCACTCGATATCAATTGTCCGGAAGCAAGTGCGCGCTCAGGCGAAGCAGCGCATCTTTCACAATATCGATTACCAACCACGTCTCTCCCATTTTGATCCCAAGAGTGATCACCGTGATTTTCGTGGCTTTTTCATTTTATTTTGGATAAGCTTGGTGATTATGGTTATTACTACGGCATTGAGAAATATCAAAGACACTGGCTATCCACTTAGAGTCCATGTTTGGTCTCTCCTTTCGGCAAACGTGTTTCAACTTGCCTTTTGTGACCTAGGTATGGTCGCAAGTACTGTGGTGACGGTGCCACTTCACAGGGCAATTAGGAAGAGTAAAGGCTTCTTCAGGTGGGAAAAAGGAGGCATGGTGGTGCAGAGCATATATCAATTTGCTTGGCTTTCATTTTGGGTCATGTAAGTGTATTTCGCAAGTCCTGACATGACAGATGTGAATTACGCTGGAAGAGTAGCTAACTATGTTAGACTTCCATTCAAACTAGATTGGACGTGGACAGCCCAGGTCTTCTTGACTCTACACACTCTGACGTTCTTGATGAAAATGCACTCTTATGCCTTTTATAACGGGCATTTGAGCGAGACAGAGCGCCGACTATCGGCCTTGGATGAGCCAGAAGTCAAGCCCTTACCAGTTGCAGTCCATTACCCAAGATCTCCAATCGTGGCTAATGGAGCAAGTATGGCAAATACTGAGACAGACTCTACTGATACGGAAATTGACCCCAAACAGCAGGTTAACAAGTTGCGAGCTGATCTAGCAACAGAGCTTACCTCCCCGCTTGGCCAAGTTACATACCCTCAAAACCTCACTTATAGCAACTACCTCGAGTTTATGTTGTTCCCAACTCTCTGTTATGAGCTGGAATACCCTCGAACAACGAATACCCGCTGGATTGAGGTCCTGATTAAAGCTGCTGCAGTGTTTGGTTGCATTTTCCTACTAACACTAACAAGCGAAGAATTTATCGTGCCTGTGCTTAGCGATTCTGCATTGAGGCTTCGTGTTATCTCGTCACACTTTGAGAGAGGTTTAATCCTCGCCGAAACGATCAGCATGCTCCTGTTTCCGTTCATGGTAACATTCTTGCTTGTCTTCCTCGTAATTTTCGAATATATATTGGGTGCATTCGCCGAAATCACACGGTTTGCAGATAGACGATTCTATTCTGATTGGTGGAATTCCTGTGACTGGTAAGGAATGACCTTGAGCTCTTTGGGATACGTTTTTCGCCAATAACCGTGTTCTAGGCTGGAATTTTCGAGAAAATGGAATCTCCCCGTCCACCACTTCCTTCGACGCCACGTCTATTTCTCTTCCCTCACCCGCTTCTCTGTGCCAGGGGCAATGGCCATCACCTTTCTAGTCAGCTCTATTGCGCATGAACTGGTGATGGTTTGCATTACAAAGAAATGGCGAGGATACGGCTTTTTCGCGATGATGATGCAGCTGCCCATTGTAGCAGTCCAGAGGTCGAAGTTTGTTAAGGGGCGAAAGACTTTCAATGTAAGCTATGTATCGTCTTCAAGTGGAAATCTCCTATTCTGACATCATTTGCCCTAGAATGTTTGCTTCTGGCTTTCTATGATTATTGGATTATCTCTGGTAGGTTTATTATTCAATGACATACACGTTATTATCCCTCGGCAGCCGTCCGCTAACCAAGATGATTTATAGATCTGTGCACTCTATGTCCTTGTATAACAGTATTTTACTCTCATTTACATATACCCCTTACAGCTATACCATGAGATGCTTGGTCCTAAGCGGCTACGCTACATTGCTTATTTCCCGTTTAACTAATGTTTTGTATCTTTTTGGGATTTCTATACTACATATATTTCTATTTTATGCAACTAATCTCTATTTATGTACCCTGGCAGCGATGGCGAAATAGATTGATGTTAGGACACCGTGCTTTCCGCTAGCAAGCCCTGACTCGCCTGAACTAGTCATCTATTTTGTAGGTCACCGGGGATGTCAGGATTGCCTCAGATCATCAACAATTAACATATATTAGAAGTATATGGGGGGTTAGTCTTTCGTGTATCTCAATAATCAAGCAGCAACCCTCACCATCTTACCAATATATCATTGGTCAGGCGGATCATGAGTATTACATACCCTCACTACCCTAGGAGTGCCCTTTAGCTACAATATCAATGGTTTTTGTAAAATTTATTGACTGTTAGTCATATATTGGAAGAAATACGAGGTAGGAAACTGGGTAAGCTGCTCTAATGCTATGATGCCGTGATGCAACAAGTACAAAACCGAATGCCACATATCACTGGACCTACGCCAAACACACGACGAAGAAAAGATGAGAAATATAGGTGAAATATATAAGAAACCCGAGATACCGAGATAATGATAGTTAACAAGTTAAGGAAAACTAACCGTTGGCCAGCGCTAACATCCTTCGCATATTCCAAAGACGCTGGCGCCGTAACGCCCATGGATGAACCTATCAAAGAGAACGCAGTAAGGTATATAATCAAATTGGCTGGCCGCCAAATATGAAGGCTGAGGATTATATATGTTCCATTGGCTCCTCAGGAAGGAGTCGTTGGTGGTGGGATTCCTCATCGGGAGATGGTAGACAGGCCTTGAGTGGCGGCGTAATGATGTCGTTGAAGAGGAAGGTTCCATATACAAGCATGGCAAAACCAACGACCTGTAGCCATTTGAAGGTCTCCCAGCCGAGACCAAGGGACACAAGCCAGATGAAGAGTGTCCTAGAAGTATCGATGGTGCTGCGTGAGGTGGCAGAGAGGTTCCTCGTAACACTGAGACCAAAGAAATTGAAGCCGCTATAAAAAGAGTGTAGGTTAGCAACTTGATACTTCAACTCCGATATAAGGATTGATGCAACATACCCAATACTGATCATAATCAAAATACTCGTTACTGCAACGGCCTTGTTTTCGGACATGCTTCTCCATCCCTCCACTGCGTCAAAGTATCCGAACTTGCCACTTTCCGAAATGCCAATAGTGAAATGTAAAACCACCATGGCTATGGCAGTGACCAGGAATCCAAATATTCCCTCCCAGCCAACAACCTTCAATGGGTCCATGGCGTAGTTCTCGAGAATCCATTCCTCCAACACAAACTGAGATGCAGTAAATATTTGGGCGAAAGCAATCAAGAAAACACCTAAAACGACTCGTAAAGGATCGATATGCTTCTCAGTGGTAGAATAATAGTCATGGGCGCGTCTAAATAACGCCGTGACTGTGTCGACGTCACCAGGAGTAACGTTCACCGGCTTGTGTTGATCGGGGAAGATGGCGCCCGCAAGGCCAACAAGGGCAACCCCGAGAACGACGCAGACTAGAGCAGACCACTGATAGAAATATAGCTTCCTTCGGAGGAAGATGACACTGAACAGACCAACGAAGAGAACAAGGGCACCTCGAGTCATCTGATAAATACTCGCCACAACGAACAGCAAGCCGATGTTCATCAACGTGGTACCAGTGATATCACAGCAAGCTGGGAGGGCGAGAAGCAATATATTCTTCCCACTCAGTTGTGTTCTCACATCTTCTTCGGGTTTACGTCTGTCGCCGCCTTCGTCGTCTGCCTCGTAATCGGCGTCGGTTTCAGAGTTACTAATGGACTGGTATCCATCGGCAAATAGAGGCGTGGATGTAAATCGGGGTATGATGAAGCTGTTCCAGATGTCCATGGCGAACAGGACGAGCCAACAGCCCATTTCACCCACAAACATCTGTAGTCTATTTTCGGATTCATGTTGAGTTAGCTATGTATGAGAGACGTCGAACGGAGATCTGTAAGAAATGGACATACGTCTGGAGAACGGGCTGCTCAAACGTCACTCGCTTCTGGGGGTCTGGGGAGTCACAATTCCTCACGCATTGCATGTCCTATCGGTACTATCAGCATACACTGCACTGTTTAGCGGTGCTAGACCGTGAAATAGACAAACCTGATACTTGGTGAGGAGGGTATTGCACACCCCCGTCACCAACATCATGGTGACGAGGAAGGGGACAAGGGCCTTGGGCGCCATGGCGGCTAGCTGTCCTTTGCAGTGTAGGTAAAGATAGTTCTTCTCCTGGCTGATGCAGCCAAAGGGAGAGCGTGAAGAAATAAGGAGGTGTTCCTGTGTATGCTACTGCTGCATGGAGGGCGGTGTTGGAGAAGAGGATGCTGGAGAGTCGATGAGCCTCGATCTGGGGCACGCGATGCTGCAGAGTGACAAAGTGACGTTCAGCTGCAAGGAGATGGTCATGTGATGAGCGATAAGGTGGGTCAGCTGACCTCAATAGTGGATACGCCAAGAGAGTCTAAACTCACGTCATCATAAGTCACGTGTATGTAATTACATAAGCCATATGGAACAGATAGAAGATGAAGGGGAAGATGAAGGGGAAGAGGAGGAAGAGGAAGAGATATTGAATCAACGCCATCAATTGCATGCCCAGGAATTAATATACAAAGCATAAATAGAACCTCCAAAAAATTCCAAGCTATAGACAATAGTTTCTGCCGGGATAGTACATGGTGCATAGTTAATATAACAAAGTAGGCCGGCCAGTTAACGGTAACCTATCAGTACTGTGACGGTGGATAGTCCCTCGAGAGAATATTCGATCAACTTGATAAAGAGAGCCGAATAATTAAAGGCAAGTGGAATAACAAGAGCAAAACGCATGGCAGAATTAAAAATAAAGTCAAAATCAATCAGAAACAGGTATTAGCTGTGATAAAAACTCTGGAGGTATCATATCCAACGCCCGTCTCCAGAAACGCCTTGCTGGGACGAAAATAAATAGAATAAATTAGGGGGTTTGAGGGGCGGGAAAGAGCAAAAAAATAACCAAAGCGGAACACCACAGCGTGGAATAATAAAGATCAAAAAAATAAAAAAAAAATAAGTAGCAGGAACTTAATAGGAAAACGAAATAATGAAATAAATCCATCCCGACCATCGAATATTCCCGTTTTTACCGCCTTCCATTCCAACATATTAACCCTGGGTATTATTTCGACAATCCAATTAACCAGTTCATCTTTTTACTTTTTGCGCGGTGATCAACACCCTAGAAAAGAAAAAAAGAGAAAGAAAAAGATGGGGAAAGAGAAAGACCCCCTGTCCGAGCAAACCAAATGAAATCACCCTTTTTCCTTTTTCCTTTGCTCCGCTCACTGCACGGTAAATTCCGTTGTCGTCTTCATCTTCATGTTTCAAACCTCTCAGATAGAGTAAATTGGTTTCTCGGCTCTGAGCTGCGGGTCGCTATTGACATTCACGTTGAGGCTGACTTCCATCGCATCCCAGTTCATATCCTGCCATTGAGTAGAAAACAGCTCACCCATGTCTCCAGGTAGATTCATCCATTCAGAAGGTATCCAGTTATCTCCGTCGTCCGCCATCTCGTCATCCTTGCACAGGTCGCTGTCTTGTGGGGTTTGCATGGTAGCAGACCATGCAGATGCCGGAGTATCGTCTGGCGGTTGCTGGCGGAGGTGCATGAATGCTTCATTAGCAATAACTTCATCGACAGGGTCAATGCCTAGGCCGAGGGAGGTTTCATCGCCTATATCACTGCCTATACCATTGAAGGCGTGACGGATCATTTCCTGGCTTATCGGACTTTCTGACCAGAGGTTTTTGATTGAACCAGGCACATCGGGTGTGGTAGTTGATGCTGCGGCTTCCTTCTGGTTATCCTTGACGGTGCCAGTGGAAGGTTTAAGGATGGCTGATTTGCTTTGTTGCGATGGAGAGGTTTTCATTGCTACCGCGCTTGGGCCATTGCCTGCACCTGCGCCCGTGGTGGGTGGCATGGTTTTCCCATCGGGTCCGGTAGATTGGCTGTTCTCCTTATCAAGGCCAAGGCCAGTCCTGTAGCTGTCTACCAGGTACTCCAGAGGGTTAGCGATAGGTTCATCAGCCCTGTGCACATCTTGTATATGTTCATCCAAGGCAGCCTGCGTCGTAAAGCCTCTGATACGATGTAGACAGTCGTTTACGCTACATTTGAACAATTGAGTTGGAGGAGCAGCTTTCTTGGCTGTAGTTGCCGCCGCTGCGGCAGGTGGAGTGGACTTGAGCTGCTGGCTCTTGGTGGCGGGGGACTGCTTATTGCTCTTGACTGGTGACTCGTTGGGAGACTGTTTTATCTTCGGCCTCTTGTGCTCGGGGATGACGAGGCGGTCCTTGGCTAACTTGTGGGACCCGTAGATCGGGACGCCCTGTGGAGACGTGACGCCAAATGGGAAAGGCGGTTGTAGGGCTGTGGGGGCTGGCGGGGCAGAATTTTGAGATTGAGCTCGTCTGGCGCGTTCTTGTTGTTCATGTTGTTGTAGATTCATTGCGCTTAAGGGCACGCTGGTTTGGGCTGGTGTTCGTGGACTTGCCGTAACTCTTGGTGCAGCGGCAGATTGTTGCGCTTGTAATGCCTGAGCCTGAACCTGAGCCTGATGAGCCTGCGCTTGAGCTTGGGCTTGGGCGTGGGCATGCTGTTGTGCCTGTTGTTGTTGTTGTTGTTGCTGCTGCTGCTGCTGCTGTTGTTGCTGTTGTTGTTGCTGTGCCTGCTGCGATTGTTGCACTTGTTGTGCCTGTTGCGCCTGCTGCTGCTGCTGCTGCTGGATATTCTGTTGGTTTTGCGCAGCCTGACGGCGAGATATCATCGTCGAGAAACAACGTCGAATAAACATCACTGCAGATATGACATACTCCGGCTTACAAGTTAATTGATCCACCAGCCCCCAATCTGAGGTCCTGAACTGCTTAATCAATTTTATTCTCTATAACGAGAAGTTAGCAATCACAGTACCTTCCATAAAAAGTAAAAACATCGACGAGGAAAGAGAGTAGCGCTTGACTTACCATCTGCAACAATGCTCTCAGCGAGCGTTCCTCCGCTTTGAATTTGGCAAACCAATTAATCAACGAGTCCATGTTGGCTAACATATCAACCGCGCTCCTGAGATTCTGCGATGTCGTAGCATACTGCTCCGGTGACATGGACACGGGATTTACTTCCGTATCATTTTGCAATTCCTCGGCATAGATGCGCCTAACGGGTTCTGGAAGTCGTGACCAAGCTTCTTCGGCTGCGGCTCGAGTGCGTTGTTGGAATGTGCCACTTAGTAGCTGGCTGGACTGGCGGCGGTATGCTTCGTACTGTATCCTTTGCTGTGGTGTCATGGAGGCAATCTGGGCTGGGGTAGCTTGTTGGATAGTAGTAGGCATTGGGTTAGGGTTGGTGGTTGGTGGTTGAGAGAGTGCTGGGTCTGGTGCACCAGATTGGACTTCAGCATCCGACGGGCTAAACCGTTTGAGATTCTTTGGCGGAACGGGGACGGATGCGGGGACAGGCGTTGGTTTGGTGGGTGGAACAGCTCGTGGTTTTGCTGGTTGAGGTACTGGCATAGGTTTGACCATTGATTGGACGGGGGTTGGTTGAGACACGCCGGGTTGCATTGGGCTGGAGGAGATGGGTAGTTGCATATTCTGCTGCTGTTGCTGCTGCGAGGTTGCCGGATACTCGACGCCAACTCCAAGACCAACGCCATGCATAGGGCCTCCCTGCTGTTGCTGTGGCGGCTGCGGAGGCACGAATCCCTGTGCCATTAACTGGGCTTGCGCTTGTGATTGAGCTTTGGCGGCCATAGCTTGTTGTTGTGCTTGAGCATGGGCTTGGGCCTGTATAGCACGTTGCTTGATTATCTGTTTCTGTCGATTCTGCTCAAGTAGCTTCCTCAACCCATCATCATTTAGTTTCTGAATCTGCGGGCCTAGGACTTGGCGCGCTTGTTGTAAATGAGCTTGCGTGATTTGTGAGGGGATGCCCATTTGCTGTTGTCCTGGTTGCCCTAGTTGCTGTCCCATTTGGCCTGGTTGCTGGCCTGGCTGCATAGTTCGCTGTTGTGGCTGGAAAGGCTGCGAGTTAAACGGCGCCCCTGGCTGCTGAGCATTAACATTCGGTTGCTGCTGCTGCTGCGGTTGCTGCTGCTGTTGTGGCTGCCCGGGTTGCTGGAAAGGCTGTTGATGCTGTTGGGTCAAGAAACCTCGTGGATGTCCCTGTGAAGCTGCCTGTATTTGAGCCTGCGCTTGAATTGCTTGTGCCTGCCTATTTGCCATCTCCTTCTGTATGCCATTGAAATGGTAGCGCTGGAGTAATATCAGTTTCTGCATTGTGAGTTCACCCATTGCCTGGGGGTTCTGACTAGCCCATTGTTTAAGCTGGCCCCATGATTTAACTACTTCAGGTACAGGCGGTGGGGTGGGCATTCCCGACATGTTAGGAGCGAAAATGTTGGGTGGGAATGCGATGCGGTCCATTTCACGGATTTGGTCGTCATTGAGTTCCCGAGGGGGTTGCTGCTGGGAGTATTGGAGACGGGCGAGGCCAGGCTGTGACTGAGGCTGTGATTGTTGTTGGAAAGGGGAAGGTTTAGGATGTGGGATGGGTTGAGGTTGCTGCATGCCTGGCTGCAGTTGTTGTTGTTGCTGTGATGATTGAGGATGCATGGGTACTCCACCCATGCCCATCATATGCCGCTGCATGGCTATAGAATTGCGCATTTTTGGATCGGCGCCGAATTGCAGATTTTGGTGCTGGCTTTGCGATGCCTGATTTGGATCAACGGGCTGTGGTTGCGGCGCTTGGCCTGATTGAGGAACCTGATTCTGGCCTGGTGCTCCGGCCTGATTTCGGTTAGCAGCCATAGCCTGCTGTCGATTCCGGAGTTGTTTCGAGTAATTCTCCAAGACAGAAGCGACCTGATCCGGCTGCAGTGTAGCCAGATGATTCTGGATAGCCGCTGGGATGCCAGGGGGTATCTGAGGGCGGGCGCCACTAGCCTGAGGTTGTTGTGGCGGCTGACCGTTTGGATGTCCGGCCATGGACATGGTGGGCGTTGTACCCTGCGCTGATAGTTGCTGTGCCATTTGGGTTGGCGGGTTCCCCTGCGAAGACAATGCTATTTGATTCTGAGCATTCTGGTGGGCAGCGAGGCGGGCCTGTTCCGCCTGTAGTTGAAGGTGAGGCCCTTTGTTCTGTTGGTTCTGCTGCTGCTGCTGATGAGCGAGAAGAACCTGATTGAGTGCAGGTCTGCTCCCCGGCGGTTGACCTGGCTGCTGCTGGCTCTGAAAATGCTGACCTTGAGCACCGAACTGCGGGTTCATCATAGCCGGGTTGGCTGGAGTACCTGTGGCAGGCACAACGAGCTGACCTGCCTCCTGAGATCGGAGGCCGTCTTCCTGCTGGACTTGTATCTGGGTAAGGTTGCCTGAGAGGGATAGATCCGGCTGGCTGATGGGGATACCATGCTGCATCCCCACCATAGATTGGTTCCCCATCTGTCTCGCCTGCGACTGATCCATCATGCCAGGCGTCTGATTCTGGTCCATGCCGCCCGGCTGCGCTGGCCCACTCATTCCCATGCTCATGCCCATTCTGGCCATGTTTTGTCTTTTAAACTGGTAGGCCTGGGATCGAAAGAAGTAGGTGAGTGGAGTCATACCCTTCTGGGCAAGACTGTTTCTCTGCTCTTGCGTCATGTTCCGCAAGTTCACACTGATCTTTTCAAGGTTCTCGACCGAGGTGTCGCGGTATAGCCGGTCACCAAGGGCGATTATCTCCTCTTGCTCACTGCGAGGCAACGTGTTGAAGTCTGGGATGACCCCGCCCGCCTGAGGTGGCTGTGGTGGCTGCCGTAGAGAAAGCTGATGCTGTTGCTGTTGCTGGATGAAGGGCGAATGCTGCTGCTGTGATTGCATCGGACCCTGTTGCGGAATATTCATGCGGCCATTTTGTACTTGTGGCGGAAGAGGCGAGCCTTGCATGGGCTGTTGCTGATGTTGCTGTGACTGTTGATGCTGCTGGTGCTGGTGCTGTTGTTGTTGCTGTTGCTGTTGCCGTTGTTGTTGTTGTTGCTGTTGCTGCTGCTGCTGCTGCTGCTGCTGTTGTTGCTGGCGCTGCATGGCTTGGTACATGTTCATCTGCGCCTGAGTATTCATCGGCATACCGCCGTTCTGCTGGTTGGCATGCTGCATCATCCCGTTCTGCATCATCATAGCCTGCTGCTGTCGCGAGTCGCGGATTTTGGCGTTCTTCTCGTTTACCACTCGTTCATAGTCGGCCTATCGCGGGTTAGCTAGCCCAGCGAGTGACGGGATCAAGCGAGATACGGTACCTTCTCGTTGGATTCTCTGAACGTCTGTTCCTCGAATCTGAGAGCGGCCGAGATGGTGGTCTTGACCTCGCAGTGCGGTTTGGCGAGGCGGAGGGCGGATATGCTGTTCAAGTGGCAGATGTTGGTTAACTCGTCATTCACAGCGCGCGGAACCATGGTACACCGCACCGCCAACAACAACCGTCATCTGAACGTCATAAAGCCAGACAAGGGAGTATAGGGTAAAAAGTATAGGGTAAAAGGCAAGAGAGAGAGCAGAGCGAGTCGACAACGTACATGGCCATAGTTCTGAGCGCGCGCTCTCGCACCGAGACGCCCTCTCGCCAGCCGGTAAACGTACCCTGAGCCTGCAGCGCCTGCACCACAAGCTTCCAGATAGGCTGGCCATCGGGCTTCTGCGGACCGGTGGGCGGCTTCGCGCCGGCAGCGGGCGAGGACATCTGGTGGAAGTTGTTCATGGTGTGACGGGCAGGAGGAGGAGGAGGCGGTGGAGGAGGAGGAAGGGGAGGAGACGGTGGTGAGACCGGGCGATGCGAGCGGTTTCCAGCTGCATGGACGAGGGGAGGAGGTCGTGGCCGATAGATCTTGTCTGTCGAGGGATAAAGAGAATGGCACAATAAAAGGGACGAAGAAAGGCGAAAGGGCGATCTCAAGGCTCGAGATCAAGAGGGTGAAACGGGGCTGCTGGCTGGGCGTTTTGAGGCGTCTCCGTCAGCGGTCAGGCGTCATCCGCCAGGCAGCGTACAGAACGGAGTACGGACGCTGTAGAGGAAGATGGAGAGGAGGACGGCCTTGGAGAGACGGAGAGACGAGAAGGCGAGGAGGGAAGAGAAGGCGAGGAGAGAAGACGAGGAGAGAAGACGAGGAGAGTAGAGTAGAAGAGAGGAGGACGTTGAAAGTGAAGATGCAGCCCGACGAGCTAGTCGGTGGAGCGAAGATCACTATCTCTTCTTCTATGTCTTCTTCTCTTCTTCTCTTCTATGCCTGTCTCTATCTCTATGTCCTCTCTATGTCTTCGTCTCTGGATGTCTCTTCTCTCTATCTTACGGATCTTCTGTCTATGGTCATCGTACATCTACTCGTATCTGCGTGATCGCTACAGGGGCATCGTGGATCCGACAAGGCTCCCTGCATCTGCAACTCTGCAACATGCCACTCTCTGCTCTCTCTGTCTACCTATACTTCTATACGGAGTAACTTCTATACTTCTATACCTATACTACTATACCTATACTACTATAATATAATATCTATAATATAATGATCTTACTTACTTCCTATTAGAGACATCACGTGACTGATATAAGGCTTCAGCTTTCTTCCCGTTTAGGAAATATTTAACAAAACATCTACTACTACTACTTACTACTACTACTACTTCTATCTACTACTACTTACTATACTATTACTTCTATCTACACTACACTTATCTACCTACTAGTAGATGGGATGGAGGGAACGCCGGCCGGCTCGAGCGTGTTCCTCGCCTTCGCCCTGCTCGCCATCTGCTCCCTCGTCCTCGCCCTGCTACGCCGCTACCTGCCCCTACGCTCGACTCCGGCCTTCGTCCTGCTGCCCGTCTTCCTCGCCCTCGCCCTGCCCGCCAGCATCGTCCTGCTCGTGCCCATAGACCTCGCCTCCAGCCCGCCCGAGGGCCACCGGCCGGCCGGGATATGGCTCTCCTCCCGCTTCATGCTCGTCTTCTGGCGCATCGCATACTGGCTCACCTTTGTCCTCACCTGGTACGTCTTCTCTTCCCTGCTTAATATAGATAGATACTGACAGAGGTAGGGCGGTACTGCCGTTTCTGGGCGAGTATCTCGACTCGGGCCATAGATCACCGCGCGAACGCATGCTGTATTCCCTCCGCTCGAATGCCCGGTACCAGCTCACTCTGCTGGCATGCGCCTTGCTGTGATTGATATACCTCGCCCTCACGCAGGAACTGCGCTATACCTCGCTGCGTGGGCTCGTCATGGCCCTCGCCTATGCATGGGGTCTGGTGCTGGCAATATACCTACTCGGTCACGGACTGGTAGCGCTGCCTCGCAAGATGTGGCGTGGTGCGTGGACGGGCGAGAGGCTGCGGAGGCTGCAGCGGCGGGCAGTACGGGTACACGACACCCTGGTTGAAGCTGGCGGGAAGGTCGAGGAGCTCAGGTGTCTGGTTGGGCTGCTGAGGCGGAAAAGGGGGTTGAGCTTGGAGATGCAGGAGTGGGTTGACGAACTGGTGGAGGCTGCCGGGCAGGACAGGACGGCCACCGCTGCCGTGCAGACGCTGCAGAGCGGAGGGAGGGCCACGGTGCCGCATGTCATCACGGAACGGTACATGGCCGGCCTGACGAGGGACCTCTACCGCGCTCGACATAAATATGTCAGGTATACGGATACCTGGTCCCGGCTGGTGCGTGAAGCACACGACTGCCAGAAGATACTGGACTCAGCTACCTCGAGACACCTCGTCTTTGACTCTCCTTCGTCCTCGCCCTCACGAGCCCTTTTGACGCCTCACCTACGCTACATACTATACACCCGCATCATACCAGCCGTGCGCATCTTCCTCGCCGCCGTCTTTGCCTGTCTGTCCGTCTCCATCCTCTGGTCTGAGCTGGTCCGCACGTTTTTCCCTTTTCTCTCCATCATTGCCCTTACCACACCCTCGGCTACATCCATTGGCTTCCCTTCCCAGCTCCTTACTTCCCTTTGGCTACTATATCTCTGCACCGCGGCGGGGACAGGCATCTCCGACGCTCAGGTATGGGGGAACCGCACCCTCGTCACTCGCAACACATACCACGAGTCCGCGTGCTGGTACGCTGGCCAGATCGCCCGTCTCACCGTTCCGTTGGCATACAACTTCCTCACCCTCTTACCCCGCGACTTACAGCGACGAACCACCTTCTTTGACTTTTTGGGCAAGGGCATCAACCTCACGCTGATAGGGGAAGGGTTCGACCTCTTTTTCCCACTAGTCATTCTCCTGCCTGTTGCGGCGACGGCGTTTAATCTCTACGGCAAGGTAAAGGGGTTGGTGGGACTAGGTGATATGGAGATTGACGATGAAGGAGACGACAACCCTAGTGGCTATGGCACCGGAGGATGGAGGGAGGGACGCACCCTTATTGAAGCCGAGCTGAACGGACCCGGGTATCTAGGTTTATCCGATACAAGAACAGGCAGAAACAGGACCAGTACTGCTCGCGCTGCCCAGCATACGGCGCCAGACGCCCTGCCACGCTACAGAGATACACCGGCGGAGTCCAGAGCCGGTACTGCACAACGACATGTACCGGCCGACGGAGAAGAGGGAGAAGATGACGAGGAGGAAGGGTTCTTCCAGTCATTTGCTCACAGGGTACGAAACACCTTCGACACCGCAGGCACACCCAAGTGGCTGCAGGAGGTCGACGCAGGCTTCAAGCGGCCGCGCTGGATGGGCGGAACAGATGACGACGGCCCTTCGACCACTCCTCCATCTGATTCAAATCCGTCTGCCGGTTTTGCGAGATGGTTCGGTGGCGGTTCAGGTGGAGTGCGGCTCTAACATACTTCTCTGCCCTGTTTTCTTTCTTTCTCCCAGGGAATGTACAAAGTGTTTGACTCTTTGTACGGCGTAATACGACATTGCATTGCAGGTGTTTGGGACTTGTTTGTTATCGGCTGACCCGCGCTTTAGAATAATAGAATGGCGGTTGATTTGTGACCGCGGTCTTTTTTAATTGAAGGAAGAGCCGCAAGCGAATAAATCTACAACTTATGGTCTGGGCATGCATGGAATACGTGTCTCGTCTCTACTGACCGCTGCAACTAAATAATCGCTGTAATTGAATTCCTTTCTCTTAAGCCGCTGTCCTTCTAATTGGCAGGGGGAAGACCCTCTTCCCTTCGCCGTCGCTTTTCATCCTATCTCATCACTTGCATGCATCGCTCGTACATAAACTAGCGTCTGACCCGCGGCATAAACATCCATGTTCCCTTTTTCTTCTTCTTCCTCCCTCTTGCTTCTCGCCAGCCGAGCCTCTGCTGTGTTTTAAGTAGCAGGGCGAGGGCTCCTTGTTTTCTCTTCTTTTTTTTCCTCACCGTCCTTTTCCCATTTCAGCGACATGGCTACCCGCCGAGAACATCGCCGGCGCAGCAGCATCTGGAACCGCGATAACATGCCCGGCCATCGTTTCCCGGACAAGGAGTACACTTACTCTGATCCCTACAGTCAGAGCAGCCACTACAGCACCCCGCGCACGCATACCATTAGCCAGGCCGAAGCTCGCTCGCGCGCCCAAGCCCTCGCCTCTCCTTCGCGCGAGGACGGCGAGCTGCCGGATATTATCATCTTCAAGAACCTCAACGAGACATGGAGCTTCGAGTATCCTGCTTTCTGTATCGATGATGGCAGGCTACATGTGAGTGACATTCGACGGCTGGCGGGCGAGACGCTACGTATCGCCAACACAGCCAGGATAAAACTGATGTATAAGGGCCGTCTGCTGGACGAGGACGATGCGAGTGCGAAGGAGGAAGGGTTAAAGCAGTTCTCTGAGGTCGTAGGGGTCGTTGTATCGGGATATGCTGGAGGTGCCTTTGGTGGTGTAGCTGGTGGTAGCGCCAGTAGCAGGATGGACGGTTTCTCCACGAGTAACAACGTTGGAGGATGGAGGGAGACGCAGTTGATACCGGTGTCTGACAGCGAGGAAGACGAAGAACCTGAACCTGAACCAGTGCCAGCGCCAGCGCCGTTACAGAGACCGCCAATTCGACGTGGGCGCTCTCCTCCAAAGCCTAGTCGTCAGGAACGGAGAAAGTCCGTTCGTCGTGAACGGCGACCAAGGGATCCGTCCCCTGTTTCTCCGGATAGATCACCGCCTCTATCAAGAGAAGCAACATCTCCAAGAGGTGAATATCCGCCTACAAGGAGTGATTATCCATCTCCGGGGACCCAAAGACCGTCTCAGTATACATCAAGGACTCAGCATCCCTCTCCAGGGACCCAGTATCCTTCTCCAGGGACTCAATATCCATCTCCAGGTACACAGTATCCTTCTCCTGGAGCACAGTATCCATCTCCAGGGACTCAATATCCATCTCCAGGGACTCAATACCCTTCTCCAGGAGCACAGTATCCCCCTTCAGGAGCACAGTATACATCTCCAGGGACTCAGAATCCTTCTCCAGGGACCCAGTATCCCTCATCAGGGCCTCAATATCCATTCCCAAGGCCTGACTACCCACCACCAAGGACAGAATACCCATCACCAACATCTTCATCATTCGATCCTCTCCCAAATATCTCTCGCGAGCCACGGCCATACGCTACATCCCGCCCTTCCCCTTCCGTCAGCAGCAATGTCAGCACCGTCAGTGAATCCACAACCACCTCTGCATCGACATCTGCGTCTGCATCCACTTCCACAACCGCACCCACGCCCGCATCTAGACCTAACACGAGCTACTCTGTCCCTAACCGCCCACCTACCCCCTGCCCTCCTTTCCTCCCCTCCCACTCCCCCGCCCAGATGCTCGTTATCTTCGAAACTCATGTAAAAGAGAAACTCGTACCAATATGTGCACAATTTACCCTTAACCCGCCTCCTGATGCCCGGTCCCGGATCAAGGAACACAAGAGGCTAATCGAGGCGATGGAACGAGTTTTGGCGAGAGCGGATGAGATTCTTGTCGGTGACTCTAAACCGTTGAGAGATCGTAGGAAGAAGGCGGTACAGTTGATCCAACGATTTCAGGGGAAGGTTGATGCCGTTGTAGCGTTCGATGAATGAATGAATATAAAGTGAGGCAGGAGTTGAGGTTGTTTACAATGCATTGATTGATAGATAGATGGCACGGTACGGTATGGCATGAACATGAACATGGTACGAAGTTACGATTCAAACATTGACACGACTTGATTACTTTCCCTTTCCTCTTCTCTTCTTCTTCTCTTCTTCTTCTTTTTTACTCTTTTTTCTTCCTCTTCTCTTCGTCTTCGTCTTCCTCTTCTTCTTTTGTTTCGCCCTTCTACCTTCAATCTTCCATCTATTTTCTTCTCCTTTCACATTTCAACAGATGGTCATGTACTCACATTTACTTAAACATTTACCCTCCCATCGCCTCTCGACACTATCTCATTAGACACGAACAATATAATAACTCTGCATGGAACCATATGTTCAATTTCGAACTTTTAAACAGTACATTGCATTTAGTTAAAAGTACTCTTGTAAAAGCCGACTATTTTTGACCATGAGAGGAGCCCTGGCTTTGCTGGCCTCCCTGGCTCTGCTGGCCACCTCCGCCAGCTTGACTTGCATTCGCATTTCGATCTCCAGCGGACTGAGCGCGTGATGAGAATCCGCCTGAAGACATATCTTTCCCCCCAGTGGCCTTCAGTGGTTGTTAACATGCACCTACTACCTTCAAATGGCCGTGTAGATACACCTGAGAGACTTACCTGGGAAGACTGAATGCGCGAGGCATCAGCTTGGGTCATTGGAACAACGGGCATTTTGATCGGTGCAGATAGGTGTCTGTTACTCTTCAAAGTCCGTGATAATAGGTGTCGTGGTGGTTTAAATAGGGCAGTGGTGGCAACGATGACGTCGAGACTGGTTGTCAAAACACAACTACTAAATATATAGATGACCTTATATCTTGGTTAAATATATTCTATTTGATATGGTTGGCTAAGATCAATGCCAAATATTTGTGAACTTCTCGGGGCCGTCCTTTCGTAGGGAAATAGTATCGCTCTCTCCTTGTATACGATATCCTGCCATCAAACTCCCCAGCAACTGCCAACTGATGGCCCGGAATATTCCCACGCATTGACTCTTTCCCTTTGCTGCAAACCAAGGAGAGACAGGATAATCATCAAGTCGTCATGCTGCCATGAATAGTCGGACTCAAGGGCTCATACGCCATACGCCATAAGCCTGGTCTCCTATATTCTTATGACTGGAAGCTATCTTCAGTGTAGCATGAAGATCTTAGTTTATATTGCTAATAGCTAGCACTCAATGGCAATGTCGTTTCCTACGCCTCAAAAAATGGTTCATCCAAGAGCTCGTAGAATGTAAGACCCATGGATCGATCAAATCCTCGGTCATAGTTGCATGAAACAACGCGGTATATAAGACCCTCCCTTTACAGGCAATAGGCGATCCCACTTCCTCACCAGTTCCACCTTGCAGACGTCTATGCCCTCCGTCCACCATGTTGCCTATACCTCATCCACGTAACCGCAAACTGATACCGATTGAAGATTTCATGTTCGTCGCTCCTCATCGTCGAGAAATAATATTCCAGGACCTTCCAGGCCTTAAGAAATTATTCAGCGGGCCTACCAGCCAGATCGTCTTGCTCCTCGCTGAACCAAGACTCAAGCAGTCCGCGCTTATCAGGGAGACCGAGGAGTCCGGAACATGGAGCAACAATATCGAAAGCCACAACTGTGGAATCATAAAACTGCCCAATGAATTATTGCTTATGATCATTAAGGATATGGCCGACGTCGATCTTCTAAATCTGGCCCTCACTTGCCGCTGTCTCTGGTCAAGACTATTGCCAGAAATCCTAAGGGTCATCGTAAGACCCTTGGGCAGCTGGGCAGGAACCCCAATCATCTGCGTGGGTCGGCGTACCGAACCTGGTGACGGTACTGATTATCCAGAAGGGTTGCTGTCCGCCAGCATGCTGCAGGACCTGAAGCAAGGGCTGGAATGGGACAAAATGGACGAAACCGACAGCTCAGATGAAACTGACAGCTCAGAGGAAACTAGCAGCTCAGAGAGAGAACCAGAAAAGTATGAAAAAAGAAAGGATGAGCCAGGCCAGCCTATCAACCTCCTAACTTTAGCCAGCATCAAGTTCAAAACGATATGGCATGTGACCTGGAAGAGAATGTCTTCCGAGATCAATGCTCAGGCCAGAGCATACATTGAATCCCACAGTATTATTCCCCCCGGATTACCGCTGATTGCAAACCCATTTCTCGAAGTCCTCTATTCGATCAAGAAGAACGAGATATGGGTTCTTAGGAATCTGACGATCCGTGAATATGTGCTTCCGACGTCTATTGCATTGAGTTCTACGCATGTTAGCGGCCCGTTCATCTGGGGCTTAGGATTTGGCGAGGTCGTCTTCTATATGACCTTATGGTCAATTAGACGTGATCAACCTAGCATCAAGGGCCCTTGGGCAGGTCATAATCTGGATATCGCCCCTTTTACTCGCATGGAGGAAGACGGCGGAAGGTGGACGGATGCTTCTGATGCGGTTGCGGAACGCATTTTTGGACGGTGGAGGAGTGAGTTTGGTATAGGTTGGATCAAGGAGAGTGTAAAGATTGGGTGGTAAACTCCCATATGCCATATGTATTTTTATCGGTGATGAGCCTGGCATCTTTGGATGTTATAGACTATGTTGTACTCCTTGTCTTCAACGCAGGTCTGCCCAGGCTTAGCTGAGAACTAAGCTCTCACGAGATGGATTCTTGGGTATATTGCTATCAACTTAGATAGCACAATGTTCAGCAGGTGTTGTGAAGTAGAGAAGAGTAAAGTAGAGAGAGTGAAGTATAGAGAAGTAGAGGAGAGAGAAGGAGAGAGAAGTCAAGATATCCAAACCGGGCCGGATGAAGATTTCGCCGCCGAGCTCGCGGTCAACGAGAATCAACCTGCTCCCATCGCATCGAGATAGAAGAGATCCCTGACGTATACGACAGCAGGCAGACAAGCTGAGGGCCGATGCTGATGCTTTGCCTATCTTCCTCTGGCAGTCTCGTCTAGCAGAACCCCAGATGACTCTGCCTTCGTCTCCTCTGGTAGCTGCCCTTGCTGTACACTGGACAGCGCGCGTCTTCCAACACCCTCGCCTCCCCGCCGAATACGAACACTGAAGCTCAAGATGCCTGAGGAGCCGGGCGCGCTGGGCGAGCTCTTCATAGAAGGGCCTTCTGATCCCGATGCGCAAGCTACAGTTACCGATTTCATCGACTACACCGAATACCTCCCCTCGGACCTCGTTCGATCGCTCACCTTGATTCGCGGCCTCGACGAAAGATATATACATGCGACAGCTTCAGTGCATGAGCTCACAAAGGCCTACGGAGAGCTTCCAAATCTTCCCTCAGAGGCGCGCCCACAGCCTCATGTACTACGCAAACAGATATCAGAGCAATTGCGACGCGCCGTCAACGCCCGTGAATCCGCCTATGCAGAGTCCTGCCGTCTCTACGACCTTGTCGATCACTACGTTGATCGCCTCGGGAGTATAAAATCTAAGCTACGTACGATACTGGCGAATCTCGGTCCGGAAAAGGATGAAGAACCCATCGAGACGAAGCGACCAGGCACAGCGGACGGAACAGCTCCAGCGCCTCGGATTACTCTTCGTGTCGATGGCCAGAAACCCCAGGGAGCTATCCGGCGCCAGGAAACGGCGGCGCAGAAGAAAGGAAGAAGCCAGAGGCCGCCTGCCATACCCAAACCAGGTACCGCGTTGTTTGAGGCACCAGGAGAAATGCAAGGTCCACTTGTTCAATTGCCTCCGGGGCAAGCTATAGAGAAGTCCAAGAAAGAAAAGCAACCAAAGAATCGACGGCCACCACGACCTGCAGATAAATCGTCCACCGAAGCTGCTAAACCAGCACCGGTGTTAGAACCTCCTCCGGATGATGCTGTTATTGGTGGCGAATACCGCCCATGGCTGCGATTGACAGAATGGGAAATGGCACGATTACGCAAGAAGATGAAGAAGAATAATGTCTGGCAACCCAGCGACGTTATGATCCAGCGCGAGCTGACTCTGGGTGCTCGTGGCTGGGACGGTTATCTAGCCGCAAAACAGAAGGCCGAGGCAGAAGGCACCGAGTTTGTGGATTGCGACGATATCATGAATACTTATACCCCTGGCCAACTTGCTTATAAGGGAGCAGGACTACCACCACAAAACAAGGCGGAAGAAAATAAAACCTTTCTCAATCGAGGTATGAAACTAAACGAAGCCAAAAAACAAAAGCGCGAGAGTTTGGCACGAGAACAAGCTGCTGCATTGGCCGCAGCGGAAGCAGAAATGGCAGCGAAACGTCTTGGAAATATTGGATCTACCTTCAAGACATTGTTCTCGAATCCCGCGCAGCCATTGCAAGCACCTGCACCACCACCACCAGTACCACCAGTACCACCAACTCCACCTGTTGTTTCTGATAGCACTTCTACTGGTCCTTTAGGTAACAATACACCTCTGGCTAATGAGACAACAGCTACGCCTAGACTGAAGATAAAACCGAGTACGTCCAAGAAAAGAAAGCTCGATGAGCTGGCTGATACTGCGGCTCCTGGACAAGAGAATAGCGGACCACAGCCGCCGCCATCGGCTGGCGTTAGCCCATCGACGCCGAAACCTCCTCCTCCCAAGAGGCTACAGCTGACCATGCCAGCAGCTGAGAATCCTCCCGCTGAAACGAAACCTGTTACCAAGCCTACTATATCTTTAAAACTCCCGCTACTTCCCACCAGGCCCAGCTCCAAGATATCCTCACCCTTGGCGTCGCCCGCTGAGCCCAAGTCCGCAGTTGAACCCTCAACTCGTCGTCGTCAATCCATCGTCTCCAAGGCTATCCGAAGCTCTACACCACCGGCAGCCAATAGGACATCATCCCGTCGTCGTTCGATCACATCTACTTCAATTGACTCCGCTTCTCGTGACCGGCTTCGACGCAAGAGTACTACTCCAGCAATCAAGGACCTAGCTACTAACCAACCAACAACACCAACCGCTGCCGTAGCACCCGCAGTAACAGCAGCAGGACGCCGAAGCAAACGACCAGCTCCCGGGCCCGTAACGGCAGGAGAAAACGGAGGGTCTGCAGTGAGCGTAGGTAGACGCAAGGCAAAACCAACAGTCAAAAAGAAGAGAGACCACCGAGACAGCAATATATCATCCAAGTCAGAAGATATTCGCATCGACGAGGACGGCGTGCTTGAAGAAATCGATCCTAATGAACCTCGCTATTGTCTCTGTGGAGACGTTAGCTTCGGGACCATGATATGCTGTGAATACCATGATGTGAGTGGCGTCAAACGTAATATCGCTGACTGTTTGCTAAGTGTGTCGTTTTTTGCTTTTACATGTTTCCTTCTTGTGCCACTTGCTTTTATTTCGTCTCCACCTTGCATTTCTTTTTATTTGTTGGCCATCTTCTAAGGATAGACTACTAATACTTTTTCTATTTAGTGCGAGAGGGAATGGTTTCATCTTGACTGTGTTGGGCTCCCCGAGGTCCCTAGTCGACTAGCAAAGTGGTATTGTCCTGAATGTCGGAAGAAACTAGACAAGATACCACCGGACGGCATTGTACGGACAAGTGGCCGGCGATGAGCATATCTATACATATGTGGCTTGGAGAAATACCATGATTTAGTCATTAATGTACTTTTTTTTTACGGCACGGGGTTAAGGAGGCAACATATGGTTGATTTACGGGGTTTTTCTTGCTTGGAGGGACCTTTCATGAATCATGGGGATATGAGCTGGGATTTACATTTTCAACACGTTCTTTATTTCTTTCATTTCCTGCTATCTATTTGCTTGTACATTTTTCGGCGGTTAAGGTTGGCCAATAGTGGCAGTGATGTACGCAGCTGAGACATGAGAAAGTCAATGGATGGATGTCACTTCATCGATCTAGATTCTGGTAAATCCATTGGCTTGTTGGAAAATAACATCCAAGATAACCCCCCACCTATAATAACTTGTTATAAGCTATGGCCAGTCGTTCGAATTGTCGTGCAAGGTTTCTGATACTGGGTATACGATAGATATCAGTGTTCCCATTGATGAATATAGAAATATGGATAGAACTCCAATTTGATAGCTAGCTACCAGCGAAATCAAAGTCATACATCCAATCAACGACTTGCATTGAGTTCAATTGAAGCCGGTCAACGCGGCTGATGGACGGAGGAGCTAGAGCAAGAGAGGCCGTAGAGATATAGGGCAAGAAGTCGAGAGGCTGGCAAAAGAAACAGGATATAAAAAGGCTGCAAGGAATTAAACGCGCGTAGGTAGGTCATATAATCTTATCGCATTCTCTTCTCCTCTGCTGCTCGGAAGTAACTCCTCCTTACTTGGTTGTGTTGTGTTTGTGGTCTTTCATATATATATATAAAATAACGGCAAATAAGACAATTAGAAAATAAAGGGAAAAAATGGACGAGGAAAAAAAGAGAGAGAGAGAGAGAGAGAGAGAGAGAGAGAGAGAAAAAGCAAATATCCAAGATGTTTCCGTTCGTTTCGTTTCCGAATAATTCATTCCATTCCTCCTAAAATAAGCAAGAAAATAAAAAAAGCAAGACACAAGCCACGGACAAGACAAGGTAAGAAAGAAGATAAAGACACGATTCCACTCCTATTGGGTATAGTCATGTATCATGTCACTCCTCCATCCGGCCGAAGACTCCATCGTCGTCGTCGTCCATGTGAACGACAGAAGACGGCGAGGCGCGGTCGAAGTCGTCATCTGTCGAGCCTGAGTTTTGAGCGTGGGCGGGGCTGCTGCTGTTATTCCTTGTGTTGTCATGCTCAGCTACGTCGGGTTTGATGTCGGCCATCTTCACGTCTCGCTCGTCTGAGACGCGGTACGACATAGGCGCATGCGCACTCATAGATAGAGTGTTGAAGGCCGTAGGCGTTGGCGCTGCAAGATTGCCAGTTGTTATAGTTGTGCCGGAAATACTGCTTCCACTACCGCTCGGTAGGTTGAAGTTGCTGGCGCTGCCAGTGATGTTGTTGTTCCCGCTGAAGAACCCATTTGTATGGTTGTTGGCTAGTGCCATGGTGCTTCCGACGCTCTGTCCCAAGTACCGAGCAGGTAGAGGTGGTACCGGTGGGACATCCTCCACCATAGCCATGGGCCCTGACCGGGGAGTGCCGAAATTGCACAGTTCGATAGCGGCTGCAAGACCGGCTGCGTCGTCGTCCAGGACACCATTGGTATCTGCGGTAGACGGTCGGGTGTCTGTGCTTGATTGACGGAAGTGAGAGTGTGCAGGCGAGTAAGACGGAACGCTGCTTGCGCTTGCAAAGGAGCTGGAGGGTATAGATTGGAGGGAGCGCGAGAAGGAATGATTATTACTATGGTTGTTGTGGTGGTGGCTATGCGGGTAGCGGTATGGGTCGTTGGACTTGGAGAATGCGCCGTCATCGCTCATGGGCGGCGGAGTGGTCTCGGTCGAGCTGAGGCCGTCGCGGAGCTCAGATATGCCGGAGACGGTGGGAGAAGCAGAAGAGCGGTCGGAGTCCCCGCTCCCACTGCCTGCTGTGCGGATGGCCGAGTCCTCGGTAGACGGTTCGTTGAGCGTGACGAGGACGCTGGCGGCCTCGAGGAGCTGGACCTGCTGGTGTTTGGAGATGAGGAGCTTCGATGTCACTGCCCATGCCGGATCGTGTTCCCACCTACCCCAGATGTGTCAATAGCAAAGTACAGTAGCAAAATGTCAATCAATAGAGATTATCCCCAAGCACTGTAAGAAGTACAGCGGTGGATATGTAAAGGGTATTTAACGAATGGAAAGGGGAGACGGGGTATACGCACATATGCTTCGTCAAGCAGCTACTATGCTTATACCCCTTCCCACAGCGATCACACTTCAATTCGACGAGGGACCTCTTGCCCTCTCCCTTCATCAGATGCGAACCCTCGCTTGCGCGTCGACTCCGGTGTTTGATACTAATTGGCTTCCCGGCCGTAGTATCCGTCGACAGCTCCTCCGCGATTGCACTCGTATTCAACGCACCGGGCGTCTGCTTGCGATCCAGGCCGCCAGCTATGCTGTTCCGGGCAGCGTACGAGCCGAAGCCAGAGCTCGAGCCGACAGAGGTCGACTCCAGGCCGGCAGCACGCCGCAGACTGAGGCCCCTACGGTGGTGGGAGGTGTGTATGGGAGCACCGGTGCTGGCGCCAGACTCGCTGATGATGGCGGCGGTTGCAGCTGCAGTGGCGCTATTGGCGGCGGAGGAGGTCATGCTTTTGCGGCGAGTAACGCGGTGACTGTAGTTCAGGGCCCCGAGCGAGACGGAGTGCGAGTGCGTGCGGCCATTGCTGGACTGGCGAGGATTCGGGATGGCTTGGGGGAGAGGTCGGGACGTAGACGAGTCCTGTAGAGCGAGAGAGAGCAGAGAGCAAAGATGTCAGTATGGGCCAGTTTGCCACGAAACGGGACATTCCACCGACTAGCGACGCTGGGGACGGTCGAATTGGCCGATCTGAGCATCCTGACGGTGTATCCTGCAGCTGTACGCACCTTGAACGACGCCATCTTGGGCTGAGAGAGCGATGCGGGCGATGGGAGGTGTCAATGGAGGAGAAGGGCGAAGGAGCACCTTAGAAAAAAAAAAAAAGATCAGGGAGAAGTAGCCGGCGCCAGGGGCAAAGTTAGACCTCGCAGACTTGGATAGCAGACCAGACGGCTATGCCAGCATCCTACCCACGGCGGCAGCAGGCAGTCGACGAGGCAGACGGGATCGAGATAGAATATATAAAGTAGCAGAGGAAGTGAAGTTGAGATCGAAAGTGGAGAGAGAAAGCGACGGCAAAGCTGTGGATCTGGGTTATTTTTGGAGGCCGGGGTACGACACAACGGACAACGATAGAGATATAGGAGAGGAGACAAAGATATAGAAGATATAGAGAGGAGAGAGGAGAGAGGAGACAGGAGATATAGAGAGGAGACAGTATAGGAACGATATAAGAGATTGAAGACAGATATAAGAGGAATCGAGGCAAGTCTGCAAGGAAGAACCCTTATTGCTTTTTCCGCCGTCATGAGATGGACCAGCATTAAACAGAAATTAACAATTCATAGATAGGCTTAACAGAGCAGATATAGCCTGGTTCGTTTGCCGTTTCACTGCTCGCGGTTCTCGCTACGTCTACAGAGATACGCATACCATGTTCCACACTCGCTTCAGGACAGACGGCGCAGAGGGAGAGGTAGAAGACCGTCTCGCCAGCTTCCTGCCCATCCTCTACCCCGAATCAGCGCCGTCCTGCGTCGGACAGCCGGGCCAGCGTCTCGTCTACTCGTCCTCGCTCTTCGGAGACCTCGCCCTGGCCATACCAGACTACTCCAACGACCAGGAGGAGCGAGAGCCGGAGGGAGAGGGAGACGGCAGACCGTCAGAGGCAGACGTCGAGAAGGCCCGCAGGCTGTTTGCTCACTATCTATGGGGGTCTGCCTTGCTGGTGACGGACGGGATCGAGAGAGCTGCCCGGCGTGAGCGAGAGAACGCTGTATCTTCATCTATATCAGAATCGACATCAGAATCGACATCGACGCCGCAGGGGAATGCGGATGATCTGCAGTGGAGCGTGAAGGGACATCGCATCCTTGAAGTCGGCGCAGGTGAGTTCGTATCCCGTCCGCTGCTCTTATATCGATCTGTCTGTCTGCGGGCGTCTATCTCAAACAAACCATAACCCGAATAACTACCGCATGGAGATATCTAGGCGTCGCCCTTCCCTCCATCACCAGCGCCCTCGCCGGTGCGGAATCAGTCGTCGTCTCAGATCATCCGTCTGCGCCTGGTCTGTTTGGGCCGATACAGTCGAATATCCGGAATAACCTGCCCCAGCATCTCGTCGAACGGGTGGCCATTCAGCCGTATCAATGGGGGGTGTTCGACGAGACCACAATCAAGGCTGATGGCGATGAGCTGGAGTCGAGACATGTATCGAAGATGGCTCACTTTGCTGCTGCCAACAAGGGCCGGTTCAGTCGTGTCATCTGCGCTGACTGTCTGTGGATGCCCGCTCAGCATGAAAACCTCATTCAGACGCTGCTGTGGTTCTTGACTCCCTCTGAATCGTCGTCGTCGTCATCGTCCTCGTCATCCTCGGGCATGGCGTGGGTGGTGGCTGGCCTGCACACCGGTCGAGAGATCGTAGCCAACTTCTTCCGAAAGGCAGTAGCCGCTGGACTGGTCATTGACAAGATATGGGAGCGAGATATGAATGCGACTGAGGAGATGGATCAAGCGCGAGAGTGGGGGCCTGTCCGAGAAGACGAGGGGCCAGAGAATAGAGCTCGATGGTGCGTCGTTGCCATGCTGAGGCAGCCGTAGAAAGGAGAAAAGTACATTCTTTATATAGTCTATATATCCCTTCTCTGAAAACAAATCGTACATACTCCCTGTCCTTCCTGGCCGCCAAACCGAAACTTCGGATACTCAACACGATCATACACCGTAAACCCATCTTTATCACCAGTAAACCAAGCCACCAGCTCGCTTTCCGTCCAGTTACAGCTGGTGATGATGAGAAAGCCTCCCTTCTTGACCAGCTCCAGCGCGATGCCAGGATACTTCTCGCATATCCTCTCGCCAGATAGCGAAACGGCATCAAACGTCCCCTTATCCAGAACGATGTCGAACCCCCCGTCCTTGGATGGAAACCAGCCGATATCCTCCCCGAACGCACCACGGCGTATATCCTCTTCGTGCTTCGGGTCGAGGATATCCCATACCTCGAACTGTATGTCTTGTGCTTCGGGTATACGCTCGGTCAACTGCCTGGCCAGCTCAACGCTCTTGGGTGAATAGTCGACTCCTACCATGGGGCCGGTATATTCTCCTTCTTCCCGCAGTAGAGTCAGCATGCTGCCGTTTCCTGTCCCCAGGTCCAGGATCGTAGGCTGTCTGTCTGACTCCATCTGTTCTGGTGCGAGCGGGAACCGGTCTGAGGTCATGAAGTCGAGCACTTTCTGGGGAGCATTATGTTCCGTGAACCAGGAAGTTCCAGGATCTGAGTCGTCGTCTTCTTCGTCTTCATCCTCATCTTCATCTTCTTCGTCTAAACTCTTGTCCTGTTCGCGGCGTTTTCTCCCATCCCGCTTCGAGGACAGATAATGACTGAGAGAGTTATCATAGAATGATTCCCAGCTATAACCTGATTAGTCTACTATCAAGAGATAAACGCTCAACGGCCACTAACTATTCCTTGGTCCCTAACTCGCTGGGCTCAAGATGCTGAGGATGAACCGTTCGCCCATCTCCCTCTGCTATTCCTGACATCTTTCAAGCTCTATTGACGAGGAAATATTCACGGCGGGGTTAGAGAAGAAGAAAAAAATATGACGTCTATCCCGCGAACTATCGACAAGCCCCGCAACTTTTTCTATTTCTTACATCGAACTATTTGACGCTCATGCACGACATTTTAAATAAAGATCTGGATACGACATACAGTAGTCCGGCGTTGGCTAGATGGGGCAACAGTGAAAATTTCATTCCAGCTCAGTTCCACGACAATTCACCCTTCAGCACAATTTTTATCCCTTCCCTAAATAACAACCCCCCCTAAATAACATGGAGATTTCAATATAACTAACTACATAGGAGACTTGTCTCTTGAACATTCTTGATAGAGACTGGATACATGTATCATCTCATGGAGAGCAGAATCAAACACACCGTCGCTTCGATAAATAGCGCTAGTTTTTCAACTCTTCCTGGCATCGACTGCAGAGATCGCAAAGGACAGGAAACTGGAACACATCGCGGACGGTGAATTCGAGGCCTTGATAGCGTGCCATGGCTACAATTCGCATAGCTGCAATCGAGTCGCCGCCGATTCGGAAGAAGCTATCATTTGCGCTGATACGGTCCAGGTCATCGATCTGGAGAACCTCCGCCCAGAGACTCTGCATCAACTTCTCCGTGTTCGTCTGTGGCGGACGCCGATTGTCGACGGATGAGCCGCACAGAGATGCAACTCCCTGGACGGTGAAGGAGGCGCCGATACGATGTAGCTCCCGTCGGTCAGTCTTGCCCGTCGGCGAGATTGGAATGTTTTGGATCGGTATATATACCGACGGCACCATATAGCGAGGCAACAGCTGTTCAAGCTGCTCCCTAATACCAGCCATTGTCTTCTGGACGAAGCTGCTGTAATCTTCGGATTCTCGACCTACGGTGGCGCCCTCGAGACTCACGAACGCCACAAGAGACCTATCGTTCATCCCTGGTAGCTGGAGGAGCTCGGCCACGACCTGCACAGTACCGTCAACCGCTCCAGAGCCGACTATCGCGCAACGGACGTGATGTTCGATGTCTCCCAGTTCGACACGCTGGCCTCTGATTTTGACCTGCGTGTCCCGGCGTCCAAGGAAGACAAGCGAACCGTCCTCGTTGTATCGCACCAAATCGCCAGTGCGATAGAGGGTTCCTCGGCGACCTGGTTGCTCGCCACCTGGAGAGCCACACCGAAGCCACACGGGGTCCTGGATGAAGGCCTTCGAAGTCTTTTCAGGGTTGTTGAGATATCCACAACCAACAAGGGGTCCCTCAAGCCAAAGCTCGCCAATGGTGCCCACCGCAGCAAGTGCATCGGGGTTTTCAAGATCAACTATCCATGGGCACATACCTGCCCCATGGCCAATTCCTCCTCCATCTGAGTGTCTGGTCAACTGCAGGATTGCACTTGTTGGGGTACATTCAGCTGGACCATAGGCCACCACCACCTGCGTGCTTTCGTCTACCAGGTCCAAGTCGCTTGGTGAGACGGCTTCACCTCCCAAGATTAAGGTAGATAGCTTGGAAAGAACAGTTTTCGGCTCGATGATGCGCGCGACAGAGGGCGTTAGATCAACGACTGTTGCCTGATACTTGACTAGACAGGCACCGAGATCGTTCTCGCGCTCCTCTTGGGATGGAATGCAAAGACAACCTCCCGCGGTGAGCGTTTTGAGTAGGTTTAGCCAGACTACATCAAACGCATACGAAGCAAAATCAAATACCCTTGAGCTGCTATCAATCCCAAGAAGATGTCGCTGGTAGGCAATTGCGCTATAAAAGTTCTGGTGGGTGATGACGACCCCTTTTGCATTCCCGCTTGTGCCGGAAGTGAACACAACATATAAGGTGTCTGATGGGTGGACGGTAGGCCATTGGGGAGAAGGCGTGTTCGGGGCAATAGGGAGAAACAGATCACTCCCTACAGTCAACACTTCATCACCACCCAGCCGCTGACAGAGAGTGCTGTTTGGCACAGATGACAGTAGAAGCTTAACCTTCGAATCAGCGAAGACCTGGGTTACGATCGACTGGATTCTTTGCTCTGGGAGTGCCGTATTGACTGCCACGGACGCACCCCCTGCCTTCATAACTGCAAGTGCAGCGACCGGCATCCATTTGGACTTTTCAAAGCAAAGAGGAACGATACTCCCCTTGCCGATACCCTTGATGAGCAGCTGGTGCGCTAGCTTGGATGACAGCTCATGGAGTTGGCCATATGTAAGGTCTCCATCCCATGCGCTGATAGCGGTGAAGTGTGGCCGTTGTATAGCTTGTTCAAGTATCAAATCATGGATGCAGCCCTCAATCGTAGGCGGTAGTGTGGCATTCCAGGTCCAGATATCGTTGAGGTCGCGTTTACTTGCCACCGTCACGTCGCTGAGCTTACTCTGCCGCCGGTCAATATCGAGTAATTGACGGAGAATATGCTCGAGCTCATGGATAAGTCGGGAAGCTCGATCCGCGCCCACGATATGAGAGTCAAACTTGATGCTAATGTGCGTGGCCAGGCTTTCCTCCAGGCGAACTTCGACCACCACTGCATATCTATCCCAGCCTTTTTCCTCGACTTTATTGGCAGCGTTATATTCTCGCTGGCCTTCGTCCTCTTCATCGCCAGGGGAACGGACTATCAGCAGGGTTTGGAAATTGCAGGCCAGGGCAGCCTCGTCTGATAAGCGGGATATCTGCTCTAGATGCATCCGCTGGAACGGTGCCATCTCGCAAATTTGCTGCTCTACCTTGTGTAGAAGGCAACTAATGCTGCTTCCCCAATCAAGGACTATACGGCTAGGGAATATCGGTTCTGCCTCTCCACTGCCTGGAAGAATGGCCCCGAACAAGCTCTCGTCAGAGCATGAGACGCGAGCCGTCAGGAGTGCCCATGCAGCCCTAACTATGACATCTACCGCGAAATTGCCTCCAGCCAGATCGAGGTCTTCTGTGGTCAGGTGTACCTTGTTGTCACATTTTATTTGAGAGGATGCCGCTGGCTTCACTTCGGGGAAGTGGCCGGCTCGAATACCGGCGAACTGATCTTTCCAGAAGTCCTCTGCAATGGACTTCTCGACACCGCCTGCTTGCGCGAAAAATTGGTCGAAGAGTGAAGATGACTTCGCGCGGCTGTCACTACCAACGACTAGGGTGCTCGCCGCCAATTCAGGATCATCATCAGTAAGATCAACATCGATGGACAGAAGATAATCAATCGCTTGTCTAAGGGTCTCATAGACCTCTTGAGCCACCCGCTGCGTGACATAAGGCTCACGATACTCGATCAAGAAATCAGCTTGACCGCCACTGACTACCAACACGCTAAGTTTTAAGTCATACTATGGTTCCATGTTAGTCCTCTATATTCAACGAGTATAGTGTGGTCATCATACCTCGTGCTCATCTTCACTGTCCAGGGTTTGGAACGAAATCCCGTTTTTCGGACCTTCCTCATCCTTAGCTGCATAGCGAATTGAAAGGGATGTATTGAAGAGCCGTTCTCCAGAGAGCCCAAGACGGTGGAGGACCTCTGCTATAGACACATTTTGGATGGCTAGATTTTTTCCCGTTCTCTCCGAGGCCGTCCGAAGCACTAGACTTGCTGGTGCACCCAGATCAACTCTGCTGATGAGCAGGTTGGCCAACGGCCCGACCATCCTCTCCACCTCGGCAACGGGAGCGTCACGGCCAGAGGTCAGGTAGCTAAAGCAAACGTGGTGCATGCCTGTATGGTAGGAGAGGGTCATGGCCCAGGCCACCTGCAGGAAAGACGAAAGCAGGATGCTTGCCTTTTTACAGAAGTCCACGATATTGGCCTTAAATATCGGGGTGGGGCCTGATATCTCGCTGAAGGTTTCGCGCAACATTCGTCCTGTAGCCGAAGACGATGACACTGGAAAGTTACACGGCTCTATACCATCCAGGAGGTTCACCCAGGCGGCCGTAGTCTGTGCTCTGGGGGTTTTATGAATATAACGGATGATGTCGACTAAGGCCGGGGCAGTTGGCAGTATTTCGGAGCCGTCATAAACCTTTGCAAGCTCTTCTAGGAGGATGGATACGGATTGAGCGTCATTCAGGGTATGATCCATATCAAGACGAAAGGCCACTTCTCCCGTCACACTCGATTGACAGATGGCTAGCATATGTTGAGGCTCATTAGCGGTAAATACTGGAGTGTCCATCTCTAGTAACGCCGTGGTTGGACTATCGGACTCTGTTGTGATCTGCTTCACGCGAATTGGCGGTCCGTCGAGCACCATCTGGATGAACCCATTGCCCTCAGGATGAAGAGCAAAGACAGAAGAGAGAACAGTATGCCTGCTGACCACTTTCTTCCAGGCCATTTCCAGTTGCAAGGGGCAAACACTTCCTTCAGCTGGCACACAACGCCAGATAGTGTGGGTATGGTACGAGCCAGCCCCCTTGGCCGCGCTTATTAACATGCCTTCTTGTAAAGGTGAGCATGGATAGACGTCTAAAATGGATTCTGATTTAATTCCCATTCGAGGGATTTGCTGATCAAGGAGGTTGTTGAGGCCCTGGTATGATATGGGGAGCAGAGGTAAGTCACTCAATGTGAACCCAATCGGGGATTGAGCCAGGTTGTGAGATAGGAGTTCTAGATCCTGTTTGAAGTTGCTAATCCAATTTCGTAGCCGATCCCCGTTCATCATTTTGTGAATGATAAATGAAACTTTTAACTCCCCGTCAACCACACCTGCTTCTATATCAATCATGGAAGGGCGTCGTGCTGACTTAGAAATTTCTGTGATCGTGGGCATCGTATCATCCATGTCCGGGGTCGATGACGAGGCATTGAAAATGCCATTTTCTTTCTCGAGCTGCTGGAACCGACCTGAAAAGTTAAACACGAGCTCCGGGACATCATGAGCCTTGAAGGCTTGACGGCCAGATTCACTATGATATCGGCAAGCTGAAAATGGTTGCCCCTTGCCAGGTACCTTTCGACGTGTGTCTTTGACAAGTCGGACAACGTCAAGGGCGAGGGAGTGATCCGAACTGATGGGAACGGCGAGGGGATACAGCGTAGTAAACCATCCTACAGTCCCTGAGATGTCGACTGGGCGGTCGGAAGGCTGCTCACGTCCATGGCCTTCAATCCAGATCGCGGGCATAGAGCGCTCCGGGAACGTATGGACGAACGCGTGGAATAGAGCGCTGAGAATAAGATCTACAGCCTCGGTCCGGAGACTATCATTACTTCTCCCAAATACCATGGAGCTAGTATCCTGGGAAAAGGCCACATCTACGGACTCGCATTGGCCAAAGGTATTATCCTCCAGGGGTACACCCCAGAAACTTAACTGAGGCTGGGGTATAGAGTACGGGAGCACTGCCAATGGTGACAGCGTGCGGCCCACCTCTGCTTGGTGCGCACACCAGGAATGGAAGGATAGTGTCTGAGGAGAACGGAGTTCGCCATGTTGAAGGTGATCCTCTAGGTCGGCCCACAAGATACGCCAGGATACTAGGTCCATCACCAAGTGATGCGCAGACAGCAAGATCATCTGGTTACCATTAGGGAGGTTGAACAGGTCACAAGCAAAGACGGGACCTTGCTGGATGTCTAGGTTCTCTTGTCGCCATTGAGCTGCCGTGCAGACTGCTGCATTATCAGTCATCGAGTGCTCGGCAAATCCGAATAACTCTGCGCCATTCTCAGCGATCTTCTGCCTCCAAACTTCCGTGACTGGGCTCTTCTCAAAACGTGCACGTAGCATTGCGTGACGAGCAACAATTGCGTCCATAGCGGTCTTAAGAGCGGCCACAGACACAGGGTCCTTGAGATCCAAGAGAAAGGATTGGTTATAGTGGTTTAGCCCGTCAGGGTAAGTATCAAAGAAATTGCGCTGAATTGGGGACAACGCGAATGGAGACAAATGGTCTTCATCTTCGAGCTCGGCAACCGATGCATGGTCCTGAGATTGATCTACCCGACAGCAGACGGCTAGGTTCCTGATCGTGCGTGCCTGCAGGATGTCGCTCACAGTCAAGTGAAGGTTGTGCATCCGGCACTGTGATACCACTTGCATGGCCGAAATGGAGTCTCCGCCCAACCGGGCGAATGGCACATCAATCGATGCTTCCTCCTGCGACAGGTTGAGAACGGACATCCAAGTTTTCTGTAATATCGTTTGCGTTTCACTTAACGGTTCCTTTTCCCGGTTCTCAATCTCATCTTCTCCCTGGATATCAGTACGGGCTTTTAATAACAAGGATTGGCCCACTGCGCATAGACGCTTCCGATCGATCTTGCCAGTGGCTATCACAGGCATCTCCTGTAGTGGGAAATATACGGTTGGAACCATGTATGAGGGCAATAGTTCCTCTAGCCGACCAGCGAGCCCGTCAGTGATCTGCCTCACGGCGGTGCTGTGTGTGGCCTCACTCATTGTTTGGGCTTCTTGAAGGGTCAAAAAAGCGACCAAAGTAAGACCAGTAGCTTCGGGAGTCTGCTGTATGGCCTCGACAACAACATGAGCTACAGCTTGCTGAACAAGCTGGCGGATGGCACTTTCTACCTCGCCTAACTCGACACGCTGACCTCTGATCTTGACCTGGTGGTCTTTCCGCCCGACGAAGACAATTGATCCATCCGCTTCATATCGAACCAGATCTCCTGTGCGGTAGACGCACCCATGCCTCCCAACCTGCTTTACTAACCAGATGGGGTCCTGAACAAAGGCGGCAGCGGTTTTTTCAGCATCGTCAAGATACCCATCACCAACGAGAGGCCCTTCGAGCCACAGTTCCCCAACAGCGCCCATCGGCGCCAGCTGCTGAGAGTCGTCTGCCTCCACGATCCATGTACACACGCCGGCACCTCGGCCAATCCGAACGCCAGTTGCGTCCAGTGGTGCCAGCAGGGTTGTCGGAGTACACTCAGCAGGGCCATATGCGTTGATAACCCGGGTATGGTCACCCGCTAACCAGGCGTCGCTCGGTAGAATCGCCTCTCCACCCAGGATCAATGTGGTTAGCCTTGACAGTACGTCTTTGCCCAAGGCTCTGGCTAGTGAGGGCGTTGAGTCCATGAAGTTGATATCATATTTAGTTAAGCAGTCGGCCAGTTGATTTTCGCGTTCCTGTGCAGAGGGGATACATATGCATGCACCTGCAGTCAAGGCCAGGAAAAAGTTGGACCAGGTGACATCGAAGGCATATGAGGCAAAATCAATCACTCTTGATTTTTCACTGTACTGCAACGCCTTTTGTTGGTGTGCAATGGCAGTACAGAAGTTGCGATGCGTGATACGGACCCCCTTTGGTGTACCAGTGCTTCCAGAGGTGAAGATGATGTACAACAGGTCTCTGGGATGAACGATGGGCAGTTCCCCAATCAGTTGCTGATTATTGGTATCTTGGTGGTGATTGCTCCATCCAACTTCAAAATGCTGGCGCCCGAGCATCTGGGCCAGAGCCTTATTCTGCTCCGAGCATAATAATACTGGTGAATTGGTCTGAGATACAATCTGGATGAGCCGTTCTTTCGGCTGCTTCATGTCTAGAGCCACTAAAGTACCACCCGCCTTCATCACGGCGAGCACCACTACCGGCATCCAGAGTGACTTCTCAAACAACAGTGGTACCAGGGTTCCCGCTATGCCCATCCTGGCTAGCTGAAGTGCAAGTCTGGTGGAGGTCTCTATGAACTGCTGATACGTCAGGTCGCCGTCCCACGCATGTATTGCCGGAGATCGCGGGCACTCTAGAGCCTTGTCTTCGATCTTGCGGTGCACGCACTCTTCAATGGGATCAGGGACGCGCGCATTCCACCGCAAGATGTCGGCTATCCTTGCCGTCGAAGGAGATGAGATTGATGCAACCATATCAGCTAGACTCGTCTGACCATGAGAGCTACCCGCCAGGTGCCTTAAAACATCCCCAAACTCCTGGACGATGCGGTTCATTTCTGGCTTGCGGATAAGACGAGTATCGAACTCCATATTTGCACGAACTCCGTTAGAGGACAGCTCGCAATCGATGTCAATGGCATATCTGCCACTACACTCGCGGCCCTCCATCGGCGGGTGAGCAACCTCAGCGAGGAAAGGCCTCTCTGGAGGTTGAAGATTCTCTGATGGGGCGGGATGGATGACTAGGAGTGAACGGAAGCGGCAGGCAATCGCGGCCGCCTCACTGATGCGTCGAATGTTCTGTAGACCTGTCTGCTCGAAGGGAATCATGTCGGCCGCCTGCCTCTGCACCGCCTCCAAGAGTGAGTAGGCTCCCCTCGCCCAATCGACCTTCACACGAACTGGAACGGTGGCGATGGTTGGACCTGCCATCCGTTCTATGCCCGGAACTGCCGCCTGGCGGCCTGTCACTGTCACACCGTATAGGGCCTCATTGGAATCAGTGCGACTCGCCATCACCACCGCCCACGCCGCGCGGACGATTGTAGCGGGTGTGAAGTCACTGCAGCCCCAATCTAGCTCGGACACGCGAAGGGTCATCATCGTTGTTAGAACGGTTGGGGATGGCTCTATACAGGTTGTTCCGCCTGCACAGGGAAACCCCGTTCCTTGAAGTCCAGCGAACTGGTCGGTCCAAAACCGGCGGAGAGAGATTTGATCAAGTTCTTGGATGTACTTGATAAATGGGGTCAGGGGTGTGAGCTCAGGGCTGGCCTCCTGGTAATAGGCATGCTCAACATCTCCCAGGATTAACGGCAAAGACCATCCATCATACAGGGCGTGATGTATCTCCCAAACGAAGAAGCGAGGCTGCCCAGTATCCCCACTAACTATAGCAAACCGGGTAAGGGGGTCGCCCAGGCCCATCGGAAGCTCCTCGGGCGTGGCTCGCTGCTGATACCGGTCGAGGGTAGGTTCGAATATCCACTCCACGCCTTGGTCAAGGACAACCTGCATGATGCCGTGGTATGGCAGGCTCACTATCCGCGTGCGTAGGATGGGATTTATTGCCGCTACCTGGTCCCAAGCCGCCCGGAGTCGTTCGATATCGATACCGCTATCTATCTCATAGATCGATTGTTGCACATAGTTTTCGGAATTGCTACGCGTGAGGGCCAACATTCCTTCCTGTAGCGGCGTGCATGGGAACATGTCCAGCACTTGGGGTTCCTTAACATGACACAATTGGGCCGCATGGGCGCGGGCTTCTCGTTGATCCAAGGAAGGTTTCAGCAATGAAAAAGGATGGATGGAGTCAGGGTCGGTCGATTCTGTTAATGAACGAGCTCTAGCGGATAGGTCTGCTAGACGTGGAGCTTGAAATATATCTTTCACAGTTAAGAGCAGCCCATGATCGCTTGTGATCTGACTCAGGTGAAGCGCACTGGCGGCTGAACCGCCGCATTGGAAGAAATCATCATGTTTTCCAACGCTATCAGGGTTGATTGCGAGTACTCGAGCCCACAACAGCCGCATTTGGCTCTCCAGGTCCAGCTCCGCGTGATCAGCGGATTGGGCCTCTTCTAGGGGGGAGATACCCCTGTGCTCGGGGGTGGCTAGTTGGCCATTGTTGAGCAAACGGTGAAGCTCCCGATGGGGAGCGAGCTCGTCATGGGATTGTGGGACTGAAAGAGATAGCATTGTGTCTTCCTCTAGGTTTCAAAGCAGATAATTGGTATGGTGAGGTGTGGTGAAGAGGATTTTTTTATTCATTTTACCGCCCCCTTCTTTCAACGAGAGGAATTGACATATCAGCTGATAATATAGGATATTTATGGCGGCCTCGAGGATCACCATAGGAGGTGGATGAACCCTCCATGACATCCGCATTGCACCCGACGTCACAGTGCAGATCATGTGTGCAGTCCACACCTGTTCTTCCTGTAACAGCTGGCATTATCTTCTCCTTTCTTTTCTCTTTCTCCGGTCCGAGAGCTCCTCTCTAGCTATGTAGACGGGATATCATAGAGTGGCTTGTGTGAGCGCTCTTTGAACCGTTAAACAAGCGAGGTTCCACCCAAAAAGAAAAGAAGGTCGAAGTAAGGTTTCACCAATCCTACCTGTGCGTTTTTTGCTACTCCAGGTGGCAGTTGGTTTTACAATAACTATGTGAGCATGCGAGAAACATAGGCCGGTTTGCAATACTCGTGCTTCCACGCTACTGATCTTTAGTTTCCCTATAATACTAACCCTCATCAGGACTACAACATACAGCCCAAAAATAACTCCTACCCGATTGTACGAGTTACTGTCTCCATCACAAGCTAAGTGGATGGAGGACTCTTTTGATAGCAAGGCTACGGAGCACCCTTCAAGTCTTTTCGTTCTTTCTTTTTTCTACCTTTTAAACCATGGTAAAGGTACATAGAAGAAGAAAATATAGCCGAGATGATCGGCCCTATAACTTGGCATCCAGTAGTCAAATGGCCATTTTGATCGCCAGCATATCGGTGGGCTACTCCTACTGCTAGCTTTATGTATACCTCCCGTCTTTCTGGAGTTAAAACACTTCAGCCGCTGTCAGCTCCAGGCATCCAGCTCCAAGGCCTCCAGCTCCAGGCATCCAGCTCCAGGCCTCTAGCTCCAGGCCTCCAGCTCCAAGGCCTCCAGCTCCAAGGCCTCCAGCTCCCAGGCCTCCAGCTCCAAGGCCTCCAGCTCCCAGGCCTCCAGCTCCCAGGCCTCCAGCTCCAGGCCTCCAGCTCCAGGCCTCTCCGAAAGTTAAGTCCGATGCCTTCGATTGGTGGGAGGCAGGCGAACCTCGTCTCCCCTGGTCCTGTGCTCCAGGCCAGCCATCTAGCCCTCCCGCTAGCCAATAACATAGGGCTGTAGGAGAAATTTGATGTTAGTTTGGCATATTATTATACGGAGTACATAGTACAGAACTAGGCGTATGACGCTAAAAGGGGAACAGCCTCCTCCATCAGTTAGCAGGTGGGCATATGGCCGCCCGATCCCGCTGATCTTCGCCATGGCATGCGGGGAATTATGCGAGCTACTAAGCGAATAACAAAGTGGTAATGTCACAATCCTTCACATGCGGATGAAGGCCGGAAAGGATGGATCAACTGAGCAGGATAACGGCAGACCAACAGAAAAATCAGTCCAATCTACGGAGTACCGATCAAGGAATCAACATAGCAAGGAACCTGCTGAGCAGAGCAATGAATCAGTGTATCAGCCAATTCATGCATCAAATGAATCATATCCTCGATGTCATACCAAACGACCACGGCACTTCATGCCGCTAAGACCACCTTAGCTTGCTGGAGCTGCCCAAGAGCCTTCGTTGTGGCGCTCGCATAGTTTGTTGTAGTCAAGGTGATGCATCTCACGTTTTTACCTTATTTTTCATCACGTGACACGAGTTGACCAACCAAAATCTTCCAAGTTTGACGACGAGACAACAAACATGAAATCTAGAACATGAAATCTAGAACAGGACTACATCACACTGCCCTGTCATGGCACGAATTACTCCATCAGCTGTGTCGCTGGGTGCTCCTCCAGGCTGGGTAGCTTTGGAGGTCTCGCTATCATTGAGCCTTACTATTAGTTAGCACTATTAATAGTTTTGACTCCCACTATATTAACCTCAAAGCTATGGATATTCAGCTGGTTTCCTAGCCGCGCTATACCCCCTTTACGCCTTTTACTATTAGCCATAACTAGTAAAGCCACCGCGGTATCAACGATGCTTAATCGAAGTACGTACCCACTCAGCCCGGGAACTCGTCTCTTCTCTTGGCCGATGGCCCTCCCAGACCTTCCACACGGCATCCAAGGAAATCAGCCCCCAGGTAGTTGCAGGAATGTGGAATCACCCACACCGCCGTTTAACTATCTTAAGATATGCAATGTGCTGATCTGGAAACGGAGGCAATGCCTTGATCCTCAATCTTGCGTACGTGGTTATTGACTAGTGGAATGCACGAGCTCCCGACAAAAAAAGGGTGACTATTTTCTATAAGGATAGCATCAAGGTGGTTTGTCTGCAGGGCTGGAGTCGCGGTAATCCTATCAATCTCCTCCTAATCCGCGATCATGCCCCGTCCTTGCACCGTACGGGATGAAAACGTGTTTGGACCTTTTATCCAACCATCGTGTTTCAACGGCTTCGACTTCACCTTGCTCTTTGAGGAGAATATTCTAACAATTGTCCCTTCTGCAATTGCATGTCTACTGTTGCTATTCCGCGTTCGGAAGCTCCAGCATGTTCCAGTAAAGGTCAGGCCGTCATGGCTCTCGGTGGTCAAGTTAGTGGCGATTTCATTATACCTGGTTCTGCAGCTCGTACTCCTTATCCTTTGGGCCGCCGATGGTGCCTCCCGCACCGTAGCCACGGTTCCTGCCACAATTGTGACCATTATAACTTTTATCTTCATTCTTTACGTGTCTCATCTTGAGCACAAACGGTCCCTGCGCCCATCAACGATTATAAACCTGTACCTGGGGTTCTCATTGCTAGTCGACATCGCCCGCTGCCGGACCATCTGGCTGGTCATCGAACGTCTACCAATAGCGGTGCTGTTCTCCGTCGGCTGTGGAATAAAAGTGGTAATTTTAGGGCTGGAGGCAACTGAGAAGCGATCTCTATTGAAGGATCCCTACAAGGACAGCGCTGCAGAGGCAATCGGGGGAATATATAACCGCAGCGTGTTCTGGTGGGTGAACAACGTCTTACGGAAGGGCTTCAAGAACCTCCTCCCAATTAGCTCACTAAACGTTCTCGATGACGACCTGCTCGGTGCAGCTGATCCCCAGGTTTTGATAGAAAGATGGAAGAACACAGGTAAGAGTGCAGCCCAAAGAATTCTCAGGTAGTTAACACCGGATATTCGCTGACTGCTGTCAATTAATAGACAAATCTGCATCTCACGCTCTCCTTTCTTCGTTTTTGCTGCATTATAAATGGCACATCGCGGCGGGGGTCATTCCCCGTCTCGCGTGTATTGGCTTCTCATTCGCACAGCCTTTCCTAGTACAGCGAGTACTGGAGTTTATAGGTGAGAGTGATAGCTCGATTTCACGCTATCAGGGGTACGGGTTGATCGCTGCATACGCAATTGTTTACGTGGGACATGCCGTACGTATATGTGAGACTCCGATACGCATAGAACGATATAGCTAAAATGAGCGATAGATTTCCCAAGCGGTCTACGAGCATAAAACCTATCGCGTAATCACGATGGTTCGAGGCAGCTTGAGTACCATGATCTTTCAAAAGACTCTCCGCGTAGAGTGTTCGGCAACCTCTGACAGCATTGCCATAACGCATCTAAACGCGGACGTGGAGTGGGTTTCTAGTGGTCTATTGGACCTGCACGAATTTTATAGTAGTATTCTGGAGGCTAGCTTGGCCTTGTGGTTGCTGGCACGATTGCTCCAAATGGCGATGGTGGCCTCTGCAGTATTTATTCTCAGTACGTACCAAAACATTCCCCCTGCCTTATCATATCTATATACTTATTGGGTGCCTGTACTATAGTCTGTCTCGCTGCTGGAATTCCATTAGCCATAGCAGCAGGCAATGCTCATATACAGTGGCTTGACGCCATTGGAGAGCGTATTTCCGTGACTTCTAAAGTCCTTGGTTCGATGAAAGCCATCCGGATGAGTGGGATAGCAACCCCTGTCGCATCAGGTGTAGAAACGCTTCGTGATGAAGAGATCAGAAGCTCGAGACGATCCCGCTTCCTCGATGTGCTAGTTTTGGTAATGTGTAAGTCAAACCCCGCTATCACTAGGCTCCAAAATGCATGTCTACATCAATCGCTTATATGTGGCCTCCTGCATTTGTTAATGGAATTGTTTAGCCTACACCTCCTCTACATTTGCCCCCGTATTCGGATTTGGGCTGTATAGTATACTCGCAAAGAAGAATGACACTGAACCTTTGACCGATTCCGTCGCATTCTCTGCCCTGACGCTGTTCTCGCTTCTCGAACACCCTATGGGCACCCTCACTCAGGGAGGAGAGCATCTGGTAGCCATAGTGAAAGGTTTCCAACGAATTCAGACATACCTACGCGAAGACGAAAGATTAGACTGCCGATTGATCTCAGGGCTCGAGCCATTGCTTGCCATTGACACAGAATCAAAATCGCCCCTACAAACCACGGTCTCTGATTCTCAGGGCGAGGAGAAAGTTGAAGAAGGAGGACTTGGCAGATACGTGACATTGCAAGATGTATCTGGCCCTTTTTCTGAGGACACACAACCGCGAATTAATGAATTATCTCTGGAAATCGATCATAATAAGATCACAATGATTGCTGGCCCTGTCGGATGTGGCAAGTCCATTCTCCTCAAGTTGCTTTTGGGCGAGATTCCATACTCAGGTTCTTTGTGGATAAGTCATACCCAAGCAGCATACTGCAGTCAGGCACCATGGTTGGCCTCTGGAAGTATCCGAGATAATATCGTGGGGACGTCGCAATGGAATCGGCCTTGGTATGATGAAGTAATGCATACGTGTACCCTTGACACAGACCTCCACGATATGCCGGAGGGGGATCTTACCCGGGTTGGCGTTCGAGGATCCCGGATGAGTGGTGGACAGCAGATGCGTGTGGTAGGGAAATTCATTCCTAGTTGCCAAACATCCTCAGTAGCTAACTTCTTAATCAGGCGCTAGCGAGAGCTTTATACTCGAGAGCAAAGGTCATGATCCTTGACGATGTATTGACGGGTTTAGATCAGGTTACTGCTCAACATATTCTAAAACGACTGTTTGGACCAGACGGCATGTTCAAAAAAAACGGGCAAACCGTTGTATTAGCAACAAGTTCCGGTACGAATATCCATAGATCGAGCTATCATTTCGTTTAACTAACCTTTCATAGTACACCATCTGGAGTATGCCGATTCTATCATTATACTCAGCAGTGGTGGTCGGCTTATTGAGCAAGGGTCGTACAAGGACTTAGTGGCTAAGGGCTGTTATTCGGAAAACCTTGGTCGCCAGAGTGAGGTTTCTGGCGATGACCAGGCTGTGGAGAAGCCAGCAGATGAGGCATCACTACCGCCATCTCCCTTCGACGAGGAAATGGTTCCCGAACGATCTCATGGGGACTCGACAGTGTACAAATTTTATTTTCAAAATGTGGGCTGGGTTTTGCTAAGCTTTTATATCATATGCACCTCCGCTTTCATTGTCGGGTTTAGCTTTCCGCGTGAGTTGCCCCTTGCCGCCTACTTTTATTTTATTTATTTGCTAATTGTGGATTGCAGCTATCTGGCTTCAGTGGTGGACAGATGCAAACGTGAACCACCCAAATGAACGACTTGGATACTGGATAGGCGTATATGCTGGCCTCAGCGGCCTGTGCCTGGTATTACTCGGCCTTTGCGATTGGTATATTCACCTTCAACCATACAACCAACATGGACTCATCACAGCTAACAAAGTTATGAAAGGATCTTTAATATGGTCATCGAGCCGAAGACTGCCAAACGGTTCCACAGTATCTTGCTAAGTACGGTAATGGGGTATGGTTGTAGTATTTTCAAAACTGTCTGTTTGGTATATTCGCTAACTTGGAGTATTTTAGGGCAACTACTGCATTCTTGACATCGACGGACATTGGCAAAACACTCAATCGGTTTGGATAACACCCTCCATCCCCTGTGATATGTAAATGTATACATATGTGGTTATGTAGCTAACGCATTCCGCAATCTAGATTCAGCCAAGACCTCGAGATTATTGACATGGAACTATCATCCGCTTTTGATATGACAATGATTGCCTTCCTTAGCTGCATCGCGGAAGGAGTCCTGGTTTTTGTGGGCTCGTCTGCCTACGTTGGGGCCGCAATTCCATTTTGCATTTTTGTAGTGTACGGGATTCAAAAGATCTACCTTCGCACCTCCCGCCAAATCCGGCTGCTTGAGATTGAATTCATGGCACCTTTGCAGTCCCAGCTCCTAGAGGTCCTCTCCGGACTTCCCTCCATTCGCGCGTATGGGTGGACGGAGGATTATCAGGAGCGAAACAAAGTCCTGCTGAACACGTCACAGCAGCCATATTACCTGTTGTTCTGTCTGCAGCGGTGGTTGAATCTTGTCTTGGACCTTCTTGTTGCTGGAATCGCAATCTTAGTGGTTTCCATCGCAACAAGCCTACGGGGAAAAGCCTCCACCGGTCTTTTGGGTGTGGCGTTATTCAATATCGTCAACTTCAGCGGCAGCTTACAGCAACTAGTTGCCCATTGGACAAAACTGGAGATAGCAATCGGGGCACTATCGAGAATCAAGATTTTCATAGGAAAAACTCCGCGTGAAGATGTCAATGATGAAACAGAGCCAGTAGAAGAAGATTGGCCGAAAGAAGGTGCTATCTCCTTGACCAACGTGTCCGGATCATATGGGTATGTGGTTTCAAAGCATGCAACTCCCAACCTTCGTCCTTTGCTCACGCTGTTTTACCTAGGATAAACGAAGCCAGCGTCATCGAAGACATTAACCTAGAGATTAGGCCGGGCGAGAAAGTTGCCGTGTGCGGTAGAACCGGCAGGTAAGTAACGTCTTTTCTCCTCTACATAAGATTAAGTCTTCGGAGGTTGTTTGGCGTAACTTAACTGACTCCAAATGGCGGTAAAGCGGTAAATCCTCGTTGATTCTAGCCCTCCTACGAATGCTCGAACTGAAAAATGGTACTATTCTCATCGATGGCGTAGACATATCGAAGGTGTCACGGTCTGATGTCCGCACCCGCCTCAACGTCGTCTCCCAAGAACCGGCATTCTTGCACGGCTCTGTGAGGCTCAATTTTGACACTACAGGTGAAGTGGAAGACGACTCGAACTTCATCGACGCTCTCAAAGCAGTCGGTCTGTGGGAGCATATTGAATCCGATGGCGGCTTGGATGCCGAACTATCAGACGACCTGTTCTCGCATGGAGAACGGCAACTCTTCTGCCTTGCGCGAGCCTTGTGTCATTCGAGCTCTATCCTAATTATGGATGAAGCTACTAGCAGGTATATAAGCTTTCTATATTCAGGATAATTAGCCGTTGAAAGGCGGGGCTGGGGGATCAATGCTAACTTCTCAATTCATCAAAGTGTCGATACTGGAACCGATGAGCTGGTCCATAGCATTATTAACAGCAGGTTCCAGGGCAAAACAGTCATTTCGATTATCCACAAGCTGCACAATGTTCTGGATTTCGACAAGGTTGTGATGATGGATAAAAGCCGGGTTGTTGAGTTTGATTCTCCGGGCAGTCTTCTGACCATGGAGGGGTCGTTATTTAAGCGGCTTTATGAAAACGGGGGTCTCCTTGAAGGAAATTGAAACTAACGTGGTGTCATACCCGAGGGGTGGTGTGAAGCCAAAAGCTTAGGCTTGATGTACCTTTCTCAAGGCTGCGGTGCCGGGGTTGCAGCAAAGTTGGTTGTTTTGCCAGATTGTCCAATTCCTCATCTTCAAGACGAGTGAAGCTCCATTTCTCTACGCCCTTCATATTCCAAGGCCTCAGTGATATTCCGTGGCCTTCCGCTAGGACTACACGGAAATGGGATTCAAAACCTAAGCCGCTTTTAACAGTAAGTACCTTTTGTTAGCGTTTACTAGGAAAAGGTACGCATATTTTAATTATACCAATGTAAGTTTGCTAGCCATGATGCATCTCGCACCAATCGTAGGAGAACGAGATCTAGTAATATTAGGCGGGAAGGCCTTGAATAAACATTTACATGACTAGAAGCTGGATATTATCTGTATCATATATGCCTCGTCTAGATATATCCATGCATATCACGTTCCCTAAGTCCGGCTACTAAAACACTCGACCGGGTTCCCCACCAATATTGATTTCCATCAGCTCGAGTATTTATACAGAGTCAGCATCCCCCAGCCTTCGCCAGCCTGAATACTCAGCTGCTTCCTACGAGATTTGGGCTGACATTGCACAGCATACCCTGCTGTAATACCCAAATTTTCATCAACAAACTACTTTGACAATCAGGTCTTCAGGAAAAGCCATATTAACCTGCCTCTACCATATTGAAGCTCCAGCAAAGAGGAAAGTCAGGGGACAATCAACATGGAGTTATTACGCAGCCCCGAATTCACCGCCTACGTGAAAAACCTCCTAGACCGACATCATATACCGGGTCTAGCTATCGCTATCATACATGACGATTATACTGATTCCGTGGGCTTTGGAAAGGCATCGCTCGATCCGCCAAAGGAATGCACGGGTGATACACTCTTCGATGTTGCTTCGGTCTCAAAAGCTCTCACGGCTGCCTCTGTTGCACTTTTAATCGACGATGACTACAAATATCCGCTCATCAAGTATGACACTCCCATGGCTAGCCTTTTGCCAGAGGATTTTGTCATGCCTGGTGGAGACCATGACGATGTCACCGTTGAAGATGTACTCAGCCATAGAACTGGAATGCCATCGTAAGTACCACTTTCTCAGCAATTCAGAAACCCCTAGTTTTGAATAGTGTCAGCTAGATCGATCGCTAACAATTTCTCAATAGCCATGACCATTCGTACCTAGGCGTTACCGCAGCTAAGCCGGACGATGCACGCTCAATCACCAGGAACCTACGGAACCTGACTGTGGCAGCGCCGAATCGAGCGCAGTACTTTTACTGCAACATGATGTATACCGTTGCAGCGTACCTAGTCGAATGCAAGACTGGCCTTCCATTCTCCGATTTCCTCCAAACCCATATCTTCAAACCGCTTGATATGAACTCAACCAATCTCCAACCAGAAGCCGCGCGAGCCAAAGGACTAGGCGACCGTTTCGCCACCGGCTATTTCTGGGACGAAAAGGCTGAGAAATATAAGATACTGCCATGTGTCGATTCCCCAGAAGCAACGGGGGCAGGGCGCGTCATCTCCAGCGCAAACGACTATATCAAATGGATTAAAGCGATGGTTAAGAAACAAGCACCTATAACGGAAAGCATCTATGAAGGTCTCGTCAAGAAGCGCATTTCAGAAGCTCCGCCCGTCGACAGCGATGATAGCGAGAGCGAGGAGGAAGCCCACTCCGTCCCGACCTTTTATGCTGCAGGCTGGGAAGTTCTGGAGTATTCTGGCTATACGATGATTACCCATGACGGAGCAGACCATGGATTCGGAAGCACCAATTTCTTCATCCCCGAGCTGAATTTTGGAGCCGTGATTCTAGGGAACTCGAATCATGCGTCTGAAGTTGCGAGAATCCTCAAGTATAAGATGGCAGATTGGGCTGTGCGCGTACCGAAATCCGATACTAAGAGAGTGTTAGATTCAATGGCAGCTCATGGATCTGAATCCGAGTCTGACAATGATGATCATGCTACTATTAGCGCCGAGGTTGAGAAGGAGCTCATAGAGGAGATGTGTCCTGAGACCAAGGAAGCGGAACCTCAGACTCTGCCGCTGAGTGCTTATGTGGGAGAATACTGGAACGATGGCTACAGAGGTGTCAAGGTTGAGGAAAAAGACGGTGCGCTATACCTCGATGGTTCTGATCGATCGATGGGCTTTACCATAATCTTCAAGCATATTCGCGGACAGACGATGTATATTGGCTACATAGGTGAGGCGCCATACCCCGAACGCACGCTGATAAGAGCCGACTTCAAGCTCGAGGGTGACAAGGCCGTCGAGATAGGTCTGCAATTGGAAGATGAGTTGGATGACTATATTTGGTTTAAGAGAGTAGAGGCTTAATTGCCCTAGCAGACGAACAATCCTATGCTATCCTATCCGATTGAATGTTTTTTGAGAGAGAGAAAAAAAATTGAGATTATGCACTGTTCTTATAATATCCAGAACCACAGCAACGCCGTAAGTGAATTAAGAAATAAAATGTGTGGCATAAGTCTTGTGATCGTGTAGAGGAAGGCTGGGCTAGCTACATGGCTACCTAGCAATGCTATGGATGCGTATGCTAAGTGCGCCAGACCAGTAAAAAAAGTACGTAATAAAACGACAAATGGGAAAGGAAGTAGAGAAGAGGAGAAAAAAAAAAGAATTAGGGGGACCTAACGTATCGATCAGGAGGAGAAAAGAAGCGAGTGTGATTATGTGTTTTTTTCCTCGATGTGAGTTGCATGAGTTTCAAAGCCTGCTTTGTTTAGCTTATTGAGCTAGAGGTAAGGAAAAGAGAGCGTGGTGCTGTGGATATGTATGTGTGTATGTGTGGTTGATGCAAAAAGGTTTCATCGCCGTGCGTCGCTTCGCTGGGGTATAATAATAGATAGAGAGAATAAAAGACAACATCCAGCCAGGTCCTAAATGTCCAAACCGAGTCCAAACCGAAACCGAGTCCCGAGGAACGAACGAGTAGACCGCCCCACCATCCAACGATGTCATGCCCATTATAGAAACTCATCGATGTTCCGCATTATTATTGGTTCTGATGGCTGCTGTGGTGATCGTGGATCGTACATCAATGTAGGTCGGATTGGCGGTGGCTGATTTGCATCGAGGGATTTGCGGACTGCATCGACGCCTAGGCCGAGGCCGCCGGTCGTGGGCGCGGCTGTGGTAGGGGCTGGGGATAAGATACCGCTAGGAGAAAATGGCGAAACCAACGCGAACGGATTAGTGGTTTTAGGCGAGAAGATTGATGTATCGCCTGCCACGGCGGTAGGTCCAATGTCACTACCATCCTGATCGTCCATGTTCATGCAGACATCACCTTGTACTGGCTGTGGAGGCTTGAAGAATGAACGGGAAGTGAACATGCTATCCTGACGGGATGTGGAGCGGCGATAAGAGTGGAAGGTTTGATATTTTTCGCGTAACGGTAGAGGACGTGGTGAGACATTATTGCGTCTAGATGGGCCATTGTTATTATTGCTGCCGTTGTTGTTGTTGCCTGTGAGACGAGAGAGGCTGAACGGGTTATGCGTGAAGAAGCCCAAGCCCGAGTTGGATGTCGAGGAGTCGATGGTAGGCTTCTTGTAGGCTGGGGATGAGTCGATGCCGAATTTGTTTGAAGACTGTGGAAGTGGTAATTGCGGTGCCTTATCCTGAATAACGGGACTGTTAAGCCATTCCGGCAACGGCTGCTTCCTCGTATTACTCTTATCCTGCAGTTTGGCTCTAAAGTCCGTCAACTGGTAGATGAGACTCATGTTTGGGCCAACCCAGCAACTGCGTCCCTTGACCAAGCCGTAGACAGAGTTAAAGTCCAATTGCCTGTTCTTATACAACCCGTATGCGATGACGAGCGAGGCAGACCGACTGACACCCAGTTGGCAGTGGATGAGCACTGATTTTCCCTGTGACAGGCGATCGTCGATCATTTCGCAGAGGGTGTATAGATCGTCGAGGATTTCCGAGTTGTGGTCCCAGGGAACGTGAATGTACTCTGGCTGACGGGGAGACTCTGCCTTGGGCGTGGAAGGTGACTCTGACTCGCTCTCTTGCTCGGTAGCAGATGGAGGGTATTCGAATGCAGACATGAATGTAGCGTCGGACGTGGCAGTGGAAGGCTCAGAGTTTTGTCTGAGAGTACCTACATTCGCTTTCCAGACGGACATGACTGTATCCTGTCTCTCTCTCGCGGCTACCTTGAACGGATTTCGCACTTCCTTGGCCACGTTGAAAACGACATCGAAGCGTGATGCTTCTTCCTGGTTGGGTTCGAGATAGAGATATAGTCCTGCGTCGTAGATGAGTATGGGACCATTAGGGTATCCTCGTTCTGCGCCCTTGCGCGATTCACGCGATACTGGGTTATCGTCTTCTTCATTTAGCCTCTCTAGCAACTCGTGCTGTGTGAAGAGGTGCTGGTTTGACGGGTGAGGCTCGTCTCGTGGACCAGAGAGGGGTCGTTTTGCCGGATTGCTTCGCTGGAAGGTCACCGGAGGCCGGTCTGGGAATGTAGGCGAGAGAATGGAATTAAGAGATGGAGAGGATTCAGCATGACGTAGGAATGGCTTGACGGTAGGAGTTGCGGGCACGCCATTTGAAGCAAAGGACAGTCGGTTAAATCCTGGAGTCTGGATGGTGAGATTCGGTGGTTTCCTCTTGCTGGCTGTGGTGGTAGCATGTTGAGGCATCGGCGATGGAGGTGCAGAGAGATTCCTCGCGCTATCGACTATTGGCGCAGTGTTGAGGGGCGGCTGTCGACCCTGACCAGGCTGTGGTAGTCTGAGCGAGAGATTTTTCAGATTCCTTGCCTTGCGGGATGGAGAAGACTCAGGCTGGCTGGTTTCCTTTTCACCTGCGGGCTGTGTCTGTTGCTGTTGTTGATGCTGCGGTGGTGGTGGCTTGAGCAGCGGCTCCAGGGCCTGGGAGTTGACTACTCTACCCTCTGGTTTGCGGAAATCGCCTCCATGTGTCCGCAGGGAACCCAGCGGGGTAACGGAGGTAGGCGACTCGGGAGACGAGCTTGGAGAGGTCTCCATGACGATGGGCGAGTCGAACGTCGAGCTCGTGGTGGTAGGAGACGAATCTGTCGACTCTGATGTGGCCGATATGCTTTCGCGAGGTAGGAATGAGAGTGGCAGCGGCGATGCGAGAGTCGGATACCGCGTTGTTGTTGTTGTTGATATTGTTGATGTTGACGTTGTTGCTGTGGTAGTAGCAGATGTACCATTCTTCTCAGACATCAACGACCTGCCCTTCCTGTCCTGGCTGCTCAGTGTCGAGTCTAGGCCTGACATGTACGCATCCTGGAGGTTCGAGTGAGGAAGCGGTTCGGGCAGCAAGAAGGACGAAGGCGGCGGGTTCGGCGAGGAGCGACGAGTCGACCAGCTCAGCCTCGATCGAGAGAGAGAGCGAGACCTCCGTTTCGACTCTGATGCTGCAGTTGCCAGGGACGATGATGTCGGGTGAGGCATCATCGGTGGTTGCGCAAACATGAGATCACTTCCAACCTGGTGGTTGTTGCTGGAGTATTTGTATGATGGTTTGTCTATGAGTTCGCATTAGTATATTGGTAGACAGAGCAGAACAAAACAGAACATCCAACACTGCATTAATAGGGCAGTGAATCCATTGTTGACAAGTGAACTGTCGGCCATTGAAGCTGTTGACATAAATTCTCCTACCAGTGGAAACACGCTGAAACACAATGCAGTGGCAGGGCGCGGCAAAGCAGCAAAGCAAGCAACCCAGCGCTTAAGAGGGTCGCTAGGGTGGAGGAGTAAGAAAAAAGGGCCAACCCACCTCAGGCACAGCCTCTTTTGCCCGACAGCAACGGCGTCTCACTATCGTCCGCTGGCTCTGGCTGCCAGAATTATAAACTCATGGGCCGGAGATGGAGGAGCAGGTTATTGCCAGTGGTGACGGCGGGTCGGGGTCATGGGATGGACGCTGTTTCGCCTTTGCAACTGGACGACTGTTTCACCACTGGGCTGCCCGGAGAACCGATGGAAGAGGCAGGCAGTCTTGATGAGAGAGAGACGGGCGAGGAGGATGCGAGGATGCGATACTATCAGTCCTGTACGACGAAGGGACGTCTTCCACCTGGGAGAGACGGGAGAAACGAAGGAACGGCGGCTAAAGAGCGTAGAGTAGACTGGTAGATCAAGTGGAGGGTAGAGAGTAGAGGATAGAGGGAGTAGAGAGGAGGATGAAAGGAGGATAGAGAGAGTAAAGGGAAGTAGAGGAGGATAGAAGAGAAGGAGAAGATAGAGAGAGAAGAGTAAGAAGAGAGTAAAGAGAGAAGAGTAGGAGTAAGAAGAGTAAGAGAAGAGAGAGTATGTTGGTATTACGATACGAGAGATACACTCGCGATGGGCCCTGCTTTGGCCTGTTTTGGGCCAGGTTAAGGCCTAGTTGGGACCTTCTTAGGGCAGTTTAGGGCAGTTTAGGCCTGTTTGGGGCCAGTGGGGTAAGGGCCCGTGACTTTGGTATGGTCAGGTATGGTATGATACATTACATTACATACCTTCCTTCCTTACACTCTTCCTCTTTACTTACTCTCCTCTTCCTCTTCCTCTTACTCTCCTCTATACTGTTCTTCTCTTAGTATACTCTTATTCTCTTCTCTTACTCTTCTCTTTTCTTAATACTCTTACTTCTCTCCTCTTAGTATACTCTTACTCTCTTACTTCTATCCTCTATGGAGTATATGGCCCAGATGCGGCTGGCTTGGCGTCTAAATATAGATCAGGGTTAAGTTGGCACCAACTCTGAGATGCTTCTCTGCTTCTTCTGCTTCTTCTCTGCTTCCTGTACCTGTCCCATCCTCTTCTTTACGGAGTACACTGCCAGAACAGCTATAGACAAGAGAAAAGAAGGTAGAAGCGCAGTCATGGTCAACACACGGTATGGCCATGAAAGAAAGACAGGAGAGACAGTGATGGGCAAGGACAGGGCAGCAGGGAAAGGAAAAAGAAACTCCATGGCAGCGGCAAGAGCCAGCCAACCAGAGGAACGTGCCCTGCTCACTTGGCCCCCTTCTTGCTCCTGCGTTGCCTTACTCTCTCTGCTCCACTCCATGGCCCATCTCACATCGCCATCGCCATCGCCATCGCCATCGCCATGGCATCCAGCCTCATGATGTACGACGCCGGGCTATAGCAGTTGGGTTAATCCCACGAACGGCGTATAGTGTATGGCGAACGGCGTATGAACTGCTCCATATTACCCATATCTAGATATGGAGTCGTATTGATGGCGATGGGAGAGCATAGGGTAAGCACAGGTCATAGCGATGCTCCCATATCACCGCTTGATCCGTGGGAGCTAACCTTCGTCTCGTCGAGCTCAGGCTGGTCTGGAAGGCTTGTTTTGTCTCTCGTTTTATGAGCCATCCAGTCATTCCTTCAGCTGTGCTCTGCATTGAATAGTCAGGTCCTATTTATATATCTCTAGCCGACCTCGATGCTTCCTGACCTGACCTGACCTGACATGCACGAGTCGGTGAGCTCCTCCTACCCTGGACCTACCTCCCAAGACACGGCGTCAGGAGGTAAGGCAGTTAAATAACGGGTTCAGTTCGTGTTGTTGTCCTGGCGATTAGCAGTCTAGCAAGGAGTCAGGCCCTAGAAGATGCCAGAGAAGCAGCAGAGAAGCCATGGCAGCGGCAAGGGGCAGCCAACCAGCGACGCTCGACATTCTCCCCGTCAGTCCGTCGCAGAGAGCCAGCTGGTTACGAGGTAAGGGCGGGTAGGTATCCCGAACGGCCTCATCCTCGACGGTCGTCCTCGTGTCCGGCCGGAAGCTGTAGCCGTATACCACTAACTGCGAAACTGCTGTCCTCTGCTGCACAGCGATGTCAGGCTGTCCCTGCAAGCTCTGCTGTACGGAGTACGTACAGTGACGGTACGTACGCCGATACCAGATATTAATAGACGTAGGAAGACGCAAGATGCGCCATCAGCTCGAATCGGTCGTCAATAGCAGATCTTCCTCCATCCCCTATCACTCACTCTCTCCATCTTCCACTTTCCCACCATCCCAGAAGTACCAGACGTATCTCTGCATCTCCCAGCAGTATGTATGCGTCTGTATAGGCGTAAGTATAGCATGTATAGCATGTATAGATGTATAGCGTATGCCCATCACACAAAGGTGAAACCGCGGAGCCAAGGAGCAAGACCCTAATAATAAGATGTGAAACACGATACGGATACACCTGGGGACGACCTCCTCCACCTGTCGTCCATTACTCGCATGTCCGTACGGAGCATCGTGGAGAGCTCCCTCTCATCCTGCTCATCCTGTCCCCATCCTGTCCTCTCAGCGCTCGCAAGCGACTTGCCACGAACGAGTTTTCAAAGACACGGACCAGCAGGACGTCATCTAACCGTCATCCACCAGTCCGTCAATCTCTTCTTTGCCGCAGTCGTCAGGGGCCGGGCAGGAGAGGAACGAGCACACACGACCGACACTACCAACCGTCTCTCCCACTTCAGCCGTCTTGTCTCGTCTCGTCTCGTCTCTGCCTCGCCTCTCTTTTCCTTTCTCCTTCCGCGTCTGCTAAGTATACCCGTTAGCTGCTAATTCTCCGGAGGCATGTCAGGACGGCCCCTGTGGAGTTTAGTCGTATGCTGGCAAGAGCTTCCATTCTAGTACCATAGCAGTATCAAGAAGTCGTAATCAACCACAGCAGTATATAAGTCAACCACAGCAGTATATGATCGTAAGTCAACATAGCAGTATCATATGAGTCGTAAGTGAACACCACAAGAGTATCATAGCAGTATGAAGTCAGTCGCGTTTCAGCGATCGACAGGACGTCTGACAAGAGACTGAGATTATCTCGATATGTCCAGTTCTCGCCCAAAAACGTCCGTACAACGCGATGTCGGGGATATTCTGGTCCCGACGAGCCTGTCCAACGTCGCTTGGTGAGACGCATGACGCGAGTTCTGTATAGCCGTAGCCGTAGCCGTAGCATCTGTCTGTCTCTTCGTCTCTATCACTTCTGTCTTCGTCTCTCGTCTATCTGTCTCAGTCCCCTGTCTATGGAGCCGTGAAAAGTCAATTGTATACTCCGTCGACGCAATTTTTCAGTCGGACAGGTCGCATCGCAGTGTCAACAAGAAGACGAGAGCAAGTCAAGGGATCCAGGCTAGTCTTCTACGTAGCGCGTCGTGATTCGATTATTTGCAGGCGGGAAGGGCTGTAAGTCATCGCCGGCTGTTCGTGTTTATTGGACACCAGGCCGACTGCTTGCAGGTCGCTCTCGTTGTTTTGTGCCCAAGTCCATCGTCAATCTGCGACTCCAACACTTGACGACATCACCACTTTTACGACTCTCCCACTTCTCCCGCCTGGTGTGAGGAACAGGAATGCGACCGGCCTCCCTAACCGCCGACCAGAACAGACGCTCGACGATGGTGTGAACCTAAGTGGCTGCCCGTGTCCCTGTGCCGTCCTGCGTCCTGCGTCCTTCTGCACTTCACCACCCCAGCCAAAGCCATGCTGCTGGAGAAAACATCCTCGACTTCTGTTACCGCGCTCATCACACCCACCAAGTCTGCCAGGGAGAAGGGATGGCTTCGTAACCGCCGTCAGACCGACCCCCTGATCAGGGAGCCCGTCCAGCTGCCCCAGCGCCGACCGAGCAGACACTCCATCGACGCCGCGAATGCGAACGCCAACGCAAACGCCAACGCGAGCACCAGAAGCAACTCGTCGCCGCTGAGTTCAGAGAGCTTCTCGAACCCGGCGCTGGCCTCTTTCTCGCCGCGGAAGATCAATATCCATACCCCGTCGCGACCGTCGCCGCAGCAGCACCAGTATCACCACCAGCACAGCAACAGCACATCCACCATCGCCTCGCCCTCGCCTTCGCAGCAGCAGTACCAGCACCACCAGCAGCAGATATTCTATACTCCGACGCCGTTCAGGCAGGGAGAGCAGGATCAATACTATCAGACTCCGTCTCGGTTCGCTGATGAACCGCCTCCGTCTTCAACTACGACCACTACGAGCAGTCCGAGCATTCGGCACATCACCACCTCCTTCATCAACACCAACACGAGTCTCACCAGTCCGGTATCCGCAGACAGCAACAGCTTTCACTTCACGCCTGCAAAGGAGCCCAAGTCGCCCCATTACAAGCGTGCACCGGCCTCCAGGAGCAGTCTTGGGATAGAGACCTCCTCAGGTCCGCCGCCAGCATTAAGCACGCAGCAACGGAGTCTGGCGCAGGAGAAACAGTGGCAGCTTGTGTCGACGGCTGACCAGCCACTGACGCGCAGACCTACTTCAGACTCTACGTCGGCATCGGCGTCGGCGTCGCAGAATTCAGACCCCAAGTCATCATATTCAAGCACAGGTACCAGCACATGCATGGATATGGTTGCGCGCAAGGAAGACACGAATACGGCGAGAGAACGGCATCTACGTTCGTCCGTGTCCATGGAGGAGAGAGATCGGGAGACGGCTAATGGTGGGAGCAGCAGAGAGTCGCCTCGCGGGTCCAAGGTGGAAGATCTGTTCTTGAACATCGCGCAGACATCCAGCCGGCAGAATACAGATTCCAAGGGCAGACGAAAGGTGCGTTTTTTTACATCGTCTTATGCAGCAGAACATATTTTTACTGACATGATGATATAGTCTAAATTTGGTCTTTCTGGGCTATCTTCGCGAGGAAGGGCGACTGAAGAAACCCCCTCACCCGACAGGGGTCACTATTCGTCCTTTTCCCAGGATACCTCTCCCATCGGGAATTATGACATGTCTAGTATGCGAACGCCGGCGTCAGCTCACCCGCTAGACGAAGCAGGCCGCACTAGGTTCTTTAGTAGCTCAGCTTCAACCATTGGACGCAGCAGGCTAGGACGCTTGAATCACGAACTATCTCCCGAACCTCAGCCACAGTATGTGCCTGAACGACGAGATTCAGTGCCAGAGTTCACGCACACCAAGCCATACAAATCTAGTCTTGCCGGTGCCCGTAAGACACGGCCGGTGACAAGCTACGACGTGACGGACCGGAATATAGGCACTGATACCGCAGCAAAATCTAAACATGAAGGCACCGAGTCGACCTTGTCGACAACCGCTCCGTCTACCGTATGGGATGAACTAGATGATCTAAAGTCTAGGATCCGGAAACTGGAATTGACGGGAAAACTCCCTTCGTCATCTGCTGCGGCTATGTCGTCGATGGCAGGAGAACGACCACGAACTGCAACAACGACTGTAACGACTGTATCTTCTTCACCGAAACATAAGCAAAAAGGAAGCTCTTTGCCTATTCCCCCGCCTATTCCTCAGGACAATGACCCAATAGCCACGGCTAGCCAGGTACACCCCCTCCTCCACACTGCGTTGGCCAAGGCAAAGCCAGTCCTGAACCACGACGTTTACCAAGCCCTAGAGGCAACGGCAGCAGATGCAGTGAACCTATCTACCGCGTTGTCTTCAAATGCGCCACATACTAGCAGCATGTCTGTCGTAAGCGCCGCTGCCACCCCTGACCGCATCCTACGACGTAAAGCAGATAGCGTATGTCGAGGACTGACCGAGCTATGTCTTGCTCTCTCTGAAGATCAATTGAGGCCCCTCCCCATCTCCAAATCAAGACCAGGTAGTCGAGATGCTTCTTCCAACAACCGCCTAGCCGCAGGGGGGTGTGACTCGGGCACATCAACGATAACCTTTCGTCGAAGTGCCAGCCATGAACCCGAGGATCTCAACTTTAGCCGGCTTCAATCATCCTTCAATCGGGATGCTAGCAGTCGACGGACCAGCGTCATAACTCTCTCTCCCAGCATGAATACCCTAAAAGCGCCCCAAGAGGTACCAGATCAATCACCACATCATCTAACGACTCCTTCTCAACGAATTAACCGACGCTCTTCCCTACTACGTACCAGACGACAGGAACAAGAAGATTACGATAAACTACAGCCCACAACCAATTCAAGCTCTCTCCGCCCTATATCCCGCTCTATGACCGTCACAAACAACATCCATCAAGGCAGAGACCGCTACCAACGTGCCTCTCGCGAATGCACTCCTGAATATAACAACGCCAATAACAACAATAATAATCTACAGCAAGAAAACTCCCCAAGCCAACAACAGCAACATCAAACAACTCCATTCCGCACTACAACCACCTCTACTACCCCCGTCACTCAATCGGCCATCCCACTCCGTCGAACATACATGTCGACAACTTCCAATATTCCTACCAACACGTCTGTGTCTATCCAGCCGGGTTTCCGCCGCTATGCAAGTGGTCAGTCAACCATCCGAACCGTTGTTGATGATTACGCTGGTTCCAGGGACGCTGGAGCAGGGGGTGCAGAGGATGTTTCCCCACAACCTCGAAGTGCGGGAAGGACTGTTTCTCATTTCTCTGGTTTGCAGTCTCGCCAGCGAACTAATAGTATGGGGACCCGAGCTGTTGGTGGTAGTGGTCTCCTTACTAGGCGGACGTTCGGCAGTAACGCCGAACGCTAATTGGTTTGCTCATCATAAACCGTTGAGTTAGATGATAGAACAGATCGGGAGAAAACCAATCGGTTATTCTTTTCACTTTGGTTTGGCTTTGGTTTGGCGTTGAGATATCATACCATTTTTTTCTCTTTCTTCTCCGTTGTTTTTTTAATGTTTCTTTACTGATTTTCTTTTCCTTTCTTTTCTTTCTTCTTTTCTTCTATTTCTATTTTCCTCGTTTCGTTTTCATCTTCATTTTCATTTCCATTTTCCTTTCATCTTCTCTTTTCGTCGGCTCTGCATATTAGCCTCATTGCATCATCGTCTTTGTTCTTCCTTTCCTTGATAAGCATATTTATCTGACAGGCGTACCCACATCCTTATCCATCCATATATACACATGCGTTCTTTCATTATGAGCGAGGTAGCCATAATGCCTCATACCCCTGGCCGTCCTTCCTCTCCTTCCTTTACTCCTACCTTCATCTCTCGCTGGAACGACGGTAACACATTGTCTCAACCATTATTAATATCACCTTTTCTGTCTCCTTCCTCTCTTTCCCTTTTACCCTCACGAATCCGCCAACGACCATGACATGATGTATATACAAACCTAACACTTACCTCGCTGCAAACCTTCCCTCTAATGGACTCTCTGGGTTCGGTTTTGTTCAGCATAATCCATCCATCATCTTCTCGCAGGATAAAATTGGAATATTTCATCATCTCCTTTCCGTTTCTTCTTCGATTTTAGGGCTGCGGAGCTTCCTCGATCTTCTGTCTTGCGTTGTATATATGTTGAAATGACTAGCTATGAAGACTGACGCAATGAATCGTTGATGTGGTTCGTTAATCATTAGGGTATATATTACGATATTAAGTAGTAGAACTCGGGCCCAAGTTCACATATATGCCCCATATTACATTCATATATCTTCTTGCTTCCTTTGGCCGCATCGGCATATAGCGTGATATCTCACTCTTTGGCTTCTCTCGTATTGACGACTATAACATCCCTCTCCGGCTAGTTCTGGGGCACTTCAAATACGAGAAACAAGCATCATTATCTCTCTCCGTTTCGTATCTTAGCTCATAATTTCTTCTTTCACTTTTTTCCCAGATCGTATAAGCGGCGGTGTGCTCTGCATTGCATTTCCTTCGAAACCAAGGCGGTCTGGTGTGATTGTCGAATCGGCCAACTAAGTCGACCACATAGACCGTCGAAGGGGACGTATTTCGTCCACTGCTAACGCGTTTCACCTTCACTTCAAAGAGTGCAGGGCTCGGATATCAGAGAACCTCCATCCTGTAATGCGCAGGCGGTGCGCGACCGGCGAATGAGAATGACGAAGTAGTTAATACTTCGATCCGGCGTTCCATAATCCGACAACTGAGGGAACGTTTCAGACATCGCCATCATCTGGTTCTGTCCGGTTATACCCTCGGAAGGGCGGTGGGTAGACACTTCGTGTGCTAGTGTAGTTCGGCTGGAGAGGGCGGCTGAAATTCCAGCTATCTCCTCTAGTTCGACTCTTTGTAGGCTCGGGCTCGAGGATTACCAAAGTGTTTGCACCGGCCCCGTGGCTTCGACGAGCTATGGTATCGTTCCGCCTGCTGGATGATGGGTCACTAGTCAGAGCCTCGGCAGCACCATTTTTCAATAGCCAGTAGTCCCGCAATCTATCCAGTGCCGTCTTGAAATCGTCAAGGACGACAGCATCGCAAAGACATTTGCAGACAAATGATATCTATTTTCATTAAATTTGTTAATCGGAAATTCTTTCTCCCAATTCGGGTATCCGTGAATCTCACCTTCCAGAAGGGATTGAGCCCTGTCGGTAGCGCTCCTCGAAACACACCGACGACACTTAGAATGTCAACGATTATAAAAATGATAGAGACACACATCGAAACTAGCATGACTCCGAATCTGGGACTGTGGCGAACGAGTTCGGCAAAGCTGAAGCTGTACTGAGACTTGATCACCCAGAATATATTGCAGGTTGTGTATATCCACCATGGATCACTAAGGGGATCTAGGTCAGCTATTCGTAGACTTTCCAGGCGTATTTCAGTTTTAGAAAACTTCTCCATACCGAAAGAGAGGCTCCCAGGGCCTGGTTTTCAAGAAAATCATGTTGATGTTGTTGAAGAAGGCGAAATTCGCATATATCTCGAGAATCCAATACGGCTGAGCCAAAATGACGGTTCCAATATAGAACATCGAAACCCGGCGGCTCAAGAATGGCCTGTTCTTCATCCATGCTATCACATTATGAAGACTCCAAGACATGTTCAGGCCGACCGCAGTTATTGAGAGATACCAACCATAGACTGGCTCGTGAGTAAACAAAAATGTACCATGACCTATCCCGAGGATCAACTATGACAGCATTAGCTCTCATCCGTTTGACCCATCGCGAAAACGAGAAAAATGCATACCTCTAGGAGAATCAGTTTATGAAGCAGAACCCGCCGTCTCATGTTGGCAATGGTGATGGCAATCATGAACAGCAGGCCCCCAACCATGAAGCCCTGGGCCCAGGCTTCCAACACCAGGCCATCTGGATCGGTTGGGCGACGGATGGAGTTGGCCGGCGACTCTTCGTGCATCCTGCGATCCCGCTTGCTCGATATCAACTGGATTCAATCCGGTAGGTAGATGTCAACGTCCGTGTATATCGGGTTACAATAGGGCCATGCTCCAGACAAAGTATCAACCTTTGCTGCATTTGCATGATTAGACTGAAGACATAAGGCCCGGCCTGAGAAAGAGAACGAAACGAAAAAGTCGGTATGGTCGCCGGAGTATTTCCTTGATGTCAGGTCAGGTCAGCTCAAATAAGATCAGGTCAGAGCAGAACAGGGCAGGTCAGGTCAGGCTGAGGCGGGCAGTACAAGCTCTATGTATAGCCTTCAGCTCGCGATCTGATCCATTCAGGTACTTCGTAGCGCGATCCACCTGGAGAACCCTGAGTGGCGTATGAATATGCGAATCCTTCGTAAAAATATCTGCCATGACTGCGGGACCGTTGAAGGCATATCATGTTAGCGCTGCCATGTGTTCGCCTCCCGAAAGCATTCACAGGATAGGCAGGCTGAGTTATCCTATCTCGTTGATCCCATTGTCGACCTTTCATGCCTCGCCAGAATGCTTCCTTGTCCGCAGCTTCTCCCCGTACCGTACAACTCATCTGTGGTATCTGGGCCCCCCGCTTTCGCTTTCGCATCTGTTTGAATAATGCAGCGCCCCTTTTTCTTAACCCAGCCAGGCAAGAAGTTTGCCATGGGTCTCCGCCGGGTTTGGGCAAGGGGAACTGGAGTGGGTTTCGGTAAGCAGCGTGAATTTTCCGTCAGGGTTTAACCAGCAAGATATGCATCCGGCTAAAAAGCAACTATCAGTCGGTTGCTCCATGAATGCGGATAGGGCGAGGCTGCCAGTGGTGGAAATGGTCTTGGGCGCAGTTGCACAGCGACTGACAGGCCATCTTTCGCTCCGTAGCGCCCTCCTCTATTGGGTGGCGCTCTGTCAAGCCCAGGTCTTCGTCAATCATCTGCATGTCATCGAAGCTTTCCGGAAGAATGCTGTGACCCCTTTCAAGCCCTCTAGAAGCTTGCGACGGCTGCTACGGCTACTACAGCTGCTACGGCTGCTACGTCTGCTCAGGGGAGATCCCAGACAGGCCACCAGCGTCTTGCAACCGTCTTATATGTAGCACCTCTTCCTCCAAACTTGACCGGTCAGTTCGATGTCGACGGCCAAAACAGGCACCTCCAGAGCAGGGATACTCCGTAAATTCGCTTCATCCCTTGTCGGTGGAGTCCATTCGGCCATCTTCTGGCATGCAGATCGAGAGAGGGTAAGGCTGATACTTTTTTTTGCCTAAGTATACAACGCTGGCGCAATGATTTATTCGACAAAATCTGTAAACACATAGATGCGGATCATATTGAATTGAAGATCCTGACTGATCCGGGGTTAGCTTCGCTAATCGTACGTGTCATATCTGCTCAAAAGAGAGAAAAAACTGGCGATGTCGATTGTGATCCAGAATCGTTGCCATACCAGCCAACTAACGACCTCGGGCGTTTCAGAGCGCAACTGTGACGGTATTAGAGCGAGCCCCACGATATACGATATGGAGTGCATGTACTTTACGACATGGAGCGTCAGAGAGTATCCAGTTTGCTCACCGATCTCCTGGTACGTGCTCCGTATATACTTGCTGATATTGCGATGGAAGGCCCTGGGGAAACACCGACAGAGCTGCCTTACAACAATCGTCTATTTCTGGCTCCAATTGGCTGAAGAAACGAGAGGCTCCTCGCACGCTCCCAGGTAATATCAAGCATCAGGGTCGCGCCAATAGCGGTCTAACCCATGAAACTACCGAATAACTCTGCGGAGCTGAGGTCTTAGTCTCGTTATCGTTTCCAGGCACGTCTAGGAAGAAACTAGAGATGTCACGAGTTACTTCTTTTTTTTTATGACGCCGGAGTTGGCCCGATCTAGAATCCGGCCAAAAGGGGGTTCGTGATGATTCACCGCGAGGAGACGTTATCATAGCGTAGGTTCTATTTACACTAGCTATGGATAGAGAGGCATGAACCCTAGGTCTAATCACCCCGCAACAGGCCCTGGAGACTTTTCACTGCATCCACTACGGATTCTCTCAGGGGCCGGTAGGTCAACCCCAGAACCTCCTTCGACCTGGAGTTATCAAACCCAATACGCGACTCTGGAGGGACATCGCCGGGGACGAGAGCCTCGCCTGAGGGCAGTTTATCCTTGAGGTTCGGGAATTGGTCGGAAATTATACCAACAATTTCCGTGTTGCTGTAGTTGCCGGCTGTAAGGAAGAACCGCTTGTTCGCTGCCTCCGGCTTCTCGGCTGCCAGGACATGCGCCAGAGCGACGTCTCTGACATCTACCCAGAGCGAAGTGCCAGTGCGTGGACAGCTCTCCTTTGCTTTACCGGTGATCAAATCGCGGATTCGTTCGTTAGAAGTGTTGATTGAGTCCAATGAGGCCAGATGGTTGATAACAGGGCCCAGGACAAGGGGTGGGTTACACTAAAGGAAGCTGATAAATATATGGTCTTCCTTTTGGGAAGGTGATGGCATACGCACCGTTGCAAGGGTGAAACCTGGTTTTTCCTTCTCGATGAAGTCCCATGCTGCTTTTTCCTAGAACAGCTATCTGTTAGCATTGGCCGGAGGGCCCGTGGGTGGTTAATAATAACTAAGCCATCTGAAACATACAGCAAAGGTTTTGCTACCGCGATACCCAAAGGTCGGGTTCTTATCAACCTCGTCTTCCTTGATTGGGTTCCAGTCCGCCTAGTTATGGCATTGTTAGCCCGGCTATCCAATTTCCGGTTAGTAGGATAACAGGGACATGGCTCACTTCAGAGTATACATAGTCACCTGGCTTCGCTACATCAAACATCGCAGCAAGGGAAGACGTAACAACAACTCTCTTGACCGAGGGAGCGCTTTTCTTGATGGCATGGAGAATGCCTTTGGTTCCGTTGAGTGCTAGGATTGTCGTATTTAGAACGAGCAAACACCGTAGACATAGTAAGGATATCGTTTCGTTAACATACCTGGAGCGAGTAGTTCATTTTGAGCATCCACTGCCCTGAAGTGGAAAGGGCTAGCAGTATGAATCACTGCCTCGAAGGGAGGGTCTGAAATGACAGCTTTCTCGAATGCTGAAACATGAGTGTTAGCTTTCACTCCACCATTTCAAGGCAGACAGGACAATAAGGCATAATCGATGCTAGATCGGTGCTAGGACAGAAGACGGAAGGTGATAGTACCATTTGGCTGCGCAATGTCTTCAACGACTACAAAGTCAAGTCTCTCTTTTCCGACTGTTGGATGGGCATCGAGGATTCTCTGTCCTTTTTCCTGAGATCTGACCGTCGCCACAACGGAATGACCACGCTCAAGAAGAGTGTCAAGGACGTGTGCAGCAATAAAGCCGCTTCCGCCTGTCTGAGATTAGAACTCTTTTCAATCTGTTTGGTTGACCTGGAGTGAGCTTACCGGTAAGAAGGATGCGTGTCATAGTTTAAATCCTTCGCGTTGAATAGGGTATAAGACCGAGCTCTTTAATATTGACGTTTAATATAGATAACTAGAGGTATATATTGACCTAACTGCTTTGACAGGGAATATATATAGGCTGCCACGGAGTTAATCGTCCTATTCAGAAGTTCTTAACTCATATCGCCATGGCTATCTCCGTCGTCGAGCTTGTTCATCGCGGGGCTTTCTCCGTATTTATCCAACTATCTCGAACCCCCACCTGAGTGGGTACGAAGTCACGACAAACAGCATATCAACACGGCTTTACGATCTTGTTTGACGCCCTATACGGTCTATATCGATGATTCGGTTATGTGTATGATATTAGGAGAGAACATTATCGACCTGTCCATGGAAAGCTATACATGTGTTGGAGCGATTTGGAGACCGTTGCTCATCGGCTACATGGAAATGCCGACACGAGTTGATTGATAATCACATTTCCAAGCAACGAAGTACATAAATATCTGAGATGCTGTCCAAAGGACTAGAGTTACAGCCATATCTACTACCCTGTTTCTAAAGGGTGTATTCAGATCCCAGTTACTCCCACGGCGGACAGCGGAATTTCCGACAAGATGACGAACTTCGCAATCAAGATCGTCTCTGATACGGTTTGCCCAGTCAGTCTAACCTTGTCTCCCGTACAAATATACCGAAGCTGATAGTCAGATAGTGGTGCTATGTGGGCAAAAAGCGTCTTGAGAAGGGCATCAGCCTCTACAAGGCCGCACATCCTGATTCCAAGGATACTTTCAGCATTTCCTGGTTCCCTTATTATCTCAACCCCCATGCTCCCGAAATTGGGGTGGAGAAGGCGGAATACATGAACGCCCGCTTTGGTGCTGAACGTGTGAAGATGATGCAGGCTCGTTTGGCTCAAGTTGGACAAGCCGAAGGGATAAATTTCAATCCTGGCGGAAAGACGGGAAACACCCGCGATTCGCACCGGCTGGTCCAGCTGGGGAAAACCAAAGGTGAAGCTGTCCAGACACGAGTGGTGGAGGAACTGTTTGCATCATACTTTGAGAACGAGGGTGACATCACCTCCCACGATACCCTTACGGAAGCTGGGGTGAAAGCGGGACTAGACGAGAGTGATGTAAGGGCATGGCTAAAGAGTGACCAAGGCGGACCTGAAGTCGACCAAGAAGTTGCAGAAGCGAAACGAGCATTTATCTCGGGTGTGCCCAATTTCACCATCCAGGGCAAATATCAAATCGGAGGAGCTGAGGATCCAACGACCTTCTTGGAGACCTTTGAGAAAGTTCGAGCGGAAGAAACATCTGGCTGAAAATGGCTAAACAGCTGCTAACTCGAGACGTTCATGAAGGTAGAGAAGATGCAGATGGGTGTCTCATCTCTAAATCGAGCACATATATCTATTGATGGCCACTTAGGATGTTCACATTGAGAATATAATCGAATTTATTACCATACATTGATTCACACGCACCATTTCATTGTCGTGAATACATATAAGCGTGACCCGTAAAGCGCTAATTACTAGTTTGCTTCAGCAGTTTGAGTACTAACTTGAAGGTTGTAGTAGACCTGCGTGGTATGGACTATTGGTGTCTACGACACAATGGCTTCTTACAATAAAGCCCCAGGAATGTAGCACCGCTAGTTTGAGATGGCTAGTTGAAAAGAAATAGATTGTTTTGACTTCTGGTATCGTCAAACCTAATTTATTTTGTAGACTTTTGTAGTTGCCCATCCAGTATATTTCGTACGTTCTCCATTAGTACCAGCAATTTTGAGAGGCATAAATAAGATACCCATGGGGCGCGGAATAGAAGACTGGAGGCCGTGACGAGAAGAAAACATGCGATGTAAGGGGGATTTTTCGGGTGAATGAAGCGTCAAGGTGATTGGGAATATAGTGAACGAGGCTAGCAACATGTAAGGACACGTTTGGGGGTACACTAAGCCTGGTTCGTTTGGTGGTAATCAATGTAGAAAGTATGGCATAGATGGAGAAGCGTCAAGAGGTGGTAAATGAGAGAAGAGGGGGGGATTTCGGGTAAAGATATCGAATGAAATGTAGAAGGAAGATGGTAAGGATAGGTCCGAGGCTCTTTTTTAACATGATAAAAGACGTGAAGGGGGCATTTGAAGAGGAAGGTCGAAAAAGAAAGGAGAACGTGAGTAATTGGGGAAAACGGAGTGAAAAAGGCGGAACGTGAGAATACGAATAAGGATACCCCGGACCAGAAGTTTTTTTATTTTCACGAGGCCATAACTCTGGTGTCTGATTGTGTTTTTGACGACCAGTAGCTAGGCATGTTGCAGGGAAAAATCCAAAGGAAATTCTGGATTTACTCTGGCTGTTGCTGACTGCGGCGCATCTTCTCAGCTTCAAGGTTTTCGTAGAGGAGGTAAAGGGCTTTTTCGTTTGCCTGGGCGCTGCCCATGATCGTAAACATACGCTCTCCAGTGTCATCATGGGGAGCCTTAGCGATGGAAATACGTGCTCCAGAGCTTCGTCGGATCTCGCTGATCTTGGTGCCGCCACGGCCGATGATGCAGCCAACCATATCAGAAGGAATGCTGATGTTTTGGGTTTGAACCTCCTCGCCATCCTCTGTTACAAGGGGGATACCGCGGTTAGCGTTCTCCGTATTTCCACGTCTACCATAGCTGCTGGGGTGGTCACTGAAATCAGCACCGTTTCCAGTACGGTTGTATGATCGGTTGTTTCCACCATAGGCAGGGTTAGGACCGGCAACGGGGCTTTGGCCAGGGCCCGATCCAACTGAAGCTCGGACGGCTGGGTTGTAAAGAACGGTGCCAGTGCCACGTTGCCAGTCATCGATAAGACACTTTCCAATCTCCCAGATGGCCTTTTCGATTCCTTCCGGGGTTCCTTGGACTTCAACGATTCGCTCGGTGGACTGGGGTAGCATTTCCTTTTGGGCAACCATGCGGACTCCAGAGGCGTCTTGGATATATTTAATCTTCAAGCCTTGTCGTCCAATGATAGTACCCATCTGGTTGTGTGAGATGAGAAGTCGGACAGCTAGACGATCGTTAGTTCCAAATGGTTAAAAAAAGGTTGTAGATAATGGGCAGCACATACAGTGAGTACCGTTGTTCTGGACAACTCCACCCATACCCATCTGAGGAGCACCCTCGAGTAGACTCTTCGCAACGATGGAATATGCCTTTGAGGTGCCTTGGAGAGGGCCAGTGACGGTCAGGACACGGTCATGCACGCCTTGCACAACCTTGCTGACACCAGCTTTCACACCGGTCTCGTCACGCAAATCAGCAACGTTCTTCCCCGCTTTCCCAATGATAACACCGGCTTCCTTGGAAGAAACGATAGCGCGCAGAGTCAGCATCGACTGGGCATACTCTTCTTCAGTCTTTGGAGGGGCTTCGGCCTCTCCTTGGTCATTTACGCTAACGCGACTGAAGGTCTCGTTAAGACTCTCTTCGGCTGGGCCGGGGCCGGATTCACGCTGGTCAGTGGTAGACATGATTGCTGGAAGTGCGTGGAGTGTGAGTTGAGCTGTTGAGAAGGCCTGTCTTAGCATATAAATAAGAGAAGGGCTAGTCGGATGGGTGGAGCTTGTTTTTGGTGTGATATTAAACAAAGGGCAACCCACGTAGCTGTCGTTTTTATATAACGTTTGCAGAGTGAAAGAGCTCACTTGGGCGCGCGCAACGATGACGATACCTGAGGCGATAGAGATCAACGAGTGCTCCGGAACAGGCGACCACGGCGGGAGTTGGATGCGAGTCGTACGGAAAGGATCTGTGTGTGTGCGTGCGGCGGACGGTGAGTGGACGGGCGAGGTATCGCGATGGAGAGCGGGAGGTGGAGGGGCGGAAGCGGACAAGAGAGACGGGGAAGAGAGAGAGGGAGAGAGAGGAAGAGGGCGTAGGGGAAGATAGAGGGATGGGAGGGTGAGATACGCGGCGACGTTGATGAGGCGATGGTGATGGAGGACAGGCGGTCGAAGGTTGGTCGTCGCTGGCCGTTTTGGCCAAAATTTCACGCTTCCACTAATATTATGTAAGCATATACTTCGACTGTACAAGCAACAAACATCCCAGGTTTCTAGTTTCTTTATACGGCTATAGCAGATGTGATATAGTAGAGACATTATAGCAGAGGCGTGGGGATAGGCTTGGATTTCCTGTTCAGTGATCCATACTATGGCCGTGTAGACCGTTTATCTGTAGGAGCGCAATTGCACAGTCACCCCAGAGCCTCATTAAAGAGACCTCGCATTACCACGTAGCTATGAGAATCTTATTCACCGCGGGGTTCCTGATCAGGCCAGCTGAATTATATCCGTCTTTCCCCTCATTTTCCTAGCCTCATTTTCTAGCCTCCTTTTCTAACCTCCTTTTTCTAACATCGTTTTTCCCTGACCGTCTCAGCAACGACACGACGAAAGTAGAAACACTCTCATTTGAATATCCATCTCATAGCCATTATTTCAAAATGCTTGAAGCATCCATCCCCCCTAACCTTGTGCAGGAGCGGACGAGGCCGGTGAGCACACCCGCAAACCATGAACCGCCGTTTCCAGCCTACACATCGCGCTTCCCAGAGCACACCAAGGACCTTGTGATGGCCATCATAGGTGCACAGTATGCGTCGGCTGCAGACAACGACGGAGCTGCAATCTCCAAGATCCTAGAATTCATCAAAAGTTCACCGGATATAGCAACGCGGCCATCGTTCTGGGAGCTGATATCGGTAACTGACCCGGGCGGGTCGTATAACCTTGCCGCTATTGCATACTGGCCTAGCAGGGAATCATACGAGAAATGGGGCGTTGCCAGCGGCTTTTCTGAATGGTGGGAGCGGCTCGACGTTGAGAGCGAGCGCCATGGCTGGTTTTTGGAAGAGTTTTCCCCAACGATAGATCGGCTCGAGACGGTCTTCTCTGGCAACGAGATCCTTGAAGGGGCCGCACATATGCAAGAGAAATGGAGCGGCCCAATCCAGGAACATGTGTATTGGGGTAGTATGCGAGACCGGTTTCCCGTGGCCCAAACGGATGCCATCACAGGAGATACCAGCCATAATGTTGCCAACAAGGCTGGCGTTACGTTGCGCCGTCGAATTCGTGTACCTGGAAAGCAAAACCTGGCTATCATTCGGTCAGGCCAGGACTGGTCTAACACGTACCCTGAAGAGCGCAAATTGTATCTAGGAACCATGCATCCAGTCCTCACCAAGGGTATGGATTTCCTCCGTGACCATGGCGAGGACGTCGGGTGCTATAGTTGCCGACTCATGGATGTCGTAGACACTGATACCTTCAAAGCCGACAAGGATCGAACATTCGGGCTGGCCTACTTCAACGATCTCAGCTCTCTAGAGGGATGGAGCAAGCAGCACAAGACGCATCTCGCCATCTTTGGTGGGTTTCTGCAGTACGCGAAGAAGTTGGAGAACAACATTTCCTTGCGTCTGTTTCATGAAGTGCTCGTGTTGAAGCCGGAGCAGCAATTCTTCGAGTATCTGGGGTGCCATGAAAACTTCGGAATGCTTGTTTCTCTCTGATTTGGAGCCTTTCCATTCATATTTCGGGTGATTTATAATCTCATTGGTACTTTCGCTCTTATCCTAGCCGAGGAAAAGCAAATATTCCGACTACTGCATGTTACAGATGCTCCATGGCGTACCGTTGACGTCTGATCCTCAGCAAGTAGTTGGGTATCCAAGGCCTCTACATCCCCAACAGCCCAGTTGTATGCAAAATGTGCATTCTTTCAAAAGTGCGAAAGAAGTTGTCAAGAAGAAGTCACTATGGCCTGATTAGTCATGTTGATCTGTGCCGCTTCGGGCCTAGTATAGCTTAGTCATTCGCTTTTTATCGCCTTAAACTTTATTTTTGGATATAAATATCTTCAAGGGCAAAAAGTCGCAGAAGAGCTGTTATATATTGAAACTATTACACAGACAAGCTTTAGGATGGCGTCAAGGTATGTTGATGGTGCCAACTGAACGTTAATTTAGCCGGGGATCTAACGGCAGACGCGCGAACTCATTCATCAGCTCTGAAAATAACCTTCTGTACCTGCATCTTGTCGAAGATATCATATCCTTCAACGGCTTGAGTTAGAGGCATGATTTTGTCTGCCATGAATCTATTATATCGAATTATATGTGTTAGATATGCTCCTCGTAAGGTGGAATTTCCACGTCACTTACCCCAGGAGATGCTGCTTCTTCTCGAGCATTGCAAGAGCTTCGGGGAAAATCGACCTCACGGGACACCTCCCCATTTGGATCCTGAGATTCTTCCCGTAGGCTTGGTTTCCATTCCACGGTATCTATTATTAAATAAGAGTTAGTGAGATACGGAATAGAACAACCGAGGTGGGCTTACCTCTGCGTTGTGGACGCCGACACTACTGATCACTCCCCATGGCCTCAGGAGGTCAAAGCCCATTTTGAGCGCCGGGCTTGAGCCTACGACTTCGATCACAAGGTCTGCCCCGCGCCCATCAGTCAGCTCTTTAACACGCTTCTCTAGACCCTCTCGATCGCTTTGAAAGTCCCAGGGCTCTGCCCCAAGTGATTTGGCAAGCTCTAAGCGTGAGGGAACCGAGTCCACGGCAAGCAGGTTTCTAGGCTTATATTCTTCAGCATTGATGACGGCACAGAGACCTACTGGGCCGCAGCCAATCACTACCACGGTCAACTCCGAAATTTGCTCTTTGGTGAAGTGCTTGAAACCGTTTTGTGCAGCAAAATATCCGGTTGGGAAGATATCTGCCATTAATACTATGGAATGCTCGTTGATTCCCTCTGGAGCCTTCATTACGGAACCATCAGCTAGTGGCATGCGTACCTATGGCAAGTCAGTACTGTATTTCCTTTTGGCAATTTGATAAATGGTATCGTATGCCTTTACGCACATATTCTGCTTGGCCACCGTCTAAAGCCGGACAGCCTAAAAGCAGGCTCTTCACACAGCGAGATGAGAAGCCAGATTTGCAATAGAAGCATTCCCCACTATCTCGCAGGTCAGCAAGTACCTATTATTCCCAGAAGAAGGAATGGACATACCACGATGCTGTAAAAGGACTGACAATCTTATCTCCGACCTTCACTGTCTTGACATCACTTCCAGCCTCAACGACAGTGCCGGTAAACTCATGGCCCATTATAAAATTAGTGTCTGAGGGCTGATGGCCACGATATACGTGAAGCTCGCTATCCGATCTTGATCAGTATCCTTCATGTGAAAACGAAGGTAACTGACTTGTAGTGGTAGAACATAGAGCTATGCATACCTTCCGCATAATGCAGTATATGAGACTTTGACGATGATATCTTGAGGGTCCTGGAGCTTTGGGATCGGCCGCTTTTCTAGAACGATCTTACGCGGGCCCTTGAAGACAACTGCGTTCATGGTATCGTTTGTCGCCATTGTTCGGCCGTTTCTCTAATCTAAATTGTACGGTTAATGTATTTCGTTAATGACGATGGACACTCATGGATGTATGGCGGTTAGTTATCCTCGGTGGTTTTCATATAGCCCTCGTCGGCCCCTGGCTCCATTTGGTGGGGAGCTGAGGGGTGAAAATGCGGGTTGCAGGCTTCCTCGGCCTGGGGAGAGGTCGCTCGCCAATTTACATATCTGTTGGCCGACAGGTTATGCTTAATGTATTTGTAGAATATTTATATTATAAGACCGAGTTCAATGTATAATTTTGGTCAGGACATCGGTATTCCGCTGTAATTCTATCCGGAATACTTAATATCACTGTCTACAGGCAACAATGGATGTGGAGAATATATCGGCCAACTACCGATTTCAATGAAACTCCGGCACATATATCTGGACGGAGCTTTAGATGAAGTAATGGTAAATGTGCCGATATGCTACGACTCTACGCTCATTCGACTATTGGACTTGGTATGCTAAAGGAGAGAAGTAGATATATGAGACTGCTAGTTGTATATACCTAAGGGACGGTATGAGATATTAGATGTGATAAGCTTCTCTGGTCGGTAAAGAAAAATATCAGAACGAATAGGTTAGCACCATAACTGTAGTAGATAAATAATTAGGGACCATAATTGTCTCCAGTGGGGAGGGGGGAGAGGTGATGTAGGTAGACAATCCAGTGCCTTGAATGAACGAGACGGACAAGAAATAAAACGATAAATGATAGACGCCATATTCCCAATGGTAAATAAGATAACTTCCTGCCCCCTGTAAGACACCTTGTAGAAATGATTCGGCGCCTGATTCCCAGTCCACCAACCCCCAACGATTCAAACGGTCAGCCCATATAAGGGGGCTCGCACAACGAAGGAAGAACACCCTAAATAAAACACCGCACACCGCACACCCCTACCCAGCAAAAAAACCCGCTTGGAAAAACGCCTTGTTGTAGTTGTGAGGAATCTTAAACCTGAGATCCGGTTAAACGCATATTCAAATGATCGGTCCAGCAACATCGTGTTGTGATTCGCCGTATATCTTCGGCACTCTCGGAGGCTCTACCGTGAGAATGACGAAGATATCGGATAAACAAGGCGTTTGAAAACGAAAAGAAAAGGAAGGAAAAGAAAAAGACATCCCACCGCTCAGTAGACGACGGAGAGCAGCTCGGCTTCTAGGATGAATTTTCCCTCCTTGTACTTTTCAGATGTCTCGTAGGCCTTGTCGTATTTCCAGCCCACAGTTTCGTTGCATTGTGTGCAGTGGATATCACGGACTAGGTGTCTGCCTGTTGTCATGTTGCGTTCCTCAGACTCCGAGGCGTTGATATTGACGACATTTTCAAACAGGTAGGCCTTGCCATGCTGCCCACGGAAATTCTAGATCGTGTTAACAATCTGTTACTAGCTAGCGGGGGAGAAGCGGTGTGTCTGTGTGAAGAAAAAAGTGTAAATACCTACCCGACTGATGATGTCATGATAGTCTGCAAGATGTGTTTTGCAGTGCTTGCAGCCAAATATCTTGTTGGAGTTGATATAGATGTTATACGACAGCCCCATGGTGACCGCTCGTTATCTTTGTATCTTCTTTAAAACGGTATATCTCTCAGAAAAGGTATCTCTCAGGAACAGCGAACCGGGCGAAAAACCGACTTCGAGTAGCTCGCACCAGGACGACAAAATGTATCTCTCGAAATATGAAGGGACTCCGAGCCGTCTTTCCCTGGATGTTTGCTATGCGGAGCTAGGATAATGGGGCGGGATGGCTACCAGGTATGACAACCAAGTCACACTTGTAGTAGTATCAGCCAGCCAAAAACCCCAGGTTTATTGGCCGAATAAGATCTCTTTGCCAGGTCGATCGGCCCAAAGAGATAGGTTGAAGACGGGAATGAACCTCCCCCGTATCTGCTCCTTTTATGGTAGACGTGGCCCTCGTAACTGGCTTCCTTCCTTTCTGCCTCCAGCTGATTGAGCGTCTGCCTTCGTTTTTAAGGTTTACAAGGGAGTTCGTCTTGCACGAGAGCTGTTATTGAGAGTGTCGAGAGGAGGAATAGGCCGTCCTTATGAACTCCTGGGGGAAGAGGATCCGGGCCGCCGAATTGCAATATCGTCCAAGGGCCGCGAGGTGGAGACGGGTATGGCAGGACTCGCGGGAGAGGCTAGCGACGTTGCCGGCCTAGACTCTTCAAGGTAAATATCGGGAGGGACGGGGGGCAGTTGACGAGGTTCGTGGAGCTGGAGCGGACGGTTTATATCGTAGCAAGGGGGGCAGAAGCCGTTATAATGGGGTGGTTGGTCGCCGGGAAGCTGGGGCAAGCAGCAACTAACGGTCAAAAGGGAAGGTTTGAAGTGGTTGAAGCCGGAGCGAGCAGGATATGATGATTTATGATGCAGGCAAAAGGTAAAAAAAAAAAAAGGAAAAGGAAAAGGAGGAAGAATGAGAGGAAGAGGAAGAAGAAAGATAGCAGACAAGGGAAAGCTTGGTGAAACTCTCCGGGTCACGCCTTTGAACACTGCCCACCCAAGAAGATATGCACCTGATACCGGCAGCAGAGAAGGCAGAGAAAGGCGAGCGTGTCAGTTTCTGGCGCAGGATGTTCGTTCCTCCGTTTCGTTTGCTTCGTTCGTATTTCGTCGGCGTTGTCTCGCAATGACGACATGAGCGCCTCCTGGCTTCGGTATGCGAGTTACAGACTGGATGTACGGGGAGGGGGTGTATGTACTACTGATAGGGATATAGGATGTTACGGAGACTCTTACTGAGTACAGATCTGATGTTACATTCGACTAGAACAGGTCCGCAACTCTCTCTCCCCTTCAATCGCTAACTATCCATGTCCTGGCCGGCATGAACTGTTGTTCTTGTTTGCCCGGGGCCAAGCCGCGGTTCTAAAGTGCTTATCGATAGGCAGTTTGAGTACCTTCGTGTTCTCGAACAGAGAGTATACAGAGTATAGAGAGTATAGAGTAGAGTATCAGAGCTGAAGCAGCCCGAAACATGCACGTAGTTTCACGTCCGTGGAAATGGTAGCACGACATCGATGAGCGATTTGAAACATTCGAGATACGCCTAGGAAAGCCGTGACGGCCCGAACCCCCGCTCGCATATAGATATATGTAGACGTTATAAGGCCAAATGGACGAATCGGTCTCAGGTTCAGCTAGTACCCTTGCTACATATAACGGCTCTATGCCGACAGTCTGTTTTCTGACCCTGGGAGAGTTGATTTCCGCTCGATTTCCCGGGAAAACGTTTCTGCCTTTCGTTCATGGACATCCTTGCAGGAGGATGTGCCCGGCGGCCTTGGCCTGCTTCAGCCTGTAGCAGGGATGGCCAGCAGTGGCGACCCCAAAGGGGTAACTATACCACATGGAAGCTCCCCGATAATATATATATACTTGCACGACTGGACTCATCCCTGACGACGGCGAGGGATAGCTTCTCATCGATGATCTAACTTGGCTGCATTGAATTTCCAGAAAGCCTCACAGTCCGCGTGGCCCCAGTGGTCTAGCCACCACTCTCCGAAACTGTCGCTTGCATCGTCGTCGACGCGAGGGATCCTCTCTTCTCTCTTCAGCCCGCACAGTGCACAGGCATGCGTTGATCTCAGGGCTCCTTCGTCGGCAGTTGCAGTGCGCACCTGCATGTGCAGTGACATGGGAGGCATCGGTCGGCTTCCCGTGGATGCGATCACGGAGTTGAGGATGCCGCTGCACTTCTTCCACGCCTCGAGGACCTCCACGGCTTCTTTTTCCTCCTTGACGTTTTCTGATTTGTTGACGCTGCTCAATTTCATGCCCCCGGATCGCCCAGATCTGGCCGGCCCGATTTTAGTGCTCTGGCTTAATATTTGGTCTCGTTTCCACCGCAACTGCCGTCCGGACACAACATGGGCCATGGCCTTGATATTGGATATCAATTGGTTGGCAAACTCGTGATCGGGTTTGCTCTTTGCCAGAGTTGCCGCTTTTCGTCTAGACTGCTCGAGTAGCGGCGGGAATAGCGGCAGTAGGATTGATGGTGGTGGGATATTCGTGGGTCGGACCGGATGGTCTTTGGTCGGCAGGGCTGTATCTGCCTTGGGCGCCTCCATTTTCTCCGTGCCCGATTTGGTCTCGGACTTGGTCGGGAGACTATGCGAGGCTGTCTTCGCGAGGGAGGGCCGTGACATCGTAGGGATTGGTTGCTGAATATTGGTACCGGCATCTTCAGCTCCATCAATAAATTCACCCCAATCATCCTCCTCGGCTTCATCTTCCTGAGCTGGGTGACTGGTAGCGAGATCCACGCTCGGTGCCCGGTTCATAGGATGCTGGACTGGTTGATCACCCGTAGAATAACTTGCCGTAGCTCTTGGAGGATCATCGTCGATTGAAAGCAGATCGATGACATCGTGCAGTTGAGGCTGAGGTCTGGCAACCTGGTGTGACGCTGGCTTTAGCTGAGTCGTGGATTCGGTTCCATGGCTGATATCGAAGATCGGATCTTGTAAGGCAAAGGAGCCATTATCTCGAGATGACGGCGGCTGTTCTGCACTCTCAAAATCCCCCCATTCGTCCTCGCTGTTGCTATCTGATGGTTGTTCGGTCGTTGCATCAAACAGCACTTCAGCATCACTGTTCGTCGTCTCTAGCGCGGGTGGCCGCCATGCCTCCAAAAACGATGGCTGTGGCGTAGGATCTCTCGAGTCGAAATCTGTTTCCAGTAGAGCCACTTGCTGTGCCTTGACCGGTCGTGTTGTCGACAAGTTGGCATCTGAGGCGGCCGTGGTGGGCTGTGATGCAGTATCGGGCTGTCCAAACGCCGCAAATAGATCTGCTGACATCGTTCGGTGGTGGCCACTCACTTTCCACTGTCAATCCAAGCCCCGACTCCTCCTACATCCCAAGCGTGTGTCGACTGCTCTCCTTTGGATCTCTCGCTGAGATCGAAGGTCAGAAAGGTTGCTCCCTCCAGGAAGATCGAAGGGCCAAGAACGTCCAACTGTAAATACGCACGCTAAGTTTCCTCTGCCAATCAACTCGGCTTCACGACGCCCAAACATCGATGCTTGTGAGGTCACCTCCTGCGATGAACCGAGACTGAGACGACGATGGGGACTCGGGTCTATCTCGCATTCAGTGATAGAATCGTTGCACGCCGCGGCCCATACTAGCTGCGTTGTGGGAGTAAACCGGTGGCTCTCAGGCAGCCTCCCTCCTTATACTTCGCACTGCACATCGCCAACCAGACTGGTTTCAGTCGCGAGTATCCTACCTGTCCATAGCACAAAGTACTACGGCACCTATATGCAATGAGATCTGTGGAAGAGTCTCGGTTAGATCTGTACAACCCTGCACATCGTCCCGCAATTCTGACTTTCACCTCAGGGCTCTATGGAATGCCACTTTCCAGCCGGAGATACGTTCTTTGCATGAATTGAAACAAGTTTTAGAGGCAGAGACCAAGGGACACAGTCTGTGTGAGGATGGGTTGCGATCGGTGTGTTGGAAGGTATTGTTCTTCTGATACCCCGGGGGGTGCAAATGTGTCTATAATGGCCACTGACACATGTATAGGCCTTTCTCTTGCACCGCGAGATAGACCGGTCCAATTGGTCGGTACAGCTCTCAGACTCGAGAGAGGCGTACACGTCCGTAAGGGAGCATTTCCTGAAATATATCCTCAATCCAAATGAGTTGCCCTCTACGGTTGACCCGTTGGCAGAGGACGCTGAGGTATGGATTCCCATATATTCCCTAATTGGAAAAAAGACAATCATGGAACAAGAAAGTTTCTAACCATCTGATTATAAAGTCGCCGTGGGAATCTCTTAGACGAGATGAACTTATTAGAGCAGAAGTTTCCCAAGATGTCGATAGATGTCTACAGGAAAACAGCTTCTTCCATGATCCAATTGTCAAGTCTAGGCTGCTTGATATATTATTTGTATTTGTCAAGCTAAACCCAGATCTGGGCTACCGGCAGGGGATGCACGAGCTGCTCGCACCTATTTTATGGATTGTATCACAGGATGCCATTGACATGAAGACTGTAAATCAGGATGAAGCCTTCGCAGCCTGTGACGATGAAGCACTGCTGCTGCAGTGCCTGGATCCTGCCTATATCGAGCATGATTCTTTCATATTATTCTGCTCCGTCATGCAAACTGCCAAGCAGTTCTACGAACATAACGATGGGAAGAACAGCATGGGAAACTCGGAGGTTTCGTCTATAATCACACGAAGCCAGCACATTCATCTCGTTCTTTTGCGGCAGATAGACCCAGAGCTGGCTGACCATCTTGTTGCCATTGAGATACTACCGCAGATTTTCTTAACGTGAGTTTAGACATTGTCTTCTGGATAGATTAAGATCAGAGTTAATCTATTATATAGGCGTTGGATAAGGCTCTTATTCGGCAGAGAGTTTCCATTTGACGATGTACTTTCTCTTTGGGACTTGATTATTGCTGAGAACCTTAGGTCATCGCTTATTGATATGATCTGTGTCTCCATGCTATTACGGATTCGATGGCAATGTGAGTATCCCCTTGTTTACCGTCATTATTCAGTGCTAATATACAAACATAGTAATGGAGGCCGATTATTCAACTGCGTTATCTCTACTTCTAAAATACCCATCTCCAGAACCAATCAAGCCTCGTACGTTTGTTCTTGATGCTCTCTACATAGAGCACAACACGACATTTGAGGGCGCTTCATACCTTTTTGCGAAATACTCTGGCAAACCTATACCTCAGAGAGCTCGAAATAGCATATCTCCTCCCAGAATCGGTTCTACTACCAGACAGAAGAGCAGCTCCATCAGCCGTGATATTTTCAATACTCCCAGCAGCTCTCCTAACAGATTAAACTCGAAACGTTTAGACTCGATATTCCAAGACGTTTCTGAGGGTTTATATCGTCGCGCAGAAGGCTGGGGAGTCACCAAGGCAGTTCGTGGCGCGGTGGTTGAAGCTCGTCGCAACATGCAAAACCTTCAGGCTGGAGCGAGCAGCTCAACGGTGTTTAATCATGATGGACCGGCGTGGGATTCGCCTAGCCCGCCACGCATATCTCTTGCAACAGTTCGGGAATTGAATTTAAAAATATCTACGTTGGAACAGCGGAATAAAGCTTTGGCGATGATGTTGGGGGATGCGTTGGATACCTTGCAAACCCATCCCTCTACGGCAAAGGAGAAAGATCAAGACGGCAGCGAGAACCTGCAGTCGATGGACGAAGTTGTTGCTCGGATCCAGAAAGTGAAGACCTGCCTTCAGGATCCAGCAATTCCACTTGACGCAGAAGGTAGACCTGAGGCAAAACAACCATGTTCTATCGCTCGAAGCAGCGACGATTCTCCCACGAGGGTTAAAGTCACCAAGGAGCTACCCTCCTCGCCAACCGTTGGTTCGCAAAAGGCTACAGCCAGGCCTTCCACGGAACAATTGCAGGAGAACACCAAGATAACAAAGGCAACCAAGGAGCCGCAGTCACCACGGTCGCCGCCAAGTAGCATCAGCACCCTGTCGCCAACTACAAATACGATAAAGGGACGCCCGATCCGACCAACACGAACCTCAGTACGTGATTCATCCTTCTCCTGGATCCTAGGCGACGATCAGGACCGGCCAAGCTTCGCTACCAGCGCATCCGAACCTCCCGAGCAGAGACGCGAACCATCGAAATCGCTCTTCACGGGTCCCGAGGGCGATGACCGGGCAGCTGGACAGCCGGATATAGAAGGCCTGGTGCTAGCTGATTTACAGCACGCGCCGCAGTCGATGCAACAGCAGCAGCAGCAGCAGCATCCGGACAAGTGAAGAGATAGCTTAGCACGTACTCCATACTTCATACATCGTATAGAGTACTTCGTATATAGATATAATGATGACGATGACAATAACCGATAACTGACCTGACCTAGACCTGACTCCTTCACGCTGCTCTGCTCGTGATCTCCTCCCCAGATCCCGTGTGACAAGGACGACTGGATGCATCATTTGATAGATAGACGACCCTCTCGCCACTGTACTCTTGCTGCCTTTCTGATGACACGAGCTGTGCCTGTGTCCATGTCCTGCAGCATGCAGCCTTAACTAGACGGTCCCTTCGTCCTCCATCCTCAGCCTCAACTGCAATCACGACAGTCAACCAGCCACCATTCGAACTAGTTAGCGAGCCAGCCAGCGAGCCAGCCCCTGGGAGTACGTATCACTGCATCCTGAGTTAGCCTGGCCTGGTCAAAGCCGTTCTTCCTTATAGCATATAGCACAGCACATAGCATCATGAAGATAGCGAGAGGTGCACGGCGCAACTGTCCGTGAATTGCGGAGAAGTCATCGATGGAGCGCCGGGGAGGCAACTTGGCGCATCCGACTGGCTTTGACCGGCTGGTCAGAGTGATGTGCACATGCATCCCCGGACTTGATTCCCGAGGAATGATGATCCTGGCTCGTTGTTTTGTGTTTTGTCGTTCATCGTGGCGATTGACTCTGGCCTTCACCAGCAGGGACTCAAGCAACAGAGATGCAACAGAGATGCAATGAAGCAACAGTAACAACTAACAGCCTCAGCCGTCACTCGGAAGAGAAGGGAGCCAGCTGAAGAGGCTCCAGCTAGTGCTGTGGATAGACCGTACTCCGTAAAATAAATATTTATAACTCGTCTGCTGGTTGGATGTTTTTTCTCCCCTTCGCGGACGTCAAAGAGCCGTACTTTTTTCTTCTGACCCATCGAAAGTCTCAGAAACAGCTACTCCGTAATCCACTGCAAGGCCACCAAGGCGTGTAAAAAGCCCCAAATTTCTTCCAGCCTGCCCGACCCCCCGCGGCCGTCTCCTTTTTTAACGAGCTGCGATCCCTAGCGAGCCCCTTTCAACACTCCCGGTCAGCCTCGTCCGAGGTCGCAGGCGAAAAAGAGAGCGTTAAGGTTGGCCAGAGAGAGGCTACGTGTGACTGGACTGCGCGGTACCTCTGCCCGGGACCTTGCCAACTTACCGCTAGCCACTTGGAAGCGAACTGGCGATATATTATTTTTGGGGGAAGACAAGGAAGCAGAAGAAGATTGTTCGACGTTGAACTCTGCGTTTGTCCGTTGATTTGTGCCCACTGTTTGCTTTCGAGCCGGCTTCCCACGAACCCCTCCAGACGGGCTCTCATCGATATATATATATATATAAAACTGCCGGTCTGTGACGTAACTAACCGTAGTGGGTTATGAACGACCTTGCATGCGATGCGACTCTGAGGACGTGAGGGACATCGCGAGTTCTATCCAGTGCTCATCGAAACCTCCCAGAGGCCAACCGGTGGCCATCCTGCTGGCCGTGAGCTCAGGTTTTCCTGTGTCATGTCAGAGACTGAGGTGATGGGCTATCAGAATGGTAAGTCAAGTCGAGTCAAGACGAGTCAAGTTCAAGTGCCATGCAAATATTGGTTGGAAAGGAAACAATCTTGTGGCACCCTCAAGCATCAAACACTATCCATTTCAGCCTGGACTAACCTGCTTGCTTGTGCGTGATCTTAGGCGAGAGAGGGAACATTCCTAACGGTGATGGGTTCTGTGACTCGCATCCGATGCACTCGCCTCACGAAACCGCTACCTTGAACGGCGAGAGTGAGATGAACCAGGGACCTCACCCGCTCTCAATCGACACTTCGTCCGTCGAATACGACTATCTCTCAAGGTCGGTGTCTCTACTGTCTCAGGGGTCAAGAAAAGAGAGTATTAACATCGCAGTCATAGATCTCCTCTGCTGGAACATGAACACGGGCTAGGTTCATCTGGCTTGCCTCGTATACGCCAACGACCATCATCCAGAGCTCCTTCTCTTCCCTTTGCCTTGACCTCCTCGTCTTCTTCACTCCAGCCTCTCTCGCAGTCCCAAACAAACAACAGTAGACCTACGATACAGCCCGCATACATTCCAGACGGCGAGGGAACTTCACCCGGAGTCGAAGACCTCTACCGTTTCCCGTCCGAGTCTTTACACTCTTTCTCTTTCGCTAAGCAGTCCGAAGACCTGCTGAGCAACCGCCAGAACGTGCTGAAGAGGTCGATTGACTTCTTGAGGGATCGAATTGGGCTGGCGGCCAGTGATTCGGGCCTGGGCGATGGCCAGGCTCAGATGAACGATGAAAACGAAATACAGTGGATGATGGATATACTCTCCCGGACGAACCTCTTGGGCAGCTATGACGTCTCCTACCAGCCTGCTGGTCCGGTTACAGGCCCTCCGGAGATGGAAGGAGCAGGAAATCTTTTTGACAAGGCGTTTGGAGCCTATCAGACATACAGTCCTGCAGACATCAGGTCTCAGCAGGAGAGGTTTGCGAACAAGGATCAACACCTAAGCCCGGTGACGTTTGAGCGAGCCGTATCTCGAACCAGAGGCCGAAAATCTGCCCCTTCTTCAAGACGCGTGAGCTTGAAGAGGACGTTCACTGATATTGGATCCCTGGCACAACAAAACAAGGTCATGGGCACACTGACCGAACCATACTCTGCCGTTGAATTCCCCTCCAACCGGAGCACCTCGTCTTTTGGATTTGGCTGCATGACGCCTAGCATGCATGTCCATAGCGGTAAATCATCGCCTCCCGCCCAGGCTGTGTTCACCACCGAAGCCAAGCCTAACTGGACGGTACTTGCTGCCAATGATCTTGCGTGTCTCATATTTGGCGTAACGCAGAGTGAATTCAGGAAGATAAGCATTCTAGACTTGATTCAGAGGGAGAGGCGAGAATGGCTAGAATCGAAGCTTCAAGGCTCGCAGTTTGTGGCACCAGAACCAGAGCCCCGGAATGACGAAGCTGCTCGCAAAGCGACGCAATTCAAATTTGGGATAGGGAAAGGCGTGACGGCACAGTTGCTGAGCAAACCACCGGCCCGAGTTACTCGCAAATCATATACCATAAATAATCCTGTTGCCAGCAACTCTGGAAATAGGAATGGAAACGGAAACGGAAATAGCAATGGCAATGGCAATGGCAATGGCAACGGCAACGGCAGTAGTGGAACCAAACAGTCCAGGAGCCCTAATCATTCATCCAAAAAATCTCGCGGAGTGCTACTTTGCGGGGACGTCGTGCCTATTCAAAAACGGAACGGCACGACAGGCTCCGCAAGTCTGTGGGTGATGGAGAAGAGAGGCGGGTTGATCTGGGTCGTGGAAGAGATTACTGAACATGCCGTCACCATTGAATTTGATGATAGAGGGAAGGTAACCTACATAAACGGCGACACAGAGCAGATATGGGATAGAATGTCAGTCCAAAAAGGAACAACTATATTCGATCTCCTCCCTAATATCCCAGAACGTTTCCCGGCCGGCTCTGGCAAGCCGGATTTCTCCAAAATCAACGAGCAAAGACACTTCACTGCTTCAGGCCTTCGAGAGGATAGCAATATCCCCCTTACCTTGACGCCACAATCTGGACCCTCCGCTCTACGGATTTCCTGCTTCCCTCACATTGCCGGGATGATGGTACTCTGTGCCAAAACTCTTAAAATCCTGAGTGCCAACTCGGCATTCACCGCTACCTTGTTTGGAAACCTTCACCCAGAAGGTTCTCAGGTTACAGACTTGCTACCAAATTTTGACGAGTTCCTCGATATATTAACCGAACAGGATGATTCTCCCCTTGTCGACGGAGTGGTTATCTCAGAACACAGCTTCCGGAGAGCCAGGGCATTGTTCATCATGCGAAACACCGAGTCAAAATTGACCATGACTGACCTGCGGCCGGCAGGCCTCCCAGCTCGCCATAGCGATGGTGCGAAACTGACGGTCGACGTGCAAATGCGAGTGGTTAAGAGCAAGTCTGCGCCCTCGGAGAATAGCAAGCCCGCTGCGGCTGAGCAGGGTAGCTCGTCCGATAGTGAGAATGGTAGCGAAGTCCGTACCACGGAGGATGTGTTTGCACTATGGATATCGTACTCTCGACAACTGCACTCACCCACAGAGGAAGACATGCTATCTATACCCAATAAGTCAAGGAAGCTTTCTGAAATTCCACCTATCTCTCCTGGCCAGGTATCGCCTGCAGCAGCGCCAGCAAGAATATCGCAAGTCGAGTCTCCTTCGGCAGATGCCTTGACTCAGTCGTCCCTTTTAACGCAGCAGTTAACGGAGGCCGCATCTGAGCCTCTAGTTGACCAGCCAGTACGAAATGCCGAGCTTAGAGTAGTAGCACCTGCAGCGGAAGAAGTTCCTACCAGGAAGAGCATAGCCGACTATGTGATCCTAGAAGACATGGGAGAAGGCGCGTATGGACAAGTAAAGCTCACTCGCTCTAGACGAGATCCATCGAAGAAGGTAGTCCTCAAGTATGTAACCAAGAACCGAATCCTAGTCGACACATGGACGCGCGACAGAGTCCTGGGTACGGTCCCATTGGAAATCCATGTCCTGAACTTCCTCCGCCGCGAAGGCAATTGCCATCCCAACATCGTGGAGATGGAAGGTTTCTTCGAAGATGACATCAACTACTATATCGAAATGGTACCACACGGCCTTCCAGGCATGGATCTATTTGACTACGTCGAACTACGCTCAAACATGGATCAAGATGAATGTCGGAATATTTTCCACCAAGTCGCAAGCGCAATAGATCATCTACATAATAAAGCATCTGTCGTCCACCGAGACATCAAAGACGAGAACGTCATTCTAGACGGCGAGGGAAGGATCAAGTTAATTGACTTTGGTAGCGCGGCGTATATCCGGAGTGGCCCGTTTGATGTCTTTGTCGGGACTATAGGTAAGCGTTCAACTATTACTTGATCGTCCTTTAGCGTCAACGACAGCAATGCCAATACTAACGCAAATCAGACTACGCTGCCCCGGAAGTGCTGCAAGGCAAACCCTATCTCGGCAAGGAACAGGACGTCTGGGCGCTAGGAATCCTGCTGTACACGATCATCTACAAGGAGAACCCATTCTACAACATCAACGAAATCATGGACCATCCGCTTCGTGTTCCTTTCCTGCCGTTCGCAGAGGACTGTCTAGATCTGATTCGCAGGATGTTAGACCGAAACGTACAGACCAGAATATCTATTACAGAGGTGATGAACCATCCATGGATGAGGGTTGCCGTGAATGGCAATGGCAAGGGAGCCTAATTCCATAGCCAGCCCATACGACTCCCGACTTTCGATATCTCATTACGAACTCCTATTTTTTCGACCTTTTTAACCCTATCAAGGAGCATCTCTACTCATCAAACACAACAGCCCCAGACACGAAACATATTATTTCGGCTGTTTCCTTTTTTTTCCTATCTTTTTCACACATATATCTCTACCTCTGTTGGACCATCTTTCATACCCTGCTTGGCCTAGTCCTGTCCTTGATCCCTTTTTGTGCATGGCGGCGGACGTTTCGATTTTCTCTCCCATGTCCTTTTTACGCTTTAACGATTGCTCCTTTCCCCTTTTTCGCTTTTATGATATCCAGTTACTGTATGACGCTTTAGAATGTTCTCTTTCCCCATTTCGTTCCATCATCCTTTCTTTGTTTGCTTTACTTTTTCTTTTTTGCATGGAGCGGGCATGGCACTGGATCAAATCGATAACAAACAAAATAGAGGCGAGGCTGTATGCTGTACAGGAGGGAGAGAGAGTGGGTTTGTGCAGATTGGACACATCTTTCGATTGTTTTCTTTATCATTCTTTTTGCTCGACGCTCCCTTTCTCTACGGGCGTTTTCAAAGGGCACAGCACAGCGCCTTGAGGCCTTGTTCCTTCTTATCCCTCTCTCGATCCCCCCCTTTTGAGACGAAACGTGTAAGCAGGAGGTTGGAGTTCATAGTCAGACATCTATCTCTCTTTCTTTACGCCGTACCGCCTTCACTAACCCATCCGTAACTCTGCAAGCGGTCAAAGAAACGGTCAAGGACGCTCCACTTATCGACAGGCTGGAAGTGAAAGAAAGCAAAATTTGACTTACACACTAGCAAGTAACTAAAAACCCGCGTGGTCTCCCTTGCTCCCGCGGTTGCAGCGTAAATCCGGCCATCCAGACGCACCGCATGGCACCAGCATATCCGTTTGGCCTATACACGGCCATCATGTGAGACGCAGGCTGGAGGGTGTAGGACAGCTGCGGTCATCCGGCCTGTCAGTCGCTCGTCACTGTCAGAGGCCGTCAGTCGCCTGTCCGTCGTCTGTCCATCGCTGTTCCATCGCTTGTCTGTCTATCCAGGCGAGCGGCGGTGGCTATCATGGTCTCAGGTCTCAGGTCTCAGTGTGGTGGAGCAGATAAGTACCCCGTCCTGCCCCGGATGTACCTTATCGCCTATCGATAAGCGGGCGGAGGGGCCCAGGCCGAGGTACCCCGGTACTTAACCTCAACCTCCGTCTTTTTCTCTTTCTCTCCCTTCTGTGCCTGATCCCGAACCCTCCACACCACCACCACTCGCTCTCTTTTACTATCTTGCTGTCATCACCGCATGACTCTTTGTCTCTCGCCTGGACGAAGGTTCCTATCGTTTATCTCTTTAGACTGTCGTTGCACATGGCCTGCTGATGTGACTCGTCCCGCCGGTCATGGTGGCGGCTCTGGCAAGACAAGGTAGATAGTTAGTTGCCAGTAATATCAGCCATCGGGGTCCCGAGACCGTTAAACGAGTTGCCAACCCTTTGATCGTCTTTCTGTTCCCTCGGTCAGTTCCTGGTAGGCTCCAACTCTATTACAACTCTTTTTCGCTTCCTGACATGGCCTGACGCTCTCCTTTTTTCTCCCTCTTCTACTTCCTAGACTTACGTCTTTCAGTCTTCAGTCTTCAGCCTTCAGTCTTCAGATTGCTGCTCGTTCTGTCGTTATTCATGGTAACTGGATTTACGGCGTGATATGGATCCCAGAAGACTTTGAAACACCGATATTCCTACAATATCCACGGCATCACGATAAGACCAGTGGTTCCAGTGCCATTCTTTCCACCGCAATTCCCAACCTATATATACACTACGCCGACTCACCGCAATGGCTTCAATGCTGCCAGACGAGGTGCAACTGGCGCTGGATGGCGAGGCTTCCGGCCAGTCGTCCCCACCACCCACCCCCACAGGAGTCGATGGCGCTCAGCCTGATGTACAGCAGAAGCTCAAGGGCCGCAAGAGACTCCTAAGGGGCATACAGCGGATAGCCTCCAGTCCCTCGCTAGTAAGACTGGGCCGTGGCCGTTCTGCATCGGAAGGCTCCCGTCGATTCGGCGCGGGAGCGTCCATGTCCTGTGTCTCTTTGACCTCGAACCTCTCCCATCGTACCTGTTGGGATGACCCGAGAGCGTATGGCGATTTATCGAACAGACGACATGGTGCTGTCGGTGGCGACGAGCATCACGAGCCGAGCCGAGTCGTTGGAACGGATAATGGACTGCTTCACGGACATAATCAGACTTCGATACCACTGCCGGCAGATATACGGCCGTCATCTCGTGGAGTGATGCTAGATTCTACGGCAGAGGTGGACGCAGATGGTGACACTGAGATGGGAATGGAAGTAGAGGAGGAGGAGGTTCCGCTGCAAAATACATGGGCTGAGCTCCCCATGGAAATCAGGATGAAGGTTCTCGGGTACCTAAACCCAAAGGAGTTGTTTAAATGCTCGATCGTGTCCAAGGATTGGAATATGATGTGCTTTGATGGCCAACTATGGGCTCATCTCGATACATCGCCTTACTACAGGGAGATACCACGCGCTGCATTGCTCAAGGTCATTCTGGCGGCTGGGCCGTTCTTGAGGAACCTCAGCCTGCGAGGCTGCACTCAGCTGCTGGAGATCTGGTGCTCGGAAGGCGAACGGGTGACGGATGTTTGTCGAAACTTGATGAAGCTGAATATTGAAGACTGCCTTATGGATAAGGCGACCACTCACTACTTCTTTACCCGCAACCCGCAATTAAGACATATCAATATGTGTGGTGTCTTTACGGCCACCAACTCGGCCATGAAAGCGGTCGCCGAGAACTGTCCGAAACTGGAGTTCCTCAATATCTCTTGGTGCAGGGGCATAGACACAAAGGGTCTGTCGCACATAGTCAAGTCGTGTACTCAGCTTAAGGATCTGCGAGTTAGCCGCATCGAAGGATGGGATAACGAAAGCATCATGTCGGGACTCTTCAAAGCGAACACGTTGGAACGATTTGTCTTATCTGACTGCGCTTCCTTGACTGACGCCAGCTTGAAGGCCCTCATCCAAGGAATTAACCCGGAAATCGATATCCTAACGGGCCGCGCTGTCGTTCCTCCAAGAAAGCTCAAGCAGCTGGACGTGTCCAATTGTCGTTCTCTTACCGATAGCGGTCTAAAATGTCTAGCACACAATGTTCCCGATCTCGAAGATCTCCATGTATCATTCATCAGCAATTTAACAGACGACTCAATTGCGCCCATCATCAACACGACCCCTAAATTGATACATCTCGAACTCGAAGAACTCGGCGAATTGACGAACTTTGTCCTCACTGAGTTGTCGAGAGCACCATGCTCCAAAACCCTGGAACATTTGAACATCAGCTTCTGTGAAAAAATCGGAGATACAGGAATGTTGCCCCTATTGCGGACAAGTACCAGCCTTCGCTCTCTCGACCTAGACAACACACGTATCTCCGATCTCACGCTGATGGAAGTCTGCTCTCAAATGCGGAAACGCGGTGTCGGGCCCGATTTTTCTAAAATCGGCCTTCGTCTAGCAGTATTCGACTGCGGAAACGTTACCTGGGCTGGTGTCCGCGAAGTTCTCTCCAACAACTGCTCCGTCCCCTGGATGACATACCCATCTTCCACCGGCGCACCTAAGCCGTCCCGTGGATCAGCATCTTCTCTCTCCAGCGGCTATTCTGATGTTGAGGACGACGATAGTTCGCACACTGACTCCAGCTCTGACTCCCTCACGCCCACGCCTTCCGACTCGGGTACATCCACGCCCTTCCCATCCGCATCATCCCCTCTTCCGCACCCAACGCCACGCCCACACCTCTACCCGACCCAAATCATAAGCTTAAAATGTTTCTATGGATGGCAGATGACTGTGGACGAACATACAAAGCGAGTCCTACGCGGAAATCTAGCTTCTGCGATGCGCCTGGAGAGGAAATGGGCCGATTATATGATGGCCAATCAAGAGTCTGGTGGCTCAGCTAGGAGAAATAGGCGTCGAGCAAGGGAGCTAGAAGACCTTTTTGACCCGGATGATGACCAGGAGTATGGCTATGGGCCAGCCGGATTGGCGCCATTGGGCGGGAGGAGAAGAAGGGCAAGGAGCGGAGGCTGCCTTGTTATGTGATGTTTGTCACTCATTAACCTCTTTTTCTTGACAAAATCTTGGTATGCGATGCATATGGAGTATACGGATATATGTTAGATACATATTCTGAGGAGTTTGCTACATCGATTGAGCGACGGGTCGTTTCATTTGTCTACTATATTTCTTTACGACCTATCTACGAGCAACTATGAATGGGGGCGATGCAGTTTTTTGTTTTTTTCCTTCACTCGGCAATTTGCAAAGAAAGACCGACGGTTTTATACATTCCTGTTTATTTCTATATATGTATTTTTTAGACTAGGCGTTTTATTATTATATCTCTTCATTCGTGGGACTGGGGTTCATTTACGAGGCCAGAGAACTTGTCAATATGGATGGAATGGACCGAATGATTCAACATTATATGTTTCTATCTAGGGTATATCACTTCTCAAAGAAACCACCATCACTCTCATCACCATCGTCATCACCACCAATGTCATCATTGTCCTGCTTCTTCCCATTCAGTGCCACGCCGCCTTGGAGCTCCTTAGACATAGTCGAACGGCCTCCTTTCGCCTTTTTCTGGCCAGCAGGCATAATAGCAGCGTGGTTCTCCTCTCTCTCCCAGTTCAACCCCTTCTTCTCTCCCGTCACCGTAATTCCCAGTCTTCCTTCCCGAAGCAAATCTAGTGTCCCGTCCTTCATGCTTTGCTCTACAGCATACCAAAGAGGTGGCTTCTCGCTAGACGCATGCCGAATAGGAGCCAGCCGCTGCCCAAGTGCAGACTTTTCCTCCCCGCTATCCTCTTCCTCGTCCTCTTCCATTTCTACTTCCTCCTCCTTCTCGTTTTCATCTCCCTTGCCTTTTTTATTCTTCTTTTTCCCTTCCTTCTCCTTGGTTGGGTATAGAGATATGTACTTCTCTGTCAACGGACTGTATATGGCGTAATTTAGGTCCACCAGTGTAGTGTATATTTGTCTCTCGAGTTCCACTGACCGCTCAGCTTTGGATGCAATTGACTCTCGTTCCGTATCTTCACCCTCCTCCCCATTTTGGAGTTTCGATTTCATGCGTTGTAGTTTTTTCATGTTTTGCGTAGCTGTTTTTCGTTCTATGATATACATATATCAATATACGCCCAACCGGTATAGAATATCTTAATTGAAGGGTAGACTTACCTAGAAACCTGACAAAATGATACTTCGTAATCAGAGCATTTCGTGCTCTCTTCTCCTCGGCCTTATCCAAATCCCTTTGGTATCCCTTCAGCGCCCGCTCTTTCTCAATTCTCACATCGGCAGGTAAATTCTTCGAATGCTCTAATAGTCGCTTTGTAGCTCGTATCTTGGATTTGAGGTCATTAACTGAGGGTCCAGTAGAAGTATCGGTGTTGTTCCTATTATTCTTTTTGCGGTGTTTTGAACCGTTCGGGTCCTGCTTGTACGCATATCGCGGTTTTTTGTGTTTCTCGTGCGGGTCGTCAGTGTGACTGCGTTTGCCCGAAGTAGAGCTCATCATATATAATGGTAGGATTTAATTCTGATGCCCCAATGCAGTTAAATAACTGTCAAATAGCTATTAATAAGATATGGCTCCTGTGGTTACTTTTTTTACGATTGCATCCTGATAACGCGGAGTTTTGTTAATCCGTAACATTCCACAATTTGACCTCGTGATCTCTTAGCTAAGCAGATTGCTTCGACGGGCCGAGGTTACTCCGAGCTCCCAGGTTGACCGCGCGCTTGAGCATTTGGGAAGCTCTCATAACGGCCGCATCTTTGGACCTTAGGACGCCGCGTTGATGGCGGACAGATAGTCAGTGATAATGGGCTCATAACAGCCATGGTTATTAATTCTAGATGATTAAGCCCAAACCACCATTTTCCCACACGAATTGACACTCCTACAGTGTCAAATACCCCACACAGAATGGAGACCGCAGTCCGATGGTCACCAAGCTCAACGTCTGACGACCAGAGGTTTCTCTACGTTGATATACCCGGGAAATCCTTTAATTTGTGCAAGGTTACCTCCCGCGATGACGTCCTTGGAGCTTTGAACTATGAGGTCCAAGCATCTCGCCATTCTGTCCCGCCATTTCGAGCCTTCGACTGGTCGTCCGCCGACGAGAACCTCGCTGTTGTTGGGCAGTCCTCGGGGGAGGCAGCTGTTCTACGCCTAGATGATGATACGCAGAGTCCCATCGTTTTCCCTATACGAAATCAGCGGTCTTGCAACGCTGTTGCATTCAATACACAGGGGTTGCTGGCTGCTGGACTTGACAAAGTCAGAAACGACTTCAGTCTTAATATATGGAACGTGAACCAACGCCTTAGCCTGGGCAGCGCTACGCGACCGTTTGGGTCAAGTAGATACCCAACAGAACCGCTCCGTAAGCTAGCTAGCTCGGAGCCAATTACGAGCATCAAGTTCTTTAGAGATCACCCAGAGACTTTGGTTGCTGGAGTCAGAGGGCAGTCCGTAAGAATATATGACCTAAGAGGTGCGCATATACTATATTTTATGTCCTTTGTACCAGTACACTGCTATACATTTGAATCTTGTGCGTCTCCTTTTTCTAAAATTTTGCGTTTATAGAGTCATCGGGTAGTCCATCCTTACAGTTTACGACTCGATGCGTCCACAACATAGCAATAGACTGGCTAGACGAGAACTACATCGCTTCCTGTTTCCCTTCAAACGACTCCGCCATCAGCATATGGGATCGTCGCTCGGGATTCCGCTACCCCACAGCCGCTGGGGCAACTCCTGCTGCCGCCGATTCCGGACCGCTATCTACTGCTTTGGATCTGAAGCCAAATATTGAACCCAACTCTACAATTGCAAGCTTACGATTTTCTCGAACCAAGCGAGGATGCTTGGGAATGTTAACCACTACTGGAGCCTTTCGATGTTATGATATTGCTAAGGAATACCTTTCTGACGAACATAAATCATCCCTGGAGAATACGTTAGGGCAGGATCCTAGCAGGCATTATCCAGAACAAATATATACCAGAAAAGTGCAAGACTTCCGGCCTTCTGCATTTTCATCAGTCAATAATGCCAAACCCGACTGGCAACGAGTCACCTCCTTCGACTTCTTAAATAAGGGGGTGGTATCGCAGCCTGTTGCCATAACCCTCTTAGCTGATAAAACTGTCAGACTTTTTACACCACCCCCTCCATCACCCTCAACAGACTTATCTTCAAAATGCACCGTAAGCGGTGGGGGCTTAAGCCACGGTGACTCAAGCCCTAGAATTTTAAGCCCTTCTTACGATCACCGAACGAAGGCATCACACATAAACGCGGAACTCCTTAAATATACATCACTTCCAGGACCTGGAGAATTCAATGTTCAATCTCCTACCGCTAAACATCCAGGCGATGAAGCGAGTGTCTCAACTCACGAAAAACGGGATAGCCTGCTCCTAACTGAAAAAGTGCCCTCGTTCCAGGATGCGCTGTCGTGGCTAACCATACCACGCTTGAGGTGTGCGGAAGGTTATCTACTTGACAGTGAAAAAAACAAAGCTATAGTATCTGATGACCCATCTTTGCTGGAATTGTGGGATTGGATCGGCCGTAAGCCTCTAAGCTCCATTACTTGCAACTCCCATGAGAAATTCTAACGGAAATTTATAGGTGCACATTCGCGGTCGGCCAACGATTCAATGATCATTCACGGCGTTGATATGAATTACATTGGCGTATATAGTGTTTGGAATGGAAAACTTGGTTGGTCGGCCCCGATATACCACCGTCGTCTAAACTCGGAATTACTAAATATACAATAGGGCGAAGCTTTGAAAGCAGACGAGACGGCTCTGAGCTGGATGAGGGACTAGATATTAGTTTCCTTTTCCAAGAATTGGTCCATAAGCTCAATTTTGCAGAAAGCAAGACTTGTGAATCTGAGTTCCCTGAAAAGCGACAGCTTTGCCTTCATATCTGTGGCGCACCAGAATCAAATGACGATCTCGTTAACACTGTGAATCAGCTTGTGGCGGACAGACAGCACTCCAAAGCGGCAGCTCTAGCCATTTTCCAAGATGAGGTTAAGCTGGCATACAGGGCGCTTAGGGAGAATAAGCCAACTCAAGCGCATAAGCTATTGGCAATGGCCATCATTGGAGGCTCCAAAGGCGATGCGGGTCCAGACTGGGAGGAGACCTGCGCAGAAATCGCTGCCGAGTTGATAGACCCTTATGCTAGGGCTATACTCGCCATGGTGGGCAATAGTGATTGGATGTCAGTCCTTCAAGAAGCAACACTACCCCTCAAGTATCGAGTGGAAGTAGCATTACGCTGGCTCCCAGACGCTGAACTTACGAGCTATTTGAAAGATGCCTCCGTCCAAGCCATACATCAGGGAGATGTCGAAGGTGTTGTCCTTACAGGTCTTGACCACGCCGCGCTGGATTTGTTCCAATCTTATATAAATAAATACAACGACATACAAACGCCAGTCCTAGCGATGTGTCATACAATTCCACGGTTCATCAGAGACGCACCGAGTAAGGCTCGATTCGAGGCATGGCGCGAAACCTACCGACACCAAATGAATTCGTGGAAGTTGCACCTTAACCGAGTTAAATTTGACATTGAGTCACGGAAACTGGCCATAACTTGGGAATCACGCAGGCTCGTTGAACCACCACTCCAGCAGATCAGCCTCGTCTGCAATTACTGTACTCGCCCTCTTACACAACAGGATAACTCTAATTCAGAGCTCATGGCTACCCCCACAGCTCCTCCAGAATTTGCCCACCCAACCCCGGGGAACCCACTAGGCCACGCTTCAATGAATGGGACGGCTTGCCCTAAGTGCGATCGGCATATGCCCCGTTGTGGTATATGTTCGTTGTGGCTCGGGACGCCCGACCCAATGTCTAAGGCATCAATTGCTGAAGATTCTAAAAAGGCGGCACCCAGCGAGCAGAGCCATGAAGATATCATGCGACGGTTTGTGGTGTTTTGTATCAACTGTAACCATGGCTTTCACGCAGACCATGCTCGGGACTGGTTCTACAAGCACAAGATATGTCCGGTGGCTGAATGCGGTTGTATTTGCGATCGTTGATATAGCACATGTCACTAATTAATTAACAGTTAATCTACCATTTTCAAGTAGGTAACCTGTAAAACCATGTATGCACGAAGGGAGAAATATTCCGCTGTCATTATATAATCAGCCAAGATTCCGCCAAGATTCCGCCTTGAACTTTGCCTCTAGCGGGGAATTTTCACTTGGCAACGCGACTCCACGTTAACAGGAAGAACAACAGCAAGAAAGGACGAGTCCGATCTGGCTACAAAATACATAATGTGAAGAGCCTACTGATGGCAGGGCTATCACAGATTTTTTCTAGCCCACGAAACCATGGGACTTACGAACCTGGTATCAAAGGTGTTTCCTCGAACCTCAACAGCTCGATGGTGCCCTGCCGGAGAACATCGGAGCAACACGAGCTGTGCCACGGAATTTATTGATAACAAGGGTTCCATGCGGATTGTGAGGCTATAAATCTACATGATCTACGCCGCTATGATTGCGGTGGCTATGTTCATCGGGCGAGAGGCTGCGCATGGAAACCCACTCCAGCTGACTACAAATATCCCACCATCTGCCTTGAATATTGATATAAACATGTCCCCTGACTAACAACAATACTACATATACCGCGTTTACGCTGTCAGATATGGAGGCTAAGAAGGCAGATCCGGGAGATACCGACGACAGGGTGACCACGAGGCAAGATCCACCAGGGAATGATTCACCGGATACAGGCTGCAGGCCCCCGTCGTACTCTGAAAACCCTGTAGAGACCGACCTGCTTCCGCCAGAAACACTGCTTCTAGCTGGCACCGCCATTCACAGCACTTCCAGCCCGCCCTCCTGCCCCACCCCCATCTACCAACTCTCCCGCGACATAAGCCACTTACGCCAGAGCAACACTAAAGTCGAACTCTCCCGGTTCGACCACCGTATCCGCAACAATGCCACTACGAATACTCCTCAAGTGAGTACCCGAGAAAGGCACATCTTCAACCTAACACGGCCTCCAACCATCACTACCCCACAGTTCGAGTACCATCTCGAGCCCGTCTCAAGCGGAAATCTAGGGCATGTCGGCTTGAAGAGATACCATCATGTCGTGTCCTCCGGATACCAGGCGTGGAGGTCGACAATACCCCATGCTGGTGCCGACCTGGAGGCCAAGGAACTTGTCTTCGTTGCGAAGGCACGGGGTAAGGAGCGGTATGAATGGCGAGAGGATACAGACTGTGGTCGCCTTCTAGCATACGACACGATCGACGACGGTATTTTTCGCTTGCAGGTCCTCGAAGCGATGAATCGAAAGCGAAGAGATGCCCTCGTGGGGGTCTGGTGTCTGCGTGTCTGGAGGGAGGTTGCCAACTCCAACGTGGAGCCTTTACATCGGGAGGATGGTGAGTGACTTCCCACTTGCTTTTATGTCTTTAGAGCTTGGTTGATAATTTGGCGTACTCTCATAGTGAGGCGCATCCTTCAAGGGATCTCCAAAGATTTTCGGTTTTAACGCTACCGGGGATTTGGAGCATAAAACCAAACTATGGTTTTTTATGGAGCCCACGCCTACCTCACACCGAGATACTGATAACGTCATATACATATTTACAATTACCCAAATTTAACCATGTACTTTGTAGGAATTAACCGCTCCGATCACCTGACGGCCTTTCTCCTATAAAAAATATTAAAGTCCAAAATGTCTAGGTAGAAATGGCCCCTGAAGTGTATTGGTGCAAGGGCTGTACCTGAAACTCGATGACTAAGTTGAGCCTCATACTTTAGCGCGTGCGAAAGTTTGAGAGATCCAAAATGTTAATTCCATTGTTCTCCCTGTACTCTCGTACAATCCATCTCATTGAACCCTTTGACATTTTTAACCAGTTTATTTTTGTGAATATTTTGGACACAAACACGCTTATAGATGATAACATGGCGGCAGAGGCGATTTCTACTGAGGGTTCACCGGAGACACCGTGTACACAGGCAGCAAACGGTACGGTGCCTGCAAAACCTTCCGCCAAACAAGATTCGACCAAAGGATCAACCGTTGGAGACACGACTGTTGAAAAACCCGTTCTTGAAAACACGGCCACTGAAGGGGTGACTCCTAAGTCGATCTCCACTACGGGGGCAAATATCGAGATTACCACCCAAGCGACTAGTACAATGACCACGGCCAGCATCACAGCTGAAGAGTCCAGCGTTGAAGGAGGGGTTTCTAAAGAAAATGCTACCAAAGAGACTATCGCTGAAGAAACGGCGACCAAAGATATAGCTGCTGGAAAATAGAGTGCAGAAAAGGTTTCTGAAAAGGCCACTGCTGAAGAAACACCTGCTGGAGAAACATCTGCTGAGAAGCCTCCTACCCTACCTACCCTTCGAGGAGAATTTAGCTTGAAGGATGCGCTCGAACAAGAAGAAAACATGCTTCTCAGATTCAGTTACCCCGAGAAACGAGTAGACTTCTTTGTGTGGCTTCACCTTCACAGAAAAGAAATGGCAGAAATTGTCTCGTTTCACTTAGGCTTATCTCCTCCAGAGGAATGTCGGCCTGGGGAAGTGAGAGAGTGGCTGCACGGTAGCTTCAATGTCTGCATTCTATTCTATATTAATAACTGGACGAAGGGGCCAGGCAAACGAGTGTTGATTAGATTTCCCCTTCCATACAAGGTTGGCGAGTCAGAGTATCCTGGAAATGCGGAGGAGAAGCTTCGTTGTGAGGTAGCAACCTATATTTGGATGCAAGAAAATTGTCCGGATGTTCCCATACCTCAATTATGGGGATTTGGGTTCAAGGATGGTCAAACTGTAGGTCGTGAAATGCAGGCCCAGTTACAGTGTGGTGTTCGAAAACGCTAATTGAACCCCTTTTCCAAGTTCACCAAACCTGAGAATGTTCCTTGGGCGACTAGATTACTTTGGTATCTTCGTCATCACATCTCACGCATATTTCGATATCCCTTATCCTGCCCCTACGTTATCAATTTCCGTAAAAACGTGCTAGAGAACGGATATCTTATCCTGGATTATATTGATGAACCAGGGGTACAAATGCTGTCAAGCTCTTGGGAGCAACTCCGCCAGGACGATGTCAAAAGGAAGAACCTCTTTACGGATCTTTCACGCATTATGCTCTCGTTAAGCCGTACACCCTTACCTTGCATTGGGTCCTGGACACTGGATTTGAACGGCAGGATTCGGTTAGCCAACCGTCCATTGACTTGTGAACTTCACCAATTTGAGAACGAAGGTATACCAACAAACATCAGCCGAGAATTGACTTACACTACAAGCGATGCATACTATCGCGATATGTTGATTCCTCACGATAACCGTATACGATACCAGCCGAATTCTATACATGACGAACTCGATGGTAGCGTACAACTAGCGAACCTGACTATCATGCGATCAGCTATGTCTGACATTATGGGCCGGGATCTTCGCCATGGACCCTTTTTTTTCCAGCTAACTGACCTTCATCAAAGCAACATATTCGTCGATAAGGACTGGAATATCAAATACCTTATTGATCTTGAGTGGGCATGTTCATTACCCGTAGAGCGTCTCTATCCGCCATGGTGGATGACTGGTCGCCCCGTCGATGGGATTGTCGATGAGCATTTGGCCAACTTCCGAGAAACCTACCAAGAATTTACGGATATTTTTGAGGAGCAGGAGAAAGTTCTTGCCCCTGTCAACGGCGTCAGTCTATCCCGGGCCTCCATTATGAGAAGAGGCTTGAGCACTGGATCCTATTGGTATCTTCACGCACTTGGCAGTGCCAAGGGCCTGTACAATCTTTTTATGTGGCATATTCAGCCATTATATGCACCATCTCATGATTCTAACTTAGAATATCCTGCCATTACATCAAAGTACTGGGCTAAAGATGGGGACGAAGCGATAGCAAAAAAACTCAAGGACAAAGTAGTATATGAGGACAAGATACGCCAGCTATTCGATAAAAAGTACCCTTCGGCAGCACAGCCCACATAATCGTGCATAAATCTAATTGACAGGTTCACATTTCTAATTGACCATAAAACACACAGAAATCTATATCTTCCACCTTGCAAGGAAGGACGTTACCCCTTCTTAGCCTAGCGCTGTCCTCGAAATCCGCGGCGAGCAACTCGAGCTACACGTCCGGGTGGTAGTGGTTGTCTAGCGGTTGCCTCCATAAAATCTCCATCGATGGCAGCATTTGATTCACGTATTGCTGCTTGACAGGCGGCTACTTCGAGCGCGATCTGTTCAGTTGCAGCTTCAAGGTCGGCTTGTCTGCGAGATAATTCCTTATGTGCCACTTCTTTGCGTATGGCTTCCTCACACATAGCTTCAAGGGCGGCTTCAATGGTGGCTTTTTCATGAGCTAATTCCTCACACGCCATTTCCCCGCGTATGGCTTCCTCACGCGTAGCTGCAAGTGCGGCTTCAAGGGAGGCTTTTCCACGAGCTAATTCGTTCCACATCATTTCTTCACATATGGCTTCCTCACGCGTAGCTTCAAGTGCGTCTTCAAGAACGGCTTGTTCGCAAGCTAATTCCTCATATGCCATTTCTTCGCGTATGGCTTCTTCACGCTCAGCTTTAAGTGCATCTTCAAATGCAGCCTGCATGGCGAAGCTTTGTTCTGCGGCGTGTATATATTCTTCTCTTGTCATTTTGAACATTCCAGCTAATGTTATCGGAAGATAAGACAACTAATCGGAGGAACGTTTTGTTTCTGTAGAGTGGGGTCTGCGGTAGTAAAATAAGTGGAAGTAGGTAGCTGGTTGATGGATGGGGAGAATGGGCCTTCAGTATAGGAGGAAAAGCGAGTCCAATGTACACTTCGAAAACTGAAGACAAAATTGATGTTTGATTCCGACCTGAAAACAAGATGGATGGCCATCTTATTTATGTTCGAGTGGCTTTCCCATCACATCGAAGACCGGAGGCTTTGCATGAACACACCTCTCCATTGGAGCCTAATACTATGTGGGAAAATCGAGCATCCTAGTTCCTGAGCCAATCGATATTGATCACGATGTTCATGCCCTTATTCTCTGCCTCGTCCACACCCCCTTCAGTATGTAGAAACTGCTACGCCGCTGTCTAAGGCGGGGTATTGTCGGACGAACAAGCCTTGTAGACTAGTATTTAGGCTTGTCAGCCACGGTAAAAACTAGGCACCCTCTGGAATCTGTTCATCTAGCATCATCACAAGACACAGTAAGGCATTTTCCCGGTAGTTTTTGACCCCAATAGTTAAATTTTTATGGTAAAGACAATGCATTTTGGGTATCAGCAGTTCTCGCAGACTCTAGTCGAGTCATTCTGGCGCATGAATGACGACTTAAGTCTCACGTAAACTGTTAATGCTTTCGAAAAAGAAGAGAAGAGGTTTATGCAAAGGGGCAGGGGTGGATATTCTGACCAATGAAAGGCTTCAAATAAGCGGCGCTAATCATTACGTAATATTTTATCGTTCAATGAAATTGAAGAATAACAGCCAATCATAATGCTTAAATGTTAGCCAATCGTATAATTTAAAACTGACTCAGAAATACGAAATACGGCATCCTGAGCTGGTAGCGGTTCGCTTGCTTTATACTGAATAGTCTTTGCTTCACTCTGACAATTAATGCTCTCCGGAAGGCCTTTAAATCGTTTGCTACGACAATATTACCTGTTTCCTCAATCCTTGAACTCCTATCCTTGCGTTCATCTCCCCAAACGCCATTTCCGACCCGCCGCACGTTCTATCCCTCCTCGAGCTCCAGCTCCTCCACGCCCGCATAACCAAATGGCACCTCACAAAGGGAGAGGCGGTAGAGAACATCCGCGAGAATACAGAATATCGAGAGAACTCACATTTATATTACGACACGCTGCTGAAAAGGAGGGAATTAAAATTGACAGGCAAGGCTACGCCAATGTTGGCGAACTAGTCAGTGCCCCTCCACTTATATGACACAGATCAAGGAGCTGAATCATTCAGTTACAATATAGGAAGCTTAAGGGTCTAAAAGCGACTCTTCCAGACGTCCTCGAAGCCGTTTCCACTTCCGATAAGCAGAGGTTCGGCTTACTCTATATCCCGGACCAACCCACCTCGCCTGAAATTAGTGCAAAGGAAGATGCCGCCGCAGGGGATGAGTCCTCTCTCTCAACCGCTACCACTCAAGCACTCGCATCGAACGATCCAGATCCGAATAATTATTTGATTCGTGCCAGGCAAGGCCATAGTATGAAATGTATCGATTCTGCTTCACTCCTTACCCCACTTACCCTCGACAACCCATCCATCCCAATACCGGAAACCGTCGTTCATGGAACCTACCATGCTACATGGCCTAAGATACTTGAGAGTGGTGGGCTGCGATGTATGGGCAGGAATCATATACATTTTGCCAGCGGGCCATCAATAACTTCAATTCTACCGAATGGCAGAGATGGGGAGATAGTGGCTCCGTCAGGTAAAGGGCGCGGGCAAGAAGGTGTGATTTCGGGGATGAGAGCAGACGCTCAAATATTGATATATATTGACATTAAACGTGCTTTGGCTGCCGGTTGTCCATTCGGCATAAGCGAGAACGGCGTGATTCTGAGTGAGGGTATGTCGACGGATGGGACTGAAGATAAGAAGGTTGGGTTAGAATTTTTTGATATCGTGGTGGAGAGGAAGAATGGTCTGGGCGTTTTGTGGGAGAATGGGGAGCTGGTGAAGGAATCGCCAGATTGGATGTTAACTGCAAAGGCTCCAGTGGGAAAAGGCGGACAGAGGCAGAAGGGAGGAAAGGGGCAATCATCGGCTCCGCGACTGAAGGTAGAGAAAGATACAGATCGTATAGAAGAAGATTGAAGACCTCAAATGCTCACTTAGTTTAATCTCATAAGCTGTATACTTTACGTTATAGATGAGAACCGGCTGTAATCTGATGTGGCTAAATAGGATGACCGTCTAATCGCAGCTTAAATTATACATTGTCGCCGAAAGGGAATACAGCCACGGAGTCACACAGTGCTTTTCTATAACCTTCACACACGTGCCCCTTTCCCTCTCCTCTCATTCACATTCCTAAGCTCCAAATACCATCATCCTGTCCTCAACGGGTTCAAACGTCTTTTCAACGAGTCGTGGTCCTGCAGGCTTTCCAAACACCAGCTGAGCTTTTAGGCTCCATCCTCTGGGATGTCCCACTGTTTGGCCACTGCGGAATCTACCATTGGATTATAATGCTGCAGGTTGGCCCCCAGGCCCTCTGCGGTCAGCATTGTCCAAACGGCATATTGCAGCATCCCAGTTGCATGTTCCGACCCTATAGTGTTGAAGTTAGCGCAAACGTTCTATTGCTTGATGACCTGTGTTATATAACATAGACGTCACCAACAGACCTACTCACATTGAGGCATCTTTTCTTTCACGATGGGCATCTTCCCCTCCGCTACTTTCAGCGCGTTAGAATCCTCGTAGAATAGGATCTGGTTATATATATACGTTAATATAGTCATGTAGTGAGGGTCATGGCCCGGCCTTACCGTTCCGTATGCTGCGCGGAACATCTTAATACGTGGCGCAAATGCCTTCTCGAAGATCGGCGGTGCGTGGCTGGCCTTGGCGACATCATGAGCTATGTCCCAGAATTTCTTGTGCTCTTCCTTCAGAAGCACCACAGCCCGACCGGACTGGCAGTTGAAAGGGGTAGGTGAGTGGAGGACGGCGTCACGGACGATGTCCTGGATACGCTCATCGGGGATCTCGACATCGTTCGAAAGCAGGTGTCGCGAGCCTCGATTTTTAATGGCATCACCTATGACGAGCGTTGATCTTGACATGGTGAGTCTTGGACAAATACTATCGGAGTAAAAATATGAAAGAATCAGGCGAGCGGAACAGCCATAAAAGAAGGGATCTTGGTCAGTCTAACAAACTGCAAGAAGCTCGTTGACAGAATGCATTTGGTAGAGCATAGAGCAGCTTAATACCTTTGACATCGCGCCGGGTTTCGGGTCTCGGGACTCGGGGGCGTCAACAAATCGACAAAGCCAAGCAGAATATATTAACCTAAGTATATCCCAAATTAAAGTTAAGCATGGAGACACGGCAGCGGGGCGGTCCGGGGTTGCCAAGAGCCAATAATAGTGTTACTATTTTTAACGGTGCTTTAGATCTGGTTTAGAGTGTGACGACATCTCATAATTCAGGGGGGCTCAACAGCTGGCTGAAATAAAAATTTATGTGAACATTTACATACAGCTACAGAGGAACGTATGAATCCACGTAACGCGAAGGAATACGTTGCATCATAGTAGGGATACTCCACCAACATTAAGTAATACTGCATGCAACTAACAAATTCACACGGTCAGTTCTCTAGAATTGATTGGCTGTGAGAACCGACTGCTCCTTTCAGCATGGCGAAACCTGATCGAGAAGCTAGACTCTAAGTGTGGCGGGACAGGGCAGATATAAGACCAATAGACGCCCCTGTCAGCCGTTGGCTCAAAACATGGCTGGCAGGATCCAGTCTCCTAACCTGAGCCAACTTCATCATATGTACTCCGTAATATGGATGGCATGTCGGCATCAAAGAATAGCGGACACCAGGTTCCCATGTCTCGGCAGCACGACCTGCCGATGATCACATATCGCCCGTGAGTTACTCCTACTCAGCTTAGGGTCTAGAAAACTGACAAAAGTTATTTTCAAGGTCCTGCGATTTGTGCACCGTGGCCAAGGTGCGCTGTGAGAAACAGCACCCTCAATGTAGCCGGTGCGTTCGCATAGGTAGCGTCTGCCGTTACAGCGTATCCATGAACATTGGAAAGCCATCCGTCGACCAAGTCAAGGCTCCCGGTGCAGGTACGTTACCGACACCGGGTCATCAGCATGTTCAGACTGCTACTCATGACGTGAAGGGATTGGGTTCTAATCGGTCTCTTCAAGATTTCTCCAAGACAAGCCAGTGTCAATTACCAGAGAGCACGACTAAGCCTTCCACGACACCAGAACGCGACTCCGTACCTAACCAAGTATCCAAAGGGCCGCTCCACAACCAGGGGTTGAGCCTGGTGGGCCTTGAACTTGGGCTGTTAGGCTCTTGCTCTCCTTACCCAGCTATATCAGCCGCGCAAAACCACGAAATGGGTCTGCAGTCGAGACATAACACAGGTCCCTCATTTCATAACTCGTTCGATGCTAAGACCATAATGGACTATATTTCCATGGGTGCAGAGGGCTTTACCTCACAGGGAGTCGCGCTTCAATCACCCGGTTTCTCTAGATCAGCTCCACAAACGGCTAATTGGGATCACTCCACCCAGATTCCCACTCCAAGCAGCGCCGGCCAAATCGCCAATGACAGCACTATATCAGTAGAACCAGGCCAACATCAACCCCAAGCTTCAGCTTATGGGCATAGCTGCGTGCGAAGAGCAAAGACGCTCCAACAAGCTGTGATTATAATGGCATCCAGGGGCGACACGATGCAGCTAGAGCATAATATGCTACCCAGTGCACCACCTATCACTACCGACCAGGCTTTGCTCATGTGTTTGAGTGTCAGTAATCAACTAATAGAGATACTACAATGTCAGTGCGAAGCAGATGGATATCTACCATTCCTGATAGCGGTCATTATATCTAAAGTGCTAGCAACATACGGTGCAATTGCCAAAGTAGACGACACGACGACCTTTAGCTTTGGCAGTGCTCAAAAAACCCAAAAGCAGCAAAAACAGGGGCAGCAGGCGGCTTTCATGGCGCTTCCTCTTCGGCTAGTCGAATACGAAGTGGACGCGAAATTAGAAGAGGCATTGAGAGCGCAATTGGTCTTGCACGAATTGTCAAAATTTGAACGCGTGGTCCAGTTGTACGACGATAAGTATTGCCAACGTGGAAGGGGGAAGCCGAGTGAGGATAATACTACCTATGCGGCGCTTGGTCAGTTTACCAGGCATCGTTATAACAAAACTAAGGCAGCTTGTGAGCTTAGAAGCCAGTTACCAACACAACAGATATAGAAGTGTGATATTACACTTGGAAGCTTGAGTTCCTCCTAGTTATTCTACGTGTGGCATTTCTCGTTACATATCGCTATTTAACACGTCGTTCCGATATAGTACCCGGCCAAGGTTACGATGGAGGCTTTTCGCAACCCGGGCGGGACCAAACCGAGTCACTATACCAGTATCATTGCGGACGCAATAAGATACTTCCAACGTTGCTCACCACTACAAATCCCAGGCCATTACCATAAGAACGTTCTTCGTTTTTCACAAGCCGCTCTGGCACACAAACGTCAGGACGACTATTCCCCCCAAGGCCATAGACCCCAAAAGCATAGAGGACAGTAGGATTTCGTCCATTGCTCTTCTGCTGATCGCCCACACAGATCGATATGGCCGTTCTCTCGAAAGACGACGCAGACCTAGCCTGGACCAAGGCGATGCATGGGAAATCCATGGATTAGAAGAATGCTTCTTTGCCATGCTGAGCTAAAATAATGCCGCCCACCGCGAGATCATGAACGAATACGTGCAACACTGGAAGGCAGCTGATGGTACGGATGCCACCACCGATGAAGCACGAGAGGAGCGAAGATCTGAGTATATGGGCGTGTTGAACAAGTGCGTTTTCTCTTCTTCCTTCTTCTATACTAGCCACTAATCATTCAATATGGCAGCTACTATGGTCTTTCCACGGGCTTCTATGAGGAGGCCTAGTCACAGTCCTTCTATTTCTGCCGCTTCATAACTGGCGAGCTTTTCATCCAAGCTATCACGCGCCACGAGCATTATCTAGCCTATAAATTAGGCATTGAGGAGGGTATGGAAGTTCTGGACGTTGGCTGCGGTGTCAGTGGCCCAGCGAGAGAAATGGCCCATTTCACTGGCTGTCAGGTGGTCGGCGTTAACAACAATGGGTATCAAATCGCCCGTGCAACACGGCACTCACAAATGGGGGGTTTGGATAAGCAAGTATCATTCATCAATGGTGATTTTATGGTTAGCACAACCACCAATTCTCCACCATCACCACCACTCACTAATTATGCACAGCACCCGGACTTCCCTAAAAGCACATTCGACGCGGTCTACGCTATAGAAGCAACAGTCCACACCCCTAATCTCCAGGATGTCTACAGGCAGATTTTCAACGTCCTCAAACCAGGCGGCCGCTTCGACGTATACGAATGGGCCATGACAGATCGATTTGACGGGTCCAACTCAGAACACTGCCCTATTTGCCTTGGTATAGATTGAGGTAAGGGTATCGTAAACATGCCCACTCGATCCAACGAAGTCAGAGTTATTCAGGCTGCTGGCTTCGTCCTCGAATACGAGGACGGCCTTGCTGAGCGGTCCGACCCCGCCCCGTGGTATTACCCGATTGCGGGAGGGTGGCAGCACGCCAGAGCTCTGTGGGATATGTTCACAATGCTGAGCATGACTAGATTCTGTAGAAGGGCTATGGGAAGTTTGCTGTGGATAGCGCCACAAGGGGCGGCGGAGGTAGCTAGTGAGCTTGTCGCTAGAGCAGATAACCTCGTTAAGGACGAAAACCTAGGCCTGTTTACCCCAATGTATCTCCTGGTTGGGAGAAACCGGAGCTAATGTAAAGGTCAAGGGTTAGTAATGTTGTTGTATATAATCGGTTATTAGATATTCCAACCCTTGCAAATAAGTGGAACATCCACGTATATACGAACCCAGAGTATAGGCCTAGCCTTGACCATCATTGGTATATGCATGCATGACAAGGAGCGTTTTCAGCCTAACCCATGTATATCGGGTTGAAAATACCGCATGGGGAAGAGGCCGAAGTAGCATGGTTGGTATGATAATAATCTTCCCCTAAATTCCCTAGTATATTAACCGTTCGTCCGCACTGTACCGTCCAGATCTGGATAGAAAATAGATGGCTGGGGATAAACGGGCGACTCGAGATGGATGGCACCATTATTCTCACCGGTGCATCTGGCGGGTTGGGCCAGGGGCTTGCAAAGAAGCTGCTACGTCGCCCCGAGTCGTATACGCTCATCTTCCCTGTCCGCAATAGGAAAAATGCGCACGCGGTCAAGCTGCAAAAATTGGTCGACTCTCTGGCCAGTGGTAGCCACATAACGAGTATGCCACAAGTCGACCTCGCCTGCTTTGACTCCATCCGAGCTTTTGCCTCTGACGTCAAAAGCAAAGTGTCGACTGGTGCGATCCCCCCCATCCGCGCACTTGTCCTGAACGCGGCCTTTTTCTATGAGCCAAACGGCCTTCAGTTCACAAAGGGGGAACAGCAGCCACCATTCGAGATGCATTTTGCCGTTAACCACCTAGCCAACGTTCTTCTCTCGCTCCTCCTGCTCGGTTCGATGGACAGGCAGCACGGCAGGATCGTATATACGTCCAGCTGGGCACATGATATCCACAGGCCAGAGAACAAGCGCTTTGGACCAGAGAAACTACCGTGGGACGTGGCAGATTTGGCGCATCCGGATATGCACAAGCAGGACCAAGAAAAAGATCTAGCTGGGGAAGCTATGCGGCGATATGGTGCTTCCAAATTAGCCCTCATTACCTTTATGTGAGTTCAATTTGCTCTCTGAGAAGCGCGAAGCAAATTGCTGATCACTCTGGTCCTCAAATTACCGCACGCAGGCACGCATTGAGGAAGCGTCTTGATAAGACACCAGACTTGGAAAATATCAGCATCATCGGTGTCGACCCCGGTGCAATGGTGCATGAGACTCTAGCTGAAAAAGGTTCATGGGCTGATCGAATTTTCCTAGTGCCGTTATTTCAGGCATATACGCGATTTGTAGCGCATTATCTTTGGCCCAACGGGATGTTTCGGACTGTTAAGAAATCTGCACAGGATTTGCTCCGGGTGGCTCTGGAGTCCGATGCTTCTTGGAAAAACTCCAAGGAAACATACTTTAACGGGAGTAAGTTAGCTGAGACTGGGGTAGAATCCAAGGACCCAGGAAGGCAAAAGGAGCTGTGGGAGTTGAGCTTGCGGTATGTAGAGTTGGAGGAGGACCAGACAGCATTGGCGCTTCTCTAGATTCAATATCTATACGAATCATGGTATATAGTGGGAGAATGAGTAACAGAAACTCTTGAAGGGAGGGGGTTTATGCATTAAGCATAAATAAAGGAATACACCTGCAGATGCTGTTAGTATAAAAGGATGAAGATGGTTAATTGACTGGCAGCCTCGACTAGATTGATTTCTCCTGTTTCGTGGCTGTTATTGATTCATAGAACCCGCCAATATCTAGAGAAAGCGGGGGATGCTAGTTATCTCAAGTAGTCCAGCATGTAGAATAGATGTCCACCAACATAAATCTCGTAGAGTAAATGGTGAAGTAATACAAATCTAATGTGTGCCCTTTATGACTAGAATGTGTGTGATGTGCGATTAAACGCGAATTCGAAGGTTGTTAGGATGAGCGGGAATACATTTACCCGCCCCGTAAAATGCAACTACAAAGACGAACATAGAACATAGATACAACACGTCTATTACTTACTACTCTAAGCCTATAACTAGCAGAGATTGTTATATTTCTATGATATTCCAGTTATATGCCAGCAGTTTGCTAAGTTGAATTCATCAATATCCCCATCTGTCGCCTATGGAGATAGACATTTACCCACTACTCGATTTACACCTTATCATAGCATCGACAAAGGGGGGAACAGTATAAAGTCTCTGGCGACTATAGATGCGTTAGTGTTGCATATGTCCCACGCTTCCGGCCCGTCCCGAAAGAGATGTGAAGCTCCAAATACCAGGATCAGCTGCATGCAAGAAAGTCCGTACTCGATTAAATCGCCACACAGTGGGTAATAGCATGACCTGCACCAGGCCGATCTCCAATCGACTGAGTAACCATTACACAAATGTTACTATCCATGGTATCTGCTCTGTGAGCTGGCCGACAGGGACTACGTGGCTGTGTCCAGGAACACAAGAAGTTATGTGGGAGCCTTCCAACTATCCCGGTTGGTTGTAGAGATAACAACCACGGACTTGAATTTGTTGGATATGGACTTGCATTTAGTCAAAGACTTGTATGTCTTTCAGACCAATCTTGCTTGGAATGTGAACATTGTCATTATCGAGACTCTTTCCGACGGGGTCATCATTATTGACTGCCTAACCTCTGTCGAGGCCGCGAGTAGTCCTAAGGTCTACCAGGAGGAGCAAGAGATGGAGTTGGCCAGGATGCGGATATCAAAGCTCTCTTGCATCCATTTCCAATATAAAACTCCGTATTACCATCTCTATTTCCTTGAACGGTACCTACCCGGTCGTCGAAGTAAACATGACTAATCGATCACGTGGTATATTTACAATTATAAACAAGTCAGGTGGTTTGTAATGAATGACTAAGCATATTTATCTCCTGATTGGGAAATATGTATATTATTAAGCCGCTAACTCACCTTCTTACCAACTAATACCAAACTTACTCCATTCAACCAATAACCAACATTTATCCAGGTATATTACGTACGATCTAATGTTAAATATTACCACGATGAGCATGGGGCGATGGGCGATGGACGGAGACAAGAGATTCAAGACGAGACGAGATCGTTTCACCAAGCCCGAATCTCACGGCCTAGACGGTCGGCAAGCCGCTCAATAACTAAGCAGTCCAAATGAACTCGCCGATTAGCGAGACTAGCCAAAGGTCCCAACCTCGTCTCTAATTTTACTCCGTGCACATCGTCATAAACATCCCGTCTATCATCGAATAGCAAAACACCATGCTTTCAACGAAGACAAGATCAAACTGATCTACGCCCGATCGATGAGTTTATCGCCCCCCTCGCCATCGTGCTCGGACCCTTGCAGCAACCACTAGTTTCACCAACCGTTTCAGTCAAACTCCGTACCCAGGCCTGATGGAAGATTGCAGTCCTCTATAAGAGTTCGATAGTCGGTAGATCGAAAGATCATGACACATTGGTTGATAGGATGGCTGTTTTAATAATTGTCGCCTGGTGGTGGCGGTGGTATCTGGGGAGTGGCGGTGAGTTGGTCTGAAGTCGCGTGTCAGGATCGATGTGTATGTCTGACACTCATCTTGTGTCTTGACTTCAACTATTGCCATGACGTATACTCATAACCACTTCATGTTAATATATATCCGTATATATATATCCGTATGTATATATGTATATATATATGTATATGGATGGCGGCTATTAAGTTCAGCCAATCACGCCTCCACGTCGTCCATGCAGGCCAGACCACGACCACTTCCAAGAGACATCCATACTCCATATGCACGGCATGACTATGTGGACGAGTTGTGGGCTGGCGTGGGAACGCGTGGGCGGGCGTGGTGGGCGATCGTCCGGAAAAGAACGGGGAGAACGGAGGTCGGGGGGAGCAGGAAGGGAGGATCCCAGGATCTCGATCCGAGTGTTACGTCGCTCTATTAATACCTCATAGGTACCTTTGGCGACGGCGTAGGCGAACATACCTTAGGCGAAGGCGTAGGAAGAGGAGGAAGAGGAGGAGGGTGCGGCTGAGGACGGGCTCACATCAGCCGGTCAGCCGGTCAGGTGGAAGTAGGTAGATGCCACGAGTCGTCATCTGTCGCTGCGTCCTGACCTTGCTCAAAGATGGGATGGAAGAAGTGGGAGAAGAAGGAGAAGTGGTTGGTTGGCGATATAACCAATGGGAGGTATGGAGACGGGCATAGGGAGAGAGGAGAAGGTGAGGAGAGGGCAAGTTGGCTGCGGGAGGCGCGGGTCTGGGTGGAGGGAGGAGGTGGACCTGGTAGGGAAGTACTAGGGGAGCAGGCACAGTGAGCAAACCGACGGCGCACGGGTTGCCTCCTCTTCCATCTCTTCCATCTCTTCCATCTCCATCTACCGGCTTCCATCTACTCTCCTCTTCTTCTTACTCTGTATCTATCTCTATCTAAGTAATTATCTATCTACTAGGTATCTACTCCGTATCTATCTCTATCTCTATCTCTCTATCTCTATCTCTATCTATCTCTATCTCTATCTATGTAGGTTATTAGTGTAGGGGCATCACGTGCGCCCGCCAGATCGGGTCAACCCGGCTAGTGCCCGATGCGGCCTAGCGTGCGGGAGAACCAGGACTCCGTCTTCCTCTTGGCGTCTGACTAAGCCGTATCCTCCCTTTTCCCTGCTCCTTCTTCTCCCCTTGTGCTTGTGCCCTGTGGCCCTGCGACTTCGACTTCTTCTATCTCCATCGTCGCTTTCTGCGTCAAAACAAACCAAGAGCCTGCTGCACCATCCACCAACCCTTGCACATCCAGCCAACTCCCACGGAACTTTGCCTTTTCGCCTGCCCACGCCCCCTCCTGTATATCTTAATACTCCCTCGTTCTTTCTTCCTCTTCTTCCTCTCTTCTTCCTCTTCTTCCTCTTCTTCTCTCTACTTTCATTCATACATACCAGCATACTCCAGTTGGACTTCAGGGTCCAGTCTGTCTCGCTATCACCGCCTTCACTTCTACTGCCGCGTCGTTGACCGTGGTAGTCTTCGCTGACGTATGTATATACGCCCTTCACTTCTATACCACTGCTAACAGGTAACAGTCATCATGGCTCCTCGCTCAGTCCCGTATGGCAAGACTGCCTCCATGGACATCCCCAAGCCTCGCGACGGCCCGGCTCGTCGTCAGGGCCACGCCATGCTGCCAACCCCCCCCAGCTCCATCTCGCCCTGCCTCAACCCCCAGGGCTTCAAGCACCGCGTCACCCACGAAGCCCTGCACCAGTATAACCTCCGCTCGCCGCCGACCTCTACGCCCCTGGGACCCCATGCGGACAACGAGATCGATGCCGTGGACTCTGATATCGACCTGCAGGACACCGAGGACAGACGCACGCCTGCTTCGGCCGCGGCGTCGACCACCGGCAAGGGCAAGGCCGACGTCTCCGGAGACATCACCCCGGCCATGTTGGCCAGACACCACCTGCCCGACATCCTGCTCGCCCACGGACCGCTGGCCATCAGACACATCATGGGGTACCTGACCACCTCCGTGCCCGGGTTCGCCATCATACCGGCCGCGAAGGCGAGGAGACTCGTCGTCGCCGGTCTGGAGGGCAAGGCTATTCTGTCCGGTGGTAACAACGGTGAGAGCGTGGACGGCGACGTCGAGTTCGAAAAGGTCGGATGGGGTCGTTGGGATGCGTACCGTCGTGGCCAGAAGGATGCTGCTCGTGCTGGCCACGCCGTCGTCAACCACCACCACGACACCGGCTCGCACCCTCATTACGGGTCCTCCGTCACCGCCGACTCGGCCATCTTCTCCCACTCCGACTTCAACCACAACCACGATATGGACGTCGACGAGGCGGACAAGATGTCTCTCGACGACCGCGACGACGGAGGACGCATGTACTGCTCCTCCTCCGACGCCGAGGACGCAGACATCATGGACGGCGACTGGGACGAGGCCGACATGACCGACGAAGAGGACTGGGCGAACATCGGCGCCGACGCGCTCAGGGCCCAGTCGCTCGGCCAGGAGCTGTCCATGCCCTCGTCTGTCTACGTCTGTGGCGGCGCATACGGCTACGGACATGGGTACGGGTATGGAGGCGGGCCTTCTTCCTCTGCGTTGGCCAAGGCTGCTCCCATGCCCATGCCCGGTGTTGGTGAGAACGTCGAGGAACGCGCTGCCGTCGAGGCCCTCCTGCAGCTCGGATCGATGTAGTCCGTACACTTTACACCATCAACCACACACTCTCTTCTTTTCTACGACTCGACTCGACTCGACACCGACGTCCTTGCATGCATATATCTTATTTTATACACTTTATTACACTTACAGCATTTTAATCCCCACGAGACGACCCGAGACGACCTACAACTACATTTTACTCGCTTTTACTTCGATACAATACGCCTGGCTGGCCCGATCGTATACTTATAAACAACACACCACACTCCTTTTTGACTTACGAGTTTTTTTCCCCTCCTTTTTTTGCTGCTGCTCTTTATTTAATGTGTTATTCACTTAACGTGATTTGACGGCTTTTGGCCGGTCCGGTCGGTGGCTTGCATATCTGGAATATGGCGCGAGCTGAAACCGCAACCGGCATCCGAACTACACACTACACGCCCACACCAACAAACCCATTTACCACGGCCATTCTTAACAATGATGCCGCAAGTCTAGGAAAGATGGGTACTAGGATGGAACCGGCGTGTATTTGGACTCTGGACTGGACGAGAATGGGAACGGACGGGATGGCGTTTTGATATTTCTACGCGCTTTTTTCCTTTTTTTTTTTTACACACTCCGTACATCTGTTCTATTGCCAGCGATGTCAATTTTCTTTAGAAAGAACAAGAACAGAAACAGAAACAAGAGATGAAACGGAAAGAGACATCCACTGGTGAATTAATTGTTGTTGTGCCGTTGTGTCCAGTTATGCTCTTCCAATATACCCCTACCATCCTTCCCGGGCTTCTTCTGCTCGTCTGCCTTGATATCCCAATATTTGTTTTTCCTCTTCCTTTCTTCTTTCCTATGTTTTTCTTTTATCAGCTACATAATGATTCCCCCTCCCGCATTCCATTGCCGTTATCTTTCTTCCCCGTCGTCCTTGTCGTTGTTGCGTGATATGATATGTTTCTTTATTTCTTTTGTTGTTATCCTGCCACGATACCCCCCTTGCCTTGCCTCCGCTTTCTGTCCCACCATATCCCATCCCATCTCGAGACGAGAAGAGGAGGAAACCGTCCCGTCCAAGTCCATGTTCGGAATATTCGAAAACAGCAAAAAAAGAAGTAAAACACCACACCACCACGCACGACGCACACATGCATCTACGTTTTGTATGTTTGATGGTTTGACGTACGCAGCCCACGCTACACCACACACGCTACCAACCGCCTCAGGGCCGGTATCTGGTCATCTTAGCTGAATGTACTTGATACCGGCTTGCTGTGGACGGGTTCGATGGTGTGTGTATGTTTGCTATCGGTTCTGCGCTGTCCGTTGCTTTTGCATGCTTGAACTCCACTCTAGGCATTTCTATTCGTTTGCGCGCAGCTTGGATATCGGCTTACTTGGTCATCTTGACTGTATTGTACTGGGGAGCTGAAGGTTGTTCCTGGCTGGCGCGGATGGGTAGGATGTCATGGCTTTCATTTTTGTTTGCATATCTCTACTTTTATCTTTTACTAGTTAGGTACTATAGTTATTTAGTGGCTTTGGCTTTGGATCAGAGTTGTTCGATATACATACATAATGAATCACGATGGGTATTCGTACCATACATTACTATTCTTCTTACTCCATACTTCCTGCTCCTATCCACCTCCTTAGGTATTCCTATCCATACTCCGTCCAACACCACCATATAATACATCCGAAATAATCAGTCCAATATAAACAACCACGCCCCCGTCTAAGATCTCCCATTAACCCACCTCCAAACCCCCTCTTCTGCCTCCGCCATCTTCTCTCCCGCACTCTTCATCCACGATAACGTCACATTCCACGCCCCAGCAGCCGAATCCCATACCCAATCTTCCTCCCCTCCCTTCCTCCTCACATTCCCCCACCCGTCATCATCATCCTGCCCATCGAAGAAATCACTACTCGTGTAATCATACACATACCTCCCTCCCGCCTCGCCCGGCGCAGGGTCCCAGACCTGTCTGACTCCGAAGTGCGAACCGCCATCACCACCCAGCGTGGCGGCGGATGGTTGCGCGATTACTGGATTCTGCTGATATCCTGGTGGATGTTCTAGGTTTGGATGGGCTGGTTCGTCCGGTCCGTGGGGGTGGGATGGGTTATATTGGCCGACGTGGGCGTGAGTGTTTGCGGCGGAGGAAGTAGTTGAGTTCGTTGATGTTATTGAGGAGCGCTGGAGGTGCGTTTCTGATGCTTTGGGGGGTGGAGGGATGGGGGCGGTTGGTGCTTGCCAGGTGTTTGCGCCGGGCCAGGTGGGTGCGGTCGCATGGCTGGGGGCTGGATGTGAGTATGGTGTTGGAAAGGCTTGGGGTTGTGGTGGTGGAGGAGATGATGTCTCTTCGTTTGCGCCGGTGGATGGTACAGTTGGAGTAGGCTTTAGAGGTGTTTGGCCTGGTTCTGGCTCTGGGGCTGTCGTGGTAGGTGATATAGATGTAGGAGATGTAGCTGTAGCTGTAGCCAGGGTTGTTGTATCCTGGATGGATTCGATGCCGGTTGACGTCTTTTCAGGTTCTGCCATCGTGTTCACGCCAAACTACCAACTTTGATATGAGAGTATACTTTAAAACACCGCTGAAAGGCTCACTCGTACCCTATACGGCTTGTTGCTGGGTAGATGTCGTTGGTTGACGTTGCGCTACGAGGTTCAAGCTAGGAAAGTTGGATACGTCATTATCAGGTGACCGTCGGAACAACTTGGAAGAGTTTGAGAGCAATAAAAAAAACATTTTTCTATCTGACAAGGTTGTACATAGTAAAAAAGGTGAAAGGACACACAAAGGTAAGGGGGCAAGGGAGAGAAATTGATTGAATGCCAAGATGTCACAGGAGGAAATACACAGAAATTCAGCAGAAAAGAGACCTCGCAGGTAGTAGTAGTAAAGTACAGATGGGTAAAAGGAAGAAGGCGACCCTGTCCCCGATTTCTCTAATGCTCCAAGAACGATGATGGGGATCGACTGTTCTTGACGCACTGTTGTTGTTCTATGTTGTCCCAAGCGCTTCATGCCAATCCTCACTTCTCTCCCGGAAGAAGCAACGACCACCACGACGACTGAACACTCAACTGGCTGTGATCCATTACGATTAAGGTTGGGATGGGCGAGCCGCTTATTTGAAGGCCTTTCCGAAGAGGAGGAGCTGGGCCTGGTCGTAGATGGAGAGGACACCAGCACCGGCAACACCACGGAGGATGTTGGCACCAGCACCCTTGAAGAAGGAGCGGATACCCTCCTTAGCCATGATTTGACGGGCAGCATCGAAGGAAGAGTTGTACTTGACGGCCTGTGAAGTTTGTTAGAGAGGGAATGCCAACGGTAGATCAGGGGGTGTATGATACGTACCTCACCGGAAGTCATCATCATACGACGACGGACAGTGTCAAGAGGATAAGAAGCAATACCAGCACCAGTGGTGACAGTCCAGCCGAGCAAGAAGGAGGCAAGGAAGTTACCCTCAAGAGGTCCGACGAGGAGAACAGGCTTGATGGAGTCGTACATTCCGAAGTACAGACCACGGTAGACGACAATTCCGAGGACGGAAGGTCCGAATCCACGGTAGAGACCAGCAATACCGTCGGAAGCGAGGGTCTTCTTGTAGACGTCTACGAGACCGTTGAACTGACGGTCACCACCACCCTTCTTGGCGGACTTGGCGTCGTTGGCAAGACGAGTACGGGCGTAGTCGAGGGAGTAGACGAAAAGGAGAGAAGTGGCACCAGCCATCTATTTTGTCGTTAGTCAAGTGTCTCACTGATGATTCAAGGTAGAACTTACACCACCGGAGGCCAAGTTACCGGCCATCCAAGTCCAGTATCCATCACGGTCCTTCTTGAAGGCGAACATGGACTTGTAGGTATCACGGAAAGCGAAGTTGAGGGCCTGGGTTGGGAAGTAACGGATAACGTTGGCAGTGTTACCTCTCCAGAGGGAGACGACACCCTCAGCACCAGCGGTTCTGCGGAAGCAGTCCATGATGCCGTTGTATTTACGGTCGAGACGACCGGTCTTCAACATCTCATCCTAAACTGATATCAGCACCATCCCTTTTTTCGGCAAGACGGCGTCCTCTGCAGCGACAACCTCCATCGGATCTGTCGCGTGCGGTTTCGAGGCTGACGTGGAATTAACGTACCTGGTTCTGAATGAGAAGCTTGACACGCTCGATGGGAGCGGCAGCGGTCTTGGAGACGGCGGCGGAGACACCACCCACTGTAGAGAGAAAACTCTGTTAGCCACCTGTCCTCATCTCACACCTTCCAATTGCCCATCGGCTGCCCGATGGTTGCACTCCTCGCTGTCCAGCTGACGGATTCACGTACTCAAGAAGTCCACGACGAAGCCCTATAGCGATGAAACACGTTAGCTAACACTGCCCCGTGAAAAACCTGTCCCATCATCCGGCAGCATCGAATTCCATCCATTGTCAAGTCGCTGCCATGCCATCCACGGCGGCTCCTCTCAATTGAACGTCGAGCTGTGTCTGATCACGGCTTGGGGGCTACTTACGGGCATCCCGAAGAGGGACTTGTCCTGTTGGCTGGCCATTTTGCGGATGTGTGATTCTTCGTAAAGGGGAAGGAAGAAACGAAGGAGAGGAGATGGAGAAGGGCAAGCAAAGGATATGCGAGGCCTTCAAGGAGGAGAGAGGGATGCAAATGAAGCTGGAGAAGATGGGGAAGAGGAAGAGAAGAAGAGGAAGAAGAGGAAAAATCTGAGAGGAAAAAATACTCAATTGGGTTGTCAGGGAGCAAGGGAAAATTTAGCGCGCTAGTCCGCTTTGGGCACAGGCTTCGCGTTGCCGAGTTCTCCCGAGATTTGCCCCGACGAAAACTTTTTCTCTCCTTCTTTTCTTTTCTCTTCCTCCCCTTCTTACTCGCCGCTGCAGAGTCCACCAGAACCAGAGACCAGACACCGGCGTCCTCGCTGCCTAGGTAACGGCCGCCGCTTAGAGAGATGTGAAGCTGGGGGCTGCGATGCTACCCACGGCAGGCAGGGCTTAGGGGTAATCTGGCCACTCCTGACGCCAAGACCAGGCAGGCTGCACATGTAATACGAGGGCCGTAGCTATGCTTCAGCGATGCCGTTGCAGCCACTGTTTGAGCTCTATCAACTGCTTATTAATGTATAAAATGGTGAAGATACGAGTATAAATATATACGGAGTATATACGGAGTAGATGAAGGGAAAAATGATGGAGTAGAAGAGCAATTGCACACTATGTAACTATATAGATCAATGCTTCTTCCGCTTGCGTCGCTTGCCGCTGCCTTCTCTGATATCTACCTTGGTCTCTTCTGCCTCTTGTGCAGCGGCAGGCTCTGCTGTTAGGGACGGCGGCTGTTCTTGTCCAAAGGTCTCCTTGCGCCATTCTCTCAGCCTGGCCTTCTTCCCCAGTCGTTTGTGGTCGCGCTTCTTCTTCTCGGCGTCACGGAAGGATGCCAGTTTCTTCAGGCCAGCATACTGGTTCAGCTGAGAGTCATCGGCCATGAGGATGTCTTGAGCAGTAAGTCCAAAGGAGACGGGGGACGATTCACGGTAACGGAATGTGCCTCCAAACTTCCTCGAGGAACCCGGTAGCAGCGAAGGCTCGAGCTCAAGTGACTTGTCGGCGAGCTGCTCGATCTTTCGACGTTCTCGTTTAGCATCCTTTTGCTTCTCCTTTTTATCTTTGAGCATCTGCTTCTTGGATTTCTTGGATCCGCTGTGGTCGTCTTCATCCTCGTCTTCTTCACCTTCAACACCGTCAAGATCCATGTTCAAGTCCGCCTCTTCGTCAAAGTCTGGAATAAGGTCGCCGATATCAATATCATCATCCCATTTTGGTTTCTTTAGCTTGCGCTTTTTAGACGAGCTGCCTTCCGCTTCATCGCTCTCGTCACCTTCCTCCTTAGCAGCATAGTAATCCTCTCCGAACCGCTGCTTCATCTCTCTCTCCCACTTGTCGTCGTCCCATCCTTCATCAAGGAACCTACTCCAATCCTCGTCTGCAAAATCAGTACTCTTGATACCGGCAGCCTTCTTGATCTTCGCAACTTTAGCCTCAAGCTCTTCGATCTTCAGTTTTCGAAGTCTAGCACGCTCTTCTTCACGCTGTTGCTTTTCTGCTTCCTTTCTCTGTCGCTCTAGCTCCCTTTGCCTCTTTCGGCCACTGACTTCTTCTCTCCTGACGGAATACTTGGACGTAGTGTCACGAGCATGGGTGAGTATCACTTCGTTGAGCTTATTAGGATCCTCGAAGCGTAGGTTATACGCTTCTTCAAACTGTTCTGCTTTCTTATCTTCCTCGTCGTCATCCGATTCCAGTGGTTGGAAGTTGGATTTTGGAGTGGGTACCCACGCGCGAGAGGCCATAAAGTTGGATAGAAATGTTTCGGGGTCTTGGTCAGCTGCCGCAACATCCTTCTCGGTTATCTTGGGCCTGTCTGACTTTGCCGTTGCTGGTGCCTTTTCCTTGCGGACCAGGAACCCTTCGTCTTCTTCTTCCTCGTCGTCTTGCTCTCCATCATCCCTTGTAGAATGCATCTCCTTGACAATCGACCGTTTCAAGTCTTCCTGTTCTTGCGCATAGGTTTTTGGCGCATTCTCGTCATCTTCATCCACCGCTCCCTGGCCGCTCAGTAGATTCTGACGATGATAGTCCTTAAGGAACATTGGCTTCTCCGCCTTCGACGTCTCTGGCTTGGCATCCTCTGCATCCCCTATATTGTCTAGGGCAGTATAAAACTTCGCATTCGGATCATACACTCGTGGATCTTTCGATCGGATGGCTTGTAGTGTAGCCTGAATTTCATTGTCCAAAGCCTCCGTCACAAGTTCTGCGGCATCGTCTTCGTCCTCGGAATCTTCAGAGTCGGACTCTTCATCGTCGTCATCAGCTGCGGATGGCTTGCCATTTGCGAGTGGTCGTTTACCCAGCTTGTTTTCAACTAAAGAAGTAATATTAGATTCCGTAAATAATTGTAGGTATTTTTATGGACTGGCCACGACTCACGCTGTACCATCTCCTCTCTCCTCTTATTATATTCGAACCTCCTCGCATACTCCTTGTTGACATTGAGCTGGAAGTCATTTCCAATTGCGACTCCGCCAGCATCCTCGTCCTCTGAACCGCTGTCGGCGAACAACACCTTCTTCTGTCGCTTGTTCGGGGGCTCCATGACTGCGCGGGAGTAAAACCGAGTACTTCTAGGTAAAAACAAGAGAACCCGAGCGCATCAACAATTCTTCACCTCCCTCCGATTTCTATCAAAACTTTTCCTTTTCTCTCTTTGGTGGGTCATTTGGCTTTTTTTCCGTGCCCTGGGGTCACTTGTCTCTCGGCCAATGACATGGTCAGCCTTGGAGCTCACCGGTTTGCTGACTCAGCCCTTACTGTTCGAGCTCTTGACGTGGTAGAGGAAAGCCTCGCTCTCAACGGGCATGGGACTGGCGGACGGCAGCTGGTTCTTCGTGGTTTAATATTCTCCTTATTCTTCTTTTACACACCTTTTTTGACCTGCAGTGTTCTACGGTGGAGGTTTACTGTCTGACGTCGAGTTCCTCGCTGGTACCGGACGCTAGATTGGGCGAGTCGTCCAGATGTCGTCACAGATACAACTGTCGATACCGCAGGAGGGGAGACTGGTGAATGTCGTGTGAGTGCAAGCCTGTGCTATCTATCCCTCGAATAACGGAGCCTACGCTGCTATTGGAATAATGCTAACCCTACGAACTAGGCCTGTGGTTTTAAAGGAAGCTGCTCTGGATTCACCGAGTTTTCGAGCCACCACCGTACATTTCTCGGAGCAGATAGATTATATGGAAAAATGGCTCGACAGTTATATAAAAACAACCGGACGGCTTACCTCCGAGCTGGCGTCGCTGGAGAACATATCGAACGGCATCCTTTCTCATATTGCGTCACCGCCAAATGTCTCCGAAGCTGTGCTCGATCAAGACTACGCCTTGCTTGCAATGAAACGATATGGTGAATGCTTCAAAGATAGCTGGTCCGGAATGATAAACGCAACGAAGCGGTTCGAGTTACAGGTTGCAGAACCGATCAGGGCCTTTATGCAGGGAGATCTACGGACGTTCAAGGTTCGATATATAGTCTCTCGGACACCTTTTTCTTAAAAAAAAAAAAAATATCCATGACTTACCCTTTCCTAGGAGCTACGGCGGAATCTCGATCAGACACAGAAACAATATGACCAACTACAGGCGCGGTATTCCTCTCAGGGAAAGTCAAAAGAACAGTCGTCTCTGAGAGAGGACGCATTCCAACTCCATGAGGCTAGAAAAGCATACCTTAAAGCGTCCCTGGACTTTTCTGTACAGGCGCCGCAGCTCAAGGTTGCGTTGGAAAAGCTCCTTGTAAAGGTCTTCTTCGACCAGTGGCGAGAATTTCGGATCGTCCGGGATGCATGTTCAACGACATTTGCCAAATACGGACAAGAAATGGAGCGGACCAAGGGCTGGACCCACGAGTTGGAAGCGAGCGAGAAGTCTGCTCGTAGGGATTTGTTGGTGGCTAGAAAGCAAATCGAAGAATCTGTTGAATACGCTATCCGACCATCTCGAGAGCTGGACGATTACTCTATATCGACAGTACCATACCTTGGCTCTCACGGACCTGCATCCGTTAAAATGGCAGAAAGCCATGTCTTCTTGCCGGAAAAGCAAGGCTGGCTGAATCTGAGGGTACTTACGGGGAAACCAACGAGAACGGTCTGGGTACGGCGCTGGGCCTTCTTGAAGAACGGCATATTTGGATGTCTAGTTCAGAACCCCAGGACTGGTGGAGTGGAAGAAAGCGAACGCATCGGCGTATTACTTTGCAGTATTCGTCCAGCCTTTCAAGAAGAGCGGCGATTCTGCTTTGAAGTCAAAACTAAAAGCAACACAATAATGTTACAAGCCGAGACACAGAAGGAGCTCACAGATTGGATTGGATCGTTTGAAGCTGCTAAACGAAAAGCCCTTGAAAGTCCCAGCTCGGAGGTGCCGCCATTTGCCAAGTCCAGCGCTCCAGATCCTGCATTTGCGATATCCCAACCACCGGCCCCTGAATTTGCCGCGGACCCTTCTGATTCTTTAACTCCGCACGCCAGCGATGATCAACCAGTTGTCGAGCGTGGGGCTACAACGCCCATACTAGATAGGGATGGTCTAGGTGTCCGGAGTAGCGGTGACTTTGCTCATTCCAGACGGTCTACAGGTCCAGATAGAGACGGTGACGGTAACAGCCGTGACCCCGCCTCAAGGATTATTCAGAAGTTAGATATTCATCGGAAGGTAAATCCGAATTCGCCTCTACTCGTTCCACCTTCGCCCGGTCAACCGTCTAGTGGCATCGCCAGCTTGATATCTGCCAGCCATAGCGCATTTCCCATGGCATCCGCTTTGAAGGACGGAGATACTGAGAATGGCAGAACAAAAGGTGGAGCTGCTAAAGGAGACCGCTCCCAATCTACCTTGGCTCCATCAACGCTTGTCAACCCTCCAGCGCCAACAAGTATGAGCAGAGTGGCTGTTATTGTGAGCGCTGAACGAGGTATTGGTATGGGCCCGACAGATACCGCCAATTCGATACCAACTGGAATGATGGCAAACTTATGGGGAAGCTCGCAGTGGGCGATGGTAAACCATCTTCAACGGGAAGAACCAGCGTTAGCCTCCGCGAGCACCCCCGATCACCCCGTGGTATGTTTGTTGTATTATCTTTTTTAATGGTGCATAATACTAACAATGGGGAACCAGGTGGAAATCACGCCAGATACCCCCTCTAGTGGTAACGGTGTTCCTCAAAGCCGTACTTCCATGACGCGCCATAGGGCAACTGTCAGTCTTGGGGATAGTGCAGCCTTCCAAGCTGACGCCGTAACCGCACCACATGAGTATCCATCCTACTACCCACAGCAGCTGAAGCCGCATGATTCTCAATTCCGTCTGCTGTTCCCACATATACCTAGGATCGAGAGTCTTGTCCTCGTGTTCAGGGCAACATTCAGCCCCAATGACCAACAAGACTTCCCTGGAAGGGCGTTTGTGACAACCCACAATATATACTTCTACAGCAACCATTTGGGCCTTGTTCTAACGACCCGCGCTAATTTGCGCAGTATCACCGAGGTTACAGCAGCTCCTGGTAGGGACTGTGACTTTTTATATCTTCATGTCGTTCCAGAGAAAGGAAGTGATATTCCTGGTCGTATGGGCATCAAGACGTTTTTGGAGCCCTTGAAATTACTCCAGCGGAGACTAAATTATCTCGTTACCAATGCCGCCCTTGATAACCCAGCTGGCCTAGACACGGTTATCAAGACCCTAATCAAACTAGAAACCAATGGCCCGACTAGAACTCCAAGTATGGATAGCTGGGAAGATGTGTCATTGAACACTCCAGCGGATGATGGATCTATTTTACCAAAGCCAGAAAAATTACTGAGAGCCACGACCTATATTGATAATGACCTGGACATGGACCACGCCAAGCAAAACGTCAGCCCACAGGCTTCTCGCATAAGGCTACCGATGCAGCCTGTGGTGTACGAACCACAAGGCTCTCTTAATCTTGCAGCTGAACAATACGTTAATATGAGCCCTAAAGCTTTATTCCTTGTGTTGTTTGGCGATAATAGTCCAATTTGGCAACTGTCTCAGCACCAAAGGAGGGCACAGAGTAAGTATTATAACCCTTAACGCAGTTGTGTTTTAAGCTGACCGAATCAAGATATCAGGCAAGGCCCATGGGTCACGCTACCGTCCTCTCATCTTCGACGTGAGATGGCCTATCAAATTCGTATGGTTGATACTTTTGGTAAGCTTGATGCAAAATAGCCGAAATACCCGGATTTTACTAACGGAGGGATTCAGGACGCTCCCAACTTACCGACGTCTGTGACTATCAGATTATAGACGTATTCAATGATCACCTATGCTACGTTGTTACGGACAAGCGGACACCTTGGCATTTACCGTTCAAGCGGCAATTTAGGCTCGTTAGCAAGACTGTCATCACCCATGTTTCGAAATCAAAGTGCAAGCTGGCTATATTCACGAAGGTTGAATGGATATCACAGCCTTACCTCATCAGTAGTAAGTCTCCAGATAATTGCCTACATGCTTCTCCTAGGAAACGTACTAATTGAATCCACAAAGGCATTATTGAGCGGCAAGCAATGAAGGAACTAGAACAAGGCTCGTTGGATTTGATAGACCTAGTATCCGACCAAGTTAAACGGCTAGGCCCCTACCCTACAACGAAAGGCGCCATTTCCATGTTTGGAAATATCGGACACCAAACAGAGACGTCAAATATCACGGGCATATCCGAAAAACTAAGACAACAACTACAACGTCCACTGAAACAGAGCGGCCTGTTTCCTTTACTATTAGAAACTTCGGGATCACTCTTCCAATCAGCGGTATCCTCCTTGATCATTTGGTTCTGGGCTCTTCTTCGTTGGGGTTGGAAGGTATCCAACGCTAATAAAACCATTCTGTTACTTTTGATCCTCAGCCTTTTGGCTAATGGATTCCACTCGTGGCGTGATACTCTTGATTGGTGGCAGGAGCGTAACGCATCTAACTTTATGGCTCGCCTTGGTGTCCGTCCGAATATAGTTATGGGGAAAGCAGTTTACCTCAGGGACATGGATGATACTGTTGCAATGTCAGCAGGTATCCAAGGCTTCAATAGCAGCACCTGGTTAGTTCATCCTGATCTTATTGGTGTGCCCTAAATAATCATATGATTTGCTAACACATGACCCCTTTGTAGTTTTTCAACCTTCCGTGAGGAAAATGGATTGATGAGGAATGATCTACTGTTACCACCATCAGGAACGCCTGCTCGCAATAAGATCTCGCAGAGTGCTGCTTATCGACTCCAGCGCACCCGCGAAAGACTTGGATCCTACCGCCATAACCTCCTGGTAGGTTTGAGGGTGGTGAATAGCATTGAGAAAGAAGTTCTTCAGCTAGAATGGGAGCGCTGGCTCCGTCGAGAAACTCGAAGGTGCCAATTGCTTGATATTATGCTGAACGAACGTATACAATATCACGATAATGACGACTATGACGGAGTTTTGGGTATTCGACGACAAATTTTGTCCGGAAATCAAGAAGAGATCGAGAAGTGGTATAAAGAGTATTGTTCAAGTTGCCAACGGGATCAGGAGCGGGTTTTTATCGACAATTAGCATCGGCGTCATACTTCATTTCATTACATTTGATTTTCAGCATTCATTGATTCAGGCATCATATATACCCCGTTGGCAGAATTGGTGTTTCCCTGGGACGTATATATATAAGGATGATGTGTTTATTTGTTTATTCTTTTGTATTCGCCATCCCTCAATCTTTTTGAATTGTACAATAGAGCATTCGCCGGAGCGCATCGGGATAGTGCCCATTCAAACTCGTATATCTCTTTTTACTTGTCTCTTACAAGTGTATTCGTCCGTAGAGGAGGCCCTGTAAAGCAAACCTTCTTCGTTGAGGTTTTCAGTGCAATTAATTTTGCCTTGGTTTTGGTGTACCCTCCATCGTCACGTAGTAGACAACAGTACCATCCCCACCCATGCCTCTATTTACCATAGATAGCAACGCCCTCTTCCCTCCCCATGGCTTTTCCTTCTTCAGCCTTATGTATTCTTGCATACCCTTGCTCGCCCGTTCCATGTCAAACGAATCAAGTTGCAAGTCTTCAGTTCGCTTAGGTAACGAGTCATGTATGCCGGCCAGCCGTCGCAACGTCCATTTTTCTCCCTGTGACGTCGGTATTATCCACTCTCGTTCTATTGGCACATCCTCTAGGCGGATGTGATGTTCTATTAGGTATGCCTGTTCGTCTGGGTGGGTGTAAATGGCCTGAGGAGGGGTCCCGGATATTAAGGGTATAGATTGTTCGGTGGAGAGTGAGAACGGCTCATGGACTTTTAACGCCGTCCATTGATGCTGGTGTTCGAGATTATGAAGAATTTCAAGCGTGAGCGCAGTATTCGGAGTAGGAGGATGTGGTTTTGAGGAAATCAGCGATGACACCGCCGATGGAGCTATCGCTGGGGCATGACTCGACATGCTTGGGACGCAGACGCTTCCTACGAGACAGGGGCTCGTGTATAGCAGGTGAGAAGAAGATAGCTATGTTAGTCAAGCCGCGTACTTGCCATCTCCGAACTTAGAGCGCGCAAAGAGAGTGTGCGTTGTTGTATATACTCTCTCTTTCTCTGCGAGAAGTTGGCGATGAGATAAACTTTGATATCGATGGATTTAATCTGATAAGCTTTAGCGCTGCTTACATAATAAGGTACTGGACAGATTTCAAGATCGTCATAGCCCAAAGGGGGAAAAGATAAAGTGCTGCTTCTCGCGCTGCAAATCAACTCCACGTTGCAGTTCCGTATTATATTTGCTTAAAGATTTCTTTTTGCCCTTTTTTCCTACTTTTACACTCTAATCCCCATAAACCCTGAGTCAATGGGACGGTTAGACTCTTGAATCCCCTCCAACCCGGTTCGAATTGATAAATTGACAATGGCACGCGAGAAGCAGAAGGCGCCCGTCCAGCGGGTGCCATCTGGTGGAATCATGCACGCGCCCAAGGACATCCCAGAGATTAATGTTGCGCAAACGAATGGCGCAATAGGACAGCCTGAGAACGGGAAGCCATTGATCAAGGCTTCTTCGGAGCCCTCTCATCCTGGACTGCTACAGCTAGTGATCTGTGTGGCAGGCATATATGCGTCGTTGTAAGGGATCTCTGTGTATTACGTTTCTAAGATATAGATTCTAACTTATGCATTGCAGCCTTTCTTGGGGCGTGCTTCAGGAAGCAATCACCACCACCTACTACCAGGTCCATCCGCCTACTTCCGCAGTCCCGAACCCTCAAACCGAACGATTCACATTCTCCCTTGTTTTGAATACTATACAGTCTTTCTTCGCTGTTGTTACCGGGGTTATGTACCTTTACTTCTCCACACCTCGGGGAGCGAGCATGGCATCCGTATTTCCTACTAGCCGGATTGTTATTCCTTTGATATTCGTCAGCCTATCGTCTTCCCTGGCTTCTCCCTTCGGTTATGCCAGTCTTGCACACATTGACTACGTCACATTCACTTTAGCAAAGTCTTGCAAACTGCTGCCGGTTATGTTCCTTCATCTCACTATTTTCCAAAAACGGTATCCGCTATATAAATACGGGGTCATCCTTCTTCTCACCATTGGTGTGGCGACCTTTACTCTACACCATCCGGGCTCAGGAAAGAAGAAGAGCGGATCCAAGGGACCGAATTCGTCTTCCTTATTTGGACTCTTTCTTCTCTTCATCAACCTCCTCCTGGATGGTCTCACCAATACGACACAAGATCATATTTTCTCGTCTCCAAAATTATATGGCAAATTCAGTGGCCCCCAAATGATGGTTGCTCAAAATCTCATTTCCACCTTCCTCACGAGTTTTTACCTTGTTCTCATGCCTCACCTTTCTACCTCCATCCTCCCACTCCTACCACTACCCATTCCCCCTTCCCAGACATCGGAGCTCTCATCTGCCATGGAATTCCTGGCCCGCCACCCTCAAGCCACCAAGGACGTAGTTGCATTTGGTGCATGCGGTGCCATTGGCCAGCTATTCATATTTTACACCTTGGCGCACTTCTCGTCCCTTCTCCTGGTGACGGTAACACTGACCAGAAAGATGTTGACCATGCTTCTCAGTGTGGTATGGTTTGGTCACCGATTAGGTGGTGGTCAGTGGCTAGGCGTCGGTTTGGTCTTTGGTGGCATTGGGGCAGAGGCCTGGGTCCAGAAGAAGGAAAAGGAGAAGAAGCTCCGGGACAAGGCTAAAGAGGGCAAATCTCTCTAGACGCTTTCAACGCCAACCTATACAGCAGCCTCCGTGGAAGATCGGTTACTATTTTTTTTTTCTACACCTTAGACCCTTGGACTCCTTGTTTACGTCTTTCGTTTCTTATACCTTCCTTCTTTTCACCTTCTCTGCTAGACAAGATTTTCATTCCAGTTAGATGCACCCTGGAGATTCATGTATATACTTATAGTTGCATTATGCATTTCGCATTCCCGAAATATATATCTGCCTTGGATAATACAGGGCCGAAACTAGGGAATTTATTTCTCACACCCAATCATTTCCTTCCTTCAACCATAATAATATGGTATCCAAACCCTGTTTTCACCTCGACATACTGGGGATTCCCCGTGGTGCTTGGTGCCAGCTCATATGCTGCCTTCTCGAAGTCAGGATCTAAGCTCCCTCTAACTTTCCATCCGAGTGACCCGCCTATCAAAATAATATGTTAGAGCTCACCCTCTATAGAAATAGGGGATATATTTTCTTTCAAAGAACAATATTTCTAGTCCAACCAGAGTGATAGAACGCTGTAATGGAGGAAGATCCTACCCTGCCTAGCCTTGTCTTCAGATAATTCTCTAGCAACTTCATCAAATTTGGCCCCTCCTCGTAATTTCTCTAAGGCTTCCTCCTTCTTTGAATGTTTCTCGCACTGTTGTTTATATTACAACATGTAGTGAGTATATAATCATGATATAGAAGTGTAGTGGGTGGGATCCTCCAAGAGGGGCAAAATATCTTCCCATTCCCTGATAATTCCGTAGGTGTAGATCCTCTTGTTCAAAGAGGGGGTAACTCGGTGAGTTAGGCAGTTATGGAAGACTTACAAGTATGTGTCGAACATTTATTGAGGTGGCGGCTTTGAGGCCCTTTCCTCCCTTCCCGCCATCCGAGCTTTCTGTCTCTTTCCCTTTACCTTTACCCTTGCTTCCTTTACTATCTCCTCCTTTGTTTTTTGGAGCCATGAAGGATACTCGTGGCAAAGTGGTCTAGTGTGACTTTACGTACAGCAGTAGCGAGTCTAGACCGGTGTTTTTCAAAGGGGAGGCGAATAAATATCGAGGTAGAGGAGCAAGTAGATACCTAGGTAAGGTAGCCGTTCAAAAAACCTCTATGCAGTTTGTAGGTTTATAGGTGGGCTTGAGAGGGTAGATAGACATGTCACGTGAAACGAGTTTAGTGCACAAAACTTTCTACCTAGTATAAAATGAAGCCAGCACAGTGGGATATAGAGAAAGTGCCAACATGGGACTTAATTGAGAATAAAGAGGCCATCCCTTAAGTTCCACCCTTTCAAATATCAGGAAATATAGCTTCTTTACAGTCGTTTCAGAACATGGGAAACAATTTCCGTCGGGACTTTTCCATCTCTAGTTCAGTTGGGTATATGTTTAAAAATTTTGCTACTTCTGGCCTCCACCACTCATCGTATAGATTGACATGCCATGCTGAGGTATATTCCCAATACTCCGGGTGCCATCCAGCCATCTCCCAATCAATTATTCCTACCACACAGCCATCTTGTACCAAAATATTAAAGGAACTCAGATCACCATGAGTGAAACACGTCTTATATACCTGCCTCTCGTGGGCGCTTATTAGTCGGTCCAGGTCAGCATCATTCACAGGCTTAACCACGTCATGCCGTAGAAATCGGTGGAAGTCTCTGGAGTTTTCGAAAGGCCCAAAACCCTTTGAATTTATACGATCATCATATAACGTCGAATAATTGACGCCGCCGATGTGGTTAGGCCGTGGTGGGGGGAGTGATCGAAGCTCTTCGAGGAGCTTGCGTAACTTTGACCGAAGAGATTCTTTTTCCCCTTCTGAGATGGAGGGCCAGATTTTACCAACACTTACTCCCTTTATCCTTTCCATTAGGATGTAAGTAACACCTCCCTTCTCGAAAGCGCAGATAACCTTCGGGACTGGGATAGATGTGTGACGCGCCACGTAGACCATCGCCTCAGCCTCTGAGATATGCCTTGATGACCCATATTTCACACATACATTAGATGTGAGCATGAGAACGCCTCCTTGGTGTGGTCTGAAAGGGCGCAGGAGTGCGATAGAGGCGAGCGTGAGAACTCGTCGTAGCCATGAGTTATTGATACCGTGGCGTGTATCTGGCCGTTTTTGAGTGGGGCCCGTAGACGATGAATCTGTTAATCGAAGAAGTTTCATCTAAAGAGATACGGCGATGAAGATAGGGCAACGTCAACTGTGGTTCTCGATCAGTTCCTCGCCATAAAAGAGAGTAACGAGGAATTGGCGCAGAATCCGAGGATAGGGACATGGATAATTGAGGATATTAAAATATGGACCCCTTAAAATATCACTCTTTTTCAACAGGAGTTCTCTTCCGGTATTTGGGCGCAGGATACTAAAAGTATCCGAAAGTGAATTTCACTTCATGGATCACTTGTCCATCAACTTAGGTGTAAGTATAAATTGACCTCTTAAGAAAACGTCAACTTACACACTAACGCACTATGGAAGCCAGCCATGCTCCTTGTCTTTAAGTGATCCCCGTTAATTCTCAAACTGATGAAGATGGAGTGGTTTTAAGCTAAACTCAGGCACATGACGTCAATTTTTTCGAAACTCGGATTAGTCATAAATTCAATTTTGACTACACGTTGATATTTGCTCGAACTTCGCCATTGCACCTATTCCTCTACCTCCTACCCTCAATGGCAAGAAAACACTAGGACTCTTAACGAAGACTTGAATTGTGGTGCAATACTTCATACTCGCTTTACGTACGACGAAATTAGAGGTATTAACCAGAGATTGGATCTTATTCAAGAGATATCAAATAGTATACCCAATTTTACCCTATACCCTCGACGGTGCTGAATCCGTTTATCTTTATCACACCGTGCCAAACCGCCAGGTAAAAGGATACAAAAGGGCCAGATATACACAAAGGAAACTCGAAAGGACTGGTTTGGGGGCCCATCAAAAGCGGCTTTCAAATGAACGACTGACAAATTTAACTTGTCTTCACCTCGCCCTAATTTTGACAGCCCCGGTACTTTATTTGGCTGCTTGGCGAGGACGAATCACTCTTTGATCAAACCGGAATAAAGTGCGCCACATTGCGTTCTTGCCCCGTAACGGCAGCATCCACCCTGAGGGTTGCATTCGTAAGCGTCGGTCGGCTTCCCACCCCTTCCAAGGCTGAGCATCACGCTTCCCCAGCCACAGTATTGTCCCTGGGAAGTGCCGACTCTGCACCTACAGCCATTGTACGTGCATGAGAGTGTGTTATCGGCTTCTGGGGCTGGTGTGGCCACGGCGAGAGCCAGAATGCTGGTGAAAACGGCGAAAGATGTAAGCTTCATTTTTGTGGCAGAGCTATCGGCTGAATTTTCTTTGAAGATGGTCAGATTAGCGGGCAGGGATGACTTTGTATACAGAAGTGAGATTAAGAAAGGTATGTTATCACGCACCGAGAATAGTCGGTATTCTTTTCGTCTGGAATGTGCTTGATGTTCTTGCTTCGAGTCTGATTGTTAGGAGGTGTCCGGTGTCGAAGAGCCCTATATATACCCGATCTACCCATGCTCATGCACTCACGCTGTCGTGGGGGCTTGATGTAACGGTGCAGGCTCGCTGCCATATTTGCTGACCACCAATTCTGGATCCCCATGCTCTTGCATTCCTCCAGCTTTGCCCTTGACGCGTAATATAACACATAGTTCGACTTGTTTTGGCCATCGAGCTGTATTAAAACCAACTGGTGGATGCCAACCAAGCCATTTCTCACAATTTCGTTCATTGCGCTTCCCCATCATACCCACACCTAAATTGGAGAGAGAAATTACATGGTGGCAACTACCAATGTCCTTAGAAGGGGGCTAATATACTATGGTTTAAGATACGAGCCAGCTGTTGTTATCAACTTGGCTGGGCTCTATATTAAGTGACACCAGGAGAATGAAAGAATAAGACAGCAATAGGCACCCACAGCAGGTATCGGATATGATGGAACCATATTCTTCTCTGATTATATTAGAATAATACGAGAAAGTAAGTGATGCTTCAACCAGGAGTGGCACATCTCCACGGAAGTTCAAATCCACCCCGCTGGTAGATAGGAAGAGCTGAGCTGTGGCCAGGGTGCCCTGCGGAACTCAAGTCTTATGTCTACATACATAACTCTGGGTGATGAGATCTAAACACATCAAGACTTTGGTTTGGACTACAACGTACTACGCAAGGTTACATAGCTGCACAGGCATCTAGATGCAAAGATTTCTTGGAGCTGAATCCATTTTTCTCCAAATGATGAAGTCGGCAGTGGACGGCTGAATTACATGTAGTAAATTTCGTATCCGTTAGTGGTCGATGCAGGACATGAGGCTCTGAGCGTAGATTCCTCGATCTCCGCATTAATGCATATAATCAAAACTACCAAAGAGACCACACGACTAGCGAGCACATCCCGGAAACTCTCCGCTATCCAGCCTGGGCGTCATAATTAACCACAAGGCATTCGGCTTGGGCCAACATGGACATGCGAGCAAATGATGCTGGATAGGAGCGGTGCCCTTTCTTGCCCAGACGGCGGCCTCGTATTAAGTATTGATTATGGCTAAATACTGAGCCTAGATCTATACCACGCGCGGGGTAGTTAATATAGCATGCAACCATATCTCCTCGGTCGCTCTTCTATCGGTTACTAGTGCTGACTCTGTGTCAATGTTTATATTAGGTCACTGACAGGCCTAACCCCAGCGTATACTTTGGAACGGGATATTAGAAGATGGGAGTTATCTACCTGTGGGGAGGGGGCTCACGGAATGATCTGGATTGGGATTCGTGATACAATAACGGTTTTTTATAGTTGAACACACGATATGCCTCGATATGGCTACCGAGGATGAATCAGGGTACAGCCCTGTGGAAGAAAAATAGTGATTTCTAGGCAGCGTAGTTCGTATTCCATTTTGCTTGCATCGCCATCGATCAACATCGTTATGACTATCATTATAGGGTATGACGTCCAATCTGTCTCAAGGCCGGTAAAATTTGGTGGTGACATAAAGACTGTCCGGATGAGCTATAGTTATGAGCTGATTCTTCACTATGGCCCTTTCTTCCTAGACATTTTGATGAATATCACTTAGCCATGGCGTTGGTGTAAAATGATGATTTATTTTTGATTATTATTATATACATATGGGATATCTTGTTCTATGGCAACTCAAAAGCCTCTCCTCCCCCAGCGTCCCTGCGACCACCTGGATTGCTGCGCACTGGGAGCGAGCCGAGCATCTCGCTGGCAGATCTCTTATGGGCATCGTTCATCTGACTACTCACTGGGAGTGAGCCTGGTAGCTCGTCGTGCATCTCCGGCGGCCCCGGGGGCGTGTACTTGCCAGACTCCTGGCCGCTAATCATGGGCATGACCTGGCGGGCGCGCCGCCGTCGCCGTAGTAATAGCAGTATATAGGCCCCGGCCGCTATACCAATCACGCCAGCAGCCACGCCCACTCCGATGCCTGCTTTTGCGCCAGTGCCGAGGCCCGTCTTTTCAGGGATGGCCGTCGTTGAGCTTGTGGTGGTAGGGCTAGCCGTCTGCGTTATTATCACAGTTGTCGCTGGTCGGGTTATTATGCCCGCCGAGGAGGACGATGTCGATGTCGATGTCGACGTCGTCGTTAAAGTTTCAACACTTGTTGTTGATGTAATGGTAGTCGTGCTATATGATGTGGTTATCGTATCGTCTGCTTTGATTACTTTGAAACCCCCAGACACGGCCTTCTTGGTATTAAAAAAATCGTATTTTTCCGCTCCTTTCTTGAGTTCGAGATGGTACGGCGACCATTTTAGATTGTCTTTTGAAATATCCAGGATTAAATCATCGATGTACCCGTTCCTAGGGTCAAGACCCTCTACAATGTTGGCTCGTCAGCATTACTTCCAAATCTAGGATACCGATATGCTATACCCAACGTACCATAGATTAACTTGGAATATGGCACGCCCTCACTGCTCACCCACTCAGATACCAGCCAGACACTGTATGACCCTGCCTCACCCAGGCATTCCTTAATGTCCTCGCTCGACCAGCCTCCCACCTCAACATGAAGTATGGCCCCGTTTGTATATTCTGGGTTCGAACTCGCTGCCGTTGATGGGTGTTTGAACTCTACACCCGCGCAATCCGCTGCCACGAGGTGGATGCCGTGGAGGAGCAAGAGGGCGAGATATAGGATGTTCATCATCGCAATGATGGAGGACGACAAGATGAAAACGCGACTTCGACGACCATCGTGGAGTTCAAATATAACAGGAGCAAAAGGGGCGGAGCTAACCCTTGGGTATCATGGGTGCTTTTACGTATCAATAGCAGGGTATCTCTGTAAATAAATAAAACACCCATGTCGCGATATCTTGAAATGCCCAACGAGATGCAGCGCTAGGCATAGTAGATGTTGGTTCTGCAGTCCATCACCACCAGGGTAGCACTTGGTATCCAACAATCCCCGTTCCAACAACATCCACTGCTCAAAGAGTCAAGAATAATGGTTGAAATGCCAAATTAGTCCCTTATACTTCGATAGAGCAATCTCTCTCTCCTAGCCATGATACCGTTGCATCGCATACTGCTATGCCATGCTATGCTCAGAGGCCTGTGCTGGTTATATATAGCCAACTGAAACCCGCTGCGGCACGAGTCTCGTATAGCTCACACACTCATTGGACAGCGACTAATACCCCTGGATGGAATACCGCAGATCACATATGATGTCGAGATTAATACCAACACAAAAACCACAACCATGTGAGGTTTGCCTCCCACGTCTTTCGAAGGAACTGCTGGCCCTAACTTCCAACTCACCAACCGTCGCCTAAATGGCTACCCAGGACCACCAGAATGAATCAGGCGGTAGCGATTTTGCGCGGGCCCTTGCTGGGCTGTTAACAGCTCAGAACTCATGTCCGGTGCATGAGGAATGTGATAGCACCTGTCCTAGACGTATCGGTATCCGTCGATATCGAGAAATGCCCGATGGTGAGAGGCGAGATGAAGTGGACATGAGAGCGCAGTTAGCAGCGATGAGTCTCGTTACAGGGACTCTTGAACGAACAGAGCCGCTAGCAATTGGTGACGATGTGCCTCATTTTATATACTCGCCTCTCGCACGACCAAATAGTATGATCCGGCTGTTAAAGATTAAACGGGGCATCTTTAGGGCTGACCCTGTTGACTGTGAAATGATCCATTTCGATATCAGTAGCGCCCCCGCCTATGGAGCCCTCTCATACTGCTGGGGAGAGCCTCCAGAAGATCGCAAGGTTTTGTGTAATGGCAAGGTATTCTACAGCCGGGCTAGTCTTGAGCGCGCACTGAAGCGACTTCGTGCTGGGTTCAGACCCGGCCAAAGAGAGGAGTATATCTGGGCGGATGCTCTCTGTATCAACCAGCGGGACCTCGCCGAGAAAGACTGCCAGATTCGTCTTATGGAGCTCATCTACTCGAGTGCAGCCACTGTTTATATAGACCTTGGAGACACGGAAGGTTCTGAGATCTCACTCGGCGGCATGACGCTTCGGTTTGGCGGAGCTGGAGGGATGGGCGCGCAGGACATACTGACTGAATCAGACCACCAGGATCACCCTTTTCATTACAAGACGGCCTTCCAGGCCCTTGCCCAGCCGTGGTTTACTAGGACATGGACCATCCAAGAGGCTGTCCTGGCTCGACGGGCCAAATACATATTCCAGGGCAACGTCTTTACCCAGGAGCACCTGGATAGCATCCTTAGCGTAGATTCCATGCGAGCAAACCCAACCCGTCTCCGTGAATTAATGGAAAACAACGTTGGGGCACGAGGATTTTTGAACTACTCCAAGCTACAGAAGATTAGGAATTACGACGGGAAGATGGACTCATTGGAGTTGATCCAGCTTACGCGAGACTTTGCAGCAACCTATCCAGAAGACAAGATCTTTGGGTTATTTGCACTGATGAGTGATGCGGATCGCGAAGCAATCGGGCCTTATACTCGATCCGTAGAGCAAGTCTTCCGACGTTTTGCCGCTTTGCAAGTTCGTCGAGGCCGAACCATCACGATGCTCAATAGTGCAGGCCTCCAGAGACGACGCCTTCAGGGAGTTAATCTCCCTTCTTGGGTACCGGACTGGACAGCACAGGGCATGTCACCGAAAGATATCTCCACTCTCCGACCAGTGCCATACTCGGCATCGGGGGCTGCACAGGCGAATGTTCAGCTCATTGGCGATGCAACAGGAGCAGGAGGGCTCAGCATTCGCGGCCTCCTCATAGGCACCATCGACGCCGTAGCACATGTGCATAGCGCACCTCGAACACCCCAAGGCGGCCCTGACTTTCTAGTCTTCCACGACAAGTTCCGTGCTTCCTTCGATGAACTTGTCCGTCAGAGTAGGTCCATATATATCAATAACGATGAGGCGTTTGCTCGCCTCCTGCTGATGGATGATATGTATACGGGCCGCAACGCTATCCAGTATAGCAGTCCCATCGTTGATCCTGCAGCGACGTACAGGGAAGCGCTGGCTGCATGGAGAGAAGGGAAAGCAGACTATCAGCGTGCAATGGGAGGCGGTAAAATGACTGCCGTACAAACATATCAGATGCAGGCGAGCACAGCGGCTATTGGCCGCGGTTTTGCAACCACAAGGGCTGGATATATTGGATTGGTGCCGCCTTACGCACAAGTTGGGGATTTAGTAGTGGTGCTTTTTGGTGCTGCAGTCCCGTATATAGTGCGCAGGGTGCAGAATGGATATTTGCTCATTGGCGATGCGTTCGTCCACGGTTTTATGTATGGTGAGGCTTTGGGGAGGCAGGAATTCCAACCGGTGGATATCGTGCTTGTTTGATGCCTTGTGTCAAGAGTGTGGCCGGATATCCCATCGTTCAAGCCTCATCCAACATTTACCACCCAAACTAGCCGCCCCTTTCGATTGAATACCACATGAACCATGATGCAAGGGACACATGGCCATCACGCAACGTCTCTCGACGCGAAGACTGCAACATTACCTATATATATTCGGCGCCAGAAGTTCCGCCAGGGAAAAAAAGGGGACGCCACTGAGCAGTTACCAGTCGGCTGGGTGACCACCAATGAAACCGGACCATCGTTTATCTATTTAGTTTTCTTCCACTTTAAACCTCCTTCATGCTGAATGCGGCGGCTATATCTTAAGTTTTTGCTTTTATTTCTCATTTGCGGGGAATATATTCTGTTATAATAGTGGCGTTGACCACCCTATAATCATAGGCCCTGATAATTTGGTCAAATTCTTCCATGACTTTAAAACTGCAAAAACACCCACATCCAGTGGCTGTAGGAGGTGAGATGAGGCTGCAGAAAGGTATAATCCTATTCACATCGCAGGTCTGATCCAACTCAAGGGTAGTGTAATTGCCGTGACCATCTAGGATAAGACGCAGGCAGGTGGGTGCCAATTCGCCGTGGGTTTGTTGTGGATAAACACCCTTGTAAGCCATTTTGTTCCGACCTCATCCGTAGCCCAGCCCTTGAAGTCCACATCAAACCCCCAGCCATCCAGCAGCTGTTTACCGTTGAACCAGCCTCCATTGAAAGGACCTGGCCCTTCCTTCAGCATGATGTATGTAACTTCTAAAATACATTTGGCCGTTCACGCGTTTTGGTGAGCAGCTGACAAAGCAGGTCATGTGATATTACAGGCCTATATCGGAATAAACATAATCCGCGACATCTTATCCTTGCTCCAACTTCCCACAAACATCAACAACCAACAGTTTGTACCTCCAGCACACTTGGATTCTGATAATTCCCTTCAAAAAAGTTCTGTACTGCTGTCATTTACGAATAAGATGACCGGATCTGCTATCCCTTATCTACAGTTGAGCTCATTATTGATGAACTCGCTTTCAAGGGAAGCAAATAAACCTTGCTTCATGCCTATCTCTTAGCCCGTAATGGGGGAAGATTTGGGCCCTGATTTGATACCAATTTGCCATAGCCTAAGATACCACTTTTCACTCGAGTTATCCCACTCTACTCCTCTACCTGGCTTGCCTTAAACTCTACAATTCTCAAATCCGGCCGATTCACAAAGTACGCCGTCGCCCCTGCGGGGATCAGGTCGTTTTCGGAGAAAAGTGTTCGCTCCGGCCCTGTGAAAATGGTGATGACGCCAAACCCTTCGTTTCGTGACCACAGGGGGAATACCCCGATCGCGGCCTGAGGATCCTTGGATTGTGGCTGGAGCGTCTTTTTCGTGGCGGGGCCGGTGAATGTCTGCATCCGGCATCCGACGAACAACGTCAGCAGTGCAATCTCACAATCAGTTGAGTAAAATAACCACAAAGACTTACGGTCGAACTCAGATCAATCCCTGCGCCGCTAATCGATGCATTGATCCCTCCCCCTGTCAAGATCCGGTTCGGATGGTATTTCGATACTACGACTGTCACTTCTTCTATGTGCTGGTTGACGACCCAGACGCACGGTGGAATCCTTCTTACCACACGTGTTAGAGCTCCCATCATTCCACGCGGACTCGGGTCGAGATCAGGAGGCAACGGAGGAAGATGAGCCCATTCTGTTAGGGATTCAGGAGGGGGAAGGTCGTTGGACGGGGTGGATTGGAGAGGTTCTTTTTCCCCAGTGGAGGCCCCCTCCGGGCCTGAGCTTTCTGAGATTTTTAAGTTGGTCATCTCTCTCTCCGATGCAGCTTCGGTGGACGGGATTGATTGTTGTGCTGCATTGAACCCACGAGGCTGCAAGTTAAACGGGATATGCGCAATATCATAACACACGACATCATACTCGTCCTCATCGTCCATGTCTCGCGTACCGCCTCGGGAAATCTGCATCGTGAGCTTCTGCAGCGTGGATCGGTCGTTGCTTCGGCCCTCAGCGTTACTGGGCACAGCCTCCGTCAAATGCCAGAGATCGACGGGTCTGCTGGTCAGTATAACAACTAGCCTCTCATTGACGGGCCGCTCCTGGGGTATGCCGCGCGGAAAGGAGAACCCTAGGCCACGCAGGAGACCTAGGCGGTCTGCTCCAACGGTATAGGAGCGTGTGGGTGGCAGCTCAATACCCGTCGGATGAGACTTGGAGATTAGCGAAATCTTACCCGCCACATTGACGTTGAAAAGGGTGGCGTGCACCGTGTTCTGGCCATTGTTGCGCAGTGAAACATACCACCGTTCGCCCTCATTCACATGGTCGTCTCCAGTGGACAGGATCGTGCGTCCGCGCTCCCCCTTTTCGACCAGCCTGAATTCCACCTCCACATTGTGCTCGAGCCGCTCGGCGGGTGCACTGTCCAGGGACAGAAGGTGCTGGGCTTTCGCAAGTCTCTCAGTAGCCGTCACGATGTCCTTGTAACCGCGGCAATCTACTTCGTCCTCGCCAATTATCCACTGCGATGCAACTTGCACTCCCTCTCTTGTTCTGAGACTGATCCGGTCCCCCAAACGCTGGATTCGACCGATTGCCGCTTCCCGTTCGTCAGACGTTGCGATGCAAAGGTATCGAGAGCCCCTGATGAGCTCCTCAAGCGCTGAAGGCAGTAGTTCAGAGGGAATCGTCACAGGCCACTTGTTCAGCGCCTCTTGCTCGAGACGGGCCAATGCCCCTTCAGGAGGGATTTCAGTGTGTTCTTTGCTTTTGTATTTAAGGTCCGCAACAGCGCGGAATCCATCGACGTGTGTGACGACCGCGTCTGCAATAGCAGTGTCTACCTGGTTGCCGCCATCCTTTGTCGTTGTTGATGTGGCACTAAACGGAAAGACCCGATATACATTCCCCTCACGCACACCTGCGACCCTGCCGGCCTGAATAACAGCCAGGCCATCATCCCCTTCCAACTTCAAATGCAATGCGTCGGAGCCCATCTCCTCCAGCGAAAAATGGCACCGCGCAACAGGGCCCTCAATCTGTGGGTGTTGGAGTGGAAACATTGCATTAACTAGCTCCCTCACCCTGAGCACCGTCGTGCGCCAGGAGACGCTATTACTATGGTCCTTCGTCTCTTTAAACACTCTGACAAGCGCATTCGTCAGTGCTCCCGTCCAGTATCCGCTTGAATCCTCATACTCCCATGCCGTCTCTGTCGTTGCAGCCGCTGCGATCCTAACAGCGTGCGGATTTCCCTCGATGTATTCTTCTCGACCCACTCGTCTAGAATTACCACCACTGCCACTACTCAGGTCTCCTATGGAACTGTGAGTGTGATTTCTTGCCTGCAGCAGCCTGTCAATAGACCGTTCGATATCGTGATAATACCGCCCACCCTGTAGGCTTAGGTTCTTTGGCGTCGCGTTACCACCCCAGGTCGGCTCCCGCGCCATTCTACCAGAATGACAGCAGTCTAGGATGACGGTTACATTGCGTGTCTGGTCCGTGGTGTCGCGGAGGAGGTGTGAGATTTCGATTTCAGTGATCCCACGAAAGTCATCAGGGGCCGACTGGTCAAAGTCGACTGGGACGAGAAACTGGTAGCGCCACTGTTGCTGGTCTTTATCCCTCGACTTTTCATTCTCACTTTCATTTTTACTTGCATTTTTATCCTTCCCGGCGGCGTCAGCCCTCTTCGCCATCCCACCATGACCTGAATAATAAATAACTACAACATCCTCTGGCCCTGTCTGCTTTATCAGCGAATTCCACGCAGCGCGGATCCCATCGCGCGTCGCATCTTTGCCGCAGCACTGCGTGATATCGAAGTCGAGGTCTTTCAGCATGGCGCTAATTCGCTCTGCATCACGTAGAGTGCCGCGGAGACCGCCGTAAGGGCTGGCGATTATCAGTGCACGTCGGACAGAAGGAGGAGACATTGCTTCAGTCCTTTCTCTTTTTTTTCTTTCCCTTTCTTTCCTCCTGTTTTTCTCTGCTTATTTGGGGGGAGGATCGAACTTGGTTAGAGAAGCTCGACCTTACTAAAGGGGAATGAGAAGATATTGTGTGCAGCGAGGGGTATTATTCTGCGGGGTCGAGTTCAAGCCATGTTCGACAGGGATATTCGATATGGAGGTATCCCTGATCCTTCGGGGATCATGGGAAGTTCGATTGATTGGTCTCTGACTGACTCTCTGCTGTCCATTTGGGCTGCTGGACTCGGGTCTCGACTCGTCAGCTGAACAGGGTATAGGCAGTTCTACGAAGAAGCTACGCCCTTTTCGTACTCTGTGAACCCTCAGCTAAATTATGTGCTACAAGTATCTCGCGGGTGAAATGGAAGTGCCAGCAAGCTTCATACGAAGTGCCTTGGCTGAATATATGGACCTGCTTTGATGCAACCAAAATGATTGCAGAATTTTTAGCATGAAAAATTGATATTAGGAAATTTCAATTTGATACTCAATCTCGTTAGAGTCCATCCCTGACTAGCAGCCTTGAATGGGAGCTTCGCATTTTTAGCCAGCCTAGTGAACCCTGCATTGACGGCGCCTATTTATGCGGCGGGGTTTGCTCTCAGCCTTGTGATGGGTACAAAGTCTGCTCGTGTTAGCGCTTTCTTACGCGTTCCCATCCGTTATACAATCAATGCTCACATTGACCCCAACTGACTATGGAGTTGGCAATCGCAATAACACGCCGGATCCATGAAGGACACCCCATCAATAATGATCTCCTGGAGCAGCAAGCTACGCTGCTCTATGACCTCGCGGCCTGTCAAGCTCAAGAAATGCAGTCGTCAGGGGAGGACGGCGACGGCGGCAAGCCCAAGCCCTCTGATTGGGATGTATACGGCTCTCTTTTAGTGTTCAAGCACGGCGGCGACCCGCTTGAACAAGCCGACAAAATCACGTCTAATACCGAACCAATGTTCAACGCCCTTCATCAGATGGGCATGGTGCAGGCAAAAGGGTATCTACGCGTCTTTCTCGCAGCCGCTCGGTTCGCAGCGTTCGCGACTCCAGATGAACATCCGGAAAAGCAAGCCCGGCGCATAACACTGAGCCGTGCCGAGGAGGCTGCGCGGAAAGTTAACGGCGATCCAGAGGGGCTGGATGCGTTGGTGGACCTGGTGGAGAGGAACCTTGCAGTGGCAGACGATGAGAAGGACCGAATCGAATGGTTGATTGAACTAGTCCAGACACTACACAGGCGGTACAAGGCCTATAACAGACCCGAAGACTTGGATGCGTTGGTTGATGGGGCGCAAAGAACGCTGCGTAAGATCCCGGCCGGGGACCCGCAAAGGATTGCCTTGTTAAAGCTCCTCGCACCGTTGCTTGAAATTCGATATATGAAGAACGGCCATCTGTCCGACCTTCGGGCCCTGTGCCAGATTCTTATTGCAAAAGTCGAATACGCGTACTTGACGATGGATGATGATTATCAGCTCAAGGCTGACTGGGTTAAGAAGTTGTGTGAGCAGCTAGAGGCACAGTTCAGGGTCTCCCATGACCCGGAAGACCTCGAGATGTGGATCTCGCATGTTACAACTGGCGCCTCCAGTATTTCCAAAACCATGGATGACTGGTTGCTTCTCTTGCAGGCGCTTTGTCGAGCCAAAGAGGCCAAGTATAATCTGAGTATGGAGCCGACAGACCTTAATTCCTGGGTTTTGACGGCTCAGCAAGCAGTGCGAGTTGCCCCTATGGAATATCCTGAACGGGAGACACTAATGCGTAACTTGACCTGGGCCGTGGTGTCAAAATACAAGGTCACGGGGGATCAAAAGGACCTGGACGTATTCCCGCTACTAGCTAAAAACAACCAGCCCTTAAAGTCGTCCTCTGAAGCCCCCCTCAAAGAACTATCTACACATCAGCCTCATCAGGATTTAGAAACCCTTAAATCTGGGGTGTTGGAAGCGCAAGACGTGCTAGATTCGACGCCCGACGACGATTCCCAGCGGGTAAAACGGTTTGTGGCTCTCGGCACTGCTCTGGGAAAACTGGCGAAGGCCAACAATGACCCAGAAGTCTGGGTGCAATGCGCTGAAGCATTCCGTCAGGCCATCGCGGCGGCAACCTTCGGTTCCAATGAGAGGGCGGTTCTCATGTGCGAACTCTGTGGTGTCCTGAGAACCCAGAGTAGGCTCACTCAAGATTCAGAACTTGCCCGAGACGCTGTCTCAGTCGCCCAAGACGCACTGACGGCGTCGCCCGATCGAGACACGGCAAGTACCTTTGCGTTGTGCGAGCTTAGCTATGCGTTGGAACTTCAATATGAACACTCCCTAGACTTGGATGACCTAGAGGAGAGTGTGTCAGCGGCAGAACGGGCAGTCAAAGTTTGCGAAGCCCTTTCGCATGACCTCCTGCGCCCTGACTGCTTTTCACAACTCCTGAGCGTCTTGGACACACAGTGTCGACTCACTGGTGATTGGACAAAACTCGAGGCTGTCTGGGCAAAACTAGATGCTGAACTTGTTACAGGAACGATATCGCCAACGATCCTCGAGCGATATTGCCTCAGCATCTATGGCCGGTATTTGGAAACCGTCAATCCGGATTACTTGGAAGCCGCATATCTTGCAGCGAAACAGCTTGTTGGCACAGTGAAAGAACGAGATAGATCAGACGTCGCTCTAGCAGTGTTGTCTAGAATCTACACCAGCCGGTACGCAGCCAGACATGATTCAGACGACCTAAGCGAGGCAGTTAACCTCTGCAAGACATTGCTAGACAGGCTGACTGATCAACCTACTAAATGTGCGCCTCATCTAGTCCGGATGGGTAAGCTCCTGGACCTGCAGTATTCAACGAAGCGAGATTCCAATGATCTGGATGCGGCAATAGCGTATCTAGACCAGGCATTTGGCATCGTCGACCGGGATCAAGATCGGAGCCTTTGTCGAGATATCATGCTGCAACGGAGCCGGGCAAAACGTACTAGATATTACTTGAAAAAGAATAAATGTGATATTGACGGCGCGCTAGCTGATGTCGAAACCATGCTGCAACAGTCTGACGAGGACGATGACCCTCAACTCATATTTCAGCTCACAATGATCCTCCTTGACAAGTACTGGAGCCGAGACTATAATATGAGCCGCGAGGACTATTTAAGGAAGATATCGAGTCTTCAAATCAAGGCGATCAGAGTCAAAGCCGACGATTTATCCACTGGGGAGCAAATAACTATGACTCGGGCCACGATGCTAGTGCTGCATTTGCTTGATGATGCCGACGAAGCCAGCAAACTGGCTCAAGAGGCCGTCCAGCGGCTTCCAATGCTCGTTGGGCGTCACTTTCTACAGGACGACCAACAGAATGTCCTCCGTGGGGTCGCGGGGCTGGCCTCTGAAGCCTGTGCTATTTCTCTAAAAGCCAACAAGGTCCATCAGGCGCTCCAGCAGCTAGAATGTGGCCGGGGATTAATTCTGCGATACATGATGGACTCCAAAGCTGATCTGGCAGGATTGCTGGGGACGGAACATGGCGACTTGGTTCGTGAATATGAAGCGTTACAGAGGCAGGCGATGCAACCCATCGCTGATGGCATTAATCCTATGATACAGCAACAACTTCGCAGGCATCGGACGGATACAGTGAAAAAATTGAATGCATGCGTGGAGAAAATACGTCAGATTGAGGGCTACGAATGGTTTCTCAGCGAGCCGGAAATCGAAGAGCTGTAGCGTGAGGCCAATGAAGGGCCCATAGTCTTCGTTAATATGACGACGTTTGGAAACGATGCGATAATGGTGACCAAAAATTCCGGTGTCAAGTCGATCAATCTCCCAAGCATTAGCGGATCAAGCCCTTCTGTTCTCAAGGGCGAAGTGAGAAAGCTCCGCGCTACGGACGTCGACCCAGGCCCCTGGAGGGATATGGACGATGACCTAGAGGTAACTGAGAGCGGCGACCTTTTAGAATGGTTATGGGTCAACTGCGTGAAGCTCGTCTTGGATAAACTATCCAAGGACGGAGATGTGACTTTCCAGGCACATGAGCCGCCCCGAATCTGGTGGATTGGCACAGGGGCCGCCAGCGGACTCCCATTCCACGCTGCGGGAGACTATGGTGGCAATAACCCAGACGCAAACACTCTTAGTCTATGCATTCCGTCCTACGTTCCAAGCATCGGAGCGCTTCGTTTTGCGAGGAAGTCTGCCTCCCGTCTTGATAAGGGGTTAGGCCTACTTGAGGGAAGCAGGAATTCTGTGTTGCTAGTGACGATGCCATCGTCTCCGGGATTGGGAGACCTCGATGGTGCCATGCTCGAGGCAGAGGCCATTGAACAAGTCATCGAGACGGTCAAAGATGATAATAACCAGGAATCACCCACCAGCTGGTCAAGGAAACTTTTGACATGCCCTTCCAGCGAGGTTGTCTTACAGAATCTGCCACACCACAGCATTGTGCACTTTGCCTGCCACGGCTCCGCAGACCACATCGACCCTTCCAAGAGCCAGCTCATAATGCAGACACGAAACCCCCAAACCGGAATAATCACCGCTGACGCGCTGACGATGTCAGCCATTTCCCGCTCCATAGTGACCAGAGGTTCATCATGGATCGCTTTTCTCTCGGCCTGCTCGACGGCTGAGACAAAGGCAGACAAATTCGTCGATGAGGGCTTGCATCTCGTCAGCGCGTTCCAGGTCGCTGGATTCGCGCACGTCATTGGCTCGCTTTGGACGGCGGCAGACGATGCCTGTGTCGTCCTCGCGCGGCTGTTCTACACTTTTCTTACCGCGCAGGGCCAGTCTAGGGTCGTGGATCCGAACCGCGCGGTGGCAGAAGCGCTGCGCGATGCCGTCTTGCAACTGCGACGGGCGTGGCTACGTAATCCGCGGCTCTGGGCAACGTTCATTCACTCTGGGGCCTAACATACTCTGTTATATCAGCCGGTCGGAGAGGAATGGTAGATAATGCGGGTAGTGGTCTTAAATAGTTCTATTTGATGAGGATAGTATAATATTTTAAATATATTGGAGTATAAAAATCGAACTTTGAATCATTCCCCTTCCCGGTTAGTAGGGCACGAATCCCACCACTTTTCCTAAATATTTACACGAATTCGTGTAGCTTTAACTTCACCCTTCTTCCCCTTTAAGCTATGTAGGGGCTTTTAACTACTTCACTAAGTCGATATAATAGTGTGACTTCTAGCTATTTCCCCCATTTTGTGATTGTTGATATGGACAATATATAATGTAAAGAAGCTCAACTCGTCTGAAGAGGAAAGCTTGACCAGTTATTTAATACAACATCTGCTCAACTCCCTATATACGAAAGAAAGAAGGACGAAGTTTTGTCATGTCGTTTGCTTTTGAACATGTGATCAAACACTGATATTTTGACTATTTCCAAGGTTGAACGTTTTGTCTGATCAAATACCACATAACCTGAACAAACTAAAGCTTACGGATAAACCCTGTCGTATTGCATATTTGCTAGACAGGCCATCGAGTATTTGTTTAATCCCAATAGCTAAGATATCCGGACTTGGTCTACAACTCGAGCAGATGGCGGCGTTGGATGGCGCTGAAGACCTTGAAAAGTATACTATCGACCAGCTTCCAGAAACCGCCTATTACATCCCGGATTTCATTTCAGAGGGCGAGGAGGAGAGACTGTTAAACAAGGTTAGCAGTGCCATATCTCTATTTCAGGTTATATTGATCATTGGACCTTATCATGCAATATCAACCCATCGATGAGTTAATATGTCGAACTGACCACCACCGCCTGCATTTATTATAAAAAGATTAGATCAGTCCCAGCTCCAAAGTGGACACAGTTATCACGGCGACGACTGCAAACATGGCCTTCTGCACTTAGCAAATCCAATACCCTGCTGGCATCGCCGCTCCCAGAATGGCTTGAGTCCCCAATAGCCTCTCGCTTCAGAGACATCGGAGTATTTGCTAGCTCGCCGCATGAATCACCCAATCATGTGCTTATCAACGAATACCATCCAGGCCAGGGGATCATGCCGCACGAGGATGGTGCAGCATATTATCCGATTGTTGCAACAGTCAGCCTTGCTGCGCCAATTATCCTGGATATCTATGATAAAAGAGATAGTGATCAAGATCAGTCAGTGGAGGGCGGAGATGCAGCTAGAGGGCAGCAACTGCCACGATATCGGATCCTTCAAGAAAGGCTGAGTCTGTTGATTACTACTAAAGGGCTATACTCGGATTATTTGCATGGAATCGCTGAAAGGTTGATTGACGACGAACTTGGCCCGGAAACGATATGTAATTGGGAGAACTTGGGCGACAGCCAGTTCTTCGAGACGGGGAAATATGAGAGGAAGACAAGAGTTAGCTTGACATATAGGGATGTGCTGAAGGTATCAAAGCTTGGGAACAGTATGAAATTTCTGAGCAAGAGATGATTTAACAGGTAAAACGGGACCACGGGACAAAGCAACGACCCTCCCTGCTGAACCTGCGCCTAACTATCTGATCCACGTTGAAATCGAATTCTACGAGCTACTATATAACCATCTACCATACAGGTGGCAACATGATCCACCTATCTTTAACCATTTCCTTCCCGAACTTCTCGCCGTACCATTGTTTGGTAGCTACTGCTGACGTACCCAACGTTACCGCCGTTAAAATTAAACCGGAGAACACAGTCTTGTTGACTATCGATCCGGGCGGTGCGGCCAGGAAGCTTATCGCGAGGTATATCACACATTCAGCCGTGTAGTGTGGAGATATGATCCGGGCGAACGCTGGGTGCACGGGTAGGGTATATTTGACCAGAGACGCCAAGTACTCATGACAATCATGCTGGATTCCAGAAGCAAATATGAAGATCGGTATGAATATCAGTGATCTTATAGACGGCGCAGTTAAACTGGCGTCACCCAGCGGCTTATCAGTTGAAAGCAAAGTTCCTACGAAGTGTGTTAGCTCTGTCTAGCCAACCGAAGCAGAAATAAAAAGTGACGAGTGACGGTCAAAACATACCGGTCCCCTCAATCCAGATAGCTACCCCCATAGCAATGTAATAGGCAAAACCATAGAGCCAAAGTCCACCGAACATCCTTGATTTGGACGGTTTCACGAAGGATATACACTCATATAGTCGACGACATGCCTGGATGGTAAATAACCCCCAGCAGAGGAATATCTGGTTGAAGGACATGGAGCTCTCCCTGCTACTGTGATCTACCATGCCAGCAATCAGCTGGAATGCCCAACCCCTGGTCAGCAGCTGGTACCACCAGAAGAACGACAGGGCGACAGAGCAGTAGTAGAACTGCGTGAAGTAAGAATGCGGCACATCCCAAGCAGCCACACTGTTTAGTATCCGGGACGCAGTCGTCACTGTAGCCTTCTCGTCCGCGGGGGGTTCCTTGCCCTCCTTTGTTGATGTAGATGGCAGAGACCGGGCACCGTATGATATGAATCGTTCCCGGAGAAACTCGAAGCTATTGACGGCTAGGATCTATCATCTAGCAAGTCAGCACGAGTCCCGTCATCTCCTGAAATCCTCTTCTTTATATAGTTGTATATCAGGCTCTCGTACACCAGCAGCTAGCGTCACGTATCCCCCTCTCATCAGGTCGATCAGGTCCAGGCCGGCGAGTGCATGACCGAGAGCGAGTCCCATGTTGGATCGCCCGTTGACTGCAGGGATAAGCCTGGCAACTAATCGATAATAACTGTCCGGCGATGCTGGAGCGCAGAAGAGCAGCCGGCGCTTAAAAGCTCGAAAGCTGAAAAGAACAGCAGTTGAGCACGTGACATAGCTCCAGAAAGGGACGAGCACGACACTTTCTCATCTTCTTCCATTCTTGTCTATAATCGTCTATACACCGTCCATCTTCTCGTCTATATATCGTCCACCTCGTCCTCCGACTCGCCCTAGATATATATCTATGCATGCCGTCTGTCTATCAAACACTCTGCCAGCGTGAGCCCAGATAGGCTAGCGTCGACCGAACGGGATTAGCGATTTCAAGGCCTTCGCAGCGTCTAAGAAACAGCGAAACAGCCTCCGTCCGCGACCAACTTCCATCGTCCCACGACTCGACACATCAACCAGAACACGCAGCTCCGCCGGTCAACAGGCCCGCGACATCGCTATACCACCGCCAGCCCTTGCTTTACGACCGTCTAGCCGTCCGGCCTCGCGTTTTTAGCATTTTTATCCTGCCAAAAACCCGCGAGAGCTTGCTTTTTGGCCCTTGTCGAAGAACTACCTCGCCCCCTCTCGCTGACTCGCCGTCGGTTCCTCGAGCCCACCTCTGCTGAGGATGCGACAAGGAGGCTCGATATCTCAAGTTTAACCGCTATGAGTGATGTTGAAACGGCCTCTTCGCTACCGGATGCTCTAAACTCCCATCACAGAGCTAGTCTGCACCTCGCACCCGAAACCACCCTGGCTGTGACTCAAAAGGCGACTCCGAACGGAGATGGACGGTCTACGCTCGAGGACGTGGCTGTAAACGACGACGCCGTGAGCGTCAAGGCTGATTCTGAAGCAGAGACGATTATTCAGTCTGGCAGGGAGGAACTGTCTCCGGAGAAGAAGAGGACCTATATCCGACACGTCCCCGGCCAAAATGAGAAGAAGGAATCAGAAAATGGCATCCGAAGGGCTCCCAAGTTCGGACAGCCCGGTAATTGGCAGCTTGGGAAGAGGAAACGACCGGATCACGATAATGACGACTCCAGATCGGCTCTACGGAGTAACCCGAGTTCACGGGCCTCGAGTCCTCTCCCGGCCCTGAAGCAGGAAAAGACAGACGATCCCCAGGTGTTGTCTATACTGCAGACGCCGTTATCGCCTCGTGCTGATGGTGCTACTGAGGAAAAGCCAAATGATAAACTCAAGTACCATAGGAAACGGGAAGGCGCTAGTGTTGACACCAGAGACGCGCCCGGCGAAAGGCGCAGATATCACCACAGGTCTGCCTCTGCCAGCAACGGGCCCGATGGCGAACCTGACCTCTATCCCTCGCGTCATCATGATAACAGATCTCCCTCTCCCCCGATTCGCTCACACAAGAGGGTAACCTCTGATTCTATACACTCTCCACCTCCTCCTAATATACAGAAGAAGAGAAAGGCGCCTCCTCAACCTCTAATCGACCAAAGATACCACCCTTCAGAAGGCAGGGCCTCGCCCTTTTCTGCCTCAAGCGCCGGCTCCCCTCCACCAAATGCATGCGCGCGTAGACTTGCCTCCTGCGACACCTACCCTTTCTCTCCTATAAAGCAAATGCAAAACAAAAAGTTACGCGACCAGAATGGTCGAACACGGCTGGCGAGAGCATGTGCGGCGCAGGAAGTAGAGGCTGCCAAGTCAAGACAGGCCGAACGACCTGAGGATCTCAACGTTCCCGACAATGCTGGGAATACGCCACTCCAGATCGCTGCGCTTGAAGGATGTGCTGAAATAGTAAAGTTTTTGATTGAGGCTGGATGTGACATCCATACAAAGAATATCGATCGCGATACTCCTCTCATCGATGCTGTGGAAAACGGGCATTTGGACGTCGTTAAGATCCTTCTAGATGCTGGCGCAAATCCTCGTGTTGGTAACGCCAAGGGCGACGAGCCTTACGACCTTGTTCCGTCTGATAATGAAAATCGAAACGAGCTGCGGCGCGTTCTTGCTGATGCGAAATCCCATGGAAATCGACGCCGGAAATCAGATGATATAAGTGGCCATGGGACTGCTTCAACCAAAGATCCCCGTTCCCGAGGAGCTTCTGCTGCAAGCTCTCCTGATTCCCCTCCGCCCCATACCGCTCAAAGCCCTCCCCCGCAATTTGGTCGACGAAAAACCGTTAGGAGTGAGGCCACTCGGAACGATTTACTGTGGACGAAGCCTACCTTCGAAAACCTTCGAGGCTTTGCGGCGAAAGGCGACATGGCTGGAGTAGCGACAATCCTCAACATTCTCCAAAAGGCGGACACGGAATCCCTAATTGCGGCAGCGAAGGGCGGCCATGATGAAGTTCTCGGGCTCTTGCTTGGAATCGGAAACCCAGACCCGGACCCGGAGCCTTTAGCTTCAGCAAATCACAGACCTGGTCATGATACACCCATGTTAGCTGCGATCGGAAGAGGTAACATCGATGTGGTTAAGCTTCTTTTGAACCAACCGGGATTTGATCCTACTCGTACGGACCCTGAAGGCCGCCGGTTTTTCGAGCTCGCTCAGGACCGCAAAGGAGATAACTGGGGGATGGAGTACAATATATTGAAGGAAGCGTATGATAAACATGTCAGCAAATATTCCAACCGTCGAAGAATCGAGTCTAGATCTCCCCGAAGGTCTCGTGACACCCTCAAGGTAGCCAAACGGCCAGATCGAGATTCAGCATCGCCAGCTTCGATTATGCGCAAGAACCCTGGTAAAAGCCCTGCACCCCATCGTCAGAACGAGGACGGGTCAAAGGATATCAAACTGCAAAAGGAGAGGAGGTCCGATAGCACTTTGCCCACGAAGGACAGGTCGAGTTTAAATAAAGGATCAGGCCGAGAAGACTCTCAAAGTGTTGCTGATGAGCGGGATAACGGCCACACCGACAGAAAGCAAAAAATTCCGTCTGATTCACGTAGCCCACGAGAGTCGACCCCACATAAGCCGGGTGAAGAGCCAGTCAAGCGTCGACGCCTCATTGCTGGACGCCCACCGCCAGATCACGCCAAGCGACGACCAAGCTTGATGTCATCAGACTCATTCTCGGGCCGCGAAGATGCATCGAAGGCTGGGGCTGAGGATTCGAACGAGAATAGCCAAAGATCAGAAAAACGCAACTCCATCTTGAAACGTGCCCGAAGTAGTGTCTCGCCAAAGCCAACTAAGCCACGAAATAATGACCATGATGAGCCTCGTGATAAACATGTCAAAAAGCGACGAATACATTCAAGCGAGCTTTCAAGCCACTCGACCAGTGAAGCATCGAAATCCAAGACTGAAGGTGACACACAGTCATCAAAACCGCGCCCTGCTCATCGTGACAACCCAGACGCTAAATCGGAAAATGCCAAACCATCTGATCACGCGACAAGTCATACTGACAAACATCATTTGAACTCTCGTGACGCTACGACTACGAAGCCAAAGCATAGATTATCAGATTCGGGAGTTAAAGCCGAGAGTCCCTCTGAAAACAATACAGGTAGTAAAGCTAGAGCCGAAAGAGAAATCGAAAAGGAGCGTGTTGCCGCCGCCGAAGCTGAACGTGAGCGCGTGGAAAAGGCAAAGGCAGCAAAAGAAGCAAAAGAAGCAGAAGAAGCCAAGATAGCTGCTGAAAAGGCTGCCATTATTGCTCGCGAGAAGGCTGAAGAGGATGAGCGGAAGCGCGATGAAGAACGGAAGCAGCTTGAAGAGGAGCGAAGGCAAGAGGAAGAACGCAAACGCAAGGAGATAGAGCAACGGCGAGCCCGCCAAGCTGAGGAAGAACACCAGCGAAGGCTTGAACAAGAACGTCTCCGGCAAATACGCATACGGCGAGAGCAAGAAGAGCAGGAACAGAGACGACGAGATGCCCTACCTAACCGTCTACGTACGGCAGCCAATCTGATCGGTGCCAATGACCCCAGAGCAAAAAGCCATGGCTTTCTCAAAAAGGTCATGCCTGTCCTGCATGCTACACGCGACGATCTCGAGCCGATGTGCGATCCTGAATTAAGAGATGAGAAATGGATTCTCAACTTCTATGTTGCCCTCTTGCTTGCGACTAATGATCTTCAATTGTCACAGTGTACGTGCCCTCGCCCGTTTACCATATATATTTACGTGAGCAGTTACTAATTGTTTAAACAGATCCAAGCTGGGAGAAGAGACCTGCTACTTCAACACAAAGAAATAATATTTGGGACTGTAGTGGAAACATGTTGACGGAAACTCAACTACTTAACCCGATAAAAGCCACCAGTGATGAATACTGCCAGCTTTACAAGGAAACCAAGCCTAAGTATGAGAGGATGGAGCATGTTTTTTGGGTAAAGGTATGTCTCAATATTCCTCTCGAAAATTGTAGACGAGGTATCGACTAACAGTAGAAACAGTGTTCTGATTTTATGGATCTCGTCCCCCATATCCCCCACCTCCATGGACTCCATATCAGCCTCACGGCCATGCATATCGACCCGGAACCTTCACTAGCCATGCAACAGGAGGACTCGCACCCGTCAAACCTAGAACCAAACCATACTGCCCAGCAGCAACCCTTGGTCAACGGTGCTCCTAAGCTCAACGGCGTCCACCCCAGCTCATGAATTCAATTGTACCTGTGAACGTCTTTCATGATATCCAACCACACTGTTCGTTACTCAGCTGTTTCTCCAGTACTCAGCGTTTCTCTCGTTTTTTTTCTTTCCATTTTGCGACATGATTGCATGTTTACTTTTCTCCATATTGTTCGAATTTTGCTTCCCGTAAAAATGGCTGCGTTCATCATCATCTTGGCGACACGGAACGTTAGATTACTTCAACGGGTGATTATGGGCTTTGTATGTAGATGCATGTTTCAAGGCGCTTATGGGGGTTTTCTGGAAAAGGTGGAAAAGGTGGGCTTGCGCAGGGTTCTGTCTGTGTCTGTCTGCGTTCTGTTGTTCTCGTCTCGCTGTCTGTGTTTCGAGCTTTGGTTCCCCGGACGGTTGGCCGGGCTGTCGTTTTCTATATTTTTACCTCTCGCGAGGCTGAGCGCTACGGGCGCTCTCATTCATGTTAATTATTTTACCTCTTCCTACTCCGTACTCTGATGTCTGCTCTCCGTACTTTCTTCCGTATATCAAGAAGGATGTCGTTGGGTGTGTATATTACGTAATCACGCTTAGGGCACACCCACAACATATTTTGGCCATCCCACTCGAAATATCACTCCACGAACCTCTTTTCCCTTTAGACACTCAACTGTTCCTTAAACTCTTTGAGGATCATCCGACATTTAGGAAAACATCCTTAAAATCTAATCAAAATGGTACGTTTACTCAGGATCGATCAATCCCCGGTTTTTAGTTCCCTGCTGCTCGCGTGTGGCTGCTTATCGCAAAGATGGAAACCATCGAAAGAAAAGGCCCATTTCAGCTGACACTTTGCTCAATTCTAGTCGGACGGAGAAGAGACCGCCTCTAACGCCGGCGTCGTTGCCGCTGATGAAGTCGAAGTTTCCGCCAACGCCACTGCAGGCAGCTCCATGTCTGTCCTGGACGCTCTCAAGGGTGTCTTGAAGATCGCTCTTATCCACGATGGTCTTGCCCGTGGTCTCCGCGAGGCTGCTAAGGCCCTCGACCGTCGCCAGGCCCACATGTGTGTCTTGAACGAAGGCTGTGAGGAGGAAGCTTACAAGAAGCTCGTCATTGCCCTTTGCTCCGAGCACAAGATCCCTCTCATCAAGGTCCCTGATGGCAAGATGTTGGGTGAATGGGTCGGACTCTGTAAGTTTGCTTCATTTATTTATTTACCGGCCTCAGGATTGATTGGAACTAATTGGAATTTAAATAGGTGTCCTCGACCGTGAGGGTAACCCACGCAAGGTCGTTAACTGCTCTTGCGTTGTCCTTAAGGACTGGGGTGAAGAGTCCCAGGAGCGTTCCATCCTGCTCAACTACTTCCAGACCGAGCAGTAAATGTTCCGATATTGAACGCCGTCTTTTAAACTATTCGTCGTCGACTTCGCTCTTGTCTCTCCTGCAATCAACCGGATGAGGACGTGTTTCACTGTTGACGTGAATTGGGCCATGGATGATGGAGACAAGGGGTTTGCAGGCATCTGTAAAAGTGTACTAGGGCTGTGACGATGTCCCTCGCCCATGAACAGTTATTGATATATGCGCCTCTGGAGGCATTCATGTACCTAAAGGACTCTTCATATTGAATAAAAAAAGATGGAATCAAACGTTTCAAATACCTCGTATTTCCTTAATGACTTAATGACTTACGGAATAACGGAATAATTTCAAGGAACAGTAATATGTTATCATTATCTTAACATATCACTTTGAGAACCATACACTCATAAAAGAAAACATGAGCAACATAACCTTTAACACCAAACGAAAAGCAAAATATGTACAAGATATCTTCTATCTTAGCGAGACAGCAGGCTAATCGAGGTTGAACAATAGATGAGACTACCGAGGTCTCACAGCGGGCTTATCTAAACTTATAAGCTGGGAATACCATTTTATCTTTCAGTATCGGGTCTAGGGAGAGTTGCTGGTAAGGAGAGCTTCCGGGATCGTAATACATCCCTTCGATGTGGCCAGTTTCGCGATGGACCGAGATATAGTAGAAGCCAGATATGGTAAGTCCCTGGCGTGAATGAGAGGGAGAGACAAAACACCGCTCTGTTAAGAGCATACGTTAGCAACCATATGTATATGGATATAGAGTAGGATACGCACCCTTCCATCTCATCAATATCCATCCCTTGGATAACTTCTCCGTAACCCATTTCTTGCTCACGAGGTTCTTCACGATCTCGTCATACGTCAGGTTCTTAAACGGCTCCAGCTCCCTCCAATAGCAGCTATCAACTTCAGGTCCAGCGTTGAAATTCTTCGTTTCCAGCGTATGAGTGTTGAAATCGATAATCTCGCCTTCTAAAAAGGTAATGATGTGTGCACCTTGGTTGTTTGCTGACTTGTCTGGTATGTTATACGCTTCCATGGTCCCCGATAGCGTCATGGTATTATAGTCGACGTGGTGGATCGTTACTTTGACAGGCCAGCTCTCTGTCTTTGTAGGCTCAGTAGGGTCTGGGTTGCCGTTATTGTTTCCCATGACGTTGGTTGCCCAATAACTACGACCGCTACTAGTGTAGACACTAATCCGATTCTCAATTCCTGGAACTGCAACGGGCTCCGTTGGCCTACTGGTCCCCAGGAGTCGATGCGGTAGCATTGCCGTCGAGGCGGACGCCTGCTGCTGGCCGGAGAATACGGTGCCGGGACTCAGCCAGGAGCAGTGGCCGGGGCCTGCGATCGAGCCTGTATTGAGTATGAAGTCGTCTTCATTGCGGAGGAAGTATTCAAATTGTACGAACCCTCCGGCTGCTGCGGTGGAGAGGCTCTCTTCGTATGAACTTGAAAAACGAACGCGGTCAAGGTATTGGATGGTTTCCTTTAGACGGTCAACAGAGGGATCTTTCAGGTACATGCGCCGGATATCGGAATTTCTTGATGTGTCAACTCGAGCAGGTGGTGGTAAACGGGGGCTTAATCGTCTTGTATGATTTGAAAATGAGGTAGAGGCGGATGCGGAGGCGGAGGCAGAGGCGTAGTCGTCGTTATTTGAGACCGGATTGCTGGTTCTATCTCGGGTGCCATCCGGCCTGGTCCTTTCACCGTCCTGCTGTGTATGATTCTGCATGGCTCGCGCTCTCGGCGAATACCTATGATGGCGTCTGACGGACTGTAGGAGAGCAGCAGTAACCAAGGCCGGGTTATCTCGTCCCAACGGCAACGTAGGCACCCCCACCGCGCGTCCTGCGTCCTGTTCCTCTGGCGACGATTCAGAGGCCGGTGGTACCGTCGCTCTCAGCTCTCTGGGCAAGTGACTCCAAAATGAATCGTCTTCGTCTCTCGGAGCAGATCTACCGAACCACATCTCGTCGCGGGGATGCAGCGGATCGTTGCGTGTAAAGAGGCCTTCCTCGTCCGGCGACGGAGCCCAGCTGTATATCCGGTTCGACTGCTGCGGCGGGCCTTCGTATGCCGGTCCGTGATTCATATTCATGGCCCCCCGTCGGCGAACGATTGGTATCCGCTGGCTGTGTCCGGACGAGTACTGCTGATGCGATCGGGGCAAGTGCTGGTCGACACCAAAATCAAAGGAATCATGCGATGAATCCCCCAGCCCGGCGCCGCCACCACCACCACCGCTACCACCGCCGCCTCCTGCTGCTCCTGCTCCTCCTCCTCCTAGCTGTCGTCTGCGAGTACGAGCCCGAGACGGCGAGAGTTCTGTCGACGTCCGCCGCCGGCTGCGGAGGAAGCTGACGTTCTCGGTATGGATCTCATCTTCCGGGTTGCTCATGAGGGTGGCGGCCAGGTCGGGGACGGGGCTGGCGAAGGACTCGAGCTGCTGTAGATAGTAGCTCAACGGCGGCGGCGTGGCTGATGTCAGGGACGTCTCCCGCTGCTCGTCGAGTCGATGCTGTGTTTTTATCCTCCTGGTTAGCGATGAAAGATGAAGGATGGAGATAGCCTGCGCCAAGATCGCGCTGGGGGAAGATATTTAAATGAAGCAAAGTGTCTCACTGAAGGGGGATTGCTTGTGGGCGGCATGGTGCACTAACTATCCTTGCACTCTCTGCGATATCTCCATCAAACTCGCCAGTCGCAGACATGAAGACGAGAAGGTAGACGAGGTGTTGCGGAGGTTGCGGACGGGAGTTTCTGCGACAAGTCTCGCCCTCGGTCAAATGACGTCCTTGATCGCACTATCTGGAAGCCAAACCTCCGCCACGAAGTCACGGCGAGAAGACGATGAGAAGAGAGAAGATGAGAGCGAAAAGAAGAGAAGAGAGAAGAGAGAGAAGAGAGAGAAGAGAAGAGAGAGAAGGGAGGGGAGATGGTGACGCTGTCTCTGCGCTGGCGCTTGGGTTGGACAAGACACGACCTGTATACCTTCTAGGCATCTACAAAGACAGCAGGTTACGATCACTGCTGAGCTCTAGACAACGGACATGACAGTTGAATCACCTTGAAGAGTCGATATAGCATACTCGAGCAAGGAGATGCAGTTGGCCGATCGATCACGAAACCAAGCTGAGACCGCCGCCAAACCTGCTATCTGCTAAGGATCTTTCAGCCGAGAGCATCATGAACGAGGACGGGATAACAGGTATACTTGACTGGATGGTGTCTGGTGGTATGACTATTCGGAGTACTCAGGATATACAACATGCTAACCGGAGTCCTGACAGTATATAGATCTCACTACACCAGACATGAAGGTATAAAATACCAACAGGATAAGCACCGAAGAGTTGGATCACGATTATGGAGGCATTCCTACTCTCTGGCATCTAAATGCTCAAGATAGATTATTAGATCAATGTGCATTATAGATCTATATCTATTCTATATCCCCCTACTTACATCTCATCTGCTATAAGAGACCATCTAAGAATACATCCATAGATAATGAATATAAATAGCATCGTTGCCACGTTTCATCCGAGGATCTATATCCCCGCAAGACGTGGAGAAGTATATAAATACCCGTATACTCTCCCTGGCATAGAATACCAGTTCCAAGATGGCCAAGATAAAGAGCATCGAACACTTCAGGGTGCTGCCGAGATGGCTCTTTGTCAAGATCACAGACGAAGAAGATGGCTACGGATGGGGTGAAAGCACGCTTGAAGGACACTCTGAGGCCATCGAGGGGACACTCAACGCCCTGAGTAAACAGATTCAGGGCTACGAAGCAGAGTGAGTCGATTCTATAGATACACAGAGCAAGGCTAACACCCCTATTCCAGCGATATCGAACATATATGGCAGACAGCATGGAGACAAGGCTTCTACCGCGGCGGCCCAGTATTCATGTCTGCCATCTCTGGCATCGACATCGCCCTCTGGGATCTCAAAGCTCGACGGCTCGGAGTGCCCATCCACCAGCTACTAGGTGGTAAGGTCCGCAGCAAGATATCCGTCTACGCCTGGATAGGAGGCGATAGGCCAGCCGATGTCGAAGCAGCAGGCAAATCCAGGCTGGCACAGGGGTTCAAAGCTATAAAGATGAACGCTACCGAAGACGTCAACTGGCTCGACTCCCCCCGTGTCCTCGAAGCCAGCGTCGAAAGGCTCAAGACAGTAAAGGCCCTGGGCCTCGATGCTGCCCTCGACTTCCACGGCCGTCTCCATAAACCCATGGCCAAACAGTTAGCCAAAATGGTCGAGCCATATCACCCCTTATTCATCGAAGAGCCGCTCCTCTCCGAGCACCCGGAAGGCATCAAGCAGCTGTCCCAGCAGACCTCGACTCCCATCGCGCTGGGCGAGCGCCTGTACAGCCGCTGGGACGTGAAACGCTTCCTCGAGGATGCCAGCGTCGACATCCTCCAGCCTGATATCAGCCATTGCGGTGGAATATCCGAACTTCGGCGCATCGCCGCCATGGCCGAGACGTACGATGTCGCAATAGCTCCACACTGTCCGCTGGGTCCGATCGCCCTTGCAGCGTGTATGCAGGTTGACTTGTCGATGCCGAACTTTGTGATCCAGGAGATGAGCCTGGGGATTCACTACAACACCACCGCATCGGGTGAGGAGTATGATATTACCAATTATATAAAGGATGCGGGAGTGTTTGATGTGGAAGATGGATATGTCAGGGCTTTGGATCGGCCGGGCCTGGGGATCGAAGTAGACGAGGAGGAAGTAAGGCGTGTAGCCAGAGATGCGAAGCCATGGGTTACCACTGGCTTCTTTGGCCCGGATGGGAGTATTCGGGAGTGGTAGGCCGATTACTATTACTTTGAACAGTCAGAAGAATATGTCGACATCCGTTCTATTCTATCCTCTACCAATAAAAGTCTATAGTAAAACGACAAGAAACCGCCCAGAAGATCAAGTGAAATAAGTGAGATCCAAGTGAAATAAATGAGATAGTCGTTCAAGGTCGTTCTCGTTCCAAGTTCCACTTATCGGCCCGATCCAAACAATCATATATCGTCTCCCAGAATTTATCAACGTCAAGGCTCTGTGGAATTGTAACTCCGACGCCATTAGAACACGGGCTGACCTTCGTACGGCCTATTTCACCCTGCAGGTCGGCTCCCTTAACACAATGATGCAGCCCATCCGTGACGATAGCAACGTTGTATCTCGTGCCGTTGCCATCGTTAAAGGTAAGTTGTTCCTTCAATGCACTGGCCTTGCTGGCTTGATCGTTGAGGTTCGACAGCAAGATGGCAACTGCAAGAGGGTCATGAAGAGGTGGGCCTGCACTAATTCCGAAGACGGTATCATATGTGCTTGCGAAATATGTCAACAGTGCATGAAGGATCTGGCGAAGAACGGTAGGTGACTGCTTCTCCTTGGTATCGTCTATGCCTAGGATGCGTGATTGAACCGCTTTAGTAGCTAGTACCTGATGCGTCAGGTCGACGGTGACTAGGGTAGACTTTGGTGCTAGAACTGGTGAAGAGAATATTGATTCTGCTGACTCGGGGTCACACTATGATGGTAGTTAGTAAGGGCCATGAATGGAAATTGTTACGAGACTAACGTATATGTTAAATTCGGCCCACGGAGTTATGTTTCCCACTCTCGCCTCGTCCCCATCCTTCTTGCTGATGGGAACACTTGAGAACCCTCCGCCAATAGCGCCGCCCATAATGCTAACACCACGGACATGCTCCGCAACGTCGGGGAAGGCCGCGAAGAGTATGGCAACGTTAGTCAGAGTGCCCGTAGCCACAACCCACGCGGTATCCTTGGGCTGCGACAGAAGAGCGTCTCTCATAGCGACATATGCGGGGACATCCGTCACTGCTGGTTTTGAGGGGGCAGGGAGAAGGTCGGTCCCATCGATACCGGAGGTGCCTGGCGAACCGAATGTATTAGCTAGAGGACACCCAGCTGTAAATGAGTATAGACCACACCATGTATATCTTCCGCATGCACGGCTTTACGACAGAATGGCTTCCTCGCGCCAGGATATACGGGGATATCAGAACGCCCGATGGCTTCAAGGATGCTCCCCGCATTGACTGTTGTATTTTCCAGCGACCCATTGCCGTGCACCGTGCTTACACCGAGCAGCTTCAACGCTGGATGATGGGCGGCGAGGAGAATTGCAAAGGCATCCTAGACATTCATTAACCATCTTGCTATCCTCTTGCTCGGGCAGTAGTTCGCTTGCTCACATCATGTCCTATGACGTATTGGTTAGTAGGAGTACCACCAGCGCGAGAGAGAAAGTATACTAACCCGGGTCACAATCAAGCCAGAGAGGAATGCGGCCATCGTCCGACGTCGAAATCGAACCCATATCTGCTATCTCAACGTCTTAATGCTGCAACGATGGAAATGAAACGTCTGGGAAGAAAGAGAGACGGTGAATCTTCGGCTCAGGTCCGACATTTCCTTATCGATAAAGTAGAAAAAGAAGCTATATTAGTCAGCATGCATTCCCGGCTTGGCATTTTGCTTCTCCGACTTCGTTATTACGTTGTGGTGGAAGAACAAGACAGTTGACGCTGGCATCGCTTCGTGGGAGACAGCAACAGCTCGCCGGCTTCTGCTTGTTTCCATGAATCACTCGGCCTTGACCAGCTTATGCCTTGGCATTCCATGATTGGAAATGCCTGGCCTCTCCGGACGTCTGCGGCCGCCTCCATCGAAATCCAAGCCGAGCATACCTACAGTCTCGATCCCTTCACATGGATCCCCTCCCACGTCTCGACCCTCGTCCCGCCTTCACCAGTCTAGTAAACATGCTACAGCCCGGGTACAGTCGAAAGCGGCCAGCGATAGAGCTACAACGGCCTTGATTCGTCGAGTTCTATGCCCGAACGCCTCTGGCCATGGCGGCCTGGATCGCGGCAGCCCTCGACCTCTGGAGGAACTGCTTCCTCCACTCACCAGCTCAAACGAGGTTGATCTCCAGCTGTATGCCTTGATGGCTGTCGTTATCAGAGAGTTTGTCTACTCTTGGTATTCGAAGATCACCCCTGACACAGTCTTCACGGAGGAAGTCATCCAGCTCATTGCACATTGTACGAGGGCTTTGGAACAGAGATTGCGGCGGGTTGATGTGGAGACACTACTGTTTGACGAGATCCCTTCGTTGCTAGAAGCTCATATAATTGGTAAGCCACTGCTTTCATTATATACTCTTTTGTGTTTACAGGGTTATCAGAATGAGCTTGTTTGAATGACGAATGACGGCAGCGTACCGAACCGCCCGTGAAAGCTCAGCGATGGCTGCAGACCCAGGACGGCGACTTCGCTTAGTCTATCATATGCTGAACCCACATCCGGCGCTATCGCCAGTCCCAGGCCCTGGTGATGAGGATGCAGTGAAGCAGCAGGAAGCCGAAAGGGTATACCGTCAGCTCCTAGCTCATGGAGCTATGGCTGTCCTTTTACCCACAGAAGATTTGCAAAATGTCTGTTTACGAACGTTGGTTGGTGATATACTGGCCGATCTACTCCTGGGAGGGGTTGTTGGTGGGAAGGTTGCCGAGGGGTGGTTCATCTGGGATGCCATCTCGAATATTCTCACGAGCTTGAACCACACAAGACAAAGCGATGGTGTGGAACACGATCAAAGTGGCAATCTAGAAAAAGCCGATCACGAACCTGATCAGGAACGATCATCTAGGTTTGACGGTTATTCAACACAAGGAAGCCAATCGATCCTACTATCAACTCTTTTCAGTTTTATGCAATATTGCTATCTAGCTTATGTTGCACTCCGGTTCGTGGCATCGGGGTTGTTTCGTGTCTCATCGACAGTCTCATCCACGGCAGATGCTAGCAATAGCAATAACGCCAAAGAGGCAACTCCTTCCCGCTCAAAGGGTAACATCGTGCGACTGCCTGTTTTGGAGTATCGAATCTTTAGCGTGATTGCGCAGCTTCTCGACATATCGAGCCGAATGCCATGGCTTGGAGGGTTTCTGGCCCTTGTTCAACACCTCCTGATGACAGGCCCGGGCAGAGCTGGAACGGCAGATGGAGTGATTGACAGGTGAGTTTGTTATGACGGCCGAGCCCACTTGCCTTCTGCTTTTCCCATGTTTTTTTTTTGCACGTCCCCCCTTTCACTTTCGCCATGGCCGTTAGGGGTGATGCTCCATATAAACTTCTTCTCGTCGAATGCCCACCCGCTCCCCCCACCCACGCCCTTGATAGGATGGATGAAGGCTCTATTCATTTATCCGTGCTCCATCCAAGACATCGATCTCGAACGAAGCCTCCGAGCAATCAGATCGCATGGCAGGGATCTCACATAGAGTTTCCAGCTTTCATGCATAGCACTTCAGTCACTTGATTTTATGGAGGGTAGGCCCGCGCCCAATCAGCATCAACAAGCTCCTAGCAGCCAAAAAAAGGGCCACAAAAACGACAAAAACGACAAGAAAGACCGCGTATCGTCATCGTGCGTACGCGGTATCTCCGTTTCGTCACTTTGGTTTTTGTAATACCAAAGTTGTTTCATTACCACGTTTCTGTGACAATACGACGCATCCCCCCTGGCCGCCGTGGCCGTACTCGAGTACGGAGTGCATGCGCCCTATATCCAATGTGCATTCAGGAATCACTCCATCCTCCTCCGCGCTGATCTGTGGGACGGGCCTTCCTCCCTTCCGCAAGCCTCCAACCTTTTGCATTCTTCAGGATTCAGCGTCGCTGTGCGCCGATTGGCATGGCCATTCACCCATCCCATCACCGCCTGTATTTTTCAGTTATCGCTGCCCTTTGGTACCCTTGCAGTCTTCCTCGTTTAACCTGCTCGGTTTTCTGGACTAGTTTCTGTTCTGCATTTATTTATTTTTCTCTCTTTGAGAAGCCCGCTAGCTTCGCCTGAGTGTGACGCCATTGCTGACGATGGACGGAGATAGATTCCTTCACGACTGTATCCACAGACACCTGTTGACTGCCACATTCCTGCCGTCCTTGTTGCTTGCGATCCGAACCACGATCTTTCCAATTAATGGTAGGCCCAGCCTAACGCGGGCTTCCGGGGTTTCTGCGGCCACACAGCAGCAGCAGCAGCAGCAACAGCAACAGCAGAAGCAGCAGCCTTCCACCCCTGGTTCAGACGCCGAGATCGGCACCCTCGCCAGCAGTGGTCCTAACGCTGGTAGTCAGAACCACGGCCATACTAACGATGCCCTACAGGAGACGCAGACATCGCTTAATCCAACCCCGCCTCGACCTGGCATGCTAGACGCACCTTCGCCTGGATCTCAACAGCCGTCTGCAGCAGAGCTAAAATCGATCAAACGAACATGTGCTGCGAATATACTTGCGTTGATCCCTCGCCGTATAGCGTTGGCCATTTTCGTGATTCAAACGGATAGAAGATTTGGCTCGGAGCTCAGTACCACAATCGGCGACAAACCGGATCCTCTCGTTCGCTCCAGCACTCCCGTGTCTTCAGTTAATAGTAGAATAGACACGCCTCTACCAGGCGCTGGATCTGAACCGGGACTGGCGAGAGATTCGAATTCGAGCCGTGGCGATGGAAGACATCACGAGCCAGCTACACCTAGACAATACGTCCAAACTCGCAGCAGTCATGATTGCAATAGTAGGGACAATAAGGCGACCGATGACGGCCCCGATCTGGCAAAGGCCAGCTCAGGTAAGGCACCAAAGCCTTACGGCCAAGAGGGAGATGCGGCCTTACTGTCTGCAGTCGAACATGATCTCCTAGACCTCTTCTCAGACACCTATTGTAACAAGCATCTCATTTACTCTATTGTCGAAGCTACTCTCGTCAAGCTGATTCCTGAAATGGGAGAGCATAGCGTGACCGAGCTAATGAGCGAACGGGGAGTTTCGTGGTCGACCGCAACGACCAATGAATGACTTTTCTCGCCCAGCTTGTCTTTCTATTCACTTTCCTTCTTCTATTTTCTTTTTTACCTGGTGACGTACCTATCTTAAAGGTCCTTATTCCCCTTGTATATGTTTTTAATAATATTGACTTTTCGTCTTGCCGCTTCGACCTTTTTTTGGTCCATCCGGTCCCATAGGAATCGCTCATCGGCAGTGACTTGTGAATTTTAGCTACTAGAAGTGGCAAGCGATCCTAACACACGCATGACTGGAGTACCAGGGTCTGCAGTTACACTCATGCACAGATCGATACTTGACTTGAGAACGGGCCTTTTTCTTGCGATCGGTCCATATTCCGCATCCCACTATTTCATGTCACTCATGTCCTTCATGCTACCTTGTTAATGCTGCTATCCACTTCAGTTTACTCTTACTCCATTCTCGCTTTTTGGCTTTCAATGCATCCATAGCGCCGCATCGATACACTTCCGATGTCGTTCATGCAACCTACCTGACCGCTCATCTCATATTAATTTTCTCCGTGTAAGCGCCCGGTCTACATAAAGTATATTGGAACAATTATATACCTTGTTACATCATAGCTGCAAGTCGTAGAAAATGGCCGTGGTATCGACCTTCTCTCCCCACCATACCCCTACCCCTACATACATCCTACACACCCTCAATACTTTCCATTGACCCGATGCAACGGTAAATAGGTAATAAATATAGAAAAATCGGGAAGGCAGGAGGAAGGAAAAGAAATATTCGTACATTTTACCTTTTCCTCTTGTCTTTTCTTGCCTGGTAGGGGTGTCGGAGCCTTGTTCTCTCGCTCGCGGTTCAGGTTTCGCCCGTAGGGAGGCAACGAGCATCCCGAGAGTAACGAACGCTCACCCGCCTGGAGGGGTCGAAGCTTGGGGCTCGATGCCATGGAGCCAGCCGTTTTTACCGCCAGATCTGGTGTGAGACCTGTACGTTAGAAGGGGACGAATAAGGATATGCGATTCTAAGCAAGTGTGTATGCAGAGTGTTACTCGTTGTTCGCATAAGAGCGGGATAGACAACAACATAATATGGTAGTAATTGTTATATTTTTTTTTTCCATCTGCTTCCTCCCGCCACTATTCCAAGTTTCCAAATTACCATCATACCTCCAATGTAGCTGTCCACCTCTTGCCGAACATGGTCCAAACTGCAGCGCACGAAGTGCAAAAGAAAAAAAAAGAAAGGAAAAAGAAATTCCAGGTCCCAGTTGCCCATCCCCGTTTCCCAGTCCGCGCGAGCGGTAGTCGTTGTAAATACTCTCCAAGCCCCTAGAATGAATACTGTAGAATGAATAAAATAGCCTAGGACATAAGAAAAAGAAAAAAAAAAGGGAAGAAGAAGGGGAAACATAACGAAACAAGTGTGATGATGAAGGGAAAGAAACCCCCTTCAACATCAATAAATGCAACACTGGGTATGAAATATGAAAGTAAAATGGATAAAGGGCATATATGAGAAGGGACAAAAAGGGATAACATTGGTAGATAGATGAATGGACAAAATTATGAGAATTAGGTTGCAGCGATGCCGGTTTCTCGACACTACTGCCGAAACCGCCCAAATATACCATATCTTGTCACCCAGACGAAATAAATGGAGGATTGTAATAGTCGAAAGGTCGATTGGCGTGGCGGAGGTGATTGTCGTAAACGTTTAGAGAGATAAATAGCAAAAAAACAAAACGTGGGATCGTATTAGAGTCCAGGTGTCTGGAGGGGGATGCCGTGCGATAAAATTAACGAAACGAAACGGAACAGATTGATGCTGTTTGGTCTTCCATAACAATAAAAGGGCCGACCTATAGTGTATGGATGCTTCTCTTCTTACTCACGCGAGGTCTATCGATGTGAGATTTGCCTCGAGAAGTGGACTTCATCGGTTGTATGTAGGGTTGACCTTGTGAGAGTTTGAGTTTCTCCATAAGTTTCCCAATAATCTGATAATCCGAGACTGCCAGCTCCATTGATTGGCTTTGGAAATAGTTTAGGACCAACTCCAAGGCCTGGCGCGCTTCGTCCTGGGTCGGAGAGTTGGGAGAGGAAACAGGAGATGATATGCTTTTGGATTTTGGAAGTGGCGGTGGTTGCATAGGGGTTATGTTTGTGATAATTTCTGGATTGCTGCGGTTTCGTTTCATTGCAGGTGCGTCCGCGAATTCGGTTGACTCCTCCTCGATGACGCCCGGCTGAGAGAAGAGGTTTGTAGGTGACAAGATTTCTGGGGATTCATCCTTAACCAAGGAAGATCCCGAAGTCATTACGGGCAGTGTTTGACTTCGCCGTCGCTTCGACTCTACACCTAGGCCTGTATGTTCGGATGGTGCAAAAGGATTCTGAGAGGAAAAGATTATGGTTGATTCACTTGTAGCCCTGGTGAGGGTAGGCGTTACAACAGGCGTGTTCTCTTGAGGGAGTGACATGTTAAAGGCATCGTCACCAAACTCGCTGACGAGTTCGCCCTCGTGTCCAGATCCAGGTTGCTTCGGAGATATTGGGGAAGGTGTCGTGGTTAGGGTAGGGGAAATGGGAGAAAGTTGCGTGGGTGACCGAATAGTAGACCTTTTCCTTGGACTACTATTTGTATCGACAGAGGATTTCCTGCCTGGGGAGTCAATCAGGTAATTCTTTTGCTTGAACTTCTCCAGCCAGCTTGCGGTCAAGATCTTCTCGTGGCCCTCGGGACTGCCAACAGTGCTGGCAAAAAATATCGCTTTCTCCCTGATTAAGGCATCATTGATCTCTCCACCCTGTCGCTGGTGGTTCTTCACCCAGTTTGACAGAGCCCTTTCGATATCTGGAAACTTCCCTTTCGCCTTTTTAACGGGTGACCGGCGTCCATCATCAGGGAAGAGGTACTTCTCCTTTTGGCGGAGAACTTTGGAAACGGTACTAAGAAGTAGCGGGTTAGAAAGGTATACGGATCTCAACGGTACCCTCATCATACCTTCGTTCAACACCAAACATAGCTATATATCTTTCTGTTAGCTTATCAACGGCCTAATGATAAAAGATAAAAGAATCCAAGGACTTACCTCCAATCTCTGTCTGTTTGACATGAGGATTTTCCTGATGATACAAGCACATGCGTCGGCGCTCTGCATCAGTCAAGGTTCTTCGCGGGGTAGGTGGCGTCGATATCTGAGGCGTTTGGACATGTTGCAATGGAGGCGCGATGGGAGTCATTGGCATTGGCGCAACTGGCATTGGCGCAAAGCCAGGCTGAGTAGATAACATGCTCGGCCATTGCGATGACATCGTGAGCGGAATCAAGTGCTGCGCGGTATACGGCTGAGGCATAGACATGCTGTAAGAAGGCTCAATTGGCATGATAGGCGAGGATCCATATTGAAAACCAGTAAAGTCATTCAGAGGATGGTGGTGAGGTGCCGCATATACTCCCATGTCAACCCACTGGGAGCCGACGAAGTCATGATCCTGCATCGGTGGGGTTTCTGTATCCATGGTCCCCAGATTCTGATAATCACCGGGGCGACAGATGACGCCCACGTTGAGAGATGGTGTTCGGCGGGCTTAAAAGAGGGAAAAGGGGGAGGGGGAAGTAATGAGGGCACGCGAAGCGAGTGCCTTTAAGCTGAAGCGCGCTGCCGACAAGGGGATTCACAATGTAGTTAGGTGGGACCTGTAGAGATTGAGTCGACAACGCATGGCATAGCGCACTGCCGGCTCGAGACAAGGGAGGGGAAAAAACAACGAGGTGTTCCAGTAGCCGCGTCAATATCGATTTAACGAGAAGAGGGCAAGGTGGGAGAGGGTATGGGGTAGATAATCAAGAGACCCAGGGCCGGACGATGCAAAGTATGTATGTATGTATAGAGGCGGAGAGTTCGATAGACAGGTACTTGAAATGAGAAAAAAGGAAGTCTAGCCCAGCCTGGCTGCAGGATCGAGAGGCTCCTTTCTTTTTCTTATTTCTGGTTTTCTCTGCTTTTTTTTGCGAATGATTTTTATTTCAAGGCCTTGCTTTTGCGGTTGTTGGGGCCGGAGGCGGGTATATTATGTAGGTTGCTATTAGTCGGGCGGGTGCAGGCATATGTCCGTCTACCATAGCACGGTAGGAGGGGGCAAGAAAGAGTCAAATGCAGGACCCGAGAGTGACAGGGAATGGGCTCTGCTTTTAGTTTAGGGTTGCATAAGAGACGGTTGAGCTAGCACAGGAATGAGTTTAGCCACCGCCAATCTAGGGCAGGGATGGCTGGAGGGCAGGGAAGTCCAGCAGACGAGCCAGGAGGGGGTGTCTTTCTCCGGGATAACCGGGTTAAAATATGGGTTGCTCGACGAAGCTCCGGGGATGGACTTGTACAACAGGGGGGCAGATCCGTCATGGGCCACTGTGGCCGGACTGGCAGACGGCGGAGTATTAGTATTATATTAGCCCTCAGAGGCAGGCAGACAGGGCAGCCACAAACGAGCATCATCAAGCGTCTGGCAAATGGCGAGCTGGATCCCGCACCCTCTGAGAACATCACCAGATGCCCAAGAAAGGGCGGTTGCAAAGCTGCGATTGGGAGACGCCGTAATCAGCTAAACAGTCGGGTATCAAATATTGAAAGTCGATGACGCCGTAACGTGCGCCCGTACCCCGTTCCATACATCCATACGGTCATGACGGAACGTGTATTCTGCATACCAGAGGACGAGAAAGAGATACGGCGAGAAGGCGACTCGGATGTCGAACAGGCGAAGAGAAAAACAACTTCTGCATGAAAAAGTACTGGCAGGAAGGTAAATAGTTCGTTTCGTGGCAGCCACGAGCCAAACCCTGATCGATGATCTGGCCACGGCGCTCGTTGGCGTTTGTATCAATCAATCAAGCCATGAAGACGTTGAGATGAAGCTGTCAACTTGCTCTTGTTGTGTATACTACGATGTATACTCCGATATACTCCGTAGTAACATACTCCAACATAGATCTGGTCAGCTGCAAGCATGTAAGGTTGAAGTCATCGCCACGGCTATCCATCTGTATAAAGAGCTGTCCCGCTTTCATGTCAATCTCTTCGCTGAGACGTCGAGGTCATATGGCTGTTTCAGTGCAGTCCAATAGTATCGTCGTTGACGGGCTTCTTCCGGGCATAGGACGGGCCCTTCTCCTAGACAGCGGCAATCGTGGCGCAGAGAGCAGGCAGTATCACTGCGTACAGCATATATAACTCGACTTCCATAATGCTTATGGCATCCAAGGATCCGGGGAATATCGAACTCTGTTTCGTTGCTGGCTGTCTCAGCTAAGCGATGCCTGCCCGTTGACTATTAGCCCTAACACTGATCGACCGCGTGGTGGTTTGCCCAATTGCGGCTTTGAAGGCCATGGACAGGCCGCGAAGCGAGCTGGTTGCTTGGTTGATCGTGCAAATCATATCTTCGAGTCTCAATCCAGTCTTGTTTATGGTTTCTAGCGTACGGGATGGTCAGCCTAGCTTGTTTGACTATTTTTATCGCTTTAGGTAATTACGTGCGTACGTAGTACAAAGTAAAGGTATTCCTCTCTCCAATGATAGATACTTACGGAGTGTACGTCCTGTCGAAGAAAAAAAAGTCGCCGCTAAGGGATATACCCCTACTAGTCTACCGAATCCGCGAATAATTGTGACCTGTACTGTGTACCATCATCCTTGAGCGCAAGGGTGGTTTTTTTTTTTTTTTTTTCTCTTTGATTTTCTTGTTCAGGTTCCTGAATTCCGTGATGTCAGGGCCGCGAGCAGGGGGTTCTTGAGCGAGGGCCAGGGAGGAATACTCCATACAGTATCGTGGGCGCTCTTAAGGCTGGCTGGAGTAGTCACTTTTAGGTACGGAGTAGTCCATACTAGAGACGTATGAGCTCTCTAGCATACGCATGTGACGTGCTAGATGGCTGGCAATAGCCTATCTATGACGACAACTTGCCTATGAAATTAGCACGCCCTTGATATACATCCTAAGCGCTGAGTATGCAAGCTTCATGAATATCCTCCGCTCGAAGTCCGAGAGGAACCACGGTACGGCAAAGAGAATAAGCAAAGCCGTCCAAGGGGTTTAGTCTTTTTCTAGAGCCCGGAGAGAAGCAGGCGAGAGACGAGCGTCGCACATCTCAAGAGAACGGCGACCGAAAGCAGGCAGGAGGCCAGGATGGTGAAAGAGAAAAACACGACTCAGGCTTCGATCTCGAACCACCGATCAGCATACGGCGGCATAAGCAAGACAGATCGTGATTCTCACTGCTTTAACTATGTGGGGCCGTTGCAATGGCCCTTTCTTCGCTGTGGACGGAGGTGGCAGAGCGAATATGAAGGCTAGAATTGCCATCGGATGCTCCGTAATTGTAATCAACAGGCTATCCATGCGACCTGGTTAGCGTGCTATATGGTCAAGTCCTTGCCAGCCAAAACGCACTATTTGCTCCGATTCCATATAATATACTACCTGCATCCCATATTATAGTTGAACTCACGGCAGAAGGTTTCTGAGCGGCAATCCCTCCCACCCCCCTCGTTCACTTTTCGGGGTTCATGGCAACTAGGCGGGATCTAAAGGCTATGCATGTCGGTTGGTGGCGTGGAGAGATTAGCAGTGCAGGTATCAGTAGACCGAACTTCTCACGAGGAGGGGGAAGTTTCAGAAACCCACCCAACGGTCAAGAGAACGGTATCAATTGGCCTTCGTATGCTGTCATGTGCGTATATACGGCTTCCGGATCGAATATATAGATCTCAGCCGTGACTGGTTGCTGTCCATAATTAACTAGGGAGCAACGGCCTCTGAAGTGCAGTCATTAAGCGGTCCTCAACCCCTATTTTAAAGGTGAACTGCTTAGAGCGGGATGAAGATAAAGTAAGTCTTCAGGCACTGTCCTAAATGGGGATGGAACCCAACCCCTACGCGTATACACTAGACCTCCATGTTAGCGCCCTGCACTGAACAATCAGGCAAGATGGAGTAGGTGGTACACAACGGAGGACACTTACTAACATAGGCATATATATACGGGAGAGCTAAAAGACGGAGTCGCCAAACCCCAGTTAGGCAGTACCTCTACCCTCGTAAGGAAGATACATACTTTTCTCGTTCGATCGAGATAATTAAGCTACCGCAGTACGCAGTAGTTTAGTGCGGAGAAGCCGCGCTCCCTCGTTCCCTCAGCGACTTCGGCACGACCTGATTGGGCTGCAATGCAGAATTCTCCCTATCAAATGTCACCTATCAAGGTCAACGCAGCCCAGGGGGGAACCGCCGCCCACATCCGTACCTGGTATGAGAATCTCGGCCGCATGACCAGGGAACAAGGCTGCCAAGGGCAGTTATCATGTATCACGGCGTGTATCTACTCACTACTCTGCGAGATGGCATGAACATGAGGCATAACTCGAACGACGAGTAGCCGCTGCCTCTGCCGTAGAGGACACCGAGTATACTCATGTGAGCCCGTCCGAGTGATCAGTAATCGGCTGGTAAGCGCTAGGGGCTCAGTCTTTTTTTACGCCATGAAATTAGCATTGACGGCGTAGCAAGGGGCATGGCAAGCCGCCTACCTGCTTTCTCCCTCCAACGTAGTATGAATGTCGCACTCCGTATAGGCCTATCCCGGCCCCCTCGCGTGGACGTGGAGGACTCGACAAGAACACGATGCATAAGTAACCCCCCTCGGAGGCGGATATACCGCCGCGGCAACCTCGAGCCTCTCAGAATAAATTATACCCCCCGTCCCCTGAGCGATACGTCGAAATGTGGAGGTCATGTCCTAGCATGATGTAGGTCTGCCTTTGACCGATTCGGCAAACGGAAGTACATACTATACAAGTATCTCGATGCGACAAGCCTCATAGCATAGTCGAATCGCATTGAGCAGATGCCATGCGGCCGCATTGACGACGTGCAACTCGGTCCCGAGAATGCGGTACAGAAATAGATATATCTGTTGGTCCCGGTTCTTTGCTTCTTTTCATTGTCTCTCGACTTGCAGCCAACAGCGTATATATCGTCTGCTATTGCTTCATCGCCGGGCATGGGAGGGAGCTTGGACGGTAATCAAGCTTGGCCTTGAGGAAGAAAAGGAATACTTGAGGAGCAAGTATGTAATTCCGCATTTCGAGAACCTTGCAATATTCATCAGCGCTACCTGCGTAACTTTGGCATGCCTGCTTCGTTTTCTTTTTCTTTTTCTTTTTTTGCTCGGCGTACATACATTAGCCTGCTCTTGCTCGTTGCCTTGCTGCTCCACCGGCAGACGGAATATCCGCCGATTGACTCTGCAAAACCTGGTCCCCGTGAGGGAACCCCTAGCTCGCGGGCGTAGGAAACGAGAGCGAGCGATGAAAAGTCAAAGGGGCCGTTTGGCGGGTAGGGGGAGATGTCTGCATCGCTTCCAACCAAGGAATACGAGTCAGGTATCTCTTACGTCAAACGGACGATTTTATAGACCTGTTCTGACCAGCATTAGGGTCTTCCCGTCTCGACTTGCTCCAAGTGGACCGTCAGGCCGCCGTCGTGCTCTTCGTTCAACGGGATATACATATTCATACTCCGCATATTCATACTCCTGGCGAGAGACGCAGCGTGCGACTGCTGGTGTATACGAGCATACAGAGGAGTGCTGTATGTACGGAGTACGAGTATCTGATATTTCTTTTCGCGTACCAGTAATAACCCAGACGCCCCTGAATGCTGATAGGCCGCCGGAGTTACCTCGACATCAGAATGGCATATTACATCGCACGATGTATCTAGCCGGCTGATTGCATGCGAAGACAAGCGAGCGAGTACAATGTGCTAGGTACTACTGCATCAAACGACTTTTCCCGCCCCTTGACAGCTTTCTCGAGATTGCATATTTCAGCATCTCACATCTCGACGAAGCCACCGGACACATTACTACTTTTCTTCTGCTTTCGTCTGCTTTCTTTTTCTCCTTCTCCGTTCTTTGTCCGGGATCGGCTTTTAGCTTGAAGGAAGACAAGCTAAAGGGATCGACGCGGAGGTGAAATGTGCACTGTCTCGATTGGAGTGGCATCTCGGTTCTTCAACGTCTCGTCCTCCTGACTCTATCACGACTCTATTATTTTTGTCTTTTGGGTAGACGGCCTGTTCACCGCTCTATTAGACATACGGATACTATTACGGAGTACGGATATACCAAAACACTCTTATTACAGCTGCCAAGGTGGTGGAAGGGGGTATCCGTATACATGCACGATTCTGTCATCATGCCGAAAGAGAATCGACAGTTGCCAAAATCGGGTCGTCGTGAAGATGGGCTTTTTTTACTTATTTTATCCTTTGCTTCACCTTCAGGGCGCACAAGGGAAAAAGGTAAAAAAACTTAAGGGATAAAAAAGAAAAGGGACGCCGCGTTCTATGCCATTCGATGCTTTCTTTTTTCGCCCTACACATCCCTACATAGCAGGAGAGAGTGTGTGTGCGTTTTGTACACTCTGTGATATGCTATGTCTGCCATAGAAGCCATCGCCGTTGGCATCTTCATCTATCAAGCTCAGAAGGGCGGTCACACAACGACCCCCAGAAAGATGGGCTGCAGATCCATGGTCCTCCCCTACGGTTCGTTCCTTAACAGAAAATTCATGTTCGGACGGTTCGTTTCCTTGGTCTCGTCCCCTTCGTAAATGCTGTGAGACAAACATGCTTCCTAACCGGATTATCTAGTTCTTTTCTGTTTTCTTCCCTCGTTGGTGGATGGCTGTCTGGCTGACAGGTCACACACGTTGCACTCGGGGAGGTTTTATTGCTCTTATTGTTAAGACGATTAAACCCCGAACTATCGGATAATGCTGGCCGGAGAGCACTATTTACCTTTCAGCGGCTGCAAAAGCAATCTTTATTTTGCTGCTCGGACTCATCCGGGGGTTTATATTGCCGAATCGGGATGGTTATACACAGGGGCGGATTTGATAGGGGATATCTTAATATTGATATTGCGTTATACCGATGATCTCAGCGGTGAAATGGCCTTTTTCATGATCGTCAATCTTAGTCTATTCTTCCTGTCTTCCTGAACTCTACGATCGTAAATTCCATCATGAGGCGCTCATAGCCTATGAAAGGAGCGTAATAATATTAAGATCGATGCTATTATGCTCACACCTCTATCTAAAACGCCTCTCTTTCAGCCAGATCATTTCTGCCCCCAATTGCAAAACCCTTCCCTTTAGCCACTTAGCTTGCACGTTTTATCTACAGGAGGCGTTTTGATCTCACCTGTTCTATCAAGCCCCAAATTCGTTTTCATACCTTATCTCTACTGTGCCTCTTTTTCGTTTGATACCAGACCCTTGATGTTTGATCTTGACTTACACGCAAGTTTCGAATCGAGATTTCAAACACACAATCTTTGAACCCTATAACGTAAACACTCTCTGCCGTGCATGTGCAACGGTAGCATTTATTATCATCCCAACCAGGACGATGGAATAGTTCATGATTGGGAAGCACTCTTTTTCTCCTTTACCCCGTTGATTGGGTAGGATACGATGTCTCGATCCTTTTTGAACAGGTCTCGCCTCTTCACCCGGCAATTCTCCATTTCGCGCCTTATCAGCACGGAAGTATAAGGGACTAGACGATATCGCAGGGACAGGGAGAGATGATATACATCCGTTTAACACGTTTGCTCGCCTGATAAGTCTCTTTACATGGATACCCGATTGCAGCCTCGGGCTGAAACCCCTTGCCTTGTCCGAATACCTCCGTATAGATGTCTGCTCCTGACATGACTGGCAGAACGGCCGGAATGATTCCTATCAAGGTATCAAACAAGACTATGCAAGCTTCGGGGTTGCGCGGCAGGGGAGACAACAAATCATCTACACATAAAAAGGGGGGGACGTGGAGTCGAGAGGGATTGTGCAGGCGCGCAGCTCGCAGGCGAGCAATGGCCAAGGGTTAAAGTAAACCTGTCCTTGGATGTGTTGTGTCTTGCATTGCCCATGCGAGATGCGAGCCATGCATGCATACATAGCCCTGGTATAGCCTATAATGGAATTATTGAAACTTGACGACCATTTCATTTCCATCTGGGGTGGCTTAACGAGGAGCACGGATGGGGATTGAAGGGGAACAGCGGAACTGTTTTCCTCCAATGCACATGCAAGACATGCGGGTGGAGGGAAGAAAAATTTTCTATCTCGATGTAGCCGAAGAAAACGAACATGACGAGATAAAAATTTAGGTTTCGTGTGATGCTTGCCGTTTTTCAAGATGAACAGGACAATATTGTGTGCTATTTTTCCAAATTTTTTCTTTATGGTGGTAATTTTGGGCTGCACGACCTCGCCTCCCACCCCCTATTTCCTTTCTGCCTAACTAAACAGAGTGATCGTTGATAGAAGGTTTCCCACTCTCCCCTTTCCCCAGCCTGCATTGCATCATGGTGTTGCTGTTCGCCCCTTCTTCTGCTTCTCCATCTCTCCCTCCAACCCCAGTCTTATAAATATACTCCTTAAAAAGGCATATATTCCACTCCTCCTGAACACGTCATCCCGTATACCTTGTCAGCCATCAATCTGATCCCATGTCTCTTGGAGTCGCAGTCCAGGATAACTGGATAGCTGGAAGAACATCCCAGCTCCATGGGCATGGATGACCCAGGAAAGAGTCGTAGAAACCCCAGTCCCTAGTACATGCATCTATCGCTTGACGATTGTTACTAAGGATTAAGGTATGTTAGTAAAGACGCACGATAATGGGAACTACGGAACGGAACGATGGGATCCACTTACTTATGTCTTCGTCTGCGAGTTCGTGGCTTAACCCAACTCGTTGAGGTTGATGTTTGACGGATCGGCCGTAAACTATAGCATGTTTGAATGTCTCGAGGATAGACTTGTGGATGGAGTTACACTATATTATTTCAGAGAAGCACACACCATTAGTAAGGAAACAACCCAGGGAGCAGAGGTGGATGGCAGACTTACGAAATCTTCAACAGTGCAAGCAGTACTCCTCAAAACCACTGGCTCATTATAATCTGGATTCTTGCCCTTGGGCTTTGTATAAACTCTCCTCAGGTTGAGCTTCTCCCACATAAGTTCCAAGAGCTCATCTATATTCCATCCTCGCTCTGAACTGATAGGGCAGGCGTTGGGGATACGGTATAGTAGATCCAGCTCCTCTATTGAGATCGAGTCGATTTTGTTCAAGGCGTAGATCACAGGTATATAGGAACGACTGCGGGCTTCGAGAACGTCAATTAGATCGTCGACTGTAGCGTCACATCGGATAGCTATATCCGCTGAGGAGATTTTGTATTCGTTCATGACGGCTTTGATTTCCTATACGCACCATGAGCTAACCGCACAACCAAATAAAGGTCTGCCGCCTTATTCTTGACGCACTGGACTGGGAGAAACTTACACCATGGTCAATATGAGTCAAAGGCACCGTGTTTGTGATGGCAAGTCCACCCTTATCCTTCTTTTTAAAGACAATATTCGGAGGCTCCTTATTAATTCGTATCCCAAACCCTTCCAGTTCACTCTCGATAACCTTCTTATCCGTCAACGGCTTGTTAACGTCCAGAACGATAAAGATAAGATGACACGTCTTCGCAACGGCAATGACTTGTCTTCCTCGACCTTTGCCGTCCTTGGCACCCTGAATGATTCCAGGAAGATCAAGCATCTGGATCTTTGCGCCGTTATATTGGACCTGACCGGGGACAGTGGTAAGGGTTGTGAATTCATATGCGGCGGCTGTGTGTAAACGTGAGTAACCGGGATTCAATTCGACGGGGCTTGAGGCATTCGATTGACAAAGAGTATGGTATCAAGGCATACCTTCGGAATGTTGGCCCGTCAGCTTGCTCATCAGAGTACTTTTACCCACGGATGGGAATCCAATAAAGCCACTATGATGTGTTAGTTGAAGTGTAGTACGCCCTGGGCATATCCTAGATAAAGGGGGAAACATACACACTGGCAACACCGGTACGCGCAACATCGAAACCAGCTATAGCAATGCAATCAGCCAAATGCTCCCACTGTATGCCCTTTATGTAACCGGGGAAAACATACATCCTCCACCACCGCCTCCACCCGAGGGAGTAAGCAGTTCTCGCTTTAGCTTCGCAAGCTTAGCTTTCAATTGTCCTATATTCCGTAGACGGAGTCGTTAGATCCAGGCCCATAGCTAACATCCGTCCAATCCATAAGTTGTCCCGGCCGTACCTAAATGAAACGAGGTGGCTTTGTTCTTTTGGGTTTTGGCCATCTAGATATCATTAGAATGCGTGCCAGCCATGCAATGGGCGAATATGAAAAGGCATCGGTATACTGACTTCGGCCTCAATTTCCCTGATCTATACGCAGAATCACACGACATGGTTAGCTATAGCTCTTTTTCAAGGATATAAATGTTGTCGTGAATTCTAGCGGGCATTTCAAACCTTGTCCACTGTGGTCGCCATGATTGCGGTGGTCTGCCTGAACGGGGGAACGCGGAAAAAAACAGATAAAAGGGCGCTCAATAGCCAACACTACGCTGATGAGACGTATAGAATGAGCGAGACGTATAACCGGGGAAGTTATATGCAATAACAGTTCAACAACGCGGTGGGGTTTATAATTCACACATTGAAAAACACTTATCTCGATCTTATCTCGGGCCTATAATTTATCCGACAGACCATACACCACGTGACTGATGACTCCACGTGACACATCATGTGACCGGGTTCTTTTCGGCGCCGGGAATATCCGTGGAGCCCGCGCAGGTACGGGATTGGTCGGAGTGGTCCGAAACGGAAAGGGTGGCGTGGAGCAAAAGGATGAAACTACGACTGCGCACTACAAGTCTTGTCCCCAAGGTGGAAGAAGAAGAGAGAAGAAATTGCATTAATCGACCTAACATCTCCCTAAAGCCCATCGGAGACACCGTTTCTAAGAGACATTGTACATATCTTGCCATCTTACCTTGAAGCAGACCACCTATCCCGCAGACCTGACTGCCGAGACAAGAGAAAACCCCCACACACCGACAGTTGTTGAGAATCCAACATCATCCCATCGGAGTCATCATGCCATTCATCGAAAACCAGACCACCACGGCAGAGCCCATCGTCCCAGTCGACGTCAAAGGCAAAGACGCCTTCCATAAGCTAGTAGAAGACCTCAGTGCCGTCCTGGGACCGGCTTCCGGACTGGATTCCAGCGATGTTGACCCAATGGACATCCAGAAACTGATGGAGGGATACGTATCCAACCACCAGGAGTGGCAGCGTTATGCGTTGGCAGACACCTCCAGGGCCTATACCAGAAACCTCGTGGACGAGGGCAACGGCAAGAGCAACTTGGTAAGTGATAACGTCCGATGTGGTCGACGATAGCACCAGTCCAGCCAGCTAACGGTGGTGAATTGCAGCTCATCCTCGTTTGGAACCCTGGCAAGTCCAGTCCAATCCACGACCATGCTAATGCCCACTGCGTAATGAAGGTAGAGTTCCCCTTCCCTGGCAGCCGGGAATATAGGAGTCCAAATGTAGCTGATCATCTTTCCCACGGTGTAGATCCTGCATGGTTCGCTGAAGGAGCAGCGTTATGACTGGCCTGAGCAAGAGAAAGTCGAGAATGGCGAAGCATGCCCCCTGACTGTCACCAAGGAGACCATCCTCCGAGAGAATGAAGTGGCATACATGTCCGACCAGGTAAGAAAAATTCTGATCATTCCATAGGAATGATGAAGCTGACATGTCCTCCTAGCTTGGTCTGCACAAGATCTCCAACCCGGATCCAGAAGAGTTTGCCATCTCTCTGCACTGTAAGTGGTCCCTGAGTGTCCAGTGGTGTCGACCTACCTGCTAACATCCGGACTCCAGTGTATACTCCTCCAAATGCTGCTCACTTTGGCTGTTCCATGTTCGATGAACGAACAGGCAGGGCTCAGCACGTCAAGCAATGTACCTTCTTCTCCAACCGGGGACTGAAGCTGTAGATAGCCAGACGAGCAGGCAACAAGCCCGGCTGTTGCTGTTCACTGGCATATTCAGATCAGACTGGCAGCCTCCAGAGTCAGTCACCTTCCAGGTGGCTTTCATGATCGAGCGTGATGATTGTGCTTTTCCATGGAGTTTTCCGTGACGTCGTGTTTTTTTCAGCAGCAAGCGAGTATTCCCTAGACGGAGGAGAAGAGACGAAGGAGTGTGTGCTGGCCATGCCCTCACCCTATATATCCAGCCAGCGCTTCTTTTTGCGGTCGCAGTGGCGGGCCCGGCGAGCACGCCATCATGCCCTGCCCCGATAGGCCCGTTTCAACAACACTAGTCCTCTTTGGGAAGTCCCGTGCCGCCCTTAGCGAAAGTGTCCCTTTTTTTCTCTTGCCGCTTTTGGTTTATTAGTCATGTACATATCTACTTCTTCCCTCAGTTCTTTACGGTTATTTTATATCATTTACTCATTCTTACTCTTGCTCCTTGACTGTAGTCGAGTTCTCGTCTTGGTCTCAGCTCTCATGTCCGAGAGATGGCGTACACCCGACCGGATACGTTGTTTTTGGAGATGAAACGGGGAGGCTGCTATTTCGCCCGAGAGACTGCCTACTTTGTAAGCATTTTATACTAGATGCTGGCTAGTAGATGTCGTGCTTGCGTCAGTGAGGGATAGAGTTAGGGCCTAAGGTCTGTTATACCTCTCCGGCCTCCGATATATCCTGCAGCATAGTCGGCTTCTTATATTGAATCTGCTCCCTGATCAGCAGGCTGATTAATGGGTGCCGGTCGAGGTGTCTAGACTGTTCCTCGACCCTCCTCTTGATCTCCAAAGGCCGGCCTTTATAACCAGCTGCTCTTCGCCCTGAGCAGTCCCTCGGTTTCTTTTCTTCCGAGCATTTGCAATCCAGCTACGGAGTATTTGAGTATGCCTCCAAGCTGCTCCATTAATTTATTAAGTGCATTACCGCTGAACCACATATTCATTCTCTTTTGACCACTGAAACGCGGAAGGCTCTAATATCACCCACACGGTGTCTTTGGTCTCCGAAGGCAGAGACTGACATTCCATTATTCTGGCAGAGGCCCCCTGTGACTCGACTTTTTCTGGATGTCGGAAGGTTGGCCAGTTTAATAGGTTGTGCTTGGTGAAAGGTAATGCAACAAGGTCTGGTATATGTTGGAGCGAGCGGATATTCGTTGCTATGCCCGACGGGGGGATGACTGTATAATGCCGTACGGACTGGTCTATTCTTGACCTGATCCATATCCGCAGCCACGCAAGCTGAGCCAGAATATGGACAGGCGATTCAAGACGAAGGTTCAGACTCCTTTGCTTTCCTCATCGAACCCGAAGCTAGGATGCTTATATCATGATATGGTTTCCTGACTTTCGTAAATATATTCTGAGGACCTGATTCGCCGTTTTTATTTGACCGGGGATGGGTATAAACTAGGAACCAGTTTCCCTGAAGTATGCACAGCTAGGATTGGCCTCTAGAAATTCGGGATGGCCAAGTAGGCATGGCATGATTAGACTTCATTGTCATCTAGTCTAGCCTTCCGCGATATAGAACATACAGTGGCGAAGATTGCGTGTTGAATGATAGATGTCCTAAGTAAACCGTCGGTCTTTATTATGGGAGATCTACCTGTGATCTCGCCTGGTAATGGTGTGAGAATCTAGCCATGGCGGTCGTAGGATCAAAACACGCCATTTCTAGCAGCAAAATAGGACTTTCGTCCGAAGTCTGATACAAGCAAACGCCATGAGGGTATCCAAACACCGGCCGGACTGATAGTTTAGGTGCAGGCCGAGGGAATCTCCCGAGTCGAGATATCTATAAAGAGGCATGGCAAGTTCTTGACCTTGCTACATCAGAGCTTATATAAGAGATGGCAAGAACTTCCCTGAAGTAGAGTGGCCTTGTTCCATCACGGCTGCAAGATGTGACCTATATCAGATCAGCATACAACAGAAAGAACAGGATTCACGTCTCCTTGAGTTCCAATAAAATATGGTGTATGGGAAGAGCGTTTCCAGCAAGAGACTCGGTCTCAGGAGCATCGCATTGAGACAAAGGGTTCTTTAGTCCTGTCCAAGTCAACAGAGGCGAGAGGCGTGGTTGGTATACGAGTGATATGCAGAAACCCCTATCTTCAACCACAGTTTTAGGTCAAAGTAAAAAAAAAAAAAAAACATCTGTCGCCTTTCAGCCTTTGGAATGGATATCCATCTCTTCGCGCCTCTCACGTCTCTCACGCCTCTCAACAAGTCCATATGTTTGGACACGAACGTCCCGTCTTAACTAGTGCTCCGTCATAGACTCAGACTCCCGGGTTTTTTGCTTGGCTCGACCAAAAACCTCCTTTCTATCAAATAACTATACGGAGTCCGGATAATCACTTCGCTGAGAAAGGAGGCTGGCAATGAGCTCTTCTAGTCGCGCATCGGTGTTTCACGAGGTATGAAAGGGCGACGGTTTACCATTCTTGCGGGCCTGGTGTCCCTAGTTGTTCTACTATATATCTTCTTCGCGACAAATCCAGACGAGAGACCTTTCATACAAGATCCTGCCCGTGAACAAAGCCCACCGCCAGCACCACCACCACCTCCTCCGCCCAAACCACAGCCGCCTGAGTTATTTGGCGACGAAACACAGCAGGAAGAAAACAAGAGCCCCTCGACTAATGATGACCCGGTCCACCCTATCGAGAGGTTGATTGATACCTCGAGGAAGACTTTCAAGGATGTGCAATCACGACAGTCGAAAACGCTGCAGCAGGCCGTCGCAGAGTACCGTCGTCGATATGGCCTTCATCCGCCTCCCCATTTCGATGTCTGGTTTAAATTTGCGCAGAGAAGAGGTGTTCAGATGATTGATGAATATGATACGATATTCGACTCTTTACTTCCCTTCTGGGCAGTGTCACCGAAGACCATTCGCGAACGAGCAAGGGAGGCGATAGGGTTCGAAAACGCCATGATCGGGCTACTCATACGAAATGGGAATGTGACGTTGGTCGATGGAGGCGGCGAGGGAGAGGAATGGAAGCGGAATGCCATAAAGGGAATGATGTCGACGTTCATAAAGTATCTGCCCGATATGGACTTGGCTTTCAACATACACGATGAACCGAGAGTGGTGGTGTCGCATTCTGACCTATCTCGACTGGTGGAGCAAGGGAGACGTACGACTGCCTCTAATGGCTTGAAGCCTGGGCCGTTGAATAAGTGGTCTGCGCGACCAAAGGGTGTGAACAAGGGAGATAGAATTGACGAAGTTAGGAGAACGAGGTTCAATAGGTTTGCTCACCAGCCTACCTGGACCAATTCACGAATGTCCTGCCCTCCAGACAGCCCAGCAAGACAACTGGACGACCAGACGGTGGATAATACAACGGCATACTCGACATCTACGCTGGGCTTCATATCGAATACTACTGCGTTCTCCGACATTTGCCAAACGCCTTCCCTCCGTCAGACTTTCGGCTTCTTCGAGCGACCTAACGCACTTGATATCGTCCATGACCTCTTCCCAATCTTCTCCCAAAGCAAAGTCTCCTCCTTTCAAGATATACTCTACCCAAGTCCGTGGTACTGGGATGGAAAGGTCACATATGAAGCAGACAAGGATATGGATTGGTCCCTTAAGGAGGATCAGATGTACTGGCGTGGTTCAACTACGGGTGGATTCTCGCGAGCTGGCGGATGGCGCAGACAACATCGCCAGCTCTTCGTGCGCAATATCAACGGCCTGAGCCCTACCAAGATACTCGAGAAGACCGGGGATAACAAATGGGCTCAAAAGCAAGTTTCACGGAGCGGCTTAAGATCCCTATTCAACGTGAAGTTCAGCCACGTCGGCCAATGCGACCCGGAAGACTGCGAGGCGCAAAAGGAATTCTTCAACATTGTCGAACCAGCTAAACAGCAGGATGCGTGGAAGTATAAGTATCTAGTCGACATAGACGGTAATGCGTTTAGTGGACGATACTACGCCTTCCTGCTAAGCAACAGCTTGATATACAAGCTTGCTTTGTTCAGGGAGTGGCACGATGAATGGCTTCGGCCATGGGTACATTTCGTTCCCCTCAGCCTAAAGGGGACCGAACACTACGAATCCGTCAGATATTTCGCGAGGGAAGAACCAGGCAAGGAAAAGGCGATAGCTATTGCAAAGGAGAGCCAGCAATGGGCACAAAAAGTTTTACGCAACAAAGATCTTGAGGTGTGGTTTTTCAGGCTTTTGTTAGAGTGAGTTCCAGCACCTATCCAATACGTTTTATACAAGCAGCTACTGATACAAGAAACAGATACGGTAGAGTCGTCGATGATAATCGTGAACAATTGGGTTTTTCAACGGGCTAAGCATAATGTAGGCTGGGACGGTATCATATTTATAATGTCGTTTGTTTCTGTCTCCTTTCAGCCCATTAGAAGGCAATTTATATACGTGTTTCCTTTCTCTTTACATTTTTTTGCGCCCTTTTTTAATCCATCGTGTATTATTAACTTGGCGGCGTATATATACTCACCCTTTTCTTGATTATCAACCTGTTGATGCTTTAATGTTCAGCCGAGTGTATACCATGATAGAATCCGAGTAACCCTTTGCAAAATCGTCGTTGGATATAGCTCCTTTAGAGCCATCAGATGGCATCCGGTGGAGAAATAAAATCTCCGAGTGCGTTTTCCATGACATCATCTCTCCCTTTCCCTCCTCTCCGTTCGAATTCTTTTGGCTCTCGCATCACATCTCGACCTTCTCGTGATGCGGATCGCTGCATTATATCCTCCATGCCTGCAATAGCAACGTAATCCTGCCTCGCTGATCTCCATTGAAGAGCTCAGAACTCCACTACAATGTAGAGAAACCAGTATGAATATATACTTATTTGCTCGCTTGATGCTGTGTTATTGGCCTCTAACCTACCCCTTGCCACCACCCCTACGAATGGACTTTTGAAGGCCGCTGCAGCTTTACCCCATAGTCATACTGGGCTCTTTAGTGACATTGACATACGGCGTATCTGAGTTACTGGCCAACTCGCTTTCACTGTGTGGTTTTAAGAAGAGTCTCCCTTCCACCCGCCGCGCTACTATATGTAGCCTATCGCTCTGATATATTGATACAGGCACTTTTGGCGTCAAGATGGCGGGCTCCGGACTGAAAATGGCTTTGGCCGTTCTCTCCTTCGCATATGGCATATTCACGGTATTGCTTTATGGCGTTGTTGCAATGTTGAGCGGAGTTCCCTTCCGTCGAACAACGGAAAAGGAACGTCTGGAGTTCCAGCTGGGTACATATATCCTCTCCCCAAGGCCTTCTATGGAAGAGCCGGCTTCCAATCCCGCAGCTTCATAAACTAACAAGGCATCGATACAGCATCAGACAGGTTCTGGAACCTCTCGAAGAACTGGAAAGCCCTTTCCCACCAATTCATAACGTTGAAGAATGGCTTTAAAGTCCACTACCTTACCAACACCTCTCCCGATGCAATCGCCGCTTCAGACCCTAGCAACAAGCCGTTGGTTATATTCCTGCACGGATTCCCGGATAGCTGGGCGGTATGGCGCCATATCCTCGCTTCATATTCGATCGGAGAGGGTTGTATAATGGTTGCGGCCGACCTTCCCGGCTACGGGGGTACAGACTCGCTGGACGTTTACGGTCCCACAGAGATCTTGGAGACGTTGGCGGAATTTATCATAACCCTTAGGGACCAATACAGAGTCGATGAGGGCGAAAGCCAGGTGAGGAAGCGGGTGATTGTGGTAGCTCATGACTGGGGGGCGATACTTGCTTTCCGTCTGGCGATTGAAGCTCCCCAGCTGGCTGATAGATTTATCGTCACCAATGGTGTCATGGTATATACTCCCTTCGCCATAGCTAGTATATTCCCGCCACTTTATTGATTGTTGCTAATATGATATCTATATGGCGGATAGGTTGATCTGATGAGAGACAACGCCTGCCTATCGATGGAATCATCAAACAAGATGTTCAAGACCTTCTTAAGAGAGCCGTGGCGTTCTCGGCATGTGTTGTGGAAATCTATTAGGGCGCTAGGCCCGGTACTTCGCCAACTGAAGCGCTCAGAGTATATATTTGTCTTCCACCTGCCCATACCGTTGGTCCGTTATGTTGGCTACGGAGGCAAATACTCGTTTTTAAAAGCCATTCATGAATTAGCTGCAGGAAAGATTGGAGAGTTTACGATTCGAGATGCACAGGAATCCATGGCTAGCACACTTGGCCCCAGCCTCGAAGAGTGTAAGACGGCGACGGCAAATGGAGAAAAGTACTCAGACTCTGTCCGGATACGTGCCGAACAGGGCAATTTCAAAGACACAACGTCATATTACCGCCATGAGGCAGCCACTGGTCCCTGGCACAAATCATTGGAAACAATCTCCGGTCTGCACAGTATCTGCCCTGTCGAACACCGACGAACAAGCTGCGGCACTGGCGTCTTCGACCCTGCTCCTGGAGCGCTAAAGGCAAACGCCACTATCCTCTGGGGCTTGAAAGATCCTGCGATCGATAGTCACCTGGCCTTGGAAGGAATAGCCGACCGCCTTGTCCAGGGAAGTCAGGTCATTGTACTCCCTCGAACCGGCCATTTCACGCCCATAGAAGTGGAGAGCAGAGCAGCTCTTGAGGAAGCAGTGCGATGGGCCGTGAAGGGTGAGACAGGCGATGTTGGCCAAGCCGTCCTGTCCGTGTACCCTGAAGCCAAAGTCATCGTTCACAAGTAGCTGCCTCAATTGTTCAACTTTTATTTCTCTCCTGCGACTGATGATCAACTGTCTGCCTTTATACAATTTGTATTCGGTGTGCAAAGGCAGAGAGCCAGCATAGGCTTCAGGTCCTGGCCGGGAGATGAGCGTTCTCCGGCGTACCTTACTTTTCTTTCCTTTTTCCTAGGCGTTGATACCTGTACTCCATCCGTAACTGCGTTCCATATTATAGTTCCCATCGGGATGTTGTAACTATATCGTTTTTCCAGGCACGCAACTCTTTCCAACAACCCGGCAGCCAAGCTCATATAGAGTGGATAGCTGCGATCTAGCGCTCTGGGATAGCTCTCCACCGTGTATCAAGTATCCCCCGTAGAATAACAGAAACCATGGCAAAGGCCGCAAAGCAGCCGGCAGCTCCAGCAGTTTTCCCTTGTAGCACAGCCAGAAACTCGCTTCCGCAGACGGTGCTACGCACATCCGGCGAAAGCTCACGAGCGTACCGGCAGGAAACCTCAGCTGCCCTGTGTTTCTCCACGCATAACCCCCTCGCCCGTATGCAATATCACGCAGGATAAGGGATCGCTCGTTGGCTGGTGCAAGGATGTGCTTGACGAGATTAAAGGCCGCGGTGGAGGGATGCTAAAGTATACGGACCGCTGTTCCTTGGAGCTTGCTCTTCTTCCCCTCACGCTTCCAACCTCCCAGGACCACGAACGACGGACGACGGACAGGACAACGGACAACGGACAACGGACAACGCTCAGCATACCGAGCGAGAGCCTCTATGGGGAGAAGGATAATGTGAGACGGCGGACATTGTTAGTTACGTTGCAAGTTCTGAAGCGGCCGGTGGTGATGCACGGCGGAATAAGTAAATAATAACAACATCTCCCAACCTTGGAACCGGGCTCTCCCTTTCTCTCTCCCGGCCATTCATAGAGGCATTGGGTGTTCGTTTCCTTATTCTTCTCTGTTTTTGGTCTTTGATGGTTGTCTTCTACCTTGTCTTAACCGAGTAAGAGGAGGGAGGTCTTGGAGCTCGCCGCGGTTTCTCGCGATGGCGACTGGTCATGGAGCTGTTTATTGCACGGTTCGATATCGCCCAACCTGGACTCCTGGTTGCATTATACGCTTGTGTGCTGACTTGCTGGTGATGGTTACAGATCCTTCTAAGTGACAACTATCTTCCTGGTCAGTGGTACACCGGGAATTTGACCCCATATACAAGCTTGTTTGGTTGACCGTTTTACTAGGTGCCATGGTCCTGGCTCACTCCCTGAGGGATAACGGGACAAAGGGCAGGCTAGCCGTGCTTATAACGCCGGATGGGTTGCAACAGGGTACAATTGATGAGCTGAAGGTTGGTGATGGAGCATGTGTATACGAGAGAGACCTCTTACTGACGGCCCGTTAGACGGTGTATGATGATGTGATACCAATTGCCCGGATAGAGAACTCAACCCCGGGAAATCTCTACCTTATGGATCGTCCGGATCTAATATCTACATTCTCAAAGATAGCTCTCTGGAAGCAGACCCAGTACGATCAGATCGTCTACATTGATGCGGATGTGATAGCTACCAGAGCCCCCGATGAGCTCCTCACGCTTGATGTGACGTCTATTGCAGCGGTGCCGGACATAGGATGGCCGGATTGTTTCAACACCGGCGTCATGGTCCTTCGTCCAAACCTCAAGGATTACTATTCTCTCCTTGCCTTCGCCCAGCGGGGGATAAGCTTCGATGGTGCTGATCAGGGCCTCCTAAACATGCATTTCAAGAATTGGGATAGACTGAGCTTTGCGTACAACTGTACGCCCAGCGGCCATTATCAGTACATACCGGCATACCGATACTTCGAAAGCACCATCTCCCTGGTCCATTTTATTGGTCCGTTAAAGCCGTGGAGGCTTGGAAGGAAGACGTCGCCGCAGGAGTCGCCGTATAATCAGCTATTATCAAAATGGTGGGCAGTATACGACCGTCATTATCATGCAGGCCCCGGTCATACCCAACCTCGTCCCCAGTACCGGCCTCCTTCACATGTACCTGACCAGAAAGTGAGGTCGGTTGAAGCTGCACGCCCTCATGAGGAAGTTAGAACTGTAACAGAACATGCACGCCCGGAACATATACATGAACCCCCCCCTGCTCTGTCACTTACCCCCGGTGGAAGGAGTGCTGCAGATACTAGCACCTTTGCACAACCTGCCGCCACACGTCCAGAACCTGTTGGTGGCTCTCATGAGGAGGGACCTCAAGTCAGTCATGGGGCTCCAGACATCAGAGTGATAAACCCCGACGAAAATACTGTCCAATATGATGCCATTGGCTCTACTCTCGAGTTTGCTCCCGAACCAGAAAGGGGTCCTCAGCCAAGCGACATACCGCCAGCTCAGCCGGTGGTCAGCGCTGTTCCACAATACGTTCGCGGAGAAGAACATGTCTCGGTGCCGGTATATCATGGCCAGCCGCCCGGTGTACCAATCCATGCACCCCTTGTCGATTTTAGCACCAATGGTCCTTATCCAGCTGCCGCCCCTCCTGAAGACCAAGAGCCTTGTCACTATCATGAACCCCAAACATCCTCACTAACGCAGGAAACAAGAGAAGAGCGCCCTGCGGACCAGCAATCTGCCAGCGTTGAACACACTGCCTCCAGCACCACGGAAACCCAGCCGCCTGAACGTACCCCTTCTCCTCCTCTAGCAATATGGGATGCTTCACGGTATGTCCTTCTCCCTTGAAATGTGTCACTAGAACCTAACATTTATAGCGCACCACCGCCTGTTGATTCAAAACCGGAGGCTGTCAGCTTCCCTGTACAGATCTACACGATGTCGAAGGATACTGAACTCTTTCAACCTCCTAAATCATATCCTGAAGCTCCGAAGAATATGTATTACGAAGTTCCAACCACTGCCCCCACCCCCAAAAAACAAACGTCCGTCTTCCCCTGGGAGCGCAGCGCTCCGACGCCGACACGAATTTTCCTAGGGGAGGAATGGGAGTCTAGTCAAGCTACTGAGTCCCCAACTTCATCAACTAGACCGATTCCCGGGCAGGCTGAGTGGTCTTCACAAGGGCTCGAGTCGTACCCGCGGAGCAATGCCTGGGATGAAGTACCAGAGATCGAAAAGTACATGCGTTCTCTCCACAAGCCTCGTCAGGCTGGTGTTTCCGTTATCTCGGGGTCGGGGTCCTCCCATACCCGAGGCCCGTCCACAGGGTCAAAATCTTCATCCAGAAAATCGAACCTACGCTTAACTCATTTTCCACCAGAACAAGAGCGGCCCAGCCCCGCTGTTACACCAGCTCTAATAATGAGGAGCCCAAGCCTCTCTTCTACAGCAGATGAAAGCTGGGAGAACGAAGAGCTTCCTGCTGCTGAAGGCGTTCCCAGCCAGAAGGAATGGGTGGGTTTCACGGTTAATGCATTTGTATCGGTCCTTCAGGCTAGCTACTTATACTGGAAATTTACAGAACCCCGTACAACGCCTAAAGGAGCTTCAGCGGCGTCAGTCCCTGTTCCTTGAAAAACCAATTGAATTTCAGTCGCGGGAGGTCCCAAAGCGGCAAATGCCAGGCGAGCCGTCAAAGTCTGGCTGAACATCACTTCCGGTCCGTTCCCACCGGCCTCCTGCGTCTTGTCACTTTATGCGAATCGAGTCCCCCCTTTGGAACCCTTCAGCTGGCTAATGGTTAACAGTGATGCCTTACAACTTTGAATATATCTAGGAAAAAAGGAGGTGGGGAATAAAAAAGTGTGCGGTTGTTAAAAATCCTGCTCTATCATGGTGTTGCCATTTCATTCACTTAAAAAGAATGTTGATCTATCGCTCTCCATCCTGTGATGCCTCTTATCCTTCGAGGCAAGCGCTCTATACCCGTTTGCCTGTTTTTACTTGTTATTTGCTGTTCTTGATCAAAGTTTTTTTGCGGGAGGTTTATTGAATTATATACTCATATGTTCATAGCCACTTGTGGCGTTTTAACATTTCTTATAGCTGTTTACGGTGAAGGGTGGATGCTGATGATTATTTCCATGTTAGCCTTTGCATGTCTTATCCTTAATACATAATACAAACCTCGTTTCTATATCTACTTTGACTCCAGTCGTTGATGTCCGGTCAAGAGTTATGATCGCTGAACACGATCGGTATTGTTTGATATATTTAAGAGCTCTAGTGGCTAAGTTAGAGTATATTGACCCGAAAGAGCCTACACAACGATGGCTACTGTGCCAAGGTTGGAAAGCATTAGATTTAGAATACTATGGCGGTGTACCAGGAGTGAAAAGAAACAGAATAACAGCCCTTGTTATATTTTTATGTTAACGAGCAAGGAATGCATATGGTACTTAATGCTCTAATATGCCACGGGTGCCATCAATTCCCAGCCTCAGCCCAAACCAGAGACACGAGCTCAATTCAAACGGTCAAGACTCTCTCGAGTATCAAGGGCGAGGTCAAGCAGGAATCAGAAAAAAACGGAGACAGAGCAGTAAGGAGAACGTCGAACATGGGGCAGGTTGGGGGGGACATATGTTTTTTCTATGTAAGAGTTTTTAAGGAGATGTTTGCATTACTTCACCGTAACTTCCAGCAGCAGTGGTTGCAAAATACCGGACATCAACGTCGTCGTCTTGTTGTAGCTTTTCGAGATTTGGAAGGATCTGTTGCTGGATGATAGCTTGGCCACGGGGAGAGGGGGTGGGAGCCTGTTCTGATTTATCAATTTCAGTGACTGTGCCTTCCTCGGGTAATTTTCGCAGGGTATCTATTATGACGGAGTATGATTTCGCAACATTGAATCGGATGTTGGGGATGTCGTCCGTCACGAGCCTATCCAAAATTGGGAGGATGGAAGTTTCAATCATTTTCAGGTTGATGACGGGTGCAAGTGTCTGGAGCGTGAAAGTTAGAATATAGGGGGAATACGAGACTGGTAAGGCTGGTTGCGTGGAACTTACGGTGATGGCGAAGCAAGTCGTCATTCTGTAGAGGTAGTTGGGATGTTGGCCCATGGCGGTGACTTTGGGAATTATTGAACCATTCGCCCATTCAACTCCAAATACTTCCGTTAACTTCTTGAGGTTTTGGGTGGCCGCTTCTCTGATTGAGAACACAGCATCTCCGAGCCAACCTAGGCATAGGCTGTTGAGTTGCTCGTCAAAGAACTTGACACCCAATTGGCTAGCAAGGAGTGGAATGTACTCGATGATGGCGAGACGAACACGCCATTGCTTGTCTTCTGCAAGTTGCACAATCGCCGGGAGTAGGGATTGAGATAGCAGATCGATTCCAATAACTAGACTCTCAAGTTAGGTGACTCGACGTTGCACGATTTGAGTCGTATTAGGGGCATACCTTTATTCACTAACTCCAGTTTAGAGATTATATGCAATCGAACATCGGGGAACTCATCCTTCAACATCTGTAAGAACATGGGAAGGAGATGTGAAATCGTCCTAGTGAGCACTGGTTAGAGGAGCCAATACAAACGAAACGGAATGGAGGAGCTTACTCTTCTTTGCCTAGGATGGGAGCTAGCCCGCTGATCTGCATGCCTAGTGCAGCTCTTACATGCTGGGAGGGATCTGATACGAGGTCTTCGATGCTTGTCATAATCTCGTTTAAAAGCGTTTCTCTGTCAAGAAGGCGGCAGAATCCTAGGATAAGAGTTAGATAGAGCTGGACAACCGGTTTTGTCATTGGCGACTGGTGTTACCTGGAATCTGTCCAGCAATAGCTGTGCGGACCTCAGCCTCGGTATCCTTGAGGAGTTTGACGAAGGCTGGGACTAAATCGCGGTTGACAACTTCTTCATCAACAGCTTTCGCAATCTAAAAGGGGTCAGCCATACGTATGCTACCGAGTTTCTCGCCAAAGAGTAAATGTTAGTTACCTTTTCGAACTTGTCTGCAACCATATATCTTACTCTCCAGCTCTTGTCTTCGAACAGATTTCGTAGGGCGGTGAGGAGGACTCCGTGGCTCGACTGCTGTTCCTTGGGAATCTCCTCTGCGATGGAGATCAATATCTCGACAGTTAAGAGGCGGACGCTGTCCTGGTCGTCGTTGGCCAAGTTTTGGAATAAAGGAACCATCTCGACTATGATAACTTGGGAATCCATCTCCTTAACAAACTTCGCTAGGTTGTTGGCCGCCTGCCGTCTGACCATGGGCGTGTCATCGTGAACTAGCTGTCCAAACTGCTGTCTTAGCCCTTGCTGCAAGGCCGGAGATGCAGTTCTATACGGCGTGCAGTAGAGACCAGCTGCGGATATCTTCGAGGTGAACCAATCCGCTTTCGACAGGCGAACCGTCAAGGGTATAAAGTTGTCTTCGATCTGTCTGGGAGAGAGCTGTTCGCAGATCTTGTTGAGGGACTCTACAGCCTATAGAAACAAACAATACTGCGTTAAAACTAAAAGGGTCCCTTGAAGACAAGTATCTCATGGACTGGCGTAGTCTTACTTTTTCTCGTACCAATGGCTCCTCTATGGCGGCCAAATGTTCCAGGGGGGAGAGGAGGACGTGTGCGTATTCTGGTCCACCAACGTATTCCACAAAGTTCCCCAGTTCCTCGCTTAAAGCGGTCAGGACTTCATCTTCATCCTCCACCGAGTCTAGTAACAGATATCATCAATCACAAGTCCGTCCGCGATGACGCACTATAACAGGGGTTTAAGTCCAGGATTGTGGGGGAGGGAAGTCTTCACGAACCATCAAGGAACGGAACCAGCTCATCTCGCGTTCTCTCTGGTCCTAGGGCAAGAGCAATTGTTGAGAGTCGATGGATGGCGTTTAGACGAAGGATCACATCGTCATGCTACGTCAGACGCCAGACACTGTCAGTAAAGTTGCCCCATGCCCGGTATCGACACAGCAGGAATCATGTACCTTTAGTTCATCGATCAAGACCGCAATGGGGTAGAGCTCGTCATTTTCGCCTTGGCCTTCCATGGCGGAAACGAGATTTTATGCAGAACGGAGACGGATATCGTTTCTGGTTTCGTTTCTGGCTTCGTTTTCGAGAGAGGGGATTCGCGATACCAGCAACAACCGGGGGGCGTCAGTTCGTTTAAACGGAGGGTGAGCGAGCAGAGGAACAAGGCGTGTCGGAGAGAGCTGTCATAGAGCTTTACTCTTGTCTATCGTATCTGTATCGGTCGAGAGGCGCTGGTGAGTGCGAGGAGTGTGAAGAAGCAGCAGGAGAAAGGGGAGTTTGAAGGTGGATGGACGATGTTTGTTCTTCTGTCTCGTGGGGTTCTTAGGAACAAACTAAAGGGGACGGAGGGGACTGCACTGCACTGGCGGCTGAGACGCACTTTGGACTGTAGAAACCGAGCTGGAGGGCGTCCTTCGAGTTGCGATGGGCGGATTCGAGTTGCTATGGGCTCACGGCGGGCGATGACATCTGGATGGACTCTTTGACGCCGTAACAAGTCGAAGTTGGTGGAGGGTTGAAGCTGGCCGTGGCTGGTGACAAAACCCAACAAGGGCACACCCTGTGGCGGTGCAGGCGAACACTTCGAGATATCTTCACATAGAACATACAACTAACCACCTAGGATATTGATATCGACAGTGTCGACAGTCGCGGGTGCTCGCAGAAGACAGGACGTGTACGCTCGCAGCTTCGACTCTCAGATTGTCTCTTCTCACTTGCATTGAGCTCTCGCTTGCCGCGTCTCAAGATGCCCACGATAGCTGTCGATAAGACGGCGCTCTTCAAGGCCCTCGGCCAGGAGTAAGGATGCTCCCTGCCTGTTTGATTCTTTATGTTTATATGCTGTTTATAATGATTTACTAACTGCTACTTCTCTGCAGATACACCACCGAGCAGTTCGACGAGCTCTGCTTCGAGTTCGGTGAGTCACCCCACTATATCCCACGATGATATCTACATTTACTTATATATCACCCGTCGCGGGTTCAGGCCTCGAGCTTGATGAAGACGTGAGTTCTGTCCTTGTCCGCTGTTTACGCTGGATTCCTGATGCTAAACGAGTTGTATAGACCACCGACACCGACCGGCCATTCGTGAACGGGGTCCAGGAACCCCCGCAGCTAAAGATCGAAATTCCTGCCAATCGGTTTGTCCGCCGCCTCTCCGGTATAGAAGACGCAGTTGCTAAGGCAAATGTAGCTACGATTTGCTATGCTTCGAGGGCATATCCCTGATGTTGAATATCTTCCGCGGAAAGGCCGTTTCGCCAAACTACAGAGTAGTCACCCCACCAAGCGGACAGCTGCAAACTCTTGTCGTTAAGCCAGAGGTGAGACCAAGTCTTGATGAATGTGGAGAGTGGAAAAAGCTGAGACAAGTCAACTAGACGGAGAATGTACGACCGTACGTGGCTGGTGCGGTCTTCCGCAATATTCACTTTGACCAGGCTCGATACAACTCCTTCATTGCCCTGCAAGATAAGCTCCATCAAAATATTGCTCGACAGAGGACGCTGGTCTCCATTGGAACACACGACCTCGACACCATCCACGGCCCCTTCTCATACGAAGCTTTGCTTCCCAAGGATATAAAATTCACCCCGCTAAACCAGACCCAATGCATGGACGGGGAACAGTTGATGGAATTTTATGAGAAAGATAAGAACTTGGGTAAATTCCTGCACATCATTCGTGATTCACCGGTTTATCCTGTCATCTACGATTCTAAGAGGACCGTCTGCTCCCTGCCGCCAATCATTAACGGGGATCACTCCAAGATAACGCTCGATACCCGAAACGTTTTCATGGAGATTACGGCCACGGATAAGACGAAGCTAGAAATCGTGATGAACATTATGGTTACCATGTTCTCGCAATGCACGGAAGAGCCATTCACGTAAGTTACGCCTTTTACCCCTTTTATTTTTCGGCCAAACAGACTTACCTACCATTCGTAGGATTGAACCCATCAAAATTGTTTCCGAGCACAATAAGGAATCACGACAAGTCCCAACCCTTGAGCCTAGAGTTGCTCAAGCCAGCATAGCTTACATTAACCAATGCACTGGCCTATCTCTTTCCGGCCAGGAAATGTGCGAGTTGCTCAAAAAGATGGCCCTGTCTGCCAAGGTCTCGGAGAAATCAAAAGATACCCTTGATGTTTCCATTCCAGTCACTCGAGCAGATATCCTTCATCAAGCCGATATTATGGAAGACGTTGCTATCGCATATGGCTTCAATGAACTTCCACGATCCTTCCCAAGTAAATCCGGCACCATTGCTCAGCCTCTCCCAGTCAACAAGCTAGCCGACATCATCAGAGAAGAAGCCGGCATGGCAGGATGGACGGAAGTTCTTACTTTCGCTTTGTGCTCCCATGACGAGAACTTTGCCTGGGTTAACCGCAAAGACGATGGAAACACCGCCGTTAAACTCGCCAACCCTAAAACAGTTGAGTTCCAAGTTGTTCGAACAAGTCTTCTACCCGGCCTCTTGAAGACTATCCGCGAGAACAAAAACCATAGTCTGCCTATTAAAATTTTTGAAGTTAGTGATGTGGGATTGAAGGATCTCTCACTTGAACGAAAGAGTCGTAATGAACGTCACTTCGCTGCGACGTGGTATGGCAAAACTAGCGGTTTCGAAGTTGTTCACGGTTTGCTAGACAAGGTCATGATGATGATGAGAAGTGCTTTTATCGTTGGCGAGGAAGGGCTAGACAACCCGGATGTTAAGGGGTCACATTATTGGATTGAGGAACTTGATGGTAAGAACTGTCCCCTGAAAGGTCCACAGGGCCCTCCCTGTTTTTGGATAAGGTTGGCTAACGTTGATATCTGATAGACCCTACTTACTTCCCTGGCCATGCTGCCTCCATACATCTTCGCCTTGGAGAAAAGGAGCATGTCATCGGCTCCTTTGGCATATTACATCCAACTGTCCTTGAAAAGTTCGATCTGAAATGTCCCGTGAGCGCTCTCGAGATCGATATTGAACCGCTCCTATAAGACTATACCTAGATACTTTTTTGTTGAGGAAATTAATGATTGAAAGTATATCAAAGAGTAAAATTTATCAAAGTCCTTATTCTCTGTCAAGTTCGATTACGTTTAGATAATTCCGAGGGGAAGAGAAACCAATAAATAGGTGTCCCTTCGTGGAATTAGGCCTACAGGGGTAGTCTAAACAAAACAAATGTCTGAGTAAAGACACCAGGTTGAGTATCACTTTCATCATATCCATTTCAATTCTATTTCAATAATTAAAACAAGGGTTGAAATTTTGGAATAGGATGACAAGAGCTCAAATAAATTAGAATAAGAGAGAAATCCCGTTGCAGCAAAATCATAAAACCGAGTCGTTCATATTTTCTTCATTTATTTTTGTTTACTCTTGGGCCTCTCCAGCCTCAACTTCCGCACCACCTTCTTGCTCTTGCTCAGCCAACCGTTGCTGTTCAGCGAGAGCTTGGGCGGCAGCAGCCTTGGCTCCGTAGTCCTGGCTCATTGGCTGAAGAACTGGCTGTTCCTCCTTTGGCTCGATGATGGTGACGGAGTCGGGGAGGGTCTTTTGAGGTCCAGACTTGCCCTCTGGGTCGCTTCCGCGCATGATCTTGACCTTGATACCGAGAACACCCTGGCGGAGGAGAACGTGACGGGTAGCGTGGTCGATGAAGTCGCGAGCTGGCTGACCGGAGTGAATCATGAAACCATCCTATACAGAATTGCCTATTAGTCTTCTTGCTTCCCATTTATATTCCTCCGTAGCCTTCCAGTATTCTGGGTATTGAAAGGTATTCAAAAACGTACAGTGAACTTCATGCTCTTGGCACGGGCAGCTCGTAGTTTTCCAGAAACAACGACCTCACAACCCTTAGCACCGCTCTCCATGATGAATCGGAGAACACCATAGCAAGCTCTTCGGACGGCCAAACCGTTGAGGAGTTTGTATCTCAAACTCTCACACTGTGCAACGGCAGAGAGACCACGGTTTTGGACCTTGGCGGCATAGAGGGAGACGGAGTTCTCTGGGAACTTGAATCGCTTCTGGATGAGGGAAGTGAGTTCGCGGATACGGCGACCTTGCTCACCCAAAACTTCTTGGGTGTGGGTAGCGCGGATGACTGTTTGAGAAAGACATATTGTTAGGACCTTCGCATTCATTTTCCATATTCAATTTTGGTCATGGGCGTATGTGTTGGTTCCATCCATTCCCAGCCATAATATCTCCCGTTCCGTTCGCAAAATCCAAAGGAAAAAATATTTCAGGGAAGATCACGTACTGATGTCGGTAACGGTGGGAGTAACTCGGACTTCGACGCCAGAGTAGCCCTCCTCAGCCAATTCGCGCTGGAAGAACTCGTTCAATTCGGCGTAGAACACACCGTCGGCCACGAACTTGCGGCGCTTGGAGATCGCTCCCTGTACAGCGGCGGACATGATTGCGGTATGTCGAAACGTGGAATTTCGTTTGGTGAAGCTGAGAGATATCCGCCGGAGTCGAGTCGTGGAAAAGGAGCTTTGCGGTGGTCAAGATGGGCAACTTTCAGACACAGCTCGAAAGTTGCGGTTAGGTTTCCTAATTCGTCGATTTAGTGGGGGATACTGTATAAAGTTAGGGCTTAGGGCTTGCCCTTCTATATTTGCTGAGTAAGCGCGATACTGTCACGTGCTAGAAGGCTGAAGGGGGGATGATATAGATGCATCCTTGCAGTGAGTGGAAAGGCCTATGGGTTTAATTTCCTCGCCATCTAAGAACCTACTAACGCCAGACCTAACGTGGATTAGAACATAAAAATATATCTTGAAATAGTTGCGGGTATTGTGACATGGCTCATTAACAAAAAAGGCACTTCGTCTCGCCCTGGTCATAAACGTCATGAAGGGTTTATAAATCCCTGAATCCCAATGCAACACCTGGATCCCCAATAACCAAGCTTGATCCCCTTTAAAGACGCCGCAAGTTCCCCATTAAGTTAACCCAAAATGACTATAAGTCACTGCTCTCTACTTCATCTCCAACTCCATTTCCTTAGCTTTGATTGAAGGGCTGCGTGTTCCAGGACCGCCTTCTCTCCCAACGGGCAAACCCAAATTTGAGAGACTGGCTGCAAGAGAGGTAATGCTGGTTGTAGGGCCGCCCGTAGAGGGTTGAGATGTGGTTGATTGCTGATGTACAGGGCCGGTAGAGCTCTCAGCAGTTTCAACCCCAATCATTGGGGTCATTGATCCACTCGGGCAATCCCTCTCCACTAAAACACCAGTACTCGATATGCGTGGATTGTTCATCTCAGAATCGTTGCGTCCAAATGCTTCAGCCCACCATCTCACTTCGTATGTGCGAGGGAAGAGTAGCCGTTCGCTGCCACGTTTGTTGTCGTCGATGAGTGGGTCATACTCTGGGTTAACAAACTGAGCCCTCCTTGCCAGGAAGTAGTCCCAGACACTGCGAGTCTTTTCCTTGGCCCCACGGTCGACTCGCTCCTTTTCACTATTGTAAAGGAAAGTACCGTACTGGCCAGAGTAAAGATGATAGAGCAGCCGACGAAGGAAACGTTCGTTGAATTCAAAGCGGGTTGGATGTTGGTATAGTAGTTGATAAGTAGCATCCAAGAACTGATGGAAGACAGGGCTTGTTTCTTTGGGTTTCGTCATATCAAGGTCGCTGACGGGCGACTTTGGAGCGGGGGTTGGCTTCTTGGAGTTCGAAGCATCAGGCTCAGCTTTGTCGCCATCGGGCTCTACCAACGAGTCCCGGCTCACATTATCACGGTTGAAGAATCCTTTTGCGCTGAGGAGAGCACTCTCAAGGGCCTTACCTGCTACCCCACCCTCAAAACCACCCCTCGCAGAGTCACTGCCTCGATCATTTTCAACCTGGAACCACTTATCGCTATTCAAGTGACCGGATCTATGGCGGAACATATGGCCGAATGCAAGCCAGTCCTTTTCGATGAGCACCATAAATCCTTCCAAGGTTCTGTAATATGGGTCCAGACACAACTGACTTAATGCACTTAATTGGCCAGTTCTATCCCATCCATCAGAGCAGTGGATTAGAACATGGGAGTGCTGCAGCCCGACTTGACGTGCAATCAATGCGGCTCCATCAAGAATAACGGCGATATACTTCAACCACCCACTTTTCAGAAGCTGTTCACGGTTGGGCGGCAATGGGCTGATATCGGAGTCTTTGAGAGCCTCGTTGACTTTATTAAGCGACTCCCTCATCACATGGATGTTGTCAATTCCCAAGTAAGCTTTAGCAGCAAATTTGTAGTTGTCCATGTTTTCGGATCCTAACCCAACCGCCTGCATCGCAAGAGCATTCACGGTTGGACGAGCATCGACAATCAAGTTGTTCTGCTGGGCTCCATATACCTGCGTTTTGTATTCCTTGCTCTCATTTCGGGCAGCAGCTATCACCTCGTCTTCTAACTCCTCTGCGTTCGAAAATTCAAAGTCAGACTGGGTACCAAACTGATCTTCTGCGCTCGAGTTTGAGGACTCTGTCTCTAGACAAGGAGGTGAAACGTTTGCTAACGGTCTATCCTGGCGGGAAGTCGAGAATATAGCAGCGAGGAGCTTTTCATCCTGGATGCTGCGGTTACCGCGCACACCAACAAGAGGTTGAGATGAACGTGTGATGGAGCAGTTGTTGACCGGGTGAAGATAGGTCAGAACCGGAATCCGTGCTCTTGAGCGGTATCTTCCAGCATAATTAATCGTATTATCGGATATAGTAACTGGCACTGGGAGGAGCGCGGGGTACGTTGGCGAAAACTAGAACTGGTATCAGGATCATATAGAATAAATCAAATCGTTGGGAACACCGTACCTTATAATCGATATTGACGCTGGATATTCTCCAGTTGGATTCATGGTCTGCCCTGCCAACCCCGAGACGTGCCCATTCCTTGCGAGGATCGTATATGTCCCATCCATTCAAAGCACGCTCTGCCGCAGGAGGCTGAAAACTGAACGCATACAGTTTCTCGATACTTCCAAGTTTGCATGTCCATGTCTTTATTGTCTCATACACATCTCTAGATTTTGCCTCATTTGGAAAAGTGAAGCACATAAAACTGAAATCACGGCAACGCAACCGTATTGATGCTGGTTGGCGGGATGCTGGAGATGCAGGCCTGAATGTGCAAAAGCAGATGATTGGATACGTGACCCATATCTCTTTATGGCCCACCACTGCTTTTTCCTTAGAGATTTCTTTGGAGGTTTCTTTATAAGGAGGGATATGCGAGAAGACAATATGGTGAGGAGTAAGGTGAAGAGTGCCTACTGCCTTCTCCCCTCGACGGAACAGGGTGACATCGTCCACCTAGCATTTGAAGAACCCAGGTTAGTTATATTGTGGAAGTATGGGGGTAATAGATAATAGCAACCTTAGCTATCCTAGTCTTATCCATCTTCTTATAACTATTCCAGGATGCCGTTAACTGGATATCATGCTGGTATGGCACAGAGTGGGATAGAGGTGGTCCGCGGAGTGTGTTGTAGATAAGGGCAAGATATTAAAGGCTATGCAAGCTTAAACAAAAGGATCTTCAGGCTAGGAACAAAGGTATTAGGAGACTTGGGATAAAATAAAGAAATATGTGTGGATAAAGGACAGGTACAGTGAAGAATATGTGAAATGTCAGCTGTTTGATCGAGATCAAGAGCTCATTTTGATGCCAAAGTTGCGCTAGTGACATCCGCATGGAAGGTTTATTTAATACGTCACTACCAGATGGAAAACCCGGCCAGTTCAGGTCCCTCGGCTTACTGCAAACAGGGAATAGGGCTGTCAAAATATATGTCTTTAGCCTAATCTCTTGTATATGAGTTTCTACCTCTTTTTGTTTCAGCTTTCAGTATATCTTGATTGTTCTTTCACCTGATGGTGGGAGTCCCCAATGACACGTGATAGTTGCTTTCCGCCATGCAAAGATGAAAATGAAATGCGAGAAGGGAAACAATGACACGTCTAATAGTAATACATTATTAAAAAAAAATCATATACATGTATAAAATACAGGTTGCGAGAAAAATTGTCTAAATATCACCTTCGGACCTTTCATCAAATAGCTCCTCACCGAATGGCTCATCATCAAGTCCTTCAGCTGATAGTTGCGGTGGTGCTGCGAACCCAAATGCCAAATGACAAGACCGGAGATAGAACGGTAGCAATGCGGCTCGAAGGGAGCCAACTGACGATTCACCCTGTGATGACGAGCTCAGCTTCTGGTTGGGCTGTGCAGCGTGAGGACGCCGTTCACCGTCGTGTAGGCCAAGGGTTAAGCTGATATCCGTGGTTTTTGTAGGAAGATAAGGGCCCATGCTCTGGCTACCAAAAGTGAGATCGAAGTCCTTATAGATATATCGGGAGACGCCGGCGTCTGCAAGGGACTGTACTGGCGGGTAGATGTAGTATTCTCCAGTGATATATTCCGCATCTTTCTTGGTGTTCTTTGGGGCACTTTGGATTGGTGTTGGCGGCGAACCAAGCAGGTCAGCAAACTTTTTAGGGATGGTAAGGTTGCAGAATAGAGGCATGGGAGGCTGATTGCGGGAGGAAGGTAGGTTAAGTTGAAATGCTTCGGCACATTTATGAAGACTAGTATAAAATGCGGTATCCTCCGTGGCAGGATTTGGAGTAGTCTCAGAACCATCGAGTTCAAAGAGATTATAGTAGAGCGTCTTGTTAAATCGGATATCCAGGGGACTCTCGGGGAGGAGCATGTCCACGTCCCGACTACTAACGATGGCGCTCGCTCTCCGAATTTTTGGGCTGACCGATACCTCTTCGCTATCCTCCGGCAAGGCAGCCTCTAATTCAAGTTCCAACTCCGGCAGATCTGGATGTTCCAGTCCCCTATGGGAGGGCACGAGTCGGATGCGGAAGGTGTTTATATTATCGTTGTTTTCTGCGGTATCCAAAGAATCTAAGAATGGAAGGGTATTCGGAACCTCGTTAATAAACGTCCTATGCGAGGATTCAATGTCGGGGAAAGACACTTGGTCGTTATTTAAAGAAGGCTGGCCTTCGAACAAACATTGTCCCACTGTTGCCGTAATAACCTCGCGTGTAAACCGTGGGTCAAGCACACTTTGTTTATGGGATTCTCCATTGTCAAACAACATCTCTAGCAGCGTATGGAATGGTTTTGTTGGCCCTTTTCCGTATATAGAGGCTGGAGGTTTTCCGAGAATCCTCCCATCGCCCTCTTCCCTTTTCATCCATCGTACCCATTCTTTCTGCCGTTCGGGAAGCTTCATAAAGTCTGGACAGCTCACAGGATACAAATGGGCGCCCTGGGAGTTTCCAACATTTGTAAGTAACCCTTCCTTCTGATACGGATGGGTTATTGCAAGATATAGGGTTTGTCGTGCACGTTGCGCATTAGACTCGGCACTTTGCAAGTAACGGATGGTCATTTTGTTCTCATTCCAATTCACGTCAAATGAAACATTGTACTCGCTCTGTAACCAGGGCAGAAGCGTATGTTCCCAATAATCCACATCTGCTGTAGATTTTAGATGCGCAACTGGAGGACTGATATCCATCGATCGCACATCCGACGCCCATTCGTTGAGCTGCCGACTAGTTTCCAAGCATGATTCCTTGTTGCCTGTTATTCTGATTAAACCGAGATGTCGAGATACGTCGATTTTGACTTTATGGGATTCTGCGAGCATCTTCATGAGAGACATGGTTGGGAGCAATAAAACCGACAATGGATGCTCATCGAAGTGAACATCAAGCTGGCCCTCCTCGCCGTCTATCGATAATCCCCAGCATTCTCTCATTATTTTGTGTGCCACGTTTTTCTTTGTGCCCATATCGTTCAGCCCTGGAATTCGGGATGCAATCCGGCCCTGGGGCACCGGTGGTTGGTCCATGTATGGAGAAGTTCCAGCCCTCCATCCATTTTGGTCACCAGGTGTATTATCTCGTTCGAAGCCGTTGTAATACCTTCTTATCTGCTCATGGGTGAATCCGTCATGGAGCGTTTTATGAAGGTCGTTCCAATTCTTCAGTGGAACGCTCTGTCCAGGATTATATAGCGAGCGAAGGCGATCTAGGTTTTCTTGTACCTCCTCGAGCCTAAAGTCAACCTTTTCCTTGTGTAGGTCCTTCAATAGTTCCGTTGGGGTTTTCCATGTCACTTTGTCCTTATTGTTTTCTTGCGACTCTTCCTGAGCACGACGCGCTTGGTTCTTCAATATGATCACATGAGCAGGCTTTCCGAGAGCCTTCACGTTTTCCAAATATTCAACGCGGTGTGAAAGGTCTTCTTCTTCAGTTTTGCCATCGGTTGGTGCTCGACCTGGCTTCTGGCCAGGAATTCGACGACGGCGGCGCCCTGGTCGAGATTCGCGAGAGACGGGCGACTCGCGTGGAAGTTTCGGGAGGTTGGAATAATTCCGGCACCTTACGTAGCCCGCGACATGTGTGCCCCTTTTCCAAAACATATGTATAGTTTAAAAAAACAATTCAGCTCAAGGTTACATGTTAAATGAAACTTGAAGCTGGCAATGAAGCTCCCAAGGTAAAAATAAAATAAAGCTGATCTCGATATCGGCTAGGATATTATTCCGTTCCGATATCTAAAAACAAGGTTTCGGGAAGATAAACCATAAGAAGTTCTATATAAAGAACCCCTGGTATGCCCTTGAGCATAGGTGCAATATTTATATAACAAAGTACATCCTGCAAAATGAAAGACCACCCTTGCCTCCTTGGAAAGGAAAGTACCTACACTCCCAGTGAAACTCCAGACAGTTGAATGTACAGTGGCAAAGAATAAAAGACAAATGCCATTCAGTGCACTAGCGGCTTCCGTCCGTTCACTGTTGTTGTAGTTGATCTTCCTTGGCCCATGAGACCTCCCAGCTGCGGAGGTCCTCACGAAGGTCAAACTCAGTGAGAGCCTTTTTCTTCCGCTTTTTCCCGCTCGGCCTTTCATATGTATGGGTGTCGATTCTTTCCTTCCCGCCAGCACCGAACGAAAAATCGGACTGCCTGCTGTCACTTCGGGAATGAGTAGCAAAGGGGTCTTTAATTCTTGGGCTGTGGCCTGGAGAATTTTTGTTATCACGGACAGTTCGACGTGAATCTGCATCGCTGATAGACTCGTCATCGTCGTCTTCTTCATCATCCTCTACCTTAGGCCGTGAGTAGTTTGACGGGAAGCCATCTCCACCGGCAAATATGTTCTCTATCAGTTGATCTGGAGGTAGCTCATCGGGAAGGGTTACCCAGGCTGCAGCTAAAGTCGAGCGATACATGTCCTGAAGGTCGCTATACTCGCGGCCCCTATTATTAATTGAAGGGATATGGCCATCATCATTGATTTCTCCATGCTCGGTTGACATCACCCCAGCAATCCCGGAGAATACCGTGGCAGGCTTGAGTGGTGGTCTATGACAGTTTTAGTAGCCCGTAGGACATTAGACTTTAGTGCGTATGAAAACTCACGCGATAAAGTTGCTGTCTCCCTCAATCTGGGATATTGCAATGCCGATTTTGACTGTGGCGTTGATCTTGCTACTTTGCATCAAGTATCTTCTCATAATCCCCTCATCGCTCTCAGTCTTATCAACATACTCCGCCAGGTTTAATTTGATATTCCCCAAAGGTACTCTATCAGCACGGTTTCCGGCCGTAAACTCTTGAAAGATATCAAGCTGAAGATCACAGTCTTGGAGCATCTGGTTTCTATCAACTGTAAGTCTAACGACCATCAGCTTCTCGTAATCCCACGATGCCCTGTGGTCCTGGAGCAGAGCCTTTTCTGTGTGGCCATTATGGTCAGCAGAAACTGAAGATGGCAGTTGCCATTTAACATAGGCTGAGCCAACGACCAAGGGGACGTTGATCATATCAATGATCTGGAACGATGTTAATACATAAAACACGAAAATCGGGGTATCACCGGCCTACTTACGCGTAGGCTCAAGGTAAATCTAGGCTGTAATGGGTTTAAGATAAGCCACAAGTTTGTAAAAATGGAAGTGGAATGGGTTGTCTCCATACCCTCCTGCTCTTGGGAACTGTAAAGCCAGTAGTTAGCAAATGTGCTCCATATGCAGCATAACCCCAGGGGTTCATCTTGGAAGCTCCATGAAAAGCTCAGGATGTACGGTCAAAGAGAAAGAGATCCTCACCAAAGGCCTGCATTTTGACAGCACCCTTCACTCTACAAGAGAGTCTCGGCGAGTGCCGCCGTGCCTTTGTTTTTCACTTGTCCTAAACGGGAAATACACGTTTTATAAAAACCTCCAACACAATCTGAATACTAACAAGTCTCTATCACTCTTACGTTGAAGAGTGAGCATCATCATCTTGCTCATTGCTTGTCTTAAACAAACCACCTCCTGATATGCAAGAGTGATCAACTGGGCACGGACCACATATCTCTCTTCAAGCCTCAGAAAAGATGACTAAGCGCGTTCATTGGTGGGATGATATTGCCGTAAGATACCGCTTTTCCTTTTGCTAAACCTTTGGGTCAATGAAAACGAGCTGAGATGTCGACCTTTGAATACTATAGGTAGAGCTTGAGCGAAGCAGCGCAATGGAAGCGAGCAAGCTGCCTCTATCCCCTCCTCCGGAGCCCAAGATATCAAACTCCAACATGAACGAAGCCGTCGACCTTGACTCGCCGTTGCGAACCACCCCCATCCACCCACTGCTACCTGATATACGGGTTCCTTCTGACCCCTTACCAAGTCACCGATACCACCCTGTAACGTGCGCGCCATTGGACATTGTTGAGTTACAAGCCGATTTGCAGCAGCTACGAAAGGAATACACAACTTCCGTGGCCGCGCGTAAGGCGCAAGAAGAAGCAGCCAAGAAAGTGAAGAGACGGATAGAAGAGGCGAAGGAGAAAACCGAACATATTCAGAAGATCATGCAGAGGAAGACTGAAGAGAGAGAGATGGAGAGAAAAGTATTTTTGAAGATCAAGAAGGAAAAGGAGGGGAAGATGCAGGGCGTACAACACGATGATGTGTCTACGACGGATCCCTAAGCTCGATTGATTATGGACGATGATATTATTCTTATCAGGAGGGAAGCCGGGCGGAGCATGAGATGCTCAAAATCGCACTCCCTTAGAGTGCCGTATTGCTCTATGGTCTCCGAGATAATGGCTAAGCACTCGCTTCAAAGCCAGGAGCACTATTGCAACCGTCGGCCTTGAGCAGCGCAAAGCACACCTGCACGTTGGACTTACGAGTGCAGTATCCCACTCGACCATTACGGTACCCCCTCCATTAGGTCGCTAGCTCGACCAGCTGTTTATGGGAATGACTTTCACTCCAAGCCTAGGAGATGGTCTACCAAGTCAATGAATGCCATCTTGTGCCGCATCTCGACTATTCAAAAGTTCTAAGCTGGGTATGGGTATTCAATAAAGGCATCTACTATGGTACATAGTGATGAAAGGAGGGCATTTAAGGACCAGAGCCACGGCAAACGACACAGGCTGACTGGGCTCACTGGATTATCAGACTTCGAACTTTGCATATTATAAGGAATATATATTACTCTACGCAGAAACCATAGAGAAAACCATGAACGTTGACTCTATAATCGACGTTTCTCGACATCAACTGCCTTGTAATTGTATATTCACACCGCCTTCCAAGGCCATACATCATCCATGATAGATACGAGAATACTTCAACGAACCAAAGGAAAGGGTCGGCCCTTTGATGGACGTGCATTGTTTCATCCTAAGAAACACTCCGGCCAGAGACGAGACCGTGCAACCGATGCGTAAACAACAATCAACAAACAAATAAACCTTGAAACTTTGCCCTCTCACGCGCGTGTCTCGCGCCTACTTCGCGCTATCCATGGAGCCACTGAGCTAGTCGTGCATATGCTTATGTTTCAAGATTGTTTCCCCATCCGTGAGTCATAAGTCTAGAAGTGAAAAAGGACCCGGAAACATGCTCGGATAAGGAAGATCTGTCAGGCTATCGGGAAAATGCAGATCGAAAAAACTTCTCCGTCGGGAGGGGCACCGACGTTGTGTTTCATATGTATATCTTGAAACAGAAAAGTGGTTCTGGGATTATTGAATATCCGACGAATCAGAGGTTGGAAGAAGGATCTTGGGAGTGAGGGGAACACAACATTAAGCATGAAACGATTCCGTGGGCTCGGGGCAGTACGTACTCTGCGAGTTTCAGAGTTCCACGTCTACATGCTGCTTTGTGGTGAAAGATGATCTTTCAGAATGGAAGATCTCTACTCCGTAACGTCGTGAATATTGTGACTCAAGGGGGTTCAGAGTAGACGGCCGTATATTGCTGCAAAATTCATTTGACGCCGCGAGAATCTGATTTGACGGCCAGGATGCAACTACGTAATTCTCCCACATGACCATCTCGACCGTAAGGCCATGGCCAATATTCCACATCATACTAGCACCCGACGAAACAAAAGAGAGCGGCGCTACCTAGCAGCGACATATCTCTGCATGTCCAACGACGCTTCAGCTGTATATGACTTCGAGCTCGTCAAGTGATGTTCCCGATGACGTCGTCTGGCATGTACGACACCTACGCCTAACAGCCCAAGTCTGAAGCGAAGCCCTCCTTGAGCCTCCGTAACCGGCAAGCAAGAGTCGGTGAAGTAAAGCATCACGACTGATGGTCGATGTCGATGTCGATGACGATGCACTTTTCGGGTAGTAAGAAATAAAATACATAACTTACCAAAATTACCCTAACTATCCCTTCTTGGCGCTTGGGGCAAAGTCAGCACAGCCACGGCTTAGCAGACACGCATATAACTATACCAGCACACGCATATACACACGGAGTATACCAGCAGTGGCCCTGTGGCGCGGTCGAAGGTATCATCCAGCGTCAACATGCACTGCAACAGCAGACGGGACAACCGGACAAGTCCGTCGCACCGATCAGCAGTAACCATAACATATCCCAAGCAGTGACGGGCAAGGGGATATACTCCGCAACGATCGATATCACATGTGCCCATGACGTCAAGGAGGATAAAAAGTCTTCCATGGACAGACACATCGCAGCTGAGAATTGGGAGGCGCTGGGGTTGCCAAATCGCAGATCATGGCAAGGCGTAGATGCTGCATTGTACGGACGGATAAGGGGGAGTACGGATATTCGGCGCATGTATCGCGCATGCGCATACTTGCCGACGCTGAGACATCGCGTAAAGGGTATTCCTTCGACTATTGACGCTGTGCGTTTGTTTATGCGTATGATTCCCACTCACACACACACGCACACACAGGCACTACCTAGACCAAGGCGTTTCTTTTTTTGGTCGGAGGTAGCTACACATGCGAAACATGTCCGATAGTCTCAAAGCACTGACTGCCGGATCTCCAGGGTCTGAGTCTCTCCATCCTAGAATGGAAGTCGAAGCAGGAAGCTGTTATGTAATTCAAATGCTTACTGGATGCTCTCATAATACAGGCAGAGGACTCGGTCACAAGGCGTTTTTTCACCAAAAATTAGTTCCGTCGATGCATAGCATATTGCAGGACATCAATCAGTTCGTTGTGCAACAGTTAATGCATAATATTTATAAGTGGCTGCTGTTAGTGAGCATATCTGGTGGTTGATATAATATGTCCATGCATCGTCACATGAAATAATGGAAGGTGATATGCGCCAAAGCAATATAAGTATACAATTAGATGTTTGAGAAGGACGGAGATGTGACCAGTAGGAGCATTAAGGTGTCTAGATCAAAATGTCCGAGAGCGTGCAAGCCGATAGCATCTACGCCTATACACACGTTTGCTGACTGTGGTATATGATTGTTTTTGGTTTTCCAGAAAGTCTCGAATGACCGATCAATCAAAGTACCGCCCAATCAGCGGCCAGAACAGGGATGCCAACACAGCCAGACGCTTTGGTGTCTCGTTCTCTCAGCGAATCCCATCGCTGAAGTGACCCAAGACAACCACCCTCCATCAGCTGCGCCAGGGAAACTCCCTTTCGACCTACGGAGAACGGAGTAGCGTATCCATATCTATCGGCTCGTCGAAAGGCAAGAAAGAAACCCGGTGGGTCGGTTCTCTGCCTACGCAAGTTGCATATAATATGGCCTCGAAGGCGAGGTTGAGTGGATGGACATAGGAGGCCTCTCGACGCTTCTCCTTCGTTCGCTTCTGCACTCCACGCGTAGCTCTGTAATGATCCACGAGGGATAGTCGCTCCAGATTTTCACATTCCCGCAATCTGCCGGGAGAGTTCAATAGCATTGGCCCGTCTCCCGTCAAGAGGAGCCGACGGGCTTGTTTCAAAGCACTGAGCGCATAAAGAGTTAAAAACGAGGAGGAAGCGCCTATCACACTCTTCTTCGAGATTCATCACTCTGTAATGCAAGGCCAGTGTACCATGGCGTTGATACGGGGTATGAGTATTTGAAAATAAAAAAAATGAGGAAGAGGTATCTCGTTGGCCACTGAAGCTGGCGTTGGCCGGTGAATAGGAGAGAGACAGAGCGAGGCGTGACCTGACTGTGCCGCCTGTCCTATTCCACCAACGATCAAGCTACTCCGTAGCCCGTAGATGGAGAAGGGAGAGGGAAAAAAAGGAGCCTTCCCTAGCAGGAATGCGGGTAAACTGGAGGATGATGCGTCGGGTCAATTTGCCACTGGTGATGGTCCCGTATACGCAGGAGAAAAGCCCAAAAGCTGTGTCCATCTGAAGGCAAACTATAACCCATGCCTGTGCGCATCCCTCCTATTCACTGCATGACAACTGACAACGATGACACTGACAACGACAACGCTGCAGAGTGCCGTCGATGCCAGAGAACGCGGCCTTGTCCTAGGAAGAAGGAGAAGATGTAACTATGATGTAAACTATCTGTAAGGTAAAACCTATGCAGGTAAGCGTATTAGCAGGGTAACGGAGAATACCGTGACGGGCCTGCCGGTACCGAACCGAACCGAACTGTACCATGGATACGCCGATAACCTCTCCCTGTGCCTATTTATATCGTGGGCGCGTACTCGAACAGGCCATGTTACCTGTACTGTATGTAAGATGACGGTATTTCCGTGACGATGACGCTTTTTTCGCCCGCCACAAGAGCTGCAACTTTGCGACTTTGGCGAACTTTGCATGCGGCCTCCCTGCGGCCATCCCAGAGCCCCCCCTAAAGAGAAGAGACGAAGAGAGAGAGACGCGACAGGCAAAAAGGGCGCTGGTGTAGAACCTAAACGTACATATGCAGGAGGAAGCTTTTGCAACTCAGCTCGTATATACACCATACCCAAGGTTTTCCGAGAGCCTGGCCTGGTTCTTCCTTCATATATACATACTCCTTGCCCGTCCCTAGAAACAGCCTTCCCGCTCTATACTCAACACACACAAAGAGGTGCCAGCGTCCCCTTCCACACGTCGACCTCTTTATCCCTCTCACGCTCTCTCTTCTTTCTTCTAATATAATTATCTACTATTTTATTATTTTATTTCTCATTTTTAACATTTTTTACCCCTCCTATACGCTATAACCATCGATATACAAAACCTAGATTCAGTACATGTGAAAAACGATTTAATGCGATCCAGATATCAAGATGCCGCCAACTAGTCTTCTACCAGCCTCTGCTGCTGCCTTTGCTCCCAGATCTTCTCCTACCGTTGTGCTATCCAGAGTGGAACAGTGGTTGACCCTGACGCTCAAGCGAGTTAACAAGGTGAAGCGGCCGCTGAACAACGTCGGGCAGCACACCCGATGCCTTACAGAAGTGCTCTCCCACTCGAATGCCCTATGGAACCTATGTTCCATCATGCTGCCCAAGGCTCCCGAGTCCAAACTGCCCAAGGATGAAAACCCGCTCGTGGACGCCCTCTTCAACTACCAGCTCGCTCACATGGAAGCCTACGTCGTGCATGTCGACATGGTATCTCAGAACGAGGTCGCCTTCAAGCTGACGCCCGAGACCATCGAGACGCTGGTCGACTACCACAAGGAGATCTACTCCGTCGACACCGCCAGCAAGACATGGGACTGGCCTGAAAAGGAGATTCAACTCAAGAAACTCCAAGAAGAATTCGTCCAGGCCGCCAACCGGTTCGTATACCGGACCAACGCCACCGCCCTGGAAGGCATGGAGGAAGAGGGCGCAGGAGAACTGCTCTGCGGACTGGCCGACGAGGCCAAAGCCGCTATCATGGGCCTCTTCGTTCCTCTTCTCCCTCCACCGCCACGGATCGTCGATGTGGTGCGTTCTACGCCATTAGTCCCTTCTTCCACTGGCCCTGATGAATGGTGGCATCATAGCCCGATTCAGCAATCTCCTTCCCCGGTTGAGTCCTGGGACGTTCTACCTTCGAGTCCCAGCACGACCACGACGAGTGACTCGCATCCGAACATGTGGACAAACGTCAGCTACAGTGACATGCCCCTGCCATCGCCTACCCTGTCGCATTGCCAGCCCTACTCCACGGCAACATACAGCAGCCCCGAGTTCTACGAATGTCCAACCACCCTAGCCTCCGCCATCCCTTACCTCCTACCCGATATGCTGGTGCAGCATCAGTGCGGTGCGGCTGCCGGCATGGATGGGTTCATCTGGGCGGACCGATACCCTGATTTCGCCCTACAGTACGGAACAGCCATGTAAAGGGGTAGACTATCACAAACATCATCCTATAAGGCGAAAGGCGACATCGACGGCGGCTCGACCTACCCATACAACTATACAACACAGCAGCATAAGCATCAACCGCATGACTGACGGCGTTCTCCATCCTCACTAAGCGGCAGCGGTATTCATCTGGCATATTTCCTTTTCCTTCATACTCGTCTCTGGTTTCATTATATGATGCGTTCTTTAGCAAGCGTTTGAGTTTTTTGTTTGATTCATTTTTGTGTCTGTTTATTTTCCGTTTTGCATGAAGAACCGGCGGGTCGGCTACCTCATTTTTTGATAACGTCCCAGGGTGGATTGTTTTTTACGTTTCATTTGTTCATGTCTCGCATACGATATCATCAAGACTGATATGCCTCGCGGCTGGAAATGTTTTCCTTTTATTGTCCTTGTTTGTCGCGGACGCGGATCAGACAGTCTTTGGAAGTCGTGGTGCGTGAGTGCTCTACAGGCAGTTCTGGCGGCTAGTCCGACCACCAACGCCCGCGCCAGCGTACCACGCTCCATCGACCGCCTCCTCCGCGTCGTTGTCTGGAACTCATTTCGGTACTGGTTACTGAACAGGCGATCCATTCGGTTGGATTGGTGAGGAGGAGGACACGCGACCCCCCTGACGTCGGATGGGTTTTCATCTGGTATGGAATCTATATCCGCGTCGTTTCGGCCCCTTCTGGCGAGTCGGATGTACTATGCTGCTGGGAGAGGAAGTGGCATAGCTCCTCACTGCTGGGCGCTCGTCTGCCTTCACGGGCCACGGGTGCACGTCTGGAATATCGAGCGTCCGCTGCGAACGATCTGTGATTGTTCCCACCGTCGACCCTTTACTCCCACACCAGCAGCGTGTGTTGCTTCCCACGCTCTCTCTCCACCAGTACAGCACACTCCCTCTATCCGGAAACGGGGCCACACCCACTAGGCTCATCCCCTTTGCTCCAGGCTGGTTTTTCACTTCTTGTTCGTTTCGGTCATATTTCTCCTGGAGCGGCCTGGCATCTACTCTCTCGTTCCATTGATTGGGGCAGCGTTGGAAGTCGGGAATCGGATGCTGGTTTTGTTTTTTGTTGTGCTCTCTCCTCTTTTATTGTATATCGGAGCTGTGCTTCGTATGCCACTTGCGTCTGTGTTGTCATTCGCTTGTCTTCAGTTCGCTACTATAACTAGTTTAACAAAAAAAAGAATCAAATTTAATTTTTGGCCCGTCCAAATCTTTTCTGGTATTCGTATTTGGTCTAACTAGTTGAAAGGGGTATTTGGTCCCTTCTATATTATTTTGGGGCCAGTGACTTTCACGGAATAATGCTCTGGATGTCATGAGCCCTGGCCAAACTATCATGCCAACCAAAGTATCCTCACATCTTGATTCTGCCTATTTTAAAAGGTTCTCCGGCCTGTATACCCTGCAAAAGTGCCCAAACCTGGTAGTATGACCAAATGCAGTCGTCGGGCCATGATATCTCGACGTGTATTGCCCACAGCCGGATCACCAAGTAAGGCCGCGGTGCAGCTGTGTTTATCAAGCGTCTCAATTCACTTGCAGTACGGTATTCTCATTTCAATCGGCCAGGTTCTAACTCGCAGCGTATCGTTCTGATTCCTCGTGCCGGAATGGCTATCGCCCATCAACTCCTTCAGCGGACTGTCCCCAAACCCACCCATCAAATCAGTCTATACTTGTCGCAAAAAATACATGTTGAACTGCAGTGGATCATTCATTTGTCTATGTCGATTCCCCAGGTCAGTTTTCCAAATACCCTCATAGCTCAAGCCCAACTTAGCAAAGATGCCAACTTACGTCTGGCGGATTCCCTGCTCCACGAACCATTTTTTCCACCATCATAGCTCTAACTTTCTCCTTTGGTTCGCCCATGCCGATAGCCATGTATTGAAGCAATGGCGGATGGCCGATGTACGAGGCATAGCTATCGCGAATGATGTTAGACGTCCATTCGTACTTGGTGGTATCGGCGTGTCCGGTGCCTATGTAACGGGCCTGGAGTGCCTCGAGGTTTTGGAGTGTGCGCAGTTTATCAGCCATCGTTAGGTATATTGCAAGAAGAGCTTGTTGCGCTTTTCAATGTAGAAGATTGTTAGCACTGAGGTTGTACGTTGGTTGAAGGTGAGCTCTCTACGGGAAAAAAAATTAGCGCCGGGTCAGTTGATTGGCCGCCCCTTAGAGACTCCCATCTCAGTCTTCCATGACACCGACGACAGTATACGGAGTATATCAGGACGTAAAAGGAAACTGCCTTTGAATCGCAGAAGGCATCCAGGATAGTGATGCAGTCGTTATGCATCCACTGGGTTCGTCTTATAGCTCCTGTCCGGCTTCATCCAAAGCACTCGATGCAAATAGCATGTCTACTCGGATGGACGAGAAAAATGCTTAACCCTGGCCAGCGAAGGCCCTTTGCAAATCAGCCAAAGGCTTACGGCCCAGGTCGACCTGTCGAAGAGGAAACGCTCCCAGCTTATGATCCGGAAGAATTTTACCCGGTTCATATAGGCGATGTATTCAAGGGAAAGTACAGAGTGCTTGGTAAACTTGGATTTGGGGCCAACTCAACCGTTTGGCTTTGCCGCAACGTTGAGTATGGCTGCGTGTATCCTGCAATGTTTCGCCATGAAGCACTGACTGGCTTCATCTCTTAGGGAGCGTGACTATGTTGCTCTCAAAGTATACACAAAGACGCCTACGCAGCGGATGAATCGGGAGATCGTGGCCTACAGTTATCTGAGATATTCACGCTCATCGCATGCTGGGAGACTGCACGTACGAGAACTCCTTGATTCATTCGAGCTTGTACGGCCTGGTGGAATCCGTCACCATTGTCTTGTTCATCCACCGCTTCAGACAACACTCTGGGATTTACAAAGACCCGGAGGAAAACCTACAGCTCTACCGCAGGATATGATCAGAAGTGTATCCCGGTATCTGCTCCAGGCATTGGATTACCTCCATACAGAAGTCAATATCACACACTGCGGTCGGAACCTGTACCAGGACTCACAGGAAGGGATATTTAACTAACTTTGTATTAGATATTAAACTCAGTAACCTTATGTTGACCATAGAGGATACGAGTGTCCTCGCAAATTTTGAGGAAGCCGAGCAGAAAAATCCATGTCCGCGTAAGGTGATAAATGATGAAAGAACAATCTACGCATCTCGAAACTTTCAGCATCCCAGGAACCATGCTTGGGGTTACCCCGTTCTCTGTGATTTTGGGGAGGCTCGGATCAGAGGCTCTTACCAATACGAAGAGATACAACCAGAGGTCTACAAGGCCCCTGAGATTATCATGCAGACAGATTGGTCGCATAGTGCTGACATATGGAATACAGCATGTGTGGTGAGTCAGCCTATATCTTCGTGGCGTCACTTTTCTGACTCCATGAGTCCCCATTTTATAGATCTGGGACATGATAGAGAATAAACATCTTTTTGACGCCCAAGACGATGAAGGCTTCCACAACAACAGACACCATGTTGCAGAGATGACTGCATATTTGGGCATCCCACCAAAGGAGTTCCAACAACGCAGCCCAAACACACCTTTAGTATTTGATGAAGAAGGTGCGTTTGCAACTGCCATGCGTTACTAAGCTTGATGCCTGATATTCGATTTGCTATAGGAAATTGGAAAGGAAACCCTCCGCTTCCTCCGCTCTCGTTAGAAGACTCTGAGCAACATCTTGAGGGGACGGATAAGCTAGCGTTTCTGAGCTTCATGCGCTCAATGTTGACCTGGCTGCCAGAGAAGAGGAGGAGCGCTAGGGAGCTACTGATGGACCCTTGGTTGAATCACGAATCGACGTCGCAAGGTCAACGGGGCCACAGCTAATACTAGGAAGCCTAGTAGTACTTATTGCCTAACGGTGATAGCGCCGGGACAGAAAAATCTACTATATCATGTGCTGTAATATAAGTAAACATATATCAATAAGCGATACGTATTCTATTCGTCATCAATGCGTATTGGATAGTTCCATCGTCCACTCCATCTACATTTCCACAATGTTCCAGTATATGTCCAGTTTGGTATATAGTCAATTGTTCTCCTATCGCTCACGTTTCGTCGTCTTAGAACTATCGGTTTCCCGTCTTCTCCAGAAGAAAGAACGAACAGAGGAGCTAGAGCCTGTTGTGATAGGGCAGATTCCATGGTAGGTGCATATTTCCATGCCTCGAAAGTTGTTGGGACGGTCTTATACTTCCAGGCCCGGAATATCTCATCGACTGACGCTTGTTGACCCTTTATGAATATTTCCCGATGCCGTTTACTCACGTCATCAAATAAAAGCGAGTCACCGTAGGCAACCCAAGAGTCGCCATTTAAGTTCTTGACTCTCAGTCCAATGGAACCGTCTTCGTCATGCATCAACTAGTCCATCAGGTTAGTAGATGTTTGTCATAGGCTGAGTCAATAAATCAAAAGAACTTGCTTACCTTGGAGCAGGCATCTGCAGAATTCAAGCTACCGCCATGAAGCATGCGACGCGGAACACGAAGGTGGCCAGCAGAAAAGTGGTCATGCAAAAAGTGATCTGCAAACGCATTCATAGCATACGCCAATGCCAAATCACTATCCGCACGCAATGCATACTTGATAGCAGCACTATGACCAGCATTATACGCTATCTCAGCATCTCTACCAAAGTGATCGAAGTTAATCAGAGCAAGGCCTAGGAAGGATGGTATCCCACTTGGTCGGAATAAGGTTGCCATCCCAAGGCTTTGGCCGATCGAAACTTTGAGTCGATTGTGGACTTCTGAAGGCTGTCTGCCTTCCTGTATAGCCTTATTGACTTCATTGATTTCATCATGAAGAATTTCAAGGAGTTTGGTAGCCTCTTCTGGGGCGTACTTTGTGTCGTTTGCCAACGTGTCGAATGCCTTGAGAAAGCGATGTTGTCGCTCGTTTTCCGTGACACCGTCACTAATGGGTTCATCTGTTCCATAAAGATCGCCGGCTAACCCAAGAATCTCTCCATAGGTCAAAGCTAGGCCGTTGGGGAGTTTTAGCGGAAGGCTTTTGGCAGGAACCTCAGTGTCAACCCCGACCTTTAGGGAGACGGCGTTGCCCTGCAAGCAATGTTCCACAAAGACAAATTCTATATGCATTGTTTAGTTTGATAATCAACACAACAAGCTTGTAGGGTGGCTGTACTTGTAGATACTTTCTTCTCTCCTTTGTAGCTTAGTCTTCCGCCATTACTTGAAGACGCTTTTTTCCGCCGCCTTAGAACAGCCAACAAGTCTAGACACATCGGTATTAATATTCTATGGTGAGAATCCGATTGGCGTCAAAGATCTGGAACCGTTGAAGGGCGTATTCCCGGGCTATAGACGTTGATAAGACGTCATCAACAGGTCATGGACTCAAGAAGGCGAAACGGTCTGATGGCGTACTTCGGCCCGCGGGGATAGAACAACGGGACAAGGAGTAGTCTCTACTAGATATGTCAAGAATGATAATCAAACTTGATTATCCATCGACCATTGACCGCGACCAGGCGTCGTAGGCGTCGTTATATATACGCTGGAGCTGAGCTTACCGCTTTAGGCCCTGAGACTCCCGTGATGTTCCAGCATGACCAGCTGATCGATCGCCTTGACTAGCTCGCCGCGGACTTTCTTATCCTCAGAGACAAGGCCTCTCTCCACTAGATACGTCGAAACCTACACGCCTTTCTTTCTTCAAGGCTGCTGGAGCGTCCTACCCCACGAATACAACCTGGGGTAACCTTGGGGACGAGATCCCTGGTCTTCACACGAACATTCGGTGGCTCTGGCTGATGAATCAACCACTAGGAGTGAACGGGGACTCTCCTCCTGATAAATGGCGAGCGTGATATAAATATCGGAGTGATCTCGGTCCAGTATCGAAGTCATCAGTTATTGTTTACACAGGGAGTGAATATATGGGAAATGGATACCTGCATTGGAGCCTTGAGCGATCACGTGATAGTTACACGATAATTTGACGCTGCCCTTCAACCGCATTCAAGGACAACCATACCATAGCGAAACGAATATCTGCTCTGTGGGCATTGCATTTATCTACAACTGACCGTTCATCTTATATCCTAAGGCAAAGATTCATGAACGGCAATCCGCCTCTCGAATGCCGCGTTGCATCACTCGTTCATGCGCATTTCGAAGCACTTCCACAGCGCAGCAAACCGACTATTCATGCCAATGGGTTGAGGGAGTGGATTCCGCTTAGCGGAATTGTCTTGGTAACTGGTAAGGATTTTTAAGTTTCTAAAAATAATGTATACTTCTTCATTGTGCTATATCACCTTGCCCATAAACTGAGTAGAGCCACGGCTCTCTCCCACTTTTATACGCGAGTATACTGATAACTCTTTCTAGGGGAAAATACTCCCGAGGAAACATTGACTTGCGTTGCTGTTGCGTAAGTATATAATTGGTTCTTGCTGCTCATTGATTGGCGTGGAGCTGAATCATCTTCAACCTGGCGTATTTCAGAGTCACTGACTGAGAGATAGAACTGGTGCAAAGTGCCTGTCCTCGTCGCAGGTTACTCGGTGTAATGGACTCGTACTTCATGACAGTCATGCTGAAATACTTGCCCTTCGTGCGTTCAATCACTGGCTCCTCGAAGAATGCAAATCTGCTTTGGCCCACTGCAAGGAAAAGCATACCGGGGGCCCTTGTGTTAACCCGCCTGATGATATATTATTGGGCAGTGATGTCTCCTCTATTTGTTCCGGATCCAAGTTTCTGCAGATGAATATAGAAGGGTGCGAAAATAGTGGAATCATGGGAAGAGAAGAGACTCCTACGAATTGCATATCGCAGCCACGATTATTCCGGCCTCCATTTAAAATAAAGGAAGGCGTGAAAATATGGATGTATTGCTCATGTGCTCCTTGTGGAGATGCCAGCATGGAACTGTGTATGGCAGCACAGGAGGACGATACACCTTGGGAGCTCCCTGCCGCTGAAACGGAGGACCCCGAAGGTTCGGCCGGTCCCCCACAGACACTACTAAACGGTCGAGCTCACTTTTCAATTCTTGGTGTCGTTCGTCGAAAGCCCTCTCGGGCAGATGCAGAGTCAACTCTCAGCAAGTCATGCTCAGATAAGCTTGCCTTGAAGCAAGTGACTTCCATTCTATCCTTTCCAACGAGCTTGCTTATCGTGCCAACTCCAAATGCATATATCTCCAATATCATTCTACCAGAGGATGAACTGAATCGTGTGGGGTGCGACCGATCGTTCGGTGGGGGAGAAACGGGGCGCATGCGGCGGTTAAAGGACCAGGTGTGGGTGTCTACACCAGCAATAGGTGGAACCTTTCGATTTCATCCTTTCACGGTCTGCTCATTACCAATGGATGTTTTTGAGGCGATGTGGAAGTATGGGAAGCCCACTGGTACGTCGCCACAGGGAAATGTGAAAACCGGAAATGTATCAGCCGTCTGGACTGCGCCTCCGTCATATTCAACACGACCGCCTTTCTCAGCAATGGGTAATCAGACTCCTCAGCTATTCCAGGAAGAATGGCACAAAGAATACTTCAAAACGGCACCAACGAATCTCAACGAAACCTTGATAAACGGAGTCAAGCAGGGCTACCGTTTGAACTCGCCTGGGTATAAGAAGGCCAGCGCATTGTCTCGAGCTAGGATGTGGGCACTCCTACGTGATAGCGTACAACTCTTGCAAGAGTGTTGTAAGGTCGCACCAGGGCCATTTGATGATACGTATAGCTCGTCAGTGAGTGAATGCGTCCTTTCGGCCCCTACTTATAATTCACTGAAATCTATGTCCATAATAATGAGACTCTCGTTGCAACGGCATCTGGTCCAGGGCGATGCGCGGTATGTACTCCAAAACTGGATACGCAACCAGGGCGATGGGGGTTGGGGGTTGGACGTGTTCGATATACCTGCGAAGGCAAAGATTGAGAGGTCCCAACCTTTGTGACAAAGCTAGCTATCTTGACAATAAATCATATCTTCTCACTAAAGTCAAATGGATATCCGGGTCCATCTTCAGCTCTAGTATGAGAATATGGCTGCTTTGTCAAGATGCAGCTTCGTGAATTCGAGTGAAGGTTCCCTGGGCCACCTGATAGAACCATAGCGGAAACCACGTGATGACATAGTGATCGCGTCTCAGTGCAGGTGGCGGCTACCAAACCTTCACCTTCAACATCCAACGTCCAAGGGACAAAACAAACTCTCTCCCTGCAAAAGAACTCTGCAAGATCCCTGCAAGCCACGTCCGTCATCCCGCCATACATATCAAGTGAATATGCATGCCCTGGTGCGCCGTCAGTCGAAGGGGAAGCTGGTTAAAATTCTGGCACCTGAATGTGGATTCTCCACGACAAGGTAGAACGCGGAGGCGTTGGTGGGACCTGGAAATAGTTGTCTTTTCTTCCCAAGCTGTCGTCTTCGTCGATAAAATGACCGAGTCTCGAGGAGCAGCCGTCGAGGATCACCATCATGGCGGTCCTCAACATGATAGGACGCGAAGATGCGCGAAGATGGATCCATTTACGTGTGGGTGGGAAGGCTCTGGGGCGATGGATATGAATACTTCGAAAGAAGCATCCCCTTCCCTTCCCCCATAAGAGAAATCTCACGTAAGTGTCTCATTCATTATATTGACATGGCGTTACGAAACTAAAGATGTTGGTAGGGCTTCCTCATTGTGCAAATATGCCAGCGTTGCGTGCCCAAGCGAGGCTTGTCACGAGCGTAAAGAAGGAAAATGAGCAGCTTCTTCACTCGTTTCACCCTTCCTTAGAAGTTTTTGAAACGGTCCACGTTATGACCACCGATACAGGTGACGTCTGGACGGTACATAACGGCACTAATGACGAGGAAAGGACAATAGAAACCCACGTTGGAGGAAGAGAGGTTCACATCTACCCCTATCATGAATTCCCATTTCCACGAAACACGTATGTTGGCATTCCCTTCCGTGATTGTCCTTTAATCAGACATATCAACCCTCGCCGCCTTCTAAGGCCTGAAGACCTTCAAGTGTTTCGAGCGTTTTGGCCAACGTCAGTCGGAGTGCGTGTCCTGATATCAGGATGGGTGATCGTCTTATTTTCCAGCAAAAGCGACATGGAGGCAGAATGGGTTTCAAAAATGTGTGACAGTATTGGGGGCCAAAGGATGGGATATGATGTTGTTAGATGCGACTTGGCGCTCCACCCAGCTCCATCGTCTTCAACGGTTGCAAGCCGTCCAGGAGACTTCAATACTGGAGTTTCCCTTGGTCTACGTCTTCGAATGCATGAAGGAGATGTCATCACCACGGCTACCCATGGGTTTGTGGAAACCTATACTCTAAACTCATATTTCGACTATTTGAAAATGCGATGCTCTAGCTGGTACCTTTCTGTTCGCTCAGCACTAGAATGGTTTCACTTGCCTTGGGCGTCTTCCACTACCCCTGGCGTCCTAGAATCGTGCGGTGAACACCACGAACATAGAACTGCAGCAAACAACAGCCCCATAGATTGCCAGGTGCGGATTACCGGTACAGACATAATGGTAAGAGAAGGAACACCTTTTTTTTTGTCTTTGATAATCTGTGACTAAAAGGAAGACGCTTCAAGGTTGGAACAATTTCCAAATCCTATGATCCAGCCCCATCTCGACCCCTACCCTACCCAATGGGTTACCGCCATGACTTATGTCTCATTACCTCGAATGATCTTCCCGCCGTCACTCATTCGCATAATGCACCGCCTATTTCAGGCTGGGGTTCTTATTCAGATGCGTTGGATGGCGCTCCCTTGTTCGTTTGCCACGTTAATCCCATCAATGGAGCGTGGACTAGTTTGGAAGGCCAAGAAATAGTGCTAGAGGCACACGCTGCTCTTGCCCAGGGTGCTGAGTACTACTGGGACAGGGAGACAGGGACGCAGGCAACTTCTTTACTTTGGCGTACTACGCATGACCAAACTCCCGCCGCTGGTTATTCTGGGTCTGTTCTTTGTTTAGGGCGGCTCACAGATTCCACCTCTAAAGCTCTCCTATTCCAGAATTATGAATCTGCCCGTAGACCAAAGAGCCGTGTCAATCCGTTTTCCGAACTGGTGACATACCCAGAGAGGGCCACATATAAGGGAGGATTCATACTCCCCAATGAAATACGGCAAGCCGACATTATTATGGAAACCGGTTACTATGCTCGAGGCGTTAGATCTAACTCCGTGCCATCAAAGGGACGTTCCTCGGATACTTGAAAGAGAAGGGTAGCCTCAGGGCCATAATCTCCTTAGCAGAGTAGACATTCTATCTTTTTGTGTGAAGATGATGCGTCTGATTCTCTGTGCTGTGGTACGGATCGTTTATTATACCCAACGGTTACCATTGGACACTAGGCTTTTTTGTCCCTTGTGGTCCAACAGATGTGTTAATATTGCTGGGCTGTGGGCTAAGTGACGTTTGCTCCGTATGCAAAATCATTGTACAAACTGAAAATACCCGTTCTATCTACTGGGAATATTTGAAATATAACTACGCTGAGATGATAAAGATACAAATACATGCCATCCGAGAAAATCAAAAGATCATCATATAAAAGATTGATCTTATATCCCCTGAAGTTTCTTCCATTCTCATCCATGGTGATCTTGCGGATGAATCCATTCGTGTTGCAATAGCTCAGCTGCAGACTTTCGGGACTCAGGGTCGATTTCGAGCATACCCCTAACGAAATCAATAAAAATTGGCACTTCAGATTCGGGCATATCAATCGGTCTTAGGAACGGTTTTGTTTTGCCGTTCACCAGGCGTTCAAGGGAGGTAGGCCCCAGATCAGGTATTCGGAGAAGGTTCCCTATGGCAAATCCGAATTAAAATAATGACGAAATATCAACAAGCGTCGAAGGGCTTACCTTGATTGTCAAAAAATTCTCCTCCACGTTTCCCCTTTTTTATAAAGTGAGGTGGAAATTGACCGATGATTTCCATGATCCTTGCGAGATGGTCATCTTCCGCTGTCCAAGTCCCTCTCGCTGATGCCTCCCCGGAGAACATAACTATCCCTTGAACAAGCTCCATAACCTGTTGTCATATACCGATTAGAATGAACGGACCGTAATACGGAGGTTTTATCAAGATATTCTTACAATGCATCCAAGGCTCCAAATATCCACACCAATATCCCAAGGGGCACCTATAATCACTTCAGGGGCTCTCAGAGCTCTCGACTGGATTAATTCTGACAAATGACGCTCTCTCCATGATGCTATAATCACAGTAAGCTATGTGTAAAGGGGGTTGAAATAAACTAACTACCTACCGACACCAAAATCGATGAGTCTAACGTGGATATGTTTTGTTTTCGAGACAAGCGATGTTGGTATGACCTCTCGAAGAGGTGTTGCAACGCCACAATGAGAGCCTGTTCGGGCAGGAACTTCCGACAGGTACTGGGAAATGGTACTGTATGGATTCTCCAACTCTAGGAGTATATTCGTTGGTTTCAAATCTGTTAATAAAATAGGAGGTGTCAGCAATATAGTAAACCGCCTATATCAGGATTTTCCATACCAGTATGAACAATACCACACTCTCTGTGAAGGAAGTCAAGCCCCAGAAGAATCTGCCGTGTGATCACCTTCACAGCTTTTACAGGCAACTTGCCATCTTGATACCTGATAGTTTGGTAGCCTAAGTGGTGCCCTAATACATCGAACGCTAAGCAAACATGATCTCCATTAGGCCCTGTATGCGTGAATTGATCAAGAAGATGAGACACGTAGTTGCGGCCTTCATGGGAACTTTGCCTAGACACTTCCGAAATTCTCGAGAGGATTTCTCTCTCGAGTATGTCATGGGGCCCGCCATAACAATCAGCCCTTAGCACCTTAAGCGCCGCGTATCTCTGATGCCTAACTTATCGGTTAGCTTGGTAGTTACGCGACGGTGACAGGCAACACACTTAGAATCTTTAGCTAGCCAAACTGTAGAGTATTGCCCATATCCAAGTTTCCTCAGGATAGTGAATTGGCCATGATGGAAGGTAGCTCCTAAACAAATTGGGTGAAATCCACCAGGCTGGTAATAGTCTGGCTCTTCAGTGACTGGGTAAGAAGTAACACGTTCTAGCGATGTCAGCTGTGAGGGAGCCCTAAAGGACTTTGTGATTCGAGATCGTAGTTGGTGTAAGGACGCTTTTAATATATTCATCATCTCCAAAGAAGTTGATAGTACAAAGTTTGCGGTAGCATGGGCGACAAGGCTTTGATATGTTCCGCTGATTAAATTTTCCTGCGGCTGGATAACCTAACTATATGATGGCACTATGCAAAACAAATAAACCGGGGAATCCCTCGCCCGAGACGAAGGTATGCTTCTTTCTTTGTTGTTTTCAAGTTGAGTACATAAGGCCGACTGGTTTGCTTTCAATATTGAGTCCAATGGTCCCAGAAGTTCCAGGATGTTAAATAGGGCGATCAATCAAACTAGCCTAGCTGCTCAAAGTCTTTGACTCCCACTTTTATGGCTTGCCTCTAGGGAGGGTACAAAACAGTACATCGCCAACTAGATAGTCGATAGCTCGACGGAAACCCCTGATGCTGGCTTAATCATAATCCGGATAAATATGTCAGGTTGGCTCCTTTAACTATCTTTCCGCAGGTCATTAAGAGTCCTGTTGCAACCATGGCTAGAGCTACACCTCAGTTTCATAGGTGCCCTCGCTTCCTGGGCACGCCTTCATAAGAATATGTACTGATAAGAATAGAATGATAGGGACGTCATAATCGTGTCGATCATTTGCATATTCTGATAAATTGACATTAGACATGGTAGTATATTCAACGCTCTCTAACATGTACCCAGAAATCAGACACCCCATAAACACCAAACATGTCGACCGCCTTCCAAGGAGCGTTCCTTCGATCAACAAGGTCAAAGTCAAAAGTTCGTAGCAGCTTATCATCACATTGTTAGACATATGGTGATGTGTGTTCGGAAATTTGGTACTTACTTCAAAGACTGCCTTTGATATTTCAGTATGGGCGATGACCCTCCCCATACACTGATACTTACCATGGTTAAAAATGAGTTCGTTAACGCGAATCATGTTCGCAAGCTTAGCACCGTCAGGCTCAAACCAGCGTTCCGGTCTAAATACATCAGCGTCCTGGCCGTAGGTTTCCTTGCAGCGGTACATGGCATATACCGATCGTCCTATGCAGGTACCTTCAGGTAGGATTACGGTCTTGCCGGCTACTGTAACCGAATCTCCCCCAGCGGGGACATTTCGGGGGAAGAGGCCTACGAGGGGCGGCAGCATTCGTAGCGATTCTCGAATAACGGCTTGCAAGTATGGAAGCTGCTTTGTTTGTGCGAAGCTTATGACTCCGTCGCCTGCATGGGGCGCTTTGCTGGTAGAAACAGCTTCATCAATCTCGCGTCGAAGTTTGGAGAGGACGAGCTGGTTTTGTATGGTGAGTAGAATTACCGAGCAGATGCTGTAGCAAGGCCCAAACGATCCAATGACAACGGCGTCGAGAATCTCGGAACGCAGGGCATCACCCGTTATACCATGCCTGATAAATGAGTCGAGCATGTCCTCTGATTTTTCGTGGGGATTCGCCTCGCGTTCCTTTATCATTTTGGTGGACACTGCAAGTAATTTTCCATATCCTGTCTCTTCGTTGGGTCCAGGAGTTAGTGCTGGGCCGATAAGTGACGATTGAGAGATCTTTGCAAGTCCGAGGGCAATTAGAACATTGGCAACGAGGAACCCCTCTTTTATCGACTGGATGTAGGCATTTGTATCAGTATCGTTCTGGAGCATATCGAAAGGCTTGCCGAAAGTAATGGTACTGATAACGTCATGGGTATAATACTGGACCTTGGCTGCCATGTCCACAGGTACCATGTTTGAGTCAGAGGAGAGGTACTTGGATTTGATGAGATGAAGTAGCTCCTCAAGACGCTCATTGATGGATAGTTCAAAGGAGCATTCAGTTCCATAGAACTGGTCAAGACGATTAATTTGATAGTCAGAAAAAGAAAACAACCCTTTAATAGTAAGTAGTAGAAAATAAAATTACCCCAGGGCCGAGAAGCTTTCGTCTCCGATCATGTTCAGCATTATCCGTCAGCGAAAAGAGATGATCATGCTGATAGTCGACACGCATAGCTCTAAAGAACCAGTCGGCACGAGTGTAGCCAGGCTTGGTGTTTATATTCATCCATATTTCTGGCGAGGACGTGACGATGAGGTTGGGTGCAATTTTGGCGATTGGTCCTAAAAATGGGGCAAGTCAAGTTGTTAGTTTGCCAAAAGACGGTTCGATGCCTGGTAGCTACATGACCAATGAAAAGGATGGCACACACCATAGTTTTCGGTGACATGCTGATACCATTCGGCGGGCTTATATTGTAGGAGAGCTCTCATATGTAGCCAGCTAGAGAAGTTGGCCGATGGCGGGCCATTGATATGTCGCAGCTTGATGTATACACGAAGCTTGGTAACAACATGATGGAGAGCTACTAGGGAGCAGAAGAAGGCAATAACTCCGGCCACCGAAGTTGGTACCAGAAGAGACATGGTAGGACCGCAGTATTGTATCGAGGCAAGTGCCAATTGAAGAAACTCGACATAATTTCTGATTTCTAGGGGGATAACTGCACCTTTATATAGATCCCCCTGTCCACCGTAAGTACATCAGGTACCTAATTCGGTAGGTCGTGAGGCATCGTCACGTGAAAAGCCTCTTTTAACCTCCGCGCAGTTTGACATCTTGACCACACGTAGTTAACGTGTTGATATTGTGTATATCTAACCAACTACGAGCGAGAAGAGGCCTCGCATCGGCAAAAGACTGCATTTGATGGCTAAAATACCTTCGCCAGGCCTTGGTCTAACTATTGTGAGATAGTTGGCTTCGCAATTAAGATTACAGCCTGATCACCGACCTCCAGCGGCCTACTTGCAAAATGCTCCTTCAAGACTGACGGGAACACCTTTTTCATGTCACCGTTTCGCGGATGATCCTTGTACCAGAAATCTGTCAGGACATCCGTTGCCTTGCTGCAGCGAACGGAAATGTCCTCCTCGGGGAAGTTGCAGTGCGCATCGACCCGTGCAACCGAGACGTCGCCGAATCCGTGCTGGGTAAAGACTCTGGCTGCCGTGGCGAGCAGTAAGCCCTGGTGGTCAATGGCAGATTCCCCAGGCAACATGCTCTCCTGAGCGATGGAGGCACAAGCCTTGTTGATGAGGTTGACGACTTCGTTGTCTGGTGCCCCCTGGACGATGACGATGCGGGCGTTGGGAGCGGTAGGATCTACCACGCGGGCCATTTCGGTGAGCGACTGCTCTAGGTCGTCGACGTAATGTAGGATCCAGAGGGCTACGGCGGCGTCAAACTTGTTGTCCTCGAAGGGCAGCTTCTCGGCTGTTCCTTGGCGGATCTCAACGCTCGATTGTGAGCTGTTGCTGACAAGAAGCTCGTTTCTGTCGCAGTTTGGTTCAATGGCGTAAGCTTTGCCAAGCTGCTTAGCGATTGCTACTGGTAATTCTGAAGCGGAGCAGATGCATCAGTATCGATTAGACAGATATAGGGGGAAATTAAAGTATCCATCTACTCACCGCCATGGCCACTACCAATGTCAAGGACCTCTTTATTCGACTCGACAGCCTTGAGCACAGCATCAAACTCATGACGCGTAAGCCGCTCTGCAAAAGGTTTCCATGCTCCCTCACTCAGAAGATGTGGACGCCTTCGCGAATTGGGCAAAGGGTACGGCCCGAAGAGCGGTTCCAAGTTTAGCTTCTTGGCGGTGATAAACAAATGTTTCTCCTTGCGGCCACAGCCCTTGATTTCGAACCCACAGTGGTCAACGACGTGGATGAAGAGTCCTGCCTGTTGCACGATGCTGAGCCACCCTCTCATGGTGATGAACGTGGCAGGGATAACTCTTCCCATGAAATCAGCGCCGAAGTGCTCAATGTACTGATTTTGCCGGATGGTCCTTAGAGCGGCTTCATCGTCAGTATAATCCTCTGCGGCGATTGTTCCCAGGATGAGAGTGCCGCCAGGACGGAGCCAGGATGCCATTTTGAACAGCATTGAGTATGTTGTTGTATATGATTCCTGGAACAGGTTGAAAAGTGAAACGATGGCGTCAAATTGTTGAGGTGGATCATAGGTCGTCATATTAGCCTTGTGAAAGGTGCCAGCGAAATTCTTTTGGCAAAAGTCAATCATATTTTGCGAGACGTCGATGCCTGTAACGTTAAAGCCCGCTTTGATCAGGCGGGATGCAGGCCCCCCAGGACCACAGCCGACGTCGAGAATTGATGAGCCAGGCTCATGATATTCATTTAGCCTGGCAAAGGCCGTGTTCAATCCAATGTTGTCGCCGTATGCATCTTCATACGTCTCAGAGATTTGGTCAAACAGCGCCTCTGCAACGATGGGGGTGTCCGTAACGACCGTCATTGCGAAATGGAAGCCTATATAACAAGTCTAAAATGGTCTGTGTATATGAATCCTGATAGGGGCTTTCCAGATATTTATAATTGAGTCAGCAGTACTATTACAACCTGGCCTGTGATAGGATCTTACTATCCTAGGCGCTGATTCTAAGGTGCCGGACTTGCCTACCGAGCTTCTATCAATGCGGTGTGAGTACTTTTTTCCCTTTATTCAGATCTATAGGCAGGCTCCAGTAAAACACCTACACGTCTCATGCGTTGTATCCATTTAGAATTTACTGACGTTGACTGGACCAGGTCAATATAGGGACCATGGGTCATGCCGTGCTATCTCATAAATTGGTGGTTGATAAAGTTTTGGAGCGCTGAACTATCTATATTCTGAGATTCATCTAATGCAGAGGCTTGTGAACTCTACGAGTAACCTAATCTACCCGCTTTTGCTTATTTGAAGCATCTTTCCTCTTATACCCCGTATTAAGTACAGGTGCTGTTTGAATATCTGAATATTCCGCCTACCCTCTACAATTTACCATTGGATTGGCCAGATAATCCCTCATCATGTCATACCCACCTGACGCCGATGCGCTCCTTGCCATGTCAAACACGATATCTGAGCAAGTTCGCAAGTATACAGACATGCAGCAGGCTTGCAATGGGAGTTCTGGTGACCTTTCCTCTCGACCAGGACAAAGGCTACAAGAGCAGGCTGAGGCAGTAGCGCGAGAATGCAGCAAGCTTCAGGCTCTCGTGTCAGAGCCCAATCACTGGGTGGTTCAAGCCGCCTGGTCATACTGCGATAGCGTCGCTCTCTCGATCGTCATCGAGATGGGTATCCCGGCGCTGATTCAACCAGGTGGGGAAGGGGTAACTTTGTCTTACCTCGCTGGCTGCACGAAGGCATCGCCAGCTCTAATCAGTGAGGAAACCAACTGCACTCGTTATAGAATGATCTGCTGATGAGATATAGAGCGAGTCATGAGGCAATGCCTAAACCGGTTCATATTCGCGGAATGCAGCGCCGGAAAGTATCATCATAATCAGCATTCTCTCCAATTGCTTGATGGCAATTTTGGCAGCCTCATTCATTATCTGTAAGTACATTACTACTCATAAAGAGAATGTCTTGTTACATAGTTATGGGGCTGACTAGATCTACAGAGTTGATGATGGCTTGCTCTGTGGCGCCTATCTCGCTCGTACTGCTGGCCAGACTGGCTATCAGATACCAGAGAGTCCTACAGAAGCTGCATTTGGGAAAGCTTTCCGGAGTGAGTGAGACAGTTGCATGAATTAAGGAAGGCAAAGACAAAAAGAAGAGTGGAAAATAGCTAACCTGAATAAATTAACAGCAAAGCTTTCCCTGTACGAGTACTACCACTCTGTTGACACAGATCGGGGCCAGCGCTTCTCACGGGCAATGGCTGGTCATTACGACAGCCCCCTGGACATGCCGATCGAGTTAGTATTCCCGTTTGACGACCTCGCGGACGGGTCTACGCTTGTCGATATTGGGGGTGGCAACGGCCAGAATGCCATCCGCCTGGTCACTTCGTACCCTCAGCTATCTGCCGTGGTTCAGGATCACAAAAGCGTCGTGTCCATGGCTGAAAGTACGGTGAAGGAAAAGCTTGATGAGAAAATAGCCTGTCGAATCACCTGGGAGGCTCACAATTACTATACTGAGCAACCCCGGAAGGGAGCTGCTGTGTACCTGTTGAGCCACGTCTTGATGGACAACAGCGACGAGTACGTTTTTCTTTTTTCTTTCTTGTTTATCCTCCCCGCCATTTCTTGCCTTTTGTGAACTTGGTCTAATCTTTCTCCGGGATTTTGCGTTTTCTAGAAATTGCGTCAAAATGATCCGGGCCATTGCCCAGGTCATGGGCCCAACGTCCAAGCTGCTGATTCACGACTTTGTGGACCTTCCAAGAGCCGTTGAGGATGGTCCTCGTTTACTTGACATGCTGGACTTACACATGATTGCAAGTCTCAATACTTACTCCCGCAGCGAGGCCGAGTTTGACGCTCTGATTGAACGCGCCGCTGGAGGGCTGGGCCTGGCAAGGCACAGGACGTGGCGGGGAAGAGGAGGGTCGGCAGTGCTTGAGGTGCACCTTCAGGCTACGGGGTAGTTGTATGTGGTCACAATCAGATTGATGTTGAGAAGTATAATATCGTACTTGGTAGTTTGGGCAGCGATCTTCATCGTCAAGGAACTATAATTATCTTAATTATCGATCTTCGCTTCTTGGCCACATGGTTTAACCTTGTCTTGCAGTTGTTGTTTGTCGACTTTAGATGAAGGATCACTAGTGGAATGGTGCATATGATCAGTCTTGTCCCTCGGAGATTGTGATTGTTCTATCCTTGAAAAGATAACTACTCGACAGAGCCCAGTTCCATATTTGCACGGTGACACGCAGAAACTCTCCAGGATCCAGAGACAAGGAACCGCAGTTGTTGCGACGTAAAATTAAGCTAGGGGCGATCTAACCGATAAAAGCTTATAGCTTGACTTAAAACTGAGTAGAAATAAAGGCTCAATGATAGACAGTAGGAGCTGAGGACAAGCCTGGCTGACTGATGGTGTGTTGTTGAGGAGACGGGGGCCTATCATGTCGCCAATTAACCGATAGGGTGGCGTCTCTATGGAATAGTAGAACAACGAGATACATTAAAACCCGGAACATTACGAAGGGGCACAAAATCACTCTTTGACTTCTGTTGGGCCACAAGGGGCCAATGGGAACCATTGGGTATAACACACAGAGAATCTGACAGCTTCTCTCTCTCTTCATCTCCTCACTCTCTTCTTCTCCTAATTCGCTTCTTCCTGGCGTTCATCTATCAAAAAAAAAAGAGCCGAGAGAATGAGCAGCTCAGGGCCTAACGCAGAATTCAAATCAATCCAAAAGGCTGCTTTTTTTTAAGAAGGTTGAAAGATTTACTCAAAATCCCGATTCCTCCCCGCAATGGGCGGGCCTCTGGTTGGGTGACAGTTTGGTGCTCGCAAATCATGTTAAAAAGGCTTCCTCAGATCATGGCTACCTGTATTTATTGCGTACGGTCGATTATGGCTTGAGTTTCTCCTCTACTGCTACCTCGTGGACCAAGAAGGTAACTTGTGTTTAGGGGGTCAACGCGATATTTCGAACTCGCCCGCAAAGGAACCGGTCCCGGGCCAGACAGCCAGCCACCCGCAGCATCCTATAGTCATAGCACAGGCTCTGTTGCTCAATAAGGACGCCAGCGAAGCCCCTTCTGGGTCGTCGGCATTATCAAGGCCTCGCTCGCCGCCTAGACCGGCCAAGCGTCAGCGACAGAGCATCGGTTAGTTTTATCCTGCAGATTTCTTTTGTTTCCCTTCTGGCATGGGATTTGCTAATAATTTCATAGTGTCGCTCCCGAGGCGGCAATAGGTGCATCATCATCATCATCAAGTACTTTGACCCGGTCGATGTAGCACATATCTTCCCGTTCTCGATGTGGGAGGTATCTGGCGGATATCCCTCTATCTTATCATTCTGGTCTCTCCTCCGAACCCTCTGGCCAAAGGAATATGTGGACGCCTGGTATGCAGCGGTAATCCCGTGAGGTACCGAAACTGTTCACAGTCTCATCTGCTTCAGTCCTATTGTGCACCAATGGTACTCCAAAAGCTTCTTTGCCTTGCGGCCAGTTAAGATATCTCAGGATAAGAAATGCTTGACTCTGAAATTCTACTGGCTCCCACAATATCAGTTCTCCCATTCTGTTGATCTCTCAACTCGCCCGAACATTCCTTGTGACCTCACTGGTCTTGAGACGGACTTCAAAGCCTGAAATGTAATTATACAGCAGAAAATTGTCTCAGGTGATGAGATCGTTATGACGACCAGTGACCCAGAGAACCTTCCGCTGCCCGGCTGGAATCTCCTTGAGCTCCAGTGGAACTTGCAACGTCTGACAGCTTTGAGTGGCGCTGCAGACTTGTACCCAGTGGAAAGGCCTGACAATGATAGCAGTAGGACTGAGTAAGACGGGGGCGCGTGAACTACTATCATACAGAGCAAGACAACCATATTTTTACTCAGAATGGAATAGGGTCACCGAATGAGGATACTGAGCCCCTCCCGCTCTCACCTGAAAACTGAGAGCCCCACGCTGTGCCATTCAAGGCCCTGCATGAACTTCTACTGAATTCCTCGAGGTTTAGGTATTGCAACTACGTCCTTGCGTTTTTTGTTAGTTGTCCTAGGTGTGATCTTAACCGTTATGGAAATAACTCATCATTTGAACTACTCTAAATAGGGAGTTCTAATGTTATGTATGATATCGATATCAATCCGGATGATAGAGAGACCAGATGGCTAGTTTACTGACTATCAAGAGTAATAGTAGAGCCATCCACAATCTCGGTACCCGTCGCGAATGAACATATGGATAAGAGGCGGAGTAATTGCGTAGTTATATGCCTCCAGCAGACGATACGGGAATATATTTTAATATTTTCAAATTAAATAGTACTATTTATATAAAGTAGAATACATAACTGGCTTCTCTTGCAAAGCCACCACAAGACAGAGAACAAGATCTAGGAAGATGAATGCACCCAATGGATCCCCGATGCTCCTCGTAAATTAGGTTTCTATATCGTTCAATAGATACCTGGAATAATTCTGCTCTTGACCTTCGCAGTATATTTAGCCCAGTCCTCGCCATATTTTCTCTTGCACTTATCCTCATCACGTCTCTCACGGTGAACGAGCAGAACTCCAAAGTAAACAACGTAGAAGTACGTTATAGCCATTCCCCATCCGCGTGTCTCCGGCGTTTGGACAGCGCGCTTTTCCGTCATACCGGTTACGGTGTTGAGGGTTTCCATCATGACAAAGCCGGCCATGCCAGTTGGAAGACAGTAGGTCCAGGCCATAATCCAGTCTCCTAGGTAGTTGACATGACGGGCCATTCCCCACCATCCAGAGGTCATAAGTCTCGATCCGCTACGTGTCTCGATGTATTGGATATGCCTGATGCGTGGGTCGTTAGGGTCGGTCCTGAACCTATTCTTCTGATTGTTTGCGCCGCGGAAAATGGAATACCCAACGCCCTGTGCGCCTAGGATCAAGGCAACATTGACGGGGCTGAGCTGAAGGGGGTACATGGCGAGGTATCTTGTTTGCAATGAGTAGATAAATGGAACCCAGACTAGGTCTCCAAATGACAACATGAACCCGAATCCATCTAGGATAATGTCGATGGTTGTGAGGATTGCTGGTTCCATATAAAGTGCATCAAACACATACCAGGCCTGGAAGGCAGTGATGAGAATGATTGAAGAAGTAATGGTCCCGTTCACCTTATACTGGTGAGCAATGTTTGAAAGATTCATAATAACCCAACCAAGGAGCCCAGGACGCATTTCGCAAAACGCTTTTATGTCTAGGGTCCTAGAATTTTCGCTGACGAACGGAATTGGAAGGGTCATTCTTGGGTTGAGTTCGCGTCCAATGAAGTAATCGTATATTATATTACCGCTTTGTCCTCCAAGAGCCAATTCACGGTTGGTTGGGTTGGGTTGGCCAGGAGCAGGGACTGTGAAACTCCGGAGGTACACAAAAACTGCCAACCCGATGCAGATAACAAGGTTGGCCGTAACCACTTGGATATGGTTTTCCCAGAGGAAAGTCCATAGAGGGAAATCAGCGCCATAAAACCAGGTACCTGCAGCACAACCTGCTAAAATCAACAGAGCAGAAGAAAAGGCTAATCAATCACAAGAGTTAGTCCATGCCTTGCAACAGATTTTGAGGGGCGCATACAATTAAATTTATATCTATGGCGATTTCCGCACGCCAGAACCACCCCTTCAGGCTCCCTTCCTGGAAGGATGACTTGTAGGACCAGAAGGAGAAGATAGTATCCAAGAACGTAGAGGGTAACCTCCAGGCTGAAAAACCCTAGAATACCCTCCTCTGGCCAACCAACTTCGGATTTAAGGGCTTCAAAGGAGAACGAGGACGGGCTCAGTAGTGACGGTACGGGGCATCCTGAAATATCGTTGCAAAGGAATGGGAACACGTAAATGAGGATTGGTAGGCCCAGCACTAAAACTGTGGCTCCAGGTCTATAGCCAGCCGACACAAAAGCAGTTAATAGCTAGACATATTTAAAGACGGGTGACAAGAGTAGAAAGACATACGGGCCACAGAATTCATATCCATGCTTCTCAAATGGCGCCTGAGCAGCCTTCGTTGACCCCTTTTCCTTCCCCATCGCCAATGGCTTCTTCCTCTGCTGAGGAGGTCTAAGCAAAAAGAATGTCGACTGCTACCAGCATTAAGGAGTTCTCAGTCTGTTCTTGACCGAAATAACAGTGAGGAGACCTCCGGGATATCTTATCTCTCAGTGCAATGGTGATAAATAGGACCTAATTGTTGGGAGGAAAAAGGAGCTCTAGGGAAACAGAAAAAATGTGATTATATAATCGATCTTGATAACGGATATTTCAAATCGGGCGGCGACGATGGCAACCTGGGCTGTTACAGGCATTTCCACATCGCTTTTTCATTCCATCTCGACTTATTCCAACTGTTCACGCTCGTTTTTCATCGCTATACAACTGCTGTTTCACTATATCTCCCAGCTGCTCGCCGGTTTTTGGAAGACTACGTTTGGTTTGACCCCAGTTGCCTGTCATTCCAGGCTCCGAAACGAACCAGACTGTCCTTTTTTCCCCCTTGGCGTTGACCCTTCAAGGGATATTGATTGTGTCGCCATAACCTGTCATGCATATCAATAGGCTCGGGTCGCTTGCTCCTATCCTCCAAGTGCTGCTTCTGTCATCTGTTGCTTTGGGTGCAGCGGAGGAGAAGCCGAAGGCCCCAGAGAAGCCATGCACAATCCATTCACCCAACACTGGCCTATACTTCGACCTCAATGCAATCTCCGTCCAGGTGGACAAGAAGGACGGGAAGAAGTCTCATGCTGACGGCAGAGAGGAGAGCTGGCACGTGAAGGGACATGACTATGGGGCGAATTTCACGATAAACATCTGCGCGCCTGTGATAGAGAACTTGACGAATGTTGTCGGAGTCGATGAGACGAGATGGCAGAATGTCAGCGCATACTACGAGATGGGAGGAGAGACGTATTCAATTGGGTATGTTTTTTTTGCGATCTTGCTTGAAATATGTGGGCGGGCTTTACGTACACAGCTTTAGGTACAAAGTGGTGGTCACAGCACTAACGTCATATATAATATAGACAACAAGCATCCTCACTACTATTCCGTGGGCGCAAGCTTGTATTGAACTATACCGACGGTTCCCCATGCCCTTCCCCATCACGGGGAAACAAGCTATTCAGGCGCAAAATCTTGGATGGTGACGACGATAACGAACATGACGACAAGGACAAGGAAAAGGATGGAAATAAAGATGATGACAAAAAGGACGGAGACGATAAAAATAAGAAACCGGAGGACAAAGTTGAGAGAAGAAAGTCGACAATAATGTCTTTCCTCTGCGACCGAGACCTAGTTACACCCGCTGCTACCTTCTCATTTGTCGGTAGCCCCGACTCGTGCTCCTATTTCTTCGAGGTCAGAACCGCCGCCGCGTGCGGAGGCGTTGCTGCAAGCACAGATGGGGGTGTCGGCCCCGCTGGAGTTTTCGGGATTATGTAGGTCGCTATGGGTGTTTCCCCATTGAACAGGCCCGAACACGTAGCTGACGATATAACTCATTAGTGCCGGCATCGCGATAGCTGCGTACCTGATTGGTGGCTGCGCATATCAACGAACCGTCATGCATCAAAGAGGATGGAGACAATGTCCAAACTACACGATGTGGAGTGGTGCAGCTAGCTTCGTCGGGGTATGTATACTGTCCATATTCTTTTGTTTCCCCTTTCTGCGGAACCGTTCCCGTCAAAGCTCGAGATTTCAGAATACTAGTGGTCGACGCTCATCGCTCTCGCTTCCCACTTCCCGTCTTGATTGATTTCTGCATTTCTTTTTACATTACAGGCTTTGTTTTTGATGTTGGATATACCCTTACACAAGCCTCCTACATATATATACCGCAATTTTTTTGGAAATTTGAGCATGTTAGCGGATAGATTTGTTTGCTCCTTGCTTCAAGCATGTGGTTTCTTTCTATTGCCTTGACGGCCTGTTCTTCAACCCCTTCAGTTGCAAGCTATAACCTCTCAATGCTGGTTCATTGGATACTCCGCCACCCGCTGCCGGTACGCTCTAGATTGTCTCTCCATGTCAATACATGCCGCCTTCCGCCTTCTGACGACATCCTGCCTTACCCGCTGCTTTCCTGTCTCCTTTTCTTTTATCAGCGTACTTTGTTTTCGCATTACGTATTTGTTCCTTCTGGTTGCTTTTTTCGCGTCTCTTTGGCCCGAGAAAATAAGCATTTCCTAGTCTCCACATCTAAACCTTAATGGGAAACTGAAAAAACTCCACCAAAACCTTATCAACACTCTAATTATTTTCGTTATTCTTATTATACTTGAGAAGCAAAGCGTTAACGGTGCCATCTTTACTTTGAAATAGGATATGTTTATAATACTCTGGTCTACGCTGTCGAATTGTTTCAGTCTCACCAAGTCTAGGTCGGCTTATTCCCAGCTATCCAACGGAGCACTCAGTGGCAACGAAGGGGGTGCTAGACGTGGGCTGGTAGGAGCCATAGGTGGTCGTGGAAATGCTGCTGGCAGCAATCGCAGACAGACACAACGGGATGTCGATGAAGAGAACCGGTTGATCGACCAGCTAGACGAAGAATGGGAGGACTAAGCCGGCCGCGGGATATGCTTTGCTTTTACTTTACCTTCCTTTTGCTTTGTTTTTGTTTTGCTCGCTATGTTTTTGTACGAAAGTAGAGTTTGGATTTTTTTTGATGTCTTTATACGTTATATCATGATTGTTTATAATTCCGTGACCTGTTATCGAGCCCGCGAACTGTAGCCCAATGCACAAGCACTGAAGAAGAAAATATGTACAAAAGAAAAAGAAAATCGGGTATAATAGTAACAGAATAAGTAAGTTACGTTCAACTCCCAGCCTGTTTAAAAAAACAGAATTCCTTTGCCGGTCCTTCCGCCCTGGAATGTATACCTAACCCCTCATCCAAGATGTAAAAAGACAAAAACGCAACAACGGGAGGTCATCAATGGAGAAGATAATTTTTGTTCGGCCGAAAACCCGCTTAAAGTATGTAAGCGCCCAATTTTTGACATCAAGACAAATCGTCAAGCCAGACATGGTATATACGTAAAGAGACAGTATTAACAAAGGGGGGGCATGAAAAGGCAATAGGGGAGAAATTTCAAGATAAACAGTAAGGAAGACATATGTACAGGAAGGGCCAAGTATAATCAGCCCACCCGCTCCCGGATGGTTTCTGAAATATTGGGAGGTATGCTCTCATTCATGCCTAAGCCCATGCCCACGGGATGCATCATGGTTGGAGGGCCATAATAACCCCCATCGCCCATTGACATGCCGGAAGACACGGCTGGGTGTTGAGGGGAATGAGAGGGCCCTCCTGCCATGGCTGGGGCTGCACCGGCGCCCGACTGCGAAACATCCCCGTCAAGACCGCCCGCTATTGGGTCTAGGTTGAATGGCAAGAACCATGCACTGGATTGGATGAGTTCGCCGTTCCAGTTCATGGGGGGTTGCATTTCGTAGGATTGGTAGCTGTTGTTGTTCCAGTAGGAATTGTTCATGTTCGGATCGGGGCCGTGGTTGGGTTGAGCCTGCGGTTGAGGTTGTGGTGCGTGATGGGAATGGATAGGATGGCTGTTGGAAGATGGAGTGGGGATTGGATGTTGGGGTATAGCTTCGACACCGATATAGGCGTCATAAACAAGTTGTCGGTCTAATTGTGGTAGTGGGTCGGGGTTGGTGTGGAATTTATATGCAGGAGCGCTGAAGGGGGTCGGTTCTGTGTGGTGTGTGTACATATTCGGGTTGGTGTAGTTGGAGTAATCGGCGGTTACGTGGTTTGGCATGGGTTCTGGTTGTTGTTGGATTTGAGAACTCATGGTGGTTGGAACTGGTTGCATTTGAGGTTGCATCTGTGGCTGTTGATGCTGTCGTTGATCCGGTGATATACTATTCGGGACAATTCGAGGCTGTGGCGCCTGTGTAGAGGGAACGTTGGAAGGCTGAGAGATGGTGTTACTTCTCGTCGCAGCTTGCCGTCGGGCCTTATCGGACGGTGTGGTGGTGTCTGTTCGCTTCGCCTCTTTTCTCGGACCCCCCGACGGCGAGACAGGAGATAAGCTGGTAAAGAACTCCTCGACACTCTGTAGATCAGACTGATGGGCCATCACTGCATCGCTACCGCTCTCCTTCTTGACTTCTACATCAGGATCCTCCCAGCGCAACTTCGACACTCCATGAGGATACTTGTCGAACCAATCACCATACTGGAATATCGGTACGTCTTGCTCTTTGCTATCCTTATTGACACCGGGTGCTATGCGACCTCGAACAGAAGCTTCGGCAAAATGTCGATACCTTTCCTTCGAACTCTCAACCATGTAGTGGAACATACCCCAGTACCGCTTCATCTTGTTTAGATATTTATAGGTGTGTCGGAAGTTCTCCTTCGAAGCTGCTTCGAGTTGTGGATTCTTGGAGAAAATTCCCCAAATGTGAACGGTGCTTGCAGCGTAGGCGCAATAGCCAGCAAATGGAACAGTGAGCATGTATCCAGATGCCTGATCGATAAGCATAGAGATATGACTTGCTGCTTCGACTGCAGCCCGTCCAGCTTCGCTCAGGAATGGTTTCGGAATATCTCTCGGCGGGCGGCCTCGGGGAGAGAGTGGGATCGCAAATCGGTTAAGGAATAAGGTGTTCTGGTGAATGACGATGTGTAGGAAAATGAACTGGTTTGCAATCTTTTCGACCGCGTAGTTTTGTAGGTTCTCCCAACTGAACACTAAACTCTCTGGTAACGAAGAAGAAAACTCCTTCAGCTGCCTCTTCAGCTGGTTGTAACCCGATTCCGGTTCCCAGAGTCGGCAGGGATCCTTTGCTTTGCCGCCTAGGTTAAGATAATCGACAATCTTCCCCCATAGCATGATACCTCGTATGATATATGCGGATATTCCCATATTGTTTCTTGGATTGGACAGCTGACCGACCCCTTCGGGCACAGGATTGGGCACTGAACCATCTAAGTCTTCAGTTGGACCCGGTATCTCGCGCCAAAAGTGCGACTCTTTAATCGGTAGCTGGATCTGTAAGAATTTCTCGTTTCCGATGGGAGGCCGTTGGCTACCAGATGAATTGTAACGGTCCATAAGGATACACGCCCACATCGTCCTTCGTCGGATTTCTCTATCTGTACAGCTTAGTTCTGAGGCATTACCGCCCTGTCCAAGAGGATCGCGATCGAGTTCTCGATGAAGCTGTAAGGCATAGGCCATACGTAATGCCATTCCACCGAAGGACCAACTTCGGCCACCATGACAAGCTCCAAACTCGTGCAGACCGAGGATGAGGAAGACAGTAAGGATGGTGATGTTGGGTTGGTCGTGTCTGGCGAGTGCGATGTCTGCAGCAGCGTCTGCCCAGGACTCACCTCGTAGGAAGGCCGGCTCCGTGTTGACCTGTGGATGGGTGGAGAAACGTGCAGAGACGGCACAGATGGCCAGGATGAGGACTGGAGGGACGGCATCGGTTTTCAACTTACGCATGAAACTCGGTTTGTGTAGAAGTAGATAGGATTGGCCGTAGACACAGTCGAAGAAGACTTCCGCGAGATGTTCCTGGAGTTCCATTGACGGTAGAAACTCTGCTCCCTGCGAGAGCAGCTTGTGTTCGGTGTTGATATGTGGCTGTAAGGAAGGAGGAAGATCGGAACGCATGTCCGATATCGAGGCATCCTTCTCGCCAGACGCCGTATTAGTAGGAGCAGTAGCAGTGGTAGTAGCAGTATTAGTAGTAGGAGGGATGGGATTAGCGGTAGCAGGTCGAGTCCATTCATTCAGTTCGGCGCTGAAGGCTTCGGCTGCCGTCCGTTTCTTCAGTGCAGCTCTGGCAGGACGAGAAGCCTGTCCCGGCGGATGCGGTTTTACAGTCGCACGCCCGATGCCAGCCATATCGCGCTGTTCGTCCTTGGGGATGGCCTTCATCACTCTCTCCTCCATCCGCTTCAGCCGCTTGTCCAGCATGGCCATGTAGTCTGTCCGTGGCGCCGCTTTCCTGGTGGTCACCTTGTAGACACACGGTATCCTCGATCGATAGCAGTGCTTACATGCCGGTTTCTCGCCCGAGCAGCGAATCTTCTTCCTCCTACATACGATACACGCAAGTGGCAACCTCTTCCGCTCCTTGCCTGCCTTCGTCTTCAGCTCGGTCCAGGGCCGCATATTGTCCTGTTCGGCGGTGTCGTTGGCCTGCTGCTGCATCACATCACCCATTGCGCTGCCCCCGCCATTGGCAGCGACACCCGCCTCGGAGCCGTCGACGATGTAGTTCTGCGCCGCTCCGGGGTTCTCGTACAGCGTGCGGTAAACATCCTGCTGCTGCTCCTCCTCGGCACCGACGCCCGTGCTGCTGTCTCCGGCGAACTCGTTCCGGCTGTTGCTGTAGCTGGTATCATTCGTGGTATCGCTGGTGTTTGCTCTAAAGCCGATGGAGCCCATCGAGGACGCAGCGGCGGGCTCGTCCACTCCGCCGTCGTCCCGCTGCAGGTAGGTGAGATCGAGCCCCGAGGCCATTTATGCTGCGATCAGTGGCACCGCGGGATCATTATCACAGAGAACGAGTAAGAGTATAGTGTTGAGAGGGTTGTGTTCGTCGAGACTGGCGTTGGGCGGGCTTTTGGGCTTTGGGCGGTCGTACTTTAGCGCATCCAGACATCCAAGACGCCATCCTCCGGCGGCGGCGCTGGTCAAGTTAAAAAGCCACCAGAAGGAGAGCGAGAGTTGGAGGGAGAGAGAAAGGGCGAACCTTTTGACTAATGCGCGCTATTTGGCTTGGCTTCGTCTCTTCCCCAGAGGCTTCAGACGCTTCGTTTACGGAGGTTTGCGTCTGCGAATTATTCTCGTGGGCCTCTGCTGTGTTTGCTTCTTCCACCGTGGCTTCGTTTCTTTTCCCTGTCCGGTCACGATGTCCGACGATGGCGCCGACACGCGGTCAGGAAACGTGGCTAGCAGCAACGGGATGGGGATAACTGGCCCGCGAGAGTTACACCCTGCAGCGCCATCCTTTTTCTCGCTCTTCTAGGGTGCATCTCCATGTCCATAACATGGCCGTCGACTACGATCGGCAAAGGGCCACCACGTCCGGGGCCCGTCTTGGCTGCATGTGATTGCAGAATAGGGTGCATGGTTGATACGAGCAGGGATGCAACCGAAGACGGTTACAGGACTCGCAGCCGTTACAGGCAGACTGACAGAGAGGGTGGCCGAGGATGTGATGTCGGTGCTGGAAGTCGAAGATAGAGAAGGGGCAGCAGGATAGGATACAGCTACCCCTTCGAGAGCGGTGGATGAGCCCACCGGACAAGCTTCTCAGCGTCAACCAGCGTAGCCAGAGTCTGAAGTTTAGCCATCAGTTAGCATGGAAGGCTAACTGGCCTGGAGTTACTCCGTGGTTGAATCATAATCATCTTGATACAAGTCGGCCAGCTAGCTCGAAACGCTATTCTCCGCTCGTATTTGCTGATACTTATATGATGTATGTCGCCCTCGATTCGATGTATGTTTGTGTTCCTGAGGAGGTCACCTCGCCAGTCGCCGCCTGCTCATTCCACTGGCCTGAACCGATGCTTCTCTCGAGCTTGTTCATGCGGGGATTCCGGATGGGCCTCCGGTTGGCGTTGGGCTCGAGGTTGGTCACTGTGGCGCCAGGACTGTTGATAACAGGCATCAAGTCGTCGACTCTTGAGAATGCTGGCAGCAACGTGGGACTGTAGGCATGATATAGCCTCGGTTGTGGCCGCATCCAGTCGTGGTAATATCGAACATATCGAGCGTTTGTCATTCATCGCCAATTAAAGGCTAAGCAGTAGAGCTGCGTTCTTTAAGCTTAAATGCCACTAGAATATTCGTTTCCTGAACGTTGAGCCGCTTCGATCAGCCTATAGAGATGGCTACTGGCCAGCTGTTGTATATATAGATCCAACCATTGGAATAGCCGTATCAGCTATAAATGGACTGACTCTGGTCCAGACGCGTAGTAACTGTCTCTATTCACTCTGGCTCATCCAGCCAGTGATCATGCCAGTGAACTCTTGATATCGCCTTAATCGATAGAAGACGTCCAGAAGTACAAGTGTATGTCGTGGTGCTGTCACCGTTGTGCTATAGTCCTTCTGCGACTCGCTTAGACACCCCGGACGTCGAAATAAGAGAACAAGGAGCAGACTAACTGTATATCCCTGGCAGCTGTTTGTGCTATATTGTGTCTGGAGCAGGGGATGGCATGCATCTTGCACATCGCAGTTGCTTGGTGCTTGGTCTGGCGTTGTGGTGGTCAGAGACTCCAGGGGCCGATGTTTAGTTTAGGCCATCGCCACATCGCCAAATCGACATCGACATCAACATCGACGACATTTCAACCACCGCGACGAGAACAACCGGCAGGCTGCGATAACCCGGCCAGCGTAAACTCGACTCCATGGAAAGCCGCTGAGGCACGAACAAACATGGCGATGCCGTATGTCAGACGCAAACCCATCGTCTTTGTCCTCGCGTTATTCGTCGCCTTCTTGATCTTTAAGAACTATTCCTTCCACCAGCCACCACCCGTCGTCAAGGAACCAGACGGACCGTTCTCCTGGGCTCATGTACCCCAGAAATATGCAGTGCGCTCCATGATTCCAATGCCTCAGGGCAATCCCAGCAGCATCCCGCTGATTCAGCATCGCTTTTCGGGCAAAGAAAGCGAGGATGCGCGTCGGGTGCGGCTGACGCGACTGGAAGCCGTCAAGGGGAACTTTTCGCATGCGTGGAATGGCTATAAAGCCCATGCATGGATGGCAGATGAAGTTGCGCCGCTGTCGGGGAAGGCTGTAAACCCGTTCGGCGGATGGGCTGCCTCGCTCGTTGATGGACTCGGTGAGTCCTCTATATCGTCCTATATCTATGTTGCACCCCAGCTAACTATGTGTCAGATACTCTGTGGATAATGGGTCTGTACGACGAGTTTCAAGAAGCTATCAAGGCCGTCGACAGCATTGACTTTAACAACTGTTCTCTAGACGAGGTCAATGTCTTCGAGACTAACATCCGCTACCTGGGTGGCCTTCTGGGTGCCTACGATGTAAGCGGGCAGAAGTATCCTTCCCTTCTGCACAAAGCGGAAGAAATAGGACAGATGCTTTACGTGGCCTTTGACACCCCGAACCGAATGCCAATCGCTCACTGGGACTTCAAGAAAGCTGCTGGCGGTGCTAGACCAAAGGCAAGTGACCAGATGCTCGTTGCTGAGATTGGATCACTCACGCTTGAATTTACGCGTCTCACCCAGCTCACGGGCAATCCACAGTATTTTGACGCGGTTCAGAGGATAATGAATGCCTTTGACAAGCAGCAGAGCATGACGAGGATTCCCGGTATGTGGCCGTTTATGATTGATGCCGAGGCAATGAATTTCCATGAATCCTCTAGGTTTACCATTGGAGGCATGGCCGATTCTCTATACGAGTATCTTCCAAAGGTGAGACGCATATTCGTATCCTCGTGTCTATAATACTAATGACCATATCCAGCAATATATCCTGCTCGGCGGAGCTTCTGAGCAGTATAAAAAGCTCTACAAAGGCGCCTTTGCCGCTATGGATCGCAATATCTTCTTTCGTCCCATGACCAAACACGGCGAAGATATTCTATTTCCAGGCGACGTCACAGCAAACAAGAAGATACCGCTATCTGAGCTCCACCCCGAGCCAACAGCCCAGCATCTGAGTTGCTTTGCTGGTGGAATGGTCGCCCTAGCAGCCAAGACTTTCGAGAGTAACGAGGAGATGGAAACGGCTAGGAAACTAGTCGAGGGCTGTCTTTGGGGGTATGAAAAGAGCAGTATGGGCATCATGCCAGAAATAATGCGTACAGTTAGATGTGCGGATCGAAACAATTGCCCTTGGGACGAAGAAGTGTGGCGAAAGGCAATTGAGGACGCCTACTTCAGCGCCCATTTGAGCGTCGACGACTATATCAAAGAACAGAATTTGACTCCAGGTACCGTCAAGGTTCCTGATAAGCGATATATTCTCCGGTATGGCCTATAATCTTCCAGGTGTAGCTACGCCTTACAAAGCTAATTGCTGACCGCATCCCAAGGCCCGAAGCTATTGAATCTATATTCATCCTCTACCGTCTAACAGGCGACTCTTCCCTCCTAGATCGAGCATGGAATATGTTTACCACCATAATCCAGTATACAGTCACTGACATCGCCCATGCAGCGCTTGATGACTGTACGGCTCCGCAGCCCACCAAATCCGACCGCATGGAATCATTTTGGTTTGCTGAAACCCTCAAATACTTCTACCTAATCTTCTCGGAACCAGACGTCGTCAGCCTCGACGAGTACGTGCTTAATACAGAGGCCCATCCGTTTCGATACCGCTCGTAAGGTTTAGCCTCTAACACTGCGCCTCAAATGTTCACGATCGCTAGTCTCCCCGGGCCGATTTGGTAGTGGTAGATCGCCTAGCCAGCCACTGATGGGCTTCGTGGGTCTGTTCCAGCCCGTCCTCAGCTCGAGATTTTAAACGCATAGGGCCATCGGTTTCGCCATTGTTATCAAGAGTTGAGCCATTCATGAACCCGCTCCGACGTGATACCCCTGATTCAGTATACTAAACAAGCGCTTGATGTAGATCTTCATACAACGGTCAAGCCAAATGAGGGAATCCGAGATATTCAAACGAACCGTGGTTCAGGCTAGCCTACCGAGCACGCCTTTCGACGAGAACGACAGTTACCATGGTGAAGGGTTTGGGCGAATCCAGGGGGATTAGACTTTTTCCATGGAGCCAGCTAGGTTCCCACGGAATATTGTGTTCAATTGGGCTACTGAGATGGTCAAAACGAGAGCTGGTGCTGCTAGTCGCGCCCCATCGAGCAGGGAACCACGTTGTTACGGAAATCCACCTCCAGGGTTCCGGACTCCATACGCCATACAATATATAGTCGCTACTAGCCTCTTGTCTTTCATCTGATACTTCCTACCAGGCGAGGGAAATTAACATTGTATATATATTCCTCGGCGCTGGGGGCCTCCATTACTTAGATAAATTGGGATTTGCATTGCTGATTCAGATTTGGGCGACCAACGACTGGATATATAAATCAACATAAAACATAACCTATCTTTAGCTAGAAGAATTCCTTTTCAGTGGTGTGGAGAAACGACATTGACCGCGAGAAGGGAGTTGCTGATAGTCCAGACTAAAAGAGCAAATCCGTACCTTTAGGGAGTATATGTCACGGAACAACTCCGACTCATGTTCAGCCATATAAAACACTGCGCGTCAAGCCATGGCCCGGATCAAATCTTTAAATCCACCCTTGTTCTCTGTCCTTTGTCCGTTTTCGTACTGGTCGAAACCACCGAACTCTCACCATGCTGGGGGCGGCAGACGAAGAGTTGAGGCATGTGGTTCTGAACCTATAAAACGAATGTAGGGCTGAGAATATCAAAGCTAATTAGCAGAGTTATCGTGTGCTTGAGAGCGCCACAATCGTCATCCGTTAGCCTCGTCTCGATCTCGTGTTGAATCGTAGGGTTTTCGTCAGCTCAACCGTGGCAAATTCATCCACACCGTATGTTTGCATGGGGATGTCCCTTGGAATTTCGTGCTACTGTATATAATTGGCCTGCAGTGTATAATCACTAGTTAACTGCACGGCGTGCTCCGTATCTAGGTAGTAGGAACGCCTGGAGGAGTGGATAGACGACAAGCGTGAGGACCTGGCCAGAGAGCAAGGTCAAGGCCTATCAACCCACATGTTTATCCATCGCGCGAGGTGACCAGGATGAGACTCCGGAGCAAACGGCCCTGTCAGTTCTAGCTTCATGAGGCGACAAGAGATGGATGCCCTTCCAGTAGATCATATGATGAGTCGACTGTTTCATAGCAGTCAGGGGTTCCACCTCTGGGGTCGATCTACAGAATAGTCCGACACAGCGATATTCTCCGTCGAGGCTGAGTGTGGTCAGATCATTGACCATTACGCGGATAGGGATGGAGCAGTTACGGGGAACTCGATTATGCAAATCCATGTCCAAGTTCTGCTAGTTTATTATAGACACAAAGACGTATGGCAAGAAGTCAAAAAGAAGGCCAAGGCGGTCAAGAAATAAAAGCAAATGCTTGAAGAAGTACTCTCAGGAGGCTAGGTCCGGAGCAGGCAATGGTGCCTGAAGCGGCAACTTCCGTGAAGAGCTGCCTACATGGATGGTTTTCGGGTGATCGGTGATGACCCAGTCTTGACGTGACGGGTCCCAGTTGGATACATCGCGTCGGGTGAGGGTAGTTCTCCACCTGAATCGTTGCCCTGGAGCTAATCGGATCCGATCAAACCCACGGAGAACAATCTTCGCGTCACGCTCGCCACCGAGGGAAACGTACTGTGTGGTTATGTTAGCGTGAGATGGACAGCAACGAGTTAAAATTCTAACTGGAGGGAAGGTTACATACCAGCTGTGGAACCTCTTCGCCGACTCTGTCGCCATCGTTGGTGATGACAGCTGAGACTTCATACAAATCTTCAAACAAGCCAGGATTTCCGCCAGGAGCACCGCTAGCTGGGAGCAAAGGCTGTGCGTCCCCGTTGTTGGCGTTTGGAGGCACGTAGTCCTCGATTGGAAGTCCGTAGTGGCTATCTCCAGATGCTTTCTTTGGGTCAGTCGAGGTTAGCCAGGAGTAGATATATTTCGTGACGCCATGGAATCCGTCGGGGAACAGGTAGTCTGCATAGTTTCCCGAAGAATGGCCCAGTTTTGGTGCCGGCAGCGAGGAGCCTGTTGTAGGCTTGTATGGGTTGGCGCGTAACGTCCTGACTCTCAAGCCCGAGTAGGAGAAGGTGGTATAACTCAATCCAAATCCAAACTCATAGACGGGAGTGATGTTCTCTTTATCAAAATGCCTGTACTCCATGAAGATACCTTCTGAGAAGTTGATCTGAGGTGCGTTCTTTCCATTGTTTGGTTCTTTCAAGATATGGGTGCCATAGTCTTCAGCAGTTTTACCCCAGGTGAAAGGCGATTTAGCACCTGGGTTCTCCTTGCCGTAAAGGATATCTGCCAGAGCGTTTCCACTCTCCTGGCCAGGAAGACCAGCCCATAGAATAGCAGTGATGTTTGGGTTATCGTGCCATTCTCCAGCCAAAATGGGGCCAGCGCTATGGATGACAAGAACGGTGTTGTTGCATACTGCGGTGACCTGTTTGACCATTTCCTCACCTCCCTTCCATGCCGTCAAGTTCTTTCGATCACCTTCGTTTCCATCTACCGAAATATACCCTTCACCAGATCCAGAGTTGACAAACACCAAGGCAACGTCGGCTTGGCCTGCAACCGTCTTTATGTTGTTGAAATCGCCATTCTGGAGGACAGACATGACATTTCCAACACCCTTGGATACGATTTCACGCTGAATAGCGTCATCTGGAGTCACAAGGTAAGGGAAATTTGTCGTTCCGCTACCCCATCCCATAGCAAGGGTTCCGTTGTCACAGCCACGATCAGGGCAGCTATTTGGCCCGCCCAAATTTGGACCAGCATCTTCTCCAATTATAGCTGTGAATTGTTCTGTTCCTGTCAGGGGGAGAACACCCTCGTTTTTCAGAAGAACCGTGCTATCCCTGGCAACACGGCGGGCAATCTGTGCATGATGGCCGCGCACGTTCAATCTCTGGTTGACAATACCGTAGCCTTCGTTGACTAGCGCATGCTGGTAGCCTTCAACGTTTGTTGTCCACGAGTTGAAGTTGATAGGAACTTCAGCCTGGTCACGACCAACTTTATAATACGCAGCCATAATACGGAGGGCCATGTCGTCGACTCTCCACTCCGGGATGGTTCCATTGGCAACGGCAATGGTGAGGTTAGCACCCCAGTAGGAGACCCCGGTGCCGAAGAGGGTGTCACCAGGCATGGACATATCCAACCCAGCAAAGGCAGCGCCAACACCGCTGTGCTGTGCCTGCCAGTCAGACATGATAAAGCCGCGGAAACCAAGCTCGCCCTTGAGCAGCTTGTTCTGTGTGTAACTGTTGGCACAGCCATAGCTGTTGTTAATTTGGTTGTATGAGCACATAATGGCGCCAACTCCAGCTCTAACGGCATCTGCAAAGGGCCTGTAAGACAGTTAATAGATATACCGGCTAACCACGAGAATTAGCACCTTACCAAAGGTAAAGCTCATGCATCGTCACATCGTCAACGTTAGAGCTAGAGCTCTCCGAGATGTCGAACCCATATCCTTGTGCTTCGGCAGCAATACGGAAGCGTTCCTGTTCATTTGCAATAAAATGTTTTGCGCAAGCAACAACACCAGATTTCTGCATACCCTTGATAGTCTCCGCGACGAGTTCACCAGCCAGAACAGGGTCGGGTCCTAGACCTTCCCAGTTTCGTCCTCCATCTGGCGACCTTCCCAGGGGTCCAATTGCAGGGCCCAATATCACATCTGCGCCTTTATCACGGAATTCCTCTCCCATCGCCTTTCCGCGGAGGTAGGCTAGCTCTTTGCTCCATGTAGCGGCAACGTTGATGCCGGCAGGGAATGCAGTCACGTAGTCGCCTAGTTAAAGAACAATTAGTGACTCCGAGTGCACTGAATGAGCCTGTACTTCACTTACCAAACCTCATACCGAGAGGTCCATCCTGCATACACAGAGAGCGGAACCCAAGGCGAGGAATAGCTCCAACTTGTCCAACGCAAGACTCTTGCATCCATCTACCAAATAGTTAGCATCCTTCACTCGTCTAACCTTCTTTTTTATTCCTGATATAGCATACCCGACACCGGTTGTCAGGTTGACCTTCTCGGCCAACGTAAGCTGCGAGACAAAGTGAACGGCTTTGTTATAGGCCTCCTCCCATTCTCCGTCTCCCTTGGTCCATGGCGAGGGATAGTATGGCGGCGACGACCAGTTTTCCTATTCCACGCGTACTGTTAGCACATTGACTTCTTCTTCTCTGCTTCTCTTCTCCACATACCTCTGCCGTAGCTATGCTCGAGATGGCGAGGGCCACCAACGGGCACCACCGAAGCCACATGATGAGTTCAGCTCAAGTCGTCTATACCAACTTCGCGCTGGAGTAAATAAAGCTGCAACTTGAGAAGAACAACGAAAGGAGCAGGCCGGACGACTTCATATGAAGCTGGGGCTCCTATCAACTATTTACCAGATCCCGCAAACAACAAATAAACCAGCGAGAGCAACGCCACGGGTGGGGAAGAGCGACGCCAACATGCCACTCTCCCAGCAACTATATGGACAGCCCCTGCCAGCCTGCAAGTACACAGGTACCTCGCCGTGCTATGTGGCCGCCACCAGAAGCTGAAGTCACTCTGCCCTGGAAGCCCAATCTCCGCTGATCTGCACTGTTCCACCGGGCCTGGCAACTAATCTAGCGAGAGCTTGCTTTTGCCTGCTTCCCGGGCCTATATTCACCGGCCATATTCACTGGCATCGCAGGATCGCATTGCAGGTGCGTATCCTGGGCAGCAGTTATAGGAGTCAGCTGGCCGCTATCCGACGCTCTAGGCTCCCTCTAGGCTCCAGACACCGCTGCTTCGTCCTTTCATTCCGGCGTTCCCTCTCGCGGCGAGCTATCAAGAGAGTATCTCTGCATCCTTGCCCCTGGTCCAGTTCGCAACATCTTAAAAGACAGGCCCTGGTCACGGGACTTTATACAGCTTCAGGGATCGCGATATCAAGACGCTGTCAAGCCTGTCAAACACGCTCACGCTCGATGATAGTTGGCGCCGTGTTACGGAGGACGCAGGGTTGGCATGTTCCTCTCCTCGTCTGTCAAATGTTCCAAGTCGCCGTCTGTATACCAAGGCAGCTCCGGCCTCGTGTCCAGCGCACAGATGGATGGTGACTTTCTTCTTGTTTTCTACCCCGCAAGGAAGAGCTATGCCCCTGCAACGGTAGCATTTCGGCGTCGCACCGCGTCGAGACACTTCACGATACCCGAAGCTTCGGTCTGGAGAGCAAAGGCCGATGCGGTGTCGACAGCTCTTGGGCGAGTGCAATTTCTTGGGAGATATCTCTGCCAAAAGTCTATATTTACCCTTTTACAGGCAGATCCAAGGATAAATTAACGAGACATCCAAGGATTAAGATTAACAGAGTCTGATGATATCATGGATGATACAGCTCTATACATGTTAGACTTCTTGTTCGAGCACCTCTTGGCCATCTCACTTCGACTCTGGGCCATCTCTGCCGTCAAGGAGATATCCACCCAGAGCATGTCAGGTTTGGGAGGGCCATCTCAAATATTGTGGAAGATCTAGATTGTAATATACCTAGTACTACCTGTCAGTTACGAAAAGGCCTTACTATGCCAAACAAGTTTATACTTGTATATACACGTAATTCAATATTAGAAAGACACTATATGTTAAGCCGAGCGGTGTGAATAGGTAACTAGATTGTACACCGAGCTTCTATCCAAGAACATCGAGACAGGATGCTTGTAGAGTCGTCCAGAGTACAGTCGTTGATAAGCTTCTGTTGTATAAAGCCACTGATGCACATTGATCACATTTCATAATGTTACCTAGGTTAGGAAACGATTTGGATATGTTCATTATTGTCTCATGACGTCTGTCTAGGCTACTAACTCTATCTTGTGGAAACGGCTTCAGAGTTGTATAAACTCACGTACCTAAGTAACGCACACAACTCAATATATACCAAGTGGCCAATGGATGCTATTCACATTGAATCTTATGCAGCATACTCGATGAACCCTAAGCGCAGGCCGGTGCCTTGGGTTAACCTTCACGCTGCCCGGAGTTACTGGTTAACCACGCCTCATGCGCTCTCTTCTGTCTCTCCCAGTCCTTTTTCAGCTTCTTGCTGCGGCTCTTAGTAATTTCATTGCCTGATGAATCCTTCGTTGGCAAACCGTCCTTGTCCCATGCGCTGAACTCGCTGGTACGGAACATATCGCAGGGACTAAGTTTCCCCTTTTCTGCTTTCTCAAGAAGCTTTCGTTCGTCCTCCTCTCTTCGTCGCTGTGCTTGCAGCCTTTGTTCAGCTTGCCTTTGTCGAGCTCTGATGTGGTCACCGGTGACTGGACGCACTAGAGCAGGTTCATTTTCTCGGTCCTCTAGATAAACTCCAAGGTCAAATAGATCAACATCTCGAATTCGATCACAATGTATCAACAGTTGCTTTTGATCTATCTCAGAGCCATCTACCCCTAAGGATAGTATTCTTTCTTTGAAGTCTGCGAGAACCCGTGCATACGGGCGTGCCAGGTCGGGTATAGGTTCATGATCCATCGAAGGATAAAGGATACTGTTTAGAGCTTCGGCGGAGACAGTAGATTTTGATTTGGCAAGCTGGCGAAGTGCGTCGCGGGCAGTAGAGAGGGAATTCAAGTACGGTTTTGCGTATTCTGGGACATCAATGCCAGACCACCCAATATCGGGACTATCTGGTGAAGCCGCGCCATTTAGCCCGAAAATATTGACCATGGACGTGATCCACTTTGCAGCGCTCTTAACAACAGTACCGTTCAATCCAGGACCTTCAGCGCTGTTAAAGTTCGAAACCAGCTCCGATATAGCATTCATTGCAGCAGGGGTATCGAATGAATTGCATAGAGCGTTGAAAACCTTGTCTTGAGCCATCTTGAGACACGTGGACAGGGTATCACCAGTGTTCGGATCGCCTACTTTAAGAGATAAGTCTTGCGGGGTCGTGAAATTTTTCGCCTTCAGAAAAAAGTTGTTCAGTTTCTCTTCCCAGGCGCGTGAGGCATTAATCATATCCGTAGTGATCTCAATTCCTTCTCGCCAGCCACCAAGAAGGAATACAATTCGCAAGCTTCGGGAGGTCCAGGTGCCTCTATCAAGCGCTTCCCTGATGGTAGTAAAGTTTTTGAGTGACTTGGACATCTTCGAACCCTGGATTGAGAGATGGCCCATATGGAGGAAGTAATTTACCCACTGAGTCCCATGCCAGCACGCTTCGCTCTGAGCGAGTTCGTTATCGTGATGAGGAAATGCAAGATCAATACCACCAGAATGAATATCCATTTGATCACCTAGCTTAGCAGATGCCATTGCGGAACATTCGATATGCCAGCCTGGCCGGCCACTACCCCAGGGGCTAGGCCAGCTGGGTTCTCCCGGTCGAGATGCTTTCCAAAGTGCAAAGTCATTCCTCGAACGCTTAGTCGTCACAACATTTGTCAAGGAACCTTCCCCGTCTTTTTGAAGATTCTTATTATTTCGATTCCAGGGCTCCAATTTTGCGTAATAATTCCCAGATTTTTCAAAAGCATTGATATCAAAGTAGACAGATCCATCTGGAGTAGAATAGGCAAACCCATTCTCAACAATCTTTTCCACAAAGCTGACAATCTCAGGCACATATTCAGTCACCCTTGTCAATTCATCCGGGTCAAGGACATTCAAGGATCGCATGTCTTCGATAAATCGGTTTTCGTAGTTTTTGGTTAACTTCTCGAACAGAGAATAATCATTACCGCAAATGGATGAGCCACCGACAGAATCAAGGTAGACCAGGAAGACATCTTCACAGGCTTTAGAGAAGGCCTCACTTGTGAGTTGGGATGTATTCGACGTCCGGGAAGGGTCACTACCCGCATCTGCCGATGACCCCGGCTCAGTGGCTTTGTTTATTTCTTCTAGACCTTCCGTAATAGTTTTCGCTGCTAGCGAGCCGCTCTTGATATTCATCTTGATCTTAGCTTCGTCGGAGCCAGGTTTCTTGTTTCCTTCGAGGGCACCTCCGTTGATCACAAACGCATATGTCTTCTCGGCCTCCACGTGGAAGTCTGGCGGCTGGATGTCGGAACTCAGGAGGGGTAGATGTTTCCCTACAAAAGTTGAAAATGCCAACTGTGCAGTCTGTATTACTTCGGCGTCTATAGTAGGGTGTTTAGCCATGAAATCGGCGAAAAGATGTTGCTGGCGTGCCCTAATGATTATCTAGAGCCTCGTTGGTTAGCATTTGGCCCTAGACTGGGAATGATAGGTATTTATATATGTATGTATACCTTATCATCCACATCAGTAATGTTCATGATGAATTTTACGTCGAAGTGGAAGTAATTCCTCATGATGCGGCGAAGTATGTCTGTTGTAACATAGTTTCTGGCATGTCCGAGATGAGCATCGTCGTAGACAGTTGGTCCACAAGCATACCAAGTGACTTTCTGGCCATCTGGGTCCCTTGGGATAAAAAGGGTCTTAGATCGAGTCAATGAGTTCCATAGCTTGAGAGGCGGCGGGGTACAATTCGGATGGGTTGGCGGCTCATGCCAAAGGGGCTGTTCGTCCATGGCAGACATGGTATTGCATGCAATGATATTCTATTATCAACAGTCAACAAGAAGCCTTTTTATCGTAGATTTAGTTTAGACAAAATATTTATGTTGGGAGACGGAGGCGTATTCAACATTGACTCATAGAATCCAAAACGGTACCTGGTACCTAGTAGTCTAGCCGGAGCCCTGCAAAATGTGCCAAAGGTCATGCTTTACTAAATACCTTAGTAGTTAATTTATGGCCTTTCAACAGTTATATATCATAATGTATAGCTTCGTCAGCTTTCTGCTCTTATCTCAGGTATGAACGAGGCAAAATCGTATTTGCCCCGCCAGCAACATAGCATAGTTATATGGAGACATAATGCTCAAATCTAGATAATCCATACGGCTAGTTATCTGGCCAACTGGCATCAGAAGGTCTTCTTAGTTGATAATGAGCCTATGTTTATAAAGGAACTTGTCGACTCTGAATATAAAATCGGGACCTGAGCCAGTCATCTGTTACGTAAGCTCATTACTAAATTACGTAACTCACCACATCACATGACATAGTTATTCCGACATGGTGAGTCAGCAATCATATTGTCAGGTGACATCGTCCGGCGATAACCCCATAAACCCCTAACTCGATATCCCATTAAAACGTTGCTTTTACTCCCTCCAAAGTGTCTGGTTTATGAATATACAGGTCATCCTCGAGTTCTTCAGAAAAGAACTTCTATCACAATGGTGGGCACACGGAAACACCCTGAGGATTTCCCCCCTCCCGCTCTTTCTAGTTCCGCCTCACCCAAGGGCACAAACGCGCAACCTCAGTCGGCTACGCGCAGGCAACTAAGCCAATGGGCTCACTCCCCATCGCGCCTTGTGCTGGCATGGCTGATTATATCAGTTCCGGTGGTCATATGGGATACAGGATATGTGCTTTTGCGACCGCATAGTATGCCTGGTGGGGCATATCACTTCTTCTGGTCTCCCTACGCGCTCTATGGGACAATTGATTACATCTACGGCTGGCCTGCATTCAACTCTCGAAACGGATTCACTTCCGCACAAGCTACACTGAATGTTATTGAGACGGCCTTGTATGCCTATTATCTTTTCATTGTCTGGGCCCAAGCCAAGCCGGTCAGTGTTGTCCGTAAATCCGGCAAGTCGTCCAAAGAGGCAGTTGGATGGTCTATCATGCAGAAAACATCTGTGACAGGGACTCCAGGTGCTCAGGCATTACTGGCCGTGTTTAGCGCCAGTCTTATGACCTTGAGTAAGACGGTACTTTATGGTAAGTGCTCCGAAACACAGCTTTATGTCTGGCACCGTCTTTCTATACTTGCAACTATAAACCTCAGCGACCCCAAGGGAATTCCATGCATTTCTGGCTCTATACATGAACTGCCTCTGACTATAGAACAATCAAGGGCTCAACGAGGTATATTCGGGATATGATAATGTGGGGCACAATGATCTCTTCACTTTGATATTTCTATGGATCCTACCAAAGTAAGTGACCTCCTCTTAACTATTGTACAAGAACATTGTCTAAGCATGTATTCTCGCTGGCTTGAAACTGTGTAACATCGCTTACAAGTATATTGTTATTTAGTGGGCTATGGATTGTGTTTCCATCCATTGCAACCTTTTATCACGGGAAGGAAATTATAGGCTCCCTGGAAACTGCTAGTGTCGAAGCTAAGCCAAAGTCGAAGTCATCCTAAGAGTAGTACACTCTATGGGACACCATTGGAAGAAAGCTCTCTGGGTCTGTTAAGAATTGGGTATTTATCGCTTCCTTCACTCTGTGACACACCAAGATACCAAACTTTTGTGATCGGATGCATGACCTTTAGATTACTTTCCGCCATTTACGACGTGGGATGTTTACCCGCATCCGAAGGGTCGTACGCAAGGGGCCACAAGAACGTTTTATCCAACAGTATGACAACAGTTGTGAAGATTTCTCCAAATTTAACAGCCCTCCTCTCAATTTTCCTCTTCGCCTTCCTTTAACGGTGATGACATGATTTTACCTTTTTATTTTTACTTTTTATATATGGCAAATGTGGTGGGATTGTGTATCCTGCTTATGTGATTACAAGATAAAGGTTAGGCTGTGTTATAGGGCTTTGCATCCTAGTCGTCTCCTAGGATATAGCATGCCAGAAGTTGCACCATTCACCAAATTACATTGGAGGTTCTCATTATATGATCTACCCGTATATGTGCCTCAACTCTCCACGTTTCGAGTACCGCGGGTTGGTTTTAAACCAAGCTAACGTTGGTTACTGGCTGTGTTTATCGACGGGATTTGGCCACCGGTATTGAGTAGCCTGCGGTCATCATCACAAGCTCGAAAACGAGGAAACGGGGTTTGGCCCTCGCCTTACTATGTGTCAATAGTACCACATACAATGTACGTACTTAGCGCATCGCCGAGAAGGGACCCAAAGAGCTGAATATTTCGAGAAACAAAGGGGCGATGTTATTCGTGGGTTGCTACCGGGACTAGTACCCCCGGCCCGGACAACAGCCAGCCTGTTGGGTCAAGGGGCGCAATCGAAATCGCGGATTGTCTCTTTGACACCGGCACCAACGATGATACACGCAATCATCCAACCCGACGGGCCTGGAGAGCCATTCTTCAGTAGCCGACTTGAACTTTATTTTCTTGAATTCCCGACAATCACTAAATGGGGCTTAGAAGAAGCCTGTCTGGACTTTAATACATTAGGTACATGAGTACCGACGTGGACATGTTAAAAGCCATCTCCAACGCACCTCTGGGTCCCAAAATACGTCTCACCATCCACGTTTTTATGAGGTGTGCAACGCTCCACCATTATAGGAAGGTATCAAGACGCATCCGGGCTGGCAAAGATTAGGCCAATTTCTGGGTGGTAACCCTGTGTTACTCCTTAAAAGCCCGTCGGTTCGTTTAGGTCATCTGCACCTCGCCATTTTGACAAGCTGGCGATCAATAATTAGCTCCTATACGCCCCGCGAATTTTGCTTTTGAGCTGACCTGACAGACTAGGACCGGGATGACTGTCACGTATCATGCATTACCGCGCGTGCATAGGGGATGGAGAGCCAAAAAAAAAAGGGTCCGTGAACTCGAGGGCACAAACGGTGTGATAGGACCATCTATTATACTCCGGATACAGATTATCTTCGCTGTCATATAACGCCTTAGCTAAACTTTCTGCTCTAACAAAAAGGATTCTCGGGTTACCCGGACGGAACAACGCCCAATCCTCTCTGTCCCCCCATTTATCCCAGATCCCACTCTTACGGCTCTTATTATTCAGTCCCAATTGGTCCCAGGCACTCGGGACGGAAAAAGCAAACACGATTTACGGAGCACAAGGGTCAGAGAAACCTCATCCTAGGGGATCCCTTCGCAGACTTGTCCCCTGTTTGCACCTGCTAAGGTAACCAGGTATCGTTCCTGTCCTTTTTCTTTGTTTGAAAATGGAACCACCCTGCCTATCATGATCCAGGGATGCCGCCCATGCTCATTCCTTCATGCTATCATCGTTACTCTTGCCACATGATCCCCCGGCGATGTCTCGGCTTCCCTGCATAATACCGCCCGTTCTGTTGGTGGTATCTACGTTTCCCTTTAGTTTTATCCAACCGGAGTGTTCTTCAGATCTCCTATTCAGTTATTTGCTCGTACCCTGACAAGTTCAGCGCCCCCAAACTGCTACCCTTCCCAAGTATCGAAGTACAGGTGAATACCTTACAGATATTATGTAACATCTCCTGCATGTCCCTATCACATCGAGAAGAAGACCACGGAACCCACTGGTAAAGAGGCGGCGTACAGGTACTAAACCGTTATTAGGACTCTGAACCTGCAAGGAGAACTCCGCCATTTCCACCATATTTTATATGGCCATAGTAGTTGTACTATGGCCCGTTGAGCGGTGAACCTCCACCCGCCTGCAATATATACAAGCATTATAGGCACAAACCCAATTTCAAAGCCGCACAGGTTGATGGATACACTATTTGTAACCGCATAAAAAACAAGATCAAGATAAGCAGTGAAGAATCTGCCGTCCCCTTCATTATTAACCGTTTGCTACTTCATTCTATTACTAGCACACCTCGACGCCAACAAAAAGGAGCCTGTGTTGCGAGCCTTGAAAAACAAAGCTGACTCCTTGTAGGACCAACTTCTACGCAGTCTGTCTTATTATGCGTAGCTCCTCTCTCTCTCTCTCTCGCTCTCTATAGCTAGTCAAGCTGTACTTCATCGAAATGCGTGCGACGGATCCTACCAGCATGTAAGGTACCGCCCGTCTGGATGATTCTGACAGGGTAACTAATAGCCAGTGATAGGAAACCATGTATCAAGGGTCAGCCCCTCAGCTTGGCCCGCCATACCTGCATGACATTAACCCAAAAAGGGGGGCGTATATGAAAGGAAAAAGGAAATATAAATTGCCTTCCAGCTGGCCCGGTGCATCCATGGGCAATTAGCGCAGAGGGTCAAGATCCTGTGGCTAGGGTTCAAATCTGTTTGGGACTCACCCTGCCATGTCATTGGCGATGCATTGGCGAGGGAGTAAGGGTTTTTACTCCTGACGCCTTGTTTATTCTCTCCTTTTCATTCACACTCCTGGTAATTATGGTTTTGAGTCAGAGTCTGGTCAGCTACCGTAGAGTATGCATTGCGCTAGGGGTCAGATCAGGGTTCTCATACGCCGCCTTTGTCATCTCATTATCCGACTATATATTCAAGGGACCAATAGATAGCAAATCCTGATGCATTTCAGAGACTAGGGAGTGTGGTATCTAGGTTGCAGCCGATGTGCCCTCGCCCCAGTCCGTAGTCCAGTAGTGACTGCTCTTCCATCCCCAGAAGAAGGGATCTTAGGTCCGCTTACGCACTAGCAGACTGGTTGGGCCTTTGTTCTAATTTAGATTGCCCTCCCACGCAGTGCAAAATGGTATCGAGCGGCAAAGGAGACAAAAATGGAAACGCTATTCCAACAGACGGAGTCGACCTGGCGGTGGGAAATCTACCAACGATGCCTATTCCCGCTGCATGGCGTCGGCTATCATGGATCCCGCCTGTTAGCGGAGTCATGGGCAGACTGCAAGTCATGTCAATCCCCAGCCACCGTACAAACACAGCATGAAAATCCCGGTCTCCTTTTCCTTGGACAAATGGTCTAACCTGAAGAGAAACGTATAGGGTCGGGAGCATTGTGGTTACCCACTCAATAATCCATTCAGCCAGTGATAGAAACAAGAGTATGCGCCGCTAAGAAAAGTACGTTTAGAATGCAAAGATAATACAAACAAAAGTGAGTCTTTGGTAATGGAAAATCCGCCCACGAAGAAAGGAGAGGGAGAAAAAGAAAATCATAGGAATGAGATAACCTGTTTGTTCAGACGCCCGGAAAATTACTCATCTTGAAAGAACTGTATAATTATGCCTTCCCCCTGCCACCCACCCACCCACCCATCCTCGATGCAAGCCGTGCCGAGACATTAGAAAATCGTGAACTAGTTAGTTTAATTAACCCAAAAGCGGGCATCATTATAGCGGCCATTTTCCGTCATGGGTTGAAAGCCCCTCCCATCTAATGAATAGCCGTCATCGGACCCGTCGCCGCCAGTGGAGGTGGACGGTGAATACACGTCTCCGTCTGTTAATTCCACGGGAGAGCTCGTCATCGTATCAGGTGGGAAGTAAGGGGAAGGGTAGTTGTGTATTGTGGTGGGAGACATCCGCGGCCCAAGAACTTCTTCGATGCGGTCGGGTATCTTAGCAGCAAGAAATGCTCGCGCTTCTGAATGTTGCTCGGTTCGAGCTAGGTCGGATATCATCTGGCTAACGCCGGATAATTTCTGGCAGAATTGCTTCAACCCAAACTCAGGGCATAGCCAAATCTGCTGAGCGCTCTCAAATGTAGTTTTTGGCATGTCCATGTCGAACGAATAAGCTGAATCAACAAGCAGTATCTCGTCCGTCTGTAGCGCATTTCTAAACACATTCCAGTAGGAGCCATAGCGAACGTAGGTCCCACATACGGCAATGAGTTCGTCAAAGCTAAACATGGCGGTGATGCGAGGGAAATCCCTCTGTAATCGTGTGGCCATGAGATTTAGGGAGGTATCTAGGGGAGAGGTAGAGAGTGCAACTGAAGGATCTTGCATGTATCTTTGGCTTTGCGCGAATGCTTCCAGGTACATTAGCCGCTGGCCAAGTGGGGTTGCCGAAAGGTCAGGGACGGGACAAGTGGACGACCGAAACATAGTAACGAAGGGATTAGAGATCATCGGGACAGGAGAACATGTTAAACTAAGCCAGTCGGTATTCCGGAGGTAGTCAAATAACCCTGCCCAAGGCGACTGGTAGTGTGTCTGTTGATGTACTGTGCCGACCGTAGGAATCTGAGGGCGCACTGCCAACGTTCGTGAGAGTTCTGGGTGGCAGCCAAAGAACCTATTTTGAGGGTAGGCTTCCATAAGGCGGTTGACTGGCCGTGAGGCCTCCATATCTTTTTGAGATGACCTTCGTGCCATTAAATTTTCAGAGCATTCATAGCCGTAGTTCTCGCAACGATCACACTTCGTCCCTGGCCATTGCCTGTTCTCGGGTGAGCACTAGACCTCGTTAGAAACTCTCAAGCATAAGGGGGAGTTTAAATGTGTTAGCTGTATTCCTAACCTTTTTGTGGTCCCTACGACAACGCTGGCACTTGGGGACGCCCTCTGAAGGCATCTGTTAGAAGTGGTGGGAAAATCCGTCTCTCCTGGAAGAGCACAAGGTAAGAGAAGCACAAAGTGGTAGATGTAATGAAGGATGGCGAAAGATTTCTGGTTCACTGATGTTGCGTTGGGTAAGAGAGGCTTAGAAAAAAGCTGTTTACTATGGGGTTGACTGAAGAAGGTCGAAGGTAGGTGAAGATGGGTGACTTGAAGGATCAAGGATGTACTTCATAGGGAGTACTTATATCGGTTATCGGTATTTATGCTGCCCCAGACTTTTGCTTTTTTTTTCCTTTGATACAGAAACAAAATGATCCGTGCGCAGTACGGCGGTGATACTTTGATTCGAATATTCGAACTTTCATTCCATTTCCTGTGGGGAATCGGGATATATGCAGACAGAATATAGAAATTGAAAGTATAAAAAGAAACAAAAGCCTGAGACTCCAGGAAGCAGGGCTGTGTCGAGCAGTTTGTCACCATGCCGTGGCGTTACAAAGACAGGGTGGTGTGGATACCTCGAAGATGTAGGTAAACACTAGGCGGTCAATGTACCCTCGACGCCTAAGAGAGTACATTTCAAAGTCACCCACTCACCAACTTATTGTCTTTCCAACATTCTCGGGAGCCAATAACCATGATGTGGCTATTGGCGCGTTTGCAAGAGCGAATATGCGTCATGTAGGGTTCAGTTAACCACATCGACAAAATTCGTGGATGGGATTTTCGGAGACTTTCTTCCTGCCCAGAATCCCATACCTACCGGAGGGTTGGATAACTGGGCTATAGCAGCCTCAAATTATAGAAGAGTTCTTATATTTAAAGAAACACAACCTTCTCTTTGGGGATGAAGTTAGCCCTGGACGTAGGAAGAGAACAAGGGTCCATATAGGCATGACATGCCGCAGCACATCGTCGAATAAAATTCGGTGAAACTTTCAAGAAAGTAAGCCACAACTTGCAGTTTTCGAGTTTGCAAACGGCGTAGCTGCAGGAATTAGTCACTGTCGTTCAAAGAGCCTTCAAGCAAATACGGCAAATGGTAGTAATTTTCTGTCATTTCCGCCAAGTCCATCATCATCTGCCCTTGTAGCACCATGGGGGCTTGTGACGTTGCGTTATTTGAGCTAAGCGTTAAGCTCCATATCTTAGCTGCGAAACATAACGCAGGTCCTGGGATTCCCCCGTAGCATCGAGATAGGTCCGTTGGTAGTCACCATGTGGTTTGAGTGGGTGCTAGCAAGCGGCAATTCAATAATTAGCCTGTCAATAAAGGGGTACCGTGATGATACCTTAAAAACGCATCTTAACATAAACAAAAAATAGGGGGGAGAGGGGAAGAGGGAGAATGCCGACTCGTAGAGGGAGAATATTTGGCGCAGTACGTCCTTCCACCTATGGAATATGGCTGAAGCTCCTACCCTAGAGTGCAACGAGCCCCAAGGTGACATTGTCCCGGCTTTTGAAGTTTCACAGGCTAGATTCGAGAATAGTTTATATGTAAACGGCATTTCGAGAAAAACGCTAGCTGCAAGGGGCGGAGAGGTGTTGTACTTGTGCGTCCGACGCTAAAAGCGAGGCGATAAGAGTCGGGTAAGCCAAGGCAGGGTGTGCAGGTTCAGGTACCCTCGACCTAAAGCCAACTTGGCTTCCTGACGGCCCTTTGATGTATCGGTGTATATTGCGAGCCCCAGAGCCTGTCGGGGGGGCGAGGACTGCATTCCCACCCCCAAAATGGCGGGTTTGCTGGCCGGATTCATCTCCGTGGTACATAGTTACCTTCCAACAACTAACGCTGTATCTAATGTCAAGATGCATGAAGATCCCGTTGCTTGAATAACTCTCCCTCGTATAGGCAAGGTTCACGGATCACCATGTAAGCACCCCGAATATCGGCCCATAGAGCATTGTCCGGAAGGTCGAGTGCTCCGTATATTCAGCGCGAATGGTCTCTCCGGCCGTGCCAGCTCCCTCGTACACCAGACTCGCTTCTCTTGCCAGTTGGAATGAAGAAAACAAGATCAAACAAGTTCGACCTCGAGATAAGCTATTTTACCTCGGAGTTTAAGCTTGTCACGTGCCGGCGCAATCGCGACGTCATAAACATCCAACTTTGAACATCGACATAAAAGAATGCCAACAACCGCTGCGCAGGATCTTAAAAAATCTGTGTCACGGCGGTATATGGTTATACAGGCTTTAGATATGCTGCAGCACTTTTCCTGCGCCTTCACTACATATCCGCACACCTGAATTGGACTTCCCTATTCGCTTCGCAAACATGGCTTCCGGAAATGTGGCAGCATCAGAATCGTCCAAGCCGAAACAGCCAACTGCCCACAGTCATTCACAGCCGCCCGCCGTCTTCCTTGCCATCTACCCCATAACTCTGATCCTAGGCTCACTGTACGCGCGGATATCACCAACCGCAAACCCTCCGAGCTCGTCAGCAATACATTCGCAGTCCTTGGAGCCAGTCAATTATTTTGCCAGGAAGGGAAACGTCTTCAACGTATACTTTGTCAAGATCGGATGGCTTTGGACGAGCCTGGCATTCCTATCACTTCTTTTGACACAGCAAGCATTTATTAGTAAAAGGATCTCCGCAGACTGTTGCCTGAGACGCGTCGGACAAGCTCTTGTTCGTTATTCGATAGTTACTTTTTCCTGGATATTGACGACACAATGGTGCTTTGGGCCCCCTATCATTGATCGCGGCTTTCTTGCTACGGGCGGTAGATGCGAAATAATCCGACAAAAGGAACTGTTTGACGATCCTTCAAGTTCCGAGTTAAACCCGGGCTTGGTACTGACATCAGTGTTGTGCAAAGCTTCAGGAGGTACCTGGCAAGGTGGCCACGACGTTAGCGGGCATGCATTCATGCTTGTTTTAGCGAGTGCGTTTTTGGTTTTCGAGATGTTGGGTTCGAGGTCCACAACTGCTCCTAGCAGCATCGATGGTAAAAATAGCGGAGAGAAAAACCAAAAGGCCATGGACAGCCAGGCGGCCAAAAATGGGCCAGATGATATACAGCACTATCTTGCGAAGCTCTCGCGGAATTTCGTTTGGACGGTAGTGGGTCTATCTTGGTGGATGTTACTCATGACAGGGATTTGGTTTCATACATGGCTTGAAAAGGTCAGTCCATCGGCTGCTTTCATCTACCAGCTGTTTCCTCCCGTTCTCCTAATTTTCCTTCATTCACTAACCATGTATATTTATAAAAGATGTCGGGCCTCGTCCTCGCGCTCGCTACTGTGTATCTTGTACATATACTTCCCCGTTCCTTACCGGCATGGTGGGGGTTTATTGGCATACCCGGGATATAAATTTAGAACAATGAAAATAGAAGCATGTGTTCATAATAATAATAATGGCCTAACTAATACATTCTCCTATCTTTATTTCCAGTCGATAGTTGACGGATAAGGTAACTTGTAACTAGTTCAGCTCATGAAAAGCCTAACCTCTAGTCTCTGCATCTCTTGAATCGTTGTTGAAAACTGAGTACAAGACGCAGATAACAATAGCAGCCTTCGGCCTTGTACTTCGACACGTACAAATAAGCGCCCTTTTTCGTTTTTGGCTAGTCCTCTTCTCTAATAGGCTCGGGGCCAAAATAATTTACCGTGAAAGCTATTAAAATATATCGTCAGTAGACCATTTGTGTTGCGAATATACTTGCACTCCGGTTTCGCTTACCTCCTGGGAATAATGCAGCTGAGTGCATGACTCTCGTGATCGCCCGCAGATCGGCTGGCGTTCGTGAAGGGTCTTCCTCTTCACCGTCTTCGTACTGATCAATGATTTGATCCGTGAATACTCTCAGGCAATTGTACTGTCCTCGTTTTGGGGCTGGGATGAGAGCCAAACAAGCAACCCCAATGCAGGTTCCCAAGTCCCTATATGGCACGCGATCAAACGAGCTATCGTGGAGGTAGTTGTCAATAAATAGGTTTCCTGCATCACGATGGTAAAAAAAATAAGAGTCAGCAATGAGGGACGCCATTAAATTATTGGCCATTCTCATCGTGTAAGGCAAGTAGTTCGAACTTACTAATTTCCTCGAAACATCGAGACACAACTCTAGTAGCCCAGTCTTCTTTAGGATATAGCCACTGGGTTGTGATAAGAGCCATCCCCAGGTCAAGTGTATCTGATGAGGGTTTATAATGTAAATCAGGGCCCAATACTCTTTTGTAGTTCAAAATCTCTTCGTCTAACACGTAACCGTCGTCGAACTTCCTAGCAGACGCCTGCACAAGAGAATATGTGACATATCCATCGAGGGGGTCTAAGTTTCCTTCACTAGAGACAAGAGGATGTGATAGATCCGTTGACATCTTCCATACCATATGAGGCTGACTGGTATCCAGCCCAAGGAAGAAGTGTGGGTGAATGGCTTTACCCAGAGAACATGCCTGTCTGTTGTAAGTTGGATCATTCGTTGCCATGGATAGCCGGTTAAGGGCGAGCATCCATTGAGTGAGATAATGGTGATACTGGCCGTCGCCATGCGGGCCGTCCTCTTGAACTTTCCCGATTCTTAAGCCTCCTGCTAGTGGCTCTTGATCAGTCGCGCGTGGGAGGCGAGAGGTCCCATCTCGAGTTCGCCCGAGAACATCATGAACAGTTTGAACAAGGCGTTTTGCAAATATGAGGTATTTCTCTGGGTCTATGCCCTCAGTGGCTAACTTGGTGTGCTCCCTGTACAAGGTTAGAAAATTCATGACCCCAAAGGCATCAGTCCATAGATATCGGCCTCGATGGCCCCCGGCAACTGGAGGAGGTGTCCAAGTCGATGGATCTAAGACTTCTGCGAACTTGCCATATACTTCCTCCATAGACTTTTCGAATCGTTCGAAAATAGAGGGAGATGGGCTGAAGCCAGCGGGTTGCAGATCGATGATTGGATAGGGAGTAGCCATTGTTGCTAGTTGATAGCAATGCTAGTGTCCTTGGGATAGCCAAATTTAACGTGTTCACCTGCTGTGTTTTGTGTTCACGATGGAGATGGTTTATCCCGTGTTTACATCTCCCGACTCCTTTATGAGTCTGTATAAACATGTTAGTAGTTCTTCCCCTTTCCAATGTTGATCTATGTTGAGGAAGTAATGAAAGGTCGAGTGTCTTGGCAAGTATGAAGTCATCCGGTGACGTCACAAACAAAAGTTGTTATATAGATAGAGATAGCAACCATTGTGCTTTCCTCTTCTCGTCAATGTTCTGATCTTGATGTAGAATACTATAGCGAATAGTACTTCATACAGCTCAGCATTAACTTGCAGCGAAACCACACCTGGCCTAGCCAGAATTTCGGCAAAACACCATGACGACAAAGCTCGTTGATCTAATCAAATCAAACGCAAAGGCTCTCCCAGCCCTTTCAAACGAATCTTTCGGGTCTCACTTTGATCATCTCGGGAGATACAAAGTTGTTTTACTTGGCGATGGAAGCCACGGGACATCGGAGTTTTACCGAGCCCGCGCGGAGATAACCAAACATCTCATCCAGCATCACGGATTTGATACCGTAGCCGTCGAGGCAGACTGGCCCGATTCTGAAGCGGTAGACAGATACGTGAGGCAACGACCAGGCGCTAAAGCAAAAATTGAACGCCCAGAGGAGCCCGCCTTTCAAAGGTTTCCAACATGGATGTGGCAAAATTCGGAGGTGCAAGAAATGGTGCATTGGATGAGAGACCATAACCGCAATCTCCCACCACCCAAGAGAGTTGGTTTCTATGGGCTGGATCTGTACAGTATGGGACGATCCATAGAATCCATCATCAAATACCTAGACACAGTCGACCCGAAAATGGCAAACCTCGCTCGCCAACGGTATGGGTGCTTGCAGCCATGGGTTGAGGATCCTACGGAATACGGATTAGCCAATTATCTCGATAGCGGAATGAGTACTTGTGAAGCACAAGTACTTGAGATGCTCCGTGACCTCCTCCAGAAGCGCCTGGAGTACACATCAGCACACCGCGATGGAGACGAGTTTCACAGTGCGGAACAGAATGCGCACCTAGTGGCAGATGCGGAGGCTTACTACCGAGCGATGTATTCTAGCGCAGTCGATTCTTGGTCTCTTAGAGACTCCCACATGTTCGAGACTCTACAACGCCTTCTCGCCTCCAAGAGATCAGAATCTAAGGTTGTTGTCTGGGCGCACAATAGCCACATAGGTGATGCCAGATACACTAGCATGGGCCGACGTAGGGGAGAGCTCAACATCGGCCAGCTATGTCGGGAGCACTTTGGCAGAGATAATGTTGCATTAATCGGATGCGGCACACACACCGGGACAGTGGCAGCTGCGCACGAATGGGGCAATGATGTGGAAATTATGGATGTAGTCCCATCAAGAAGTGATTCCTGGGAACACTTAGCACACCAATCGGGGAGGGATACATTCTACCTTGAACTCAGGAAGAAGCTCGCCAGCCCTGAATTGCTACAAGCCATAGCCAAAGTATCTCCAAAATTAGAGCGGTTTATTGGGGTAATCTATCGCCCCCAAACGGAACGCATGTCGCACTACTCGTCTGCTGACCTCGCGGATCAGTTTGATGGCTATCTCTGGTTTGAGCGAACAGAGGCCGTCAAACCTTTGGTGATGCATCAGCCACACGACCACATTGGAGCTGATGAGACTTACCCGTTCGGATTGTGAATAAAATATTATCATGGTATATCATATTTTACTTTGTATAAATGCAAATGCCTGCGCATATCACCACCGGCTGTCCCATCTAGTGTGCAATGAATACTGCATATAAGAAACGAGGAAACGGCGCTTAGCATATTGGATGTTACCAAGCTACCTTCGGGGTATGCTTGTGGGGGTAGCATCTAGGGGCTGACACCGTGTTCGACGAACAATGCACGCGTGCTTGGTGAAATGCTCTGCAGGAGCTGTGCGCGTGCTATAATGACTATAATTAGAGTCTGTAAGATCCCCTACCCCAAGTTACACCCATATGAGTTACGCATAAGGGAGGTGAACAGTGGGAGGCAACAAAGGCTGTGGGCGGATCACTGAGTCAACCTCGCTGCAACTATCCGTGCCAGCAATGGGTTATCGGACAAGTATGCATTGTCACTCCATGTTCCAAAATAGCGGTAACCAGTTAAAGTCAAGGCAAATACATAGTTGTTGTTGGGTATGTTGGACAGGCAGAGCTCATATGTGTCACAAGTTGGGGCAGAAATATGTGCGAATGTCCCGCCACCTCAAACCAGAGACAGGTTCGAGGAAGGGCGGCTGCAGGAGGGCCCCCATTTGTCGTGGCCCATAGCTGGGCATGTAATTAGTAGTTTTGCAGGGAAATTTATCATCTAATGATTGATTCAGTAAAGTGTGGGATGCAGCAACAAGTCCATACGAGACCTTCTCATCGACTTACTCTTAAGCCCCAGGAGTAATAGGAACATCGTCTCCTCTTCGTATATCTCTGTCCGCGCAGATGAACACCGAGACTGATAACGTAGCTGGGATCTTATATCAAACGAGTTCCTTCAAGGAGTATAACGTGGATGGATGTCAACTTTCCCTGGACGTCCAGTTGATGACTAATGGCACGTGACTGTTTGCACTGTTTGACCCAAAAATGACATCAGCTTATATAAGCAACGGGTTTGTTTACTTTCTGCCGAATCCGTTTATCCACAACAGAACGTCCCAAGCGGAGCACGACAGACCAACCCATGTTCATCGAGCGAGACGACATCGAACAACCATTTATCCTCGGATCCCCGACTGGAGAATATTAGGCGACACTCTCCTAATTTTTTACATTGTCATAATCTTGAATCCCCTTGTGAATCGAGAAGAAGGTGCTACCATTGTTTGCCATGGCAACCCGCAGGTCTGCCCGGCTGCGAGGCCAGACGCCAGCAACTGAGGTGAGAACAGCATAACAAACCTCTATAAGCACGTCTTGTTGATGCGTAGTGCTTCGCTAACATTGATCTGATAGCCTCTTAACACGAATATCACACGCTCTCCGTCCAAGCGCTCATTGGAGAAATGTGAAGAAGACCCCTCGATCGAGACCAAGAAACTCCTTGATTCGGTCCCCTCTACGCCCAAAACAAACCCCTCCAAAGCCATAACTACTCCTGTGCTGGCATCCAAGACCAAAAATAAAGCAAACCCAAAAACCCCTGAGAACCACAGCGCTGTCAAACCTAGCATTGGAGAAATGCATCCCAGTAAGGTTCAGCAAAGCACAACAAAGCAACCAGATTCTGGGCTACAGTTGGGATTCCGACCTATCCAGGATAACTCCAAAGGCTCGGCACAGCTTGTCCCTTCTGTAATCAACACACCGTCAAAACGCAGGGTTTCCAACGGAGACGAACTCGGCAAAATGGGCTTCGACTTCAAATTTTCCTGTGGGGAATCCCAACTCAGCCAAGAGGCGAAGAAAATTATGGAAGGACTCCGAGAGGAAGCAGCAAGAATTAAATCTAAGATGGTGATTGAACAAAATGCACAAAAGCGTAAAGATGAGGAGGCTGAAGCCCAGCCCACAATTCGAAAGATCGCGAAACCAAAAGGAATTGCAAGCCGTTATAGTGCTGCCCACATGGCTCAATTTCGAAAGATGGACTCCATTGCAGGACACCCTTCGTCCTTCAGAGCTCGAATTGAAACCGGCGGAACATCACCGACTAAATCCCTGAAACGCAAAAGCTCAAAGGCCCAACTTGGCGAATTGGAGAAAGAAGCCCCGACAAAAACTGGTATTACACCAGCTTCTAGAGCTATGTCGACCAGCCATATCGCACAACGACGCGAAACTCAAGGAAGCGGTAACACTTCCACCAGGTTACCCCTATCGGGCGGTGCACAGACTCAGAACAGGACTCCTCCAAGTTCTTCTATCAGCTTTGATAAAGCTAAATTTACTACTCCACAAAAGCCTACCATTCCTCGCTCTACAAGCGTGAGGCATCCCCATACCGTGAAGGCTCCCTCGATACCACGCACGCCATCCTGCAAAAGCTTGTTCGCGCCCAAGACCCCTCAAACGGATCTTAAATACAAATCAAAAATGCCCACACTCAAGTCTATTCTTCGTCGACCACAGCCCCTTTTCTCAAATGACCCTGAGAAGATTGCTGCTGGTACTCACCAGCCCTTACCGCGACCAGATTTCGACAACAAGTTACTGGGGCTATCAGATAACCTTAAACCCTCTATGTCGGTTACATCAACTAGGAAGACTGTAGACTTCTCAGCCAGCACAAGGCTTCGTGATGCTTGCAATGATGCATCCCCATCTGCGGTTGCTTCCAGATCCCAGCCCAGTGGCCCCCGGGAGGTTATTTACCCAACTCTTCCGCCCACTACCCCACCGCATGAACGGAGAGTTCCTGGTTTTACTTTCAAAATACATTCACCCACGGTTCGGGAGGTTACTTCTCCTCATGCATCTAGCAATTTACCAGCGTGCCCAGAACGTTCTCCCATTCCCCACGGAATTATGAACAAAAAGCGACGTCGCGATGACGTTGATGAGGAACCTCAGACACCCCGGAATGACCGCTTCATCAAACGCCTTAAACAAAACCCAACCACGCCTCCAGCAATGCAAACCCCTAGTCCCGTCAAGAGGCGCCTACCCGCTAGTGTTACCCCGAGACGTGGCACTCCTAGCAACAAAATGCAGCGGGGCAAGGGCCTCACCCTTAGCCGGCTGAATTTCCTTGCAACTCCCAAACTCCGCCGCTAAGTTAACAAAGGGCTATGTGCAGCTTGTTCCCAGACTCTTTCCTGTTAGTGCGGGTTATCTTCGATTTCTCTCCGGCTTCACTCGACTTTGGAACACGGAGTTTTTCATCTTCAATCTGACAGTTTGGCGCACCATGGTTGCAACATTGGCCAAAATACCATTATTTTAATGTCCCTTTTTCAGCTCAGAGTTCAAAGGCGAATTGGCAAGGTGTTGGAGTTTTTATGGTCCCATGTTTGTGGTTTATTTTGGGTTTGTTTCTCGGGTAATGGTAGAGGATGGGGTGGCAATAGGATGGGTGTATCTTACTCTGTATTCTGTCTTGAGTCAAATTTGAGTCATCTGCTGACAAAAAATACAGCTTGACTAGCATAGGAGCAAAAATCCAAATAAAAGAAGAGTAGTTCCTGGTTTAACATGTTGATATTCTCTGCGCTCATGTCTATTATGTTTAGAATCGTTTCAGTAACATAGAAAACAGAAAGGGATATAAACCCCTGATTACCCGTGTCCAGCATAACATCATACTTATACAAGGAGTCTTGTGATAGAAAACAGCAAGGAAGAGGATTGGGGAGGGGGGCGGGGAGGGCTCGTTATTACAAAAATGGAAATATCCTACTAACACCTTTTTTTCTTGCCCTTGTTCTTCACCAGACGCCGCAGAGTGACAGTAGACGAGATATCAGGGACATTAAAATGTGTGGCAGCATGACCAAATTCCCAGAGAGAGAAAAGGAGGTGATAAGGAGAAGCTGATTTAAGGCATACTAAGAAAAAAAAAAAAACAGGGGGAAAAAAGAGGCAAGGATACAAAAAATACAGAAGTCGAATGGGGAAGAAGGAAATGTGTTCAAGTAAAAAAGGGAAGTCATGGGTCTCAGGTCATCGTAACGTTCGCATCGATAGTTCAAAGCCGCATATTCGCTTGGAAATATTAATGCATAATGCCGTTTTAACGCTTCATAGAAGCCAAGAAAGAATCGAGGTTATATTCTTCCTCATACTGGCGATCATCCCATAATTCGCCCAAATCGTCAAGCCAGCCTTTCTTTCCTTTTTCTTTGACTTCACCATCAATGTCGACCATGTCGATTTCGTTGCCGGTTCCATCCTGCGTTGGTTTTTCGGCCGTGTCCGCGGTTTCGCCTAGATTGAAGAGGTCGAGAAGCTGATCGGTATCCATGGTGCTTAGGCCCGCGTTTTGTTGATTAACTACAGTTGAGGCGACGTCGATCTTGAAGCGTTGTAGGCTATAGAAGAGTTAGTAATGAAATGACATAAATAGTGTATGGATAAGAGTAACGTACTTTAGAATCTTTTCTTCAAGGGTACCGCGAGTAATCAACCGATAGACATTGACGACCTTCTTTTGACCGATTCGGTGAGCGCGGTCCATAGCTTGAATATCCTTCTGCGGATTCCAGTCGTGCTCAACGAAGATGACAGTATCGGCACCAGTCAAGTTGAGTCCAAGACCGCCAACGCTTGTAGTAAGAAGAAGAACGTCGTAGCTGGGGTCAGTATTGAACTGATTCACAATATTTTGTCGTTTCGTTGCTTCCACACTTCCATCGAGACGAAGGAATTGGACAGACGGAAGTAGCTTTCTAAGCACATCGTTCTGCACAATATCAAGCATCTCCTTCATTTGACAGAAAATCAGGGCTCGATGAGGGCTAACGTAACTTGCGCCTGTGGCTAATTCTCCCTCAGCCGAAGGGTCGGCCCCAATACCGCAATCGATCAGTAAATCGCGAAGCGCGCTAAGTTTTGGAGCATGAGCAATATCCCGAATGTTGGAGTTCTTGGATGCAAGAAGTTTTTGGACTTGGTGATATTGTTTATGTCCCTCTTTCATCACTAAAGCTGGCGAATTGCAAAGTCGTCTCATGTATTGCAAAGCTTGGAAGATGTGTTCTTTGGCTTCCTTTTCGCTACTGCCAACCTTATTGGCGATGTCTTTCTGTTCCTTGTGCGTAAAATCTTCGAATAATTTACGCTGGAGATCACTTAGGTCACAGTAATAATTCTGCAAAATCTTCGGTGGAAGATCGTTCAAAACTTCTTCCTTCAGACGACGTAGTAAGAATGGAAGAACCTGCTTGTGCAATGCCTCGATCGCCAATGCACCCGCTTCTTGCTCTTTGGAAGATGACTTGCTGAATCGACTAGCGGCAATTGGTTTTGCGAATCGTTCGAGAAATATCTTTTCTGTACCGAGGAACCCAGGCATTAAGAAATCGAAAAGGGACCATAGCTCTAGGACATTGTTCTGAATAGGAGTTCCAGACAAGATCAAGCGATGGTTGCTAACAATGCTCTTCACTGCTAGGGTAATTTTCGCTTTTGGGTTCTTGATCAAATGCCCTTCGTCCAACACACAATAGTTCCAGGATATGTTGGCCAGGATTTCGCTGTCGTTTCTGCAGATATCGTATGAGGTGATCACCACATCTACCGAGTCAAGTTGCTGTCGCACCTTCGCTCGCTCCCCAGGCGGTCCCATATAAGCCACGCACGAAATAAACGGTGCATATTGTTTAATCTCTTGCTGCCAATGGCCTGAAACACTAGGGGGGCAGATGATTAAGGACGGCAGTCGGCGGACCTCAGGAGCTTGGGTTTTGGCGAATTCCTCTGCGCGAAGATGGTGATCACTTGCAACGATACAGAGGGTCTGTAACGTTTTTCCAAGACCCATGTCATCGCAAAGAATACCGTGGAGGTTGTAACGATTCAAGAACGCAAGCCAGTTGACACCTTCTTGCTGATATGATCGAAGTTCCGCTTTAATGCCAACAGGGATCTTGAACGGTTCAACTTTGCGTACGTCCAACATCTGGGCCATGAATTGTCTTTCACGGTCCCTACCTTTGAGCAAGTCTTCAGAAAGGCCTGGCGGGTCGGGAATGCCGGCTTCGAGAGGAACGAGTTTGACCAGTGTTGCGAAAGCAGTTGTTGCTAACAGTCGGACGTCGTTGTCCGAGTCACTCATACGTCCAAGGACTGGAACAATTAAAAAGATCACGTAGGGCAGGATCTGGTCTTCCATGACATGAATCAAGTGGTAAATGCACTCAATAGCACCCTGTCGATGATGGACATCCACTGCGTTGTTTATTGTAGGCAATACCTTCTCAACAAGCATAGTCATGCCATCAACTGGTATAACACTGCATAATGTGGCAAAGCACTTCGCTGCAGCGTATCGAATGACGGAGAGCTCGCTCTGTAACGACTTGGCGATGATAGGCATAAGTTCGATAATCCAGGGGTATAGTCCAGGGTCGAATTTTGGAACCAAAGCTCGCAAAGTTGATAGGCCGTCAACAGTTTCTTGTCCGAGCGTGTTGGATGGGTCTCTGATATCCGCAGGGAGTTCGCCGGTGAGAGCCTCTCGGACAGGATTCTGTATTAAGCTTGCGATATTAGGGACCTTGTCAAATAACCTGGGTCCAAATCTACCCGCCAGCTGCTCCAGCGCTTCCTTTGCACCACGTCGCATGACTCTAGCTTCCTTCGACTCCCTTTCAAACTTGACACTATCAACTGGATCTCTCTTATCTTCTTCCTTGCGCAGGGATAAAACTGCCTTCTCCAGGTGAGCGTTGTGATGGAATTCCGGAGTCTCTGAAGTATCGACGCAGCAGAATTTGACGAGATTGCCAATGATCTTGTCGACAGGTCCACGTTTGGCGGCGCTAGTATAATATTCTATCAAGGATGAAATGGCACTGGCTGACCTCCTCTGTAGTTCGACATTCTCCTCCTTCTTGATACTGTCCATCACGGCCTTGATGAGATAGCTTGGCTTTTTAGGGATATTCTGTAGAGAGACCAGGGAACTAGCAATCACAGCACGGATTCGCATGTCTCGTTGCTCCTTGATTTCTTTGGCCTCTTCAACAGTGGCTTGGGCTGTTGAGCGAGAGTCATTAAGGACTTGTAGTGCTGTTAGTCTTTGAGTCGGGGTAAGTTCTTTCCTAAGGCGTTCGAAGTCCGGCCCTAGGACCTTTTCTGCATCCCGTATCGCAAAAGCATTGGGCCCTGCCTCCGGTTCTCCTTGAACAACCACAGCAAGAGTAGGCAGTTTGGAAGGTGAGACGTGCGCGTGATCTCGGAATGTATTAAGCAGAGAGTGGCATTGTGATCTGGAAATTTGCAAGTAGCAAGCAATATCGCTATACCACGATGGTCGATCGTTTTCAATTAGAGGGTTCAGCCATTCGGACAGTACCGGTGGATAGGGCGAGCCTGGGTCACGGTTTTTCGCGTATTCTTCTACCACCATAGCGGCTGTCAATTGAGACGTAGATCCGGGCCAGTTTAAACAAGGTAATATGCCCTGCCACAGATCCGAGCCATTGGCAGTTTGCCATACTTTCAAGAATCGTCCAAGCGCGGAGGCGGCGTAGATTTTCGATCTAATCATAGTGTCCATGCCGACTAAATCAATGTCACCTTGCAGCATGTGGCCATCGACGTTATGCGAGGTAATTGGTGGTGGCTCCAGCTTTTCAACCTTGCGGCGACGCCCTCGTACAGGCTCAGAAGGAGTGTTCGGGGACTGCCGCCTCGGACCTGAGGGAGCGGAAGAGTAAGGTAGGCCAGAAGGTCGAATGAAGAGGCAAACGTCCATGGGAATTGGATATCGGGGTACACCAAATGGATTCATAGTTGCCGTAATCAGAGGCTGTAACGAACCGACAAGCTGGTCTCCACTCATCAAGTTGCGGTGTTCGGCAACCTTTAATATCTCGCACCATACTTGCAGTGATAACTTGAGAACCGGTTCGTTGCGCTCGACTAGTAAGTTTTGGAATATCAGTCTCATGGCCTTGCCATCCACCCATGTGTTTTGACCTTCAGTGTCCAATTCTAGGAAGGTGAGCAGTGCCCTAAGCACAGCCGATCGCACGCTGGAAATGGTATGACGGAGGAACGGGAATAGCCTTGGTACCAGATTCCCAAATGAGGCGTTGGAGTCGTGCACTGCATTGGCCTTCATTGCCTCTAGCACTTGAGGGAATGTGCAGAGCTTCGCAAGAAGATCCATGACAGATCCCGTACTGGCGCTAAGATCATCCTGCAGGTTCGATAGACAGTTCCACACCACTTCTATTAAGGCGCCCAGGGAACCGCCACGGAGCTTAACAAAGTCATCGGCAATGGGTATCAAGGTCGCTGCACTAACAGCACGGACGTCATCATCATAATTATCCAGCCCCTTCATTACAGCTTCAATAACACCGTCGAGTACCGTAGATTCTTTCATTAAAATATCCGTGCGAACGGCGACAAGGTACTTCAACCCAATCATGCCACCATGACATACTTCCCAGATGGGTTTTCCGAGATCAAGATCGTTCTGCATCACCATCCTATGAAGAATATGGTAAACGCGAGTGACTGATTTGTCAGGCAGATGAGACAATAGAGCACCCATCGTCTGACCAACAGTCTCTCGAATCGGCGCTACAACGTTATCTGAAATGTAATCACCGAATCGGTCCAGCATGAAGACGCAGAGTAAGCGGCAGGCCAGATCGCCCAGCCAACGATGGTTTAAAATATCGTTCTCCGCTCTCGTCTTACCATACTGCCGTCCGGCTCCATGGCCCTGAACTCGGATAACCTCTCGGAGACCCATGGCTGCACCATGGCGAACATCCCAGTTATGGTCGAACAGGTCCACCATCAAGATCTCGCACATGCGCTCGTACGGCCATTCTAGATCTTGTCCGTCGGAGGAAACTGTTTGGATGAATGGTTTTTCGGGGACTGCGGCACCCTTGAACTCCTTTACGACCTTTGAATCATCATCGGGCCCTTCCCTCTTGATAGAGAAGTAGTCGTCCTTGGCGTCCAGGTCTTCTTCGCCGTTTTCCTTCTTAACTGGGTGTGGAGTAGAGACTTCGGTGGGTGTAGCTACGGCATCAGATCCCTTTCGAACAGCCAGGTCAACGATACGGATCTTGTTGGCGCCCAACTTGGCGGTCTGTTTGTTCTTCCGCTTCAGCTGGTTGAGCTGGCGTTTGCTTAGGCCATGGTCATCGCCATTGGCAGATGGAGGGGGATCATGGGGGGAGGCCTCTAGCGGCGAATCACGATTTAGTTGGTTTAGCGGACGGTTGAATGCGCCAACTGAAGTGTCCAAGGCAGGAGGAGGTTTGGGAGTATGGCTGGGTTTCCGCTGTACGCCATTGCCATTATTACCCATTTCGGTATCATTGATGAGATCCTCCTCCAGGTACTCGCCGGCAAGCCCGAGTCGGCCTGCCAGTGTCTTCTTCTGTTGCTGCAGCCTAGAAATAGGATCTAAGCCGGCAACTGCATATTCATATTCTTTACCACCACTGCCAAGCAGTTTATGGCCGTACTTGAGAACCGAGACGATATCCAAGGTTTCGAGGTCAAGCAGCTCGTCTGGCTCTTTGGCATTCTCTTCCTTCTTCGCCTCGACCTTGGGGGTGGTATCATCTGCTGGATCGTCTGAATTCGGGTCCAGCTTCTCCGCGAAGGAGACTATGCCACCGATAGCCTTGGCGGCAGCTGTCCTGGTATCCCATGATCTCGACCGGAGATATGGAAGGATGCGTCCCAGCAGGTTAAAGAGCTCATCCGGGTGCTGTTTCTGGACATCTGCCAGCTGCTGGGCCGCGGTGTTCCTGATAACCTGCGTGCTCCCTGTCTCTAGGAGGCTGTTTTATACATCATCATGTGACCCGTTAGCCGCCAAGCCTTTTTTTTTCTGTAAGCCCAACTATTAGTCAGCAGAAGACGTTACTCACGTGACAAGACGATCTAGCCTACTGCAGTAAGGGTCAGCATCTTAGTCAGCAGTGGATGTGCGAGGAAGTCCCGTGATTGGGTCGCCACTAACCTTGAACCCATCACAGCTCGCTCACTTCTTCCTTATTCACCTTTTCACTTTCCACGCGCTAAGGGCTGGATGGGAAGTAGATTGGGCCTCTCCGACTGCCCCCGGACCGACCAACGATCAGCGACACGTTTTTCCACCCAGGGTAAAAAAACCAAAAAAAAAGATGAAAGGTAAAAAAAAAAAGGATTAAGCACAGTTAGGAGTGAGAGACCGAAGCAGCCGAGAGACTGACATTCCCATCATCTAGTAGAAGAGTAAGTAGAAGGGAACAAGCGCGTTCGGGGAGCGAGGTGTAGGGTGGACCAGAGAGACCTGTGTGGAAGTTAGAGTGACAACGGGGGAAGCATGGCCCTCCCGGGCGAGTATAAGTACTGGCCTAAGGCTGTGTGTGGATGGGGGGTGGAAGGGGGCGAGAGGAGACTCTGTTTGGCGGCCGGGTTCAGAGATTTATTCGAGGTCGCGCAGGATGTTTATATCATCGGGAACAGCGTCTTGCTCTGGCGCTGCGGCTCCACCCCGCTAATCCTGTTTGGGACATGGCGCCCCCTCTATCCCTGCGCCGCTATAAGGGCACGTGACATGGCCCCTGACCACAGGCGAGGACGACGAGACGAGACGACGAGGACGAGGACGAGTATGGAGAGGACAAGGGGACAAGTACGGAGACGAGAGCTATATGGCAGGAGTATGTTATTCAGTTCAGTAGTTATAGAGTAGATATCAAGTATATACGATGTGATGTCGATGCTAATGCAGGCACAGTACGGACGATCCTTGGATGCCGGACAGCGATATCGACAAGCTTCCGGGGGAACACGTAGACGTACGACGATAGTAGACGCGAGACGTGAAGAGCGAAGTATGGAGGAATCCTGCTGCGCTGTACGTGAAATGCTTGAGGTCACATGACTAGCTATATGAAGAAACCCTTGGCAGCCTCACTGTGTCAGAGTGATTTATATGGATGTAGGATTGGAGGAAGGTGAAGAGCATTCCAATAGACTCGTCATGTTAGTAGCTGCTGCAACTAGTGATCCAGTGTCAATAACTCGGTATGCCTAATCCAGATACTCCAACTTGGTACATAAACCACTCGCAGTACGAGTGCCATCGACTGGAAAGACTACCATGGTTATAAAGATAGTACAGTAATATACTGGTCAACACTAAACGGCAACGAGTAGAAATAGCCTTAAGCTAGTATAATCAGAGCAATGGATTGCAACGTCGGAAGCCGAATAATAGGACACGAACTCCACCGCTGGGTACAGGAAGCGGACATGGAGAACATCTAAACCCTCAAAAATATCTTCCCTTTCCTCCTCTATTTACACATAAAGACCCCTTCCTCTCAGGAACAGGAACGCCTTGATCATGACGACTTATTCGCATCTTCCTTGCCTAGCAGTCCTAACGAGCTTATCTGTTCGGCTCTAGGCACGTTCTCTCTCGGATGGGAAGCCATGGCCTTTCGGTAGGCGATTTGCATTTCTCGCGTTCTCGCAGCCTGTCAATGCCGGAATATCGATTAGCTTGTATTCGAAGAAAAGTCATGCTTCGGCTGCACGTCGGTTTATAGTGGGAATGAAAGAAAAGCATGGGCTGCTGACCTCTTTCTTGTGGTGTAGGCATTCATAGTAATCATCTAGTGCTCCGACGCATTTCTTCTTGCCTTCCTCTCCCTCCGCTGAGTTGACGACGTAGCAGCCGAGCAGGTCCTGCCAGAAGGGAAAACACCGGGACACACCTAGCCGTAAGTCAGTCGTGTTAGCAGTGCCGATATCGCGCCTCTCCGCGGGGTGATTGGGAGCAAAAGACAGGCGAAAGAATCGTATATGTACGTACCACCGTGAAGGCCGTAACCTGAAGCCATTGTGTCTCAATTGCGTGCGTGAGGTTGCGATTCCAAGGTGAACTGCGGTCTGGCTGTGATGTCGAAAGCGACGGGTTGTTCCACGATCAGAAAGGTGGTCCAAGCTTTTTTTCTTACCAATGCGAACAAAGTGCCACATCTTATCAACGGTGTATGTACAGTATTTACTACTCACGTCGATCAACCAGCACACCTTTTTGGCGGTTGACGATGATAATATTAAAAGATGACGGGCCTTGCAGGTTTATCTGATGCGCATGTAGTCCTCTTAGCCGTGCAGCTCTGTCTGAATGGCGATATATCGGGACTGCCCTCTCTCAAATACCAAGCTCCGCATACCCTCTACTTGGAACTCCTCTTTCGAATAATCTTGACATTCCTACCTGAGATTATAGAACCTGAGCAGTATACTCCTGTTATCCAGCAGCTTGTCGATGGTTCTGCGCCTTCGACCTGCGACTTAGATACGGATGTTGCCTCTATTCGAGAGAAATCCGAATCCGATGCTCGACGACAAGTCCGACACTTGAGACTACTCCCCCTCCGCTGCCCTGCAGTTACTATCGATGCCGACTCACCGCCGCTTATCCAGTTCCTCATCCATCGGGCGCATAGAATCGATGCCGAAGTAGGCCTGCAGCTGTACATCCTGGAACTAGTCGACCCGTTCATGTCAGCGTCCGACATTCTTCGTGACTGGACCATCTCTATCGTCTTGCCTGCGCTCCGATTCAACTACGAGTACCATCCTGACAATGAAGGTGCCTTGTCGTTGGAGCTTATAGAATCACTGGACTCGAGATCCGCTGTGAATATTCTGCTATCCGCAGTTGAACGTCATGAGAAGGGCGGAGACGTTGGTCGAGATTTAAAGGGCCTGATTGGGCCATGGATGTACGGACACGTCAGGTCGAAACGACGGAAGCTAGATGAGGACAGCGCAGACGTCAGTATTGCCTTAGTTGACGAAGGATGGCAAGACGTGAATGAGTGGATATTGTCGACAAGCATTCGAGACTTTCACCTCGCCATCGAAGCAGTAGAGCAATGGTCCGGACCGGAGGATATAAACCTCGGTGACTACGATGGTGTGCAATGCGAAGAGCCATCCGCCGATACAGAGAGACTGGTAAATCGTTACGCGCAAGCTGGTCTTGCGTCGATATACGCACTTTCCGAGGGCGGTTATGGGCTTATATCCGGCGCCTCACGTATATTATCGAGGGTTGCAGATTTTATCCACTTCAACGATCAGCTACAAATCAGCAACACCAGTCTTCATCCTGTCTCCTTGGACATCTCAACATTACAGAACGTTTCGCCGCAACATTTCCTACACAACGTACTACTGAACCCTTCGAACCCTCTTACATATCCCACGAAGCAGTCGGTATCCTTCACCGACGCCATCCTGGTGTCAATCCGCATACTTGACAAGTATGGCCGTTGGATGTCACCTCGAGCCGCGGCGGAGTTGATGCTATTAGGACACGCCGATGCACAGTTATTTGAACTACGAAAGTTACTTGAAACTCTCAATCACCAACACCCCCCGCAAAAGGACTGGAGCCAGATTAGGGACAGCTTACTCTGGCTACACAGCTGGGGAGGCAGCACCAAGTCAAAAACACCACGAGGTCTATTTTGGCGAGTTCAGCCTCAGAAGCTAGAACGAGAAATTTTGACTGCTTTCTTGATGGCCAAGGGTGAGTGTTTAAAGCTAGCTAGTATATGACTTGTCCATTCAGCTAACAAATACCTTTCGAAAGAATACAACCTTGCGGTAGAGGTATATCTCAATTCGTCTGGTTCAGCGCCACTTTCTAGAGACGACGTCGAATCAGCCGTGACTGAAACGATATTTGCTTCATACGACAATGCAACCAATGGCAACAAGACTAGAGGTGGAATGAGGCGTGCAGCTGATATGTAAGGAACATTCCATCCTAGAGGCTACTGGAAGCTATATTCTAACCCCAGCCCTACTACAGACTTGATGCATTCGCTCCCTACTTTCCACAGTCTCTCGCGTTCCAACAGATTAGCTCCTTGTTATCAGCAACGCACGCTCTGTCGTTTTACTCCCTAACACTTCAGCATGGCGTACCATTCCAGCCCGTCAGCATCCGCGTGCATCAAGACCCAATTTCATTAATTGAGAAGGTTCTAGAGCAGAACCCAAAGGGGTATACGCAACTCGACGATCTATTGGCCATCGGTCGAAACCTGGTCTCAGCCGGTCTCCCATCGGGGCAAAATGACTCCGATTCCAAAGGCCACGATGAAGCCACGGTATCGGCGGAACGTCGTATCATGTCACTCGCGATAGCAGCGGCTGTGAATGCGTCCGACTTCGACACAGCATACTCCTACGTAGTCACACGTGTGATACCTCCGTCCCTGGTCCCCGGCGGTGACAGTTCGACAGATTCAGCCGCCACAGAGGACGACATCTCATGGCGCGCGGCCTACAACACTGGTCGTCATCGCCCCACCGTCAAAGAATCCCAAGACACCACGCTTGGATCAAGCATAGCACGTCTGTCACAGCGCATGGAGCTGCTATCCCTTGCCCTGATCCTCGCTCCGTCCCCTGAATATCTACCTGAGATCCTCGCTGTCTGGCGCCGATGTGACGAGGAGATGTCTTCCCTGCAGGAACAGGAGATACAGGAAGCCGAGAGCTGGGACCATCAGGGCGACAAGGGCCGCATGGGCGCCAGTGCCCTCCCCGGTGGCTTCGGCCCGTCCGGCAGCGAGCTCGATGCTCTGGATACGGAGTGGGAGCGCGAGCGACGGGCGCGTTCCACACGCCAACCGCAGAGACCTAAACTAAGCGGATACGAAGAGGCACCCATGGGACTGTTCGACGTTGCTCGAGGTGCAGCATCAGCCTTGCGCAAGAATGCTTTCCCACTGACTGCGTCTAACCCGACGACGACGACGACGAGCTCAAGTGAAGTGACCTCCGGAGCAGACGGCGAGACCACACGCACGAGGAAGAGGGATGTCGTCAGTAACTTGGTGACGGGCGGCCTGGTCAGCGGTATTGGATGGGTTATCGGAGCCCCGGCCACTGGCTCGAGTCATCCTGGAAGCCCAGAGTGAATTATGTTAATAGACGAATCATGATAATGCTCCCTGATATGAACCGCTTTTTAATCTTACAGGCCAGAATAAATGAGGAGTATCCCTACATATATCGCCATCCCACGTATTATAACATCCTACCTAGCCGTAGATCAGATACGTCACCGTTTGACTTTGGATATCGCTACTCCGCCTCGCTGCGGTCTCAAACCAGCCATATCCACGAGATGTTGATCCACGTATGCCGTCTCGAACAAACGCTGCTTCATGCATTCAGTCTCGTCTCAGGGTGGAACAGCAGGTACATCGCCGCCACGGTAGCCAGTCGGATATCAAGCATAACGAGCCATAGCCCACAGACCAGTAAGAGCACAAGCTAGATCGGTTAACTATATTGCTAATACCGCCCAGGTACCCGTACAACCAGCGAGAGCTCCTATACAACTCTTTACAGCTTGTCGGCGGTACGACGGATAGCATCCTTGCCTCCATGCATGGCATCTGTATGCGTTGCTATTCATAGAAGAAGGCTTGGATCTGTGTTTTTCTCTCTGCAGCCCTGACTGTCGTTTGATCAGATGGCCTCGCATCCCGCTGGCCTTGATCTCTTCAGTTCCTGCGGTATAGGCCAATGGCCGTCTGGGATGCTGGTACATCCCGCGAAGTAGACGCCATGTTTAATGTTTCAGCCCCCATGCAGGTGTCTCGCCTATGAGACTGCGATGAGGTCGAAGGCGAAGCACACGATGCAGACATCGGGCAGCAGTTGTATTTAGATCAGACACAGCCTCTTCTATATCTATATCATACCTAGACTAGCTATAGAAAAAGAAAAGAGTCGTTTGCTGATATTGATCTTCTCGGCGCTTGCAGAAACATCAAGATAGCCATCCCATAACATCGACATATATAACATCGATATATAACGAATAACAGTTCCGTCGACATCGTACATGAAACACAACGGCCCAAGACCCCGTTTTTACCCTCTTCTAAACTGTCTGGCCTGCCCTGGTCCCTGGCCCGATATCAGCTCGTTAAGACGTCGGCGCTTCTGCCTGCAAAAGAGCTGCACTGCAACTGCAACTGCACACTGCACCACTGCACTCTGCATCGTGCAATCACAAGGGGAGAAAGGGAGAAAAGTCAAGGAGGGGAGACGCTCGCTGCATCCTTGCTCCTGTTCGCTCGCTCTCGACTGACGACTGACGACGCTTCGTTCCTTTTCGCCTCCGCCATTCACTGCTTTACTCTCTAAACGCCCTGCCCTGTCCAGGCGACCAGGACAAACAGCAAATAAGACACCGCGAGCCCTCGCTGGATCGCCTCCCGCTGTCCTCGTCGACCTCCAATAAGATCTGTCTCGACCGCCGGTTCTTTGCTCCTCCTAATTACTTCATCCCGTCAGGGATCTCCCCGCCATCCGTTTCATCGATCCACGGCGAACCGACCGGTTTTTCCTCAGCTTCGAGTCAAATACCTGACCTCTACCCGTATCATCACTATCAACAGGCATCCCTCCAGCTTGTCTCTCGAGTTGCTCGCCTCTGTGATTGACTCACGTGGCTTTTCTTTTCACCATGACCTCTCCTGCTCCGCTGCTCAAGCCTCCAGTGCCTGGTGCACACCGCAATAAACGGCCACCGCTCACCGTGGGAATACCGCCGTCTCCAAATGCGAAGCCCGTCAACCAGAGCGGCGCCGCGGCTCCGGCCCTGCCGCCCATCGCCATCTCCCAGAATCCTGCCCGCCAGCTTCCTCCTGCCCTGAGACTGGCTACGCCCACGGGCAAGGGCGTGCATCAGGATAGCAACGCCCTGCACAACGGCCGTCCCGTCCAGCAACACTACAATTCAACCGGCTCGATAGCTGATAACAATGTACATTCGAGGTCAGGAAGCTTTACCGGGCCTGACAGCAAGAGCAGTGGGCCTCCCACCTCAGCTACATCGTCTACACATTCGGCCTTCTCGTACGCCTTTGGCCTTCGACAGCCTCATGGGTCGACGCCGGACCCGTCATCCGCCATCAGCTCCGTATACTCTGACATGGGTGATGGGTCGGCAATGGAGAGAGAAAACAACGTCAACGGCCTGACTGATCTCGATAAGCTAAGTCAAGAGCTGGGACGGCCGCTGGACGTCGAAGATCTAGACGATGAGCGGTGGCTTGCTGCTAGCGAGCAAGGGAAGATCATCGAGTTGGATAGCCTTGGAGAAGGAGCTGGTGGGGCAGTTACTCGATGTCTCCTCAAGGGAGGGAAGACAGTGTTTGCTTTAAAGGTGATTCTCCCCTGCTACTTCATAGGTGTATCCAATTGCTAACCCGTTCTCAGATCATTACCACAGACCCAAATCCAGATGTCAAGAAACAGATAGTTCGAGAGCTTAATTTCAACAAGGGCTGTGCGTCAGACTACATATGTCGATACTACGGTGCGTTCGTCGACCGGTCAAGCAGTTCGATATCGATCATCATGGAGCTATGCGAGGGTGGTAGCTTGGACAGCATCTACAGAGAGGTGAAGAAGCTCGGTGGCCGAACAGGAGAAAAGGTGTTGGGGAAGGTTGCTGAAGGTGTCCTGAACGGGCTAACGTACCTTCACGGCCGGAAGATCATTCACAGAGGTATGCATTGCTCAACAACAAAAAAAAGAGAGACCAAAACTAATCGCATCTATCTTATAGATATCAAACCATCCAACATCCTCCTCTGCCGCAACGGTCAAGTCAAGCTTTGCGATTTCGGTGTCAGCGGTGAATTCGGAACCAAGGGTGATGCAAACACCTTTATCGGCACCTCTTACTACATGGCCCCTGAAAGAATCACAGGACAGTCCTACACCATCACATCCGACGTTTGGTCACTGGGAGTTACACTGCTCGAAGTTGCACAGCATCGATTCCCATTCCCTGCCGACGGAACCGAGATACAACCCAGATCAGTCCTCATCGACCTCCTAACCTACATCATCCATCAACCTATCCCAAAACTAAAGGACGAACCACACAATGGAATTCACTGGAGTGATAACTTTAAATACTTCATCGAATGCTGGTATGTATTATATCTTATCCCTTATTTCCTCCACATATTGCTAACACTATCCCCATAGTTTGGAGAAAGATCACCCTCGACGAGCAACGCCTTGGCGAATGCTGGAACACCCATGGATGCTCGAAATACAGAACAAAAAAGTGAATATGGCGCACTTCCTGAAACAGGTATGGGGTTGGAATGATTAGGACTCTAGCAGCAGAAAGGAACAAAAAAAATCCAAGAAAAAGACGAAAAAAAAAAAAAAAGAAAAGCAACTTTTAGAAGTCATTTGAATTGGACGGGCGCTGGGTCGACCCGTAAAACAAACTCCTTCATTCATACAACAACCTCCCATTTCGCCTGTTTTTCTGTTCACGACGAATTGCATTGAATTCGATTCCACCAGCCTGCGCTCACCACGCCATATTATTACCAATCACCTACCTACTACCTTTTGGCTTAGGATATATATGGAAGGATATCATGCCCGTTTTCCCACATTTCTTCAACATTTCTTCCCTCTTCTCTTATCATCTACCCACCTGCCACACTAACGACTTTCGGACAACATGACTTCGATGAGTTCTTTTTATTTCTTCGATTCACTTGACGACATTCATCGCTATCCTCTTTCTTTCCACGATCACCCTCCATTGAGATTTGAACCAACCCTCCCCGAAAATGCCTATTGACGCATCAAGCCATTGTTTATTGCCCTTTTCACTGCAGTAGTCGGAGTCCGGATACCTATCTTTCTATCTTTATTCTTCCCCCGCCGATTTATTTTCAGCTTTTTTATCTTTTTCAAATATAACTACTATAAATGAGAACTATGATTATCCGTCTTCTTTTTCTTTTTTTCTTTTTTTTTTTACTATTTCTATATTCACCCTGCTTATTCTTCCCTTTTTCCTACTCTGCTGCGATTTCCTTTCCTTTCCTCTTGCAAAATTTAAGAACAGCACAGCGCATTATAATATTTATCCTAGCTGCTTAAACTTTTTATATTGCATTTGAGCTCTCCTGCGTTCTTGCTGAGAAATTTGTTTGACACAAACATCCATCCATAGCTTGGCTTTCATGTCGTTTTTCATCGCTATACTACGTCATTGCAAGCGTGTTAGCCTGCCCCGCTTAATCTTTCTCACATTACCTCTAAATCTATATTACAGGATGAAATAGTAAATTGTTCCCCATTCTATATTTATCTATATCCATGACGCGCCAACATTTATAACAATCAATGCTACACCAGGCTACCACTTACTTACCTTGGAACACGGAGTTAAAATCTAGTTAATTCAAAACTCTCCTTCCGTCAAACTTCCTCCTGTCAGCTGCCGCGGGTAAACATCCGAACCCCTTGCCTTGTATGTCCGGGATATATTTTGTTTATTACCTAACTCGACGTTTCATATCATCGGCTTCATATGGGGTGCGGCTTAGATCGCTCGCATGGTTCGGCTTCGGCAGGCTTGCCAGGTACGGATACTTCCATTAGCTTACTAGCTTATGAAAATTATAGCTCACGGTCTGCGTGTACTAATTGGCCGTATCGGAAGATGCCTCTTTTGGAACTTTTCTAGTATGTTTTGGCTATAGTGATATCCGTCCGAAGTAAACATGGTACGTACCCCTTGATCGCCGCCGAGGCGGCCGGAACAATACGTAAAGAACGCAAGGAGAAGAGATTATATTGGCAAAGGCTTATGTTGTAAAAAGTCTTAGCAAAGGACCTTGCGGGATAGCTATGTTGTCAGGGTCGCCATAGTTTCACCGAGGGCTCAAAGAGGCTCTATCATAAGTCAACATCAGCTCACGTTTCATCAACCGGTAGAATAAGAGTGGTGATACGGCCACGCCTTTCCATACCGCGGTCTTACTAAATAACCAAGGAGTATGGCATTAACTGGGGAGGTATATAGATAGCTGGAAGCTCTCCGTCTCACCACAACCCGTTTTTATATTAACCACGTGACATAGAAACTGCCCCTTGAGTGCCTTTTGAGGTCTCTATTCCAGTCGTAGTAAGTCAATACCACCTGAAGGAAATATGATGCTACTATGTCGGTGTAGGATTACGTCGTACATATGCTGATAAAGAATATGGGCTGGCCGGAGCGGCTGGTCGAGGATGCGAAGAGGAAGAATTAAGCGGGAGATGGCTCTAGGCGGAGGTACTATTGTTTGCCGCGCGTTGTATGAATCTAGACACCACCCGCCCGCACAAAAGATCTGAGCACGTATGCAACTTTCTCCCCCCTTTGCGTTAATATATACAAATAACACCCGCTATCGGTGAGCTTGTTCATTGCTTGGCTTGCATTCCGATACGCTCCAATTCTTCATCGATCTTCTTAAAGCTCCAAGACTGATAAAACGGGAAATAGAGGAACGGCCGTAAATCATAGCGGTTGTCGTCAGGGCTATAATCGTTCGAATGTAAAGCCGGTGTCAAAGTTGTCATCTTATGCCGGTTGATGGCATAATAATGGTAAAACCTCTTCACCTTTTCAGCTACCTGCTGTGGCGCAAGGTGGTTCCAATCGTGTACAAGTCGTTGGAACATGCCATACGGTCCTAGCTTGTTGTACTTCCGCAACCGGCCAAACGTACTCAGCTCGTCGTAGGTCATACTCATATCTGCCTCATCGCTTTGAACGTATTGTTCTGTGATAGGCTCCAACTCGGCGGTGGGCGTGGCTTCGAGGAAATCGCGCAAACACGGCAGAGAGAAAGCTTCTTCTGCCCATGCAACGAAAAGTTTAAGGTCGCCTTTATCAAGGCCTCCGATGGGGTTGATGTCGGCGCTAGAGCAGTCATATTTCGTGTAATAACCGCGCAGCGCCTCACCGACGTTAGCTGATCCGAGGACGAGAAGTGCTCCACCGTGCGGACGTTTGCGAGTTGTAGGGAGCATCTGGGCGAATTCATATGCCGTTACCATCCGACTGCGCGCTTGAATGTTTTGCAACATCAGGTTTTCCGCATTGGTGCCGCCTTGGCTCTTGAACTTGGGGTCGAAGTTTAGATACTTGACAATCAGGTTCTTTTGGGCCTCGTAGACATCGTCTATGTCTAGATTAACGTGGTAGGCGCCAATAGCTCCGGAGAGATCCTTTGCTCGTTGTCGTGTTTCCTTTGACGATTGCTTCGACATTCCCATGTAGACTGTGTGGAAAATCTGGTTACATAGTTCCTGTGGTGTCTTTGGCAGCTCGTCCGTGTAGTCCGCTAGCCGCTTACAGTCTTTAATAACCTGCTCGTTTCCCTCTTTGATTGCATCGGTGACGAGTCGACACATTGAGAATACAGTAACAGCCGTGGCACAGCTATCAATCCCACCAGATAGTGGAACAAGGAATCCCGCAGTGCTGGATCGTCGAAGGTAATCCCACAGCCAGCATCCGGTGGACAGCGCAATCTCTTCCGCTGGTAGATAGTAACGTGGCTGTATTACCAAGCTAGGCCTCAATGCCGTATCTCGGTCTCCCCTGTCAGAGCTAAGACTGAATTCGGTCTCTATTCGTGTATAGACTCCAGCCTTGATAGCTTGGTGACCGCGGGATGGAACGCATCTATAAGACCGGACTTCTTCCAGGTCCACAACTGCAGTAATAACATCAACTTCGTCAAGAGTGAACTGGTTTCCCTGCGCAACGAGATTGCCATTGACGATAATCATCGCACATCCATCGAAGTAAAGACGGTCACCGTCACAGCCCAAATGGTTGGAATATAAGTAAATACCTCCATTCTTCCTTGTGGCCTCCATGATGAGGCTAACGCGGACATCAAGTTTCCTCAACGTATGATGAGATCCAGACGAATTGGCCATTATCTCGACTCCATTCAAGCTCATGTCATTATGAGGCGACTGAGGAGTGAAGAGTTCCTCACACGTTTCAATACCGACACAGGTGTCTGCTGTAGAGATCACGGCATCTCCAATAGGCACCTTTGTCGAGCCCTGTATCTCCCTCACCATCCTTGGAAGGTAATGTTCCTCAACGTGCCTTGGCCCAACCCAAGGAATAAAGTGTCTCATTTCCCTATAGTTTCCATCGTTTGCAAGCCATAGCTTTGGCCGGATAAGCAAGATCTTCCCATTTAAACAAATGATTCGGCAATTGAACCGATTGTTTCGATGCATAACCGGCATGCCAATATCAAGTAGTATATCATCGCAGCTTCTATCCTTGAGAATAATGCATAGCATCTCCCAGCAATGGAGATATAGATCGGCTTCGTAAAAATGATCAAGACACGAGTAGCCGCATATTTCAAGCTCCGGGCCTACCCTCAGAGTTGCCCCCGCCGCCTTTGATCTGTGTATGCTCTCGATAATGCGTCTGGTATTTCCTTCAAAATCGAGCGCCCAATTCCGAAGCGAGCAGCTAGCCACGCATGCTAGATGGCCCATTGTTGATGCAGAGGAAACTATCCGCTCTTTTTACTTTCTTGCAGACCAGCCGAGTATTGTTGGCGGGGTCACTCATATAGATATCCGAGGAGCCGAGGTGTCGGTGTCTCTAGTAGCAAGTTGCTCGAGATGGGTATGTGGCGGCAGTATAGTGTTTACACAAATACCTCGACCATTAAAGGAGAATATAGAGCAAGGAAATGAAAGAAAGACGTTGTATATCATGTTTCCATGAAGTGAATGTAGTCATGCCAGAACCGGACTTTGGTGGGCTTCGGACCGGTGAAACTGCAGTTCCGAGGTGTTTCCCATCAAAGGAACATAACTACCAGATTATCCGGCTAATCAGTGACATTCAATATCTAACTTATTTTACAGTGTTTGCCAACCAGGGCTTTCATATATTCTTTTAATTTAAGACAGTATACATAGTGATGGAGTAGTTGTCTATAAAAGTCAGGCCTGGAACCCGCTGACTCAGCTCGGGGAAGGACGGGTCCCTAGACGAAATCCTAGGCGAAAACCCGAAAAACTCCGCTTAAAATCCATCTTTGCGCAAAAGATCAGGCCATTTTTCACGCATAAAATGTCATTCTCACCTCAGAAGTTTGCTCTCGTTTCCACCGTCCAGTCAAGATCTCAACCTAGTCAATATCTCGCACTCCTTAATCTCCACAATCGCCTCTTGTCTCTTCAGGGTGTTTTCGTGATGACTCCATCTCAACCCATGTCATTCACGGGGAAGGTGGAAAAGGCGAGGATGACCAGCAGATTTTGATACCCGATCCAGTGGTCTTCGGAATCGTGGAGAATTTGAATGCAAATTCTCGACCGTTTGACTTGGAGAAGCGAACGATGACATTCCTGTCTCTGAGATCTCCGCGGAATGTCTCTTCCAAGAGGCATTCTTTTCTTTGCTGTCGTTCCACTTTTCGTTTAGGATCAAGCACATGGAGCGGCTTGCCCCCTGGTGATAGCAAATTGAAAACATCCCATTGGCTCGCCGGGTAGCTGTTAACGGTTATTTTGCGAGCTCGCTATGTGTCATGCATAAAATGACGTCCTAGAATGTAGCTCACCGGTACTTTCCCTGACGGCTTTAACATATATATAGCTGGCAGCTCTGCTCTCAATTGCTCTCATCTTGCTTGTTCATCATCAACAATTCAATAACCAAACTCCCAACGGTTAAGAGACCATCAGTTGTTACACACATTCAACTCAACTCACTCACGACCGGCAATCATGACTGTCATTAATCATTTGATCCAGCACGTCGACGAGGAACAGCTAGAGACCAGCATCCCTAGCCGTGTCAACTACCTCAAGTCGTTCCTCAAATTCACCGATGACGACGGTGCTGCCATCAACAGTGCTAAACCTCTTATCGCTCCCGCTCTCCCAGCAATCCTCGACACCATCTACACCAACCTAATCGGCTTCGATGTCACCGCCAAAGCCTTTGTACCACCTCAACCAGAGCAAGAGAAAGTCGAAGGCGCCGAAAAGACCACCGTCAACGACCTCTCACTCACCCACCCCAACGTCCTGCACCGCAAGGACTTCCTCAAGGCGTACCTCGTCAAGCTTGTGAGCAATAGCGATTGGTCCGACAGCAGCAAGTTCTGGGAATACCTCGATAAAGTCGGCGTCATGCACACCGGCAAGCCTGGATTCAAGCATCGTGAGAAGCGGCCAGAGCTGCGCGTCGAAGTGATGCATATGTCGTTGCTGTTGGGCTTCGTGGAGGATATCGTGCTCCAGGCAGTGATGGGAGCCGAAGAGTTGGATACTCAGACCAAGACGAACGTTATCAGGGCTTTCAACAAGTTGCTCTGGATTCAAAACGATTTGTTCCAGAAACACTATGTCACGAAGGCAGAGTAGATCGACGATGAGCTGTTTGACGCGGAAGGAAGCATTGCCCTGCTTCCATTAATAGCCATGAAGGGCGATGAGAAACGACACAACCACTCTGGAGTTATGGTGTTAGCGGTGGGAATCTCCAAAATAGATTCCCTTTGTTTCTGTTTTTGTTGCTAGATCTTGATGTGCTAGATACGGCATAGTAGAGCCTATAATTAGAATAAACAAACTAGAGATCGTCAAATTATCCATTTTCCTCTATTCGATACGTACTACCTGACATTTCAACCATCTTAACTTGGCAGATGTTTGCTTCTGAACAGGATGCAACTCTTCTAGACTCAATGTTGGCGTAAGTATGGAGTCGTGATGGATATATTGAACGATAAGCGGAGATCACCTGGTACTCCATGAGGCGAGATAACCGCACACAAGACGAGTAAAAATAGAAATGAAATACTCCGTACAATTGGGTCGACTCCAATTGCTTCTCCATGGATGATGAATACACGATCAGCGATGAGAACTTCACCGCCCAGCTCTCATCCTATAGCCGCTCGCCATGTCATCCTATCTTCAACCACGGCCGGCCTGTAAATTGACATCAGCAACTGTGCCGTCCGTGTCCATCGCATGACGAAAGACGGCGGCTACGATATCTCAACAGGGCAGGAGAGGTCGATGAGTTGGTGTGATCGTGGAGTAGAAGTGTGGAACTTGGACATGCATTTTGCTTCTCTTCAGTGGCAACGAATCTTCCAACGAGGCTTTCCTCTGCTTTCTTCTCGAGTACTCCGTATACGAGCGATAAGATATCCCGAAGACATGCAAAGGAAGCAGCCAGATTTTAATCATCCTCTTCGTGGCGCCGGTCCAGGCCTCCCCTTCCCCTTCCCCTTCCCCTAATCAAATATATCTCCTTTCAAAGAAACATTCAACATCGACGGTGGAACTCGCCAAGAGGACGGTGCCTTGGCCTTATCCACTGCAGCGCTGGGTCTGTTAAATATATGGAGCGAGATCTGGGCGTTTCATCTATCCAAGGCCGTGTGGACAGCGGTTTAGGGGCCCCTTGTCCATGTGCAAGCACAGCGACTCGACCGAGCAAGGCGGACTTGTGCCTGCCGCGTCATCGATCGACAGGCATCGAGATGGCTGTGTTCAAATGTGCTCGAGGGGGCCAAGCAAAAGAAAGCCAGGAAGCTTCTTTTTGTTGCTTGTGTCGGTGTATTTCGATTACTGGCATGCATGCATTTGCGCTCTAAGACATCGCGGTGACACAGGCAAGGAGTTAGACAATATGGCGCCAGCAGCAGTCGGTCTGTTTACCGGTTTGTTGTACGAGAATGCGCGATATCAAACGGACTTTTTACTCTTATGTTGGAGTTGGTGGTCGCGCGCTCTCTTCCATCGTCTACATCATGGGAATAACAGAGCGCGATCTTCAGGCACGAGCATCATGTCCGTCATCTCATTCCTCTGGCGCATTCGTGGTATACGGCTCTGGCTTCGGTAGTCGCAGGAATATCGAAATGCGGAGTAAGCCATCGTCCTGATCAACGGAGGATGGCGTTAGGCTTCGATAGCCGTAATCTCAGGGCCCATGATTGATATCGCCCTCCAGGCTGCGATTGAGCAGAGTAGAGTCTACTCCGTACATTCTACGGAGTACAGTCTATGGATGTTTGTACATGTCGACCCTGGCCTGCGCGATGTTCGAGAAGCGTCCTCAGTCTGACCGTCCCACAGCGTCGTTGGCAGCGACAAGGGGCCGACGCCACAGGATGGTCGGGCGAAGGGCGAGTCGCTTAACAGCAGCTAGACGAACACCCATGCTCTACACTATCGCCTTCACCGTTGAATCAGTGTCTCTACGAAGATGGAGAAATCAAAAGGATGACAAGATGTAATTATGAATACGCCCGCTGTATTATCCCCTAACCGGATCTGGCGGGAGTCCTTTACTAACTGCATATTAGGTTTCAGGGGCACAAGTTGTCGGTCAGTCAAGTTGATAAAAAAGACATGATAATGACGATAATGACGATGATAGTATGGAGCTCATCAGAGTGAGCAGCTGATGCTGGCGCTTACACGGGTTTGAGGAGTAAATTATCAGGATGGCAGCGTTCATCTCCGAGTGGTTAGAGAACATGGAAGACAGATGAACCGTACCTGCAGGAACCAGGAACGCCGACTGATTGGCGCAGAGTGGCGCTGATCAACTGGCAAATGACAGGCACACTCGAAGGCGATCTGATCTCCTCTCTGTTCTGATCTCCTTGGTGTGTTGCTGCCCTCGTATGACAGCGTGTGTAAGTTCCCGTACTGCAACAGCGGGCTTTAGGTCGAGAAGAACAGAGAACAGACCCAGAAAAAGGCACTGTTTACGGGCAGAGAGACTGCTGGCCTGCCTGATTGGTGATGTTGGCTTGCACACGGCCGGGGTTTCTCCCGCCCCAGGCGTCGACCAGGCGTCGACCCAGGCATAGGCCCAGCGTAGAGGCCGGCAGCAGCCAGTCGGGGTGGCCAGGGCAAAGCTGTTCCTGCTTAGCGGATGATTTGGCGTTGGGCTCGGGCTCCGGCGTGGCTAGTACGGCTAGGGGCCATGCAGCCAATTGGGGGATGGGAAGCCAGGCAAGATGGACATGCTCTCCTGCCAGGAACAAACACGGCCTGGGGCGCTCCACTCGAATGATAACCTGCCGCTGGACTGGAGGAGAGGCCCCCTATCCTTTGACCCACGTATGCAGGTGGACGGTGGATGTGGATGGTGGATGGCGGATGGAAAAAGGAGCAAGGGATGTGCATGGGCAATCTCCTTTGAACGTACAAAAGGGCCCATGTTCCGCCATCGCCCTCTTCCTTTCCTTTCTTCCCTTCCTTTCTCTCTCCATCACACTATTATTCTCTCAGACTTCGGTCATCACACTCTTTTAACTACCAGTCACTCATTAAAACAAACACACGAATTTCCCAACCAACCGGTCTTAACTCTTTTCTCCTTCTAACGACACTTCATTTCGAAATAAACTCAAGAAGTTATATTTTATATCAATCAAGATGCGTTTCTCCGTTGCCTCTGTCGCTTTCTTCGCCGGTGCCGCCGTTGCCATGCAGGGCTATGAGCAAGGTGGCTACGAAGCCCAGGGATACGAGTCCACCGTCTACTCTACCCAGGAAGTCACCATCACCTCTTGCGGACCTGAGGTCACCAACTGCCCTGCCTCCAGCCACCCAGCTACCGTTGCTCCCGTCCCAACCACCACTCCTGCCGGCGAGCCAGTCCCAGTCCCAACCTCTTACTCTACCGAGTTCGTCACCGTGACCGACTGCCCACCAGAGGTCACCAACTGCCCGGCCTCCTCCACCCGCGTTGAGACCAGCGTCGTCCCAGCTCCCACCGAGACCGTCGTCCCTACCGAGCAGCCAACCGGCCCCATGGGCACCGGCAACCTTCCAGTCCCAGTCCCATCTGGCACCGGTGTTGTCCCAGTCCCCAGCGGATCCAGCCCAAGCGGTGTTCCAACCGTCATTCCACCATACCCAACCAACGTCCCAAGCCAGCCCCAGCCAAGCACCTCCATCATGACCTACACCACCTGCATCCCAACTGTCATGACCTCCGTCATCACCCTGCAGCCAACCCCCACCGCTGTCCCAACCGGTGGTGTTCCCGGAACCGGTGTCCCAACCGGCACTGGTGTCATGCCAACTGGAACTGGTGTCTAGTAAGTTGTCTCTTACCCTCTTATTTTATGCATAAAGACTAACGTATCTAGCCCAACCACTGCTCTCCCAACCTTCACTGGTGCCGCCAGCACCTTCTCCGGCTCTTACGCCGTTGCCGGTCTCGCCGCCGTCGCTGCCATCATCCTGGCATAATTTCTCTTCTCTAATGACTCCACTAGCTCTCTTTTCCGTCCTCAACCTGTCATCTCAGTTCTGGCGAAACCATAGCTACGGGGTATTAAATTTCGATCATTCTATTTTTCCTCTTCTTGAACATAGTGTGCATGGCAAAATAGAACCACTCTAGACAAGAATTCGAATTTCGTTCGGGACATGGCATTTTGGGTTCTTCCAGGGAGATTTGTGTGCTTTGTTTTCTCTCTCTTTTTTTCTCTCTCTTGAAACGTGGTTAATTTATGGACTTTGCTTGAAATTTTGACTCTTTAACTTAATACCTGCTATATACCTCTTTAGTAATTTTTCCTTGATTTAATCAGTTGAAGTTTCCGTCCTTTTCTTGCTTCTTTAAATTTGCCATGGCCTGTCTACATTCAACGAGGGCGAAAAACGCATACATCGCATACATCTCATTCCTGTCAAGATAACGCTCATAAATGTTGCGCCCAACTAAAATTCCACATCACACTTTTAAACCTTTTTTACTTCTCTATCACATCCACGAGGCGCTTAGGACTCGATCTTTACATTGAAATATCGCCCATCCGTGCCTTGCCGTCGTAGTATCACTGCCGGCTATCTGCCTTTGCCTCTTGCCTAAGTTTGGCCCCATGCCATGGCCTGTCTGTCCGTGTTCATCAATCGCAGCGCTTCCCCAGCTTCACACTCGCAACCCTGCCTTTCCCCATCCTACACCAGACGTGATCTCCATCAGCATCCTGCATCCTGCGCAGTATATTAAAAAAACCACCTTCTCGTGGCTATGCGACCGCCCCTCGCAATCACGCAGGTCTCACCGTTCAATTAAACACCAATCTTAGAACCAACCTTAATCAAACATCGCAGGATGACGCTATTCGGCAGGACGGCGTGTTTCAGGCTCTTCACGCCTCCCGTTTACCCGTATATACCTGGAGAAAATTAAAATTACTCTATCAGTGCCTTTACTTGCGGAGATTTCTTGACACACTTCATATAAAATTAGCCTAAACTCGTTTACCGCCCTTCGACGCAATCTTGGCCGTTTCCGATCAATAGAGTGACGTTATTCACAAAAAATTCAGGTTGGGTTGATTATAGACTACTATCATAATGGCGATGATGGTGAAGTACAAGAGGGGATAAACGAAGGGGAAAACCTAAGAGTAAGCCCTGGCTGTATTCTGCTGCTGCCTCGTCCCCACGAAATTCGTGGCTATGGTAACATGATATTGTTCTTTCATCTAGTTTATTAAGTATCCTTTCCCACCCGGCGAAGACTCGAGTATCCCTACATAAAGGGTGCCCTTGTTTATAAAGGGCTAGGTAAAAGCACTGCCAATTATGGGTAAATATAAGAATATATAAGCTCAAGCCTAGGAGGTGTAACATAGGTATATTTGATGCTGCGTTCATCGGGCCTGATGATAAAATGTAAGGGTCCTTAAATATTCTTGTTAAATCCCCTTAACGCTATGCTTAATGTATATCTTTTTTGACTTGTCTTCGATGCTTGCTGGAGAAGCTTCTCGTGGCTTCTTGCCCGACTTGTGTCTCGAGAATGCACTCCTGGTCGTTTATAGGCCAACTTCTCTAGTGGAGGGCGTAGAATTGTGGGAGCCGATTTTCCATAAAGCTTTCCAAGGAGAGCTGTGTTCCTGGGTGGCGGTGTATTTATCAAGCCTGTGCATGCCAGTTGATAGTGGCAGAGGATGGCTGTGCTTGGGGGCTCACGAATTGACAAGGCGACTGGTGTACTCCGTAGCGACTTCACGGACAGGAATAGGACGCCCCACGTTTTCGAACAGCACTTCGATACCCGAGAGGGTCTCTAAAGACAGGAAGACGCTGTGTGGCACGCGCATAACTAGACCGGTAGATTCAGCGGGATAAACTTGGTCAACGACAACGCCGATGGAGTGCTGGACGTCTTCGATCGTCTTAATCAGCCGGCCCACCCCAGCTGAGGTAGGATCATCAACGACATGGCATTTAATAACAACTGTATAGTTGCTATTCACTGACAACGATGCAGTGGGTGATGGAGGCGGAGAGGCGTTTAGTTCTGCCGCAAATCGAAGTCTGATCGGGATAGCACCCGCAAGAAACCTATGAACCGGTTTCTTGACAACTGACATATCGTAGGTGCGTTTTAAGAGCTCAATGAAATCGATCGATGGCATTTTGGCACTGGCCAACGCTGCCTCATTTGCCAATTTCGATGTAAATGTACTATCCTCACTAACAGCGGCCAATAGCTCAACGGTCTCCCGTCTCCTGGGAGTATACTGGAGTGACGCACCACCAGCGTAATAGGAGTCAATGATGAAGACAACATCAAAGGGAGGGCATTGGCTCGCGTGGAACTCCGAGATGCGGCTGGTGAGTGACGAGAATGGAAAATGGCCTGGGATAGGCCCAGCGTCAAAGAAAAGCCCGTCGCACTCGTCATAACGTGCATGTCCAGCATAGTGGATAATTGCAAGGCATCGGCCTTCCGGTGTCTGGGAACAGCGCGAAAACTCGGTGGTTAGATGCATTTCCAGCACATTTCCTACTTTAGTTGCTGGGTAGAGACATCCTGCTGGGATGACACATTCATCGATATCGCTCAGCCCGAAGGTCTTGACAAGGGAGCGAAAGTCACCAGCACTGGATGCTGCACCAGTGTCATCTGCTTCAAAGCGGATGCTAAAGGCTGAGATGTGGTCGTATTTCCTCACCCGCTTTGCTGCGGTAAGGGTGAGGATGTTGGTTATTTCCTCAGCACGCAGCTTGCTATCCATACTGCAGTATGTATGTGGCTGGTGTCTATAAGCCGGGTATATAAGGAGTTTGAAGCAAATAGAACCGTAGCTAGTAGGTGGATGTACTAAACTTCCAGCATTGGACTTGTTAAAAAAAAAAAAGAGAAGAAGGAGAGGAAGGGAGAGAGGATAGAAAAAGGATGCCCTTTATGTCAGGCTGATGTCATTCACTTTGAGCTAAAAATAGTGAATAACTTTTATGCCGGGTATAATGCCACGTGACATCTTAGCCTCAACCTAAAGATAGGAATTTATGTGAATAAGTAGGAAGCAGAAGCAGCGAGAATTCGTGCGCCAGTCTAGAAGTGGATGTAAATGAAGCTATGCCAGTATTCGAACACGGTAGCTAATAAATACACCGTAAAATTATGCAGAATTTGGCATCTACACTACTAGGTAGACAACGATGTGGTTAGCTCGTGCCGGATATATCTTTCTCCGACGGCCGACCAGCTCAACCAGGTTTACGTTCGATCAAACCACAATTCACATTGTAGCAACTCGAGACTTCTAGCGAAGTTCCTCTGAGATGCGATAAACTAGTTTCCTCCCAAGGATTTGACCTCTCTTTACTTCTTCCATTCCCTGTCCTACGGCCGCCAGGCCTCCGCTTCTCTCCTCTCGTGGGTGGGCTTTGATGAGGTTTTCATCCAGCCAGCACTGTGCCACGGTATACCACGCTTCAGCAGCCTCTCGGTCATTTGGTCGTGCGCTCAGATTGTATGGCGGCGCCCAAGTGATTGCATGTCCGAATTGCGTGTATGTGCATACCCAATCTGGCCTGACGCTCCGGCGCGTGTGCCCTCGAAGTGGAAATGAATCCAGCGCGACATAACGCCCTCCTGACGGTCCCAGTGCCTCGTAGCATATTCGCATGGAAGCTGTGTCGGTGATGCAGTCCAATGCCATTGCTAGTAATCCTGCTGTGTGCTCGCGGATTTCGACACCACACGTCGGGGAGTGATAGTCGAATGTTGCCGCCGCCCCAAGACTTCGGGCCCGCGCAGCCGAGGCCGCTGAACATGCTGTGATGGGCGTGAATCCCGCTAGCTTTAACACTTGGATCGCCATTGCACCTGTCGCCGTGCTACCTCCGTAAACCAGGACGGGGGATGCATGACAACGTTGGCCCTCCCTGTAGCTGGGTGCGATGCAGGATGGCATTGGGAGTTGGAGATAACGGAATAGCGCCAGCCCGACTGTGGCTAATGCGGCAGGTAGTGTTGCTGCCGTTGCAAAATCCATTTCCTGGGGCGCGTGCCAAACAAGCCGGGCTGGAACAGCAACGAATTCAGCAAACGCACCGTTGTCTAGGCGTAGAGGATTATTGCCAAAAACGCCCCCGAGAACACGTTCGCCTAGTTTAAAAGGCCTTGTGTGATTCTCAACTTCCACTGTCGATCCTAGGGCTACTACAACCCCAGAGAAGTCGGTTCCACTAGTCGCACCACGCGACGGTGACATGTCTGCTGATTTTACATCGACGTGATTGATGGAGATATAGACAACGCGGACAAGGATCTCTGATGGTTCGAGAACAGGTGTTGGTACCGATGCATAGAGGGCAACGGCGCCGGTTCCGGTGATCTTGAGAGCCGCATGTGTGGCTGGAACGGCAGAAGAGACTATCATTTTTTGAACTCGGTGATTGCTGCCTGGTATTCAATGGTCTTATGATAAAAATGATAATTATCAACCACATAACCCACAAGCAGCGTCGCTAGATGATTAAAATTTAGTTATGGCCCCCTACTTTATTTAGCCTGGGCAATACGTCGAAGGCAGCACAAAGGCCTTGTCAAATGGCTATACTATGAAAATGGGGAATGTGTGGTTTGCTCCAGCGGGAAATCCCAGCCAACGCCTGTTATCACCGCTGCATGTCGGAATTAGCGCCGGAATATTCCTTACAACCCTGCAAGCCTGGTTTCCCGGAATGCATGCGATGCGGCCTTGAGATGAAAATGTAGGGGCGGGCTATCTTAAGTATATTCCGAGCAGGGCCAAAGGTTCACTTGTGGCATTTTGAGGGAAATTCTAGGCGGAACTTTGGTACATCAGCTGTTCGCGACGAGGCGGCCCCCATACACAGTCCCCTTACGCGACATCGGGTCATACATCCTCTAATATCTTACCTCGTGAGCTTCCACTGAAATCACTACCATCTATCTACTCTTTCCGACTCTACCGACGAGAATGGTTGAGGGACGAAATTATCCAATGGAGCCAATAGCAATCATTGGTTCGGCCTGCAGGTTTCCCGGCGCCTCAAGCTCACCATCGAAGTTGTGGGATTTGCTCCGACGACCACGCGATGTCTCGAAGGAATTTGACCAAGATCGCCTAAACCTCCAGCGCTTCTACCATCCTAATGGTGATACCCATGGCTCCACGGACGTTACCAACAAGTCATATCTCCTTGATGATGATACTCGCTTATTCGATGCTTCGTTCTTCGGTATTAGCCCCATGGAGGCTGCGGGAATGGACCCGCAGCAGCGGCTGTTACTAGAGATAGTCTACGAGGCATCCGAACGTGCTGGTACAACACTTGATCAGCTTAAAGGCTCTCTGACTTCTGTCCATGTCGGGGTCATGACCAATGACTACTCCTCTATTCAGGTTCGCGACCCTGAAACCATCCCAAAGTATGCAGCGACGGGTACGGCAAATAGTATTATATCGAACCGTATCTCCTACGTCTTCGACCTAAAAGGTCCATCTGCGACAATCGACACAGCGTGTTCTAGTTCCCTAGTTGCGTTGCACCATGCTGTCCAAGGATTAATTCATGGGGATAGCAACTTGGCCATTGTGGCGGGGGTCAACCTAATCTTTGATCCTATTCCCTATATTTCGGAATCCAAACTTCATATGCTTTCACCCGATTCCCAATCTCGGATGTGGGATAAATCAGCAAATGGTTATGCCCGTGGCGAGGGTGCTGCTGCCCTTTTTCTTAAACCTCTTAGCCGTGCTATCGAAGATGGTGATCATGTGGAAGCAATTGTTCGAGGAACAGGGGTTAATTCAGATGGCCAGAGCCCTGGCATTACAATGCCATTTTCTCCTGCACAGGTGAATTTAATTCAACGAACATATGAGCGCGCTGGTCTCGATCTGGCGAATGATAGACCTCAATACTTTGAGTGTCATGGCACAGGCACCCCTGCTGGTGATCCAGTGGAAGCAAGAGCAATTAGCGAATCATTCGTACGCCGACCAAATGGAGCGTCGGTAGATGACCCAATTTACGTGGGTTCAATCAAGACGATCGTGGGCCATTTGGAAGGCTGTGCAGGACTTGCTGGCGTTATCAAGGTGATTCTTGCTCTAAAGCATCGCACCATTCCACCTAACCTACTATTTAACGAACTTAACCCCGACATTGCCCCATATTATGGCCCACTCCAGGTTCCATCAACTGCACTCCCTTGGCCAGTGTTGCCTGCCGGCACCTCTCCTAGGGCAAGTGTCAATAGCTTTGGATTTGGAGGCACAAATGCACATGTTATTATTGAAGGAGTCAATTCTAATGCTGCCGTTGATGCTGCTGTTGACCACGTACAGAGCAGCACCGGAATTGTTCTTGGCAATACTGATACACTTTTGTTCCATGAGAGCATTTTAAGCCCACTGCTATTTTCAGCTAGATCAGGGCAATCGTTGCTACGAAACATTGAAGCACACTTGCAGCATTTGAGAGAGAACCCTCATCTTCATCTCCAAAGCTTGAGTTGGGTACTTCAAACTCGACGAACCACTCACCGCGTTCGCGCACATTTCTCTGGTGTTTCACGAGAAGACATTATGCACAAAATGTCTAGTTTTGTAGCTAAATACGCAAAAAGCCCTGATGATGAAATTGGATACCAGCCACAACCTATAAATCCGTGCGAAGGCGCTGGAGTCCTTGGTGTTTTCACTGGACAGGGAGCGCAATGGCCCTTAATGGGCCGCGAGCTATTTTGCAAATCGCCGCTTTTCCGAAAGTCTATAGAAGAGTGCGAGCTTATTCTACAGAGTTTACCCGACAATGACATCCCAGAATGGTCATTGGTTGAAGAGCTATTCGCCGATAACTCCTCGTCACGGTTAAATGAAGCATCCGTTTCGCAGCCGTTATGTACTGCTGTGCAGATTGCTTTGGTCGATCTTCTTGAGGCGGCTGGAGTCATCTTCCACGCTGTCGTAGGCCATTCTTCTGGCGAGATCGCGGCTGCTTATGCATGTGGGATTATCACCCTACGAGGAGCAATGCAGATCGCATATTATCGGGGTTTCTATGCGAAACTTGCTAGTGGCATTAACGGGGAACACGGAAGTATGCTAGCCGCTGAGCTTTCGCCTGCGATGGCAACACAGCTTTGCAGTCATTCGAAGTTTCATAATCGTATCAGGGTTGCGGCGTACAATGCACCTAATAGCGTTACTCTCTCAGGGGATACAGACGCAATCCACCTTGCGAAACAGGAACTGGATAAAGATAATATCTTTACGCGGCTGCTTAGAGTTGATACGGCGTACCATTCCCATCATATGCGGCCGTGTGCAGAATCATATCTCCGCTCACTGACTGCTTGTGATATTGAAGTCCGACGCCCGGACGCAGACAAACCCACATGGAATTCGAGCGTGTACGGTAACACGGACATCATTACAGGCGATCTAAATACCCTAAAGGGGCCATATTGGGTGGCGAACATAGTAAATCCAGTTCTATTTTCTCAAGCTCTCGAATCTGCCATCTGGCATGGCGGCCCGTTTGATTTAGCCATTGAAGTAGGGCCCCACCCAGCGCTCAAGGGCCCTACCGAGAATACTTTTAAAGCTGTCTACGGAGACGGTCCATTGTACGTGGGTTTATTAAACCGCAATACAAACGATATTGAGGCCTTTTCATCCGCCTTGGGTAATACCTGGGCGCGGCTTGGTCCTCAATACCTTAATTTTGTTGGCTACCGAGCTGCATTCCTTGAGTCAAATACATCAACCCCCGCCATTATCAAAGACTTGCCCTCATACTCATGGGCGCACGACAAGATTTATTGGCGCGAATCCCGCACCTCTAAGAGATATCGTACCCTCAAATACTCTTACCATGAACTTCTGGGCCGCCGTACGCCAGATGATAACGACCGTGAGCTGCGCTGGCGCAATGTTTTGAAACTGGGTGAGATACCTTGGCTACGCGGACATGAAATTTTAGGTGAAGTCCTTCTCCCTGGTGCGGCTTACGTCTCTATTGCTGTCGAAGCCGGAAATGATCTTGCCATGGTCAATGGATACTCAGCCCAACTCATAGATGTAGAGGATGTGGATATTCATCGTCCTGTGGTAATACCTGACAATCAAGACGGAATCGAGACCCTATTCACCTTACGCCTTACCGATAGTTCCTCCGCAAAAGGTGTATTGGGGGCACAGTTCTCATTTTATATATACCCTGACCCATCTCTGGAATCATCAATGGTTCACTGCTGCAGCGGCAGTCTCTCCGTTCATTTCAATCTCCCCTCGGAACCCAAAGAGCCATTGCCGCCGAAAGGTCCAGTGCCGGCAAGCCTTGTCGATATTGACTGTGAGCAACTTTATTCCATGTTTGAAGGCATTGGGCTTCAATACTCCGGCAGCTTCCGAAACATCTTAGATAGCCGCCGCTGCCTCAATTATGCAACAGCAACAGGTGTCTGGCCAGAACAACTATTGGGAACTCACTACACAATTCACCCTGCAGTGCTAGATGTTGCCTTTCAGGCTCTGTTCATTGCTCAAGCTCATCCGGCTAGCGGCCAAATTGTCTCTGCTTTGCTGCCATCGCACATTGACCGCGTCAGGGTTAACCTCTCTGCTCAGCTTGTAAAGTCGGACAATAAAAGCCAAATCGAAGTCGGTTTTGAAGCATGGGCTCTTAAGAACACAGCGACTGCAGTAGCTGGAGATATTAGCGTATACTATATCTCGTCTGGGAAGACAGCCCTCCAGATCGAAGGCCTTAATACGTATATGGTTGGAGAGCAAGACACCTCCCTCGATCGGCCGATATTTTCAAAGACAGTTTGGTCCAACGATGTTTCCTTAGCGTTGATAAACCCCTTACACGACTCTGCGGAGGATTCAGAACTTCTTAGTCTAGTAGAAGCACTCGAGCGTGTTGCGCTCTTCTATATGAGGAAGCTCACTGATGAGATCGATTCTAGGGAAAGGGCGTCACTTCAATGGCATCACCAGCGCATGTTTGAGGCATATGAGAGACACCTAATGTTTGTTAGGAATGGCCAACATCCAATACTCCGGAGCAGCTGGCTAGCTGACCCACCATCCATATTGCATAAACTTAGCTCAATATACCCGAACTCTGTGGAGCTGCAGATACTTCACACTGTGGGCGCCAATATAGTGGCAGTCATTCGCAATGAGATGCAAATATTAGAAGTTATGGACAAGGACGATATGCTAAACCGCTTTTATATGGCCGACCTGGGGTGTACCAGAATCAATAAATTTCTGGCTCAGATGGTGCACCAGATTTCTTTCAAATTTCCACGGTCTAATATTCTGGAAATAGGCGCTGGAACTGGCGGGACGGTATGTTCTTCCCTATACTATTTCTTTCGGGATATCGCGCCCAGAATTATGATCACTGACTGACAATATTTCATATAGACCTGGGACATTTTGAATATGATAGAGAGCGATTTTGCTTTATATACATATACCGACATTTCTGCTGGATTCTTCTCCCGCGCAACTAAAAAGTTCTCTAAGTTTGCACGCAAGATGGTTTTCAAGACGTTTGATGTAGAAAAGGAGCCAAAGATACAAGGCTTTGGTGAACATTCTTACGATATCATTATCGCGGCAAACGTATTCCATGCTACCCGGAACTTGAATGCTACTTTGCAAAACGTTCGATCATTGCTGCGCCCAGGAGGTTATGTGCTAATTTTTGAAACAACCGGGACGCATACGCTTCGCGTTCCTTTTACTTTTGGCGGGTTCCCCGGATGGTGGTTGGCCGAGGAACCCGGACGGAAACTGAGTCCTATTGTAACTACTCTTGAATGGGACGAGCTTCTACTCCAGAACGGATTTTCGGGGGCTGAAAATGTCGTGCACGACGTCATGGACGAGAGCAAACATACGCTTTCCTTGATTGTGAGCAGGGCTATTGATGACAGCTTCCTTACTATACGTGACCCGCTATCACAGACGGCGGAGCTTACTATTCCCACCCAACCTGTGCTGCTCGTTGGTGGAACGAGCCTTAAGACTTCTAGGATAATAGGTGAATTCCAGAAGCTCCTTCCAAAGCCATGGAAGCCCTTAATTCGAATGGTCAAGTGTCTTGATGACCTACAGTCAGAGAACCTTAGTCCTGAAACGGAAGTGGTTTGTTTACATGAGCTCGATCAGCCGCTGTTTACCACTCCCATGACTTCGCAACGGATGGCTACTTTGCAGGCTCTTCTGATGAATTCAAGCAATGTTCTTTGGGTTACAAATACAGAGCTAACTCACACTCCCCGCACAAAAATGTTTTATGGGATCGCGCGAGTGCTTCCCACTGAGATTCCCCATGTGAACCTACAGGTCCTTGGTCTAGGGCCGGGAGCAACAGCCGCTGTGATGGCAAGGCATTGTACGGAGGCCTTTTTACGACTCAGAGAAGCCGCTCGTCTTTGCCAAAGTGTCGATGGGGTTACTATTCTATGGTCGCAAGAACCTGAAATCGTTGTTAACGCAGATGGACAAACGAGCATCCCACGAGTGAAACCCGATGCGTCAATGAACGAGGTGTACTTCGCATCACGTCGTACTATCACAAAAGCCGTGGACGCTGTCGAAGTTATTGTTCAAGCCACTCCCCATCTCTCCAAGATGACTCTACAAGCCGCAAGTTCGCACGATAACTTCCAAAATTTTTTGGTTGGGGCCCAAGGTGCCGTCAGCTGCGCTCTTCTCGAAGTCATGTATGCCTTACATATTCCATCCAGCCATGGGGATGGTAGCTATCTTGTTTGCGGAACTCAGCGCGAAGACACTGACAACTCATTAAAGTCATCTACACTAATGGCAGTTTCCAGTGTTAACTGTTCTCATCTCGACATAGAGTCTAATCAACTTCTCCGCGTTGAAAATTATGATTGTACACCGAGAACGCTTGCGGCTATGGTGAAACGAATGTTTATTCAAGCCGCCACTATCGTGGCAATAGCCTTGATCACTAAGCCTGGCCCGGTGCTTTTATATGCGGAGGACGTATCTTTTGGCACCAGCGTGGCTGCAGAGCTTGTCAGTCAGGGTGTCAATACGTACCTGGTAACTTCTATGCCCCACGCTGCTCCTGATGGGTGGCTCAACGTACATCCCTATGCATCGAAAAGGACCGTCCTTAGAGCTGTTCCTAGTGATACCCAGCTTTATATTGATTGCCTCCAGTGTCCACCACTGGTTAAATCCGACCATTCACAGGCTGCAAGTACTTTGGTTCAGGAATGCCTACCACCGGACTGCGAGAAGCGACTACTTGGCGTGCAGCTTTTACAGGAGGCTGTTGATCTTCAAGGTATGGGGTTTTTGCCACTACTAGAAGACTCATACATGCACGTAAAGGAACGGTTTTGTCAGGAGCAGCTACACGGTGATTGCGAGGTCATCCATGCTACCAAGCTTTCTGGCGTTGAAACGTCGACACTTTCGCATAGGGCTTTTGTGACTGATTGGCAAACACGGGGGCCTCTCCCATTGACCGTTGCACCCCTCAATATGAACGGTATATTCAGGCCAGATAGGACATATCTAATGGTGGGAGCTGCCGGAGGACTAGGCCTCTCCATATGTCAATGGATGATACGCAATGGTGCAAAACACCTCGTTATTACAAGTAGGAATCCTCGTGTGGACTCAAGCATACTGGATGATGCGCTTCATGTTGGAGCATCGATCAAAGTTTTACCAATGGATATATCGAAGATGAGCTCTGTGCAAAGTGTTGTCAAACTTGTGCATGACACTATGCCTCCCATTGCTGGCGTATGTAACGCTGCAGTGGTTTTATCGGATAAACTCTTCCTCGATATGAGCGTCGAGCAGCTTAACGGCACCCTGGTATCGAAGGTAGATGGTACTGAAAATTTGGACTCTGTGTTCGCCGATTCACATCTAGACTTTTTCATCTTGCTATCTTCTACCGCGAGCATAGTTGGGAATATTGGACAGTCCAACTACCACGCTGCAAATTTGTTCATGGCTGGCCTTGTTGCTCAACGACGTTCGCGTGGTCATTCGGCATCTATTATACATATTGGCTACGTCTCCGATGTTGGATACGTAACAAGAAACCAAAACCGCCAGCTTGATCAACATTTCCATAATATGCGTTTGATGCCCATATCTGAGACGGATGTCCACCATGCCTTTGCTGTGGCCATTATTGGTGGAAATCCTACTAGCGCTTTTGGTACCCATGATATCATCATGGGTATCGAGCCAGCAACCAAATCTATAGCGCCTGGAACGCAAACACCATGGCTAGGTAACCCGCAGTTTGCACATTTTGTGCCATTCATAAATTTTTAGGCACAGCAAGAACAGGCCCCCATCGTTGGTGACCTTCAGCAGCAAGTCGAAGACAAGCTATCTGAGGACCAAGCCGTTTCCGCGGTAGTGGACGCCTTTTGTACCAAGCTCGATGATACATTACAACTAGCTGCTGGGGATGCAAAACAAAACGTTCACCGGGCTATTATAGACCTCGGCATTGACTCACTGATAGCGGTCGACATTAGGACGTGGTTTCTCAAGCAGTTGGGGGCCGATATCCCGGTGGTCAAGATTCTGGGAGGCGATACTGTGATCCAAATCTGCACACTGGCAATAAAGAAAGTAATGGCTAATAACTTGAAAAGAAAAGAATCCGCGCTGTCAAAAGGCAATCCAAACCCAGCCATATACAACTCTACGGACCTGGAGAGAAACATAAACTCCTCAAGCCCCTTGCTAACTAACTTGCCAAGAACCACTAAATCCTCAGATGAGTTTTGTGTTAACAACCACTTAGAGGAGTATGACCCCCAGAGTTCGGAAACCGTGAGCCAGAGCACTTCCGCTAGTGAGGCCGAGGTATTGTACGCTCATGTTAATCTTAGCGAAATTAACGGCGGTTTAGAGTCGTCAAGCTACTCGGCAACCACAGATACAGAGGAAACTGAAATTGAGGCTGAGATTATCCACCATGAACGAATGTCTCCAGAACAAGCGCGAATTTGGTTTTCGTCAAAATATTTAGAAGATCCTACGGCATATAACATGGTTTTCCATTATCGCATTGATGGGCCTCTCAATGTGGGTCGATTACGACATGCGTTTCAAATAACAGCAAAGCACCATGAGTCTCTTCGTACTTGCTTTTACTCGCGCACCGAAGACGGACATCCTATGCAGGGCCTTATGGCGTTATCCGCTTGCAGGTTGAAGGAATTTGCCCATGCCGACAAAACCACTCTTCAGCAGGAACTGGCACGCCTCAAGTCCAGGGTGTGGAAACTTGAGAAAGGGGATACCTTGGAAGCTACGGTACTCACGCATAGCGCCGACAAACATGACATGGTGTTCGGGTACCACCATATAATCATGGATGTTGGAGGTTGGCATATTTTTGTTCGTGACCTTGATACTGCGTATCGAATGCAGCCGCTGGATAAGAACGCTGCTGGCTCATACATTGAGTATTCCACGCTGCAGCTGCAATTTACCCAAGAACAAAAACAGGAAAAACAAGAAGCTGATGCTCTCAACGAAAAGCTCTCCTATTGGCAAACTGAGTTTGCGACATTTCCTGAGGCGCTTCCACTCTTCCCCATGGCTACTGTTTGCACTCGCCCGGCAGATCAAAAACGCCATGAGAGTCATCATGAATACCGAAATCTTTCTAAGTCACAGTATATAGCGGTAAAGGAGGCATCCCAGCGACTTGGAATCAGTGTGTTCCATTTTCATCTTGCTGTTTTACAAGTATTAATTACCCGCTATACAGCCGTTAACGATATCTGTATCGGTATTGTTGATGGCAACCGCAATAATCCACGATTCGCCCAGACCGTGGGCTGCTTCATTAACATGCTCCCGGTACGATTTCAAGTGGTAGCCGCTTCTTCTTTTGCAGATATTGCTCGTGCAACATCAAGAAAGGTTCTAGGTGCCTATGCTCATTCGTCAATACCATTTGAAGTGATCCTTAATGATCTTAACCCCCCCAGGTCTTCTGGGATAACACCACTCTTCCAAGTTGCAGCAAACTACCGCAGAGGGGGGTTTTGGGATATACCTTTAGGCGAAGACTGCCGCATGCAGCTCTCAACGGATGACGGGAAAGATGCAGAAACTCCATACGATATCAGCTTTGGTGTCTCAGAAAATCCTACTGGTAGTATGGTCGAAATGCATTGCCAAGCGTCTCTATACAATCCTACCGCCTGCTCAATCATTATTGACGCCTATCTAAGTCTACTGGACCGGTTTTCCGCCGATGAAAGCGTTCAAGCAGACGCCTTCACGGTTCACAATAATTCTGAAGTTATACGAGCACTCGAACTCGGTAGAGGCCCAGAAATGCAGTTTGGATGGCCCACTAGCCTTTCAAATCGTATAGCGGACATGTGTTCTTTGCACTCTACAGAGCCTGCTATTGAGGAGGGGGCAGTCACTATATCATATACAGTACTAGCTTCCCGGATTACCGCACTCGCAGCTATGATGCTTCAAGCAGGATGCACTGCGGGTGTTCAAATTTTGGTGTTGTGCGAGCCATCAGCAGACGCTATTGTTTCCCTCCTTGCCGTCCTACATGTAGGCGCCGTATATGTGCCATTGGACACCAGCCTTCCCGCATCTCGCCATGATGCCATAATAAGAAGCTGTATGCCGGTGTTTCTTCTTTCCCACGCAGCCACCAAAGACCGGGCGCGGGACTTATGCTGCGGAACAAAGACTGCGCTCCATGAGATTTATGTTGATGCAATTCCTGAAAAATATTCCAATCATGCCGAAGTTCCATGTTCTGCGAGGCCGGAGACGCCCTCAATCCTTCTGTTTACCAGTGGCTCCACTGGGACCCCTAAGGGAATACTCCTTTCTCAAGCCAACTTTGTCAACCACTTAGCGGCTAAATCGCATTTACTTAACCTCGGCCGTGAGCGTGTCTTACAGCAGAGCTCTCTTGGTTTCGACATGTCGATCGTACAAATCTTTAGCGCTCTCGCGCATGGCGGTACCTTGGTTATTGCGCCATCCGATATTAGACGGGATCCAGTGGAATTAACCGCCTTGCTAAACCGCCGCCACATCACCCTTACAATCGGTACGCCGTCCGAATATCTTTCCTGGCTCCGCTATGGTGGCGAATCTTTGAGAAGCTGCGAAGTGTGGCGCCATGCGTGCATCGGCGGCGAGTTTATTTCATCGCAGCTGAAATATGAGCTACACCGTCTTGGTCTAGCAGGCTTGACAGTAACGAATGCTTATGGCCCCACGGAGATCACTGCTGCAGCCGCATTTCAGACAATCCGCATGGATATTAAGGACCAGAATGATGAAAAGAGTAACTTTGCTGTTGGTAGAGCGCTACCAAATTATTCGATTTGCATTCTTGATGCATATGGCCACCAGCAGCCTGTAAATCACACTGGGGAAATTTGTATTGGCGGTGCAGGAATCGCTTTGGGATATCTCAATTCAGACCTAGCCGGCGGTTGCCAAAAGTTCATATTCAAAACTAGCGCAGTGGGAGTCAGTCAACGACTCTATCGGACCGGCGATCGGGGTCGACTAATGCCAGATGGAAGCTTGCTGTGTTTTGGACGCCTAGATGGAGACACCCAAGTCAAATTGCGCGGCGTGCGCATTGAGCTCGAAGAAGTCGAATATGCTTTGCTGCAAGAATCAGCCGGCCTTCTTTCCACTGCTGTCGTCTCCCGGCGAGGAGATATCCTGGTAGCATATGCTGTATTGTCGACAAGTAACAATACTACGAATAATGAGCAGCTGACCGAAATCCTTAAGCGGGTAAAACTTCCTCAGTGTTTTGTCCCAGCCGCCATTATCATTCTTTCAAGAATTCCAATCACTGCCAATGGAAAAATAGACCGCAAGGCCATTAGCAATCTCCCTTTTCCTGAGACCAATGACTCCGAGGGCTCGCAGCATTTGGGAAGACTGACCATCCGCGAAGGTGAGCTCCGCCTGCTGTGGGAACGTGTACTTCCTAAATTCCAGTCTGGCGGAGCTTCCGATATTCGTCCGTCATCCGATTTTTTTTTGTGCGGCGGCAACTCGCTACTTTTAATGAAACTTCAGGCGGCTATAAAAGAATATATCGGGGTTACTGTGTCCACACGCATGCTTTATCAGTCTAGTTCCCTACAGATGATGGCCCGGCACATAAACGAACAGCGTCAGGAAAAAGATGAAGAGACTATAAACTGGGCGGCGGAGACGGATATACCCACATGGCTACAGGAACGGGTTCGCGAACTTCCCCCAATAACGGAACACCGGGCAATACCAGGCGTCACTTTGAGCATTGAGGTTCTCCTGACGGGAGTAACAAGCGTGCTTGGTAGATGCCTCCTGCACTCTTTAGTCCAGTCACCCTTTGTATCAAAAATACACTGCATTGCAACGCTTACTGATGAGCTTCCCTCGCTTGCTTATCATGACAGTAAAGTGAAATGGTATACCGGCAGTCTTCTTTCCCCAACCTTGGGCCTAAATACAGCAGAGTGCAGGTGGCTGGAGGAGAATATCGACGTGATCATCCATGCGGGAGCAAATGGCCACTGCCTGAACTCCTACCCTTCCCTACGTTCGCCTAATCTGTTCTCCACACACTTCCTCGCGTCTATTGCTCTGCCACACGCAATACCATTACTCTTCGTATCTTCGTATAGGGTCGCTCTCCTGGCTGGTAGCACTTCACCAGGCCCTATCTCCGCCGCGAGCTATATGCCTGCAACCGATGGAAGCGAGGGTTATACGGCAAGCAAGTGGGCAAGTGAAGTATTTCTGGAAAATTTGGCGACATTCCTACAACGCGAAAGGGCCACAGAGGAAGCAGCTGACTGTACAAAGCTATGGCGAGTTGCCGTGCACAGGCCCTGCGTGCTAGTAAGCGAAGAAGCTGAAGCGTCTGATGCCCTCAATGCCATCTTGCGATATTCAGTGCTAATGCGATGTGTACCGCGGCTGGAAACAGTTGAAGGATATATAGATTTTAGGAAGGCGGATGAGATTGCAGCTGAGATAATGTATGCGGCGCTGGAACTTGCAGGCGTTGGCACCCAGCATCGCCGAGATCGAGAGGACAGTTTCGACGCGATACAGTTCAGGCACCACTCAAGCGGCACCAAAGTTCTGGCGGATGAGTTCAGAGGTTATATGGAGGAGGTACACAGGTGTACCTTTGAGGAGGTTGACATAGCTACATGGATGAGCCGTGCTATAAAGGCCGGTATTGACCCGCTTATTATAGCATATTTGGAGGGCATTCTTGAAAGCGGGTCGATCATGAAATTTCCGTATCTTGGAGAGTGATGTGTGTCTACTGGGCGAGATCATGTTGAGTAATTAATGGGTACTTAGGTAGTAATTTCAGTATAGGATAGCTAAAAAGTCCACAAAGTATCTAGACTCAATGCTGAAATACTCATCTGATAGTATTTATTATTTATTATACTACGTGCAGATAGCTATCAAACATGCATCAAATATATGCGTTTACCAAGCACGCTTAACTAGTAGGGGGTTGTCTAGAGATTTATGTACTACTTTAGCGCTGGCAATGTTCATTCTAGCTTAGGGCATCATCATAAGTTTATTTCCAACTACCGTCTATATGTGAATGTGAACCTTGACCACCTTTTCCCCATTCCTATAACGGTCCAACACCTCATTGACATACTCAGCCTCGAGACCATGTCTTACAATATACTCCAACGGTTTGATTCTACCCGCCTCAAGGTAGCTTGGAAGGCGTTTCCAGAACTCTTTAGCCAGCTGTGGATTTGCCTGCCAGACACCGAAAACGTTCTGCACGTCGAAACCGGCGTGTTTGTGGCTGACCTTCGACCCGTCGATCGGGCCGTCAGGTAACAGACGGGCTAGCGTCCCTCTTTTATAGCTGGACAGGGCGTTCACAGCAAGGACCTGATCCTCCGGAGCACTCACTGCGTCAAATGCGTAGATCAGGTCGTCATGAACTACCTCCTTGATGCGCTCCAGGACGATATCGCGGGCGGCATGGCGGTCAATAACGTGTGACGCCCCCAATCCCATAAGCTCGGTCTCGTGACCGCCCACAACGACGATTTTCCCAATACCCGCGAGCTTTGCTAGCTGGACACCAAATCTGCCGCAGTTCGAACCACCGCCGATGATTAATAGCGTGGTACTGGCATAATTGAAATCTTTGGCGCCTGGAGACCATGGCGCAGGGATTGCCAGGGAAACAAATAGTGCCATGAAAGATGCAATGGTATTGCATGGCAAGGTGGCAGCTTCGTCGTCTGTGATTGAGTCCGGAATCCTGGAGAAACCTCCGATTTCTGCGAGTGCATATTCCTGCAGGCCATTTTGTGTAGAGCCGGGGGTCAGCCCAGCCTGTGACATAACTCGATCCCCAATGCCTAGGTCTGTCACGCCCCCCCCTATCTTCGAGACCTTCCCGACAACATCGTTACAGAGTATGGCTGGGAGGGTTGTGGCAACAAAAATACCCGTATCGCGTACCTTGCGGTCATGGGGGTTAACGCCTGCAACAGTGACTTTGAGCTGCACTTGGTTTTCACCAGGCTCTGGGATGGGGTAGCTAATGATATTAGCAACTGGTTTCCCGATTTCCAGAACGGCAACCGCTTTCTGTGTAGAAGCCATGCTTGCGAGTGGTGGCAAAATACCAACGCCAGCCGAGACTTGAGGCCACATAGGTGGTTGGGATTCCACTTATCTATACAATAATCAATACCCTTGTCCAGCTAGGTTGCGGTGCATGGGGTTTTCTGAGAACCAACGGGTGTTCGACCTTAAGTGTTGGGCGTGATATTGTATACTCCCCCGGTTAAGTGCAATATATATGCAGTTATTCCGTCATTTTTCCACCAACGGGTTACTACGTTGCAATGCAGCCAAAATCTCCATTTTGATCAGCCCGTAATCCCGGGATGAGGATTAACCGCAACGTTAAGGCCTTTGTCGTTGATGAGCACCAGGGGTTAAGCATACCAGCTAACATTAGTTAAGGATTTAAGCCTTGGATCTAAGCCCACCGTCAAGTATCTCGATGCAATTCACCAGTGTCGAGGAAGGCCCTACTTACCTGTCGCTGTGAGCCTCTTATATATGCACGGACCCAACCATCTAGCATAACTACCGGGGTCATTCAGGAGCGTCGCTGAAATCCCTGCTTACCTACCGCTGTGAATCTCTTATGCACGTACAGGTTGGATACATAATGCATCTACAAGGGTGGTGGTACCGGCATTCTAATGCCATGGTCTACAGAGCACCTTGTATATCCATTACTGTCTACCTTGACGCACTCCTTTAACTAAGCACTCGAGGTATTACCAGTATATCCATAAAAGGCCATTTCTATACTCTCAATGCTTAACTTCCAGAAGTTGTCATCAATATTCTGAAGTGGTTGCCTGCTTGGGTGATATGGAACCTGGCCCTGCTCACCGGCGCCGGCGGCCTGCAGTAGCATGTACTGAGTGCCGTCGACGTAAGAGACGGTGCGACCGTGGGCGTCCATGCAGTCCGTGTACCAAATCAATAACCTCTCTACGTTGTGTATACAAAAATGACTCGGTTCCAAACATTATATCCGACACGAGTACGGGAGCAGGATCGGTAGGGGACGACGTTCAAGGGGCGGAACTATTCTCGTTACCCTTAGAATACCCGCATGAGAGTCCACAGACAAATTTAGCGGACCTTGACTTTGACTTTGACTTTGGCGACATAACACAAACTCTTCTCCTACCGCCCTCGGATTCGTTTGGCGCTCTCGATTCGTATCTCTTCGGCCGCATATCGCCCACATTCGAACGAGTTGATAGACCGGCAGACGTGGCAGAGCCTTCAGAATCATACTTAGAGATGGATCGCGACCAGAGTCTTTCCCAAAGGGAGTTCTCATCCTTTGCTACACGCCAGAACAGCGTTTCCAGCCAACGGCGCTGGTACGATATTTTTGCAAGATGCACAAAACTTCAGTTCCTCGTTTATGGTATGGCTCACCATCGACAAGACCGTGAAACGCCTTGGCTGCCACCAGAGTATGAGTCGGTGCGGCCTCTCATGGACGATTTTACAAGATTGCACCAGCTTATGAACTCTAACCGCAAAGATCGACCGTTTTCCATATGCCATTCAATTGGTGTAAAGTCGAGCCTGAACTCCTCACTGACTCGAGCATTGTTACCAACGCGAACAGTATGCAACGTGCTTGTTGGTGCCTATATCAAGACTTTTGAGTCGGTGCTGCGCATCTTGCATGTGCCCTCTTTCATGGCAGAATACGAGCGCTTCTGGGAGGCTATACCGTCAGAATCTGCGGTAAATGAGGAGGAGGAGGTGTTGGCATGCAAAATTTTACTCATAGTTTCACTTGGGGCTTGCATATGCGTCGGTTCCCAAGGCTCTACCGACGTAGACGAGTTGCCGAGTAACTTTTTTGGCCGCGCGAGCAGTTGGATTGCGCATGCACAACACTGGGTGGCACAGAAAATGGTGACAGGCTTACTTGCAGACATAGACCTGGCTCAGATATCATGCCTTCTTGCTCTAACTAAACACACACAGCATAGCTATGGCCTAGTATGTCACCCATGGTATTATGACCTGAGTCGACTAGGAATTTGGCTCGGCTTACACAGGGAACCACGAATTAGCTTCCCCGAAATGCCGGTTGGGGAAGCAGAGATTCGCCGTCGTCTATGGGCCACCATGCTTGAGCTATCGCTATTGGTATGTTTCGACAAAGGTTTACCAGCGGCCCTGACTCCAGATAGCTATAATTGCGAGGCTCCGTCTAGTATCGCAGACGAGGACATCGAGCTCGGATTAGTTGCTCAATGCCTCACTCCATCAACAGTGCTCGGGTTATTGACACGAACGCATCGTATTCGTATCCAGATTTTACATCTCATCAATGCTCCCTGCGTGTCTAAAGCGTACGATGAGAGTCATCAACTTGCAACAAAGCTAAATGCGGCCTGCTGTGCAAATTTGGACGAGGTACGCGCTTTTAGCAAGCCAGAACCGTCCGAATTTCAAGTCACCCTCTTAGAGATGTTTACGCGGCCATTTGTGCTAGCCCTTCACGCACAGTTTGCTGAAGAGCCTTCCAACAAGTCAGCATACTACTCGCGCAGGATGCGGATGGAAATCTCATCCTTGCTCCTTCTGCCATTCTCTACATTACCAGTGTCATCAACGTCCGCACAGCACCCGATTTCAGTGGATACAGGGAGCACCGGAGGGGAAAAGCGAACATCCACTGGCGAGCAAGCCATACTCGCGGCGCTTCGAATCCATGGACATGGGCATTTTGCGCTTGTACAGCGTCAAGCAACAGCGTCACTATGCTTGGATTTAGTTAGTGAACTTGAGGAGAATGAGTTCCCGACGCTAGAAAGCGCTTCACGAAACAGGTTACGCGATGCACTACGAGGCGCTGTAGATATATTCACACGTCGCATGAAGGTAACAGAAGGCGCGTGTTCAACGCATGAGTTGGTCTTTTTCACCAGCGCTAAGGCCTATATAGGTGCCCTCCAACGCAAATGCACGCCTGGAGAGGCCTATAAGGCTATCACCGAGGCTGCGCGACGAGCTCTAGCTTCATGCTGCGCAGAAATGGAGAGAAGATCAAATGATTGTACGCGGTGGAAGATGTTCGAGGGACTATTTGGATTGTAGCTAAACCCAAACACATTCCGCACACATACACACGAAAACAAGGCAAAGACAGTACCTGGCATAGGAATACCTAAGTAAATTCCTTTTGAATTTGTATGTTGCCCTATAAAATTCCTTCAACATCATGATCATTTACCACTAAGAGCTTCCATGTATCTATATCTATATACTTAGTAGAAGCGTAGACCTAGCGAGCTGTAACTAGTAACATCTTACTATATATTTAATCACATCCTTGAGGTTTTGTTGCGCTGATTGCAATAAATCTCCAGCGTTCTCGTCCAGTATAGCCACAATGTATAGCAAACATAGTAGTAAAGAGCCTTTCCAGTCCAAATAACTCCACGAAGAAGTATGGTACTAACAGAATGAAGTAGCACATGCGCAGCATCGGTAAGATGTTTTTGGAGTAGTCCCGTATTTCCACATCTACAAACCCCGATTTCTTGAGAAGATCCTCAAAGTATCCCTCCCTGGAGATCTCGTTGGTCGGGTATCCCACATACTCATTCACCCGTCTCATTTTTTTAGAAAGGGCATCCCCTATTTGCTCCCCTTTGTGTATACGACGACGTTCAGTTTCCAACAGGACAACCCTACCACCAGGTTTCAAGATGCGATAAAAGTTCATCAATGCCACCTCCAGATTATCCGAGTGCCCCAGGGCCTGTACTGTATATACCCCATGGTGCGATTCTCGGGGAATCGACTCGAGATGGTGGTAATCTAGCTTCTTAACCGTCACTTCCCCTGATTTCAAGTTCGCACGCGCGACGTTTTGCCTCGATTTTTCCACATGGTAATCAAGAGCGTCAATAGCCGTCACGCGCATCCCCCGCTGCGCTATGCTGAGCGCAACCCTAGCAGTACCACACCCAGCTTCCAGGATCTGGGATCCCACAGGGAGCGCGAGAAGCCCTGCCACCTTGGCCTGCATGCTGCGCATAGAGCACCAACTCAGCCATTGAGTACTGTGGAGAGCAAGGGAAGAAGCTACTTACCGTTCCAGACTTTCACCAATAGGGACGGGCCAGTAAGTGTCCTCGTCATAGTAGCCGTAATGCTGGGCGCCATCAAGCATTATGTGATATCCAAAATAGGACTCCCACGATTGATAGTAGGCTCGGAGGGACTTCTCGTCGCATTCAATGGCATTCATTGAAGATTTTATGCCAGCCTGAGCTTTGGGTCGAGGAAACATATTGAAACTAAAATGTACATTTACCTCTGTGGAAGAATACAAGGCAATAGAAAGCTTTCCCTTTCTCCACTGACCTCCCGCCACAAGGCTGCTCCACTGCTATTGTACATATAACTAGCGGTACACTTAGACGTATAATTTTAACGGGATGATAAACCTTGCTTCCTACACACATAGTAAACCCCTGGGCGGCATTTTCATGCGGAGATCTTAACGGGATATTCGGGAAATTAATTATGTAAAAGCCCGACTGGTGAATTGGTAGGGCGGTAATTTGTCTGAGGGGGCTACGGTGCACTCACATGTACTGGCAGACTATGAGGGATAGTGCCGGCGGGATGTTATTGAGCGGTTTATATTATAATGTATTGACCTAATTATAATTTTATACTATTTACTAGAAGAGTGATACATAGGCGTTCCCAACTCGCACAACTATAAATTCAATGTCCCAAGTGCATCTAAAATAAAATGATAACTCTAGACTCTCTCCCGTCAATTGGGCTCTCCTCCGGCATCCTCGCTCTTCTTCTATGTTGGTTGTTTCGCCATCATGGAGAACGCGACTACCGTCCGAAAACGAATGGTTATCAACCAGTGGCCCGCTACCATCAGTGGGACCCTATTCTAGGGCTTGATCTCGTATGGAGTCAGGCCATTGCATTGCGGCAAAACCGTTATCTCGAATGGCTCAAAGACTTGCATGCCAACATGCCAAAAACGTTCTCTATCAATTTCTTTGGAGGGCGATGGATCTACTCGATCGAACCGGAGGTCTTAAAGGCCGTTTATGCCACGAACTTCAAGGATTTTGGAGTAGAGCCCATCCGCCGCCACACAAAAGGATCGATGCCGTTTGCTGACAAGGGAGTGAACACAACAGACGGCGAAGACTGGGCGTTAAGCCGGCAGCTCATCAAACCATTCTTCGAGCGCGATGTGTATACCAGCATAGACCGCATAACGCCATTCGTAGATCGTTTCATGGAGTTGCTCCCTTGTGACGGCGAGAAGTTTGATATACAGCCTCTCATTCAGCGCTGGGTAAGTGACTTCCACCACAAGGGATATTTGCCAAAAAAAAAAAAAAAAGCTAATGGATATAACTAGTTCCTTGACCTTACTTCTGAGTTTATATTTGGCAAGTCTATGGATTCCATGGCAGATCCAGAGCGAGCGAAGATAGCCTGGGCAATGACTGATGTACTGCGAGGCGGCCGTCTGCGCGCCCAATCGCACAAGTTCATGTGGGCATTTAACTGGGATTGGTGGCTTAAGGCTGTTGACGAAGTTCATGCGTTTGTTAACCCGTACATACGCGCCACGTTCAAGGAAATCGATGAGCGCGAACAGAGCGCTAAGCTCGGGCTCTCCCTTGCGCCAGAACGGAGCGACCTCCTCTGGTCCATGGCATCTAGCCTGAGGGATGAAGAGCTGTTGAGATCGCAGCTCTGTCTGATTATCGTGCCCAACAACGATACGACTTCAATCTTTATCAGTAACTGCATCTGGTACCTAGCGCGGCACCCTAATTCATGGGAGAGGCTCCGTCAAGAAGTTGCTGCTCTTGGAGATGTGCCCTTGACCTTCGAGATTTTGCGAAATATGAAATACGTCAATGGAGTTTTGAACGAAAGTTAGTAACTTTTCCTCCGTCTCTATAACCTAACTTCCACACCCCTATAAAAGTTTCTGTAGGCTAAACCACACCCGTAGCGCACCGGCTCATTCCAAATAACGTCACCCAGCTGCGCGCTTGTGTTAACGATACGGTGCTACCCGTAGGTGCTGGCCCGGACGGCCAGTCACCCATGCAAGTGCGCAAAGGGGATATCGTGTCGGTAACCAAGACAGTCATGTATCGTGATCGCGACTACTGGGGCGAAGACGCCGATCAGTTCCGGCCCGAGAGATTTGATGGATTTCGAGGGAATTGGGGGTTTCTTCCATTCGGCGGAGGGCCGCGCCGCTGCCCTGCCCAGATGATGGTGCAGACAGAAGCGGCGTATATGTTGGTGCGGCTTGCCAGGGTTTATCGCCGTATTGAAGCCCGGGACCCAGCCCCTTACAAGGCTGTGATGAGAATCGGACCATCTAATGACACAGGGGTGCAGATAGCCCTGTACAGATGATTATCAGTAGAATAGCCAGTGCCATCTTTGGTCTATAGATAACCGTTAGATATACTCCGTAACCCCCTCCTTGTTCTCTCCACATTCGCCTTGTATAACCAGCATGAAGGTATTCTACGGGGCCTTGTACTATCCCCACATGGTACTTTTTTTTTTTTTTTTAATAACTGCCTTGTGACATTCCTTATTACTAGCAACCATTAAGTACATTACTCTTCATCGATTTCATTATTCTTGGTAGGATGTGTTTATGCACCTATCAGACGTGTTCATCTCATTAACATTTGGAAAACGCGATATACTTATGTGCTGCTAGCTGGAGGACTGTCAAATCTTGCCGAGCTATCAAAAGAGGTTCTCCCGTTATCTACCCCTCTACACCCTTGCGCCTCTTGACCTTGATCTTTGCGCCTGGTGGAGGAATCGCCAATTCTGCCATCCAGAGATTAGGTGGTCGCTTGCCCCCATACTCTGGTGGAAATTTGATATCATAGTTTTCCAGAATGTGTGCTAAGATCATTTTTAGCTCGATCTCAACGAGAAACCGGCCAGGACATGCGTGTCGGCCATGGCCAAAAGGTAGGTATTGAGGCGAAGTTGACACAAAGGCCTGTGGATGCGGACCACGGCCATCATATGCGGTAGCATCTTGCTCACGGGAAAACCTAAAAGGATCGTACTTCAAGGGTTCTTCAAACTTTTCCTCGTCAATCTGCGCTGGGGACGCCAGATAAGAGATGAGCGAGCCATTTTGCAGACTAATCCCGGCTGGTGTCACCACCCCATTCTTCATCACTTTTCGCAACAGGCCACGGTTGCCAAATGGGAAGTTAATACGCATAGTCTCACGCGCGACGCTGTCCGCTTTGATCATTTTGGAGAATTTTGCCTTTGTCCAACCTGAATCACTAGGCCCCAGAATGTGGGAGATCTCGTCCCGTAGCTCGGAGATGGTGTTAAACTCGCTGTCTGAACCGATGACATTAAGTAACATATTCGTAGCTGTGATGGTCGTTTGGTGCATGCTAACAAAATTTGATGCACAGAGCCGTGTAGCAATTATGTCAATATCGTCGAGCTCATGGGGTCGCTTTTTCTGAGCAAACCGAAGCATCATCTGCAGTTGGTCCTCTGGTTCATTTTGTGACGGAATTTTGTCTTCGTGTTTTAGAAATTCCATCCTCTCCTTGTAGAGAGGTGCGAATAGTTTCGTGACTTTGTTAATATTACGTCGTGTATGCCAACTGGAAAGGCGTCCAACTATGGGTCGAAGGATCTGGGGAAATGTTCCACTCGCAAAGGCAGTAAACATAATCCCATCAATCACCTTGTATGTGAGTTTTAGATATGTCTCGTTACGGCACAACGGCTGGCCAACAGTAAAGCGACTTGATGCCTGCGCGACTATCATCCGAAGGGTGCTTTCCAACTGGATCTCCCTCCATGTTTCTGTGTCAGTCCCAAAGTACTTTTCCAGTGCACAACGGAGCTCATCGTTTAATGATGGAATGATGTTATGCAGGACGGTGTTTAGTTGAGTTTTAACAAGGTTGAATTGCCATGGATCCCCCCAATACCTTTGGTGGCCGAGGCTATATTCAGTCTGATTCACCTCCAAAAAGGCATGAGTCACGCTGAAGACATCATCGGGTTGCGCTATAGCCCATTCCACTGAGTTTTCTGGGAGTATTACCTCCGCTCGAGTGCCAAAGCCCGGCACCAGGACAGCTTGACCTTTTTTCGAGAACTATAAATTCTATAAGCAGTTGCGAAAATGTGTGTTTTGTTTTTTAAAGGAGGTCTGTTATACAATTTGATACGCTTCATTGTACAATGAAGCGCAGTCGGTGTAGTATCTCCATCTAGTCCACAAACTAAATGATTTCCGCCCAACTGGCTCTCCTGCTAACGGAAGTCCTGCATTGCTTTGAGTCAGGAAGGACGACCAGCAAAGGATGACCCCGGCGATGAAAATAATGGCTAGCAATAATGATGTGATGATTTTGTAGGTGCCAGTCTCTGGCGAATAAGGGAAGAGTAGCTCCATGGTAAAGAAGGGAAAGAATCTATATTGATCCTAGTTTGTTCGTTTTCCGGTAACTTCAGGATCTTCTAAAATATCTAGTGATTATATGGGAAACGATACTTTCGACGACGGCCATATTTTTGCTAGGGGAGTGGAATTCGGTATATTTCCATGAAGCTAGGGGTCTCCAATGGCGTTTTTGTTGTCCGCTCGTCCGGAATTTCATGGAAGCAGGCTGGGTAGTGGTCTGTTTTGAGGTTCCTGGTTCCTAATATCCGCAGCCAAGCCCCTGAGGTGCGGAGAATTCGCGGGAAGTATCCAGTGGATGGCATGACGTGCCAAGTATCAACGAGGACGACTCCCACGAGGTTTCGTCATCTCCTCGTAGTAATAGTTTCAAACCCGGTAGTACTCCATAGCAGTGGTTGCTGTCTCCTGTGGCTGGCTATTAACCCCAGCCCGCATTTCGGCTGCCCTAGCCACAAGCATTAAATACCTAAGACATATTCCTTACACATTCATTGTCATTGTAACTGCTTCTCGGTGCGACACCCTGGAATCCGTCTCATATCAGCAATATAATCTAACCCAGTCACAAAACCAAGGAGCGCCGAAATATGGGGTTCGATATTGCAACACCACTTACGCTGAGGTGTGGGATTACTCTCCCCAATCGCCTAGTCAAAGCAGCCATGGCAGAAAGACTTGCGGCGAGAGACGGCCTGCCGGGGAATGACGAATGCCTGGCTGCTTATAGAAAGTGGGCTAGTGGAGGCTGGGGCTTGATAATAACAGGTAACTTAGTCCTTTAAAACACTACCCGCCCATAGACACTTATGTTTTTCAAGGAAATGTACAAGTGGATCCAGCATATCTCGGTGGCAATGGGGATATTAGCGTCAGCAGTTCATTGTCGAAAGAACAGCTACTTAAATGGAAGCTTTGGGCGGAGGCCTGTTCCGGGAAGGGCTCAAAAACAATCGTCCAAATCAACCATCCTGGTCGTCAGTCACCATTCACCAAGGGCATAGCCCCTAGCGCGATAGCACTGGACATTGGCAAAGGCATCGTGCCTTGGATGGTGAACTCTTTTGTATTCGGCACACCAAGAGAAATGACAGAAGAAGATATCCAGGATGTGAAAAGAAAGTTTGTGACGGCCGCACTTCTAGTAGCCGAAGCAGGGTTTGCTGGGATTGAGATTCACGCTGCTCATGGCTATTTATTAGCTCAGTTCTTATCTCCCAATTCCAACAAGCGGGTAGATAAGTACGGAGGATCTGCTCTGGGAAGGGCTAGATTTGTGGTGGAAATAATTCAGTCCATTCGAGAGGTTGTGCCTCGTAGATTTTGTGTTGGCATCAAAATCAATTCCGCAGACTACGGGACTCCTGCTGATATGGACGACTGCATACAACAGATGCAGGTCATATGTAGCACTGAAATAGATTTTCTGGAGATTAGTGGAGGCAGTTTTGAAAACCCAACGTTTAACACGGGACCAGTGCATGAGCAGGCGGCATCCAACAAGATTCGTGAGGCATTCTTTATCGATTTTGCAGCAGCCATCAGATCTAAGATCCCTGGGGTTCCCCTTCTAGTGACGGGTGGATTTAGAACACGACGAGCTATGGAAGCGTCTATTAGAGACGGGAGTTGTGATTTGATCGGTATTGCTCGGCCTGCAGTGCTGAACCCAGAGTTACCGCTTGCTATTCTCCTCAATCCAGCAATTCCAGAACCAGAGGCCATAGCCCATGCTATCAGATTAGAGGCATCAAGCTTTGCTAGGTATATTGGAATCAAGGCGATCGGAGCAGGTGCGGAGACTGTAAGTGATCAATTAATTACCGCTTTAAAATGCGAGAGCTAATGGGGGGGAAAAACCACATCAGGGTTGGTATACCAAGCAGATTCGCCAGATGGGTACTATCCAAGGCTCTATTCTCATCACGGGCTCTAATGGAAGCCTTGGTAGCTCAATCGTTCAGCGCATCCTCTCTCACAGTGAGCTTCGTCGAAATTACCATGGGCTTTATACAGTGAGCAAACCGGAGCGAGTATCAAACATCAACCGAGTCCTCAAGCAGGCCAAAAGCACAGGCCACGCCAGCGAGATCGTAACTTTGGATCTATCCAGCCTTGAGAGTGTTCGTAAAGTTGCAGAAGACATCAATAGGCGCATCGCAAACGGCTCTCTTGCTCCCATCCGCGCATTGATACTAAATGCCGCGTGGCAAGAACAGACCACGCAAACTTTCACCAGAGACGGCTTCGATATGACATTTCAGGCAACCTACCTATCTCACCTTTTGTTGGTGCTCCTACTTCTTCGAAGTATGAATAAATCTTGCGGCCGAATTGTTGTGTTGAGCAGCTGGGCACATGAGTAGGAACCACCCCATTTGAGCGTGAAGCAGCCGGGCCAGCTAACGTATTTGTTTGTAGTACAGCTCACCCGAACAACAGGCTTGGAAACTTTGCAAATGTATATAAAGACGAGAAGTATCATCAAATTTTCAACGATATCGGTGATATCGAAAATTTGGCGAAGGGGAAATGGGGCCTAGAGACGGAGAACTCTGGAAACACACATGCAGGAATTCGGCGATATGGCGCGGCAAAGCTATGCCAGGTAATGATGTTGTGAGTAAATAAATCGGCCCAATGCACGATAGCTTACAACTAATAATGCGTTTCCTTAGCCGCGAACTATCTGAGCGTCTAGCTGGTGACAAAGAGCTCTCTGGGGTATCTGTGCTAGCAGTTGATCCTGCAGCAATGCCGAGCGATCTCACCCGACGTGACACTTGGGTTAGGAGGATCTTGATAGGGAAGATAATATTACGCATCATATCGTTCTTCAGCGTGCTTTTGTGGCCTAATGGGCCATTCAGGACTGCCTGGAAGTCCGCCGGCGATGTGCTGCATGCTGCCTTCGACACGAAGTCGCTTGGTCATCACCCGAGTGGTGTATATCTAAACGGGTCGGAGGTGTCAGACGTGAGCCTCGAGGCTAGGGATAGACGTAAGGCTCGCCAGCTGTGGAGGAAGAGCGTTCGATACCTGCAGCTTGAAGAGGCGAGGATATTTTCCTAATAGTCCGAGGAGTGATTGGAACGGCAAGCACCTACGGACCACGAGAAAGAACGCTATGTGGCAAGAAATTGATGATGATGATGATGCTCTATGTATAATGTAGATGACTGCTAGCAAATGTATGAGCTTTCGAGGTTGAACTGAACATGCTATGAAGCGGGCTGAAGCCATGAAACGGGTTAGAGTCACGTGAGTAGTGCATAAGATTAGGTAAGCTGATATGAGATCTTCGTTTATGGTCTCTACCGCCTGCAATTCTCCGCATCCCCCGTCAGGTCCAGCGGTGGTTGCCTGGAGCCCCTGGGATGTATATCATGGAAGGCCTTCGCTTTCAGCTGGGTCTTCTTAAGATGATGGCTTCAGTGTTGACCATCGCGTTCAAGCCAACACCTGTCGTGCGACTCATCCGTCTCTTTGATCCAGGATACCTTATTTAGCTACTCTACTGAGATATTTATACACGCAGCCTGGGCCTTGCGACCAAGCTATATACCGCAAAAGGCCTTTTCGGGAAAATTTAAGGCCCGTGTCAAGAATAGAGCCGTTTAACAGTCAGCTTCGCCTCACCTTTTCATCCTGTTCATTGCAAGCCGCCTCCTTACTAGGTTCGTTCAGCCAAATCATCCGCTCGATCTCCCAGGTCAAACACTTGGCCAGTTATTCCTACATCCCCTATTTTGTATAGGGCCTGAAAGTATCGGTAACTTCAAGAATAGAAAATATTTCCGCACGCTTAAAATATTAATATCTCTATAAAATAATCGAGTATACAGATACCTACCTAGGTACGTACCTAAGGGAGTATTTAAATTTAGATAAGCAGGAATGAAAAGCAGCCATATTATCATGCTAGATCTGGGTTTCAATATCGACCAGGGCTGTTGGTTTAGTGGTAAACATAAATCAATTTTAATATTATCTTATTAAATCTAGTATAGGAATATAGCTGCTTTTACTTCCTACTTTAACCAACCTAAATTCGTATGATTATATATGACTTTATAGTACTTCACGTCAATTTACTATATTTTACATATATTCACACTATCTCTATTTATAGAGTAAACGCTTTAACTATTGAGATCCCGCTCACGCTATGAAAACATAAACAAGCAACATCTCGCGTCCATCTGGACTGTCGACCATACTCTGTATCCGGTTATAACCTTTTTCTGCACGATATTTACTTATGTTATGGGCGAATACTGGCGTCCAGATGAGTGGATAGGCGACTTGTTCAAAAACACCACGATCAATTATCTAGACGGGAGCAAATGGAAGTTCGATGAAAAGATCAGTGAAAAATCATTTTCATTTGATGAGGACGTCCCCAATGATTCTATAGCGGAAGCCTAGGCGGTATACCACTGCCATCAAGTCAAGGGACCGTCTGTCGGCAAGGAAGCCATCGTAAAGGTTCGAATGCAGTAAGTCAGACCATACGTTACAAATTCGGCGATACTCTTGGAACAGGAGCTCTAATATTCGCTACTTGATAGGGCTCCAATCACAAATCCAACGAGTGCCGACCCAAACGTCCGCGCTCGTGAAGCTTGTGTAGATGCGGTTGCCTATCCAACGGCCCAAGAGAGAAATCTCTTAAGGTATCTTACCGAAAGGGGCTGTACCGTGGTTCCACGGCTTCTACATTACTTGAATGCTCTCCAAACTGATTTGGCTATGCCCGTACCGGGAGGCTACATGGTTATGCTGATCATGGAAAAATGCCCTGGAGTTCCTTTGACGAATTTCTGCAAGTATGGCGAAGCGAAAAAAGAGAAGATACGGGAGGCATTTCGCAGAGATTATAAGATTATACGTATGGTTCCGTCTATCCACATTCAAGCCTAAGCTAAGATTTTTGGTAGTACGTTTTTGTTATATAACGTCTATCCTGACGACCCACGCCCTGCGAATATTATCTACGATGAGCGGGAGAATAAATGGTAAGTCTGAATAAGAGGGGGGATTATGTTTGTTTATGCTAATGTTGATAGCTGGTTTATTGACCACGAGCAGACGGAAATAATGAAGGGCTCTACACCACTAAGATTTCACGAACACGATTTCATGAGCTGGGGCCTAAGACCATACACCCCCGACGATGAACAAATATGCGACAACCCGGAACTTCCCGGGGCTTACAAGGAACCAATATTGCTATAGGTGTAAATATTCACAGTGGATAATTCTACGAATATTATGACAAATATCTTGATGGTTAGATGTATTGAGTGTCCATAGAACGTGGGTTTTTTTACAATATCTAATATATTCTTTGGATGCCTAATACGGTGTGCAGCCCGGGGCGGTCCTTCTACTGTCCTCAATATCATGCTGCACTCCGCCGCAACGACCTCTCCTGTTTTTAAGAAAACAGGGGTTGGCAAATGAATACCCCTTCTAGTGTTTACTTGGGATTCCTGCTGGTGTAATGCCGTTCAGTTGCCATTTTTTTCTTGGCCGGATCTCCAAGTCCATCGGCTAATATAATTTTCTATAATTGCTAGCAAAAAAGGCTACCTTATAGCATAGGGGATGCCATGTCGCATGAGGATTCATATTAACTACGAAGACTGTGTCGCTAATGCTGCAATTTATGTAAATGTACCATACTCCATGGGTTCTATTATTCGATTTACCCTGTAGTCAAGGCGTGAGAGACAGTTGAAGCCTAAACTGAAAGTATAGTTGTAGGCGGTGGGACTCTATATAAGGGGGCTTGGGATACATTCATGGATCGATGTAGAGCCAGCAGTCGATAAGGATAATATATATTCCGTTTGGATACTCCGTATGTTTGACGGATAAAATATCCTCGGCTCTGATTTGCCAACCGCTGGATTACTAATTTTCCGGTATTCCGCGTAGTCTATTGGAGGTTCCGACCTACTTCATATTAATTTCAAGATCAGTTTCTGACTCAGATTCCTCACGCTCGGTTGTGTGCTCGGTTGTGTGCTCGGTTAGGTGTTCGCTTGGGTGTTCGAAATTGACCCCATTCGATACTGGCCTCATTTGATGCTGGATATCAGGCCCGTTTAATGTTGGATAGAGGCCTAGGGGTGCCAAGGCGCTACATATGTAATCCTGTAAAGCCAATCAGGGGGCGTTTTCTCAAGCTGTATCTGAACCACTTAACTTTCTGGTGGGTCCTCCGCCACGGCCCGCGTTCCTAACCTTGAGCATAAAAATTATGGGGAGTACTTTAGCATAATTGGCGCAGAGGTCGTCCATTTTGGGAGCCAAGAATGTAGCACATTCTTGACTCTAAAGATAGCAAGATAGAGGGATGCGTTCCTCATAAATCTGAACTAGAGTTGGGGATACGGAGTACTCTTCCGCTATACTCCGTACTTCAACAGTTGAGGACACAGTCAACATTCAACATCATGGAAATTCCACCTAGTGAGGAGCAAGACATTCTTTCAGCTTTCAATACATCGGCATCGGCATCCCCCAACGTTCTAAATTGTTTGCGCAAAGAAGTGAGAGATGTTATCCGTGAGATGAATAGAAAGCTTGCTTCTCCAAAAGACCCGTCGGTCGCCGAACTCCTGAGCTTTCTTCTAAACTCCTTTCGCGTTATACACAGATCCTTCCAGCAACCAGAGTGGGACTTGATGCAGAATCAGTGGACTTCGGAGGATCCTCGAATCACATATGTCAGGGTAACGTCGAAATGTATAACGGATCGAGATAGATACCGCACTTACCTTGCTCAGCGATCGTTGGCTCTCGAGAAAGATGCATAGGAGATAACAACCCATCGATCTTCTCGGGTGAATGGGCTTATTAATAACCTTAATGTTGCCATTGAAGACAGCAAGGACATCATTGAAGACCGCCATGGCACCACCGAAGAGTCTATTAAATTCAAAGGACTCATAGACAAGCCGTTTGTCCATGAAGCAATAAGATGGTGAATAATAGATATGGGCGAAAGCGAAAACAGTAAATCCTATCACTATGACATCCTACATTCGCACCCAGCCAGCCGCAGCTCTTAAAGAAATAAAGAAGGTTATTGGAGTCTACGACTATCTCAACAAGGAGAGTGTGAAAGAAGACATGGCTACTGTTGCGAACCGCGTTAGGGACCAACTCGAGATAACCCAAGTGAACTTTAATCGGGAAAGCGGCAGGGTACCCATCGACATGACCTGGTTTTGGGACAGATTTATTAGGGATCACCTTGAGATAATTGTAAAGGCGTCAAAGTCTTTTACAGATATGTGGATTAAGGAGATGCGGAAGAAGTGGACAGGTTCAGATCGCCCGAAGGAGGAGATAAAAGTAGTACTCGAGATGCTTGGTCGGCTTGCGGTCGCTGCCAAAGATAGAATTGATATCCCTACAACAGGCCTGACACCCCACCAGGGATAACTAGTGATTGCGTATTTAAATATGTCAAGAAGGAGATCGATGATGGAACTGCTGAAGTCTGACCAATGTATCGGATGTACCATACGCCGCCGCCGCCATCTTCTGCTCCATCTCGGTTAGACACTAGTTAGCCGATGGATTTTAGTTCTAGATAGATAAATAGCCGTAGAATGGCCGTTAATCTTCCTAATTACTATTATTATTATCTATTTTACATCTATTTATTACCCTTTTTAGTGCTCACTTAGATATTAAGGCATTGTTTTGCTGCTCCGTTGTGGCTTGCAGAGGCTTTAGTCACGTGACGTGGCATTCCTCGAAGTCCCGCCTCTGAGGGTATATTATATCGGAGCGCGCTAATGATCGGTACGATTGTGGCGTCTCTACGGGACACAACGGAACGGCAAATCAATGCCTATAAGCCCAAGATACAATAGCAAAGAGCGAAAATAGGCCTAATATCGATGAATGATGATGATAACTAGGGAAACAGGCCATATCTGGCCTCTATATATATGGGGGAAGGCGTAGCGTACGTACGAGCCGTAATCAAACAGATCTGCAGGGGGGGGCGTGGCGTTGGCCTGATACTGCCAAGACGCCGTACACACGAAGATTCTGACATATTATAACAATACCTTTTCACCACCTATTAACTAGGTAGTTAACTAGTCACTTGACTAAACTAGTGATAACTTGTTAACTCAATAAAAATGACAATAGGGCGCAACCATTTTCTCCACGATGAGCCAGGTATTTAATAAGCTTGACCACCTCAGCAAATGTGCTTTGATTTCTAAAATATACAATTGAACCAGGTAAGGACAGGAAGATGATAGGTCTCAATGAGCTTCCTCTTGAGCTCATTAGAGAGATTGTTACCTATCTGACTACCTTTCGTGAGATACTCAACCTGTCTCTTGTCTGTCGCCATTTCTACCATGTCATCGATCCATTGACGCGCCAAAAATACCATCGGATTAGACTCACGACAAATAGTCTCTGTTACAAAGCATATTGCAGATTAAACGAAATTTGTGAGACACCCTACCTAGGGCAATATGTCCATGAGTTCCAGATTCTTCCGCCCTACAAGTACTACGCTAGCAATTACAGAAAGGTTGCATCCCTGCCAGACAGCTGTTCAGGCCATCCTGACTTTGGGGTGTATGAAATGTTTAAAGCTATGATGAGTGATGCGGGGTTTAATGATGAGGATGTGGAAACGGCTTGGGATTGTGTGAAACGTGAAACTAATCTTCTCACCAATAGAAGGTTTTTATTACTTCCTTGCCTCCTGGAAAATTTTATTTAATAAGAAGTATGCAATTAGCTAACTTGCATTCAAGCTGGCAAAAATTATTTCATGATCGCAGGAACCCTCTAGACACGAGAAGCCTGGTAGCCACAGTCAGAACCTGGGGTACCCATGCCCTTGCGGTAGCATTGATCTCAAAATCGCCAAATATAAAGGTATTAAAGATCCATGATATACAGCCACACGAGATGTTGGCTCGATATCTCAAAAGAATTAATAACCATCACTCAGATTGTCTTCGGAAGCTGGTTGTCGTGAAGATTTTCTTCAGAGATTTTCACTACAGCTACTATAATAGAGGCAACCTCTTATGCCTCATGCGATATTTTGACCAGCTACCAAGCATCAAGACCATAAGTATCGCGTACATGTGCAGCAAGAGTGACTATAGTTACCCCAAGTATATTTCTTCTGGAACTGCTAACTTCAGGAATATACGTATTAACCACTCTATCATGCCTTCCAGTCACCTTGCAGATATTATTAGACAGCCAAGAATCCTCGAGGAGTTTACTTATACTGTTGGAGGTCGAGATGTTCCTGATCATCCTGACCCTGTCTTTATTTATCCATCAGACCTGCGAGACGCACTTCTCACCCATTGTGCCACTTTACGGATGCTTAATCTGGACGTTGATGCTGACTTGAAAGCTGATGAGGGGACCGAGACGGGTGAGGGATCGTTACCAAACCGATTTGCTGCGTCACTCGGGTCGTTTACTGCCCTGACCCATCTTAGCATTGGCGTTGACTTGCTCCTGGGGAAGCCCATTGAGGTCAACCAGAACCCTCCCCCATCTTTCCGGTTGCTTGATATCCTACCTCCGAACCTGGAACAGCTAGCCATACGTGGGTACAAGGCTGGTGAATGCCAATTTCACACAGATCAAATCTCGTCTTTAGAAAGAAGTCGGGATAAGAGTAATTGTTTGGAGAGGATTACCGGAATCGATGAGCCAATTCCAAGGGGGGTACATAGATCGCCCTCCTACTCCGGTCCGAATCATGAATATTGGGTAGAGGAATACGACTGGGCAACTGAACCAGAGGAATTTGACGAGGTAGAGCCAAGATATTCGGATCTGAGCGGGGATGAAACGGAGAGTGACGAGATAATATCAATTCCTCCACCTTGTCATTTCAACTTTTACTCTGATGACGGCTATAGCTCAGGGAGTCGATATGCAGTACACCCGAAACTTAAATCAGATCGTCTTCATGGGATACTTGATGGATAAGGAACTATAGGAGCTGCCGTTGTGAACCATATCAAACGTGTAAATAGAGGGTATACCCAAGAGATATTAACTAAATTGGATGAAAGCTACGACAGATATATAAAGCAGTACAATAGCAGAGCGCAAACAGGGGAAAGAGAGCAACTTCTGATACAATAGCTTAGGCTAAACATACAGCTCACCTATAGTCACTTAACGAGGTTGATTCAAGCTTGAAATAAAGAAACAAACCACCTTAGTACAATGCTGTAGAAAAACACAGAGCTGAGATTCTCTGTTGAATCACACGGTTACTCCGTCTTTTCCAGTCCTGTAGCAAAAACGCGGAGAATTCACGTCAAATTACGCAAATTCAGCTTTGCATTCTTGTAAAACGTCAAGAATTCGCGTAAAATTACGTGAATTCTAGCAGGATGTAAAAGCGGCCATATCGCGATCCTCCTTTAGGAAAACTCGTAAAATGGGGCTGTTGGTTTAGTGGTATAATACCCCCTTAGCATGGGGGTGGTCCAGGGTTCGATTCCCTGACAGTCCATTTTTTTTTGCTTTTTCCTCTACGAAGTATCTTGACCTATTTTGACCTTCTTCTTTCTTGCCGTTAACAGAGAGAGAGAGGGAGAGAGGGTGTGCTCCTTTTCATGCTGCTGTCACGCTGCCATCGCTCATCGCTGTGATGCAGTCACGGTAGCATCTTGACGTCTACCCTACCATGCGAGGAGATGCATATATAGCCTTGTCGGATGCATAAAAGTACATGAAAACGACGGAGCGACCGATGGATGGCCTCCATGTTAAACGCTTCACGCTGCCGCCGGCCCTCTCTCGGATCTCGAGTCGGGGCTCAGGGCCTGCACCTTGGCTTGGTTTCGGTGGCGCCGTACGCTATCTCGAACAAGCCACCACAAAACACATAGAACACACCATCACTGATCACTGATCATTCATCCACACCGTCGCATGAGAAGAGAAGACAATATCCAGGTTCATGGAGGAGAGTACAAGCACATGCGTCCACGTCGAGCCGCCTGTTTACTCCCAAGTCTCTGAGTCGCGACGGATGTAATGCTCAGCCATCACCATCTACGGAGTACTCCTTCGCCCCATGGATTAGTGCGCTACTGCGGTATCGTGCCACGGAATATGGGATCTTAAACACCGCACACGGGCAGGCTTGTCGCTTCCTTTAGCCGTAAACAGGGGGAAGTGAGAGAAAAACGCCGCCTGCGCCAGCATATTTTACACGCAGCAAGGGATTTCATTATTCCTTCATTTACACAAGACATGTGTATCGATATGATCGGTCTCCGGGCACAGGGCTGCGCCTACAACTACTCGATATGGGGCCCCGATGTCAATGAATGCGACCACTGATGCACTGATGCACGATGATGATACTGTCGTGTGTTATTTATACAAACTCGTCGGCTGAGGACGCCCCCTTTTTTTACTTCCTCTCCGCGATCGCTGTGTTTCGGCCAAATCCGCCCCTGATGACGATCGTTTCTTAGCGTGCACGAGCAACCACTTAGCTGTGGCCATGCGCCTACTGCTCCGTACTACGCAGGTAGCATTCGCCACGAAAAACACAAGTAGGTCGCCTTCGGCCGGAAAATATCTGCTATCTCGACATATTAATACCTTGCAACGCCCCTGACTTTGGCTTTTGAAGAATCATCTTTGATATGCTCGTTTCAGCTTCGAGACTAGGGAATTAATTCCGATACCATCTCCACAACGCCTCTGCTTCGGATAGCGCACGCCGTATTACTTGCTTTTCCTCTTAGCAAATACGGAGTACGGGAACTATTTTTGGTCTCATTCAAGAAAAAGATTGCCACGACCAGTTCTCTCAGGAGGCAAGCTTGGCTACATATTTTTATTTATATACTACTTGGCCTTCGATCTCAAAATACCCTCTCCTCTCCCAAGTTGCAGCATTGCCAAGGGAGACTCAACTCGACATGTCGACAAAAACTATATACGCTCGATCCTGGGATCAACTACAGATGAAGTCCGAGTCCACTCGCCAGAATATCTATACACACCACGGCAGGGCCGTTAGTGACATGGCATTGAACGAGTCAAGACCGACAACCCTCAACTCAAAACAACGAATGGGATTCTGGTCAAAGTTTAAACGCTCCAAGAGTCAGCATATAAATCACCATAGCAGCATATCCAACGCCATACCCCAACGAGCAAAGTCGGACTCAAATCTAGTATGGTGCCCCGAACAAAAGATTTGGCTCTTTGCACGCCAGCCCGCCAACCAGTCATCCTTTTCCTCCCGAATTAAACCGAAGTCAAAGCATAATGCCACCACTATCCCACCGCCCCGAGTCGAGTATGACGAAGACGAACTGCTTTTCGCTCAGTTGCCGGGCCACTATTGCCTGGGTATATACACCGAAGTCAACAACGAACCTATCAGCCCCTGTGAGCCCGATTATTTCCATGTCTCGAATCAGAAGGCTGTACGCGAGAGTCGATGGATGGCCGTTGCGCAACGAGTCGGACCGGGAAATACAGTTGGATGAGACATTATACAGAACGACATGGATGAATAAATCGTTTTACTAGCTGAGTTGCTATGTGCAGCTTGTGCTACATGACGATATCACTCCTCTCCTTTGGGGGTGGTGTCTTCTAGGCCATCGAGCATAGAACTCCATCGACAGAGGGGATATCTTTCGGCCTACTTATTGAGGAGGCATGTGCCTACCTCGAAGTAGCTTTACCCTCTCGCAGGTCGAGATATGGAGAAAGCCCTCCCACAGGGGACGGCCACTAGATGGTTGGGAGGGAGGTATCCGGCCCAAGCGGTCAAGGCAGATACCACCATCAGGAGGAAAAACACCCCATTCCTCCTTTGAGGTTGGGGTAATCACAAACCGCTCAGGCCGGTCCACGGTATCAGAAATAATGACCTGTATATACATTGGAAGTCTTGTAAATAAATAACATAGCTTAATAACTAATATCCTCCTTTAACTAGCTCCTTCTCGTAGTTTCCTATATGAATAAGAGTGGAAAAAATCAAGGGTAGAAAACATAAATCAGCCTGATAATATTGCCCTCCTCCAGGAAGCAGAATTGTATCGACATCTTGAATTAGGTCGACCTAGATGGGACAGAACTATATTTAGAGGCAGTACCTAGATGCCGCTGCAGAACAGGGTGATGCATGAGTAGGTATCCAAATCCCGTATCGCCATTGCCCCTGATGGGTTTCAAGTATACGGAGTAAATGCCCCTGAAAGCCAAGCGCGGAATGTCGGTTGACATCTCCATGAGTTCATAGTACGGGCTAATGCACTTATACATTATAGAGTACATAGCGAGGCTACATTCTATAGGCAGGAACTATGTCCTTTAACGAGATAATTATACTGATAGTAGTAAGAGATTTAGTAGTTAGGAGTTGTATGGTAAATAGGAGTATTGTTGAATGCAATGTGCGAGGGGGAAAGTGGCATTGCGTCAGCAGAAAGCAGATTACGCCAGTGAAATATAGACACAAAGTGAGAGAGCAAAGGCCATATAACGTTACGCAAATTGAGGTTGTGATACGTATAGTTAGTTGGCCTATACAAGACGAGAATAAGGTAAAGGCACGGCAACCTGCCGATAAGGACCGATACCGCTTTGTCCAGCTCTCCTCGCTGTTAATGGTTAATGAGAGTGATTTGAGCAGTTGGGTTTACCCACCAGTTAGACTTCGTCAATAAAGTCCTCTCCATGATTCTAGATATACTACTCCGGGCTGTGCCGACTGCGATATTTTAGGAAACAGGGTAAAGTTTTGGCTGACACAATTCTACCTATAGCGTAGAGGGCATCAGATTTAGATACCAACCTCTTATTGCTGTGGACGCTAACTGATTAAGGGCTGCCGGGATCGAATGAGCATAGGATAGCGGGCTCAAGATAGGCGACGTAGATTGCTGCGTGATTTTCCAGTGTGCAGAGAGATCAGTGCGGTAGGTAGTTGGCTGGCCCGATCCGGGAATTCCAAGGAGATATCTTTTTGCCGTGGTAACTGGGGAGCTGTCTAGTACCCTAATGATATAGCGATCGATGTTATAACTATAGAGGGTACTTGCTGCTGGGGTGACTATGCAGGCTTGAGCTGTAAAGTACGGAGTCGAGGTTGCTATATGGCCGTCTGCAGGTCGATATAAGGTCAGTCATGTGACCCAGTGGTATATCAAATGACTAATCATTATTGGCATTAGGGTAAGGCTTAGCACGTGACAAACTACATGCCTCGAGCTTTCTAGTTCAAGCATCAACAACAACAACAACAACAACGCCAGCTATTAGAACACAACAATAGTGTGTTATAGATCTGCTAGGCTTCAATGAGGCTTCATGAAAATGGCTATGTTAAAGTCCTGTGTTACTCCCAATGGGGGTCCAAGACTTGATCTTTGGACTTGTCCTTCTCTCGAAATAGATGTCCTCATTTATTTCCCATCTATATCTCATCCCTTTCTCATCCTCTCATTTTCACTTCTTCTTTACTATCACTTCATCTTTCTCGCGGTTAAGCTTCACTCACATCCAGCGATAGCAACATGGCGTCGTCAAATATCGCCATAAGCGTGCCAGGCAATCCGGTAACGCCTGAGAAGGAGTATGAATCAAAGAGCGACAGCGATTCCTGCTCTGGCGATGATTGCTCCAATGCCGGAGATAATACAACCCCGACAACCAACGAAGATCAGCTGGCGCTTGTTGCCGATACGGCTATCAAGGATCTCGAGAAAAGGTCGAAGGAGGGCCTCCAGGTCCTAGAGAAACTGGACGCTATCCTCAAAAAGTATCCCTCATCGACCGGGATTGACAAATTCTGGTACGATCAAATACAAGACCTTAAGGGGCTATCAAAAGACACTTCCAGAGTTGTGGTTGGCGTTGTCGGGTCCACTGGTGCTGGAAAGTCTTCTGTGATTAATGCCCTGTTGGGTGAAGAGCGTCTCGTCCCCACGAGCGGTATGAGAGCCTCTACGGCAGTGGTGACTAAGATTTCCTACAATCCCGGCCCATGGAAATATAGCGCTGAAGTACAGTTTGTATCTCGAGCTAGCTGGGAGCGGGAAATGCGTCTTCTATTCGAAGATATGCATGATGGTCTCGATGATATTTCGTCTACAGACAACTCTGAACTTGGAGTAGCATGTGCGAAATTTACGGCCGTCTATAAGCGGCCACTTCAAGATGTTAAGCACATGTCTGTTGAGGAGTTGATGAAAAATGAAACTGTGGCGAGCATGTTGGGATCTACAAAATACATATCTGGGGACGATACCCGTCAATTTTACAACCAAATGCGAAAATATGTGGATAGCGAAGAGTCCCCTCGAGCTTCATTCAAGAGTGAACCCGAAACACTGGGCTTGAAGAGTGGTTCCAAGCAGGGCATTGCCGAGGAGAAGTCCATGGAATTATGGCCGCTAGTTGAACTCGTTCGCTTGCAAGTCAACGCACCAGTTCTGTCTACAGGGGTTGTGGTTGTTGACCTACCAGGGTTACTAGACGTGAATGCTGCAAGAGGAACACTTGCGCAGAAATACATACAATCATGTTCCAGTTTATGGGTGGTTGCACCTATCACAAGGGCCGTTGATGACCATTCAGCGAGAACACTTCTAGGTGACGGTTTCAAACGCCAATTGCAGCTAGACGGAGCCCTAAGCCAGGTCACATTCATCTGCAGCAAGGCAGACGACATTGACTTATCAGAGGCTACTGATGATCTCGAGGTTGGTGAAGAAAAAGACGCGTTGAATAAGTTTTGCGAGGATACCAAGGGAATTATTAAACATCTTCGCAAGAAAATACAGTCGTTGAAGCGCAAGGAGGAGCGAGCAAGTTTGAAGATGGACAAGTTAACGGACGAGATTGAGAAGCTAGGTGATAGCACAACCATCCCTTTGAAGCGAAATCAGAGCAATGACACCCCGTCTGACCAAGGCCAAGCGCCTGAGTGCACTCTACGCAATGCCGACGACTGTGATGCTGATGATTCCGAAAATGCTGTATCCGATCAAATCAAAGGAAAGAAGGGAAAGCTGATAACGTCTCATAAGCAATCAAGAGAGAAAAGAATCACAATACTAGCCGAATCACGCTCCTTGAAAGATGAAGTTCAATCCCATCTTGCACAGATTAAACAGAAGGAGAACGAGTTTGCGCTGCAGTGTATCACGAAGCGGAACGAGTTTTCGAAGAGCCGTATTCAAGAAGATTTTCTAATCGGACTTCGGCAGCTGGACTCCTCCGAAAGGTCCGAAGGGAATAATGGTCCAACTAGTGGTTCTCATGTCTTGCCAGTGTTCTGCGTCTCTTCCAGGGCATACCAGAGCCTGAAGAGAGGATTTTTGGGAGATTCCGTTCCAAAAGGCTTCCTGACTGTTGAGGATACGGAAATACCCCAACTTCAAAGACACTGCCTGAACCTGGGAGTCGCCGCTCAGAAAATAAACTACGAACGGTTCTTGAATAATCTGGCTCAGCTGGTGAATTCGCTAAGGCTCCAATCATCCGGACTAAATACGCAACAGCTCGAGGAAAGAAAGGAATGTGATCGGGAGCTTCTTCACGTAAAGCTAAATACTTTGCATGAGGCAAGTATGAGTACCAATGCGATTTTGATTTCCACTGCTAACTCTAATGTCAAGTTCTTCCATAAGACAGTTCAGGACTTATTCGCTAAACACTCAGAATCCAGACAACGTCTTTACATCAAGCTTGGTAAGTATTTGTGCTTCCTTGTTTGCGAAATATTGGTTTGAAACTGACACAGTTAGACCATGCGTCGACAGCTGCGATGGTTGCAGCAGATGAAGCGCCGGTTAAATGGAACAAGGATCCTAAACTAGGCGGGATATATCATTCAACTTATAAAGCCATTTGCAGGCGTTCGGGGGCGTATCGCAATGGAAAAAAGGCCCATGTAGGTACAGCATCCGACAGCTCCGTGTGTACAAGGCTAACATATTATGAACATAGGACTGGAACACAGAGCTGTAAGGCTATCTCTGAGATACGAGATATTTGATTGATTTGATTGGTCAGGTGGGTCTGGAGCAATCTATGAGATTTCAATCTATCAAGCACTGATCATCTAAATACACGATATTGAGCTCCTATTTATGTTCCTCATACGGCCATGTATCTTGCCATCGCGGAGATGCCAGCTACAGCTGAAACAGGCGTTAAAACGCCGGGCGTAGCATTTGTTCGATGATGGAGAGCTGACACTGATATTTAATGAAACGGCGTAGTTGACTAACGTGTTTCGTACGATCAGGCAGTATTACACCGAATCTCCGTTCAACACTATCTCATATCAAATATACACCTCTTGGTATACTAACATGTATAGGGCTAACCCAATGATGAGGATTATCGGACCGGCCTGGGAAAGGTAGTGTTCTTAACCATAGATTCACTCAACGCAGATGCTAACTATAGATCAAGTGCTTTTATCAACGAAATCCCCGTGTTGCTTGAAACGGTTTCGAATACATTTCGAGCACTCATTGAAGAGTTCAACGTTAGCGTGATGATGGACGTCAAAATGCTTTCAGAAAACGAGACACTCTCCCAGATCTTAAAGGACCAGTCATTGAAGTATCAGGAGAATGTGAACCAGACACTCCAGTTCCTCTCCACAAAAATCGAACTAAAACAGAGAGACCTTAACAGATCATTTGTCCCTGCCATTGCTCAGGCGCTGGAGAATGCATATGCTGAGGTATATGAGTACAAAGGTGAGTGTAATAGGCTATATCCAACGCAGCAATAGCAGGGCTAATGTTTATCGCCCAGGTGCCGGCGCATTTCAGCGGATGAGGGATACCATTGCCTTCCATGTAGGTGCGGCCAAATATGACATGTTTCAACATAGTGTCGAAGCCGTCAAGCTCGAGCTTGAAAAATTAGCCGAGGTGCTGAAGGAGGTACTGAGTCGCAAAGTTGAAAAGATTTTCACTGGAATAGCTCATGACTACATGACGGGTCTGAAAAACTCGAAGAGCGAAATGGAGAAACCTCTAAAGGAGGAAATTCTCTCATTTTTGAACAGCACACTCCTCTTCGGGGAGTTTGCTGACACCAAGAAGGCCCTTAGCGACGACTGTGTTTCAGTGAATGCCACGCATGCACTTCGACCAATCGTGCTACCTGGTACCGATGGCAACAAGATCAAACTCGAGCCAGAGGAGTAGAGACGATCTTGAATATCTTTGAACCCAACTACGGATGACCTGGCAGGATGTTTACAAATTTGTCTTCTTTCTATTTTTTTGTTTTTCCATTTTACCATCTACTTTCTTATGTGTTTACTAAATGCTTTTCAAGGTCCCCATCTGTTCAACACAGGGGTACTAGGGGTTCTTCCGGGTTTAGTCTTTCAGAGATTAAACAAGTGTCTTCTCATTTCAGTTTGGGGTCTTGTATCCTTGACTCTGCCGAACCTCCCGTTGCGCCCTTTTCTCTGGGGATAGCAGAGTTCCTACACCCAAAATGCCCGATTTTCTGTTTCAAGTTGACCCAATATTCATTAACTAGAAAACAGTTGGTGGCAAGTGATGCACGAACCCTTATCCAGCGCGTAGATAGTTGAATAATAGGCCATACTCTTATATCAATAGATATCTGTTTATAGTGGACCAGACCTAAGAAGACAACAATGATGTAAATGCTAACCCGAGGATGGACTGAATGTATGATACAATTGACCCCTCGAAACACTCTCCTTGTCTGTTAACTCTGATAACCGCTGAAGATGCAGGGCACCTCCGTTGCAACTGTTGTAGTTTCAACACCGTGGGGGCATTGAAAAAGACGACTCCATATATAGAACCGTCAAGTGGGCGCATCTCAGGGTCGAGTCCGAGTCGTCATCGTCATACCTGCAGGTGAAAATAGAAACCTATCTCGACCATATCTGTTTACATCTTAAAAGTTGGATGTGTTCCCAAAATAGAAACGAAACCGAACCATCAGGGCCATATCGTCCGCTCTCCCAGGGAAGACCATGCAGAGACAACTCTAAAAAGAATGTTGCGATCTGTTAGTTAAAGCGTCCTGCTCGATGCCGTCAATGTGAGCTGGCGTGATGAATAGACAATGCATCGCCTGCAGCAACTCGACAGGGACGATCGTTTAATGCTGGCCGAAGATGCGATGATTGGACTCGTCGGGCTCCATCGAGCTCCTCAACCCGGTCGAGGCCTGCAGGAAGTGCATGCTGTGACATCGAAGTTTTCTATATCCAGCGCAAAGGGCGAGCAGCACGGCGGTTACAGCATCAACCCCCCAGTCGGCCAAGCTGCAGCCCAGCGACGCCAAAGTGCTAGTGGGCGCTTCCATCTCTTCCGTGCATGAAATAACTCCCCAGGGCCACGGTGCTTGTTCCAGCGTGTTTCCCAATCACACAGCACAGCGACGCGCCGGGGGATGGGCCCTCGCATCGAGTTAACCTTATACGAGTTGGCAACGACGCCGTCTTACAGGCCAATTCGCTGGAGGGTTGCTATTTTTGGCCACCTCGTTCTCATGGCACGGCGGTTAAACTTGATATTCAGGTACCAATCGAGGCCTCAATCCGGTGGAATTCTGCAGCAGATCTCCCTGGCCAGCCGTCCGTTATTGATAGAAACGGACAAAAGGCAAGACGGGACGCTATCCCCTTGGCAACTTCTCGCGCTGATAATGAAGCAGTTGGTGGCGTCCGGTCCTACAATCCGTCCATCCATCCTCCATCCTCCATCCCGGGGGCACGAACCGCTGAGAACATGATGCCGGACCTCGTTCACTCCCGCCCTCGATCCTATGGGCAGGGTAAATACTAGCCTCTTCGAGGATGCGGTCGCTAACTTTTCACCTCCCCCCCCATGCAAGTCATGGCCATGGCTAACCCGGAAGGGCCAACAGAGCCCATGGGCCTTGGGCGGTAATATCAAGTGACGTTGTTGCCGCCGCGAAGGCTGGCTAGTTTCCTCGAGATGGACTCTTTTCTTTTTCTTTTCTTTTTCTTTTTTAATTATAGCTGCACTCCCCACCTGGTGCCGGCATGGAGGGGGTGTTGATATAACTACACCACAGCCTATCCCCTTCTCTCTGACTTCTGCTTCTCCTTTCTTGCCCTGTTTCTTTTCTGATATTCATCTCTTGTTTCATTCTCTTCAAAGGGGATTTATTTTATAACGGCCGTTTGGACATTATTCAAACCCCGTTATGGTTAATATACCCTGATTTATTATACATTTTTTTACAAGGAGCTGGATTCTCCGTTATAATACTTTTTAATTGCAAAACCCGTTTTAATCTCCAAACTAGACTTCTATCCATTCCTTACGCTTGGGACGACCTGCTTTGATCTACTGCTCTGTCCTTCATACCCCACGGCTTTACGAACGAATACCTCTGGCAGGTCTCAGACTCCATACATACCGACTTTTTTAATCAGCAGCGCTTTAATTTTTATTCTCCCTTACCTCGCAGGCGTGGTATTTGACTCGTTGCAGGCATCGAGTTTGTTCTTTTTTGGACAATCTGAGAATTCTTACGACTCATCCAAAAATGTACACAGGTGACGTTGAGTATAGAAATGCTCTACAGCAGTATGCACACTTTTCCAGCGTGTTTGATTTTGCTTCTGGAGAAGGGAATGGAGACGTGGGTTTTACTGACTCTGCTAGGAACCAATATATTCCCTCCTCACAAGCCCTATCCAGCAGCATGGAAGGCAACAGTCTGGCGAGAGCGGATATGGCAGCCGGAAACGGAACAGGAGTGCAGTCGTCTGGATATCCCTGGGCGTATCTTCCGCCGCCGGTCAAACAACAATCTGACCAGTCGAGACAGCTATACGACAGCATATATTCATTGCCGCTGATGTCCAGTTCTCCCAAATACCCGGCCTTGAATGCATACGATATCCACGATTCCGACCACAGTGCTCTGGCACAGGGGTTCGAAGCCTCGGACGGTCTAGTCGGCGTTAATTCTATGCATAATGGTAGGGAAATCGTCGTCTTACCATATACCCTAACAAGACTAACGATACTAGGCCTCTATAAAGCGAGCATGCTGGATGAACATGTTCTGCTCTCTGCCATGGATTCTGATTTCGCAAATCGAACGTCCACCGAGGGAGAGTCCTTGCCCAGCTGGGAGAATTCTCCTAGATCTACCATGGCACAGCTGACCGTAAACACTGCTGTCCCGACCACGCAGCCCTCCTCCTCGTTCGTATCGGCCTCTATGGGATATAACGATATATCTGCGTACTCGGACATCGCCTCGTCCACTTCCGCGTTCACTCCCTGCAGCTCTCTCTACTTCTCCAACACACCACTCTCGCCTGCATCGTCACCTCAACGACAGCAGTACTCTGATTGTCTCAGGGTTGATTCGGGGCCGATATCTTCCACATCACCCAGACCCCGCGGCCGGCAGCTGAGTGCCTATAGCTATGACGGCTGCGGCAGCGGATGGACGAACGGGTCTTCCTCGAACTCGAGCAACCTTTCATCCACCTTCCTCCCCCAAAACGCCGTTAACCCATCCGTGCAGCGAACCCAGTATCTCTCTCCACCGCGAGCAACCTCGGAAGCTGAACCGATGAAGACGCTGCCTGTCTCGTCATCAAACTCCCTGCCAAGTATCAACGAGCCCAACTCTGACTTTATAACTCCCAGCCCCAAGGCCCAGCATGCGGTGCCCAGAGTCGTACTAGGCGACAAACCGCGGGAATGCCACGACATAGACCACTACTCGGACCTGACGACTCCCCCTGACCTGCTGAAACCGCTAAGGGAAGAACAGCTGCAGCCCCCGCCAGAAGACATGTTCCCGTCTGACCCGTCCATGGTGCCCCGTGAACAGGAGCTTCGCTTTGACGGCGACCTATACACTCCGACCTGGGTACGCGGCCACGGAAACAAGCGTGAAGGCTGGTGCGGGATCTGTAAACCGGGCCGGTGGCTCATACTGAAGAACTCAGCGTACTGGTACGACAAGAGCTTCACGCATGGCATCAGTGCAACCACCGGCCAGGCGTTCAGTCCGCCAAAGGAAACCCGACGGACAGAGGGCAACGCCAACATCTGGGAAGGCCTGTGTGAGAACTGCGATCAATGGGTCGGGCTCGTCAGCAGCAAGAAGCGAGGGACGACATGGTTCCGCCATGCTTACAAGGTGAGTGTAGTCCGTAACCGGGTATCCGTTATTCATTCTAACGACGTATAGTGCTATAACAATAGCAGCAAGGCCGAGGGGACGCTCAAGAGACGACGGGCGAGCACGGTGAGCGAAGACGGCTCGCAGTCGTCCTCTCGTCCTCGATATTCACCGGCAGCGACGTCCAAGGTGAAACCGGCCATCCCTCGTTTCCTCCCAGGGAAGCCATAGCCATCGATATCCATCTTCATCTTCATCTTCTTCCATCTTCTTCCATCTTGCATCCATATATCCATCTTCATCTTTATGTCCATCTTCATCATCTTCCATTGCATCCATTTTTATCTTCATCCTCATCTTCCATTGCACCACCTTCCATTGCATCTTTGACGAGCGTTTCAACTGGCTGGCCGAGTTTCATATCCTTGTTATTCTGTCCACTGTCAAGATCGGGAATAACGGAAAAGATAGACATGTACATTACTACAGATGATAATGCGAGCGCTATAGGTCTGCGATATAAGAGGCCGGCCTATCCCAACCTCCATCACCATGCATAAGTGCCTGATTAGAAGTAAAATAATCAGGGAGCTGGGCCAGTAGCAGCTCACCAGAGACCGCTGGCTTGAGGAAAACCCATCATCCCTCCCCGTCTCTGCGATCCTAGTGGTAGACATCCCTTCTTGATCCCTTCTTCATCCCTCCTCCAGCGTCAACGGCGGAGAGTCCCTGCTCGACTGTATCTTCTGCAAGCAAACGGAGCAAGCCAACCCCGGCCCTCGAACAGTGATTGGAAGTCGATTAATCGGTGGCTTGGAGGAGGGATTGTTTAATTAATCGCAGGTAAGAACCTTCTAGCAACTATTTTTTTTTTTTTGGCGCTGGCTGGGGTTTTTTCTTTTTTTCGATGAGATGTCTCTCCTCCAGAATCATTGAAGCGTCCATATTGCAGTGTCCATATTGATAGCATCCATACTCTGTATCCTGTGGGCGATGGTTTAACGTCTTTCATATAGCCGGCGTGTCTTTCTCTGGGCCGTTCCCACATCGCAGAGCCAAAAAGTTTTCTCCGACTCTTCCTCATGGTTCTCCCAAAATTCTTCAAGTCACCCAGATCCGTCGACAAGAAAAAACACAAGGCCACTCCGTCCACCTCCTCGATCGCGGAACACATCGACGACGCCCTGCCTGCGCCTGCGCCCTCGCTGCCTCGACGGACGACCGACAGCAGCCCCGTCGAGCGAAGGAAGAGCAACTCGCTCGACAAGCCGCCATCGTACCGGCGAGAGACCGCTGCCACCGAGTTTTCAGACCCCTTCGGCCCTCCGCCAGCGTCTCCCACGGCCGCTGCCTCAGCCCAGAGCAGTCCGACCAAGGCTCCCCATCGCCGTCTCAGCTCGAAACCGCAGCCTGCCTCGACCTCTTCGCCGTCCTCGTCGCCCCGAGCTGCCTCTGCGTCACAGGCCGCCAGGAGTAGACCGGCCCCGCGAGCGTCTGCCACCACCTCCAGGTCCCGTCGAGACCTCAGCCCGACCCTAGCTACCTCTACTCCCGTCTCTGCGGGCTCGTCGAAGCCGAAGCCGTCGAAGAAAGGCAGCAGCAGCAGCAGCGGCGGTAGTGGCCGTTTCTCACTGGACCCGAACTCTCACCCTTTAAACCTTCCGCCAGACGAGCTTCGTCGACTCTCAGCAAACATGGCGGCAGCAGCAGCAGCCGAGCGGGATGATAACCTGCGCAGCTCCATGGACCTGGACAGAGACGGGCCTTCCTCGCCTTCTTCGCCTTTCTCCTCCACGGCCACGGCTACGGGTCCGTCAGTCAAGACTGAGGCCAACGGCGTCAGCAACAGCCAGCCGGACGAAGAACGCAGCCCAACTCCCCCTCCCCATACCTCCCCGCCACCTCCGCCTGTCGACCCGGAAGCGCATAAACTGGCTGGAAACAAATTATTCAAAGCTGGTGAATACCACAAGGCTATTCAGGAATACACCAAAGGTACTGTCTTTTTTTTTTTTTTTTTTTGTGTGTGTGTGTATCTGGGTAATTAACATATCCCAGCTGTCGACGCCCAACCGTCTTCATCCACATACCTGTCGAATCGAGCGGCAGCTTATATCTCTGCAAACCGGTACCCGGAAGCATTGGAAGACGCCAAACGTGCAGATGAACTGGAACCAGGCAACCCAAAGGTCATGCATAGGCTAGCGAGAATATACACTGCTCTAGGTCGGCCCGCAGAGGCGCTACAGGTATACGCCAAAATCCAGCCCCCGGCGTCTGCAAAGGACATGGCTCCCGCTGAGACCATGCTGCGGAACATCACCCAGGCTGAAGAGACCCTACGAGGCGAGAAAGGCGGCTCCATGGTTTTATTCTGTCTGGACCAGGCTATGCGGGGACTTGGCAACGGAATGCTACAGCCGCGCAACTGGCTGCTGATGCGGGTAGAAGCATATCTCAAGATGGGCAATGTGAACGCTTTGGGCGAGGCACAGAATATCGCCATGTCCCTGCTCCGTGACAACAACCAGGACCCAGACGCAATCTTCCTGCGTGGCCGGCTGTTCTACCTCCAGGGCGATAACGACCAGGCCGTCAAGCATTTTAAGCGAGCTCTCAGCTTGGATCCAGACTCCTCACAGATAATCAAGTGCCTTCGAATGGTACAGAAACTGCTGCGAATCAAGGACGAAGGAAACGCAGCGTTCAAGGGCCGCAAGTTCCGAGAAGCAATTGATTTATACACCAAGGGCCTCGAGGTCGACCCTAGCAACAAAGACATCAACTCCAAACTCCTCCAGAACCGTGCTCAGGCACATATGAATATCAACCAGTTCGACAAAGCCATTGCCGACTGTACCAAGGCTCTCGAGTTTGACCCAACATACATCAAGGCTAAGAGGGTACGAGCAAAGGCGTACGGAGGCGCTGGTAACTGGGACGAGGCCGTTAAAGAATTGAAAGATATTTCAGATAACCACCCTAGCGAAAAGGGAATCCAAGAGGAAATCCGCAATGCAGAGTGGGAGCTTAAGAAGAGTAAACGAAAGGACTATTATAAGATTCTAGGCGTGGAGAAGACCGCTACCGAAACTGAGATTAAGAAAGCCTACCGAAAGCTGGCCATTCAACACCATCCCGACAAGAACGTTAATGGCGATAGCAGCGACGACACTCTATTCAAAGAAATCGGAGAGGCGTACGAGACGCTGAGTGATCCTCAGTATGTATTCATTTCCCGCTTTTCATCTTATGTGCACCATGGCTAACAAACACTACAGAAAGCGTCAATCTTATGACAATGGAGAAGATCTGATAGACCCTTCTAATCCGTTTGGCCACGGAGGCGGCTTCGGCGGTATGGGAGGCATGGGAGGCATGGGTGGTATGGGAGGACAGAACATCCACATTGACCCCAGCGTCTTATTCAACATGATGAACAACGGCGGTGGAGGAGGTGGTTTCCATAGCTCAGGAGGCAACCCTTTCCAATCATGGTAAGAAGGGCAGAAATGAACATTAAGAATGAACCCTCTCCTTGAATCTAATGAACCAATGTCTCTGAATCCTTATCCCTTCTTATTCCCATCTCATTCCCATTTCCATACCCATTCTCATACCCATACCTATACCCACCCCTCTCCCAAGAAGCATCAAAAGGAAAAGGAGAAAAAGTCTGTTACTTGCCTTCTTATCTGAGCGATCTATCCTTCCTTCACTATACCACCTTGGGCCCATCCTCGGTCTTCTGTACCATTTTTCATGTGTTCATGGTTTTTTCTCACCCTGCCCTCCTCCGTCTTTACATGGGATTTGCCGCCAGATTGAGGCTAAAGAGAAGCTGATATCCCCTTTCTTCTTATCTCATTTACTCCCTTTTAACATTCTTGATCATTACCTTGGTGTCTTCTTTAGATGCGTGGCATTTGCTGGTCGTCATCGTTTTCCTGGCTTATAGACAAAGAGGACCCCTATTACACTCTGTTTATACTTCTATTTACATTTAAAAAAAATGTTACATCTGAGATTATTCCTTGGTTTGCTTGGACTTGTATAGAGTATTATCGGCTTGATATCGAAATCCCTGCCAAAAACCCTTAATCCGTAGGTTTTATATATAAAAAAAAAGGCCGAGGTAATCCTTTAGAAAAAGGGGAAGGTAGAATCCTTGTACTGGTATCAAAGTTATTTGTAAGGACGTGAATCAGTCAACTCGTCACTATATGACTTTTACTACTTCCCCTCGGTTTCCCCCGTAATTCGAACCTAGTTCTTCTTACTAAGTCAGATTTTCTTCCATTGAAGCACTTCATATTTGATTTTATAGAATGTAAAATCTATGGCGGGGCGTTCCCGAACTGGTCATTCGCAAACATTGCTCTATTTTCTCCCGTACTCCAGTCAAACAAATCCAGATACATTGCTGAAAATAATAGTCAGTTTACAGCGAGGATGAAAGGAAAAGGTAATGAAAGGGGGGTTCACCTAGAACAAAATACGATGTGTTATCTATTGCTTTATTAGTATACGGTGTAGTTCGCGAGTGGTTTGGAAACCAGCCTACCGGCATTTTTTATAGCGTCGTTAGGCTCCTCATCCCTAATTCGAACTATTTGCTGAAACCCGTAGCCGTAATCCTCTGTTTTGGTAGTGTTAGCAAAGACCAATAGTGAAGGGATATGTTTTCGTTAGGATGTAAAGGACCTCACGTGTTGCTATCAAGGGAAATGGAAAGAGACGGTGCGAGTGAGTTAGTTCGTGAACTAAAGTCACAGCAAGATTCTCCTGGGCAAAATTATCTAGATGCATCGTTCTCTCTTGAAATCGGTGGGTCCTGAGATTTTCTATGGGTGAATGTAGAAGGACAGGAGGGTCTGAGAACCATCGACCGAAATACCATGGGCAAAGGACAACCAGATCGTAGCCTCCACGCGGCGATCGGAGGAGAGAATAATCGGCAGTTACAGCCTTTACCCTGGATGCGCCCTCACATATAAAAGGAAAATACACCCTGCGCTGACCGCCTACGTTTGCCGGCCGGTCATCATAGTATAGCTTCGAGAGGTAGTCTATACCAGTGTTATAATCAAATCCAGTTCACACCCACTCTTGGTGAAATCGAAAGCCGGGATCGACTTACCTGCACCTTTGTCCTCCGGCAATTGATCAGCTGGGAGCTTCTTCAGGAATGATTCACCACACCATATCTCCAATGTATGGATAGGATAATGCGAGATTAGCCTAGCGAGACGGTCTATAGCTACTCTTAGTATATCAACTGGGGCGGCTGATAGAAGTCTGGAGATGATCTGCTAACCCTGGAGCATTTTTGACCTCTCGAGCCCATCTGTATCAAGCCCATCAGGAGCATATAGAGTGCCGAAGAGTGTCTCAAATGTATATAGGGTTGAGCGATCGATGCCACTTATCTCAGTAGTGGCAGTAGGATTCTTGAACAAAAAGGTCCGTAAAGATCTTATACGGTCAAGTGCCCGCCCTATCTATACAACCAGTGTGTTACTTTGCTAGCATTATCCATGGTTAATATGATATATTGGACATCTTTGACATACCATCACATACGCCTCTCTGTAGGATCTCTTGATCTCGTCCACGTAGACTGCCTCACACTCGTGAAAGTTCTGGGTAGTCCTCATCTTCGGGCGCATTGAAGGCGGTAGGCGGGCGCCAGGGAAGGATCCATCATTGAAGAATGCATGACCTAGGCGTAGCTGGAGGAATAGGGTTATGAGCAGAGCTATCCACCAAAGTCTTGATCGACCAGATCGAAATTTTGCCATTGTAGGTTAACGAGCAGTGTATTCTTCTTCTATTTAGTTCCTCTTTTAGAATTAAAACGTATAATATAGAGCTCATCGAGCAGGGTCCACGAGTTGAATATTTATAAGATAGATATTGCTGCAGCGGACTCTGGCTTTCCTAGCCTCCATGCGGTTCGCACATTGCGATACATTGCCATAGCTCCCTGATGAAAGGAAGAAAGGGAGAGAGGAAGCAATCGGTCATCTTCTCGTCGAGCTGAGTCCTTCCTTTAAGTTGTTCTGCGCGAGCGGTGTAACATGATAATGCTTAAGATGAGGGTTATTGCGCTAAATTTCATATTCTCAGAGAAATCATATCACAACCACAAGGAACTTGTAGCTGTGCAGCTATATGCCCTCTAGTCTATTTAGAATATAGATCTTCTGACCTTGTGTAGTACTTTTCCCGTGTCAACTCGCGACGAGGAGGTTTCGTTGGTCTGTACACCAAGAGCCGTAGAACTGTAGGGAGGCTTACGCGTAGTATCTCCAACAAGTAATTGTAGCGGCCTACACTTTCCCGCTTCGCATTTCAAATCAATTAAGGCGTGGGTTCGAGAGAATATCATAAGGGGCTGAGATGAAGATCACCATCGTACCAACCACGTCGTCCGTCGTACGATTAGCAGATCCCAATGTCCCCATTTCTTATACCGCCGTAAAGGGGCACTCCAGGGCTGGTTTGTCGAAACATACTCCTTCGCCAAACGGCACAAGCACGGAGAAATTTGAGCGGTTATGTCTTTCTGGCCAGGTAATCGAATATGTTTGGCGCAAAATCATCGATGAGCTTATGTCATGTGGATGACATATCACGTGACTATAAAACTGCTTGTCCGATCCTTCGATAAAATGGAGCGTTCCTTTAAACCATGCTCAACCAGCCTTCCTAACGTGATAAGCTTATTAACTTCGTCTAAAGCACCTTGGGCAGGCTGCAATGCCAGAGGATCGATATCCCTGAAGTACATTCAGAGTCTTCTAAAGGGATTTTCTGCCAAGAGCTAATGACATGTTGAAAATGTTCAATGCGCAATGCGAACGGCTATGGCACCGGTAATAAACTTGATGTCGTCGAAGAGATCTGGCAAGAGTGTCACATATGCTGTCTTTGTTAATGTATTCCCGGCGAAGATCATTCCGATACAGTTTGCAGACGTATCGAAGACCAAAGCACCAGAATCGCCAGGATCTGAAAAGGGTGAAACGGAAGCTCCTATCACAGCGTACTCGAGGGTTTCCACCTGTGACATGCCATCCTTGCCATCAGGCACGTTGAGATGGGCGCTCCTTAGACCAGAGAAATACCCTTTTGTCCTTCTCGTGGACCGTCCTAACTTGATGACCTTCGTGTTCTCTTCTGGAATACCTGGGAACGGCTGAAGTATTGAAAAATAGACACCGGAGTCCGTCGCATACGTGGAGAGCTAAATAGGATGTTAACAAAGTGGACTAATACATGGTAGGTTATGGGTAAACTCACGTTGTTTTGCGAATGTCTACTCTCTGGCACTTCAATAAGGGCCCAAGATACCTGGCGTTTCTCTCTACGGATTGTCGAAATCGCCTGTCGGTATCCAGATGCTGCGAATACACATCCCGCATATGAAGGACTATGACTCTCGAGTGACTCCATCCTAGGATTAATTGGCAAGAAGGATGAAAGTAGGTCGTCAGATGGCAGGCAAGATGGAAATGATGTTGGTGGCTTGTGGAATTGCTGTATATTGGCCATTTTCTTGGAAGCCACAGCGAGTCGAGCCATGTTCTGATCATAATTTTTGCGCCAGTTCGGGCTCACATCCCCACCTTCCCGGATAGCCTCTTTGATAGCTGTGAACCAGTGAGGCGGGACCTCATTCACCTCCTCCGCCAGCTTGTCGAGGGCTGGAGTCGCGTCTTTCAAAGATGGCTGTTCCAAACGGAAGAGTCTTTTGCCGAGAGGGTCATTAATCGAGATGCCCTTTAGAAACGTCTTGTGAATTGCTAAATTAAAACATCAGAAATAGGAAATATTAATAAAAACATTACCGAAGATACGTTATAATGCTGAAGGATGCATCTTACCAATTTGATCGGCTTCGGAGAGCTCATCTAAGTTTGGGAGGACACAGTTAAAGCAGGTCAACCCTAGCTTTTTCCAAGCCGACCCTTCTTCCTGTTTGAGCTCAATCCATCCTCCAAAAGTTGAAGATGAGTGTCCGAACTGGTAAATACCGAGGCTCAGTCCGACTTGCATCTCGTGCTCCCACGCATTATCGGGCGGCAAACGTCTATCCAAGATATCTACGCCTCGATAGATCTGCCCCTGCCCGATCAACACGGCTACGTGGTGTAGGTTGTGTCGGCTCAGAATTGACACGATGGCCTCCCTTGCGCTCTTCCAGGAGCCATCTGACCTACGGTCGACCGTGATGACGATGGTGGTGGGGTTCTTATCATCGTCGAGACTCTCTCCAAACCGGAAACACTCTATGGAGAGGACAGAGCTGCAGTTGATGCTATCACAGATCTGGCCGAGGATCTCATCCTAGAGAGGGCAGATGGGGTCAGAAGACGGGACCGGGGATGAATATTTTGGTATGCTGATACGGTCATCAGATATCTCCACGTTAAATTGCGAGAGATTGTTCGCTTTAAGAAGATCGTGTATCTCCTTGCTGGTAGAAAGCCACTGGTCATCGGGAGATTTTTTTTCAGCGTGAACCAGGAGGGTCGGCACGAGCTCGGCGTCCAGAAAGAGAAGACATTGACGATAGCACAGCGTAAATGCCTTGACGGCAACGTTTGATTGCTTGAGGATTGCTCGGACGCGTTTGCTCATCTCCGTACGTGCATCCAACGTGCACACGTATGGGCTGCGATGTTCCAGCGAGACTGTGGTGCACGGAGATGGTGCGAGGACGGGGCCACCTGACCTAAGGTCTTCGTCTACCCAGCCATCATCTCGCGGCTCTTCGCTGTCATTGCTTGATCCTCTTGATGAGCGTGATCTGCTGTCAGGGGAGGTTCTAGCCCAGGGTAACGATGTACCAACAGGGCGCACGGGAGAAGCGAAGCTGAGGGATGTGGAAGCCATTATCGCCTTTCGGGAACCGTTTCTTCTGTAGTCGCGGTATAACCTGTTTAATAAGCTGGACCAGTGACAAAGACATAGAAAGAAGACAGCGTGGTATCGGCAAGTGAACTGAGGATGAGAGAATAAAGGAAGAGCAAAAGAGAGAGAAGAGAAAAGGAAGAAAGCTGGAAGGTGAGTGAATGACATCAACGACTTTTATATTACCTAATTAGGTAACAGGGTACCTTAGGCTCAACAGATGACGCTATTCCCTTTTCAGACCCCATGTTTTTACCCTTTTAGGATATAGGGAACAGACTTGGCAAGATAAGCTCATTGAGCTAGTCCTAGTTAGGACGCTTTGTCAGCTACGGCTATCCTTTTTCAGCTAGCTATACCTTTCTGGTTAACCTCACACCCGTGGTTATCTATTAAGGCCTAAGAATGCTCCAGTTAAAGGCAACCCCTAAGAGACATCTTTAGTTAAAGGTAGCCCTTAAAGGAAACCTTTTAGCTAAGAAGTACTAGGCTTGCCCTTCACGCTTACCCTTAGATATAGTTAAGAGCTAGCTTAAGTAGAGCATTTTCTTAAAGACCACCTTCTTTGAAATAAGTTTCTATAGTATACCTTACTAGATAACTCAGGGGTGTGACGTTAACTAGGTGGGTATATAAATAGCCGGGAAGGTATGGCTGTATTATCACCCAGAATAATCCAAGTGGCTGCTAGCTGCTTCTCACGTCCTCTGCATCTGTACTATATGGAAACACTTCCTTCGTGAAATCCAATGTTTGGTAACCTGTTCTCTTTTGCTCATAGCCCCTGTGCCCGAATAGATCGTACTATACATTTTTGTCTGCCTCAGATATCATCGTTTCAGCACGGCTATACGGTATGATTTGGTTCTGCGGGGGGATAGTTCAACGGGCACAATAAGAAAACGAGAAAGAGCAAACATGAGAAGACGAGTGAGAGCAAAATAACGGACTTGGTCAAGGTGAAATTGTATAGTGGGTTTCCTAGGAGACGATAAAGGTCTGTTCCATTTTGATGCATCTCATAGTCTTAGTCTTACTCATTAAAATATACCTTATCCTTGTTGATACGGCTGTTTCTGATGTTACCCGGGGGCCACTTCATCTCATAGCCGTCTTAGCACTTCGCTTCTCAAGGAAAAGTCAGTCTTTATATGGTGTACTCGGTATAAGTTGTTGGGTTTGTTAGAATGATAGATGCTGACGTTGGGCGTGAGATCATGCATTTCCCTATTCTCCCTACATCCTCTTGGACCTTCACCCCATCCGTTTCGCTTCTATTCCTTCTTCTTGTCCGCAATCGCCTTGTCGATTCTATTCCACGTCCTAACGCCTTCCACAAAGCAACTTATCTCCCACATCCACCAGAGCGTCGACCACCGCCTCACCCCATGTTTCTGCATGCGCCACTGGTCGAAAAGCACTACTTCAAGCGCGTGAGCAAGAGCAACCAAAGATACAAGGGTGCGAATGAACCAGAGTCCCCATTCAGGGCCGCCGGGGAAGTACTGCGTCAACAGATTCCAAGCGTTGTCGCCTGGTGTTATCCATGCCGACGCGACTCCGGAGCCGTACAGAGCTAGAATGAATACGATTTGAAACCAGTCTAGCGGGGACGGCATTGTGTACTCTGTGACGGTGATAGCGCTGGCATTGACGTTATTGCGTCGGTGGTTCTTCATCTCGGTGGACGGTGGATGGTGGTCGGTGTATGTGCGTTTACGGCCGAAGAAATGGCTAGCCTGGGGACTCGGACTCGCAGTTGTAGGCAATTGTGCGGCCTTGTGCGATCTTGCTGGATTTCAATATCTATTTAAGAGATTGGTGCGTGAAATGGAGCTGAAGGTGGCCGTTGGACATTGACTTGTTATTTGTGTACAGGTCGCGTTTAGGGTCGACACCAACTGACCTGGACCTTCTGCCGGATAAATAACTTATCTTTGCAATGTCTGCTCTCGCGATCGAGCACATTTCATTCAGATGAGAAGTGCCTACAGAATTTTTGAGTCATGATATGCCATGACGGCGACTTGCTTCGTCCAAATGCTTCAGAATCTGCTCGAGTTCTAGCTCGCTCACAGAAGACATGGCGTTCGCTGCTATCATCAGCCAGGCTCACATCGCAATTCCCTGGTTCCTGCTGCAATATCGGCGCGCTTTTGAATAAAGCGCCTGCTATACCAGATGCTTTTAATGTTACAGAGACTCTTGAAAGGAATATTATATTCCTAGAGGGATACTCGCAATGGAGCATTCAGTCGACAAATGACTGTGGCCTGACTTATGAGTTTAAGAAGTCGCGCTCACAGAGAATACGGATTGGACTTCCCCGGCCGACGTTCTGTCGTCTCTCAAATAAGTTATCGTCTTGGCCTGGTTTCGATACTTCACCGGACGCCCTTTCAACCGGAAACTATCTTTGTGTATTCGTTTGGACTGGTCATATGTACTGTCCGCACGGCTGCTTGAATTACGGAAAGACAGCGAGAAAGACAGGATATCCTATACGGATAACACTGCCTCCTGGAACACTGCCGACCAAATTACGCCGAACAACTCGTATGTGATTTCGATTGGCAATGCAGATAAACAGGAGGCACGATGGTGGGCTGCAATACTTGCCAGTGGGTGTGGGTGGCGGGCAGCGTTTGCTCGCCTCGATAAAGAGTACTATCCTCCATGGTCTTGCCATCTGAGCGACAATAATTCATTTGCACTTCTCCAAGACGGACAGGCATCTGCATTTATTTGCTCCGCGGACCCGCCGTCCTCGTCACAGGCTTTGAGGTATCTACTCAGGGTCGCCCAAATGCATAACGCCTTCGACCAGTTACTTGCCGCGTTTGCGGGGGCTCTTACTATACCGGGTCATGTTAGATTTGGTGCTCCCGTCGTCCTGCCTGAGCCACGACCTAGCGGTGAGGCAAGTAGATGCACCGAGCCGATATATGGTAGTATGATCCCTTCTTTCAACGAACTACCGCACTATATGTCATTGTCTTGCATACCAAATGTGATATCTTCATCACTTTTTAGCTCTTTTTGGGAGCCAGGTATACAATGCAATATAGTCAGCGAATGGCTACATGAGCCATTGCGGGAAGTCATACCCCCACTAGTCCAGCAGGAGGAGTGGCGTGTTATCGTACAGATTCTAGCTGCTCGGCAACCGAATATTGCACCGCTCTGGCTAGGTGCAGCTATCACCGGACTACTACCTAGGATTCCAGAAATATATACAACTTTTATACCGCCCATTTGTCTCGAAGCAGCCGTGTGGACGTCGTCACTACAGTCGTTTATGGATCCGACGTTCTACCGCGTGCCAAAAGTCCACAGAAATATTAAACTCGAACAAATTATTCCTAGAGAAGACGAGTTCCGCCTTCTCTATTTAACAGACTTTGAGTCTCAAGACTACGGAAGTTTGCCGTTAAGTCCCTACCCCCCGTTTGGGACCGTGAAGCTTCATAACACCGCTCTTGAATTACAGGTGCATGTTTCTTGCGGGCATTCTTTGGAGTATAGCCACTGGGTTTGGCTGGGGCAACGGGGGGAGGGGGGAAGACAATACTTTGATGATTGTGGTTCTGCGCCAACAACAGCGCTACCACTTAGCGAATTTCGACCTAGCGGTACATCGTTCCTCGACATCCTCCTTGACCTATCCCTTCTCCCTGCTAAACTTCTTGGGGACAGGAAAAGGGCGCAGAAGGCTAAGGTTGACTTTGGTGAAAGACTTTCTGAATGTGCTACCCGAAATCTTTTTACCTGGCTACTTTTTTCTGACGGGGTGAAGCTGGAAGATAAGGCCATGTGGAACCATGAGTGGCTAAGTTTCTTACTTACCGTTGATGGAGATGGGTCAGGAGCCAGTTCATCGTCGTTTCTATCAGACCAGGTGCCACCAAGGTCCAAAGTAGCTCGTTGGCTACAATCAATTTCAACTGGCGCAACCGACTAATTTCCACAAGTCAAGCACCCCGATTTGATCCAGGTGAACTATCGAAGACTATAACCGTCGAATGTCGAATATACCAGGGCCAAGGTAGGCAGCGTTTAGAGATGAGCCTACTTCATTATTTATCAGGCTAGGATTTTTTGGTGTTTTCCTCGTTGTTTTTCCTGACACGGCTATTATGCTTATACCACCATAGTTAGATCTTGATAAGGGTTCTAATAGGTAATAGTTATACATTAGACTAAAAATCCGTGTCTAGGTAGGGACCTCCGCTACGGCGATAAAGCCAAGTAAGTCAGAGGCATAACTTCCTCCATCCCGCAACCTAAGACTGCACATCAAGGGCCAACCCGGCGAACAACCCACAGCCCCAAAGACTGTGAGATAGGATGCTCATCCAGCGATGATTCGGTATGGAGACAAGTCTTGACCTACGATGCGGGGAGAACTCACACCTGGTATCCTTCGCTGTACGACATTGCTGCGGTCCAGATAGCGGTAGCTACGATGGAGCTGGCGATCCTTCACATTCTAAAGCGGTTTCCTAAACCGCTTGCTGTTATTTGCTACCTTGCTTGGCCTGTCGTCGATCTTAGGAGTTGTTACACTGCATCAGCGACATTGTAACAAGAACTTCATCATCGTACCATTTCGTTATCTGGCTATAAGATAATACCAAGTCAAAATTTTGCAAAGGGCACGCTTCATCGAGTCATTAGAGTTAGATGTTACTACATTGTTGTTCTAAAAGGAAGCAATGGCGAGAAAGTACCTAGGAGGATCTGGTGATAGCCTCACCGTATGGATATCCATAGCAGCCTCAACTGTGCTTATATTTTATGGCTACGACCAGGTCCGTTTGAGATTCTATTCAGCCACAAGGTATATATAGTCATAATGCCCTATTCTAAACCGCATATAGGGTGTGTTCGGCAATGTTCTTATCGGTGAAGATTTCTTGCAAACGATGGGCAACCCATCGACAAACTTGCAAGGCACCATGACATCAGTTTACAACATCGGATGCTTTGTTGGTGCCATGTTGACCGTATGGACAGGTGATTACTTCGGCCGACCTCGCCAGATAATGATTGGCAGCACGATCATTGCAGTGGGTGGTATCCTTCAGGCTTCTGCATACGGTGTGCCCCAGATGATGGCTGGGAGAGTGGTAGCCGGCCTCGGTACAGGAATGAACACATCAACAGCTGGCGTATGGCAGTCTGAGACAAGCAAGATGAATAGTAGGGGGAAACTTGTTATCATCCAGATGGTAGGAACCAAGCAAATTCCTCATACGGCTTTCCTTAACCACATATCTTCAATGAGCTAATATACGATTAGGCGAACTGTATCGCAGGCTTCTCGCTTTCAAACTGGCTTACCCTCGGGGTTTCATTTGCTTCTGGTAGTATTGCATGGCGATTTCCCTTGGCCTTTCAGGTGTTCTTCACCCTCTGCATATACGCAATGTGCCCATTTTTACCAGATTCACCCCGTCTACTGATCCGAAAAGGAAAATATGACGAAGCCCGGGAAATTTTAGCTGTCTTGGAGGGTAATGGAGCAACCCCAGATTCTCATTCCGTCAATACCCAATTCAATGTGATCAAAGACATATTGGATCGCGAGAATTTAAACTCTTACACGTGGTTTCAATTGGTAAGAGGACGAGGTGAGTTTCTCGTTTTCTCGTTATTTCTTAAAGCAAATTCATCTAACGTATATTATAGGGCCCTCAGGTATTCTCAGACGTATGATCCTAGGGGCTTGGATGCAAGCAATGAACCAGATATCTGGAATCAACGTCACTTCGTAAGTAATGGGAGTCTCTTGTTACTATGAAATAATATACTTACATTTTATAAAGTTACTATATGTCATACGTCTTCATACACGCGCTCAACCTTTCCCCACTCCTTTCCCGCATTCTTGCAGCAGCAGGGAGTGTGGACTACCTCATTTTCTCGTGTCTCGCCTACTTCGTGATCGAGCGTTATGGACGTAGGAAAGTTATGATGACCTCCTCTTTGGCTTGCTCAATATGCTTCATAGCTATCACAATATCTCTCTCCCTTTCTGAAAACGGCCGTGGCGATAAGTATAAACTTGGTATTGTCGCGGTTTCATTTTTCTTTGCCTTCTTTGCCAGTTTTGGAATGGGTGTGCTAGGTGTCCCCTGGCTTTATCCGACAGAGATAAATGCTCTAGAAATGAGGACTAAAGGGGCTTCTTTAGCTATGGCAACAAACTGGATTATGGTATGAACCTCTTCTCCCCTTTCCGTAACACTTCTCAATTAATACTAACTCCCCTGTGATAGAACTATATGGTTGTACAAATTACTCTGCCTGGAATTGAAAATCTCGGTTGGAGATTCTGGATTATCTGGGCAGTTATCTGTTTCTCCTTCATACCAACCACGTATCTATTCTACCCGGAAACTGCTAATCGGACTTTGGAGGATATCGATCGGTATTTCGAATCAAATAGAGAGATAATAGTTGCGTTTAACAAAAGTGAGTCTAACCTTCCCCTTTTTACTCTACTCTCCATTCTAACGATACTTTCTAGCTGCAACCCAACCAGACCGTCCCAAGGAATATACCCACTTGGACGAGGAAATTTCACGCCGAGGTATAGCTGAAAAGTCAATTGTCTCTACCAGCATGCTAAACAAGCAAATTACAGATCGGGTTGATCGGGGATAGGGCGCAAGTTGTATGATTATACATACAGTCCTACGAAGAAGTATCTTTTCACTCTTCTCAGCACTTTATTCGTTTATTCTTCTTCTGAAATGACGCAAAAATTTCCAAAGAGTATAGAGGTCCCTGCAAAAAGCCGTTAAGTGGCCCTATATGCCATCCGTTTTCATAGGGACAAGTCTAAGGACAATCTAGGAATACGAACAAGGATGACTCTAGGGATAAGTTAAGGGTAAAATTTAAGGCTAGATCCAAGGTACCAAGTTTTGTAAACACTCTCAGGTATAACAGCAAAGGACGTGGTTAGACCCCCCTCGACGAACACTGCTAAGAAATCAGGCGATATTCCAGAGCCTATATAAATAAACACCATGATTTGGAGGTCCTAGCAGTCGACATATTATATCTTCAGGATCGAAAAGCCCATGAACCCGATTATAAAGAGCTACGAAAATAGGTGGCGTGAGGATTTCAAGTCGTTGCGTACACTTGCACCTCTAGCTTCCGGTATATCCGCGATAGACTGGTTTCATATAAGCTACTTAATTCCTTAAAGAGTCTTATATTATATTAGGAAACCAGGCAAAGAATGCCAGTACATGACCTTATATTTTGAAGGTTAGTCTTATAGAAAAGGACGATATCTCTAAACAACTAAATTGAAGAACTCTTCAGGACTGATAGGGGTCTGTAGATTCAACTAGTGACTAAATATAGAGAGTCTTCGGCGCCTATGATAAGTTAGTTAATAAGCGAAACATGTTTAGCTACACCAGTAAGAATTCCACGGCTTGTTTAACCCTCCGTACGAGGGCGGTGCACTCAGGGCTGAGGATGGAAATGCAGTTGCCTGTTCATCGTCGTCATCACCTTGCGGCCGCATCGGATCGATTAACAATCTCCCTTGTCAACCTAAATTCCTCCAGAGTATAATATACTCTAGGAATATAGTCGACAGGTCATCATCTTTGATCACCTCAGTCTATTTGATGTTGGGGTGTGTTTATACATAACCACATCAGAGTTACACATATCAAAATAGCCTTCCCAAGAGAAGCAGAACTCGAGGGACAGCAAGATCCTCTGCTTCCTCGATACTCTGACGATTCAGACACCGTTATGGGTGACGAGAAGATATACACCCCTCCAAGCACCGCTTCGAACAGTGGCGAGTCCCAGCCAGACCTCTATGTAGCGGCGGACGAGGACTCCCATGAGAAAGACCAGCTTCTTTCCAGCTCTCCGCCACCGGGTTACGGCGACCAGTTCCCTGCGCCGATATACCAGAAGGGCGATGTGAATGTGGACGTCAAGGATGATTTCGTCGTCCAGGGCGATAGCTCGCCTGAAGAGCCCAATAGACGCTGTCGTGGAAGAGGTCGGCTCTGCCGCTGGTGGAGGGAGAGACGCGAGCGTCGTCGCCGTGAAAAGGGCCAGTGTCGAGGACGATCTTGTTGCATGAAGATGCTGGTTGTTATGAAGGTCGCCTTGCTTGTATGGCTTACTCTTTGGGCTGCTCGCTGGGTTACCGTTGGTTTCATCAGGGTGAGTATCATTCATGATATCTATGCATTTACATAGATGGTTTGTTAACACATCGTGTCCAGAGACACCATCGTCACCATCAGCAGCCCAACTCTCATGGCTGTCATTCGAACTCCTCTCGGGAAATTGTGGTTCGAGAAAGGACCGGCTCTGTCTACGGCGTTTACCCCCTTTACGACGTTCTCGATGTTAGAACGAATACCGGGTCTATTTACGTGACCGTTGTACCTCAGCCTAGTGATCCAAAAGACCCCCTGAGACCTGCAAAGATATCCATCAGGTCCAGGACCGGTAATGTCTTCGTCAAATTCAAGATGCCAGCGTCCGCTGCACCCGTAGACGCCACCGGTCCTTCAGCATCCAAACAAGTGCTCAATGGTAAAGCGCAGTTTGACCAGATGGAGGAATCCTATCTTTACAGCCATGCCTCATCAGAAACCACACCTTCGCTACCACCTCGCCCGTATGAAATCGATATACAAACTAGGAGCGGTAATGTGTTTGCTATCGTAGGGTTTTCCACCCACGCCTCGATCTCAACTCGCACTGGCAACATCAACGCTCATCTAACTCCGCTCATCTTTAACAATACTAACCTCCCGCTGTACCCTCAGTGCAAAGGCTGCGATGATATCTCTATTCAGACTCACACCCGTTCAGGAAACGTGTGGGTTTCGGTCTCTGAACCAACGTTCATCTCTTCCGACGAACCTAAACATGAGTCGAAAACCGCTATCGTTAGTGATGACAGCAAGCGTCTAGAAACTCGTCGTGACCACCATAACAGGCCAACCAAATGGGACCGCATTCTAGATTTGCTCAACAGGAAGCCCGGTCACACTGGATTCAAAACTTGTTCTCAGTCAGGACCAAAGGTGAATGCCTACCACAGCAGCCGTTGCTCGGGGAATATGGCCATCTCTTACCCTCACTCATGGGCAGGCCAGGTTTCAGCGAAAACCCGCCAGCCTGGAAACGTAATTCTCCGGGGCGATGGGCTGCAGGTCACTGATAGATCAAAGAACGGCAGGCAGCTAGTAGCTATCAAGAAGCCTACAGTCGGGCGTGATGATAAGCTGAGCTGGTGGGGAAGCGAAGGGAATATGGGTGTATTCCTGGATGCACGCAGGGCACCTGTGGAGTTTAATGTAAGAAATTAAGGGCCTAGTTGGAAGTTGGAAGTACACGCTGGCAATCGTCATACCTGCTCATTGATTTTCTCATTCTATCAATTATCTTCTTTTTGTGTTAGTAGCTTGCTCCTTCTGGTCCTACAAACTGGTAGTCTCTCCTTTGGAACTCATTAATCCTTTGTCTATTCACTATCAAGCCTTCCCAATATCAAACTAGGGTCCTCTCCTCTCCTTTATTAAATTCCGACGGGTGTTCAACTTATTCTCTCCTAGCAGTAGGAGCAAGCTATGAGAAAGGATAACACAGACATCACTATTACATCTAAAAAGAGGACAGAATATTTAGGATTATAATTGAGGTAGCCTTATCCATCTGCTCTATAAACAGGCATCTGCTTTCTGTCGTTATGTGGGAGTATATGGAAGTCATGAAGCGAGGAAAGTAATGATAAATAATGCAGTTCAAGTTTGTTCATCCAAGTCAAGTGAAACCAGGTTCCAGATACACTCAAAATTTCCAAGATGGGGGATCAAGCGGTTTATGTAAAAATTAAAAAAAGAATAACAAGAAGACAAGTCAGACATAGGAGAAATAACAACAATAAAACTCGGAACGCCATCGCTAAAGTGAAGAAAAATGAAATTCGACATGCTCAAATCATAGCCTTCATGGAACATCCAGGATTAGAGAACTTAGGCAATTATGGTAGATGAGGAGGGTGGAGGAGTATTCGAAGGGCGGGAAGTTCTTGAATATGGGGTATAAATGTAGCAGTGAGGGAGGTTATGAGGGTTAGGTGAGGATTCATTCCAGGGGGTCATTGATCAACCCACTGGTTTAGTAACCTAGGTTTCCAAGAATGGCAGTGGTCTCGTTTGCTGGTAGTCCACATACTCCCAAGGCACGAACCTGGCTACCCTTTCTCAGACGCTGAAGGCCAAGGGCAACCTTCCAAGCTTCACTCTCATCGAGGACGAAGATAAACCGCTTGCCCTCTTGATCTCTGAGACTGGTTCTGATAACATGCAGGCCGCGTGATTCTGCTGTCTGTAGGATGTCTTGGTTAATACCACTACCAGCACTATGATAAACAGAACTACTCGTATCGCTGGCAGTACTCGCCCCGAAACGGCATTTGTCTTTACAGGTCTTGAGCATCCCTGTAACAAACCCGTCCGACTCCTCGCTGCTAGGCGGCTTGGACGACGAGTGCGAATTGCCAAATCGAAATGGGTTGAGCTTTCCATGGCCTGAGCGAGCCGGAGGATTGCTATTCGCAGAATGCAAAGGGCACCATACCTCTACTAGTTTCATAGTCCATGCCTTGATATCCCATTCTCTCTGTGCTACCCCTCTGACGTCATCGTCGACAAACATACCTTCGGTCGTCATTCGGAGAATGAGGCCATCTGTAACTGAGCCTACTCCGGATACCAGTTGAGCGATGGGAGTCCTCATGAACGCGTTGTTAAAGGTATATACGCCGTGAATGATAATCTTGTCTGGGTTTTTGGTCATATATGGCCCTCGTTGAGATGGAGGAGGTGTGGTGTTTGCAGTTGATTGAGAAGGAGCATAAGTTGACTCCGATAGGACGGATGGCGCATGGCCGGGTCTGTTGACACTCGATCTCGGTCGGTCATAGGGACGAAATGAGTAGGCATCGTCTTCTGTTTCTGTTGCCGTCTTGACGGACGGGAAGGGAGGCCTTTCTCGTGCCGGTTTCAGGGCTGGTAGTTTCTTCTCTGGCAATGGCGCTTTCTTCTCTGGCGATGGCGGTTGAGGTTTTGGTTTAACAGGTGAAGTTTTCGCTGTAGATGACACTTTTGAACCTGATACAATCGATGGAGAAACCGAAGGGGCAACGGTAGAAGCAGCCGCCGCTCGTTTGGCAGCCGCCGCTTCTTTTGCTGCTGCATATCTTGCTGCAGCCTCTTGTCTGGCCTTCTCCTTTGCAGCCTTTTCTGCAGCCTCCTTCTCAGCTGCCTCCTTGGCTGCTTTTGCCTCTCGCTCAGCAGCTTCTTTGGCAGCCTTTTCTTTGGCTCTCTTCTCTTTCCATAAGCGATATTCTCGTTCTCGGTTCTCTTTATCTCGCTTTTCTTGCTCTTCACGGGCCTTCTCCTCCTCCTCTTCCTTTTTCTTCCGCTCTATTTCTGCCCTCTTCCGTTTTATCTCTTCCATCTTCCTCTTGAGTTCCTCTCGCCGCCTTGTTTCTTCCCGGGCTTTCTCCCAGTCATCTGGCTTTGGCTCCTCCTTGGGAGGCTCCGGCTTGGGGGGTTCTGGCTTTGGCGGTTCAGGCTGAGGAATGGGCTCTGCGGGTTTCGGAGGTTCTGGTTTAGGTGGCGCAGGCTTTGGAGGTTCTGGTTTGGGTTCTTCGGGTTTGGGTTCTTCTTTCTTTGGAGGTTCAGGTTTTGGAGGCTCTGGTCTTGGTTCCTCCGGCTTTGGCTCTTCGGGCTTGGGTTCTTCTTTCTTTGGGGGTTCAGGCTTCGGAGGTTCAGGCTTTGGAGGCTCTGGTTTTGGTTCCTCGGGCTGTGGTGGCTTCGGTTTCGGAGGCTCTGGCTTTGGTTCCTCAGGCTTTGGAGGTTCTGGCTTTGGCTCGGGCTGTTTTGGCTCAGGCTCAGGCTTCGGCGTCTCTGGCCTGGGTGGTTCATGTTTTGGCGGCTGGGGTTTTGGAGACTCGGGTCTGGGTGGCTCGTGTCTTGGTGGTGGAGGTCTGGGGGATTCGGGTCTTGGAGGTTCATGTCTATGTGGCTCTGGAGATGGAGGAGAGTCATAGGTACCATAGCTTTGGCGGCTTCCTGAATAGCTACTTCTGTTATATTGATGACCCCCAGGGTACTGAGGACCGGCACCGGGATATGGACCACCACCTGGATACGGCCCTCCTGCGCCAGGGAACCCAGCACCTGGATTAGGCGGAGGAGGGAATCCGGCGCCAGCATAATGTCCGCCGTAGCTCTGATATGAGCCACCACCAGCCCCTGGTCCCGGTCCAGCTCCACCGGGTGGAGGAGGGCCATGAGCACCAGGAGGAGGAGCACCTGGGGGCGGACCGGGAGGAGGCCCATGGGGAGCGCTTCCGTTACTTGACGGGGCAGGCTTTGCGCGAGATCTCTGACGGAAGACACCCTCTGCCTGTGCCTTTCCAATGGCCCAACTGACGACGCCGATTCCAAAGGCAAGTAGGAAGACACTCATCCCGCCGCGGGCCACAACGGTTGCACACCAGGTCTTTAAGGTGGGTAGGGCATTGAAATATAAGAATACTCCGAGCAATGTTACTGTGACGCCTGCCAGAAAGCTGTTCGTATGGCATTGGAGCGAGGGAAGATACAAGAAGCCACCGCCAGCCGAATGAGGTGGGATAATAAATATGTCGTAGGAGCCTTCGGGTAAATCTGTAGACTTCCGGTACCTGCTGCCGTCACCAGCAGTGCCAGTATCGCTCCTCGGGTTGGCTCCATGGGGAGGAGGCGGTGGCGGAGGGCCGTCCATTGTGCACTAGGTCTCTGAACCTGCAGACGCAGCAGCGAACAATTCAAGGCGCTGTTTCTGCTTGACAGCCTGGCCAGGAACGGGCGGTGTGTATGTTCCCTGCACCAGGCCTATTCTTTCTCCCTGTTTTTTTTTTTTTAAAGCAAGATATGGTGTATGTCTCTGCTCATATAAATAGAACACTCATGCATCATGGTCCTAGTACCATCTCACAATGCGGTATACGACGTGCGAGGCCAGTCTAGATCGTGATTCTCACAAAGAGTGTCAGGGTAGATGTTCGAAATGTGAGGTGCGTTGTGTGTTAAAGCTGTATTTCGACGTAGAAAATTTGTCTAGTGTCTAGCAACAGATGTAAGTACGGAGTAAACAAACAAAGGAGAAAAAGAGGCCACGGATAGCAAATTGCGATATTGTGGGCAACAGGTCCCTTTGAATGCGGTTTTGAACATACCGGTGTGTTGGAGGAGTTGCGTTGTCGAGTCAACGTCAGCGTATACAGCTATCTTGATAGGCTGAGCCCTTCGGTGCACAGATGGTGGGATAGATAGGTCTGTGGGAGGAAAAAAAGGAGAGAAAAAGCTCGAGTCCTGGCGCTGAAACTGAGATTGACCGACCAAGATCCGCGGTCTTGTGCTATGGAAGAGATAAATATTCTTTAAAAGGCTATGTCCACGGGGGAAAAAGCCGTTAAAATCAATCTGTTTTTCTTTTTCTTTTCTTTTTTTTTTTCTCTCCTTCTCCCTCGCTCTCTGCCTGTTGTTTTGTTTCCCCCCTTCATCCAAACACTGACCGCAATCCAATCGGATGGCACGAATTATCCCTGCAAATCGCCCTTGTCTCCATCCTTTGCGGTGCGTCGTGACCTATAGAAGGAGACCAAACCGCCGGCCCGCGACGACTTGGCTTCGGGTGGAGGGCGAGGGGACACGTTGTAGCGAATTACTGGAGGCCCTTGGGGTGTGAAGATGCAGTGGTAGACTAATAGTGCGAACTATATAGATCCGGTTGAGAACCTTGAGACCTTGACCGCAATCCTGTCAACTGACTGGAAAAAGGCATTCAATCTGTTACTGCTATTCTGTCTGTTGCTTAATCTTGTGTTTGTTGTTTGCTGTTTGCTATGTTGATGCAGTTGATTTGTCGATTTGTCGATGTTGAAAGTGTGAAAAATGTGATGAAAATGCGCATAAAAGTGGATGTTTCTTTCCCCTGGTTCTGTTTGTTTACATTTTTCCTATTCAGGCTAGGCTGCGGATATGGTCTCTTCTCATTGGTCAGTCTCTTTTTTAGACTGCTTAGTCAGGGTGGCACGGATTAATAATACTCCGATGACCCCGTGACCTTTGATTAGATAAGCCCGACGTGCAAGAGAAAACACCATAAACCACGGAGTATAGTCTACTTTAGACTGCTTTAGACTGCTTGATAGGTGACGGATAAGGCAGAGACAGGGCCAGGTCATGCAGGGACACACCGTGATGCCCTCCCTGAAGAAACACATGGCCAGCGAACTTTCTACAGCGAAAAGGATGCATTACCTAAGCAGAATATCCCGGAACAACATTGATCCAATACCGAAACGCCCTCTGATTGGTCCATAACTTCGACCATCTGAGCTCGCGAGGTCATCTTGTCCGTTTTTGTACCTGAGGCTCGCCTGCATGATATATACACGCTGGACGCTGCGAACTCGAGTCTTGCTGGCTGCAGGCATGATGAGGCTGTAAACCACCGGGTCTGCTGGCTGTTGGTTCCCTCTTATATCTCGCATTCTCTTCTGCCTGCTTGATATTTCCCATCGTCAAATGTTGCGGCGCTGCTAGCATCGATCTCCCTCCCGCCCGAGCTCCTCCTTCGCTCAACGCTTAGGCACGACGTCGATCCCCTGCGAGAAAGACAGCAGTCTAACAAAAAACCCGACAGGAGCACCCCCTATAAACCGCCGCGACTCGCACACCCTCGCACCTCACCCTCTTCCCGCCGCATTGCAGGGAACCTCTACATGAATGCCAATCCGATGGCTGCTGTTGCCTCCGCCGTGCCTGCAGGCACCTTTGTGTCCGGCACCAAGGTGCAGGTCGGAAGCCACCGAGTCGTGATAGAGAAATATCTGTCCGAAGGCGGATTCGCCCATGTCTACGTCGTCCGCCTCTCGAAGCCAGTCGACGGCGTCGAGACCGCCGTCTTGAAACGGGTGGCTGTCCCTGACAAGGCCTCGCTGGCCAACATGAGGACCGAGGTGGAAACCATGAAGCGGCTGAAGGGTCACAAACATATCGTCACATACATCGACTCACATGCGTCACAGCTCAAGGGCGGCGGATATGAGGTCTTCTTGCTCATGGAGCATTGCGCTGGTGGCGGGCTGATTGATTTTATGAATAACAGGCTGCAGAACCGGTTGACCGAGCCGGAGATTTTAAATATATTCGGTGATGTCACCGAGGGCGTTGCTTGTATGCACTACCTGAAACCTCCACTCCTGCACAGAGACCTCAAGGTAGAGAACATCCTCATTTCCGGCAACGGTCCGTCCCGCTGCTACAAGCTCTGTGATTTCGGCTCCGCGGCCCCCCCGCGGCCGGCAGCCACCTCTGCTGCGGAGGGTAGATTGATCGAGGATGACGTACAACGACACACCACGCTGCAGTATCGGAGTCCCGAGATGATAGACGTTTATCGAAAACAACCCATCGACGAGAAAAGTGACATCTGGGCCTTGGGAGTCTTGTTGTACAAACTGTGCTACTATACCACCCCCTTCGACGAGGCCGGCCAGATGGCGATATTGAACGCAAGATTTAAATATCCCGCATACCCTCCTTTCTCTGACAGGCTGAAACTGCTGATAGGTATGGTGTTCCTGTCCTGCTTAAATCATTCAATTGACACTTGACTTATCGGCCATGATTAGCATCCATGCTCAAAGAACACCCTCAAGAACGGCCCAATATTTATCAGGTCCTGCATCAAACCTGTCGCATGCGAGGGAAAGAAGTCCCTATTCGAGATGTATGCATTTCAACAACTCCGCTGGAACATCTACTCTCGACTAATCTGCTCTACTTAGATTTACGCCGGCCGTTCGCGATCCGAATCAAGACGAAACGAGCAACTACCCAGTCCTCCGTCAATCGAAACTCCAAAAGTCGGAGCTACATTCTCACCACCCATCCAAGAAACCAAGATCATCCCAGATATTGCTCCTATGCGGAGAGGCAGGCCGACAAAACCCAACGATCAAAAAGTTACACCTAAACCGAGCCCGTCCCCGCTCCGGACTACCGGTGATCCATTTGCTGCACTTGATGGAACTAAACGGAATGCGAATGCGGACGAACTCTCTTCACGATTCCCTACACTAGACCAATTCTCTCTCCTTCATGAGAAGGGTGGAACATTTAACTTCGAGCCAACGGCAGCGGAAGCAAATCCTGCGCCAGACGATTTGTCTAAGAGAGTCACCAATGCTCTTGCCGACGAGGCCTTTTCGAAACTTGCGCCGTCTCCTCAGCCGAGTCCTACGCCTGGAGGGCTTCACGCTACAGCCCGAGTAGATCCAATGCCAGAGAAGAAGCTAATACCGTCACCATACTTGAGAGCAGAACCAGCTCGGCAGCAAGCCCCTATACAGCAGCCAATACCACAAAAGCCAGCCATGGTATCAACTGGTACAATGACCTCTCCGTCTCCTGTTAATCAGCGCTCAGAAAGCCCTTCGTTTTCTCAACGGCCAGTCCACAGGTTCCCGAGCCAGGGGCATCAGAGGCAGCCGTCAGGCAGCTCTCGAGAGAATGGTTTGGAACAGCCTCGTTCACATAGCGGTAGCTTATCAACGCGACCTAGCTTTACCAGATTTGAAGCCAAACCAGTCCAACCTGAAGAGCTTCCTAGGTCGCCTGCGTCTTCACGCCCATCTTTGGAAGGGTCCCGGCCAGCAGCCACCGATCTCACTGATCCGCTAACTCGTTCGAAGTCTGCCAACGCAAAATCTCGACCTACTCCTGCATATGTAGGGTCAAGACTGGACTATCTTAGAGATAGAGGACGAGACCGCTCGTCCGAAGAAGACGAAACGCTGTTACATCCATCGTTATCAGAGCAAGATCGCGAATACAGCCAATCCAATATATCCTCTGATGTAGATTTCTTACGAGCCAAGGAGGAAGAAGAGATGAATCGGAAGCGTGAAAAGCGGTTAAGCGGCGGATCCAAACATGTTAAACGTGGAAGCTTGTCATCACTATCACTATCAGGAACGAAAACGCTTCTTGCCGGCCGCTTTGGCGAAGCTTTCCGCAGGTTCGAGAATAACGCTCCCCAAGACCGTAACCAATCCCCATCTCCAGAAAACGATACCCAACATCTTACTCCCATTACTGGCTCTGAAGTAACAGAAATGAGCGATGATGGCCGTGGGTATGATGGTGCCGATATGGACGATATATCGCCTGAAATGCGCCGGGAGCTAGAACGGCGCCGCCTATCCATGGAGGAGAGAAGGGTTGCAGAGGCCGCTGCTCAATATCGATCACAGCTGAATGAGCGGGAAGAAGGAGGCCCGTCAAGGCCGGCTGGATTGGGGATAGGAGGCGGTGTTCGCGCAACAGCCATTGAAAACAAGGTCCAGTCATTGCTCAAGGAAACGGAAAAGGCGCCGCCATCCAAAACGGCATCTGGATATGGGCGATATACCGACACGGTGCCACTACCGCAAACAAAAAGATTTGAGACTCCACTACCTGAGAGACCTTCATCGTCATCCGTCCAGAGGTACCCGGTATCCACTGGACCCCAGAGTACAGCTGACTTCCGTTCTCGGCCACTTCCAAAGGATACCCACACCCCATCCACCGGTCTCCAACATAATACGAGCCAGCAGCAAGCTTCATCGACTAATTCTCGCCCATCTCAACGCCCAGTAGCACCACCAAAGCCAAAGAGCTTACGAACCGGAGTCCAGTCCGCTAACCAAACAGGTAACAGCGACTACAGTCCATCTCAACCTCCACGTTCTACCAGACACGCAAATACTGTCCAAGGCCACTCCACAGAAGACTGGGAAGCCAACTTCAGTCGACGATACCCAAGCCTGTCTGGACTTGAACTGGTAGAGACGGAGATAGACATCCCGAAAGCTCCGTTAGGCCGTACCACAGCAACAACTACAACGGGCAAGGGACTTTAATTAGACAGCTGTCGTCGCCCAAGGTATGAGCTGTCCCTGTTTTTGAATGAATGAATAAATAATATCATGCAACAAGTATCCGTTATACCCCCCTCGCATATAGAAGCGCCAGCCCATTATATCGCATTTCTGTGCTTTTGACCGGTTTATTCCCTATGTCAACTCTGCTGTCTATATACTGGGGAATGGGCGTTGCTTCTTTTTTTTCCTTTGTCTTATCGTCTTTTCTTTTGGTTGTGACGCACAGATGATGAATGATATGACGTGGCCTCGGTGTTCAAGTTATAGCAACATTAACAGTGATTGATTGGTATAGGAAAGGATGAACAGCATCCTAGTATTTCTTTTTATGATTCCTTTACTTTTTGGCGCAGGCTTCTAACATTACCCCATAATATTCAAGCTGTGTGGTTAGAGGTATATATACTTATTATATACAGAGATAGGTGATATAGAAATAAGTGTTAGCTGCCTTAGAAGGCTCGAAGCTCAACAAAATCAATGGTGTCAAGCTCTAATCTGACATTCGTGAGTCGTGGCCTTATCCGAATGTTTCTCTATTTTTTCCATTTCAAAAATATGATACCAAGGGGTACAGGGGAAAAAAGAAGTACATCGTGGAAGAATAAAACATCGACTGGAACATCATATGGAAACAGAATCAACCATCTCGCCAAAAAAAAAAGTAAGAAACTGGACAAACGAACTGGTGATGTGTGAGTAAAAGCATATTGAGGGGCCCAGAATACATATTAAAGATTAAAACAGCACGGAAGGTGGCTAAAACATAAAACACAGCACACTCGTTGACATTGTGGCGCGGTGGCTAGCAAGCGCACCCTTCCTTTGCGCCGGCTTGCCCTCTATCTCGAAGGTTGATCCTAGAATCATCTCCTGACCGTGTTCCAGCACCAAGACCGGTACTTCCAGCGGCTCCACTAGTTCCAGCACCACCCCTAGAGCTCTTCAGGCTTGCCTCGGGGATGGCATTTGCAATGGCAGTGAACACCTCCGCAACATTGAAACCGGTCTTGGCACTGGTTTCGAAGAATAGTAGACCCTCAGCTTCAGAGTACGCACTCGCCTCTTGCACAGATACTTTTCTCGCATCTCCACTAGGGCTTCTGTCTTGCTCATCCTGCTCGTCGGTTTCGTTGCTGTTTCCGGATGTCTCCCCTTCTCCATCGCCTTCTTCGTTGGTGCCATCTGGGCCTGCGGGGGAGTCTCCAGTAGGTCCCGATGCGCCGTCACTGCTCGTCAAGTCAAGCTTGTTTCCCACTAAGGCGATGACTATTCCAGGGCTTGCTTGTCGCTGAAGCTCAGCAACCCAGTGCTTGGCCTTGATCAGAGAGGATGGTTTGGTCAGGTCATATACGACGAGTGCGGCCTGGGCGTTTCGGTAGTACATGGGAGCGAGGGATGCGAAACGTTCTTGGCCTGCGGTATCCCATATCTCGAATTTGATTGTGCGGGTAGGCAGAGAGCATTTTTGGGTTAAGAAGGCAGCTGTTATAAGCGGGAGTTAGACGTTTGATAGGCAACAGCGTAAGATCTGCAGGTCTGCTGGAGTGCTGATTTGCTTACCTCCGATGGTAGGCTCTTTATTCTCTTGAAAATCATTGTTCACGAATCGCAGAACGAGAGACGACTAGTTTGAAGGAATTATGTTAGCCAATGTAATGAGCGTAAATAGCGTTAACAAAAAAAAAAGGAGCCAGCCAGTAGACGGAAAACGTACCTTTCCAACGGCGGCTTCACCGAGCAGAACCAGCTTAACGCTGCTACTCGGCTTTGGGCCGGGTGTCGAGCTTGGATCTGCCATCGCTTTATGTACTGAGATAGAGGCCGGTTTCGGTCTTGACGTCAGCTCGGTCAAGAGCTAGATCCCAACAATGAGCCGGAGAAAGCAGTTGGGAGTAAAGATGCGGAGAGACGGAAGGTGCTCTGTGATGGTCTCTGGTCGGCGGCGGTATAACAGATCGGTATATATATCTGTAGCCGGGACAGGATGACTCTAGATGGCGGTTCGTGTGAGTATCGCGCGGGTGAAGTCGAGATCAAGAGCGTAGAGGAAGAACTGCATCTTTTTGAGGCCGAAGTTCCAAGTCCAAAAGATGACGATGCTAAGGCGGCCCGATCGGGTTTAGCGCCACGTCAAAGTGACTTGTCTTGGCACATCGGACAAAACATACGTTTGACAGGAGACGTAAGATGTGATAGATGTAATAGAGATAGAGAAGTAGAGATAGAGATAAGTGATAATCGATACATGTAGTTCTGTCTACCTATGCTATGCTATCTGTCGGCCAGAGGCCAAAGAAATAAAAGAAATACAACGGTCTATCCGGTCCATCTATCCCAAGAAACAAGAGGAAAACATCAAAAAGAGAGCATCAGGGGGGAAACGCAGAGAGCTAAAAAGCACACAAAGCAGTCGCAAGAGGGGGAATATCTCAAGGAAACGTTGGACGGAAAGAGGCATAACAGGCAGGCTATGAGTGAGAATGGACATAGAAAGAGATCACTAAAAAGATATTAGGGGGAAGTCCAGCCCGAGGGGGAAAAAAAATAAAAGTACATCGTGAGAAGGGAAAGGGTTATTAAATGGTGGTAGGAGTCAGTAAAAAAAATAGTGCACTGGTCGTAAAGGCATTTCTTCAGCAAAACAAAGCAATGTCAAGGCGGCGCAGAATTCGTGAAGTTAGAATGCAACATCCTGTAGAGCAACCCTCGCGCATCCGAAGCGTACAGAAAGCAAAGAAGGTCTAGACCGGCAAACAAGCGGCCGTCCTTTGATGTGAATCTTCTTGCTATCCGCTAGCTCCCGATCTGTGCGGAAAGGCGCCTGCTGGGGGATTTGAGCGGGATGTGCCAAAACAGCAAAAAGCCAGCGAAACAAAGTGATGGAAGGGAACAGTGTAGGAAGTGACTGCGAAGTCGGTTGAGTCTAGATCTCAGTGGTATAACCCCCCAGAAAACAAAAACAGGAAACAAGAGAAAAACGAGGAAAAAGCAGTTGTCGCCAATTCTATCCGATCCGTCTATATGATAACGCCGTACCGAAGACACCCAGGAGAGGAAAGAAAGCCATTTTTAGCAAGACAAAGGAGAGACGGCAGATGATGGAGGAGTGATTTGGGGGTAGGGGAAACAGCTGTTTGTGGGGGCCAGGAGAAATCAGATCGAAGCGATGAGCAGTCCAGCTAGACACGCCAGGGAAATTCTCCGGTCCTGTGGTTTTGAGGCGTTGAAAGAACCAATGGAAGCATGCGTGGCGCCAGGGAAAGGCGCAGACAGGGCGTCGGGACAAAGAACCCGGGCGAATCGGTAGGAAGCAGCTAAGCAAGGGAACCCAAGACAGGTCGATGGTTCTGTCGTTTCGATGTCGACCGGAGGGATCTCGTCACATCGTCCGTAACAAAGCGTGGAGGGCGAGACTTTTGTTTGTTTGTTGTTGGTTCCATGTACCTAATTGTTGGTTGTTGGTAGCCGGCAGGACGGGAAGAAGTTTGGTTTCGGGCCAATCACACGGTTGTGATCCCACGGGCAGGCTTGGTTTCCCTTTCTCCTTTTCCCATATCTGAAGGTAGAAACAGCAGAAACGGAAAAGGAATAAAAAGGAGGTATGGTCGGAGGTACGAAGATCGTACAAAGGAGAGGCGTTGAAAGGGTCGATTATTAAAAAGGATGTAGAACAGAACGTATTGCGTCGATAGAGAGAGGAAAAAAGTGAGATATCTGAAGATCGTCTTTAGGGAGGCGAAAGGATCTGTAAGAAAGAATCGCCCGTGTTACCGCTTGGGAGGCGGCTGCGGCTTTGGCACGCCAGTTGTGTCGTAAGCTCCTCTCCCCATGTTGGTGGCGGATAGATCCCTGATAATCATATTATTGACCTGTTCATATCCGTTAGCCACTTCAGCTCTTTCCGACGATACGAGGAAATGTCATATGTATATATGGCCAGGATCTCGCAGCCTCACAAGGATCCGGATCCTGAGCCTCGGCCGAAGCACAAGAACCGTATATACACAAGAATGGTAATAACAACTAACCTGGAACGCTGCGTACAGCTGACCGATGATTGCGGACCTGCGGCACTCGCCGGGGGGCAGGGAATGAGATATCCCAACGTCACGCCTCAGGGGATCCTGAGTAACGTAGATCTCGTTAGCTACTCAATATATGAGCAGCTGGCCGTATTAACCTGGGCAGAAATTCAAAGCCAAGTAAGCTGAAGAGTGTGGTGGTTTGCTTCAGGGAGCTCGATAAGTTCGGCGTTTTCGTCCTTTGTTTTAGGAGTCGTGTGATGAGGCGAGATGATTCGTCGATTGTCGATGTTCAGTACTGTGGCTCCTTCGATGGGCTCAGGGTCGTAAGGGAAGGCCGGTGAAGCGGAAAGGAGATGGATGGCAAGGGCTGGTCTGGTAGATATATAATGGTAGATGCCCTGGGAATAAGGGAGAGATGTAGTGGACTTGGCCAACGAAGGAATGAATAAGCTCAAAGAATAGAGAGAAAGAATGAAAGGAAAAGAAGGAAGAGCAGTACTAATATATCTCTCCCAGAGGAAAGCTACCAGTTGAAAAAAAAAATAAATATCATAATAAAAAACTCACTAAATAACATATTGGTCAGAAGAAATAACCCCCTTTCAACAAAACTGTAATTAACCCTGTAACTTCTCTAGCTCCATCGTTTTTTTTGCCCTTATACCACTTTGCTTTTTCCATCCTCTATCTTTTTTTTAACCTTCTTCATCCCAGATTGCAAATTAATCGGCTTCGTTTCTTTTTCATCTGGCTTCTTTTTCTTCTTTGTGCTGCCTTGAGTAAGTTGAAAAAAAATTACCGGGAGAGATAGGCGAAAAAGCAACTATAGTTATATTTCCTGCTCGATGGAGGCAGAGGGTTCCCATCGATTTTACATTGGATCACCAAACACCGCCGACTTTGACCCCCTGCCGGCCCTCAAGTCATTTGTCCTAGCTAAATCTCGCTTCTCGCCGTCTGTTGCCTGTCGCGTATTGAGTCAGTCGCTGAGCTTGCAAACAGAAGGGAAAAGCTTTTGTGATGAGCCTAAAAGTTGATACGGAGGCCACCAAAAATTAAATTACAAAAATAAATACAAAAAAAAAAAAAGATGAAACACGCCTATTCCGACAGACGCCGCGCAGGCGTTTTAATCCTGAACATGCAGCAGGGAAAACCTGCATGATAGGCTCTATTAAGCATGATTCATGGAGGGGGGGCGAATGGACGTGTGCACCGTTTACTGGAATTGTGCCTTGCCCTGCTGCATTTCTACCTTATCGGCGGGTTCGGTACAGAGCAAGAGATGAGCTTTCTGGACGACACGACCAGGTCAGGATCCAAATGCCGTGCCGAGAACCAAGAGGGCGAGAGTGAGGTTTCATCGACGGCGGACGGACGGCGGAGTTGGGGGGGGGGGGGGGGGGGGGGGGTTGCGTGTTGGTCTCTTCCCTTTTTTCAGCTACAACCGCGGTTTCTAGACCCGCAACAGTGGCAGCAGCCTAGAAGAGCTCACGCGAGGGCTACAGGGAGACAGGGAGACAGCTGCTAGGAGTGCTAGACAGCTGCTAGAGGCCGGAGTGGATAATGAGCAGAGCCTGTCAGAGTCAGCTATTTCGACCCTTGGTGCTGGTGTCGGGTTAGTGAAAGCATCAAAGCCTCCCCCCAGTAGTATAATTGACGGCCATGATCCCTACAGATTGCTCCGTTCCTGCTCCACCGACTCCTGGGCTTCCCCCAGTTAGCGCTGTGGTTTCAAAAAAGGTGAGTTGTTTCGGGAGGGATGCGCCGTCAGAAGAGGCAGCTAATTTGCCTACTTTGCCTGCTAACGTTACGACAAAAATAACTCGGACCACACACAAAGAAGAGCCTGAAAGAAACATGTTTGCAGGGCGTTCTAAATGGAAATAGGATTCGGCCCTAGAAGTTCCATGCCGCCTCACCTGTCCGTTGCGGCTGCAGCAGCAGTTCCAGCCACATCTACGGAGTGTACTCGGTTCTTGACAGAGGGCGTCCGCTTCCTTCAGCTAGGGTGTTCCTACAGCATGAACATATCCCAGATCAGGACTGTATAGCCGGTTTGTCCTCTTTCTGTGTGTGTGAGTGTGGGCGTGGGATGGCGGCAAAGTTCAACAAACACGGCGATTATATTACCATGAGTGCGGGAAGAGTAGCGATCCATCATACTGCTTCATGCCGATCTCCTGACGGGTCACGTCAAAGAAATCCGATATATCATGTTAGCTCGATGAACCATCAGACCTGCGTCTAGCCACTCGACAGGCGGCCACATATCGCGATTCCTCGTCACCTTTGTGAGCCTTGTTGTACGCGGAGGAAGAGCAGAGGGAGGAGGTCTAGAAGCTGGCTTGTCGCAGGTCCGGCTAGTGTACAGGTCTCGCCGTTCGCATACCTTCAATTGGGATCAACAACAAACGGCTAGTTTGCTCAACCTAATCTCGGACGCCCAAGTTTCAACCGTCGATAGTCGATAGTCCTGGCTGGGCAGTTGAGATGGCCTGAATCTGAATGAATCTGAAGGGTTCTTCACGATCTCGCTAGCCTGGCACAGAGCATGTACTACGATGGCGTAGCTACTACGGACAATGGAGTAACACGCCGGCCTATCGATGCTGCATGGTGGGCGATGGCCACCATTCTTAAAAAAAATTTAGGTTACATATGTACAGAGTACGGATCCAGCTACTGCAGTGTGATAGTTGACCACATACACATACACTCAAGACCATGGAGCTATCTTTCTAGCTTATGCACTGTGACAACTTGTTGGGGC